TTGGTGAATATAATTGTATAACCATCTTACATTTCATGAGATGAATGAAGAAAGAAAAGGGGGTCACAATATACAAATTTAAATTTGTTTCAGTAAAAACGTCTTCTGGGCGAAATAATGTCAAAGAAATTCGTAATCCTTTAGAGGTCCACATGTCTTTATCTCCAAAAGTATACCCTGAAATAAAATTACTATATATATAATATATACATCCCTAATAAGACTTTCCTATATTACATTAATGTACATATTGAAATGTTTTAAATTACGTCATAACAAAAAAAGGAGACAAACGATTTTCATAGAAACATTTATGCTCCAAGTATGAGGAATTGGAGGAATTTCAGGACTAACTTCACAATAAAAACAGTGTATTGGGAATCGAACCCAAAGACTAAATTATACCGTTCATTTAACGTGTCCGTAACTACTATTTTGAAAATTGGGTAATTTAGAAGACTTTGTATTTATTGAAAACATTTGGATGTATTTTTATAATTCAAAATTAAATCTTCTTGAAACTTTTGCAGCTCAAAGTTGGTAAATTATTGCTTGACCTAGTAAAAAACCTTATCGAGAGAACAGATTGGTTACAACAGGAATAGACTTTTAGATAGCATCTTGTTGAAAGCAAACTTGTTTCGTCATCTTAAGATATTAAGTATTTGCAAAATTGTCTAAAGTCCTTTAATTCTCTAAACTATAGTGAATGAGCAGAATACAAAAACATAAAATTGGTCTTAAGCGAGAGAATGTGAAAAGAGGGCTGCAATTTTATCTTATTGATGCCATGTCGCTCAGCTTAGCATAAACTTCAAATGTTATTTCTTTTGGTTCCATGCATGGTTGTATAATGACAGCAGTACAAGTTTAGTCCCACACCAAGGTCACTGTTTTTTTTAAGACCTAACCGAAATAAAAAATCCCTAATGGAAAAACCTGAACGGTTGTAAACCAACACCGAACACAAAGGCACGAGAACTTGGAGAAAACTGAACAGGAAAAAACCATTAGGGATTTCAGCCGAAGTTCCGCGCCCCGGGGGACCTTAGAAACAAAAATCTTTACTTACCTTTGCAACGATGCAAATACCAAAAAAAAAAAAACCGTCATTTCTCAAAAGACACCTTCAAGTCCAAAAATCTTTCAAGTATTTTAGTTATGGATATAATTCGCCATTTTTAACGTACATACAACGTACGTACAAACCGCCACATTTTAGTTTTACCGCACGTAAACCGATAAGCGAACTCGACAATTTTCTACTTTGGACGAGAAAATTGTTTAATTTGGATGGGAATTTCTTTCAACGTGTGTTTTTCTTATCTAATCCACATCCGAATCAGTCGCACCTAGCGCCACCTTAGCAGTCCCTATTTTGCACTGTTTCATTCAGTGCTTGGCGCGCCCGGTGCCACTAACGCTTAAAGTTGGAGCAAGCGCTTGCTGCATGACATGGATTAGATAAATGTACTTCAAAATATTAGATAAATGTACTTTAAGCAGACAGACGAAATTTAATATTTTTTGAACAATTTAGAACATTTGAAGAAGCACACGTTAAGTTTGGTTAATGAGGGACCGTGGATGGTTTAACCAAACAACCGGCAGCGCTTAATTTAAGTTATGTTTTAGTTTGACAATTATCACATAGATGACTAGATAGCAACGCGAATGGTGAACATGGAAACCATCGTGTAACTATTTTGTATCATATGTGACAACGTCTGCGGTTTGTCTTCATGGTAACCATCAAAGAAAACAAACAACGTGCTTTTATTAAAACTATGTTTCGTGTTAGTTTGGTTAATATGAAGCCATTCCGCATACTTAGACCTGGTGTACTAAACATTTTTATATGCCTGTTTTTGCTGTGGCTTGCTGCATCGAAATTCCCAGGAATGAAGTTTTCTTTATAAGAAAACAACATATCCATTTTTACATTTACAGTAATTGCCACGCCGCTCCTAAACTGTAAATGTCTTGACAAACTGAAGACTATTTGAGTTTCAATTTGTCGATTTTAAAATGACTGACAAGATTAAAGTTTCCTTCGAAAGATTTTGAAAAATTTAGTCATTTCTCTTGATAGTGGAGTTCATCCTTTAAATTTATAAAGGTTGTAACCCCATACTCATTATCTAAGCGTAGCAACTACCCGCTGCAACTACAGCGCATGCCTAAGCTATCTAAACTTCCTACCTGCGCATGGCACCGGAATTCCGCCCTGAAAAGGAATGCCCCTTGAAGGAGGTAACCCTTCATGCCCTTAACTTAACTTAACCTAGTGCATGTTGCACCTACGGGTGACCTCCAACTGGGGTGGGTTGAACTACTCATGCATTATAGGGGATACAGCCTCCAGGAGTGCCTTAATAGTCACTGTAGAAAGCCATTCATGAAATTGGCTAACTACAACGACTGCATGCTTTTACCGTACTAGGGGAGAGATTTTTTCTTTCCACCAAAACGACCATCTTTCCTTTGTCTTCAATAGGACTTGCTCGCTTGATCCAGTCTTCTAAGGTCTTCTTACAGATGCTATTTGCATCCTCTACGCTAAGGTACCATTTGTACCCACTAACCCCAAGTTGAAGTTGCCTTCCTTTGGCCAAACTTCACTTGCATTTCCGATTCTAAGCTACATGGTCCTGTCTATCCTTCTGCGAAGCAACAACCGCTGCGATCATGCGTAGCTTCTTAAAGCAGTATATTCACACAGAGGTTTTTCAAATTCGAAGTTAAATTATATAGAATAAACACAATTACATGTCGATCACAGACTCAAACGTTGATACAACTTCACAAATGCAAATATACAAATTTTAAATTTTATTAATAATAGAGTAAAAAACGCTTTTATCCCCTCTCAATCAAGACTATTTTTGAAAATACAGTTGTAAATTTCTTTACTAAGATAAAGTTATTTGCATTCCTGCATTAAAAAAATAGTCTTATAGTGGAATATACTGCACACCAGGATTTGTTTGGGCTATTAAGTGAATTTTAATAGAGATTCGACCTGTTAACAGGCTTAACTCTTATCAAAAGGTGTTTTTATTACACTTACGGTTTTCGACGAATCCTTGGCAGTTTGATGTTTGACTACGATAAACGACGAATCCTTTGCCAATTGTGAAGGTGAAATGAGCGGACGCTGAGCACGGACAGCCACACGGAAGCCCAAAACAGTTTTTTTTTAAAAAATTCAAAAAGTTGATGGAGAAACCATCGAATCCAATTTTCAGGCTACCTGCCAAACATCCCCGATTTATGTCGACGACGGCAAGCACAGAAGCAAGATTGGCCATTTCTTACAACTGTGCATGTCGCTTACGGCATAAATATCGGAAATATCGACAGTCAGTCGGAAAATTAGGATTTTTAAGTTTTGTATTTTCATGCTAAAACAAAATTCCATGTTTTTATACCGAAGTCTTTTCAATTCAATTTCAATTATTGTCAAAATCTGGGCTTTTGATAATGACTTTGTTTTATTCTTCTGTGAACCAAATTCTCATACCACGATAAATCAACGCTTGCAATTCACTTCTTTTGACCATGCTGGAATCGCAATGTTTTCCCAGGAAAAAACCAGAAAAGATGTTTTAGAGCAGCCAATAAAACGGTCCAATAAAACAATTGTCCGTATACACACGCGGACACAATACTTGGAAACTGTTCAAAGGCAGTATTTAGTGTTTGCCTTTTAGCTTGTGATATGAACCTCTTTAAGGACAGAAGTCTAAGTTTTAAACTTCATTAGCGTAAACATAGTCCATCTTGATCGTTGTTCAAGGTATCTAAATGAGATAATCGAGGATATTACGTCAGTTCACAACATACATCTTGCAAACTTATAGACAAGAATATGAACGTTAAAAAGATACTTACTTTGAACATTTTATTCAATAAAGCCGTTTAAGGGAAGTGGAATTTCATTGAAAGTTATAAAATGTACAGCTGCCTAAGACAAATTGTTCTTTTTATGTGTAGCTCAGCCCACAAGGGATGTTCAACAAAAGCCACATCCGTATCCACCGAGAACAATGACCACTTTCTTTACTTAAACGAGTACAGCATCATGTTGAATATAACGCACCAACATTTGTTCGTTGTTTCTCAATCTTATTTGGTAACCACTTGTCGTTTATGGTTTACCAAAAATATTCAAGTCTAAAGTAAAACATATAACAAATATTTGATTCCATAACGAAAACTTTGCATAAGTAAAGGTCACTATATCGTTCTTATTTCACACATTAATGAGAGAAATAGTACTCTGTTAAAACGAATAGCAAAACACACATTTACCTATACTTGGAAAATTCTCAAGATATTGAGTTTCAAATTCTTATGAACATTCTTCGTGCTTGTAATGATGTACAGAATCAAATGACAGATTCTAAGTCCGAGTTCGTTTTTGAGCATTACACCATGCAGTTGCATAAACGTGTTGTGTTCTTATAGGTCAGTTTATACGTGCGTCATCAATTGTACATGGTATTCAGTTAAAAAAGGAATTATTAACTGCACCAACAATTATATTTTGAACAGGTGTATAAAAAAGATGACCTTTAAGACGATATTTCAATAGTTGCATGATTACTACGCCAATCCCATTCGTGCAGTACTGTGCATGTTTTGACGTTAGAACTTATGTCAAATTTCAAAGAGCAGAAAGCTTTTGCGCTTGTGACCAATAAATGATAAATTCGTATGCACAAGGGCTTTGCATGCACGATGTCCCAAAAATATCCCCACAGTACAAAACACTCTTGGGCGTTATTGTACGTCGAAGTAATTAATCGCGATGATAGAAGCAAGCAAAACGATTTTACAAATGAATGGTTTTTTTGTCTCAGAGGTAACAGAACGAGCGTTCCATAAAAGATGAGTAATCTGCATATGGGGACAATACGTCAATTTCTGAAGGTTTTCTTGTTTTTATACACCATTAACATTGTGGTCCCCCCAAATATGACACAATAGAACACATCTCATTGTTCATTATTAATTTCAACATACACAAACAGCAGTTAAGGCACAATGAAGTTATTTCTCTATCGTCATTTTTGAAGAGGATTAGCATGTTTATTTAAAACTGTTTCTCTTTAAAATCACCATACGACAATTAGAACTTGAAGTAATTTATCTTCAAGCAGGAGTAAACGCTACTGAAATGAATTGCATTCTCGAGACTAGCCATGCGCAGTAGACACAGTTCGTATGCCTTATTTTATTCAATTGCATTGGTAGATACTGAGGCTGCGTTTACACTACCGGATTCGCAAAAAGACAAAATGACTAAGAACATAATCATACATATATACCACACAGAAGTAGACAAGTTTGTTATTGCAACCATGCAAAGTGGTTAATTTTTCAAAAACATAAAATAGTTATACAATGTAGCACATGCATGCAGGAAACTTAAAAGGAGACAACCATAATACACATATCAACAATTTTCTCTGCTTAAATAAGCTTGGTTTCATTTAGGAAAACACTTAGTTAAGATGCTCTCATTGGGCTCGGAGTAGAAATTAATTTTTTGATAATTGCTCGTCTTGCTGAAGTGAGATGGTCAATATCCGCCAAATGAACTGCCACGACCCTGTGCTGTAAATATAGTTTAAAATACATAATGTAAGACATGCAAAATACCTCAACATATGAAAAACAACTGTAAGAAAAACATAAAATGACAACAACTTAAGAAAGACAGGGTGTATAAAAAAAAGAACCAAAACGTAACAAACAAACCTTTTGTAAAATTGGTTATGCCAATTCCTATGGGCTAATCCAGTTTATGCTAATCCTATCCACTAACAATATTATATGCACCCGTGGGATTAACATATAGGAGAGAGGCATTGAAATTATCACAATACAATTTCTAAAGGTCATTTTTTTTATACACCATGTATACATTTATCAGAATTGTTGACAGTGAAATACTAGGAGGGATCGAAATCTCAATACGTATAAAGATCAGAGACCACTCTGAGGCCAGTAGATAAAATATAGGTTTAGTAAGGAAAAAAAAGAAAAATGACTATATTTTTGTCATAACGTGAAACTGCCATATTTGGACTGCAATAAAAATTGTGAACGTAAACTATAGACATGGGAAGATCGATAATAGGAAGCTGGCCGTGGGATACTTGCATGCTGTATAATCCGTAGAACTCAATGTATTTCAAAAGAACTTAACACATCCTTCATCATATGAAGACCCCCCCTCTTTTAATTGTTGATCTTCCTTCCTACATTCCTGACTTAAGTCGTTAAGGATGCTATATTTTAAGGAAGAAAATATGGAGGTGCAGTAAATTGCAATAGAAATTGGTTGAAAATATATTGGAAAAACATATGATAAATAAAGTCTGGATCGTTTCACTAGTCAACATGTATACATAATCCTTTTCAAATGAAGTCAAATGTTGTCTTAAACGACGATGAAGACCAAATGCCAGCCAATGATGATTTACGTAACTTTGACTTTCTGTTTGATACTAGATTTTAGCTATAATCAAAGTCTGTTTCCTGTTCGACACATATCTAAGCTTGGGGTACGTTGAATGAAAACATTTTACCTCGTGGATTGCTTTGAAACATTGACATAACACTGTTGAATGGAAGTCTTTGTTCTCTTGTTTGTGATGAAGTAGAAGAATCTAATCACAAATGTGGGAAAGTATGTCAGAAAATTTGCTATTGAATGACAAAGAATTTCAGATGCATTTCAATAATTTGTCGCTTATCATGTGCAGGTTTTTGAACAAATTTTTATTTTTTGTACAATGCTGCTCGTCACAACAAGATAGATACTCCGCGGGGAATTCTTTTATCGTTAAAGAAATCTTGGCAAAAGTGAAAGTTTTGTCAACAGGAAAATTGGTATAGACATATTTCGAATTTTAGATAAATCATAAATGAACATAAATCAGCTAGACATTAACCAAGTATAAAATTAAATCGTAAAATCAACAGTAATACCTTGCGGCCGAGAAACAGGTTTTACAGGAATGGATTTATTTTCATCACTGCTATCTGTCTCAGTGTCGCTGTCAGCAGAACTACTACTATCAGCTTCATTCATTCCAATGTTTGAAGATGAAGTTAATGATCTATTGAATTCTTGATCAGGAAACATTAAAATAGTCTCATAATTTGAAATTGTTAACTTTTTAATATTTAATGTATAAAAACTGGCTAAAACAATGCTTATATTACTTCAGTAATTCATAATTTTGCATTTCATATGTTTTATACCAATTTATTAATTCATAAAGTGTTTTCTATTGAGATGTGAAATGAGAAAATGAGAAAGTATTGCAATCCCCTCAAGATTATCCTAAAGCTTGTTTTCCACTAGCCACGCATCGTAACGTATCGTAGCAAAACGTAACAGGGCGCATGCGTGCTTATGAATTTGATGGTCAATAGGCGCAAGCACGTATGCGCCATGTGCCTACGATACGTTACGATACGTGGCTAGTGGAAAACAGGCTTAACACAAATCACAATTGTATGATGTACATTTTTATCGATACCAAGTTTGCCATCGCCTCATATAAATATAGATAAATTAATTCACTTATAATATTGTTACAAACATCTAAAAACAAAAGGCATCAAAGCGAAATATATTGTCTAAATAGTGAACCAAATACTTATATCAATGCAGAAATTAAATGCATGTTAAAAGTAGCGTAGACAATGTCGTCAATAAGCTTAACACCTCATAAAATGAACTGAAAAACGCAAGATATGGGCAAAAAAAGTCTCACCTGGTTGGTTCATTAAAGGCGTAGTCAACGTTGAGGCAATATGTAAATTTCCAACAGGTCTTACACGTTGCATAACATTTCGATCTTGGTTCAAAATCCGACTGAAAGGATCCGTTAATTGTTTCGTGTGAGGTAATGGTAGTACGGGACGAACAAGCTGTACAGAAGGTAAACTATCCACCTTGGACACAGCAAGTAAAGAGGATTGCGATAGTGTTGCCAAGTCTTTAGTACTGTTCAACATGCTAAATAAAAGCATTAGATTGCTATGAATGTTACGTGTCCAACATACTATATAAAAACGTTACATTGATACGAATTTCAAGTGTATTAAATAATAGGTAAAAATAATGCAGTAAAACGTTCACTGATATAAAATTTTTTTATTGAACAAGCTTTCGGCTGTCTGTCTACAGCCGTCGACGGGTTATAAAAGAAATGAATAGGGTGTAACACTATATAAATACATAAAAAAAAAGCCGAAATAAAGTAGTATGATATAATGTTCTATGTGATAGGTATAGTTACTGTTTTTTTAAAAGAATATTATATTGTGGTGGAAGTGATCTTGAGTTGTTATCAGCTGCTTTAGTTATTCCAGTGTGCCATGATTCTAAAGTTTTTCGTGTTCTGTAGTTTCCTCTGTCAATGATACAAACATTTTCGAAATCAATTTTATGGTTATTGTCCCAAGCATGGATAGCGATGTTTGACCCCCGAGTGTGTCCCAATTTGATATTCCTCGTGTGTTCTTCCTTTCTTGTAAGGAAACATCTTCCTGTCTCACCGATATAACCCCAATCGCATTCTTTGCAGAGTATTTTATAGATGACATCGGTTTGCTCTTCAATAGGTGGTTTGAGTTATGGGAATTCTTGTTGTAATGTCTTAAGTGGTTTGTTAGTGACTCTTATATCGTATTTTTGTAAACTTGTTCAATAAAATTTTTTATATCAGTGAACGTTTTACTGCATTATGTATAATCCTGATATCGGATCACGCATTTTTCCTAATAGGTGAAAACATTAAGATTGATAAGAATGTCATGAGTTTAACATACTACAAAAAACATTAGATTGATATGAAAGTCACGTTGTTTAACATATTATATAAAACATTACGTAGATTGATAAGAAAGTCATGTCGTGTATTACATAAAAAAGTAGATTGGTATGGAAGTCAAGAACTCAAGGCTTTAACAAACTAGACAAAACATAAAATTGATTTAAAACTCTCGTTGGCACGTCAATAATTTATGTTATGAATTAAAATTTATGACAAATATGTAAATCATTAATTTTAGTTTGATCTCGGCTTGTCATAATGTACACTTCATCTGAATAAATCATTTTAAGAATAAGATTCGCTGTTCAATAATTGATAAGGTTCAAGTTGTTATTTCACTGTTCTTTTGAGAACCCAATAAATCATTTTAAGAATACGATTTATTGCTCAAAAATTCATAAGGTTCAAGTTGTTATTTCACTGTTCTTTTACACGACATACACACTGTAAGAGTAACTTTAGATTCGACAAGTACTCTCTCTTTTCGTATTGTAATTCGAAAGAGAGAGTATTTGTCTCATGAGAGTACTCATTTCTTATGGTAATTTTCCCTCTCTTTTATCCGTTTATCAAAACGGCAGCGATATGTTTGAATTTTGAAATGCCAATGTACTTGAAATAAATTGAAGCTAAGAATCAGTACATCCAAAGTACAAGAATCAATTTCCTACCTTTCTGATGGTACTGTTTTCGTTTCTTGCTTTTTCAACAGAGTGGGAGGCGTTCGCTTTGTTTTGTTAAATATTTTGGCCTTTGTCGATTCAGTTGAGACGAAATTTGACGTCACTAATTTCGCGTTTTGATTGTCGCTGATTTCGTGTTTAGGTTTTTCATTTAAACCTGCAAGCGATATGTCCGCTGTACCAATGATCGCTGCCTCTTTAACCTTTTGCTGTAATTGTATGAAAGCAATGATAGCAGAATCATTAAATGCAACATTTCCTATATTAGCAGCAAACAGCAATTCGGCATGGCTTTTTAGAGTCTTCAATTATTTCCACATGATCTCAAAAGCACCAGATTAATTATGCATTTAAAATTGACGACTTCAATATTTGCTAAGTGCTAAACCACACCACCAATTTTCGTGAATGGTTATTATAAAAGCTCTTTGAAACAGTTGTCAAACCTGTTGTTTAATCATCTTCTGCTTTTGATTTTGCTGTTTTTTCGCACGGGCGGCTGCAGCACTTGCTTCGTGAAGCTTTTCTATAATTGTCAAAAACATGAATATAAATCAAATGGTTAAGTTTTAATACGCAGTAAAAACAACAGCAGCAATCGAAAAAAGGGTATATTTTTGACAGAAATTACCAAATTCTTCAATAGTCCTGGTCTTATGAAGATATATCCAAACTTTCCGCGCATTATCGTACTTCACACAAGGATCTTTCTCATAATGCAGTCGATCTAGTGCTCCACTTACGACTGTGTGGATCTATATATAGGATTATCTGCCGTGGTTTATATTGGTAGAAGTTTAACTCCGTTTATAAAAGTTCCTTTAAACTGTTCACTAGCTTTAGGTAAATATAGTAAAAATATTTTCATTGCAAAAATTTGTCCCAAATATTCATCAGAAGAAGGAAAGGCTTCATATGTTTAACGTCAATTTTTAGGATGAAGTACAAACGAAACTTATACCTGCCCATCAGTCGCATTTGGACTGATGTATTGTGAATCCTTCAGCAAAAGACAAACCTATAGATTAATCATGCATGCATTAAAGAACGAGACGGAAAATCAACTTAAAAATAAAACGACTTTCACTCATAAACCAATGTCCATAAGCACCTCAGCTCTAGTTCCTTCTCCATTAGGAAGTCTTGCAGCAGCATCACGTACTAATGTTAAAATGGTGACGTATGGAGGTCGTTTGGAAACTAATAATGAATGCTCTCTTGCTTTGTTTAAATTGGATTCTTTCGTAAATACGCCCTAAAACAACGGAGATTTTTAAATCATTGTAAAAACCATATAATGCATACATATGACGCGAGTATTTACGTACTTTTTCAAGACACATCAAAACTTTTAAATACAAAGATATAAGGAATTTAAAAATCCAACAAATTCTAAAGGATTGATTATCATATTGAATATGTATGATAACTATATACGAACCTTTACTGGAGCGACTATCGATTCAAATCCATGCATCTTGTAAATAAAAGGCTTGTGAGGATTTTCATATCGTAATTGTTCCTGCAGCAAAAACAAAAGTTTTCTGTGATGAAAATTATGAAAACCTTTTGTCAAAACCCAATTTGCACGCAACAAACCTGTTCTTGATACTCAGATTTCTCAATATCTGTACTGGGTTCAACAACATAATCAGTGCGTCTGGATGTAAACAAACATAAACACATAAAGATTAACGAAATTTCGATGAAAAAACACATAAAAAGAGATGAAAAGAAGAATGGATACCCAATGGGGAAATTTGTGAAAGCAAATGGACACTGACATGCACAAGACCATTCATAGTAGCGTCAAAACAGAGTTTTTTTTACATTCTTAAGGAAAATTATGTTTTAAAAATGAAACGAAGGCGAGACCAATAGCTTAGTCGAACTCAGTCCCAAAAAGATGCTAAATTTGTTATTTTGAGCAAGTTTTCGTGTATTTCTTCTATGACACGGAGCAGCCAGAAACGCAGGCTCTAATCAGCAAAACAGTGCCAAAAGCCCCACGCAAAAAAGAGCGAATCAACATTTGCTTTCATGTGTTTCTCCTTCGGTGGGATTGTTTCCCCAAATTGCGCTATCTTATCCAGTCTTTAGGCAAATTCTCATAGTCCATAATCTCATTTTTTATAAGGCTTGAATTAAATAAGGCAAATTGTTATCTGGCGAATAAGGCGAATTCTGCACGGCTGTTGACAAGATCATTTCAACAATACATGAAATCCATGTCAAACAATGAGATGAGCTGCAGAGTTAAATTTTTTAAAATTTCGACAAACAAAAATACACATATTTTGACTTACGGTATTACTGTTGCAGCTGAAGATGGCGGATTACCCTGCGATAAATGTCAGTTAAAAATGTCAATGTATCACAAATTCATAAAATACAAATCAAATAATCACACACCGTAATTGCATTATCTTTAAAGTCAAGCCAATGTTCGAACAAAGGAACAAGATCACTATCTTTGTCACGCAAAGTTCCTGTACAATGATGGTGCGAAACATAAAGTATGAGCGGACATGTTAAAATTTTTCATCCCAATCTACCCACAATTGCTAGAAAATTATTTCCACGGAATTACGATCCTATGGTACGGTTTTTAAAAACATTACTGATACTATGATTTAAATATATAGAAAGCACGTTACCAATCCATTTCCACTGATGAACCTTCTGCTTGAAGATGACCATAGGAATGTATGGGGGACAGTTGTGTACATCTAAATAAATTAGGAATAATGTAATACACAAATCGGTCATACAGAAAACGATAGACACGAAAGAAGATGACATAACATGCAATCTACTCTATAATTTATACTGATTTTATTTGATTTGAAAACTGTACATAAATAAGACAAAAAGAACCTTTTCCACTGCCAGCAAGGAATTTTAAAGCACATGGTATCAAGTCAATCCAATTTTTTTCTTTTTTACTCCAAGCACTGGCATCGAACGAGGGTGATTGCTGAACAAATTTACAGAAAACCATTATCTTATGATATCTTATGATTGAGCTTTACTGTAAAAGAGAGTAGGAATTACCGTAAAAATTTTAACCTATATATTGCTAATAACGAAGACAGTCTTCGGTGCCAACAAGATTTTGTAAGTTATAGATACGTACCTGCCAGTCACGAACCATTCGTTCCAACTGAAATAAACAAAAATAACATCTTATGTACAGCAGGATTCAGCAGTAGCAAGAGTTCATTATAAGCAGGATTTACGTCCTTGTACTAAACCAATAAACATGCAGTTCGAACCTAAGCCACCACCGCTAAATTAACTTTGAAAAATTTCAATAAAATTTGAAGTTTCCATTTTTCCAATTGTTTTTACGTTTAAAATATTTTGCTATATGAATATTTCTAACTGAAGAAAATATCTGTGATAATATTCAAATTCGTTAACTAAAATGTGCAACTTAAAATTTATATGTACTTACTGATCGCTGGAACCTTTCGTAAAGTCACCATTTACTGAATAAAAGTTCTCAATCTCTTTGAATAGAACTTTACTACATGCATAAGAAATGAAGAAGTGAGCATACTGTATGTACCTGATCAAGATCAGCGGTAGTGTCAGGAAGATCCAAAAATATATCACGCAATAACGAAAAGAAAGATGGACAATTTCTGCGCATTAATTTGAGGCTAAATCAATGAAAAAAGATCGTTGCTTTTTTTTAACATTATTTACGTTATGTATTTTTAAAAGTCAATCAACCTTTTAACATCATCTGCACCATCAATGCTAAAATCGACCAATGTATCATCTATCCTAGGTTTTTGGAGAGAAGAAAGGCTAACAGCAGGCAAAGTGGAAGCAGAAGATTGATTTTTTGTAGCTGCGCTTGGTACAATGCGCTTTTTCTTCAACATCTTTTTCTTTTCACGTTTATCTTTCACTTTGTATTTTCTTTTTATGACTAAATGAAAAGGATTTTTGTTTTTCTTTCGCTTCAATACTTGAACAACAACATATTTTTCCGCTGAAGATAAGCAAAATACATGTAACACTATGAAACGATAAAAGAACCTGATTTTGAAGATTTTCTTGCGACGACATTTGTCCTGGCAATTACATCTTCCAAAGTTATGTATTCAGTTTCTAGCTCAGGTGAAATCTGTAGAGTAGATCCCTTTTATTAATAATAAGTAATCAAATGTATCATACATGCAGATTTTCTTGTATCATTAATCATAACATACCTCTTTATTAATCCGTTTTTTCCAATGACTTTGCAGCAGTCTATAATAATCTTCTTCAGAAAACAGACGCCTTGAATCTGGAGTTACGTTACCCGTTTTACGGTCGCCATTATGACGATTTGTGCACGGAGCTCTACTATTACCATTAAAAACAAAATGTGTTTCTGTGTTAATATCTATAAGAAAAATAAAAAGATTGAAAAATAATATTCGTCTAAAATACATAATATGAATATCATTACTATAAATAAAAAATACCTTCATCGTCTGAAGAAATACTCTGATCCTGCAAAATTCAAAAAGAAAATACAACAAACATAAAAATTAAGAAAATAACAATTACTCATTTATCCAAGATACACATTAACCTCACACTCATCTTTTATCTCATTCAAGAATCTATATAAATTTACAAAAAATATGTCAGTTGTAATTGATGTCAGACATAAAACATTCATTTTGAGTTTCATGGTGACTACGCCAGGTCAAATTAACACACTGCATGTAACGTGCGAATACTGTATACAAAATTATGGACGTAATCTTTGGTCAGTTTGGTGAGTGATTTTGTTAAAGTTTTTCCACGTAACAATGTTAAAATAAAAATATGGCTGCTTGCTTGAGGGTAGAAGGATGGTGCGAACAAACATATCAACAAATATAATCTCCCTCCCCTCAAGGTAAAAAGATAAGTACGTTAGACAACTTTAAGTTTCTCAGTGATTCCATGAGAATATACACAAAAATGATGACAAAATCTCAGGGGCAAAATGACAAAAAGTTCCCAATAGTTTCGCGGAAATTTGATAAATTTACATAGCGGTGCATTACCTTCTATATTTTGCTTCGAGACTTCCACTTAAAGCTTCATGTCGAGCTCGGTTGTTATAGCTGCATATAAATAGAGATGCATTTGATATTTAGGATCAATCAAATTGAATAATGTTCAAGCCAGGAATCGCAAACATAGTAAAAGTTACAATCTAATGGACACAATAAAGACCTTAAAAACATTGATGTCATTAGTTGAGCGTTTGGAATGACTTGAGTCATAACTTCCTGCAAAGAAAATATCATTGCAATAAATAGATGTCATACGTGCGAATGACGTATATTGAAAACGAATGTGTTTTAGTAGTGTTAAATATGAATTTTTTCCAACTGAAAACTATCAATCATATTTGAAATTGAACAAGTGAGCTTTTATGACATTTATATCTACATTTCTTTCAATTTTTGAGAAGCATTGGTGATGAAGAGCAAATGAATTGAATAAATAAGTACTAATTAACATCCATGTCTTCGTATATGATACCTCTCTGGAGAGAAGAACGCCCATGATTAAATTGCGATAAAATTTCTTCAACCTGAGCTAAATGTTAAAAGATACAAGAAGATGTTCAACAAAAAGATTCAAAGAAATAAATACTCATTCAAAAATGATAAACCTACCTTGTATTCCTTCATCTTTGCTTTCTTGCACATTTTCCTGTAATTGACGATGTCAGACGTGTAAAGGCCATCTATAAAATAATGTTAAACATATTGAATACAGGAATTGAGGGATTTAGAAGAAGCTACGCACATTCTTATAATCCGTGCTAACTTCACATCACACATTACAATGAAACTATAGGCGAAGTCTAGCCTGCAGCAAACATATCCAACGCCCCCCCCCCCAAAATAAATTTGAGAGATTAAAAATCTTGCACCAAATCCCTAAAACCACACCTACATAATGTAACTGCGATGTTCCACAGTAACTATTTGATAGACTTCTTTTTTGTATCCGTACAGGAGATCAAATTTTAAAAGTATACCTATGCGCATGCCCTGGGATCTCCTTACAAATTCCATGCCTCCCCCCCCCCAAAAAAAAATTTCATAAAGTGTCCGCCACTGATTGCACACATCACATTTTAAGGATTCAAGAAGCAAAAGACATACAATTGTATCAATTCGTATCTTCCACTGAATACTCAGTCTCCATTAAGTTATTTATTATATTTTTCAGTCTCCCATTAAAAAATAATTCTATTCTTTCGTTTCCCATAGCAAAAAAGTTCTGTTCTTCAGTCTCGTATTAACAATTTCAGTTCTCAGCATTTGTCGATAGTTGCAGATACGTAACTAGAGTGGATTTTCTTACTGTACAGTTTATAATCCAGACGACAATTTAGTCAAGAATTAACGATAGAGCAATCATATTAAAAATCAGGCTTTCCACTCATATTTCCATAAAACATGCAGCCAATACCGTGGAGTTTTTGTTGGAAAGTTTGCAATGGATTGCCAAACTTAAAATTCTCTCCATTAAAAAGCGATCTATAGAATTTACAAAATCACAAAAACATAAACGTACAGTGTAATTAAAAGTTTAAAACAATCGAAAAAGTAAAGAACAGATCGTTGAGGTGAAATATAAATAAGCATGACAATAACTTGCCGTAGATTATCTTCCTGCGCATGCGGGTAATCAGTAGGAAGGACAGGAAGGAATTTCTGCAAGTACAGAAAAGAAAATTACGTACATGCTACAAATTATTACAATAAATAACAAGAAAAAGGGAAAACGATAGTTGTTTTGGCCAAAAACTGCCTGTAAGTAATAAAACAAAAATAATGGCGAAATTCATAGTTAGAAGCGTTTTTCTAACTTGGCTGAGTAAATATCCCTATTTTACGTTTTCATTTTGGTCAAAAAGACCAAAAAGTGTTCAAAAGTTTAAGTACAGTGAAGAATTCCAGGAATCCAGACAGCAACGCACCAAAAAGTGCAACATATGGCACGATGCGGAGCTGCAACTATTTGTAAGGGAAGAGAAAGAAAAAGGAAAGAGGAGTTCTGAGGAGCTATATAATCTGTAAAATTGTTTTGACAAATCAGTGGAGTTCTGAAAACATAAAGGACCTAAAAGAAACTTAGAGATGCACAACTTCAACTTGAACGACGAGTACTCTAAACTTAGTCACACAATGTACCGTTGCCAATCTTACTGTAGCTAATCCTACTGTAGCTAATCCTACTGTAGCCAATCTTACTATAGCCAATCCTACTGTAGCTAATCCTACTGTAGCCAATCTTACTATAGCCAATCCTACTGTAGCCAATCCTACTGTAGCCAATCTTGCTGTAGCCAATCCTACTGTAGCCAATCTTACTGTAGCCAATCCTAATGTAGCCAATCTTACTGTAGCCAATCTTACTGTAGCCAATCTTACTGTAGCCAATCCTACTGTAGCCAATCTTACTGTAGCCAATCCTCTTACTTAGCCAATCTTACTGTAGCCAATCCTACTGTATCCAATTCTTAAATGTAAAGCAAGTCCTACTTAGTATTGTTCTCCCATGTTTCCAAAGTCAAATGAACTTAAGACAGACATGTCAGCAATTACCTTTAAATGACTTTTGTTTTCTGGAGTTAAAACATGCTCCCATGTTTCCAAACTGAGTACAGATGCAAACACTTCAGGCTACAAAAAATAGAAGAAATTATTTAAAAATTGGTAATTTTATATGAACAACAGAACAACTTGTTGCAGGTTTAGTTTATGGCACTAAATCCTCAAATCGAGACCAGAGATAATGTGGCACTACTGAATACAACAAGAATAACATTAAAGATGCATAATCTACAAAAAATAGTTTGAATCTTGATTATGCATCAGAATGGCAGGCATTACACAGATTGCTTGATAGGTTTAGAATGCACAATTTAGCAACTCTCTTTGAGCATTATCTTTCATGAAAAGGGATGTAGATAGAATTGTGTAAGCACATTGTAATTTCAAAGTTCATTTCTATAATGCAATTCATTTGTATAATGATAAATATTATTCTCTGATACCTTTATTGCAGTGGTGCCAGTAAGGGGGAAGCAAGGAGTGATGACTGCCCCCCCAAATATTTTGCAAAGTTAAGTCTTTATAGATGTAAGTTGAAAATGCCAGTGTTATCGAACAGAGCGTAATATATGTAAATGACATTTTGGTGGTGGTTTGCTCCCCCAAAATAAACCAAACAACTGCTTTTTTTCCAAATAGTAAAATCAATCTCTCTTGTGTTTGGTTACTCTGGAACATGACCACGTTTACACACCTACGCGCACTTGGCATTTACTTCTTGTAGGCCCCAAATTTTTGCTTTCTCTATAGCAACTTAGGAAGGTACATGATACACTGTATAGCATTAGTTACTTTTATCCTAGATCCCAGGGCCCTAAAAAACATGAGGCACTTGGCATTTGCAGCATTTGAAACTATGTAAAACCTGTGCTTCTCTGAAAAGAATAATACAAAATTGTCACACTGGCAGCATATGCATGTTTAGTGGGCTAAGTACGTAACTAAATATTGTACTTGTATTGAGATTGCATAGGTGACTTGCTAAACTGACACATATGATTTGACTTATTGTATTGAATTGAATTATTGTATTTATTGTATCGAATTAGATTTCACATAACCACATTAATTATTACACTGTACACACTAAACATCTTGTCAAAAGACAAATTGACAACATAATTTCCAGACTGAAGGTTGAGCAAACATGCAATATTTCAATCAAAATGTTGAATTTAATAATATCTATGATCAGTAGCTGAGCCTGCAGAAACTACAAATAATTGTTTTGAAAATTACGTAATGCAAAACCAAAGTGATCTAAGGCTCTCAATAAGTTATGGTAAGACCAAAATAACCTAACCCCTGACAATAAACACAAGTAACAAAAGAAATATGTAAAATGTTCCACTAAACAAGAAGTCCTAGCCTCGTCCCAGACCCCAGTCACCTACAAAAATGAAAAATGTAGCATTGAAGTTCGAGTTTTTAACGTACGTTTTCAATTAGTTCAATAGGAATATCAATCTCCGTCCCATGAATATTACATTTTTCCATCTTTAATAGCAGGACTAAAATTTAGATCAAAACATACTACCATATTGCCATAACTCAAATTGATTTGTATTGAATTATTATTTGTTTGTGTTGAAAATGGTGTTGAATTGATTATTTGATTTGAACAATTGATGAGTCTCAGACTTGTCAGCGGAAATTTGCAAACACCCACATCCTTACTTCATATAACGTCGTGTTTTTAAAATCTAAAGACTCGACACTTTAGTCATAAGGCCCCGTTTACACTATACCGAATCGCTATCGTAGCAGGTTGAATATTCTTTGTATTAAAAGGCAATGAAATTGTTCAATGTCAGAAACACAATCAACTAGAATAAATCTATCAGCTTAATAAGCTTTTACTCCGAACAGTTAACTTAACCCTTTAAAGCAAATGAAGATGTGATGAGCGATCATGAGCGAATCCGGTATAGTGTAAACGCAGCCTTAAGATAGACTGGTGCTAGCTTGTGAATTTGTTAGTTATTTTCAATTGTGCTATTTTTCAATGCTTCATAGCGTCCTTCGAAAATCTTGGTGTGACATTTTTCAAAGGAGAAACTGAACCGATTATACTCTCCAACTGAAATAGCGGATTATTTTATCTAACACAGATACTACAAATGTTGCTACAAGCATTCGAATGTAAAGTTGTTTTGGAGTGCGTAACCCTAGACGATGTCACTCAAAAATAATCTCATAACAATAAAATACGAAGAATATTATAAAAAATAAAGGATAAAGAATATATAAAAAATAAGGAGCTTAATGTTCAAACGCTATTCATCCGACATAACTATTTATGTCTTAAAAACTTAAATAAACATTAACCAAACTCTGACCCTAACCAAGATTACTGTAATATTTTTACGTTTTGGTTGATAAAAAATGAAAGATTAAGTCGATTTTGAGAACGACAAAATATCTGTATAATTCGATAAAATCCGACTTACCGGGGTGGGGTTCGAACAGTGGCGGATTACTAATTTCGGAGCCTGTAGGCTAAGACAAAGTTTTGGGCCTTTAAGCAATATTTATTCCTCCCACTAAGTTCAGTTTTTCTGATACACGAAGAAGTCTTAGAAACTACACATTTATCTTAACCCTATTGTACTTTAAATGTATTATTGCATATTGATCAGGGGATTCAGGGCCATGAAAATGTCTGTTTTACACTTTACGTTATTGAAGTTATATAAAATGTATTTAATGGAGTAGACTTGTACCTAATTTGTATAATTTACAAATAAAATTTTGACTAAAATAGCTAAATTCATATTATATTCATTGTTAATTTGTGCATGTTAATTTTATTTAATGTACTGTATTTACCAAATTACCATAAATGAACAGTGTAAAATACGTTTTATGAAGTTCAATGGCTTTGCATGCAAATAACTGTTTAGTTACCTCAGGCAGTGAGTGATAACTCGTGTCAAAAAATTTTGTAAGCAGTGTTTCACTTTTAAATTTAAAGTGAAAACGAAAGTTAATACATGGTCATTTTTCGCCATCCTGACTTTCAATCAACACGTTCAAATCACATCAGCGAGGACATTTTCACATTTTATTAACGGCGACTTTCAAAGTAATTAGAGCATTACTTAAGTAAAAACATTATTGCCTCGGGATCTTTTGTTATCACAGGGATATGATAAGTCTCGTGAGGTTTAGTAAAAGTCCAAGGGCTGCGACTCCATCGGACTTTTACTAAACCTTCCTCGGTTTGCGGGACATTTGATCACTAATATCTCAGAAAGCATGCGTTTACTTATAATAAATTTAGTACTACTCAAACAGTACTACTTCTATCCCAATCGTGAGGAAATCTATTACAAGTGGTATATTGTCATGCTAAACTCATTCTTCATAAAATGTTCAACCGGATTTTCAGAGGACTTAAACTTAAACATAAGATTTTGTAGCTTTTCTTGTTTCATATGCAATGCGAATACTTTATTTAGTATAGTGAGAATACTTTTATTGACACAACAAAGCACATTTTAAATACGCAAGTAAATACTCAAATGAAGTTATTAGTAATACCTGTTACCTATTGACATAAACTTCTGCTGTTGCACTTGAAAAAAACTAGAAGATTTGGAAAAACATTGTGGATTCGTAGGAATATTGGTATTCAACTGGTTTGTATTACCCCCTCCCCCACCCCTTCCTAATCTCTTCTCTGAATTTGCCTTTATGTGAGAGCACTATCTCTTTTTCAAATTTCAAATTTATAGCACAAGTTTATAAGTCGTTAATTGGTTAAACTACGTCATGAAAATTACGTTAACTGAAGATTATGAAGAATTCGAAGATGTAGATCAAAAAATATCTAATAAGACAGACATACTTTCTCTTTCAGTAACTTTTGTTTCGCAAGATTTGCATGAAAATTGCACGGAGAAAGAAGGATTACACGAAAATAAATAAAAAGTACTCTATAAGATATTTGAAATACATGCAATTTGTTAACACAAGCAACTTTTTGCTTGTCTTTGCTATACCTTGAAATACATATAATAATTATAAGTACATGGTTTCTATATAAGTTGTGTTTGATTGTCCTGAATAGAAAATCTACATTAATTGACTTATTCTGATCTATTCATATTTAATTAAAATGGCTAAATAAATAACAAAAAAGTAAATGAATAGCTAAAATCCATTTTGTCTAATTGATTGAAAGACTTCAATTCTCAGCACAGTGTTAAAACTTTACACAGCAACCTCTCGTTTTTTTTCTGCAAAATAATTTACAATTTGTGAGAGATTATATACAGCAAATCAATTTGTTTAATATATGCAACCTATGATAATTGATAAATACACTTTTGCAGAAAAGCACCGAGAATTTTATGTAACTGAATAACTGATTAACTGTAATCATAACTTCTAATCATATTAGTATTGTTTTTCCTGATACATTTATCATATATTTATCATGTTAATATTAAAACATGAATAAATAAGGAAACTAACCTTTCCACATCTTGAGGTCAAGTTTCGGGATTCGCTCGCACGCTATCCTTTGATTTGTAGTTAGGAAAGCGTTCTTTTGAATAGAGACGATATTCAGGAGGTTGTCACAGTAAACTCGGGATAATGAAGATTTTTTAATTTCAGCTAGTTGTTTTCGAGAGAAAACAAAGTCGTTAAGATAAAAGAATCGATCGCCATCTCTGAGAGCTTCCATTTGTTTCTGGATAATACATTTTGCAGTTGGTCCAACAACACCACCCTCCACTGGATCCTCCGCCAGCAACGATACCCATAAATCAGCTATCCCTGGATCATCGTTGTACAATTTACTTAAAATTGATCTAGTTGTTGAGTTCTTAATTTCATCGCTAGTTTCATCAAATGTTGCAGCATTTTTAAGAAAACAAGCGACTCTAAAGCTGTTGTATCCTGGAAGGCCATGATCACGTCCTCGTTGGATGTTCAACGCGGCTAAATTCAAACCAGGAGAGTTAGGACGTACAAATAAGTTTTCCAAGAGATCATTTGCTAGTTTACGATCAAATGACTGCGAGCTATTGGCAATAAGTCCAAGAAGAAATGGCTCAACTCCCAGTTTATTTATCAAAGTGTTATTAAAAAATGCAAGCCTTAAAGGTAAAGGATCTGCTATCGGATCAAAATTTTTATTAAGCATATCGAATGTAGGTCTTATAAGACTGTGACCAAATCTAAAGGCAGCCGTAGCAAATGAATTAAAGATGCCTGGATTGACATTAGGTTGATATAATTTGTATGGATTGAGAGGGTTTGGACCCAAAATTAGAGGAAGGAAATCTTCATATGTAATTTTTTGTAAAATCGCTCCAACAATTTTCCTTGCTTCTTGATATTTCCTTTCTCCATCCCAACATGGGTTGAGTTTTTTCAACTCGTTCACAATTCTGTTGTGTTCACGAACGAATAACGTGTGCATAGATAGTAAGTTCAGCTGCTCATTAGAACGAGCATCACCAGCCAGAAAACATCCACCCAATTCCTCGCAAAAACCTAGTGGTCCTTCAAGTTCATTACTATCCAATGGAGGAAGATCACCATTTAAGGTAGTTGTAACATTAAGTAAACCTGCAAGGTGAATTGAGTAAAAAATAATGTGGCATTTGGCATGTCCCGATGCATAATCAATCAAAATTCATAAAATAGAGTTGAAAAATTCTATGAAGCAACAACTTATTATACGAATGCTCTTTATAGCTTTGAGATTATAGAACTCAACAAGATAATGATGCAGCTATCTTTTCTGTATTTTTGGCTAGTTTTTTTAAGGTTTTTGTTGTGCTCGATATAAAATTAAACTGTGAAAAAGTATACCATCTGAACTTCGTAGCATTTTTGCAAGTTCATCCGTCGAACCGTAGACTTGAGAACCATCAACGAATGCAGTAATTTCGTTCTCTTGTTCACGATGAACTAACCGGCCGAACTCATCAACAAGACACGTAGCACTTGAGCGCGTAAAATTTATGCACGTCTTGCTTTTTTGATCCACAATGGTGAAACAAGGAGGGGTTGTAGATATTTTGCCGAAACACCTAAAGGAACAGTGTGAATACTTAATTCCTTACATAGCAAGATTAATTCATTTACAATTAATTCCTGCAGAGGATATTTTAAATTGTCGTACAAAATATCTGTACAAAACAGTTGGGCAAGTATTTTCACAAGCTCTACAGAAATAAGAAAACAATAAAAATTTGAAAACTGGTGAAATATCCTAGACATAAATACCAAATCTGTACAAATGATTTCACAATTTTATACTTACTTAATGTTACTTGAACAATTTTCATTGCCTTCGCCTTCAGCAGTAAAATCAATATCATGATCTAGAAATTGTCCCCACTGCATCACAGCGTGAGAAATCAGATTTTGTTTAGTTGGCTGATTCACTTGACCAATAATAAATTTTTGTGCAACTTCTAATGCTGAAGGGAGTTGAGGTGCAAGAGGTTGATAAGGATAGCCGATAGGATCATTTATACCAAGGACATCAAAATATTTTGCGGGTACCAATCTACGAAATGCGCTCGGAGCAGAACCATATGTTGGATTGAGAATATTATTACATGTTCCATTAATTGTCCGGTATTTTAATGAAAGACAGTACCGTGCTGTCGCTTTTGTTTCTGTTAAACTTTTGCATTCAAATTTATTGCGAACTCTCTTCAATAAATGTTGAGAAAACAAGATGTTATATGGAAGGAAGACACCTTTGAGGATCGCTAAATAAGTGACAATTGAACAAAAGTTATCATGTTATACTCTTTACATCAGTTCGTTAATCAACAATAGTAAGTAAGAAACCGTTGTAAAATTGGAAAGTGAATAATAAGATCGTAATAAAATTAATAAATAAAAACTCGTATAAAATAATATAATTTTGTCAAAAACTCGTCCTTCAGCGGATTGTTAAATTTATAAAATTACCTTTTGAAAATCTTCTCAATCTCAATTTAGTTTTAGCCACAACTTTATCATAAGCATCATGAAGTAATTCTTCAACAGCAAAAGATGACTCTGCATCTTTTTTACCGCGTTTAGAAAACGTTCTTCTAATTGTGCGTAAAAACCTATGCAATAAGATTGCCTTGTTAGGTATCCGTGGTCTAAAACGAATCTTTAACCTTTTTCTTCTTCCGATTAATTTCAATAACTCCGAATTGCCATAGTTTATCGGCAACACAATTACTATGACAGTAATTCTCAAAATGATTTTTTTATTTCGAAGTATTTGAACGGTATGTCGAAATAGTGAAGTTCTTCGCACAAATCTCGAACGAGATCTTATCCAGTTCACTAACCCAGTGTTAGAATCAATACTGATGATTTGGCTTTTTGCAGAAAGTCTAAATTTAAGACCCGAACAATCAGCACAAACGCGACCCAATGGACCTTGTCTCAAACCAGAAGATACAATAAAATATGCAGTTCGTCGACGATTCATTCGACGAAATAAGAAGCTTCTTTCTTCAACGTCGTCATCGTATGCGTCTATAATTATTTAATTTATAATTAATAAACAACAAAAGTAATTTTGGTTATAAAGGGTTACCCAGCAAGTGAGTTACCATACGTCAATATGTTTTATAAGAAGCCTTAACATGCTGGGAGCAGGGTTTTCTTATCACGTTGATATGGGGTATCCTAGCAGTAGGACTATGATTTTGTTTACGTAAGTCATTTCGTCATTGAAAACACGTGAGATAGGGTACCTGTCAGCGGGTTATGTTCACATCAGATCTCCTGAACATATTCACATGTTAAACAATATCGAGGATAAATTCCTTACAAAGCATATAAATGAACTACACGAGTTTACAGATTCAAACAATGAAATTCGAGGCCATGCGCGTCTAAATGGAAGTTTGGAGACGGCAATGAAGGTTTTGGTTCTCTGAAGGCTAATTATTTAATGAAAAAACGCTCAATATTAATTTGAAACTATTTTCGAATTATTCATCCATATAAATGTATGCCTCATGACCGTCATAGAAGCCGAAATGTTTCGTTTGCAGTCAACTACAACATGATGTGCAACTGTCTTTCACACCACAGACCTGTCAGCGGTAAGATTACCCTTCCGAAAAAGATAGCCTGGCAATAGACCTTTTCAAGGTTACCGTAGCCATATTGCAGGGGGTGCAAAAACATTGGGCCGAGCGCGCGGTCACGCATGGCGTCCATATAAATTACTAATAAATGCGCAAAAATTACCCTTATACATATTGGCCATTTCTTTCAAAAATATTTCTCAAACTCATCCATTTTAATAGTCAAATTATTATTTGCGATTTTTTATACACGTGAGTCCAATTTTGTGGTAATCAAAAAGCGGAAAGTTAAAGAAAACATTTGTTTTTTTTGAGCAACTTGACCGTCGTTTGAGCGATGTTCTTGAGTTTGCAAATGTGCGGATCTTATAAGCCAAGTCAAACGAACTAAACCCTAAACTAGCCGAGTAGCCGTGAGCAGTCATAGCCGAAATGGTAAAAAATGCGCGTTGTGCAGTTGGATATTGCGATAATGATAAACGCTATCCCTATTATTAAGTTAAGAGGTCTCACGTAGAAAATTCAGTTTTCATTAGTGGCCCAAAGATCAAGCACTTGCTGAAATTTGGCGAAAACAAATTGCAAACAGCAGAGCCGATGACTTTAACCTAAAGCCTGGTGCCCAAGGTACTTTAGTTTGCTCAAATTATTTTCCCTTGGTAAGAAGAACCCCAAATAACCGCGGAACGGATTATCCTTCGGTTTTTATTACGCTATCAGAGTACGAGCAATCGAGGACTCCGCTTAAACGTAAAGGAGGAGAAACATGGACGACATCAAAGCGTCCTCATCAATCCTATGACACTGAGTATTCTGATTCAAGTTTTAATGGAAATCCAGCAAAATCTGAGGCATCTTTACTCCCTGTCCCTTAGGAATTTGAACAGTTGACGAGGGAGTATGATGTAAGGTTTCACACCGGCCTGCCATCGACTAACAGTTTTAAGTGTGTATTTGAATACTTGGCTGTTTCTTCTTCTGGCTGTTAAGACGCCTTACATAATAATAAAAATAGCAATGTCACTTTACAAATAATTGGAAATACTAATAAGAGTTTGCCGTAGAATAGTTCCTCGTGATACTTGCTGACTTTGCTGTAGACATGTGCGTGTGTTGCGAACTCAAGAACATCGCTCAAACGACGGTCAAGTTGTTCAAAGAAAACAAATGTTTTCTTTAACTTTCCGCTTTTTGATTACCACAAAATTGGACTCACGTGTATAAAAAATCGCAAATAATAATTTAACTATTAAAATGGACGAGTTTGAGAAATATTTTTGAAAGAAATGGCCAATATGTATAAGGGTAATTTTTGCGCATTTATTAGTAATTTATATGGACGCCATACGTGACCGCGCGCTCGGCCCAATGTTTTTGCACCCCCTGCAATATGGCTGCGATAACCTTGAAAAGGTCTATTAGGGGTTACCCTACCTCATGTAAACGCTCGCCAATTTTTGAGTCGCTTGAAGCTAGGGCTTCATGTAAACAGGTCGTCATTGACATCAAATGAGTTGGTAATCGATTATTGATGACAAATTTCAGACATATTAATCAATTAAGGTAAATAAGTAAAGTCAAAAAATAAAAAGTTGTACTTACATGTCAAAAATAAAAGACAGCAAACAAAATAGACAAGACGGATGAAGAGATTCGCGTTCCAAACCATATTTTGGCAGCCTTCCTTCTCTTTATGACAGTGAAGTGTGCTTTGTGATCCGCAGGAACACAGTCACGTCTTTTTAACGCTATGGAATTCAAAAACAAAATGCATGACTACACATTGGAATTAAAAAAATAGTTTCATGTCAAGACTTATTTACATGTTATATAACAAATTTAACATATTGAGTTTGTATTTTACTTTAACATGCCGCTTTCAACAGTCATTTTAAGGGTTTTTGAATATAGCACTTTGAAACAATTCAGCAGGTATGTGCTTCGTGTATATAAATATCTCTTAATTTTTTTTCTTCTTATCTCTGGAATTTTTGAAGCAAAAAAGCTCATTGTGTTTATATCAAAATAGCAAATTCTAGCAGTCTTTAAAAAAGACGTTATTTTAAGATAAGAATAGGGATGTAATTAACTAATTTACCAATGAATGATTTATGAAGAAAAAACAAACGTTCTTTACGGTCTTTGAAAATCATTTTTTCTAAGTTTTTTTAACTGAAGTTGAGAGAACGATTTAAGCCAACCACAACACGAAACCTTTTTCGTAATAGTAAAAAATGCTGACTATTTTTGATCAAAAAACCGATACCTCTCATGCATGTCATAATTACATGTAAAAACTTGCCGACTATTCTTTCAACACCCACACTCCTCGCTTGTTATTTCCCTGATGTCATAACACCACAGTTATCCAACTAATCAAAACAAGCACTTGAGATTGCAATGTTGTTAGTTATTGCTTGCTCTTTGCAGCTACAATTACCTGTTTTACTTTTTGTAGAAATCAAGTCGAAATTGAATAGAAATTCGTCAATTTGCTCTTAAAATATTATAGAAATGGTGAACCAAACAAAATCATAAACCAGGAGTGCATGTGTTCGCTTTATCCGCTCCTAATTACGCATTCTCTAAAACTTTATAATACTGATCAATTATATGATATAGTTATGAGGAATGAAAGTTCTGTTTCTTTCTGAAGTATATGTCTTTTATTTTCTTGTAATGTCTTGTATTGTCTTATAAGTGTTTTATTTTACACAAAATGCTGTAGAATTACCAACTACCATATTTTTCGGGGTTTTTTGACAGATTGCTAGTATAGCCTTTAGTTGAATTTAGTCTTTGCAACTTCAGGATTCATCTATTCTAGCTTTATATAACAGTCTACTTCTGTGTTGGAAACTTGCACTAATTAAAATATGAAATAGAATTAAGCAAAATCCAGTTTGTATGAATCAATCATGCTATTCTAAGACGCTTTGTAAAACTTGTAGTGGATGTGTTCTGCGTTAAAGTATTCAATTTGTTAATGTCTTCTACTAATATGAATTTATATAGATTCCATTTCAAGTGAAAAGCCGAAATTTGACATTTAACAAAATCAAGTCATGCAACCAAGGAAGAAAAATGCGCAAAAAATACGTAAAAGAAAATATTATAAAGTCAAAACGGTACATTGAGAAAAGACCCTCACGTTTTATCACTTATTTTTACAGGTCGTGTAGGAACTCAATGTTCAATAGAGTATTTAATGTCGCTAAATTTGAAGCAAGCAGCAACATATGCAAATATACATATCAAATAGCAATGCTAATCTAGTTTAGTTTTTGAAAACTCACTTGACTGTTTATAAGTTTCAAAAAAGTGAACATTAAGTTTGAAATTTTCATGATAAATCAGCTAAAATAATATTTATTTTACGAAATTTTCAAGACAGTGCTATTGCCATGCACATGACTTCAATACAGGATGATCTTTATAATATAGCTATGGTCCAGTAATACAGGAGCAACCACTGCAGCTATACTTTTGTTTCGTTTTACGATCACTTTGTTCTTCATTATAATTCACTATTAAACATTTCAAAAATTCCTTTAAGGCATCTGCTCCTCCTGATGCGAGATCTCACTGTGATACTTTCTTTTCTAAACGCCATTTATTGCTGGTTACTATATTTTTCTTAGCATGCATTCTACCTCAGCACAACTTTTCAATTTGATTTCTTACAACCTATATACCAAAATAGCTGCATGTTTACTTGAAAATCATTTACACAGCATGTGCTGGAATGCAATTAAAAATCAAAATATTAACACATTAAATATTTACTGTTGTATGAATGCGGTGAAAAAATCCATTCAACTTAACATCATCGAAACTCTTCAAATACCACACTTGTATAATTATGTCACTTGTACATCATTATTATCAGTACGAAAGATCGATGAGAGTGCATTCCAAATCAGACAGAATAATTAGAACCATTCCTCTTATTTTGTTATTCATACACTACCTTAATTATACGTAAATTCCGTTTTGTAGTTTTTGCTGCAAAGGACATCAGGAAATAGAGTTTTGTTCAAAAACAACTTGTGATTCAATTCGTTTAAATCACTCGTCGCTAAAATAGCCTGTGAATGGCTGTGATTTCAACCAGGAATTAGCTTTATAGTTTATCTCGAGCCCTTGTGGCTGATTGTAGGTCTTTACAATTAGTAGCTAACATTTTTAAAAGCAGTCAATGACAGTTCTGCTTAAAGCTTCGTTATTTGTTTTGATTGTCGTTGAACTTTTGAAATACTTAATGAACCAAGTATTCAATGTTCCGCTTATGTTACTAAATATAAACGCATAAAATAACAAATATGGCTAAGATTAATTTTTGTTGATAAGTGTTACATAACTTTTCGACATTGCAATTATCATGGAGCGAACAAACCAGATATAAAATCAACCACTCGGTTACTTATTGCAACTCAAAGCGATATCTACAATGAATATTAAAACACTTTCAAAGAAGCTCATATAGGCTAGAAAACAACAAGGCTGGAAATAGTTTATACATCTTGTTCATCATCGATTATCCTCGTTATGAACGTTGGCCATTCGTTCAATATAAATCTACAAAAAATGACTAGCAATCACCGGATAGCTAAAAACAACATTTCATGAAGATTATTCGTACAACTCTTAGAAAAAATTCTTTGGTAATAACAAGAACCTTAGGTAGAAGCATTTTCTTCACCTTAACATGATATGCATCAATAGATCTGATTTTCAAACTTGCAACATCCACTTCATGTATCACTTATAGTCGATGGAAAATATAAATATGGAGTAAAAAGCAATAATAGTCTATCAGTGTCACGAAACTAAAATTTCAGGTCAAATCTTTAAAATTATATTACATATTATGATGGAGATACAAGCATATAGATTACACTTAGCTATAGAATTAGTTTTTGCGACTACATAGATGAAACAACAGAGCCTTCTACTTATTAGTTATTGCAACTAAAAAATCAATATGAAAACACGTCAAATATTTACAACTATGTATGAATGCGGTGAACCCAGTCGTTCCACTGAATAACGCCATAGAAAATTTTCAAAATAATAGCACAGTTGGACATAGCTATTAGTACGAGGGCGTTCCAAATAAGATAATACATTTTTAGTATTCACCTTCAAAAAATAATTGCAACCACTCAATTATGTTATCGATTCGATCACTACTTACGTATATTCCTGGTATTTTGTAGCTTTTCTACAAAGGCTTCTTTCTTTGCATTTATATACAGGTTTAACATCGAGTAGTTACAAAGAAAATTCCAGCATTTAAAATATTAGTACTAATGTAGAAACAACTCAGGAGTTTTAAATCATTCGAAAAATAACCTGTGATTTCAACCAGGAATTAGCTTCATGGTACACAGAATATCCCAATTGTACTGCACTATTTTCATTCTCCTTCATAACATGGGATTTATAATGCATAAAACGATTTTGAACACCACTAGTCAGTGATTATGTCCATGCAGTGCCTTGTCAGGATTGAATCGTAGGGATGCAAGCAAATCAGTCACAATTTCGCGATTTTCCTCCCATGTAAAGGGCACTGGAAAGTTGAAGGGCACTGGAATACTACCTTAATGTACTCAAGAATGAAGATGATGGATTTTTCAAGTAATAAGGCTTTGAAACGGAATAACGAAAGCTCGTTGTGTTTATGTCAAAATAGCAAATTCTAGCAAATTCTAGCAGTCTTTAAAAAAAGACGTTATTTTAAGATAAGAATAGGGATGTATTTAACTAATTTACCGATGAATGATTTGATGTTAGGACAAACTTTCTTTACGGTTTTTGAAAATCATTTTTTTCTGAGTTTTTTTAACTGAAGTTGAGAGAACGATGTAAGCCAACCACAATACGAAACCTTTTTCGTAATAGTAAAAAATGCTGACTGTTTTTGATCAAAAACCCGATACCTCTCACGCATGTCATAATTACATGTAAAAACTTGCCGATTATTCTTTCAACTCCCACACTCCTCGCTCGTTATTTCCCTGATGTCATATCACCGCAGTTATCCAACTAATCAAAACAAGCACTTGAGATTGCAATGTTGTTAGTTATTGCTTGCTCTTTGCAGCTACAATTACCTGTTTTACTTTTTGTAGAAATCAAGTCGAAATTGAATAGAAATTCGTCAATTTGTTCTTAAAATATTATAGAAATGGTGAACCAAACAAAATCATAAACCAGGAGTGCATGTGTTCGCTTTATCCGCTCCTAATTACGCATTCTCTAAAACTTTATAATACTGATCAATTTTATGATATAGTTATGAGGAATGAAAGTTCTGTTTCTTTCTGAAGTATATGTCTTTTATTTTCTTGTAATGTCTTGTATTGTCTTATAAGTGTTTTATTTTACACAAAATGCTGTAGAATTACCAACTACCATATTTTTCGGGGTTTTTTGACAGATTGCTAGTATAGCCTTTAGTTGACTTTAGTCTTTGCAACTTCAGGATTCATCTATTCTAGCTTTATATAACGGTCTACTTCTGTGTTGGAAACTTGCACTAATTAAAATATGAAATAGAATTAAGCAAAATCCAGTTTGTATGAATCAATCATGCTATTCTAAGACGCTTTATAAAACTTGTAGTGGATGTGTTCTGCGTTAAAGTATTCAATTTGTTAATGTCTTCTACTAATATGAATTTATATAGATTCCATTTCAAGTGAAAAGCCGAAATTTGACATTCAACAAAATCAAGTCATGCAACCTACGTAGAAGAAAATATTATGAAGTCAAAACGGTACATTGAGAAGAGACCCTCACGTTTTATCACTTATTTTTACAGGTCGTGTAGGAACTCAATGTTCTATAGAGCATTTAATGTCGCTAAATTTGAAGCAAGCAGAAACATGTGCAAATATACATACCAAATAACAATGCTAATCTAGTTTAGCTTTTTGAAAACTCACTTGACTGTTTATAAGTTTCAATAAAATGAACATTAAGTTCGAAATTTTCATGATACAGCAGCTAAAATAATATTTATTTTACGAAATTTTCATTACAGTGCCATTGCCATGCACATGACTTCAATACAGGATAATCTTTATAATATGGCTATGGTCCAGTAATACAGGAGCAACCATTACAGCTATACTTGTGTTTCGTTTTACTATCACTTTGTTCTTCATTATAATTCACTATTAAACATTTCAAAAATTCCTTTTAAGGCATCTGCTCCACCTGATGCGAGATCTCACTGTGGTACTTTCTTTTCTATACGCCATTTATTACTGGTTACTATATTTTTCTTAGCATGCATTCTACCTCAGCACAACTTTTGAATTTGATTTCTTACAACCTATATACCAAAATAGCTGCATGTTTACTTGAAAATCATTTACACAGCATGTGCTGGAATGCAATTAAAAATCAAAACATTAACACATTAAATATTTACTGTTGTATGAATGCGGTGAAAAATCCATTCAACTTAACGTCATCGAAAATTTTCAAATACCAAACTTGTATAATTATGTCAGTTGTACATCATTAGTCAGTTTGTCAGTTGTCAGTTTGTGCATCAGTACGAAAGATCGATGAGAGTGCATTCCAAATCAGACAGAATAATTAGAACCATTCCTCTTATTTTGTTATTCATACACTACCTTAATTATACGTAAATTCCGTTTTGTATTTTTTGCTGCAAAGGACATCAGGAAATAGAGTATTGTTCAAAAACAACTTGTGATTCAATTCGTTTAAATCACTCGTCGCTAAAATAGCCTGTGAATGGCTGTGATTTCAACCAGGAATTAGCTTTATAGTTTATCTCGAGCCCTTGTGGCTGATTGTAGGTCTTTACAATTAGTAGCTAACATTTTTAAAAGCAGTCAATGACAGTTCTGCTTAAAGCTTCGTTATTTGTTTTGATTGTCGTTGAACTTTTGAAATACTTAATGAACCAAGTATTCAATGTTCCGCTTATGTTACTAAATATAAACGCATAAAATAACAAATATGGCTAAGATTAATTTTTGTTAATAAGTGTTACATAACTTTTCGACATTGCAATTATCATGGAGCGAACAAACCAGATATAAAATCAACCACTCGGTTACTTATTGCAACTCAAAGCGATATCTACAATGAATATTAAAACACTTTCAAAGAAGCTCATATAGGCTAGAAAACAACAAGGCTGGAAATAGTTTATACATCTTGTTCATCATCGATTATCCTCGTTATGAACGTTGGCCATTCGTTCAATATAAATCTACAAAAAATGACTAGCAATCACCGGATAGCTAAAACAACATTTCATGAAGATTATTCGTACAACTCTTAGAAAAAATTCTTTGGTAATAGCAAGAACCTTAGGTAGAAGCATTTTCTTCACCTTAACATGATATGCATCAATAGATCTGATTTTCAAACTTGCAACATCCACTTCATGTATCACTTATAGTCGATGGAAAATATAAATATGGAGTAAAAAGCAATAATAGTCTATCAGTGTCACGAAACTAAAATTTCAGGTCAAATCTTTAAAATTATATTACATATTATGATGAAGATACAAGCATATAGATTACACTTAGCTATAGAATTAGTTTTTGCGACTACATAGATGAAACAACAGAGCCTTCTACTTATTAGTTATTGCAACTAAAAAATCAATATGAAAACACGTCAAATATTTACAACTATGTATGAATGCGGTGAACCCAGTCGTTCCACTGAATAACGCCATAGAAAATTTTCAAAATAATAGCACAGTTGGACATAGCTATTAGTACGAGGGCGTTCCAAATAAGATAATACATTTTTAGTATTCACCTTCAAAAAATAATTGCAACCACTCAATTATGTTATCGATTCGATCACTACTTACGTATATTCCTGGTATTTTGTAGCTTTTCTACAAAGGCTTCTTCCTGGTATTTTGTAGCTTTTCTACAAAGGCATTTATATACAGGTTTAACATCGAGTAGTTACAAAGAAAATTCCAGCATTTAAAATATTAGTACTAATGTAGAAACAACTCAGGAGTTTTAAATCATTCGAAAAATAACCTGTGATTTCAACCAGGAATTAGCTTCATGGTACACAGAATATCCCAATTGTACTGCACTATTTTCATTCTCCTTCATAACATGAGATTTATAATGCATAAAACGATTTTGAACACTACTAGTCAGTGATTATGTCCATGCAGTGCCTTGTCAGGATTGAATCGTAGGGATGCAAGCAAATCAGTCACACTTTCGCGATTTTCCTGCCATGTAAAGGGCACTGGAAAGTTGAAAGGCACTGGAATACTACCTTAATGTACTAAGAATGAAGATGATGGATTTTTCAAGTAATAAGGCTTCGAAACGGAATAACGAAAGCTCGTTGTGTTTATGTCAAAATAGCAAATTCTAGCAAATTCTAGCAGTCTTTAAAAAAAGACGTTATTTTAAGATAAGAATAGGGATGTATTTAACTAATTTACCGATGAATGATTTGATGTTAGGACAAACTTTCTTTACGGTTTTTGAAAATCATTTTTTTCTGAGTTTTTTTAACTGAAGTTGAGAGAACGATGTAAGCCAACCACAATACGAAACCTTTTTCGTAATAGTAAAAAATGCTGACTGTTTTTGATCAAAAATCCGATATCTCTCATGCATGTCATAATTACATGCAAAAACTTGACGACTATTCTTTCAACACCCACACTCCTCGCTCGTTATTTCCCTGATGTCATAACACCACAGTTATCCAACTAATCAAAACAAGCACTTGAGATTGTAATGTTGTTAGTTATTGCTTGCTCTTTGCAGCTACAATTACCTGTTTTACTTTCTGTAGAAATCAAGTCGAAATTAAATAGAAATTCGTCAATTTGTTCTTAAAATATTATAGAAATGGTGAACCAAACAAAATCATAAACCAGGAGTGCATGTGTTCGCTTTCTCCGCTCCTAATTACGCAAAATCTAAAACTTTATAATACTGATCAATTATATGATATAGTTATGAGGAATGAAAGTTCTGTTTCTTTCTGAAGTATATGTCTTTTATTTTCTTATAATGTCATGTATTGTCTTATAAGTGTTTTATTTTACACAAAATGCTGTAGAATTACCAACTACCATATTGCTCGGTTTTTTTTTGACAGATTGCTAGTATAGCCTTTAGTTGAATTTAGTCTTTGCAACTTCAGGATTCATCTATTCTAGCTTTATATAACGGTCTACTTCTGTGCTGCAAACTTGCAATAATTAAAATATGAAATAGAATTAAGAAAAATCCAGTTTGTATGAATCAATCATGATATTCTAAGACGCTTTGTAAAACTTGTAGTGGATGTGTTCAGCGTTAAAGTATTTAATTTGATAATGTCTTCTACTAATATGAATTTATATAGATTCCATTTCAAGAGAAAAGCCGAAATTTGACATTCAACAAATTCAAGTCATGCAACCAAGGAAGAAAATTGCACAAAAAATACGTAGAAGAAAATATTATGAAGTCAAAACGGTACATTGAGAAGAGACCCTCACGTTTTATCACTTATTTTTACAGGTCGTGTAGGAACTCAATGTTCAGTAGAGCATTTAATGTCGCTAAATTTGAATCAAGCAGCAACATATGCAAATATACATACCAAATAGCAATGCTAATCTAGTTTAGTTTTTGAAAACTCACTTGACTGTTTGTAAGTTTCAGAAAAATTAACATTAAGTTCGAAATTTTCATGATAAAGCAGCTAAAATAATATTTATTTTACGAAATTTTCAAGAAAATGCCATTGCCATGCACATGACTTCAATACAGGATGATCTTTATAATATAGCTATGGTCCAGTATACAGGAGCAATCATTACAGCTATACTTTTGTTTCGTTTTACTTTCACTTTGTTCTTCATTATAATTCACTATTAAACATTTCAAACATTCCTTTTAAGGCATCTACTCCTCCTGATGCGAGATGTCACTGTGGTACTTTCTTTTCTAAACGCCATTTATTACTGGTTACTATATTTTTCTTAGCATGCATTCTACCTCAGCACAACTTTTGAGTTTGATTTCTTACAACCTATATACCAAAATAGCTGCATGTTTACTTGAAAATCATTTACACAGCATGTGCTGGAATGCAATTAAAAATCAAAATATTAACACATTAAATATTTACTGTTGTATGAATGCGGTGAAAAAATCCATTCAACTTAACGTCATCGAAAATTTTCAAATACCACACTTGTATAATTATGTCAGTTGTACATCATTATTATCAGTACGAAAGATCGATGAGAGTGCATTCCAAATCAGACAAAATAATTAGAACCATTCCTCTTATTTTGTTATTCATACACTACCTTAATTATACGTAAATTCCGTTTTGTAGTTTTTGCTGCAAAGGACATCAGGAAATAGAGTTTTGTTCAAAAACAACTTGTGATTCAATTCGTTTAAATCACTCGTAGCTAAAGTAGCCTGTGAATGGCTGTGATTTCAACCAGGAATTAGCTTTATAGTTTATCTCGAGCCCTTGTGGCTGATTGTAGGTCTTTACAATTAGTAGCTAACATTTTTAAAAGCAGTCGATGAGAGTTCTGCTTAAAGCTTCGTTATTTGTTTTGATTGTCGTTGAACTTTTGAAATACTTAATGAACCAAGTATTCAATGTTCCGCTTATGTTACTAAATATAAACGCATAAAATAACAAATATGGCTAAGATTAATTTTTGTTGATAAGTGTTACATAACTTTTCGACTTTGCAATTATCATGGAGCGAACAAACCAGATATAAAATCAACCACTCGGTTACTTATTGCAACTCAAAGCGATATCTACAATGAATATTAAAACACTTTCAAAGAAGCACATATAGGCTAGAAAACAACAAGGCTGGAAATAGTTTATACATCTTGTTCATCATCGATTATCCTCGTTATGAACGTTGGCCATTCGTTCAATGCAAATCTACAAAAAATGACTAGCAATCACCTGATAGCTAAAAACAACATTTCATGAAGATTATTCGTACAACTCTTAAAAAAAATTCTTTGGTAATAACAAGAACCTTAGGTAGAAGCATTTTCTTCACCTTAACATGATATGCATCAATAGATCTGATATTCAAACTTGCAACATCCAGTTCATGTATCACTTATAGTCGATGGAAAATACAAATATGGAGTAAAAAGCAATAATAGTCTATCAGTGTCACGAAACTAAAACTTCAGGTCAAATCTTTAAAATTATATTACATATTATGATGGAAATACAAGCATATAGATTACACTTAAAATTAGTTTTTGCGATGATGGAAATACAAGCATATAGATTACACTTAAAATTAGTTGAAACGGAATAACGAATTATTCACGAGGCCAAAAAGTAGCCAATGAGAAATACACGGGGAGCAAGAGTCTTTTGGTTCGTGGAAACTTTTCAATAAAAATGATATTGATTTACAGTACATAAAAGGATTTCCACTAGCAGAGTATTAGTTCAATTCAGATATACTTTGGTGAAGATGAAAACCTTTCAGCCAAGTAGGTCTCTTGTACTGGTGGAAGATGTAAGAAAAATGTTACATTCTGCTGTATTAATTTGCCAAAATGCAACTGAGTTTTCCACCTGTTTCAGCTGAAAAACTTTGTCAGTAGCGACGCACACATGATTTTTTTAAAACAATGAATGGAGTTTATTTTCTAAAAGAATGAATAATAACTTTGATGAAATAATTTTGTCCTATCTACCGCTTTTTAGCTCTAACCATTCTATTCAACAGCTCACTCATAGTACAAAGTAGTTTGCCAAATCTCACCATATCTCAAATTCCTATATTCTGTCAAATACATTGAAGATCAAATACAAAAAACTTTTATGTATTTGATTCTCAATGTTTACCTCAAATCGAATGTACTCTATCTGTTCGTAGTCTTCAATCAGAGTTTTGATTGGTTAATAATGCAGAAATATGGCGGACAGATTGAGTTGAGGGCAGGTCGTTGAATTGATTTTTAGTCTTTGTGTGAAATTGGATGAAAGAAAAGTAAAAGGAATAATACCCAAGTGTATATAAATTTATTTAGTTCATATACATTTATTTTTCCTTTGTGCAGTCGAAAAAGTTTGTGAATTTTATCTTATTATTTATTAATTTGCTTGGTATTTTATTTATTTAACTAGTTTATCCGAACTAATTAGTACGATAGTTGAAGGTTTCTTTCATCTTATATAGATACTGATAATGACTTTGCAGCCTTTGCTTTGCACTCTATGTAACACAGAGGTATTGAACAAGGCTGACGACAAATTTGAGTTTGTCTCTTGTTCAATTTGCAGCGACTCGTGTAAGTTTATATAATTGCTAAGTTCAGTTGTCGAGTTGTGCATCTATATTATTACTTGATTATTTCATGCATGTGAAGTACAATTGCCATAGTTTCAATGTTAATCAAAGGCATTTTTTAGTCTAGGAATTACAATAGATGACTCTGAATTGGGTTAAAGGAAAAGAAATTTAGAGTCATCTATGGCGAATCTAGCTGTTGAACTGTCTGTTTTTTATATTCTAGTTCATTTTTCGTGTTTAAAATTACCAAGAAAATTAAAGAAAATCATCCACTCTTATTCCTGGCAATGCAATGATTGTAAATGCTGTGAAATCTGTAAAATGGACACTTTGGAGGTTAAAGATTTACAATATTTTTATTTTAATATTTATAGAATTCAAATTATGTACTGAATCTTTACAGTAAATCATATGATACACATTAGCAATTTATGTTTACTCATTTAGAGGAAACTACTCTGTTGTGATGGGTGTGATCGTAGTTATCACACATTTTGCTTGGAACCTAAATTGGATAAACTACCAACAGGTATTATAAAGCTCAGTATAGAGGTGTTGTTGTTGGTTAAGAAGCTCAGTTTCAGGCAACTTTTATGAAGGCTTTTTTCATGTCTACTTTGCTTTTCAATTTCAAGAAATGTTATTTCATATGTGAATGGCTATTTTGCAATTGCTTCATGAAATTTTTCGTGATGATATTAATGTTGATATTTTTTAATAATAGGAGAGTGGTTTTGTAGTCAATGTATGGCTTGTAGCAAAGACATAAAACCTTTATATGACAAATCATCTAGCAGATCCTCTTTTCGAATGTCCAAACGTTCACCACTTAACAATGATATCAACTCTGGAATGATCACTATATCAAACAGCTCACCATTAAGTTCCCGGAATAGAAATGCTTGGAGCTTAAATGAGGAAACTTCTTTGACCTGCACAAGATCCAAAAGAAAAAGTTCACAAATTTATTTTTCTACATCACCCAAAAAGAAATTGACATTGTTGAATAATAATACAGGGAAAGATGATGATGAAAAAATGAGTTTAAAAGTTGAAAAAGGTGAAAGTAATGTGTAATACACCCCTAATTGTACAATGAAATTTAATTTGTTCTTCTGTATAGGTCTAAAGAGAAGGTACAATTATCGCAAATCCTGTCATGCGCCTAATTGTGATGAATTAAGTCAAACAAATGCTTCACTTATCTCTCATCATAGTGCTTCAGGCTGTACCAAACTTCACAGAGATCAAATGAAAGCAGAGGTATAGCTGCTTATGTGTAGTGTAAATAAGTTTAAGCTGCAAATCCATAATGAAGATGCGTGTGCTTGCTTCTGGCTCATTTGATGACCATCTTAATTTTTTAAATTGATTTATTCAGTGAAGATTCAACTAATTGTATACTTACGTTTTTTGTCCAACAAGATAACAGGGAAGAAAAGCGAGGAAAACAAAGAATTAAACAACTGTGAACCCTTCAGGAGACGAAGCCAACGTAAGACGGTAAGAGGGAGAAGATCTAATTTTATTCAACTCAAACAAGATTATACGTCTTACTGTAACGCATTGTCGGATTCTAATTTGTATACAAAACGTCGTTGTGACGTTTGTATTTCTCTGGTTTGAAAGTGTTGGTATACTTGCTTACGCATTTTTTAACAGATTTCAATTTCAAATCAAATCACGCAAACTCACACACTGAAAGTAAACGTATCTTCCTTACCCTGGAAAAACAATAAACAATCTCCCAAAAAACTTGCAAAGCCTGAAACGATGACGCCAGTGACGCAGACTCCAGTCTCTACGGCCTCTTATAAGTTGATGTTTAGCTCTGAGGAAGAGGAGAAATTGAAAAAATTAGTTACTGAAAACGACTTTGAAATGTTTATGAATGCCAGAAAAGCGACTGAGATTTTGGTAAGAATATATCTGTAGGAGCTATTTTATATATGGCTATGAAGACTTTACTAAAATAATCTTAAACCATTCATCTCCATCTAAAACTCGTGTTTAACTCTTATTATGCATTAGCTATGTATTTTAACCTCCCTCAGTCTAACTAACTTTCCCTAAGATTACTATGAAATAAAAAAGAACAGAAAATGTAAATTACCTTGCGAGAAGAACTTTATTTCGGAAGCAATTCACAAAATCTTCATCTGTTTTATCTCCATAGATACAGTGAAAAACTATAACATGTTTGCAGATAAAGCTAAACATACCATACCATAATATATCCTGTACTTTATAAAGTCTTGATTATTATCTACTCTTGCACCTAAGAATAGCAACAGAATTACAATGTGACTTTCACACAAGTGAATGGAGAATTGCCCATATTGTATCAGGCTCTCCTAAATTTTTAAAAGAAAGTTTTTTTTTGTTGTTACGCAGAGTTTAATATAATTAAAAGCAATCGTATTTGATATACAGGATAAAATGAAGCCTACATTTACCAGTACAAGTTGTAATGTTCGTAAGATCGAGTTTGGAAAGTTCAATATTGATGCATGGTATTCATCTCCTTATCCTCAAGAATATTTTCATCTACCAAAAGTGTACATATGTGAATTTTGTCTCAAATACATGAAGAGTTTGACCATCTCAAGAAGGCACATGGTAATTATGACTTAACTGCCAGTTTGAATGTAGAAATGTCAGCGTTATGATTTATGAACGCGTGCTTTATTTATGCAATTCTCGATTATAAATACAGGCGAAATGCTCAAGACGGTATCCACCCGGCGATGAAATATATCGAAAAGGAAATATTTCGTTCTTTGAAGTTGATGGTATTAAAGAAAAGGTGTTGGAATGAATAATGGCATTTTTTTGGATGGCAGATTTCCTACTGACATTTTATTTTCTTGTTTTTATTACACCATTCCAGACGTATTGTCAAAACCTTTGCCTTCTTGCAAAACTTTTTTTGGACCATAAAACATTGTACTATGATGTGGAGCCCTTTCTCTTCTACATTCTGACTCAGCGTGACAACACTGGTTGTCATATAGTGGGATATTTTTCTAAGGTGTGCATATACATAATTATTTAAAAAAGATTTCTATTGCTTTTAATTTTTCTTTTGGTTTCATTTTGTTAGGAGAAAAAATCGCGTTTCAATTACAACGTTTCTTGTATACTATGTCTTCCACCTTACATGCGTCAGGGGTTTGGAAAGATGCTTATTGCATTTAGTAAGAATTGATTAGATTTTATTGCTATTGCCCAAAACACTTCGTTAATGCATGTTATTTTTATTTTTGTAGGTTATTTGTTGTCACGCAACGAAGGTAAACCGGGATCACCTGAGAAACCTTTGTCAGATCTTGGGTTAATAACTTACCGAAGTTATTGGACTGACATAATTCTTGGATTTTTAAAAAGTATCAAAGATGACGCTGTGTCAATAAAAGGTTTAAATTGGAGATTATATTTATTCTTCACAACTTGTGTATGTTGAATAAGAGCGTGTTTATAATTATTGTTATAATTAATCTGTATACAGCATTGCGCATGTCTATTTCATTTACGACGCGGCCAAAATACTCCTGTAGTTTTTTACTACATGCATTGTCGGTTTGTTAATTCGTAAAGCAATTTCACTATGCATGGCCAAGCTTTAGTGAGCAATCTTTATAAGTTACACACATTTTAACCCATGCATGTAGCTATTGAGTTTAAGTTATGAACGCGATGAACACGAATGTAATGAGGACGACATACAATTGATTATTGTATTCTCTTATTATCACAGACATCAGCATTTTGACTGGAATAAACAGTGCTGACCTTATTAGCACATTGCAGTACATGGGAGTTCTGAAGTATTGGAAAGGATGTCATATCGTTTTAAAGTCCGAAGTTAGTTCAGTTTTTACTCATTAATTTACAACGTATTGTACACGTTCACACACAAGCATTTGTAAAAAAATTATTTATCAATTTTTTTATTTAACTAACTGAAACAAAAATTTTTTCATTTTATAGGATTTATTCAACGAATACGAAACAAAAATGAAGAATCGTCCACCCGACCACAGGACAGTTGATCCAAATTGTCTTCAATGGACACCACCCAACAAGAGAGACGAAACGTCTTAATACAAGACCAAAATGCTTTTCTTAACAATTTCTTAGAGAGAGTTTTTTTCATAGATCAATTTGGAAAACTTTCGTGGGGTACAAACTTGAAAAATGCATTGCAATATAAAGAAAGATTGTAAACAACAACGATTTTTATATTAATTATCAATTGTTAACTTTGTTGACTTTGTATGGCGAGGGAAACGCTGTCAGTTGTCGCATATAATTTTGTTCGTTTAAATTGATTCTTATAAAATTTCGTTATTTTATGTCACTGTTATCAATTCCTCTTGCACAATTGGTCTATGTAGTTTAAACTTTCATTAAGTCTGTTTTCCACTAGCCACATATCGTAACGTATCGTAACATGGCGCATGCGTGCTTATGAATTTGATGGTCAATATGCACAAGCACGCATGCGCCATGTTACGTTTTGCCACGATACGATACGATACGTGGCTAGTGGAGAACAGGCTTTATGCGAATGATCGAGGTCTACTACGGTTTTGCCATATAATGCTACCCTGCTTTATATTAGAAAGGAAATCCCTCTCGTATATTAAACTGGCACCGCTATAACTTAACTCGTCTCATATAGCATTATATAGCAAACTGTAACTTTCCTAATGCAAACATTTTAAGTTAGTTTAGTCTGTTTCATTCACGACGCTATAAGTAAAAGTTTATAAACATTCAGTATACATACACAGGTGTACATCACAAGCACCTTTATTTCCCTCGTTTTTTTGTGGATTGAAATGGTCGGAGTCGTTTCCATACTTCTTATAAGACATCTAGAGACATGACAGGACGTAAATAAAATAATAACAAAATGCCTACCAAATATATTTTGTAGTAATTCTAAATGTACTACTATACATGGTCTGCTACAACTGCTACAGATATTACAATTTACGGTACTTAATAAATATGGTTAAAAATTATCTTATAGAAGGCCAGCTTCTTTCTTTTTCTTGCTAATTTCGTCTTCCAAAAAGGTTATTTTCTTTAGCAACATTTCTTTTTTCATGGTAAATCCACCAAGCTGAGCCTTTTTCAAACTCCTTTGATGTACGTCAAATTCGCCCTCGTCACACACCGATCGTAACTGGGATTCTTTTTCAACGACTTGAACAAGCTCGGCATTTTTATTATCAAGTTGCTTTTGAAGCTCATTTAGCTGGGCAAGAAGCAAATCATTAGGAGACTTATAGCTACTTCTGGATCTTTCGTTTGGCCTAATGAACGAACGAAATGTTTTATCGATACTTGAAGTCACTATAAAATGATATTTATGTCATATAAAACCTCCTTACCTAGAAATTTTTGATGATGGAGCTGAATTCGGTGGCTTCAATTGTTGCAGACGGGTCGTGGCAAATTCTTTCGTGGCCTTAGTGGGTGAGTGAAGCGTTTCTAGATATCCACGCAATTTTACATCATCCATGTAAGAGTTTCGATCGATCATACGTTTATTAATAGCCTGAATGAAGCATTTTTCCTTTTCAATTTAACTTCATGATATTTATGCAATTTGAATAATTCATTTTAAAGACAAAAATATAAAAGTAGTGTAGAATTATCATCAGCGTTACAGAGAAGATCATACTTGCTCTACATACCTGTGGTGAATAATCAGTATCATTAATACTTGAAACTTTAATATTGAGCAACTCACTGACAACATTGGTTCGTTCAGACATCGTGGTCACGTGTTGGAAGGCGTTTTCAAGAGGCGTTTTGCTATTAACTAAAGTGTGGGCTGCATCAGTAGAACGCGCTCGAGCAAAGAATAAATCTTGACAACATATCCTCATGGCCTGTATAAATACAACACATGATATTAAATAATCTGTTCTTTCAATTTATATAATTGAACGAAATTTTTGATTTCGGACTACAAAAACTAACATTTACACTAAACATAGATGTTTAAATGGATGCATTAAAAGTAAGATTTCAATGAATATGCAACACGTTAATATATATAAGAAAAAGAGAACACTGACAAACCTTATAAAATGCACGTAAGAAACTTGGATTCTGATCATCAGATAAGTCGCCAACAAGTATATGGGCCAAACAATGCATGATTACTACGATAAAATCACCAACTGATTGAAGGCGTTCCTCACGGACAAATAGAATCTGTCGGCTATGTTCGTAGAAAAATGAATTTCTGAATGCGTTATTATCATAGTTATTTGGAGGAATGTTTGATGCAAGAAGTAAAGTGACTGATGGTACATTCATACGGTTTTCTAAAAGTTGAGTGACAAACACACCAAAACGGTACACAACAAAGTTTGCTGGTGAGAGCTCGTTTATATCGACCGGATAAAGGTCCCCGGAACAAATCCACTGCGCATCCTTAAGATCTATATAAGGTCTTCCTTCGCCGGCTCCAAGAACTCCGTTTCCTCCGGCAAATGAATTTTGGTTTAAGAGTTCTTCTATTTGATCAACAGATGCCAATACAGGGGAAGACATAAGAAGTGACAGCAAATCCCTTTCAGTTAAATTTTCAGCAAGGCCCACTGTCACAACTGGAGAACCACCAGCAACAGGCATGTTTTCATGCTTAGCTTGATCATCAAAAATCCTGGACGTTAACGCATAATGCGCATGCTCAATTCCTATTTCATCACGAGAACTTTCTATAGATATTTTATGTAAATTTTCTGGTTCTTTAGACTCTTTCCGCTTCTTCCGTCGTGCTTCCAATTTTTCCTTAAGTGCAGCTTTCATGCGTTCTTGTTCGTTTTGAAGATTCTTTTGAAACTTCGCCATGTTTGCTTCATGCTCCTTTAGAAGTCGCTGATATAAAATACATAAAATTTTTTGATAATAAATATGCAAATGAACGAATATTTTTATGGAGTAATTTTATAAAATTTACCTCTTTTTCTGGTTCAGCTTGCCCTTGCTGGGCAAGCTCAAGTTTTCTCTGGGCTTCTTTTTCCTCATTCTGTCTTCGTTTTCTATATTTACGTTCTGCTTCTCTCTCAGCAAGACGTAAACTTTCACGCGATCTTTCTTCTTCAAGTTCTTGTTCCATTTGCCTTCAACACAAACCAAATGAAATAAGGTAAATTCATTACTGAAACTGTTATGTGTGAGGCTGTTTTACCTGTGTCATAATTATATTTCATAGGCTATAATCTGGTTGCAGTCGACAAAATATTAAATATTAAAAATAATACAAGATTACACCATTTTTTCTAGATGGTTTTAAAAACACAATTAATGATAAGAATCGTAGAAAATCATCCTATTCAATATAAAATACTTCATGTTAATAGCTTTTAGCACTTAAAGTATCTTTAAAAGTAGACAAATGATGTTCACCTGATTTCATTGTCCATCTTTTCCTTTAGAGTGAAGCTTTCTTTTCGCCTTTCTAGTTTCATTTGCCTGATTTTCTCCGAAATAGCAAAAGTTGTACGTTCTCGAAATTCCTCAGCATTTTGAGCAGCTCTTGCGGCCTCTTCTTCATAGGACTTGCTTAATTCCTTCAAAACAAAAAGAAACATTTTCGTATACATATCATGCATATACAACATTTCGACTCTTTTTATCAGGAGAGAATTTTTTGTAAATTTTCAACTAATCGACTTTCCTTGCAGACCATATATCCATCCCAGGCAGCATTGCCAAACATAAAAGTGACAGTAAGTGATTTTATATGATTATATTGCACGCCACCTGCATGCAGGTTACGATATCTCTGATTTCATAATGCTGCATGATTTACCTCTTTCGTCATAAGATCATCCATGTTTCCCGCCAATTCATTTAATTGTCTTTCCCTAAGGCGAAGACGTTCATACGCCTGTTTAACTTCGAGTGATGGTTCAATATAGTTTTCTGCTTCTTGCAAGCGAGTTTCTGTTTCATTATCAAATTGATCCAACTCTCTCTACAAACCATTCATCAGATTATTGATAACTTAAAACATTGTTGGCAAGTAGCTACCACAATTGTGTAAATTAAATTTCAGATCATGAGCACCATTCTAATTTTTGAAATATATTGTTTTCAAAGTGAGAGGAGAGAAAAATATTTAGCTAAAAAATCTTTAATTTAAGTTTATATCCATTTTAACAATGAGCATAACCTTCTCATTGTTACTTATAGACGAACAATAATGGCGTGTACATACCTTATGTTGTATTTTTAGTTCAGCTTTCTTTTGAGAAAGTTGATTCGACGTCAGTCCATCTGGGTTCAACAGTAGCTCAATAAATTCCTATCATAGATAAATAATACATACAGTGAGCGAAAACAACCAAAAACGAAATTCCATGCAAAACAAGATGTCAGTCAAGGTAAAACGCCATCCTTCTGGTGGTGAACGAAAACGTCTGGAAGACTGTGTTATAACGATGTAAACAAATTTTGCTAAGCTTTAACGAAATAATTCGCTGACAATAATTCACCAACTTAAAGTAACAAATAAAATATTTCCCCATTCTTAATAATAATAACGTGTAATAATAATTTTCAACATTACTTTTTCGTGTTCAGCAACTTTGTCATCTTTTTCCTTTTGTCGCTGTTCACAAATCATCGCTCGCTGTTCGTCTTTTTCCGCTTTTGTCTCACTTCTGAACTGTTCTTCAAGCTGAATCTTTTGATGAATATGATGTTGCTTAAGAACCTCGAAAATCGTATTTTCGGCATTCTTTGAATCCATATCACGTAATTTCTCAGCCAGTACTTTCTTGCGAGTTTCGACAATCTATTTGAACAAATTTTGAATTAAAAATAATCACCAGGGCAAACGAAATAGAACGTCTTAAATCTTTACTTCCTAATAGAAATAAATCTGATGTCCGAGATATCAAAACTAGGATAAGGCGTTTCTTAGTTTTTCTATTTAAGGATTATTGAAATTAAAGCGCTGAGGTACAAAAAGCAGTGATTTTGACATTTTCCCAATTTACGGCTTGCTCGACCAAGGAGGCATTGCAATACTGCTAGTTGAAAAAAATGAGTGAATGTTAGCATTCTGAAAAGAGCTTTTAAAAACCATATAATTCTAAGAAAGAATGATGAATTTTACGAGGTTTTAGAGGTTAAGGTTATCAAAGAGTATTTGCGAGAACTCTATCATCCATGTATTCACCATGGTAGCTAATAGAGTATAACTGCGCGAAGTTATATACAATGCTAAAGAAACGCTGATAAAAATCTCATTATTATGATCTTACGTGATTATCTTCAACTTCATTTCTTTCCACTTTTTGTGTGACGAGTTCTTTGGAAACCTCAGCTTCGTGTTTTTTTGCCAAGATAGATACTTGCATCTTTCGCCTTTCAGCAATCTTATTGGCCAAGGCGTTCAATTGTCGATCTTTTTCCATGTTGATATTCCTACTTAACATGTCCAAGTTAGCTGTGTGTTCACTCATAAGTCGCTTTGTTTCTTCTTCCGATAAACGATTGTTTTCGTCATGTATCTTAGAGTTAAAGTGCTCCCTTTCCGCAGCAATCATCTTTAGAAAATAATAAAAGATAAAGAGTGTAAACGATTAAATGCATGTGTGAATGTAGTACTGACAAACAACTCCAAGCAGAACGCTATACCTTCTCTTTTTGAATCTCCAATTGCTTCTCGATAGTACTTATTCCTCTGTTCTTGGTATTCTGCAATTCATTTTCCATATGAAATATGTCTTTCTTATGCTTGATTTCCATATCTTCAAGCTTCGATGTTTGTATTTCTTCGAGCGATTGCATTTTCTCAATCAAACCTTCTTTCATTAGTTCTTCGGTTGTTTCTAACACATCATTGGTGTAGAAATCTTGGGATGTTTGAGCCTAGAAGATATCAACAATAGATAAGATAATCAATTCTCAGTTTCAAACTATGATTTTTCAAAACAAATTTTTATATTATTTTTAATAAAATAACTATAATATAAAAATAATTTTATATTATATTTAATAAAACAGATTGTTATATTTGGAAAAAATACATGCACGAGTGAGTTTCATTAAAAAATACATGCATGCACGAAATTGCACTAGTCCGAAGGACCTCATTGCTTGACTAACTAATCAGTGGCACTTTAAATAACATCTTACAGAAATTTGCACTGGGATTTCGTAAAAAATTGCACTGCTCTAAACACATCAGAATGGGAAACTTTCTAGAAAATTGTTAATTAGAAAACTCACATGTTTTCTTGAGAGAGCCACGGCTTCGTCTTTCATAGCTTTTTCTTTAGCAAGAGTCTCCTTCATTCTTCTGCGTGCGACTATCTTTGCATCAATAATAGCTTTGTTATATTCTCTTTTGCTATCTAATCGTTCCCTAGCTTCGGTCGCTTGTTCGAAAAATTTTGCTACAAACGAACGTTTTTCTTCATCAGACATCGCAGTTTTATGCAAAAGGCCATTAATAATTTCCGTCTTTCTATCTTCAACTTCGTTCTCATTTATTTTAGACATGACATTATCGATGAGATGTTTTTCGCTTTTCTCCCTTGATCTTTCTCGTTGTTTAGCCAATTCAATGATATTTGCTGCTGCTTCAGATGCAGGATCAACAAGTGCTAAAGCTTCCTCTTCAATTTGTGTTAATCGAACACCTCTACCACTTAAAGCACGGCGCTTCTCTCGTTTTGATCGCATTTTGTCTTTTAGGTCCTGGTGTCTGATCGATATTTTACCGGACACCTGAAATAAACATGTAAAATATAAATCCTTTTATCAATTTTGAAAACTATATTGAGCCGTCAGTTTCCTTTTGAATTAATATGGTTGGAGCCCGTCTTGCAGTACAAACAACATCCTCAAAATTTACTCCTGATGGATAAACCCGTGAGTATAAGAACCAAGACAAAATTATATCAGATTATCAACAGTAAAGGAGCGAAAATTTAACACTGCGTTTACATTTTCATTCAAAATATAAAATATACGATATTTATGACAAAATATATACAATCTTTATGTCAAAAATATACGATATAATGTCGTGTATCCAAGCTCATATTCGTATCAAGCGAATGATGATAGGTATTCTAAACATACTACATAATAGTCAAACTCAAAAATACAATACAATTATACATCTGATATAACGCGATAAATTTAGTGGTAATTGAAAAGCTAAATTATTCTTCAATAACACACTTAATTATTATTGGTCGATAAAATACCTTAACATAAATGAATGACACACAACTTTGAAATCAATAAAAAAGTAGACTCCGAGACAACAATCGCTTCTCTCGTTATTCATAACATTGAACTACAGGTACATCGAATCACTTCAAGAAAATACTCGCGAGAATGCTGAGACTCAACATGAAGTGTATGAATGATTTAATTGAGACATAACAATTAAGGCAAATTATGTAGGAATTGCTTCAATGATCATGAATGTACATATTGACAATGTTTGAGATGTTTCGATAAATCTTGGCAGTACAAAAGAAAAACTGTTTTATACCTTAATAAAGATTTCTAAATACAATTTTTTTCAATAATTTACATATCATAGTTGTAAAAACGACATTCTAGTGTTCAACATGAAAACTTTACACACAATGTACGTACCAACGTACAGAAAATGTAAAAAAATGTGAAAATACAAAAGTTTATAAAGCGACATTTGTTAGTCCAAAGTAGAAATCATACGTTAGAAAATAGAAAATACTAGATTAAATACACATGCAATATTGGGCTTGTACAACGATGACGTCTTGAACAAAAATATTTACATATAAAGAGACGAAAAAAGACTCTTTGTAGAAACTAAACATTAAAACATAGCAGAAAAATGAAAATGTAGCTAGCTATGATAATGAGAATAAATTAATATTAACAGCATCCTCAAAGTTGCTCTATCGTTAAAATATATATAGTAGAATATAACTGTTTCAGAATATACTACATACTATAGTAATGATTTTTTGTCTTGGATTGAATTGCGTATAACGGCTGTTTCTTAGTTCAACGCGTAGCTCATAGCCTCCGTCTCTTTTAGTATTGAATTTCTATCTCTATGATTTACTTTCTAATGAAGGAATTTGTGGCTATATTTGTGACTACATTAGAACGTACAGCACGTTTTTAAGTTTTACTAGGCGTCTTTCAGAATATGTTCATTTACATAATAGCTATATATGCAGCCATCTCTAAGTTCTTTCATACAAAATTAATTGTATCAAAAAATTCTGAAAATTGACAACTAGCTTTCTTCATATTCAAGATAAAAGTGTGCAAAACTATTCTGTTTCCAAACTCTTGTTCAAATCTTTAATATGGAAATAACGTCAATTTTTGTATCCTTTTTTTTGTGTTCAACAGTTGTTTGAGATCTGCCCCATTGACATGAATTGACACGTAGCCCGTTCACACATATTAACTTATCAAAACACTTATCACGAATACGGTCGAATACAAACAGTTCCAGTGATTCGCCAGGCGGAAAACGAACTCGTAATAATAAAAATTCAATGCATAATATAATCTTTTAATCAAAGCCTTTTTGGAAATAATTGAAAAGGCATTTGATAAACAGTGACCTTAAAAAATAAAATTTGTTTGAATATGTAAATTCCTTAGTTACTTTACAGATACCTTAGTTACAGGTGATAAATTTCTTGTATGTTAATTTTGACGATTCGGATGTAAAAAATAAATACATACAATGCGAATGATGTGATAACGTTAACAATAACTTTGATGATTTCATAATCTTTTCCCAATTAATCCTTCTTTTTTTTTACTTTATGGTCCATAAAAGAATTTCCACATTTAAAACCTCTTTCAACTTTCAAGGTATACTTCTATTTTACTGGATATTAATCACTATTTCCTCGGTCGTGAATTTGAATCCCAAGTCACATCGCTCAGTCACAACACTTTATTTTATTTTTATGTAAATTTGCATTTTTGACTTGCAAGAAACTTAACACCTGTAACGACGTACATGTAATTTACATATTTAAACAAATTGTCGAAAATAGAAATGATGTATTTCGTAACATGCAGAGCGTTACTGTTGATGAAATACAATTTCAATTATTTTTAAAAATGAGTTTGTATAAAATATTAAGTTGGGCATTGATTTTTGTAATAGAAGCGTTATTAATCTAATGACGTCTTCAAACACTATAATTAATAGTTCAGAGAACAAGTGTGAATCAAGCCACTTTGTAGGGAAGTTATATTTTATACTGAGATTCAATTTAAGATGAATAGTGCACAGCAATCCCTTATGAAACACAGGATATCTATATTATCTAAATGTACCTTTGACAGCCGACACAACTTTGTTCACCAAATAAGGTGATTTAAAATATCTTCCACACGAAAAGACCAGTAACCACAAGAGAAAATTATTTCACTATTTATAAAGGGATACTTCGACGTATTTGTAAGCGTATTTTGAAAACTCGTTCCCATTAATTGTTCGCAGTGAAAACTATGCCCAAAGAAATTACCATAAATGAAAAATCTCTGTAAGTTGTTTTAGCTTTATAATCTAAATGGAAGAAGTTAGGAACCAAGCTCCAACTCAGATTGAGTCAATTTATGACGTCATACAACAACAAAATGACCATCAAAGCGTGCAACTCTTGAAAAGTTTTAATGACAAAAATTTCGTACAGTAACTAATCATGTAAGGGAGCTTCACTTTTTAACAATGAATATCAACGATTTTTCAAAAATGTTCACATATAGGTTTGAGTACCCCTTTCAATAATTTCTTTACGCTTCATGATATGAGTTATAAAAATTTGCATACACGGAAAGCCAAAACTTGCTCAAAGTAAAATTTATCAATTAGATTGATAGAAGTCGACGTTAGATAAATAGACGCCGACAAACGCAAAACTGCACATAAATCGTTTATTTGTGAAAAATGAAATGTATTAATTTGAAGTATAATATTTCTTATTTACGAGTTTGCATGAGAAAAATGAAAATTCTTAATGTGTACAATCATCAGTCCAAATTTGAATGAAGAGGAATCCGTTAAACATCATTCATTATTTAAAAGAGAACAAAATAACAAATTACCTCTCTTAATTCATCAATAGCAACCTCGATGTCTCCAGGGGGGACCAATGTACTCATAGCACGAGCTAATGCTTCCATTTCTGCATCAAACTGTTCTTTGCGCAATGTATCAAAGGTGTTTTGCAACTCATCATTCTCGTCAAATTCCTGAAGATCAATCAAAAGCCGTTCTTGTTCTCTGGCAAGTCGTAGTAAATCTTGTTCGACTTCGTCCTCATTTGGAAGATCCAAATCTACCACCAATTCAATCCCAGCCCTTCTGGCCTCCTCCTTGTGACGGCTACGAAATATTTATACAATGAATTGAGACATGTCAAATCAATGAGAATAATACACACGCATACTTATATAGATCTTTCTTCTTTTTCAGTCGATTTCGCTTCAGGCGACGCCGAACCTCTTTCAAGTTATCATCTTTTTTAGAATCCAGGTCTCGAAAGGCATTCTCTATTTTGATCGAGTATTCACTCAACATATTTTCCATTTCTTCATTCGAAGAGGCTCGAAGAACTTTCTCTCGCAGTTCTCCATGAAGTTCATCAAATTCGGCACGTTTTGTTTGCTGACACTCCTCAAAAACATCTTTAAACGCCTTTAATTCAAACATAAAACTTAGCTTGTCGTAGAAATATAGTGTATATTATTAATATATTTATGCAAAAATACCAAAGTTTACCTGTATCTCATCTTCACGCAAATCATTTTCAATCTCAACGCATTCTAACATGTGTCTTTCACGTATATTTTGACTTAGTTCATGTCTCGTGTTTTCACTCCATTCACCAACAGCGGCTAGTTGTGAAACGCTAACAATACCGCTACTGAAGGTTTCACCAAGTTGATCAACTTCAAGACTATTTATAATCTGATCTGCAAGAACTGACGGATCTTTTTCATTTTCTTCATCCAACACCTTTTGCACTTGTGAAGGATGAACACTTTCTTGGAACGATGCTTTATTAACAGAAGATAAACCACAAGTTAGAAAGTAAATGATGAACTCTTCATTTCAACAATAATTTTGATCTATAAGTAACTCACTTTCACGAGTAATGTCTGTCGATGGTACATTAAACATGTCATGATGTAAAGCTACTGTCCTTCTGTTCGGTTGTTTATCATTGACCATTGTAATATCTGCAGAAACTGTAGAAGTCAACTGATCATCAGAAGCAGGAAGACCTTTCTCTTGAATTAAAGCGATGGCACGTTTTAATAGCGGAATGAGCTCAGAACTCATCTCTGTCTGCTGCTGGATATCGTCTCCAAAAACTCCGTTTGATATGAAACTAAAATCTCCAGCATAGGCACCTTCTCCGCCAAGAATTAACTGATTAATAAAATGTAAGATAAATTTTACACTTATCAAACTATTTCACTAAAATGGATTATTTTTCACATGTTTTAAAAGGCTTACTTTTGCCTCACTTAGAAGTAATTCAACTTTCTCTCTGACGTACTCCAGGGCTGCAAGCTCTCTATCGATTTTTCAATTTTATTTTGAAGTTGGTCTTCAAGTTCACTTCGAAATCGATTTTTCAAATGATGAAATCTTTCAGTAACGCTTGCCTCAGCATCAGGATTAAGAGCACCCTGGATAAAATTTACCGAGCATTTTACCATATATTAATCAGATGAATGTATCTGCTAAATAAGATATTAAAAGAACTTCAACTAAAGCCATTGTCAAAAAAAATATTCGAGAGAGTGGTCACTGCACAAATTTTGGCTGGCAATCTCTAGCATATAGTGCCAAAATAGACCTTATTAAAGTGTCGTATAATTAAAAGCATGATAAGAGCAATAATAATTACCATGTAGGCAAGAGCTAATCAGCACAAACGACGTACAAATGACATTTATGATGAGCAAATGCGCAACAGGGAACTTAATTTAAGGCTATTTACTACAAGTTTTATGGTTGCTGGCCATTACCTTTCTACATGCAAAGACCACTAAGGGAGCGTATTCATCACTAAGTTTTTTGAACATAGCAAACAGTAAAGCTTGTTTGACTTTTATCCCACGAGGCGAAATTTATGACTTGAATGTCAATTCATACCTCAAGTTCATCCATTCTTGCTCTATATTTATTTTCCTCAATTTGTACTTTGGCAAAAAGTCTTTCAATAACATCAACAAATCGTTTCTGACAAGTTTGGTGTTCTTCTTCCTTTTCTTTTTCAATAGAATCAAACCTTGTGATCCAATGAAGAATGAAAGGTGGCAGAGTTGCCGTTTGCTCGATATTTACATCAGCACGACGCTGCGTCTCACGACGTCCTGCATCGGATAGCGACGATGCTCCTAAAAGATATAACATATAATCATCTACGTCGCAAACGCTAAGAATTTTTGAAAAAGGAACACAATAGATGTTGCACATAATACATTATCAGCAATGAAGACATGATACCATAAGCAACAAACACATGAGAGAGCATTGCATACAATGTATTATCAATATAGATGACATTTTGCAGGAATAATAAGCACATAGGATATTGCACACAATACATTATGAACATTGAAAATATGTTAAAGCAACAACAAATACAGAGAAATTTATAAACAGCATATTATCAACAATAAATATAGATGTTACGTACACGAATAACAAATACAGAAGATATTGCATACACATATAAAGCAAATTATCAACATTAAAGACTTGTCATTCGTTTCGAGATTCGTATGGTGCGAAAGCAGAGAACACATCATAATAAATAGCTTACCTTCATTGAAAAACTCCATCAGTTCATAGACGTCATTCGAAGTTACATCATAGTTGACTAGAATTTGTTTCACCAACTTTGCTTGTGTTTCTGATAGTTCTCTCTCACGATGACGTTGACGACGCCAAAAACTTTTTCTTGCAACATACTCTTCTTCTAATATGGAAAGCTGTGTCGGCAAAAATTTATCTCTTAGTTCCAAAAAATACACTGAAACGAACATTTATTGAATGAACTAACCATTGCAGGATGCGCCTTGCGTTTTTTCTTCAGTGACGACGACAATGTCACAGGCTCGCATATGTTTAAATCCTTGTTTAATCGAATTCCACAAATTGTTGACATTTCGCCTGTTGCTGGATCTACTGCGGTCTCGCCAAGCATGATGGGAACGAGACCATTGCCATGGGGATCTTCAAGTGACCCCCCTAATGGAATGATTTCTTTTGTTTCAGCGTCCTTATCAATACCAAGAATAGGAACATCAAGTCCAGAACCGGAAATATCTCTCATAGTTGTTCCAACCAATATAGGTAGTAACTGACCAGTTGCAAAATATTCGTAAAATCCTGGAGATCCTCCAGATTCCATGAGGAACGTAGTCTGCTCTTCGTGTTTTAAGATTCCGTGTAAACGTCGCAAAAGATGCGTTTTGACTTTGATTTTCGATCGTGAAAGCTCTTTGCACCTGAAAATTGAATAATTTTTATAGCATTACCGATAAGAAAAAAACCTCAATGGCCACGCATATTAAATTGAGATGCCACGTACAAAATATATTTAGTTTCGCCATATATCTCAACAAAAGCCTTATACAAGAATTGCTTGTCACGTTGATCAACATCGAGAAAGCATACCCCACCAATTCCTCACCTAGTCTCCAAGATACTTTTTTGATGTCGCCATGACGATGCCTCATTTCCAATGACTGCTTCTTTCCACTCACGAATGGCATCAATGACACGTGACTCATTATACAGTTCACTCGCATCAAGTGCACTCTGATAGCCACCACCGATTGACTCAAGTTCTGTATCCTCGCCCGTTTCATCTATGAGTCGTGCTCCAGTAACTTTGAGAAGATGCCCTAAACAATACAAAGGCGGTTAATCTATTTTTAAAGTAATTCACAAAATAAGTCACATTAAGACGGTACAAAATTTTCTTTGTTTAAATTATACACAAATCATCATACATAAAGCATCCATTTGTCAATTCAGGCAAAGCAAGCATTTGTAAAAGGTTAACAACACTAAAACCATTTAGTAATTGTTGCAGCTACTGTATACTACCAATTTATATATACCTGATAATGGTTCAACAAAGGACTCGCCAATTATGACAGGAATCTCTTCACCTTTTCCAGATTCTGCCATGTTACCTCCAACAGGAACAACGAATCCTGTTCTCGCATCAATAGTCATTGAAACAATCGGAACTGGCTGATCTGTTTGAGGGTCGAACATCATGGATCCCAGCTCTATAGGCACAGGCAACCCAGACACAGGGTTTTCTTGACATCCACCAACGGGATGAATTTTACCAGAATCGGGATGAATAGTTACTCCCAATATGGGAGCAACGAGGCCAGTTTTTGGGTCGTTTGTTGGTCCACCATACTTAATCTCACTTTGTATAACAGAAGTTGTAAAGTTGTTTTTCACAAGTTTACCTGTGTCAGGATTGATTGGGTAAGGGATGAAAGGAATCGGTGTTTCGCTGAGGTTTCCAGCCTCGCCATTTGCATTATCAGCGGTTACGAGGAGATGAGTCGTCACGGAGTCATAAACAACATTACCTATGAAAGACCTTATTTTTTTAATTCCCTAATTCGAATAATAAAAGCCAAAAGTTAATTACAAAATATCATTTCAATACACTACTTTCACCTTCAATGGGCATCACTTTGGCTGTTTTTGGATGAACAAAGAAATGAGGTGGAATGGGCACGACAGTGAATTTGTCTGCTAACATCATATTACAAGCTCCATATTTGGGCACAAACAGTCCAGTCTGAGCATCAAGCTCAACCAGACCATCCGATAGCAAATTTCCATCAGCGTCAAAAATATCATTATAATAAAGAGGTTGTCCATCTATAGTACATAACTGAGCACCAGTCGTTTGACCAAGTAGAGCCCATGCTCCACGTCTCTGGCATTCTCTAGTCACTTCCACCGTCATGTCTTGCAGCAATACATCAATTTTCCCGCTCATCCTATGTAAAGACAAGATTGATGAAATTGAGACATTAATTACAGAATTTTGACACGATTCAGTGATCTATTGAATGAATGTATTTCATTTATTGCAACTTAATTGTCAAAAAAAAGCAGGGCTAAAACGATGAATATGCACTTCCACACATGATGCATATGTCATCCTAAATACATGATGTATTTAGGGTACATTGTTATGAGGGGAAACAATGTATATGTGTACCTTGTATCTCCCCAACATAGAAATGTACACCATTTATCTGTGTACAATATACATATATACCATTGATCTGGGCACCATGTATAATAAAAAACTATAAAAAATTTAATGCATTTACCTTTGTCGTTCTAATTGTGACAAAGCCATGTTACTTTCAGTGGTTTCATTCAAAATACGCATTGCTTCTGAAAGGGAAGAACTAAAGCACACTTGATGTTCTTGGCGTTCTTGTTCATCTTCATTAAAGACATCCAGTTCTTTGCGAAGCAGTTGTTGAAAAGTAAATCCAAGATCTTTCCTACGTTCAAGCTCGTCATCAAGCTGTAACAGAATACATAAATAATAAAAATATTATTTATCATATGATCATATCGTCATTTGCGCAAACTATACACTTAAAACAGCTTTTTTGGCACTCTGCAAACCTCTTTTCTTTTGTTTTCGTAAAGCTGTAAGTCCTCTTGTGATGCAATTGCTGATCGACCACGAAGATTTAGCTTTGCAACCCACAAACCACGCAATGACTCTGTTTGGCTGTTCACCTTTTGGTAAAGTTCTTTAGCCTACAAATCACAAGGATTGTATTTTAAGGTGAAATATTAGATTTTTATCGTAAATTCATTATTTCAATAAAAATATGCAACCTGATCCTTTTGCCGAGCAATAGATGACGTCACGTCACGTGACTGTTTCGATAAAATCGAATATAGCTCATTACAGCTAAAAGCTTCCAAATCTACTTGCTTTTCGTAGTCCCAAAACTCGTCAGACTTCATTTCGTTTTCAACGCCTAAAAATAATGACAGGAGCTTAGCTGGACCAATGGCCCGAAGATTGATTACACGACGTATATCGATTGTGATTTATAAAGAGGAATGCAGAATTACCTTCAAGTGATGCCTCCGTCTTTCCTTCAATAGTGGGCGCACCATCAATAGCGTAGAAATTCCTACGAAGTTTCTTTAACGGATGAACAGCGGATCCTTTCGAGGAGTAATCATCAAAGTTATACAACTTGTTTAACTTTCTGTATTTAGGAGATGTAAACACCATTTTTCTCCAGCCGTGTTTGCGGAATATTAACTGCAAATATGATTTACAAATGAAGGTAAAATCGACATCAATATTTGTCGTTAGGGGTCACATACAACTTCAAGATATATTTGCATAATCTATCTATAAGCAGCATGCTCTAGAATCAGGAAAACCTTGACATACCAGTCCAATAGCCAAAACGACCATGAGTAACAACAAACTAGCCATCATCAATCCAATCAACAACCAATCAGGCATGATTACAATGTCTTGTGACAAGGCCATGCCATTTTGAATAACTGCACGAGGAGTAGTAGAAAAGAATGGCCCATCTTCTGCACATTGAGCACCAAGGGCCATAACACGAACATACTACAACATATGATGAAATAAATATGATTTGTAAATAGTGCAGTAAAGATTTGAACCAAGGATTGAAGGTTTGAACAGTTCATTAATTGAAGGTTTGAACATTACATTGAACATTTTAACAGTACACTAAAGATTTGAACTGTACAACACTCAAATGTATAAAACAACAAAAGATATAAAAATTTCACAGTCATATTACATTATAGTAAACCATCGCCAAAAATGGCATAGCTAAAAAGAAACAAAAATATTTTTCCATCGTGATTATGACTTGCAACAATGACACATACGGATCATATTTGTTTACTAACCATTTTGTAGTCAGCATATTTGCTGGATTTGAAGACGTAAACTCCAGGTGAATCAAACTTAAAGGAAAACAAAGTAGAGTTTGTATTCATGAGCAAGTGCCTCTCTCTTAGGTCTCGGAAAGGTCCAGAGTCAAAATTAGCATTGGTATTATACAAGTTCTGTTCATCGTATTCCGGGTAGTTATCATTATGAACGATGAACATAACTGATGCTCCATAATCTAAACATGTAGTAGGATTGACAATTCCAGACAATGCATTGGTTGATGATGTAACAGCCAGCAAGCTACGTCGTGCACGAGATGAAGATAAAATGTTTGGTGAGGATGATGTAGAATTATCCTGTCTGCGATTCTCATTCAGTAATGTTCTAACGAAGTTTGCCGGAGGGTTATACACACCTAAAAATCCTCTTTCTGTTGCAAAAGAGATTTGATGTATGTACGGTCGTTAGAGCAAAGTAAATTAGCACAAAATAAATTATAGATAAAAACGAGCACTAACCTCCCATTTCTACTAAATTGAACGGATAACCAGTTGAATCAAGTCGAGGGCACTGATCTTTGTTAAAAGTATTGAGAAAGTTAGGAATATTGCTAAATGTTTCCAAATCATCAAACAAAATCTAAAAATATAATGAACCAATTACGTTAGAATAAAAACATTTTACATTCATAAAATGCAGGTCTATTTATCACACCAACTTATAATTTATCATTGCAGTACATAAAAATAGTCGGAAATTTATGCGTATGGAATTTAAATACTAACTTAACCTTAATTTTCTCAAATCACCAGTTAAACAACTATAAATAATTCTTACCGAGCCTCCTTCAACTGTAGTTATCTTCAAATAGGGCTTGTTTGCACAAACAAGTTGAAGGCGATATTTCTGTTCTCTGCGACACTTTTTATCACATATATCCTCTAAATCATCAACCCGACATGTACATAAACCAAGCTGACGATCAAAGCCAATAAAGTTTCCTTCATCACAAACCTAAAATGTAAATTCTTGTTAACAATAAACCCTTTTGTAGCAACACTGGTGTCTTTACAGTAACAGTAACTAATGTAAAAAAAAATAAGAAATTATAGAGGATATTTCCTTTAAAGAAACAAAAAGCTTACAGAAGAACAATGGTCTCTCCATTTGTTGGTGTCAAGACAGTTTCCAGATTGCGATCTCCAAGTTCCTTCACCACAAAATGGGTACAGTTTTCTAACACAGTCCAATTCATTGCCGTTCATTGCTCTAAATCCTTTCTCGCACAAACAACTTTGATCACTTGGCTAAAAATAAAGAAACTACTTATAGCAGTCTTTAAAACAAGAAATCAACAGTTTATCACTTTTGAAAGAAGCTGAAGAATGTGTATACAGAACTATACGGTGAAGGAGTTTTCTAACAATGACAAGTTACAGACCATGAAAACACGATGTGATCCAGAGCACTGACATTTATCTTGCCCAATAATTGGTTGTCTGGCCTGTGACCCGCAATGAAAACAAGCTGACTGCCCAGTTAGATGATTGTAGTGGTCTTTTTGACAAGGTAAACAGTTCTCTCGACGGGAGGCTCTCTCTATAGGATTGTAGGTTTTGTTTGGACATGGTGTTGGGATTCTGTCCCCTGATTCGCAGTAATATCCAACAGGACATGGAAACGAATTAGTATAAAGTAAACCATATCGCGAATTATTTGCCATTGGTTCGTCCGTAGTTGCACCTATAAAATTTGTTTAAAACTAATCTCATTCTTACAACAGGTGAGTTTATGTAACTACAAGCGACAAAAAACAACTTCAATTTAAACTGTTTTAGCATAGTTCAACTAATACATTAATTCAATTAAAGACACATGCAGTATAAACGTTGATTTATCATAGAAGTGTCCAAGGTTTATTTGTGTACCTGGTGGAAGTTTGAGGAAATAACAATTGTTATTGAATGTGTCATTGAACATTATTGAAAATCATAATGTGAAGAAATTTTGTTAATGAAAAAATCAAACAGATTTCAATTTATAGGGAAAATTGTAAGATCTTTTTATTAATTTCTTTATTATTTTCCAGAAAATCAGAACTACTATTTATTTCAGCTCCAAATGGAGACACACACCATAGTAAGTTATTTCTTATAAAATGTCACGAACGATCCATATGCTTAATATAAAGACACAAAATTCGAATACTACCTTGCAAGCAGATAACGCCAGCTCTACATCTCCTACATGGATACTTTCCAGGATCATCGTTGAAATAACCCGGTTTGCAGATAAGACAGGTGTCGTTAAATGTCTTACGGTGCGAGCCAAGGACCTCTTCATGGCCTAAATAAAGAAGTATACAGCATTAAAGCCTTGTCTGACTATCATAAGAAAAAGTTTTCAAGATTAATTGTTGATAATAGATCGTCAATAGTCGTCATCTGTTGACATCAACCAGTCGTTAATTGTCCTCATTTGTTGATGTAACTATGAAAAAGTCAGCAAAAAGAATTTTAAAAGAATGCTGCCTTATGCAAAAAATCATTGCCATGCATGTAATGAACAAATATAAGAAAAGACAACGTTCATAAATTAAATTTACTAGGACGACCAGCTATGACAGCTAAATTATCCAGAATCAAGTTAAATAGATGTTAGCATTCTTATAAAAATAACACCTTTTGGACATAAACTTGGTTTAACAACTCCACCAGTGCCATTCAGTAGTAATGGATCACAATAATAGCCCATTGGACAATGTAAATAAAAAGATGAAGCTAGAGGACAATAAAAGCCAGGGGGACAAGGTATTTCATATTTTGATCTAGGACAGTAAAATCCTGGTTGACATAACCGCGGTTGCACGGAACCACTAGGACAAAACGTTCCGTTTAAACAGGCCAAAGGAGAAGTGGTCGCATTTATTGGACATATATAGCCCCGAGGACACGGAAAGCATTCTTCAATAGAACCAGCGCCGGTTGAATTTCGATATGTGCCATTATCTGGACAAGATGTTGGCTCAATAACTGCTTCGTTGCAGAAGTAACCCACAGGACATGGACTGTTTCTATAGTTACTCATTGCTACAAAAATACAAAATAATGATAAATCAGTGATAATCAAAACAGGAATTGTTTTCTCAACATTTACACATAATCAATAACTATTTCATTAAAATAAACCACAATTCAATAAAATTTTGCTGAATTTTACTTGTCTTTACCTGTCTTGTAGCACCAATAACCGGCAGGGCAAGGTTGACATGAACTGCTGTTTGTTGCACCGACGGTGTCAGAATATGTTCCAATAGGACATGCTTTCATTGTAGCATTGTATGGACAATAAAACCCGATTGTACATGGAACGGCTAAAGTGTTATTTTCACTACATATCTTTCCAGCAGGACACAATTGACAATCCGCAGATGACTTAGCACCAGACTTATCAATAACCAAACCTCTAGAGCAGGCTACTTTATTTAGAGCTCCTTCTGGACAGTAAAAACCATAAGGACACATCTCACCAACTGTTTTATCAAAGCCATTGGGTATTGGCGTGGGATTGCCTTGGTAACAAAGATAACCAGCACTACATGGACCAGATATTTCACCACGCTGGCAAAAATGACCAACAATGCAGGGTGAGCATTGTGAGGCATTATATAATCCTGTTGTATTATCCGAAGTGTAAGTACCATTGGGGCAAAAATTGGTTGATAAGTGCTACCCGGACAGTACGAATGTGATGGACAAATTTCAGGGATGCTTGTATTCCCGAGACAAAACCTTCCAGGTGGACAACTAAGACAAGTGTCATTGCCTCGATTTGGTTGATATAGACCAGGATTACAACCCTTAGGGTCAGAAGTACCCGGTGGACAATAATGTCCAGATGGACATAAGAAATTCTGAGGTTTAGAAACCTGAATAGGAACATCTTCAGGACAGTAATAGCCTCGATCACACTCTCCAGACGGTTCTGACATACCAGCTTTGTCGCAATACTTTCCAGGTTCACAAGGTGCGCAATCTTCCAACTTTGTTCCACCTGTACTTCTGCGCATGGTTCCTTCAGGACAGAGTTCTGCATGAGTTGTACCATTAATACAATAACTCCCCTTGGGACAACGTTTGTTTATCGAATCATTGGGTGTCTTCGATATTGCCCCACTTAAGCAGAGATACCCTTTAGAACAGTAGCCCTTAGGTTTTTCCAAACCAGGACGATCACAATACAAACCAGCGTCACAAGGCAAGCATTCGTTCATGTAACGTGCAGATGTATTTGTCATGTAAGTTCCTGTTGGACAAGCTTCACCTCTATCATTGCCACCAGAGCAAAAGTGACCAGCGGGACAAGGTTCTGGTACGATTGTTTTGTAATTGGGACAGATGCTACCTGGTGGGCATGGTACACAGGAAGCTAGACCCAACTTAGGACCATACGTTTTTGGTGGACAAGGCTCTTCTTTGACAACACCAGACAAACAGAAATGACCTTTTGGGCATTGATAACCTTGAGAGCTGTTTACTGGGTTGGGTACAGTGGAACCTAATTTCAACGAAATGAAATTTTTATCATTAATACCGTAGTCAAATCTATAAGAAAATGTTGATAATCAAAAGATTTGACAAATTGGACTTTAACTTACCAATTAAACAGACAAATCCAGCTTCACAATCTCTTTCTTGCATAACACCATCAATAGGAACACAATACTTGCCAGGACTGCAAGGCTTACAGTCAGTTTTGTTTCCATTACCAGTAGAATTTGTATAGGATCCCCTTGGACAAGATATCGGACGATAACTTCCCCTTGGGCAAAAGTGCCCAATTGGACATATGCCCTCGGGTGGATTGGGCATTTTTGTACCATTTTTATCACAATAAAAGCCAGGAAAACAGAAATCTTGAGGTGATGTTAGCCCTGATTTTTGGCAATAGTATCTACATAAAATGATCGTGATAAAAGTTTCATGTAGTAGAAGAAATGTGTAAAACAAACAAAAAGGTTTCTGTGTAAAACTAGGTTGAAAGCGTCGGAGACAGATATAATCACATTGTGCTATGAAAATATCCTTTTGATCAATCGCAACAATGTTGGTCGAAACATCACTCAACAATTGACTACTAAAACAATTTAGAAAATTTAGAAAGAACAATTTAAAAAGTCATTCAAGTCAAAAATACCTTAATGGACAATCAAAACATTGCTGGGGGCGAATATGTCGTGTCACATTGCTCCATGTACCAGGTGGACAAGGAAATTCAGTGGCAAATCTAGTGCCACGGGGACAAAAATGACCTTCGGGACATTCCAAACCAGTCAAGTTGTTTACAGGAACATTGGTATTATCACAATAGTAGCCCTCTTCACAAATGCGACATGAAGTACTGTAATTTTGAGGTTCGTATGTACCGTTGGCACAGCGCTTTGGTTCTGGAGATCCAGTCTAAGAAAGTAAAGTAAATTATTTCCTTAGGGTAAGTCAAATTTAACTTTACAATAACTAGATGTGTATACTCGATAAAGAAATCATGGTTTCTTTGATATTCAATACCATCGAAAGTATCATAACACCAACTAACCTTACAGTAATGTCCAGACGGACAGAAATATTGAGTGGGTTTTGATGAGCTCTGACCAGGCGGACAATAATACTTCTCAGAACAGAAATCTGTAGGCTCCGTCAAATTATGCCCACTACAGTACATACCAGCCGTGCAATTGATGCATTCTGACTTTTGGACATGATTTGTGCCCGGTAAATAAGTACCAGGATCACATGGAGTAGGATATTTACTTCCAACTGGACAAAAGCTGCCTGGTGGACAATCCTTTTGTCTTGCAGAAGTGGATTTTAATGGACAATAATAACCTGCATCACAATAATTGCCAGGTACAGACATACCCGAAACAGGACAGTAACGGCCCTCGTCACATGACGTCATAAAAGATGAATTTCTTGGACAATAAAAACCAGGTTGACATTTATAAGAAGATGGTTTTGATTCAATGTTACCTCCCGGACAGTAATAACCTAAAATGAAATGAAAACACAGATGTAAGTCGCCTTAGAACAATGATACAATGGAGATCGCCTTTACGTAAGATTTATCTTTACAGCTCAATAAGAGCATATGAAATTGCCGAAAAAAATTTTCTCCGCGGTCAACAATTCTGTTCAAATGCCTCGATAATGGAATGAACAGCAATTTATTTCTTAGTTTAACATTCAAAAACAATTGCCTTGATAATTCAATGAACATCAGTATAATTTTTAGTTTATCATGACAAGGAGCATAAAACGTCACAAAACATTTGACAGAAAATATAAAACGTTTACGTTTTATATGGAAGATAATACGAGATCACATAAGAATTACACTTGTGCAAACATACCTGGAGAACAAAAGTTAGAAGGCGCAATATTTCCCCATCCAGAACAATAGAGACCAGGTGTACATTGTTGACAAGCTGAAATATTCTTTCCACCAAGGAGATGATTGTAAGTACCGGGAGGGCATTGCCAGTGATTAGAATCAGGAGTATTTTGCAGGCAGTAATGTCCCTGAGGACATGGAAAATTTATAGTCTGTTGTGTTTCCCATGCAATAGTAGCCACTAGGACATTGCTTACAGCTTGAACGACCTTCCTCGTCATTGTATGTTCCAGCATCACAACCTGTATTGAAATATTTGACTCAAATCTTAAAACGCAAATTACACGAAAATTATGATTTGTAAGATGAAATAAAAAATGTGTTAATACGGAGGCAAGCGTGTATAAATTATAAGTGAACTTAAGCAAGTAATCTTTTTTAGACGAACATTCTTCGCAATTAGCTCATGTCGTACATTTTTAACATGACAACAAAAGCAATGAAATCAACTGAGTTCTATAAACAACTGTTTAATTGATGTAAATAGCACGAACTTGATACATTTAAAGTACATCAACAAGAAATCCTTGCATCAATAAGATTAATACATCACATTCAGTGCTACAACGTACCTTTGTACATATCACTTCCTTTTGGGCAATAATAACCACGAGGACAAATATCACCAATTACCAAGTGCGTAAAATTTGCTGGACAATATGTGCGATTGATCATGATTGGATTAGGTACTGAAACACCACGTGAACAGAAATAACCAGCCTCGCATTGCCCACTAGGGGCAGTTAAGTTTGTTCCACGGCAAAACTTGCCAGGGTCACAAGGTTTACACTGTTTCACCTCATATAAACCATATAAATCATTGTACGTTCCAGGTGGACAAGCGTTCAAATCATACCCAGTTCCAGGAGGACAAAAAAAGCCCGGTAGACAAAGTGTTTTGACCGTTAATACGACACCTGACATAAGAAATAAAAATATTGTACAGTTTCAAATTTAAAAATGAACTTTTTAAGGCAGTATACACTCTATATTTGCTTAATAATGAACATTACACTGCACTCTATATATACAGAAAAATGAACTTTGTATTAAACACAAAACGACAAACACTTTACCTGGAATGACATTCTCCGGGATGCAAAAGTATCTTTTTGGACACAAATCACATTGAGATGCTTTCGTGTAATCAGTGTACATTCCAGCTGGACATTTTCTGAATTGTGAACTTTCCGTAGGACAATAGGTTCCAATGGGACATTCAACTGCAGTCTTGTTTAAGCTGCCTCGAGGACAGTAATAACCGTCCTGACATATTCCAGTTGGCATTGTAAGACCACTAATTTCACAGTACTTACCTGCTGTACACTGAATGCAATCTCTTTCTGTTCGAGCCATAGTTCCATTAAAAAATGTCCCAGCAGGACAAAGTTTAGGATAATGCGTACCACGTTCACAGTATCGTCCTGATGGGCATGGTGTTTGCCGTGTGCTGGACGAGCCTTCTATACAATAAAAACCAGGAGAACATAAACCAGCGGTTGTCACCATAGCTGTCTCATTACAAAAATGTCCGCCGGTGCAATTTTCGCAATCACTTAGTATTTGACCACCATTACTAATTCTGAACGTTCCGACAGGGCATTCACGTGGCTCATCAGTTCCTGAAAATTTTAAGAGAGATTTTGGAAGAGGTGCGTATATTTGGAAGCATTACGTACATCTTTTTTTAATGTCAAAGGCTACTCACCTTCAGGGCAGTAATATCCGGGAGGGCAAACATTTGCATCACTGCCATAGGTTGGTGTCGTGATATTTGCACCCTGTCGGCAATAATAACCTGCAGCACAAGGCTTATATGGAGAAGATAGTCCAGGTTCGTCACAAGAATATCCACCAGTGCATAGTATGCAGTCCCTTTCATCACGTCGAATTGTCAAATTATTAAATTTTCCACGTGGACAAGGAAACTGGGTTGCATACGCAGTCTGTCGAGGGCAGTAATATCCAGTGGGACATGTATAATTGAGATAGTGTGTTATGGGAATGTCGCTACAATAGTAGCCAGGCTCACATGGTTTACACTCAAACTTGCCAGCTTCATTCTGGTAAAATCCAGGAGGACAAGGCTCCGGTTGATCATGACCAGAACATCTGTGTCCCGTGGGACATTGCTTCCAGTCCTTTCTAGTGGCACGGCCATCACAATAATAGCCAGAATCACAATTATCCGTGGGGTTAGTTAATCCAGATCCACCACAGTACCAACCCTCAATACAATCTTGACAGTCTGTAAGGTTTCTGAAAAATGAAAATTACATAACATTAAAAATAGAAACAAACGGATCTACTGCTACAACGACGGCAAAACTTTATAAGTGCATCTTACTTACTTTAAACAATCACATTAACATTCACACATTGGGGGGCGGGGGGGAACAATACACTTCCAATGAATCGAAAAATCACAAAATGTCAAAACTACGGAAATATTATGCCAAAATTTTTCAATGTTGCTTTTTGATTAGTAGAATTTATTAAGTGAACTTGATGTAAAAATATACATACCTGTTACCGGTTGTGTTAAGAAAAGTTCCTATTGGACATAGTTGAGGCGTTCTACTTCCTTTTGGACAGTATTTTCCGGTTGGACAAATATTTCCAGTCTTGTTGTCAGTTGGCTGAGATTCAATGGCAGCTGATGTACAATACCAGCCAGCTTCACACTCATGTGTAGGTTTGGATAACTGATCTGATTGACAGTAATAGCCAGGATCACATGGCAAAGGATGTGAGGAGCCATTAGGACAATAATACCCACGTAAACAACGTCCTTGGCAAAAAATACAGGATGTTTGTCAGCAAGGAGAAAAATGTTGTCGATTGACATGTAAATGTATTCTTAAACTCTTCCTGACTTTGTGTTACAAAAAATCGCCTTTGTGCTTGAAGCTGCTATGCATGTTCATTGTTTTGCTAAATGCTAAATGTCCATTTTATTCAATACATCTGACATAATACAAGACGTGAATAATACATAACACAATATGAAAAGAAAGAAATCGAGCTTATAACATTTTTCCAAACTGGCTGCAATGTACAAACAAAAGAAAAAATTATATGCTACCTGCAACAGGTTGAGGCTCTTCTGAACCACCACTGCAGTACCATCCAGCCGAGCATTCATTAGTTGGATTTTCGTTGCCAGTTCCTTCACAGTACATACCCGGAGTACAGCTAAGACAAGCTGAATGATTGGTTTGGGCTGTTTTAGGATTGAACGTCCCTGGTGGACATGGATATTCTTTTGGTCGAGTGGTATTTAAACGACAAAAATGACCTGTATTACGAGAAACAGTATTTACAAAGATTAATATTGAAACTGTACATTACCAATTCTGATTGGATAAGTTGAAAGTACCATCACATAGCAAACTTAGGCAGATATAAAACAATTGCCTTGAAATTAATTTATGAACATAGATTTTTTATGCCATAAGCATTATTTTATTTATTTCAACGTATGTAACCTAGATATCTAATCCACAGATGACATCGCAACTTTAACTAAAGTCGAATGTTGCTTTTTGCATAAGAGTATTTCATTCAACTCAACATACCTACAGGACACTCATTACCAACATAATAAGAAGCATTGTAATGACAATAATAACCAATAGGACAAGGTTTACAAAACGTTTTCCCAAGGTCATCTTGATAAGAGCCATCAGGGCAACCGTATTTTTCTCCGTTTCGACAATAATGTCCAAGTGGACAAATGCCACCAAAGCCTAAAGCAAATGATAAATAAATCACAAAGATCGAGTATACAACAAGTTTCATATTATCATATAAAATCTTCATAAACATAATCTCCAAAAAGTCCAAACCAAAACATTGAAACTTCAATTGCACTTTGACAGAAACACCCTAATAACATGAACATCATTTCTGTTAACTAACCTGAATGGTGTCCATATATGCTACAATTGTTCGACAAATCGGTTTTGTTCCCAGCATGCATTGGATCAGGTCTGTCCACACCAGACTCGCAATAGTATCCACCAAGACATTTGGCAGTCGGTTTTGTGGCATTAAGTTTGTCACAATAATAACCGCGGTCACAAGGATTACATTCTGACTCTTTACTGAGACCAGTTGAATTGCTGTATGATCCTTTCGGACAAGGTTTCCAATTCACGCCTGTTCCTAAGTTTCAAATTGTGAAAGGAAACTAAAGAAAAAGCTGCAGTAGAATTATAACTTGTGAACGTTATTTAATACGTCAGGAAGAAAAACTCGCATTTCAGAATTCTCATTTAATTCATTAAATCTATTTTTGATCACGATACACCATGTCTATCAAAGTATAGCTTTCGAAGATCCATCAAGGTGACTTTACCCCTGCCAATTTCAAAAAATCAGCATAGTGGAAAACAGATTGAAAATTAGTGTGTACGTAAAGTGTGCAAGCACTGATTGGGTACAAAAATGCAATAATAGTGAACATACATACAGTGATGGTGTACATGCATGCACTGATAGTACATACATGTAGTGATGGTGTACATGCATACAGTGATGGTGTACATACATGTAGTGATGGTGTACATGCATGTAGTGATAGTGTACATACATGTAGTGATGGTGTACATACATGTAGTGATGGTGTACATGCATGCAGTGATGGTGTACATGCATGTAGTGATAATGTACATGCATGTAGTGATGGTGTACATGCATGTAGTGATAGTGTACATGCATGCAGTGATGGTGTACATGCATGTAGTGATGGTGTACATACATGCACTGATAGTGTACATACACTGATAGTACATACATGCACTGATAGTGTACCACACAGTGGAAGTCTGGGACAAGGTGAGTTATATATGAAGTAGTGCTTACCGGCAGGACAATAGAAACCGGCAGGACAAATGCGATAGCCAGACTGTGGATCACCTTTGATTACGTTCTGAGGTAAACAATAATATCTCTCTGGACATTGCTGGCAGATTGCTGATCGAGAAATGTTGGTAAAAAGACCGGGCAAACATTCCCGAGGGCTTCCACTTCCTGGATGATATAGAAATAGAAGAAAATGTAATGATAAGATTTATCACAGTAGATGTGTTTAACGTATCGTTGATTATTATACGTATCAGATAAAATATCTTGTTCTTTCTCCAATTTATTTAAGCAGCGGGTAAAACTGATATCTGTATCATACAGAATTTAAGTAAATACTGTAAGCTGATTGGTTTAAAGCCGTGTTCATAGGACGACAAGTTAACGCAAATTTCCAGCTGGAAACTTCACTTTAATTCGCATGTTTTTTCGTATCTGTGGAGAATTTATTGTAACAATACGAGAAAATTATCAAGTTGAATTTTGTGATTCTTTGGTTAGATTACACCTCTTGGTCGTCGTCTTTGTACAAAATTTCAGGCGCTCGCAATTTTCACTGCTGTTAATATAACTACACGTATAACAACATAGAAAATGTCTTACATTTTTCTTACTTTAAAAGGAAAAGATTTCACTAAAAGTTTACCAAAAACTGGAGCAAATGATATACTAAAGGTTGATAAATTATGAATTTATGTGTATATTGTTCATTGAATAATATCAAATTGAGTAAGTATACCTGAAGGACAATGAAATCCTATTGGACAGTCAACTTGCATCATGCTCTTTGATCCAATAGGACAGTAATAACCACTTTGGCATTTACCAGACGGCGACGTTTTACCGTCCGAGTCACAGTAAAAGCCAGCCGTACAGTTAGTACATTGAGATTTTTTCCACAAATGTGTTTGATTGGAAAATGTTCCAATCGGACATGAAATTGGTTGACCGCTTCCAGTAGGACAATAACTGCCTTGAGGACATGTTATTTGTTGTGAAGATGTTGAATATTTGGGACAATAGAACCCTTGCTTGCATGGTCCTGTAACGTTGGTCCAACCAGGAAACTTGCAATAATAACCTTCAGTACAAGGTGTACATAACGAAGCATTTTGCAGACCTAAAGAGAAACTACATATAAACTTGAAAAGCATTTGCAATAGTATTTAAAATACGAGAAAGAGCGTTTAATCAGATGACTTTCAACCCGCCACATTCTGGTTTGATTGTTTCATGCTCAAAATGTTAACTAGCATAAAATATTATAAAAGTATACATAATGAACGTGAAAATTAAGGTGTCATGTACTTTATCAAACATAAAACCATGACACGTAGTAAGTTGTTATGGTTTACTTCATCGAATGAAATGCTTTTTAAATAATTGATAATTTTTCGAAAAGTAATTAAACTATAAAATGGACAGACCAGAAAACCACGGTAGACGACAAAAAATTATAGAGTTCCCAGGAATTCTGAAAACTAATGAAAACTAACAGTTCTAAAACAACAAAAAAACCCAAGACAAAAGCAAGTAACCCCAAGAGAAAAAAGAGAAAATCTAAAGAGTTCTGAAAAGAACCTGTTTACAAATTTGAGACACACATCTTTATTTCTTTTCAGAACTTTTCAAATTTTGTCTTGTTTTCTCATGGGTTTTTGGTTTTCTAGGGTTTCAGTACTGTTGGGTTTCTATTAGTTTTGAGAACTCTTGAGAATTCTATAATTTTTGTTCATTTACCATGGCAATTGCACTTTTCAAGACAATATTTACATTTGTCATCATTTGTTTACATAGCTTCATAGACATATACTACGTTGTATCACTTCTCTAAAACAAATTGAACCAGTATAAAGAGAGACAAAAAGTCAAACAGACGAAGCGCACTCGCCTGTAAGATTACTAAATGTCCCAGGGAGACACGGTTTAGGTTCATCAGTTCCTTCTTCACAGTAACGACCAGCAGGACAGATGTTGGCCTCTGCATTTTGAGAAGGTGTAGATGTCCTAGCTCCTAAAATACAACAAAATGTAAAAGATGGAATCACGTAAGTCTACGTCTATAATTATGTCAAACTCCGACGAATTAATCTCTAAAAGGATATTGCAATAAATATCAAATGAAACCCATGACAGCAGTTGAACTAAAGGAAACGAAAGGATTCGAGTGAAAGTAAGCAAAGATAGCACCATAGATTTTGACCACGGTCTGAAATCTTAGAGTTAACTATTTGAGCAAAGGTTTGTTCGGCTTTTCTTAGTTGTATTAAGTACGTTATTACACTAAAAAGCACAGTTGTAAATAAGTTTACCTTTTTTACAAAAGTATCCAGCAGCACATAATGTATTGGGATAAGTCAATCCTGGATGACCACAATAGTACCTGCCAAGACACTGTGAACATTCTTCTTGCAAGGCACGTCCTGTCAAGTTATTAAAAGTACCAATTGCACAAGGATACTCTTTAGCAAATTTAGTTCCAGGTGGACAGTAATAACCCTCAGGACACACAAACGAATTGTAGTTCACGACTGGAGCTACAGTAGCATTACAATAAAATCGTTTAGGACACTCCAGACACGAAGATTGTCCCTTGCGATCTTGGTACGTTCCAGAAGGACAAGGTCGAGGTTCACCATCACCTTCCAAGCAATAGTGACCGACGAGACATGAATAATTCACAGGAGTATTGCTTTCCTGACCACCAGGGCAATAATAACCGTAAGAGCAATTACCAGATGGTTTTTCTAAGCCAGTACCGTTACAAAACATACCAAGAGGACATAACTTGCAAGATGCATTGTTAGTTGCTTCATACGTGTCAAGATAATAACCTGGAGCACACGGTTTTGGAGATTTGGAGCCTTCTGGGCAATAATAACCAGGAGGACACCTTCCTCCAGTTACACCATCAATAGGGTTTGATATGCTAGCACCCAGAGTACAGTAAAAACCAGCTTGACATTTTGCAGTGGGTGAAGACAATCCCGATTTTGCACAATACCAACCGCCATCACAAGGTTCCATTTTAGAAGAGTTGCTGGGACAATAGTTACCAGCTTCACATTGTCCGCCGTGTGTTATCGTCATATTCCTGGTTGCACTACCGTTACAGAACCATCCAGAGCTACAAGGTCCACTTGGCCAAGATAGTCCGTTTCCTTCACAAAACATCCCAGGAGTACATGCAGTACAAGATACTTCAGATTGCTGACCTAATAGAGACACAATAGCCGTTAAATGGAAAATTGTTTACTTTGGAAAGAAATCGTTAAATTGTGACATTCAAATCCCTGCACAGCTCTCGGAATTTGTTTTTTCAAATTGATATTTTAAAAAAATAGTCGATTTTCACTATTTTAAATGCTCATACAGGATGGCACTGGCAAAAAAACCTACAAAACTAAAATCTTTTACAGCTCAATTGTACTCATCTATATAATATCTTACATACGTGTATAACACTTAGTGTTACAATATATACACTTCATACTCTTTCAGTGCTGAAATTGGATTGCAGGAAAAGCTAAATGTTTTAACTAACAAGGTTCCCAGTAAAATCATACCTGTTAAAGCATTATAGGTTCCTTCTTTACAAGGATATTGACGAGCATGTTTGGTCTTATTCAAACAATAATGTCCAGTTGGACATAAGTTTCGAACAAACGAGACAGTTCCTAGAGGACAATAATAGCCCTCGGGACAGTCTTTGCACACGCTACGTCCCTCTTCATCATTATATGTCCCAGATGGGCACTGTGTCGGTGAAGATGTCTCTGCCAAACAATAATGACCTTTAGGACATACATCTCCAATACCAATATATTGACCAAGGTAGACGTTTAGAGGGCACGTATAATTGCTTGAATTGTACGATCCAGTGTACGGTTTAGAAACAGCCACACCTGTGACAAAATAAATAATTTGATGAAAAAACAAAAAGTCACTCCATTACATACACCCCCCCCCTCCTCGACCTCTCTCCTCCTCAAAATTGACATTTGAGCTCGAAGTATGTGCCGCAGTTATATACTTAAGAAAATACATTTTTCAAAAAAAAAACACCTCCATAACAGCTCTGAGCATCTCAAGATTTATTGCTACGTGTCTTAATGTCTATTTTTATCTTTTAATACCTGAAACACAATAATATCCAGGAGCGCAAGGTCCTGACGGAGACTTTAAACTGTGACCATCGCAGTAAAATCCAGGCGTACAATCAACGCACTGACTATGTGAATATAATCCAGTTTTGTTGCTGAAAGTTCCTAAAAATTGATAAAAACATGGCAAAAAAATTATATCATGATAATGAATGGGCGAGAATTCTCATAAAAGAGGAACATAAAATGATAAAAATGACAGTTTATTGAGATGATATTTGAGTAAAGAATAAGCCACATATACCTGGTTTACAAGGTTTTAAATCGGCCCCAGTCCCTTGTGGACAATAGAAACCAGCAGGACATATTTTGTAGCCTTTTGTCAGGTTAGTCCGACCGCCATTATTCCAGGTTAACGGTAAGCAGAAATAGCCAGAAGGACAAATTTCACATTCGCTACGCGAAGTTGAATTAGTGTAGTAACCAGCAGGACAGGATTTTGGTCTCGAGCTACCTTCAGGACAATGAAAGCCCGAAGGGCAATCATATGGAGTGGGAATACTGGAGTTTGTTGGGCAATATGAGCCGTTAGCACAGGGACCAGTGACATTTCTTAATCCTGGAGTCTCGCAATAAAAACCTAGAAAAAAATTATCGTGGTTTGGAATAAGAATGAATGTAAAGATTATACAACTGCATGAATGATATAAAATGAAAATATACAACCAAACCTTGTGTGCACGGTAAACAATCAAGTATATGATCTTGATGTTTGTTAGGTTGAAATGTACCAACTGGACATAACTCTGGTCCGCTACTTCCCAATAGACAAAAGGCTCCAGCAGGACAAGGATTCTCGTGCTTGGAAACCGAGCCTGGAGGGCAGTAGTATCCGGGATCACAAAGACCGCTGGTCGTGTTCAAGCCAGCTTCAGCACAGTAATAACCGGATGGGCACGTTTGGCATTCCTCTTTTTTCTTAAGAGCTAAAATATGCAATAAAAAATCATCATGAAGTCGCCACTCCTAGGAAAACTTCCGCTACAGTAACTGGGATCTTAGAATAGTGCAAAGCTTAAAAAAATACCGATCACAATATTGATCACACATTGTTATCTTGATTAAGTAAGTGAAAGGTAAACAAGCACAAACCTATAGATATGTCGAAAATATCAGAGACACGCTTTCGAAAAAGTTAATATAGTCTAATATATAGTTCCTATACTAATCACCGTACACATAACAACACTGCAAAGTTGTCAAGTACTAAAATGATAAAAATATGCGACTCCATTTCACAGTTCCACCAGAAATGCGATAAGAATAATTAAATCTTACCACTAAGTTCATAATCTACTTAAAAACAGGTCTTTTGTATCAGTAAAAATTGTCGTCAATTTTCCATAAACTTGCCTGTTTTGTTGTTTAAAGTGCCCTTAGGGCAGTTGTACGGTTCTCCTGTTCCGATGGGACAGTAATGACCTTGAGGACAAATGTTTGCATCATATCCTTGATTTGGAGTGGGAGATGACGCCCTTCGTCTGCAGTAATAACCAGCTTCGCAAGTTCGATTAGATTCTACCATACCTGCAAGAAATTTACCAATCAACGTCATATCGGCATAAGAATAAAAGTTGAAAGTACTACATATTTTTAAAAATGAAATATAATGTATTTCAGCTCTTGCTCGATAAAAAGACAAATTTTACCTGATTCTGAACAATAGTACCCTGGCGGACAAGCCAAACAATCGTTTTCCTTGGTCCTACGAAGACGACCATTAAATGTTCCAGGTTTACAAGGATTTTCATAGGCAGATTTACTTCCGTTGGGGCAGAAATATCCTTTCGGACAAGGGAAACTGTAGTATGATGATTGATTTTCAGGACAATAATAGCCTTCCATACACAAGTTACATGCAGATAGACCAATTTCTGAAGCAAAACGCCCGGCGGGGCACGGTTTAGGCCAAGAAGAACCTAAAAATAGCATTTACATAGTTATTTATTTACATAGGGTGTAAACAGAGAAACACAGTTAAATTACAGAAATCGTTTGTTCAGAGAAAAAGACATCGTTATACGACAATCTTATAAGACCTTTAATACTTTTTATACCTTCAGGGCAGTAATGTCCCACAGGACACACGCCTCCAAAACCCGTCTCACTGTCATCATAATGAGGACACGTTGAGTTACATAAAACATTGGTATAATTCTTTCCATAAGGTTTAGGTCGATCAACGCCGAATGCACACCAATGACCTGGTGAACACTTCGCTGTTACATTTATCATATTGGGTGAGCCACAGTACATTCCAGCATTACAGGGTTTGCATTGAGATACGTCATAATACCCTTCATGAGGTCCATATGTCCCACGAGGACATGATTTCAAATCTTTTCCCGTACCCTCAGGACAATAATAACCTACAATTGCAAAACGTATTGAGACTACAGTTAAATTGCTATTTGGGAAAAATTAAAAAAATTGGTAAAGTAAAAAATTCGTTTGCATCCATACACGGACATTTCATCGACATTATCCAGAGTGCAAATTACAAAATACACGATCACTCACCTTTAGGACATGGTACAGTTGTACCAGCAATTACACAGTAGAAACCCGCTGGACAAGGCTCACATTCGATAGCACCAGTATAGTTTACGTACGTATTATTGCGACATTGTATAGGTTCAGCATCCCCACCAGGACAATAATGACCAACTGGACATTGAAATCCCACTGGTTTAATATACTTTGAGCCAAATGGACAGTAGTAACTAAAAGATAAAAACAATTACTTATCATTGAAACAAATATCATAGTACACTTGCGAATGTTTGAATAATATTCAAATGAAGCTCGAATTACTTCATTTGTAACAGAGGTTTTTTTGCATACTATACACAAAGGAGACTCACCCAGCGCCACAACGACCCGAAGGTTTATCCAATCCAACTCCATCACAATACCAACCAGGTGTACAGTTAAAACAGTCATAAATATTTCTTCCTCCAGTTATATCCCTGTATGTTCCAAATGGACACAGTTCACCAGACTTGCTACCGTTAATACAGTAGCTACCGTTAGGGCAAACCAAATAATCTGGGCGATCAGCACCGGTAGGACAGTAATAGCCAGCCCAGCATTTCCCAGACGGTTTGGTCAAACCGAACTCACCACAAAACATCCCTTCAGTACAATTGACACATTCGTCTTGTGAAGTAAGTTTAGTCTTGTTGCTAAAAGTTCCAGGTGGGCATTTTTCAGGCTCAGCAGTGCCTTTCGGGCAGAAACGACCTAAAGTAAAACAAACACAGACGTTACATTTCCAATGGAAACTCTTCATAAAACATATAAACACCATTTAAACACCGTTCAAACGAAATATGTATCCTTACCTCGAGGACATGGTCCAGCATTAGAAAAGTTGAAAGAGCCAGGTTGGCAAATTGTAGTATTATCTGTATACCTCTCTGGTGTGCTGACAATTGCACCACTTCGACAGTAATAACCTGTAAACAAAGTAACCTAAAATATAAAACTTGAAAGATATGAGCAAAGAATTAAAGGATAGGATAAGAACCGAAACTTCGGCTAGGAATAAAACAAAAAAATATGAATACTTTCAAAATCCAACACACGTACCAGCGTCACAATAAGATGTAAAAGTTGATTGTCCCAGCTCAGCACAATAATACCCCCCTGGACATGGAAGACATTGTGTTATATTTTCCAATCCAGTTTCATTACTAAATGTTCCACGTGGGCATTTGTTCTGATATGCGCTTTTTGTACCAGCAGGACAGTAATGACCCACGGGACAAGAACTGTTCTCATATAATACAACGGGACTTAATCGATTGTCACAAAAATACCCACGAGGGCATACCTACATAAAAAACAAAAAAGTTTCAACAATTAAATAGCAATTATAACAAAGCAATTTAGACAAATTATTTGATACGATATGTATTTTCTGGTTAAGATTGTTCGTATTTGTCTCTTCAATTAAACTTACGAAGATTTTTTTGCAATGGCAATTGGAGGTGAAATATAGTTACGAACCTTGCACGATCCTTTCATTACTTCATCTTGATAAGTCCCAGAATCACAACGTAATGGTCCTGTAGAACCTTTGGCGCAAAAATGTCCTTTGGGACAGATGTAATCGTTAGGATTTGAAACAATTTGTCCTGGAGGGCAGTAATAGCCAGCATTACAGTCATCTGTTGGAACTACATTCCCCCATCCTTGACAGTATTTTCCAGAAGTGCAATTGTTACACTGAGATACATTTACATTTCCTGGAATAAAAAACATGTCGTTCCAGGTTACCCAAGAATTAAGTGAAATAGAAGAAAGACAAAAGCTGTCATTTAGAAAGTTTAAGAAAATGAAACGCTTATTTTTATAAAATTCTACATACCTTCGCTATCCACGTAAGTTCCAGGTGGACATTGTGTGTAATTAAAACTACCCCTAGGACAGTAAGCCCCACGTGGGCAGGTATTACCAACAATACCATTTGTAGGTGTAGGTGTATCAGCACTACCAAGACAATAGTAACCAGGGTGACATTCTCCATCTGGATGAATCAATGTATACCCAGTACATGTCTTTCTAGGTGGACACGGTATTGGTGCAGGAGAGCCTGGCGGACAATAAGTACCAGGCAAACACGGTCCTCCACCTTCTTCAAGATTTCCCGGCGTCTTGCTGATCGATCGGTTGCGGCAGAAATATCCTCCATCACAAGGACCAGTCACGTGACTTAAACCTGTTCATAGAAAGTTGTTGAAATAAAAACATTAACATACCAGATAAAGCTGCGTAATTTATATATTGCGAAGGTTATCGTGTACCTTTAGTTGAACAATATGAGCCAGGAATACACGCCTGACAATCACTTAAGGATGTGCGTGATGTAAGATTATTGAATGTTCCTTGAGGGCAAGGATTGGCGTCCTGGATCATAGAATTTAGCGGGCAATAGTACCCGGGAGGACAGGGAAATGGGGATGTAGTGTTTATAGGACAGAAAAAGCCAACAGGACAATTTTTGCACGTTTCTTTCCCAATATCATCGTTATATTTTCCTGCTGGACATGGCTTTGGCCAATCACTGCCTTCCACGCAAAAATGACCAGCAAAACATTTCCCTCCAAGTGTGGTATTTGTTGGTTTTGGAACATGAGATCCTTCTCTACAATAATAGCCCGGAGCACATTTTCCAGTAGGACTACTCTGATTACCATATGCACAATAATATCCAGGAGGACACGTGTCACATTCATCAGCACTATTTAACTTATTTCGACCAGGTTTCGCAAACGTGCCTACAAAAAGTAACAAGATGGCCATCATCAATCTACTAATATTCCATCACAAAATATATTCTTATAAAGCCAGTAGGATAGCCAGCCTGCAAAATTTAGTCCTGCGTTATCATAAAATCATTATCATTTAAAAATCTTTTGTTTTGCAGTGAATTAAAAGAGAAAACTTTGCACAGCACGAAAAAATTTGCGAGCTAGCTACTCCACTGAATAAAGCATTTTTTATTTTAAGTAAACACATAGCATTTTTGATCCTTGTAATAAAATTGTCAGTACTTTCTACACAGTAAAAGTGTTGGTGTTGCTTTGTATATATCAGAGCATTAAAATTATTCATTACTTTAGAAAGCTATTGTTTTTATGTTTTACATAGAGTAGACACAGAGAAATTTTGCATAGCCGAACCAAATTTACAGGATGGCTTTGCCACTGTTTTTACATACCAACAGGGCAGCGCTCAGGTGTTGATGAACCAGCTTCACAAAAGTATCCCCCTGATGGACATGGTCCAAAATTACCACTTCCATCATCAATAGGATTAGGCGTAATTGCCTTTGATTTACACCAATAACCAGCATCGCAATTTCCACTAACACGTGATAACTTCTCTTGATCGCAATAGTGTCCAGGTGTGCAATCTGTACATTCAGTCTTCATTTTTAAGCCTTCACGAGCAGCAAATGTTGCCTTTGGACAAGGTACAGGGTTACCTGTTTCTCGGATATCATCTCCAATAAGACAATAAAATCCAAGAGGACAAGTTTGAGGAAACTTCGAACCACGAGGACAGTATTTTCCCGCGGGACATACCTTGCATTTTGACAAGCCATATTCATCAGCATAGTAGCCTAAATTTTATCACCATTATGACTTGTTAACAATGTAATTTATAGGGTAGAACATGGAGTTACCTTTATTTAAATAACACAAAACGTCGTACAACATTTTCGAGTAGATAAAGCATTTTTAACGTCTTTAATAATAATTTGCAACCAACACGATGTTCATATTAATGTTTTAGACGTACGAATATGACATTACCTTGCGCACAGGGATTATCGGGAGTCTTGGATCCCTGTTCGCAAAAATTCCCCATCGGGCATTGCCCACCATTGCTACCATTGTTTGGTGTGGCCAGATATGAACCTCGTAGACAATAATAGCCAGGTAAACAGTCGCCAGTTACTTCGTGTTTACCAGTACCGTTACAAAACTTTCCTTCGTCACATAGAATACAATCATTTTTACTTTCTCCACCGTTGGTTGGCCTAAGAAGAAGACAGGAGCAAATGTACGGTGCATGGGATACGAAAAAAGGTTTATCTGCATTAAGATAATGATAATTTTCTACCTATATGTTCCTTGAGGACAAGGTATCTGATACGTAGTACCTTGTGGACAGTAGTGGCCCGGATCACATCGTTTACCCCACTCCAATTTTCCTTTAACAAATGCGGGATCCTTTGCCTCAGCTCGACCAAAGCAAATATGACCAGCTTTACATTCCCCTGAAAAATACAACTATCTATTTTGGTACTATTTTATTGAGTAAAAATACATATTACGCCTTTCAACACTACATATCTAATATATTCCATAAAGACCTTTTAGAAGTACATACATTACATATTTAAAATATTTTTGTTGCCATACTACATTGTTAATTTGGTAATATCAATGCGTTGATTTTTATTTCCAAGTATTACGTATTTGCAGAAACATATGTGTATTTAAAAGTATTAAAAAACTACTATAATATTGTGTAACACACAATAGCATCAGCTAAAAAAACGAACAGATTATATTGTTTTGATACAAATAGAACGACGTTTACCTGTTGGAAGGACATTTGCAGTACTTTGACAGTACGATCCAGCAGGACATGCAGCACAACTGGCGTTCAGAGATGATCCTTTGGTGTAGTTATTAAATGTACCCGGTGGACACTCATATTCTCGATCACTGCCACGAGGGCAATAAAAACCTCTCCTACATTCTATGGGGTGAATCATCTTGTTGGTCGGACAATAGTAACCAGCTTTACAAGGGAGACATTCACTTTGTTTATTAAATGGATTGTAGAAGCCAGGCTGACAGGGTTGTGGTGCAGATGATCCAGCAGGGCTAAAGTAGCCAGGCTCTGTTTGCGTCTGATTTGGTGTTCTTGAACCATTAACGCAATAATGACCAGCTGAGCATGGACCATCAGGACGTGGTTGGCTAGACTGAGCACAGTAAAAACCTTCGTCACATTGCGCACAATCCTGGTTATTTGTAGCTCCACCTGTCACGCTGTATGTCCCTGGAGGACAAGCCTTGGATTCAAATGATCCAATGATACAATACCCTCCACGTGGGCAAACCTGTATATTACAACAAAAGTTTATTTCTCGCAAAATGGTCAAACTGAACAAAGAATGCTCAAAATGAAGACTGGAAGTAAATAAAAAACAATGGTATTAAAATGAACAATGGTAATATAAAGAACAATAGTAACAAAAAGAACAATGGTAAGAAAATCAGATATTATCACGGAATAAATTTTTCGAGCAAAATTGTGCTTCAAAATATAAATATACTTTGTATCATGCAACCAGTTGAATTTTTTTAAGAAAACATGCTCTAAATTTTTTCTCACCATGCCAGTTATACCATCCGTGGGCGAACTGGTATTGGCACCACCGAAACATAAATAGCCGGCATCACACTGACCTCGTGGCGTTGGCAAACCTGGAGCATCACAATACCTGTAGTAAAAGATGTTGTTTTAAAGAAAAAAACTTTCCTTCTAAAGTGTAACTTCTAAAACACTTGTTTAAAAAACACACAAAAAGTCATATGACTTTTTGAAATTAGAATAGTCCTCATCATGAGCCCATTATCAAATAACAATTTAGGGAGATGACAGAGTATATATCTCTGCTACAAAGAATTACATACCATCCTTTGGTACAATTGGTACATTCTTGTAGTGCACTAAGTTTAGCTCTTTCACCATACGTTCCAATCGGACATGGTTGAGGCTCACTTACTTCAGGAGGACAATAATATCCACGTGGACAAACTTCGGGTGTTTCGCTACCCTGTCGGCAATAATATGACTGCGGGCAAGGGAAACAGTCATTGGTGTTACGAGCACCAGTTATGTTACGGAAAGTCTTAGGTGGACAAGGAATTTGCTTGGGACCGTACGAACCAATAATCAAATCAGACACACCGTTTGTAATGTTAGTTGGACAATAATATCCTTTTTCACAATACCCTGTAGGGTTGATCGACATTTCTAAACAATAATGTCCAGCGGTACAAGGTAGACATGATGATATACTTGAACCGTTTACTTCAGGATTAAACGTTCCAGCAGGACACGGTATCTCTTTTGCAACACCTAACACGTAGACAAGTGAGGTATCTTTAGAGATGCAAGATGTTGACATGAGAAGATATTTAATCCTACTGATATGATTTGTACTGTAGCAACATCACTTCCATACCTGTTAGCACTTTAATATCAAAGGAAAATTGCCGACCATACAGAGCATTTAAAAGTTTCTTATAATCAATAATTGTCGCAATAATCAATAATTGTTGCAATAATCAATAATTGGTGCAGTAATTAATAATTGTCGCAATAATCAATAATTGCTGCAATAATCAATAATTGGTGCAATAATCAATAATTGTTGTAATAATTAATAATTTTCGCAATAATCAATAATTGTTGCAATAATCAATAATTGCTGCAATAATCAATACTTGTTACAATAATGTTGGTCGAGATAAATTCATTTGCTTACCTTGGGGGCAATAATGCGCTTTTGAACAATCAGTTGCTTCGTTGACATCCTTCAATCCACCACTACAATATTTACCAGCAGGGCATGTCTTGTTTACTTCCATTTCATTGAATCCTGTAGCTTCAAGATCGCAATAACGTCCAGCGGGACAAGAGCGACAGACTGACTGTCCAGATTTACTGTATTTTCCTTTACCACATGGAAATGGTGAAATAGTTGCATTAAGACAGTAAAATCCCATCGTACAAGGAAGACAATCAGCCTGATAACCAGCTGCAACACCATTGGATTTACTACTTGTCACGTTTTTTCCATATGGCATGTACGTACCTAATGAAATGTTATTGAAATATGACGATGGAGAAAAATTTCAAATGATTTTCGAACCATCGGACAACTGTAGCAAACATCGAACGTCAGACAATAAAAACACGCATTATTTATATTTAATAACATACCAACAGGACAAGGGATTGGTTGAACAGTACCAAGCTCGCAAAAATGACCCAAAGTACATTCTTCACATTGACTTTCATTCCATTTTCCGTAGTGAACATTATACGTTCTGTTTGGACATGGAAATTGCTCAGCAAACTTCGTTTGGACAGGACAATAATGCCCGGGAGGACATAACCCACGTGGATAGGGTTCTCCTCCAGGACAATAGCTTCCCTTGAGACAATGAGTGCAGTTCTCTGGTGCATAAAGATCAGAGCTGTTTGAATACGTTCCAGGAGGACAAGGATATTTTGTTGGAGATGCTGTGCCTAAGTATGGAAATTCATCGTAAAAATTAAGTTATTGAATAGCTTGAATTGCTAATATCTAGAATCGCCATTTTAACTAAAACGCATTGTCATGAATTATCAGAAACTGCTACATATGTCTTCACATATGTATTGTTTCGTTTGAAATTGCTTTTCATCCTAAGCTAATAAGCTCTTTGTATTGGCAACAAAACTTTCTAACCTTAGAAAGCTTGTAAAAACATGTCTCTATGCTATAACTTAAAAAAATCTCGATTCCACACACGAGTGCAATTATATTATTATAAACTCTTCCCTTCCTTTCCAAATATTTATAAATTGTCACTAACCCAGAGGACAGTAGTGTCCCTGTTGGCAATCCTTCCATTTGTTGAAAGATACAGCCGTTCCCCAGCCGCATGATTTACCACGTGGACAAGGAGTACATTCTTCTGCGCTGGTGAGATCAGTACGGTTAGTATAAGTACCAGGAAAACAAGGATATTGGGATGGTGAAATAGTGCCGTTTGGACAATAGTAACCTTCCTGACAAGTATCATTGTATATCTTCTGACCCGAACGTGGACATGCATAACCAGAAGGACAGGGTTCACAATTTAAAAGATATCCAATCCTTGTTTTCGTGTTGTAGGTACCCGGAGGACACGGAGTGGGAGCGACGGTGGGTTGGTTTTGCGATCCATCAGGACAGTAGTGGCCAACTGGACATTCAATACATTCTGTTCCATTCTTTAGCCCAAGGATAGAGCTATATGTTCCGATGGGACAAGCAAACCTACGAGGGGCTCCTGTACCCTGAGGACAGAAATATCCAGCAGGACATATTTGACCAACTTCCGAACCACGAACACAATACAAAGTTTCGGGACAAGGTTTACATGCTTCAATTGATGTTTGATTTGTCAGACTTGAGTTTGTTCCAGCAGGACAAGGAAATTCGTCGTTACGTTTTGTACCAATGGGACAGAAGTAACCAGCAGGACAAATGTAATTTAAATATGAATTTAAACCACTGTTCATGCAGTAATAACCAGCTGGACAAGGGATACATGCCATAGAGGACGTGGATCCATTGTGAGGATTGTATGAACCAACTGGACACGAATAGAAAGTTTTGCCATCACACCAACCTCCAGACTCACAAATACCTATGTTGTGAAGTGTGTATTTATATGGTATTATAAAAACGGAAACGACGTCCATACAAACATGTAGAAGTGTGTACTTCACAAATAAACGACGTCATAGCCATTGATCTTCACTGAAAATTGGGGAGCAAAGAGTCACACACCAGAGGCGTGCTGGAACTTCAAAAAGAACAACTAATGGCAGCATTTGAGGGGCTCGAATGTAGGATTAAAACTTTAAAATTCACTATTTTGAATGAATTATAACAACCATATAAGCAAAAAGAATATGAGCCCTCCAATTATCGATCATCCTACGCCCATGAAGGGGCCAACAGAGCCAGGGGCCCATAACAAGTTTTCGTTGTCTCGTCGGTGGCCAGCACATCCCTGTCTACACACTCCCAGAATTAAACAATATTTTCAAGAATATAGTCTTTGTTTGCACAATTAAATAGTAAGTTAGTAAAATGTAAAAGTCATTATACGTTTTCCCCTCTCCCCCAAAAAAACATTGCAGGCGCTACAGACCTTGTGGAAAACTAATTATCAAGTTGATATAATGCGTTTTATGGCTTACTTATACCTAAATACGTCAACATAAAGGTAAGTCAGGTCTACATTTGATAACCACTGGTATTTCGGGTAACAATTTTTCTGGTATGTGCCAAAAAAAATTTAACACTTTAAAAAGACCAAAAGCAGAAGCGGAGCACTCCAAATGCGAGACACACTAGCGAAGTCCGGGGCAGGCTTCCTCGGCAAATTTTTAAATCAAAATATTCGAAAATGCCATTTCCTGGACTTTGGAGAATGAAATACTACCTCCAACTGTATGATTTCAAAAGCGTTTTACTAATCCAAATAAAAATTTGATGCCCAATATTTTTATTTCTGCGCTCCCCAAAAATTAAAAGCTCGGGAGGGGTTGTGGCCCTTTGCCCTCTACCAGCACGCAATTGTTTGATAAACGCTATCCAAAACACAATGAGGAAATAAGGTATATATAAATATAATCTTCACTTACCTTGAGAGGGTCTTGATGATGACGAACCTTCTTGACATATATAGCCAGCATCGCAAGCATAACATAGTAAAGAGGCCGGACCAGAATATGTTCCACTTGGACATTTAACAGGAACTAAAAATGGCAAATCAATTAGAAATACAGGACACAAAATTTTATCATCTGTGTATATTACGTAAATTGGAAATAACCTATACATAAAACAGTCATAAAATTGATATACCTGCTGGGTTCGAACATTCATATCCTGCTTCACATGGCTTACAAGTAGGTGAATTTTTTTCACTGTAGTATCCAGGTTGACACTTTTGCGGGCCAGCATCTTTTTTTTCACAGAAAAACCCAGCATGACACTTGCTGCAATCGATTTGACCCCCAAGAGAGTACGTACCATTTGGGCACAACTCTCTAAAAAAGTGAGAAAGAAAATCTTCTCGTCGGAACAAAAAATGCAACATGTTCGCAATTCAAAATTCTTTTTGTTTATAAAAACAAACCAACGCGGGCGCTATACAAACCGATCAGAGCTCGACCAATCAGATTAATCAATCAACCAATGAGAATTTGCAAATCAATCATGAATACATTTAAGAGGAAAAATCAAAACGTTTGTTTAAAATTTGTCTGTTTTGCATTATTCTTATTTTAGAAAAGAGATAAAAGATGTTTTTCATGTTCGCAGTGGATTATGAAAACCTAGGAGAGGTTGGCGAGAACTTTTGAGCAGGTACAACCCTGAACCCTCAACCTTCGGTCAAAGGCTTGCACTGATCTGCTCTCAAGTTCTCCAAAGACCTCCTCGGTTTCCAAAAGCCTATGCAAAAACAGTAAACGTGTTTTATTACTTAAACAACATCAACACCGTGTAACTATGTAAGATACTTACTGTATATCTTGATTTTTGTATGGACATTTATAGCCAGGAGGACAACGCGTACATCTTGAAGAATTGGATATTGAGTAATAACCGTTCTCACAAACAACTTTTAAATTCATATCCGTTCTCGGACAATATCTATAAACACAATATAACAGTTTACATCAAGAGTAATGAGCAGCATTAAAAGTGGGTAAGCGAATCATTTTGAAAAATGTCAGATATGCTTTTCCAGTAAGTCTACCTATCACAAGTTATTCAAATTCTATGCACTCTTTTCAGTAACATGCAGCAATATTAATACAATTTATAAATGGAGCTACGTACAAAATCTCAAGTATAAAACATTACCATAAAAAATACCATATCATATGAAAAAAGAGTGACAATAATGAAACTGGCAAGTAATATTCTAGCTTAATGGTATCATACAATTTTATTCGCGCGTCAAATAATGAGACCTATGTTGCTATGACCCGAATAAATACAATATATACATATATATAAATATATGTAGTGATGTTGAACAAAATCACGAAAACTACAGTTTCATCCCGACAAGCCTGTTTCGTGATTGCTCGAAGAAACAGGCCTGTCGGGATGAAACTGTAGTTTTCTCGATTTTTTTCAATATTACTACATATATTTACGCTCTGCTCTCGCTCATCGAGCCCTGTTTTATACGGAGAATCGTCACACATAAACTTTCCATACATAAATATACACATATATAAGTACATATATAAGTAAACATTACTGCACAACATTTAGAGTGTCCAGTTTTACTTACGAGCCAGCCGGGCAATTTGTACAGCTAGTTTGTTTTCCAGTTGAAAATGTCCCAGGTTGACATGCAATCTTAAAATTGCTCGTGACATTTGGACATGAAAAACCAATGGGGCAAGGTGTACAACTGATTGCTTTTCCAATTGAATACTCCCCCGGGATGCAGTCACGAATGCCGGTGCCATCACGAAATGGACACATCTTACCCGGGGGGCAATTTGTGCACATCGCTTGACCGCCATTTGAATAGGTTCCAAGAGAACAAGGAATTTCAAGAGCATGCCTATACAAAATGATAACCGAAGTTTTAATCACAAGTTTACGACATATTTATACAATACGTGATAATATTTATTCATTTAAAAATAAAATAACACGTGACAAACCTTATTGAAGGACAATAATGTCCACGTGGACAAATCGTGCATCTGATAGCATTTCCAGTAGCATACTCTCCCGCAGAACATAAAGTTTTGGTAGCAGCAGAAGCATTTGCGCATGCATAACCTGGTGGGCAACGAGTACAAACCGTTTCACCAGCATTACTGAACATACCTACGAATAAAAAACAAAAATAAGTAAACATAATAAGAAAATTTTCATTCAATATCAAGAAGCATAAGTAATGTCTAAAATCTATTCCAATATTATAAACCCAAACTCCCACAGCAATATCAAAAGCCGCAAATGATGTACGTTACAATGTACAGTACATGCAAATATTTACGTATTGATCAAAAATTTTATAATGGCATGCAAAAAGGACACTGCGACGAAGAATGTCTGGGAAACAAGATTTCCGAGACTATAACGTCAAGACTCTGGTATTCATGTGAACAATGCTTGATTCGAAGATACAGCATTGTTTTACCTTTGAAATTTAACTAAAAATTTCTTGTACTTTCCCTTACACAAACTTCTGTATATTACAGGGTAAAAAGACAAATAATTTCATTCACATCACTCTATAAATATTGAATCATCTATACATTCAAATGTTTTGTCCATTTTTTTCAGCAGGCAACCGTTCGTTAAATTTGAATTACGCATTTTGAGGTGATGAGATTACTCGTACTGCAACTGGCTTAATGAAATGATACATGCAATAATATATGTGTAGTAAAGTGTACCCATGTCAGTAAAATAACGTCATATATTAAAATAATACACATACACTGACACATCTTAAAATCACTTTAATTCTTTCGTTTTTGTGTTGTAGAGAAAATACATACGATGGCAAATAAACTTACCGCTAGGGCAAAGCTTTGGAGAACTCTTGCTATTTGCACAATAAAATCCTGCGGGGCATTTTGTACATGAAAGGGAGTTCTTGTTTGATGCATACCAGCCAGATAAACATGCTTTTGGAAGGTTATCTTTTGTAGGACATTCAAATCCAAGGGGGCAATTACTACATTGAGATGAGCCTTCTAAACTCCATTGACCCTGTGGACAACTTTTCTCTTCAAAATTTGCTGCTGCTGAGCAGTAATATCCAGCTCGACATGGAGTGCAAAATGTTCCATTGTAATTCGGTATCTCCCCATTTTTGCAACTGCTCGGAAGAACATTTGATGAAGAACATATTCGACCAGTAGCACGGTTTGGGCACTTTACACAGTCAAGCACTAACGAAGGTAAAACAATCAAAAGCAAATATAAAGCACTGCATGTCAAACAAAATATCTTCTCAACATTACAACAATAAATTATGAATGGAAAAGCTCTTACTGCTGGCAGTGCTGTAGTAAAATCCAGCATCAGCCGAAAAAGGACAAGGTTCTGGCCGTCCATTTCTGGGACATCGGTAGCCAGCAGGACAAACCGTACACTCGACAGAAAAATCTTCAGAATAAGTACCTAATTAAACGAAAAACGCACAAATATATGCATAATAATCCAAGACATGAAAATGTACAAACTTATTAGCATTCTTCCGCAGTAAGTGAAAGAACGATTTGGAAATATTTTGAAACACTTGAAATTTACAGCAAAAATAGAGTGTATTGAGAATATTGCACAAAATGTAACATACGATGAGTTTTACTTTACCAGTGTAGTCGTGTCTCCCACTCGTTTAAAAGAACAGAAGACAACATTGCATCAGAATGTACATTGTTCAACATAAATATTTACCTCCAGTACATGATACGGGAGAAGATCCACTGTAAGGACAGGCAGTACCAGCACGACAAGCTGTGCAATTGTATTTTGCTCCACCTAATGAATACATTCCTGCAGGACAGGGAACTTTTGAAAGCCTACAAATCCAAAATAAGTCAATTTAGTTAAAATATTTCGATTTAACATAATTTGCTAATAAAAGATTGATGTTATGTGCATATATTCTCCTCTAACAATTCCGATGTCTTGTCCAGTCACTTGAAAGTTTACCAATCAACTGATAAACTTTCCTCTGACATTAGAAGCAACGTAGAAAATGGTAAGAATATTAAATGACAAACGTAAAATCCTACGTATACATGCCTATATGGTGAGACATTTACGACGATAACCAGGGTGATATGGGTTTACTTACGTGGCGATTGGACAATAATACCCAGGTGGACAAGGAATACATTCTGTCCGAAATGAGGAGCTTAATGTTCCTAAATGAACAGCATGGCTATATATTAATAACTGCAAAACCTACGTATCAAATACAAACAAAATAAACGAAAAACTTGGAAGCGCAATTCAAAATAAAAAGATTAACAAAGCACCTTAAATCATCATCAATCATATCATTATCAATACGCACCTGCTTCGCACTGTTTACAGACACCATCACTTTTTCGAGAAAAAAAACCTTCGGAACAATTGACTGGTGGCAAGGATGGATCCAAACATTCGTTTCCAGCTGGGCATGGAAGGCAAACCGATGCTAAAGTCTTGCTGTATGTTCCAGACGGACAACGAGTGCAATTTATTTGTCCTTCACCACTGTAATAACCAGCCTTACATGGCAATGAATTTATTCTGTTTACACATTCTCTGCCAGATTCACATACCACGCAACTATCTTGACCAGGGACACTGTTGTAATACCCTTCCTCGCATTTCTCAGGGGCGTCAAGTCCTGCACGACTGCATTTGAAACCAGCAGGACAAATAGAACATTTTTCAGAGCGAACATAAGCATATGTGCCAATTGGACATTGTCTTGGCGAAGTTCCTTTAGCAATGACGGACAAAATTAGATACGGTATGTTGGATGATCAAAAAATTTTTCACAGATCAAGTAATTCTTCCTATTCATTTTGTTGAGACAGGAAAGTAGGGTAAGGGTTTACTTTGACTTGAATGGGAACAGGGACAAGGATAAGGACAAGGATTGGTAAAGAGATAGGGATCCATGGGGATAGAGATAGGGATGGGGATAGAGACTGGGATAGGGATGGGGATATGGATGAGGATAGGGATAGAAACATAGATGGGAATAGGGATGAGAATAGCGATGGAGACAGAGGTGATAGGGAAAGGGACAGAGATAGCCTTTTCAAGGAAAGTTACTGATCCGACAAGTAACTTTCAAGGATCGATTTCATAACTTCAACATAAAGTCATAACCAATAATGAATTACTTACATCTACAATGATAAACTCACCATTAATACACTCATAACCACCAGGACAAAAAGAGCATGTGCTGTTTCCAGCCTGACTAAAATCTCCAGGAGAGCAAGCTATTGGTTTATCGCTTCCACTAGAACAACGGTAACCTTCAGGACAAAGGGAGCATTTGGTCTGTTTTTTATCATCAGAATAAAAACCATTTTCGCAAGGAATTGGTGATACATTAGTTGTTGGACAATAATGACCAGTAGGGCAATCCTGAAGTAAAAATCAAATACCAAAGATTACAATGTAACAATTAAATTATAAAGATAACAAATTTCTTTTACGAGAAATGTTGCACATAGCAAACCACTTCCTTGGTCATGCTATAAAATATTCTAAAATATACATAGCATCACAAAACTTGCTAGATGGCTATGCTTTTGGAGACAATAAGTAAAGATTTTGCAATTCTATTCGTGCAATCAGCCTGTAATTATAGTGCCAACATCAACAGATGTTTCTTCCACACAGTGGAATAGCTAGCCTTGATAATTGGGAAGGTCAATATTAATATTAGCAGACAACAATTAATTTTAAAGGAGCTCAATGCAGAAGATGCATTAATGAATAATAAAAGCTATAAAAAAATTTCAACCACCATGGAAGGTGGTCAGGAAGAATGTTGGTTTGCTTAAAAAAGTGATCTCAATCCAGCTTATTTCTAAATTGTTTTTTTTATTATTTAATGCCATAATAGAACCACTCAAAAACTGGGTTCAACAGACCTTCAGAAATTCTTGATAATTCTTTAATACCCTTCATTAAAAAGCTTGTTGATGAAGATTTTCATCCCTATTTTGGGCTTGAAAATTTGGAAAAAAAAACTAGATTATTCCTGACCTTGCAAGATTGAACATCTGACTGGCCAGTCAAATTATTGTACGTTCCAAAAGGGCAAATTTCCGATGCATTTTGTCCCCCTAAACAGCTAGAAATCAAATATGTTTAAGATTGCACAACAATTTCTTCATTACAATTCACTAACTTTCATTACCAAAAGCAAAAACAACATCTTTTACAACATTACTCAACTGAAAGACGGTATACGAGAATGTGATGCTGTGTAACTTGTGTCGTGATTGCAAAATTCATGAATTATTAATATACAGCACTACTCAGGAATCGCTTGTCCTAAATCGTGATTTCATAATATTTTGTATTTAGGCAAAATTTTTAATCACTTCTTAAAAATTGAAACTATATCGATAGAAAAATTACTTTGGTTAATGCAATTTTACAAAGTGCTGGTGTTTTCAAACAAAATCCTTCAATGTTTAGATTATAAATAATATAGCAAAAAATGACTTGGTTGTCAAGGAAAACAGAACAGAAGAATTTTGTGAACTAATAACGAATGCAAGGTTAATAATTGCAATTTTCAGTACTAAAATATAAAGAAAAACTAATTATAAATAACACTGAACAACAACAATTTTTATACATTCAAATAAAAAATCACAAATACACTTTAAGTCTATTGCTTACTAATGGCCCACTGGACAGGCAACACACACTGGATGACTATTATTTCCAACAAGCACTTCTCCTGGATTGCAACCAACAGAATCAAAACAAGATTTCACACATGAAGTGCATTCGCAGTTTCCTGAAATAGAAGTTGGAGAAATAATGGGATTATGCTATCAATCGTCGTGACATTTAAACACCTCGACATATGAAACACCGATAAACTAATTTCAACAAATTTACCTTCAATAGGTACCATATTGACATTTAGTTTCACAAAAATCATCATCCAAAAAATGCGAACATTTTGTTGTCCTGTCGCGAACTTCTTCATCGTATGTATTGGTTAGTAACACATTTCCTTTATATCAACAAACACTCCAGCAGAATCCGAAATTCACGAAACAGTTTTTCAACAATTGAGGTAAATAAAATAGTCAATAGTCAATAAATTGTATACTGTTTATTCCTGAACAAATCTTGCGATTAAAAACTTTAGAAAGAGACATAATAAATAAATCAATGTCATTTACAAATTTGCTACAATTTCGAAGGTCATTGGCTTTGTTGTCATAGAAACTAAAAGATAACAGACATATATTTAAATGTTACTAATCTGGTTCATCGATATTATATTCAAGTTTAAAATCCGAGTATATTTATTAAAAAAATATTTTATAGCAGGTACGTTTATATTTTATTTAACATCCCAAATGGCCAAAATTCTATGAATTTTTTAATTATCGAGACGGCACAATATGCATAATTCAAGCGCATGTGCCAGTCAGTGAATATTTTACAAAAACTTCGTTTTCTTCTGCTTGCTGATTTGAGAACGTTATTATAATTCATTCAGATATATTCGATCATTAATAGCAGCATAAGCGTAGGAAGCGAGGGGAAGCTACAAAGTCTTTACCCTAAATATTCTAGGGCTAATTCCCCCCTCCCCCCCTCCCTTAGAATGATATGATAACTGTCATTGGTTTGGCTTTAGCGAATATAATTTGAATTAGCACGATTTGCGACATCATGAACTAGTCTGTTTTTGTTAATGCTTAGTAAAGCTCATAAACTTCTTTCAACCCATTGAGTGTCACTGAAATAGTCATTATGATTACTTGTTAAATTCTTTGTTTTGTGTAATATATTGATTGTACTAAACTTGATTGTTGCATTAATTGTATTGTGTGTATTGTAATGAAGCACAACTAAATAGTACAGATTTCATAACTTGCTCCAAATGCTGGGTTTGTACAGGACCCTAAAGAATATTTTAAATCTACAGAGCCCCTAAAGCTTAAAAGAATAAGAGTCAGACTCACCATTCGTCGACTTCAGTCCCCACCCGCTAAAAAATTAAATTTGTTCTTACGAGTATGACTAACATAAAATGCAATTGTTTAAAATAAAAAGAAATAAAACTTTTTTCTTCATATAGGTGACATTGATCAGTTTGGTTTGATTTCCGTCTTTATTTTGCTTGCACCTGAACGTGAGCGATATTTAACGCTTGGAATTGTTAAAAAACTATCAGTTCCTTTTAAACTGTTTTTTTTATCATGCATTTGCTCATTGCATGAATAAAAAAACTTATGTTTGAAATAAAACCAAACCATAATGTTGTCGTAAAAATGTCATTGACGAAATTGATTCACACCAGAATTGATGAGCAGCCTAAGATTATACATATTTTATACATCAATATATCTCGTTTATATCAATGTATATATTGCCACGGCACTCTCTCTGCATGCCACCTCGTTGGTCCAATGGCCTGAAGCATTGGCAAACCCTGTCGCATAGCGTGCAGGCCACAACGAAAGGTTAAGATGCGACACTCTAGTAGTGCTTAACTGTCTCGGGGTATCGGGGGAGCTTAGTTCAAACAGGATTTTTTAATTTTCAAAATTTTTCCATTGCCTGCAAAAGGTATTTTCATAAAAACAGCAAAGTTTCAAACAGCTTTGGATAGTAAATGCTGATGGTGGCTCCCTATATGATACATGGCAAAAATCTCTACCAGATCTCTATAGTACATGGCAAGAATCTCTACCAGATTCTCTATAGTACAGGGCAAGAATCTCAAACAGATTCTCTATGATACAGAGGAAGAAACTCGATCAGATTTCCTATGATACAGAGGAAGAATCTCAAACAGATTTTCTATGATACAGAGGAAGAATCTCAAACAGATTTCCTATGATACAGGGGAAGAATCTCAAACAGATTTTCTATGATACAGAGGAAGAATCTCAAACAGATTCTCTATGATACAGAGGAAGAATCTCAAACAGATTTTCTATGATAGAGGAAGAAACTCGATCAGATTTCCTATGATACAGAGGAAGAATCTCAAACAGATTATCTATGATACAGAGGAAGAAACTCAATCAGATTTCCTATGATAAGCTCTTACTTTTGTCTTTTATTGTTTTTGTTGCAGCGATATAATTTGTTTATTTGTTTGACATCGATCTTAGAAAGCTTTCTTAATTGACCAAGTTTCCTATACGGGTTTTTTAAAGATCTTAAAGTGTCCCTTCCATTTTTAGAAAAGGCTTTGTTATCATAGTGCATTATTGATAAGAAATCATAAGGCTCGCCAAGAGAATCAATTGGTCCATGTTTGTAACTCACAAAATTCCGATGCATACCTAAAGAAAAACATCCAAGATTGATGAAAGGTATCTATTATAATCACGAACTATACGCACTCGTGTAATGGAATGTATGACTGTAAGAGTTGCATGGTGACAGATTGAATTGCATTTTATGTACCTTTCTGTATATTTCTCCAGAAAACTCTAATATACTTGTCTCTATCACTGCGTGAATGTTCGTGAAAGAAACCAAGGGCATGAAGAATTTCGTGCATAACTTTGCCACGATATTTGCAGTCGTCGTGTAGTGAAATAACTTGTCGACCACCAACTCGGCCGATGGATGAGTAACAACTAGAGATATTATCAATTATGTTTTATCATCTCTTGCAATTTGCATATATAGTTTGATTTGAATATATTTTTCGTGATATTAGGTGTTGTTATGCTTCTATAGATCTTTTGTGTTTCATTCATGCACGCATAAAGAGGATTACTTTAAGTTCTTATACGACGTGTTGAAAACGATGAAGAAAAGCAGACCAGCTAAATCTGTATGACTTCATATAATTTTGTTCTTATTTGGCAATTAATCATCACCTTCACGTTGAATTGAGTAATTTGTGTAATGACAGTAATGTATGTTAAAAATATGTTGTTTCACGTCCTTATATGTGTTAATAAATCGTATCCTATCCATTTGTTGACGAATTAAACCATTACCCTTTTCCATTGGTAAACAACACATAATCATCATGAGAATTCGACCTGGGCACAAATCTTACACATGATCGTTTGGATATCTCTCTGAATGCGCGCCGAATAACCTTACGACCTCTGTTAGCTGAAATATGAAAAAAAATTGGTGAATACACGTAGAAAATGTTAAATTTTTTGATTTTCATTACCGCTATCAGTCACATTCTTTTTTAACAATCCATGAAGCATTTATGATTCCTAACGTAAAATTACATTAAAACCGAAGTTGATATTTAATTGCATATATGACTTGAATCTAAGGAAATACCATGTACTCAATGTTCATTTATATTTATTGTTGACAACAATATAATTAAGCCAATACAACATGCCATTGCATGGATTCATCAGATGAATTTCATCACGTCACAAAGTTAGGTATTCACCATGATGAAATGCATAACCATCTCAACTTTAGTGAATGCATGTTGTGTTGACCAGTGGCATGCTGGTAAGGGGATGGGACAGGAAGCCGTGGGCTGTTGATTTTTTGGATAACATAAATAAATCTCGGGAGTCAAACTTTGAATTTGGGTTGGGAAAACGCATTAATACAGTTAATAATAAAGTCCAGAAAATTAGAGCTTCTTTATTTAAAAATTTTCCGGGAGAGCACAAGCCTTGTAGTACTTGCATCTGTGGTGCTGCAATCGGGCCTTCCACCATTATTTCTAAACTGAAATCATTTTTTGGTGCTTTAACAGAGCAAAGCGACTGCCCCCAATCAGAAAAATTGCTCCCAGCCCGCCATTGGTGTTGATTAATAATTAATTTTGTGATTTTTTTGATAATTTTTACATAAAAAATGATGATGGTTGATTTTTCCTCTATACATGCATTCATGTGTTAAAGTTTGGCAGAAATTCAAACTGCTTGGACACCTGCTTGAGGTAGGTTTTGAAACGTTTGTGCATGCATTATATATCTTGTGGGTAAGTTAATAAGAATAAATAGGTATAGTCACATCATATAACTGCTTAATTATTTTAATTTGAATATAAACATGCAGATTATTTAAAATTAAACTTACAGATGTCAGCATCAATTTCGTATGGAACTATTCCTTTCAACCAAAGAAACATTTTGTTTGTGAGAAGATCTCGACGTTCACGTGATAGTGACAATACTCGAAACCTTTTATCATAGACGATGTCGCCTTCAATAAGACCTACAAATTATTGAAGATTCTTGTTTAATCACCAAATAATCACACATACAATTATATTGCCTTGTTTCTGATAGGTATTTTATATGACCATCTCACAATCATCGTGAAGTTGGTAAAACGTCTGTATTTTTCCTTAACCAATACTTGACAGTACAAAGTTTATAAAACAAAATATTAAACAACAAAAATTAAATCTTTTCATTAATTGTGAAAAATCATAAAAAATTTAGTCCTTCGATTTAAAGAAATAATGCAAGACAATATTACAAAAGGAAATTAACTTTATTATTCGTGAACTATGAAAATTTTTGCCGCGGGTGTTTCACGCCAGTTAAGTATTTTGACGTACGAATCAAAAATTAAGTCTTAAAAGCTGCAAAAACGTCACACAATTGATTTGAAACAGATAAATAGGAACTCATTTCAATTTTGTCAATTTTAAATGCAATTGGGTTAAGCGAGGATATCTTCTGCTGGTTATTGCCATCCCTGTTTGTCTAATATCTATCTTTTTGAAATAATTCAAATGAACGACCATTTACAATGTGGATTGTAATTTAATCCATATAAATGCACTAGTTTATTTATTACTGTCTACCTGTGCATTTTAAATGAAAGAAACGGTCATGTAGTAATATAAATATATAATCAAGCAATCACAGTTAGACATGTGCTAAAGGAAAGCTTAGCACATGTAGCGACATTATATTATTTTTTCATGAAGATTCTTATGGAATATTTCCTCAGTTTTTGTTGATAGTTAATGTATTGTTCATTTATATATATTATTTACATAAATATCGTCTCCTACATCAATTTAATTTATAAAATAACATTCTCAATAAAATAAACTATTTTTGTGCTAGTACAAAATTAAAATTATTAAAATTCTCAATGCTCTTAATGATAAAAAGCCTAAAGTATAAACGAACTGTTTAATTACTTGTTAAAATTCGTGACTATTTATGAAGAGATTGACTTCTGCGAAATTATTATTAAAATATCTTTTATTTTATCAATTGCTGTCTTATCACAACAAGTATATTGAGCATTCTCTCTCATTAGTTAATTGTACAATAAAACTTTACTTACATATAGCTAATAACAATTGATATTTATTTGATTTGTAAATCATTAATTACATCGGTAACACTTACTTGGTGTGGAGAGTGTTCCAACTCCGTGTTCGCTCAGAAAAATTGCAATCAGACCAAGTAAAAAAATCATTTCTGTGCAACGTTGCTGTTTCATCAAGATATTGTTAGAAATATTTAATCTTAAACTCGCCACACGCGACAAAAACACAATTCAGCCTCCACTGATTATCGCAAATTGCGAACTGTCTTAAATAACACAAATTATTTTGGATCGAATCCATCATGAATAATGTGATGAAAGATGAAGTAATTTTGTGGAATTATCTTACAATCTCATATAGTCATTTTACGTTTCATTTAAATTAATGTTGCCAGCCATAAGACATATTTCAAATTGAAAGGGAAAATCACTTTTAAAATAGGTAGTGTAGCAGCTGTTAGCCTGTTAGGGATTAAAATAATTTTACAAAATCCAACTGTTCCGTTGTGCGGATACCTCTTTATGATTTCGACATGACCACAAGGTCTGAAAAAGGTTGATATTCACAACTATTTCAGCCATTTGCTGTCCTAAGTGTTAAATGAAGGATATCCTGTTAAGATCCGAGATCACAAGACTAAAGGCAAAATGAATCTGCAGAAATGTAAATATTATCATGAGCACTCAATAATCTGTCATTAGCAAATTACATTTAATCGCCATAGATTAAACTACCTCAGGGTCTCAGACATTACTAAAAACATAAAAATATTGATGGAGAAGACCGACAAATGCGATAATGCTATTGCTATTGTCGACATTAATAGTCATTGTAGATATCAATCAAATGTTATTTGAAGGAAAGTTTTGCCTTATCAAATATGGCTATGTATTTGTGGAATGTATGGGTGACATCTTGTTTTAATGTTTTTGTACAAAACTTAATTGAGATCTACATTCATGATTCAAGTACTTCAACAGACAAACAAAAAATCGAATGAGCGTTTTGAATTAAACTCAATCAATAATAGACTTGCTGTGAAGCCTGTGGTTACAAAAAATCATTAATCAAGTATAACATATTAAAGAGCAATTTCAATATCTATTTCAGCTTATCAGCTTTCATTCCATAATGCCAGTTGGCTGTTGCAACACGGCTATACTTTTAGTGAAAGTCTACAGCAATTTCCCAAACCATATTAATTGATCAACCTTTCAGTTTAAACAAAGCTAAGAACACCTGTTGAAAACAACACCTCAACTTCTTGAGATATATTGTAATGTCATTTATAAAGGTTCACATGGGGTCAGATTTATGAATGGATATTTAATACATTTACAGGTAAAACATTTATTTAATGAAGACCATGTTAAATTTTCCGTCCGCCTTTATCGTTTTCCGTTTTGTCATAAACACGCTTATGTTTATTTATCTTTTAATCCCTATTGAAAATCATTAAAAACGAGGGACGAGTTTTTTAACAGGGCTAGCAAGTAATTTCTTGGTTTATGTAGTAAGATTTATGAAGCCGCCATATAGAGCGAATTAACAAAACAGAGGATTATCTTGTATGCAACTAAAAAGTCACGAAAACAAATGCGCAAGAGTAGCAAGACAAAGTTTCAAAATGATTGGTTGATCATAGCTACCAGTTTATGTCTAAACAAAATTATCATGCATGGTTATTAGAATCCTTATTTCCTGTTCAATTTCGTGACAAGACCTGACTGACTAAAGTTGTTAATTGACATTAGTTTATTCTGTATACTAATCTCATTATAGATGGCATGCAGACATTTCAGCATGTGAGTGTCTTTGTTTACTATTTTTATATTTTAACCAGTTTGAATTGCTCGATCTGATTTAATTAGATCTTAGTTTCTCTTATTATGCTCGTATTCGCTCATTTATGATAAATCCATGGTTCCCTGTGTATAAAAAGTCAAATTCATTGGCTTGATTTCAAATAATGTAGGACGACTGTCTGTGTGAGAAAAGACGTTTAGACCAACATGATTAATCAAATGCATGAACTTTGCCAGGTTGTATAATACAGTTTCATGCTCTTGAATAGACTTCGCACGAAAATTAGACTAATTAAGCAAATTATGACTATAACCATTGGTATTAACCAGAGGTAGATGGTGGCTGCAGAAACACAAAGAAAGATAAAACATGACAGCTTTCGACTTAATTACGATTCATTCTCTTTGTTTTGATTTATTTTCTGAAGCATGGAACAGGTGTCATTTAAAGACTGAAACTTTTTAGAAATTCACTTTAATGAATTTAAATTATCCAATAAAAATAAAATGCAACAAAATCATAGCTGACTGCAATTCTATGAACAAATATCGGTAGGGGTGAGCTAATTCAAACTGCACTTTTTTATTTATTTCGCGCGTTGTAAAATTTGTTAATATTAAATTGGCCTATTTTGACTATGTCTGCATCCCACAATTAAAATGAACATCAAGACACGTTTGAATGCTTTAAACATTTATAAATATCGGTCATTTTTAATTCTGCTATTTCGATAATTTGAAGTTCCTGTTGCTTTAACTTTTCCCGTTTCACCTATGAAACACTGAGGAAATAGGGGTCTCAACTGAAAGTACCGATGGTGTAAATACTGAAAAATTTTTCCGTCTCAACCTTTAGGTAAAAAATGGCAAATTTTAAATCAATGTCTCAATTAGCCAACTATACAACGATTACACGATTGTGTATATTGTGACGTTGTCACTCCAATATCATTTTAATTATTAGTAGCTACTTTGTAAAAGAATCAGTTTATGATATTTTATTAAAGAATAGCTCTTTTGCTTATCATTCACAAGACTAAAAAATTTTTGGCCCTTTTGCGATTACCTCCACAAATACATCTTTACATGCTAAAATAAGTTTGTAAATAAATTAATGTACATACAATTGAATAAAAATTACCAAACTGATATACTTTTGTCCATAAAGATAAACAATGCCTCGTCATTTTCCTCTCCAGGCGAAATCATCTCCAAGTGTTCATAGTGACTCGAGCTTTCGCGTAGGAATGGTAATTTTTTGGCTTTTTTTTGTACACAATGTGTGAAGAAAAAAGTCATGGTCGCTTTCAGTAAATAACGAAACAAACAATAAATATTTTTATGAAATTTTAATATGGATGTCATAAGATTTGAATGTTTACCCTGTTGGACATTTATCAAATTTCAGTTTTATAAGACTATACGAGTTTAGACTTGCAGGGAAACATTAGCAATCTGGCTTCATCATATATCGTCGATCTAAATAGGTTCTGATGGGTGGACGAATATCAACTCTTCTTCTGTGTGTTTATCTAAAGTATTTATCATTGTGTGGTACCGTAAACTTTAACTTAACTCGAGGACATATTGACAAATTTTCTAACGCTTACATCAATACTTCATGTGAATCAAACTGTTCAAGAAACGCCTGTAGTCCGTACTTCAGGGCATCCTGCATTGCTCCAAGTTGTCATAGTTGTCGCTGTAATAAGCGTTATCCTACTTTTAAATATAATAAAAGTTCAATTGGAAAATGCGTGAAAAATGAAATAATCTCATATTCATCGAGTAAGTGGTACATCACACATTAATATTCCAATGTTCATGTGATGACATGCATGCATGAAAACATGTTTTCAACTGAACTATATGCCTGCATAATTTCTATGAGATAAGAGTAATATTTTCAGTTTATGTAACGTGTATGTTCCAGTAAGTCTACATAAACTTGTTTTAGCGAGCACTAATAATTATTTTAAATTTTATTTCATTATTTGCAATTTATGAAACCTAGTTCGATCATTATTTGCCAGCGAATGCGATAACTTGTCTGAAGATGGAAATTATTTTAAGATGTATTAAGATAGATAGAAATCATAAATACATTCAGTCGCTGGCAATTAATAGATCAAAAAACTTAGTGGTATCAAAATCATCCGTATGAAGTTATAGTGTTAAGTTTAAATAATTCAATAAACGTTCTTTGTTTAAAAAAGCCACTTTACCGATAAACGCCAGGTTTCCCTTGAAGCGTGAGTTGGACGTTTCTCTCTTACAAACTCCACGTCTCTAGCCGACATTATCATAAATAAGAGTCACCACTACCTTAGCATTATGATACTATAATAACTTTGTTGAGTTGTCATTTGGACTTAGAAATCGTATATTTAGAGCTTATTTTTAAAGCGTAAAATGATGATGGATCAAGTTCGATAATTAGACGGGTGGGGTGGCGTATTCACATTCATGTTTGTTTTATGGGTATATTATTCAATTCTCTTGGTTGCACCTATCTCTTTGGTGTGAATTTAAGTGCTCGTGACGATAATATTAAACTTGATAAAAGAGTATAACGAAAGTCCTCGATATGGGTGCACTTAGTCCTGATGAAGTACGTGATTAAACTATCATTATCACAACTGTCATCGATTTTTTCATCTTAACACAAACGATGATCTGCGTAGGTAAACAAGACTGGTTCTTAACCTATCACGTGCAGTGGAAACTTTGCTTGGAACCACGATTGGACATGAGAAATCTGAGGTTGACGAATTGTTATTATGGAAATAGAGCACAACAGTGGATGTGGACAAAACATGGTCAACTTTTGAATGTGAAAACAAGGAAATGTCTTCAAACCTCGGGAGTAGTTATTTTTCTCTATAACAGACCACATCCCAAAGTAGTTTTAGCCCAATGTAAGGCAGTAGACGTGAGGCAAAATTGGCAATGTCAAGGAAAAAATGGTTTGTTCTACTTAAAGTATCACGACGCTTACTTGAATTATGACAAAAGTAGACACTATGTAATAGTATTTAAAGGTACAGAACTTGGGGGCTTATGGACCCGCTATGGATCAAATGAGTCGTTATGCTCCTCCATTTCACGTAATAAAGGTAAGTTAGAAGTGTCAAGTTAAAAAGTCAAACTATCGAATGCTGCATTGTTCTTTGAAACACGTGCACGTTTGGACTTCCCAGGACTTTTGTCCTTATATGAACTGGAAGGGATTATAGTGTTACACAATTTAGAAACTCGCTTATAGTGCTACAAAATAACCATGCAAATAGAGTTGACAATGCTGATTTTCGTAAGGAAGAATCCGTTGCCCAATTAAAGGACACAGAAAAAAACAATTGATAATTTTTCCTCCATTTCAAAAGAAATTGCTTCTTTGCTCTTTATTCATTTATTTCGTACTAAACATTTCTTGCTTTCGTTCACCTGTCCAGAAAACTTTAAAATGCCAATATGAGGCTCAATGAAATAACTCCTTTAGACAGTTAAATCGATTTTAAGAAGTTTGCAATGTATTTGGATAGGTCGAAAATTTTACCTTTATGAGCTTTTTGGGCATAGAAGGAGGTTACTTTGCGCTGGAAGTGACGTAAAAAGGAGAAAACGCAGTTCTACTTATTATTTGCCTATATTTTTTAAAATTAGCACTGTTCTTCATCAGAAAATCTTGAATAAAGACAAACAGCAATGGCGAATTGTAGGTTCCGGCGGTGAACAAATATTCCGGTTCTGGAGCATACCGACGACAAGGAGGATTTTCTTCCTGATGCAAAGACCGATAAATATAAAATTTTCGTCCAATAAAATACATTGCAAAAGTTCGATTTAACTATTTAAAGAAGTCATCTCACTGACCATGATATAAGTACTTTAACAGTACTTTTTATATCGTGTAGCAGCATATTTACCTAAACTACAATATACTGCAGAATGTGTACTTTTATATACCAGTAATCAAAGTCATACAGTATCAATTTCAAAATGATGCTATACATTTTCCCCAAGCAATAATTGATTTTTAGACTATAATGTATTTAATGAAACGATATACTTATGTTTAAAATGACAAAAGGATTAATGAAAGGTCGGTCGGCTTGTGCTTACAGTTACATAAATAACTTTACAATTATATTTTGTTCTTTTTCTTTTAACAAAGAATGTTATAAATACTTGGATGGATCAAGCATGTTTACAATCAAAACAATGGATCTTAAAAGATGTATCAACAGTTCTTCAAGTAACTGTGTAATAGAGAAAAAAGTATCAGCACCAATAGAAACAACAAATGTCAAATGTGTAATTGAATGGCACAGAACGATGTTTCTCAACTACGATCAATGGAATTCTCTTCCAAATAGAGTTAAATACTTGCAAAACAAATCATTTGAGTTGGTAAAACAAGACTCCATGAAAGCGACGTTAAAGGTAAGAATGTTGAAGACCAAAACATTTGGTAATCTCAAGCAAAATGGTGATGAAGGAATATATAAAGGGAGAAAAAGTTATTGCTTGTTTAGACTCTTCTCCTTAGCTCTGAAGACTGATAAACATATTTTATTATCAAGCACATGATGTATTCATTAGATTTTTTCATTCGACTAGTTTTCATTTCACTGTATCCATTACTGTCTTAAAAATCACTTTCAAAGTGACAAAAAAGAACAGTAATAGGTTTATCTGGCTTTAAAATGAAACAAATTCACCATTCTTGCAGCTGTCGCAGTTCATCGCTTCAGCTCAAAATGAACCATCCTACAGTTGGTAGAAATTTTGTTGCAAACATCCCGATCCAACATGCAAATTTGTCAAAATTTGACATTTCATAGGCGCACACCACTGCCCACGCACATTAGTTGCGAGCAATTGAAAATTCATGTTCACATTATGAAATAAGTTTAACTTACAAAAATCTAGATATCTTATTTCGATAGCATCCGAGAAACTTCTATCGTCAGTTGTCCAACATATTCCTTCATCATGGGAACATGAAGCATTTTCTAACATACTGTTAATAACTACCACAGGTAAATCTTACATCATCGCAGCACTTCCGTGGACAAATAATTAAACTGTACATTAGCTGCTCCAAGCTTTACTATAAATATGAACGTACAAATCAGACAGCTTGGAGAGACGGTCAAGATGGAGAAGTACAGTGCATATTAATAAAGTTCTCGGGAAACTTCAAACGTAAGTGTAATATATAATAAAAAACTTTCTAGGGTAGTTAGACTAACATGCAGTAGCAAATTATTTTGTTTGAGCAATACAACTTCATGATCAACCATTAGTAACAAACAAGTGATGGTGAGTGGTGTTGACGCTTTAGTGGTGGCATTAATGAACTGATGGTAGCACTGACGTACTGATGGTTGTGTTGACTCTTTCATGATACCGTTGTTTCACTGGTTGTGACATTGCTGCTGGTCAATTTGGTCGGAATACTTTTTGATCTCAGGCTTTATATACGCAATAAAATCTTTTATATTTAAATGCTACTGCATTCATCACAGGACAACCTCAACTAATTTTCTCTCTTTTTGCTTCTAGCCAAGTTCTTCAAAGAGGAAGTAAGTACATAGTTTTTGCGTATTCTACCATTATTTTATCAAGCACAGCTTCAGTATTCATGCTTGATAAAAATATGAAGATACAATGTTCTTCTAGCGTTTTAGAATGACTGTAAAAGTTTCGTCAGACATTGGATTAAAATCGCGTTTTGTTAATTGCACACTAAACAAAAATTATCGGGGATTCGAGCTACTTTCTTTTCAACTTTTAAATTTCCATTTGAAGACTTTTCAAGTGCGAAAATATCAATTTTGAAGGACTAAATTTATTACACGTTATTCCAGTGGTATTCCTCATGTGTTTTATAATAGAGTAATTACTGTGACACGTATACGCGTACACAAGACAGAAATTCTAAAATTACTATCGTAAATCTGAGGCAAATCAGAGATAAATTGCTCTCAATGGTCATAGTCAAAACGCAAGCAGTTTTTAAGAAGTTTTAGCATTTTATATTTTCAAGGGCTTTTTAAGTGCACTTAAAAGTGAGAGTTTGATTCAAGGGCTTTTCAAGGAGTTCAAGGAGTACCGCGAGCCATGAATCACGTTCCAATGGCTGCTGTGTGTGTGTGTGTGGGGGAGGTGGGAGGGAGGGAGTAAGCTTGGTTCGTAAAAACGTTATTTCATGTGACCCATGTCCAGGGCCATAGCCAGAACGTTAATGGGGGAGGGGGGTTGTATTCATATATTCAGTTATGCCCTGCTGATTTTTTTAAACTTAATTTACATTCAACAGAAATCAGTGGGGCACAACTAAAAACATGAATATACACCCCCCAATTAACGTTCTGGCTACGGCCCTGCCCATGTTTGAGGGGAACAGGCAATATTTTGGTTATTTGGTCTGTGACCTTCACCGCAAATGAATAATTGAAAAATATGGCTACTTAATATTACTACTGCTTTTTGCCAACCACAAAATCAAAATCTTAAGAGTTATGAATGTAAAAGAAATGATTTTTCTTCAGAAGAAAACTACACAGACCGTCCCAACGACACCAAGAGATCACAACAGACCCAATTCATTAACTACGAACGTCATTGTGGCAACTACGAGCGTTTTATCTTTGTTGATAGTCGCTGTGATCATTGTTTTTATTATCTTAAAGCAAAGAAGGTAAGTATGGAAAAGTATGTTCTACTTTTCAATGATACAAAGACAGACACTGGTAACATACAATATAAAACCCAGCAATTTAAGCTGCTAAATTTATAATTTCGTTTTTAGACAAAACACTGTACCAGGAAAAGGTAAGCACATCAATGTACCTTACGTTCTTCCTTTGGATACAAATTTCCTGATGTCATTCCTTTACCTAGTCAATACAGCTCTAAAATCATCTGAGAGAAAGAAAAAGGAGCGTCGACATCACCAAAAGGGCAAAAAGCTAACTGAAGCCACGAAAAAAGCAAATACAACCAACTGGCATGAGCCAGCGATGTACGCTGCTACAACAGACTGCGGGCTGTACGCATCAACATTTCGGTTAAATATTAATCCAGATCATACAACAACAAATGGAGCATCAAGTGAATGTATAATATACGACACAAATCACAATGGAAAACATAATATGGAAAGAAAACAAGTCGATGCTGCTTCAAGTGAAAACGCCAGGTACCATTCACATTCTACAGAAAATACTTATAATGAACCACATTCGTTGGTCAAAATGATGAAAGCAAGTGACAGCAACTCGAACGATTCCAGTTCAAATATACATATCTACAACGAGCCATAGCGAATGGAGTATGGGCAAATTTAAGCGATTCATCTTTAGAAAAAGTAGGTCGTTCGGATATAGACAAGTACCGTTATTTTGATATACTGCTAATTTGGAATTTATGCCAAAAATATTTATCGCACGTTGCAAGAAATTTAATGTCAAGTAATTTAATAATTAATTTTTATATTTCGAATGCATTTATTAATTAAACATGTTTTTCACACCTTTGAACACAGTGCAATGTTTACATAATTACTGTAGGTATGTGCTGATGTGTATCAAATGTATGAAAATACAACAAAACTTTTAAAAAATTAACACTAACTATTGTTTTGTTCTTGTCAACATAACGTGTATCGATAAAAAAGCAATAAATTACCCGTAACTCCTATAGGGTTCATTCTACATACAAATAATGAAATTTTCTATCTTACTTACGCACTCATTTAACGATATCAACCAAAGCTTTCTTCATTTCCAAAAATTGATGTTTGAACTCAATACCATCACCCTGAATGTTAGAAAAAGCTCCTTTATAATGATTTGGTAATGAAGCACTGGAGATCTCTACCTCAGACACCTACTTGCTTATATGCCCCTGTGAGCAAATCAAAACACACAACAACTAAAGGGTGATATGAAATTGTGAATCCCTTGCCATAAAAACAAACTTCCCAACCATGAACGGAAAATGAACATACCTTAGATAGTCGGAAGTCAACCAACACAGAACCATGCATTTCCATTAAACAAGCTTTAAATGACAATGGATTTCTTCTTCTGTCCACAGCAAATATACTTATCTGATCAGTTAAATAAACAAGTCACGAAATTCAATGGTACTTGGGTAAACTAACGAGAATCTCATGTCTCTAAAATTTAGACTTACCACTTTGGAATTATTAACCTTGAATTGATAACTCAATTTATCTAACACTAAACGCAGTTTTTTAAGAGTAGATTCTGCGTCAACTTTTGATGTAAATCTTGTCATTCGCTTTACCAATCTTTGGAAGGTTGTCTGGGAGTAAAGTATATAGCCCTGCATAAGTTGGTGAAGTGCTTACGTAGATGGTGCATGAGTTGGTGAAGTGCTTACGTAGATGGTGCATGAGTTGGTGAAGTGCTTACGCAGATGGTGCATGAGTTGGTGAAGTGCTTACGCAGATGGTGCATGAGTTGGTGAAGTGCTTACGCAGATGGTGCATGAGTTGGTGAAGTGCTTACGCAGATGGTGCATGAGTTGGTGAAGTGCTTACGCAGATGGTGCATGAGTTGGTGAAGTGCTTACGCAGATGGTGCATGAGTTGGTGAAGTGCTTACGCAGATGGTGCATGAGTTGGTGAAGTGCTTACGCAGATGGTGCATGAGTTGGTGAAGTGCTTACGCAGATGGTGCATGAGTTGGTGAAGTGCTTACGCAGATGGTGCATGAGTTGGTGAAGTGTTTACGCAGATGGTGCATGAGTTGGTGAAGTGCTTACGTAGATGGTGCATGAGTTAGTGAAGTGCTTACGTAGATGGTGCATGAGTTGGTGAAGTGCTTACGTAGATGGTGCATGAGTTGGTGAAGTGCTTACGTAGATGGTGCATGAGTTGGTGAAGGTTTGGAGGTTTTCCTCCCCCATGACAAACCTTGTCATATCACCAACATGTTTGTACATTCTTACTTTCTGTTAACAAATCATGTGTGTTGAAAGATTTGTGTACGTATACTACATACATGCGTACGTATGTACGTAGATACTGCAAATATAAACTACTATTTCTATACCTGTGGTGTCTGGGTGGATGGAGACTGACTGCATAGCAACATATGATCTGGATGAACAGGTTGTGAATACCATATACTGCCATCATCACAGTCTCTTTCGTCACCAGTACTGTCTAAATCCACTTTATTAAAACGACGAAATTCGGGTTGAGATGCTGACACGTGACCGCTACAAAAATTCAAATATTCTATTTCAAAAAGCGCGTTATTAATAAAATCATTTTATTACTGTACATGTATTTTCTTACTTTTGATAGGAAATATCTTCTTTTTCATTGTTAGTGCAAACTTTCTTGAATGGTCTGGACTGACAGGGAGACTTGTTGGGAGATTGTTTATTCTTACTGAAACTTCTTAAATACCATTTGTGATTTTTTATTTGTTTCACGGTGTAACGATGTTTTGGTTTTTCGCACAATATTTTCAAAAGCAACCCTAAATTAAGAACAACTTTAGTTCTGCAGACTGCAGTGCGTCCAAAACCAAAGTTGCAGATCACAGGTAACAAATTACAGGTCAATCAAAGATGTCACATTATTACAAATTTCTCGTTTCTCGCGAAAATCAGTCTATACTGCGTACGTTAACCAAGAAAGGGGGCATATTATACAATAAACGTCAACTAAGTAAAAGGGGGGAGAGTTATTCGACAACTGCCTTAAGTTATGTATCTGTCTAAAGGATTGTGATATGTACTTACGTTATTAAAAAAATTGTTTGAACAGAAGGTGTAGTATGGATCTTAGCATATCTCTGATTTTGCATATTCTCATTCCTTATTTGATATTTGTCAGTGTATGTTATATGACTTCCCAGATCTGTAATTTGTGACTTGCAACAAACAACACGTAACCTGTGACCAATAGCTGTCATTTTAGACAAGCTGGTTGATTTTAAAAGTATATTAACAAGCCAAATAATATTTATTTGAAGAGAATAATATATGCATGTACATAAAAGTTGGCTAAAAGTACATCAGACTCAGTAAATATGACCTGTTACAAAACATCCTGTGTGTTCATTCTTAATACGCAAATATTCTATAAGCTTTCGTTATGCACTGACTTACCAAAGGCTAGTGGATTGATTTTATTCCAAGGTGTGAAATGGTAGTCCTGTAATAACCAAGCATTGAATTCTGCACATTTGCAAGATGGTTCATTCCATGGCAATTCTGCAGAGAAAATTCAAACAATTTATGTGATGTAGAAAACAAATGATTACAAAGGTACGTATATATGGGAGGATTACACTATGAAATGAATGTATGTAAACTACAACTGAGAGTTAACCAAATGTTTTTCACTTGAATTGTTTCATAATTTGAAGTTTATATTTGTGAACATTTGCCATTTTTTCAATTGGGATTCATTTAATCCATAATTCAAATCAGATTCCACCAAAATGTTTTTAATTGTATTCACATTTGAAAAAATGCAGAAATCTACATTTCTTTATAACAAAAACCAACAATTCATTTGTAAACAATATCTTTTTATGTTACCTCCAGCCAACATTGCAACCAATATGATGCCACAAGACCACAAGTCAGCTGGTTCTGCTGAATACTCTTTTCTTGAGAACACCTGAAGAAAAAGCAAATTTATTTGCAAAAATAGGATGTTGAAACATCTTGATAAAACATCAAATCTAAACTGCAAGCCAAATCCATAAAATACACCAATACATACTATGTATGGTGTATGCGGATGTGTGCTCAAATTCAATCTATTTTAAGTTTAAAATCCAATATAGCATGTACGTATAATACACAGGCCTGCTGAGAGAGGAAATAATGGGGAGCATTTTCCATAAGACCCACATACATATTCCTTCTGGCAATTCGGAAAGTAAAAATATATGCATACTTTTGACAATCACAGTAGAACATACCTCTGGAGCAACATATGGAGGACTGCCACAACATCTTCCTAGTAATCTCTCTTTTCCTTGATGTCTGAAGACTGTGGCAAGTCCAAAATCAGTTATCTTCAAATTGTCTTAAAACATAATTGAGTTAAAGTTTTAATAGATTTTGTTAAGTACAATATAGTAAAATAACTTAGTCGCACCATTGTCGTCCAATATGATATTTTCTGGTTTCAAATCTCTGTGTGTTACACCTTTAGAATGAAGATATTCCTATACAACAACAATTAAGGTCAAGAGAATGTGAGTTTTAAGTAAAATAATGTTAGTTGTGTACGGATAACTTACTACTCCATCTAATAATTGTTTGAAATACTTTTGGGCTTGCATTTGAGACATTCCAATATCAGGCTCTAAAAATATAAAATGGTTTAAAATCAAAATTATTTCCTTTCATATACAAAACACATGCAACTAAAACGAACTTTACCTATTTTATCAAAAAGCTCACCACCTGATGCATATTCAAGAAACAAGAATTGTTGGTCACCATCTGTTCTACTTCCATAAAAACGTATAATATGGACATCTTGCAACATGCGATGAATACATATCTTGAAGAAAACAACAGTAAAATAAAATTAATCAATCAATAAATAAATCTATGGACAAAGGCCAACTGGAGTCAAGATCTATATAATTAAAAGGATAAAGACATGCATATATCTCATTTTTGAAACAAATTAGTAACATAAGAAAAATCTAGAGCATACGACTCTGATGAAATAAATTCGAAAAGGTGACAAATCAGAAATATTCATAGCAAATAAAATTTCCTGATGAACAGATTAGTAAAATTGGGTTTGATGTTCAGTGTTCACAATAAATGAAGTCATATCAGTATGAAATGTGATTTATTGCATGATTACGTCTTTCAAGGTCCAAAATATCAAACACATAAAAATAAAGAACATTCACAAAGCAAGCCACAGCAAAAGCAAAATTAGCAAATATACATTAACAACATGACTGAGCTATTCATGAAAAACAAACGCCACAAAAACGACACTTGGGACCTGATTTCATCATGGAATGGACGATATTCTTTAAATAGTCAAACAAATGAATAACGTGGAAAAGTAATTCATCACTTTTAAAATTTAAAGTCAAATCATACCTCTTTACGAATATCTTCAGGACATGCGACTTGCTTCATATTGATGACTTTAACAGCAACGGCTTCCTGGGTTTCCTGATTAATCGCTAACTTCACTCTGTGATGTAGTATGAACGATTGACAACAATGTAAATGGATACAGAAGTAAAAAAAGGATATAAATGAAACACGTACTCGCCAAATGCTCCTTCACCAAGTGTTGCAACAAAATTCCAACCCTCTACAAATGATTCCATCTCGAGTATTTTAAGAGAATCGAGCGCAGTAGCCAAAAATTATAAATTCGAAATTGTAATACATAGAATAAAACGCATTTCATTCTTTTTCTTGCATTTTTTCATAACAGCATCGTATCCATTGCCCATTTGATCTAACAGAAAAGCGGAATGCTTGACCTGGATCTGATAATCGCTTCGGTTTTCGCGCCTTATTTCGCCAACTGGTGCTTCCATGTCACTAATGACAAATTGGAAATGATGATAACAAAGTTTTTCGCGTACCAATCATTGAGTTCTATAAGACCTGGAGGGGAAAAGGGGCCTGGACCCTGTGGTCAAAAACATGGCGGTAATGGCCTCAAGTAAACCAATGAACTTACTCTTTACTTTTTTTAGATTTATTAAGTGAATAAGATTTACATGCGATATACTGCTTGTCTGTATACAACTATTTAGTGCAAATTGTGAATTTCTCCAAAAAGGTAAAAGCAATCCATATAATATGTATGTATTAAATGTTATGTCAATGTTGGTCTGTATCTTATTATAACAGGGTGCTGTTAAAGCAGTTGTAACAAGTACAATCAAAAGAAATTGAAAAAGAAAATGAACTTGCCAAGGTAGAAATGAATCCAAATATATATTAAAAGAAATATGTAAAAATATAAATAAGATAAATTGTAATATCAAATAAAATACAATAAGCAAATATAATAATAATACAATTAACACAATTAACTTTGTTTTTCAATAAACTATGTTAATTTGCCTTTAAATTGGCAATTTTTGAAAACATTTGTTACTCTTTTTTGAGACAAAATTTTTCTGCTTAAAATAGGGCACATTTGTTTAACATGCCCTTTTCTTTTGCAATATCGACACATCATTCCTAAAAAATATTAATGTTTCAGTTTGTTATATTAAAAACAAGAGTCTATACTACAAAAATGTGAACCTACTTGCTCTGCATTCGGTTATGTGGTGCCCAAAAAGACCACACTTCTGACATCTGCCTATAGAAATTGAAAAAATTGTAATTCTTACAAGAAAGTATTTAATAAATTATGATATTATGAACCATACCATGAAATTCGTTTCTTCTATCTGTAATGTAACAAAAGTAATACAATTTTAATATATTATTAATCAAGTAGGGTCATAAAAAATTTTTATATTTCAAAATATTTTAAACATATTCAGTAGAAAAAGATTAATGTCATACTTTGGGATGGACCACCACCAGTCCCCACCACACTTGTAGTGCTTTTTTCTTCATGTGCTGCAATTGGAAAATATTGTCTATTAAAATATAAGTTATTACAACAAAGTCTTTAATGAATTGCAATATAAAGTAAATGGTTTGAACCCGGTTTTATGATACACACCACAGCATTTTTTAATATAGTTGGCAGCGCATTCGGTTTTAACACAACTCTATTCCCAACTGTTTCCTTCATATGGTCAGAAAAATGTTCTGAACAAATCCGACCCCATTTCTTTGGGGCAAACTCATTCATAGTTCGAGAGTTTTGCTTAATGCTAGACACCCACATCTCCAAAAGATGTGGGTGTTTTGCTGCATATGGAAAGCTATAATGAGCAGAAAGTTTGAGATAAATACAATTTAAATTAAAGATTATGCTTTAAAAAAATTAGAAAAACTACAAACGAAATGGTATCACGCCATCAAACGACAAAATTACAAAAACGAGGTGCTTTTTTATCGAGCAATAAATAATATTATTTTGCCTACCGGTGCCATGAAAAGTTTCCATTTCTTGTACTATTTCCACAACCATACACCACACAAGTTATAGGCATAGGATAAAATTGAAAAATAAGTTTCGAAAAGAAAGGTATAGTATATCGCCAATGTAATTGCAATTGTAATCACTATTGTAATCGCAACAAAGTGGTTGTCAAAATCCGGGTGGGCGATAAAAATTATATTTCGTGAGCCCGCGTCTCTCCGCTGACTTTGACAACCAAAACCGCCATGTTTTTGACCACGCGGCCGCGCGCTAATAATTTTTAGTAATTTGGTTGACGTTTCCCTCCAGGTCTTATAGAACTCAATGGTACCAATAAGGTACCATGTCTGTTTATATTGATACTGTTAATATCATGCAGTACGCGAAAAAGCTATTTTTTAAGCTAAGGTTGATCAAGGGGGAAGGAGAAGATCAAAATAAAGGCAGTAGCACTGGCAAGGGGGCAAGCGCATGCAAACTCAACAAAATTTTAATGTGTTTTCAAGATTATAGTCTGACGGTATTCGTTTGTACAATCATAAAAACAAGTTAAAAAATAATATGCAACAGCCATTTTTTGCTCGGACTTAAAGCGTCCGCTTTACAGGCAAAATGATCATCATTCAAATTACAATAAAAGAAGAAAATTGTAACGTGTAAGTTTTTAACCTAATGGTATAATTTTTAAATTAAAAACATATAACATTCTTTCATGTGGTATAATTTTTGTTTAGTATATGGTTGGAGAAGTAGACCAAAGTAAGTAGTAAGCGTTGTTCAGGGCTCCTTTTTAATGAAGTTGATAACTGGGGCAATGGGATGAACAAACACAATAGTAACTATTGACGTTACTAAAAAAATTTGAATGCTAAGAATTGGAGGAAGCGCAAAAAATTTTCCAAACGAAAAGCCACCTTCACGTTCATGGAAACCAACCGCTGACTTGAATCCTTTACTCTAACCATCTTCATGACTTCTGCATTCTTTCACCAGTTTTTATAAACGTATCATGCACACAGAGTAATTGGTTGGACAGTATTTTAAAGGGGATGATACAATTTTTACATTCAATACATACGTATGTCAATGATTACACATTATCAATCTTTTATACCATTTTCAGATTCTCTTTCATCTTTAGAACGATGCTTGCGTTTCTTACGCTTTTTGGACTTATGACGATGAGATGAACCAGATTCAAGGCACTCAGACTCTGGAGTTCTTGAACAATCTTTACTCCGCTGGTTGCAATCAACATCTTTGTTTGATTTGCGGTTTCTTCTATCTTTACCTCTCGACGATCCTTTACTGTGAGAATATGGACGATGGGCCGACTTTTCGTAATCACTGTCGTCTGAATTGCTGCTACGATGGGATCTCTTTCTTTTCTTTGTATGTTCATTGTCACTATCACTAAACGATTTATCTCGATACTTTCTTCGTTTACTGTCATTTCGATATTCTCTATCATCATACCTAGAGCGTCGCTTTTCACGAAAATATTTATCATTTTTACATCTAGAATTTCGTCCGCGTTCTTCACGACGATCATTTTCATCTCTGCTGCAACGACGATTTTCCAAACATTGTTCGGACCAATCATCTGGATTGCGATAGACATGAAGAAAGTTGCAATTTTTACCACGTGGACATCGATTTTGTGCAAATAAACCTGTGATAATGGTAAAGATAACGATATGTCATATGAACATACAACCACATAGTCCTTGTTGGTCAAACTAATTTGACTAACTGTTGAATTTAGTAAAAGAACTTCCATTTAGTAAAGTACTTTAACAATTGTTAATATCTGTTAGCTATACATCTAAACACGATAAAACACAATTGCGATGTACGCAGCATAAAAAATAGAGCTTCCAAAGTCGTGAAGAGAAAACATTGTATTTTGTACACATGTTGTGTATGTAAAACCGTATATGTTTGCATGGTATCACTAGTTCTTTTAATTAGAATTTCAAGAGAATTTTATATCATAAATATATATAACTATAGTTACCGCATATAGCTGACTTCCAATTTGTCACAGGTGAAAATTCACAGGACAACTGTCTTCCTGCATACCATCGACCATTGAATTCAGCAAATGCCTTTTTGCAATCTTCTTCTCTATTAATAAATTTGAAAAAGCTTGAAAGAATTTCGCACTCAAAATTATCATTTCATTCAATAACATGTTTGCGTAAATTAAGGCTGAATAATATAAACTGAAATACCTTAAATACTGGACATAAACATTTCCACGAAGGTGCAACTCGTAATTACAACACACCTATGACATGGCAGAGGGGTAATATGGATAAAAAAATTCGTATACAGGATAAGTATAAATAATGAGATATTCAGCTTGGTTTATATATGATGTTTGAACGGCATCGTTACTTGAACAACATAATTATAAATGAAGTCGAGCAATATAAATTGATATATTTTATGCCGTAAAATCTATCGATTGTAACTGTTAGCAGACTTCTTTTCATGTCTGCTATTACGTACAGAAGATCAAGCAAACTAAAACATAGTTTTAAACTGAATAAAGTCCCATGTAATTACCGTAAACTGTGATACTCTTCCGTATTTTTCAAACTCCGGATACACATCATCATAAAATACCAGAAAGTTCTTGTACGCATCTTGCTCATCAAACTGAAATAACGAGTGTTATTGCACTGTATATGCAAAACGTTGATGTTTTGAATGTTGATGCAAAACTCCATTCTCTGTGTTTAATGATTAAAGCTTGTTTGGTCCTGTGGCGAGGCCACCTCGATAATTTTTTTTTTTTGGGGGGGGGAGCAATATACATATATTCATGATCTCCTGTTGTAAGTTTCGTTGAAATCAATTGTTTTCTGCGGATTATAACATGCATATAGTATATAAATATTGTCTCCCCCCCGTTTTATCAATGTTAAATACATTCGGTCCAAAATCATTCAAAAAGCAAGGAATCGAATTCACATTGTTTTGATCATTGTAATCACATCTCCATTCTCCATGCAGGTACAGCGCGAAGTTGTAGGATTATTTTAACTTGAAAAGTTAAATATATTTGCTGCCAGCATCTTCAAATAAAAATATTGTAACACTGTGATGCTACTGCGTCACTACATATTGTCCTTAAAGCATTTCTTTCCACATAATTTCAAACCATATACATGCATACGTTGCTTATCAGAGAAAAGAGCTTGGCAGCGAGTTTGTTAAATTCGTTTCCCAGTAAGAGCCAAACTTTTACATACTTTAACACAAAATTACGTTCTTAACTCTTCAACATTCACGAGAACTCACACTTATTTGTAAATATGTATTTACCTCTAATCCTGTATCACGATCAGCGATATCTAAAGCACTTTCTATGTGTCTTATATCGTTGTACATTGATGGAATAAGAAGTGTTGTGCTACTAGATGGTCTAGGATGCTGGCGGGAACATCTAAGAGTTTAATAAAACATAGGAAGCATAATTATTCTGTAAAACCAACAATATAAGCATGTTTACATTCGTTAATTTCGTTTTCCACTATTTTACCCAGGGTTTTTCATTAAATAAACAAAATCAAAAACGCAATGAAAAAGCAAGTATCTCACAAGCCCAGGGTGCATTTTCACGAGAAAAAAACCCAACCAAAATAGAGATCAACCGATAAATATTATACCTTTCACCAAATCTGCAGGCACCAGTTTTGAGATAGAATGAACAATTAACAACATCCTAAAAAAGTAGACGAATATCAACTATCATGTATGAGTTTTTGCACGCATATCTAAAGTATTGAGTACATACATACATACTTTTCAAAATCGTATTCTTAAATAAACATTTGTAACGATGAGTTCTGGTCATACGAACCTTTTCTGTTCCATAATTTTCAGGTGCAACAGGATTATGAAAACGATCCTTAAATGGACATTACGATTTGAAAATTCAAAAATGTCATTTATAAACAACTGGAAGAGAAATTTCTCCACGACCTTCGTGTGTGTTGAGCATATTCAAAAGGTAGTTACCAAGAAACCACAAATGAAACTCACCTGGGCAGACGGGACGTCTTTTTCTAGTTCTCTAAAAAGAGCATCCTAGCAAAAGAGTTAAAGAATCCACAGTATAACCATGTACTTAGATACAGTAAAGTAAAAATTAGTATATATATACATATATATGACACCACAAACGCAATATACGTATAACAAAACTGATTTCCCCACAAGAGAGCTAAAGAATCTTTTAACGATCATATAAACTAAACTTGGATACATGATAAGGATCAACTAATGTTACTCTACAAGACACGACATACTGAGGTAGACGAAGCTTTGACTATATAAGCATTAAGTCCTACCCCAATATGAGATATTGGCAATACAGCTGTTGACAATTTTAAAAATAGAAATGTGTATGTAAAAATTTATTTAGATCATCAAGAAGGGAATCCCAGGTTTCGAACGACAGTCTCTTCTACTCCCATGATTTTGGGCTTTTGATTTAAAGCAGAAAAAAGTCTCTAAAATGGTTGGCAGTTGTAGATGCGAGCACTGACTTCTGACTCAAGCATCAGCAACTAACCACCAATGAATTGTGGGATAAAAATTAGTAATGTAAAGTTACAAATAAAGTAAGGATACATTGAGCCCTGATAGTTAGTTTATCGTGGATAGTTCCAACATCAGATCCAAACGCAGCAATATTTCAGCAACATTCGTTGTAGCTTTATGATAATCTGTGACGTAGTTTTTGTTAAGGAATCGTATTCTTTAGAATATTCTATTTTTGTGTATTTTTAATAGGTAATCATTGCCAAACTGGCAAGTAAATTTCGAAAGTTTAAAAAGATAAACATCAAATGTAAACGTTTAGTGACGACCACATACATGGAACTGAAGAATATCTTAGAAGATCTTGTTTTGGGTGATATCTTAGAAGATCTTAGTCAACATTGAACAAACTGACTGAATATTTTAGTAAAGTGCCAATATCAGGGTCAGAAAAATAACTTCCTAACATAGCTTAATGGAATTTAAGAACATTTTAGAACTGCGTTTTCTCCTTTTACGTCACTTTCGGCGCGGTGTCACCTACTTCTAGACGCAATAAACTCATGAATATAAAAATTTTCAACCTATCAAATATATTATAAAGAAGTTATTTCTCTGACAATGATACACCCACTTTAACATTTTCATGTACTGTAAACAGTCATTTGCAAGCGCGCAACAGTCAGTATTTTTCAATTCCTTCACAAAGTGTTATTAGATTCAAGTTTTTTTCTGTACGTACCTCTTTATCTTTTATCTCTTTTTCTTTTTTCTCCTTTTCCAATTTCTCTTTTTCTTGTTGCCTTTCCCATTCTAATTTTATCACCTTCTGTGAAAAGAAGCAACAGGCTTCAAATTATTGCATGATGCTAGTTGATCAATGACTGAAAGGGTACACCACGCATTGTTGGGGTACACCATGCATAGTTAAGGTACACCACGCATAGTTGGGGTATACCACGCATAGTTGAGGTACGCTACGCATAGTTAAGGTACACCACGCATAGTTAAGGCACACCACGCATAGTTGAGGTACATCACGAATAATTGGGGCACCCGAAGCCAGTGATGGTCCATGAGGTCGGCCCTCTCCATGCGTACAACCTCGATCTTCTGATAGCGTTAATGTTTGAATAAATAAATAATCAAGTCCAAGACTTTGAGTCAAGCCTTTTGTATCGTCTAAAGTGAGACCCACTTTCAACACATATGTTATGAAATTTTAATTAATTTAGCATAAAAAGTGATTAAGATAATTTCATTCAACAATTAACTTATCAACTGCTCAATCACAATCTAATTCACGATGGAATCCTATTATGAAATCAATCATCAGTTTTCTTGCGAACTATCTTAAATCTAGAACAAAACAATTGCACAGCTGGGATTTTTTCATTTTCACATGAGAGTACATAATTTAAGTTTACTAGTTTAAAAGGAAATTTTTTTACACGTTTTACATCTCAATGATGTAGCCTAACATTATATCTACCTTTAAACAAAATGTGCAGTGTTTTTGGAAACAACTGTTTTTGGAAACAACGTTTCATGTCAAGATGACATTATCTATGTATAAACAGCTTGTTGATATTGCCACATTATAAACATTGCACCCATTTTTCCATAAATGTTCAATTGTTGGGCATTTTAAATATACGTAATACGTATGTATATCGCACGAATTTAAAAAATTCAGATGTAAATTGGTTAATATAATGGCAGGTCACCAAAAGATCCTAGCAACTTTGCACTAAAAATTGCACCATGTGAGCTTACTTATGCATGTTGAAATTTTGTACCTCTTGCTCTTCTTTTACTTTAATTTTTCTTTCCTCTTCTATTTTCTTCTGAGCAAATTCCTCTTGAGCCTTAGCCTCACGTTCTAACCAAAGTTTCTCCTTGTTTTCCCTGTTGACAAGATATATACCTCAAACATAATGTTTATTAAAACGATAATTGGCAGCAAGGAAATTTTTTTTTAATTTTTAATACACTATTAGGTAAATAAAGCATGAAACTGCATATCTCTCTTTGAAGCAAAATTTGCAATGAACTTCTTGATAATACTTTTAGCTTTTATATTCTACAAGTATTGATACATTCTACGTGGACACGTCATAAAGACAATAATTAAAAATTTCATCAGATCTAGAATGTTGTCCATTCTTTCTTCTTTACCACAGTAAAGACTTACCTACTTCGTATCTGTTAAATTTTATTTTATTTCAAAGGTTTGTCTTTTACCAAACAGTTAGCTCAACATTATAAGCCAAGAAATTGTCAGGAGTTGAAATAACAGCATTTGGTAAAAAATGGAAGGATATCAAAACAATAGGAAAGATGCAAAACTTTTATCACAACTTCTGATGAAATATTAATAATGCAAAAAATTCAATATTACCAAGTTGTATTGCCATGTGAGCTGATGTGACCTGCATACAGCAATCCATACATAATGATATAATAATGATTCTGGATGAAGACAGAACATGCATTCTATGATTGAAGTTTTTCCACATTATTTCATGTGTGTATGAGTGCAACCAACAGCAAGCAGTATAAACTAAAGAAGTACTTTTGTGAAAATATTTCTTAGTTTTTTTATTTTTTTTTTATGTTTCAAAAATTGTCCATTAATGATTGACAAGATTGACACACCTTTCAAATTTTTCTTGTTTTTCCTTTTGCAACTCATCATCTTCAATTTGTTGTCTAAATTTGAAAATTCAAATATAACTTTGAGTATCTTGATTTCAACCAATTACATTGAAGCTAAGTGACAGAGTGGCAATGCCAGCCCAATCGTTTACAAATACAATGCAAATTTTCACCACAATTATTATTAAATTTCTTTAGAAAATTAATTACATTCATTGTTTTTCGAGTGATTAAGCATAAAAATATTTGCGATGTAGAAGTAGAAAACAACCTGGCTTTGCTATTGTTGCTTTAGCCATATCATGTATAAGATCAAATGGGGCAATTAACTTAAGTTATACCTTGTTCAATCATGCATCAGTGATAAAGCTATGAAATGTGTTCATTCTGTTTTTTGTAAAAATAATCAAAACAATGGAAGAGTGTTTAAATTTTATACAGTATTAAATAGTCAAGCGGCACTTGTACCTGTAATCATGATCATTTTGAAGACGTTCCTCCTCTATAAAAAGTAAATTCTTTTTCAAACATTTTTTCAGTAATAACAAATTTCAAAATACATACATGTATGTATAATTTCACCATAATATTTTACTAACGTAATATTTACATTATGTTTAAAATAAAGTGACAACACCAATGACAAAATGTTTACTGTATGATAATTTGATACCTTTTAATTCTGCCTGCCTTCTTGCTTCTGCAGCCTTTTGCCGCCTTAACTTACGTTTTTCTTTCTGGAGGAGCCTTTTAAACAGTTTGTGGCTGTAACATCAGAAGAAAATGTGTAAAAAAATGAAATGTAATCTACATAACATGAGAATGGCATTTTTGCCTAACAGATATAGATTTATGGAATTTTTCAAAAGAAACAACCACAAAGGTGAAGTCAAAAGTAATGTAGAACAAATATCTTTTTTTGATTCTTCAAGCCCTCAGGTGTCTCCTCTACTATTTGTTAGCCAGAAAATATGGAAGGCATAACTAATGTTTTTAATGAGGCAACACTAAATCTTTAACCATAAAAAGTAAGGCATTCATTACACAGCAGGTAAAAGTAAAACTAGCCAAGATAAAACTCCTGGAAACAAAATTACAGTACAGTCAAATTTATTTGCTTTAAGATTTATAACAACGCATTTTGGTTGTAGGTTTTTCTTAGCAAGTTAGCAGCCACAGTGAATGTTTGATTGCGTTCAAAATTTACATGCAAGTTTTACTTCAACCAAAATTTATTGTTGTTTAAAAATAAAGGGAATAATAAACAAGTTAGATTACCTTAGTTTTTTTGCTGTGTTCAAATTGTCCGCCATGATAGTTGGTCAAATGACTCAAATCTCAATTTCTTGATCGGACGTAATGATCCAATCTCTAAGCCAAACTGTGGATTGTTAAACTCGCACTACTTATATAAATCAGAATTGGGAGTATAAGGATTAGGATTTGCTAGATCATTACTGCCAATCCTTTATCTCCAAGCATTAAATTCTCTGCAAATACGACGAGGAAAGGAAACCATTAACCAAGTTAGCGAACACAGGAAGATCTTTCAATAAAACTAACATGAAAATAACTAAGTTACAATTCAATTTTAACAAAACCAAACAATGCTGAAGAGTTATCATGTAGATGGGATTCTCTAAACATGAACCATTACCTGAAATTAACTTATTTTACTTATCTTGCATAAGGTCATAACTTATAAGATATAAAATAAGGTTAATGTATTGAGAACAAACCCCATCCCATTTAATGACGCAACATTCATCACCAATACGTAAAAGTAAACTACAGACGCGTCTAAAAACTTCAATTTACATCAAAAATAACTTGCACAAAAATAATGTCATAAATTATCTTACAACAGAATGTAGGAAATATTGTCAATGATACTTAGGATTATGGCTCATGTCTTATTTAACTCAACTTATATCTATTCTTATCTTTTGTCATTATTTACATTGATTTTTACAAAATTACAATTATCACTGCCTCAGGGCTCGCTGGAATTCTTGTATGATACTATTTGTCTGACTAATCAACTTGTTAGCGCTATAATAGACACTATCTTCCCTACAGTAAATAAAACCATAAAAAAGTCAACATGTAATAAAATTGTGGAATTATTTCAAAAAAATTCACTTACTTTGAATCTTTGAAATATCGCTTCAATGTATCACTGAAACTTCTGGAATACTTCACAAACTCCTTTTTATGAAATTCTAAATTCTGGAAGATCATTATTTTATAACTTTGAATTATGTTATGAGAATATCACCGCGAAAAGTTACTAACAACATACTCTTTTATGTTCCATCATTCGTCCTGTTGTAATATAACTCTTAAGAACGTCATTTACGGAATCAAGCAACTCCTTTATCGAACTGGCAATTTCTCTAAAATACATAATTATAACTACCAACTTACTGCACTCACTGACTAATACATAAAATATAAGCATTGCAAAAATATTTGGGCTTAGTGCATAAACCACAACTAACAACCTGCTATTTAAGATCTTTACAACCAAACAAAATTATTACAATGAGCAGTACGTATAGTTAACCAGTAGAATAAACAGCAATAAGAAAGATTACAAAAGGTTGAACCGGTAAAAGAAAATGACAGTACAAAAGCAAAAAAAACAAATAAAACTGAGAGTGAGGGTAAGAGATATTTGTAATAGTTGAGAAGGCAATGACAAAAGATAACGACAATCAACAAAGTCAATACAAAAAGCTACAATAGCATATTTGCACAGTATGTTGTGGAAATTCAGTAATTAATATACGTAAGGTTTACAAACTTTATTGCTTGTAGAAACTTTGATCTGTCGTGAATTTCTTTCGGAATTTGGCACAAAGTCTTTTTCAGCTCTGAACAGGATAATAGATCAGAATTTTTTAGTTCAGTGGTCACAGTGTGAGAATTAGTTCAGAAAAAACGATGTGCAATTTTTTTGACAAAAGTGTTTCTTTATAGGCATAATCAAATCGATATTACGTTAATTATTATATAGCGCTAATTGCTAAATTAATGTTTTTAAACGTAAACAAATTCATATGATTTACGACAGTGTTTTTCGTTAAAAACGCTGATTTTTGCACATCGTTTGAAAAAGTGATGTGCAATTGTTTTCATTTTAGCTAAAACGATGTGCAAATTGCACATTGCACACCGTTAATTCACACACTGGGTCATATGGTATACTGTATAAACACGGTACGATTGATAACGAATATTGTTGACAGTAACTGAAACTACTAAAAATCAATGATGTGAGGCCTAAGATCAGATTACTTTATAAATTCCTTCAAAATGGATAATTATTCAGCTTTACTCACTTTGTGCCTTCTTGTTCAGTGTTTGAAATCCTGGTTCGGGTCGATCAATAAACAAAGCTACGTAGTCATAAAAAATAAGGAAAAAATTAGTTGGATTCAGGCATACCCAAGCTAACTTTAATTGTACTGTAATAGCTCATAGACACAATATAAATTTATACCATCAATTTCTTTTTCAGACAGCAAAAGAAGTATCTCATTCATGTTATGAGGAATGGATTCTAACGGGAAAAATACATTTAAAAATAAAAGAATTAAATATTGGATTCTCCGTCAAACATGTACTTTTGACAAGACTGTTACAATATAAATTTCAGCTTAGTAAGATGTCATAGAATAGAATTGCACAACTACATGAAATGTTACTTGGTTCATGCATTCATGAAAGATAATTAAATGGCTTTGTATCACTTCTCAAACCAAAGTTTACAACATTCCTACATACTTCTCAATGAAAGAAAATGAATGAGTGAATCTTATAACTAGTCAGACAAATTCAACATTCTCTTAAAAATGTGTTCAACATTGAAATTGAATGCAATTAAGTACATGAAGAATGCTTGCGACATTATAGCAATTATTGGTATTTTGTATACGTACATGGACTACAAAATACAAACCTTGCTTGAGAATTGCAGACACAAAATCTTGACATACTCCAGGTGCTTGCAGCTCAGCCTTAAGTGAAATTAAGAGCTAGAGTTAAAGTTATTTACAATCCATATGTAAGAGAAATAAATTTCAAGGATCATTATAACTGTGCCAAAGTTGGACAGAACATGCTATCAACAAAGAATTTGGAAACAAAAATGATAACACTATAGCTATTGTAAGTTTGCAAAGTAAAGCAAAAACACAAATTTTGTAATGTACGTAAAACAATACCATAAGGTATAAAAATATCTCAGTGGCAGTCCATTGTATAAATATTAAAAGTGATTTTGAAAGTGAATAGAAAAAAGGCCCTGCAAAACACATGCCAAAAAATCTTTTTAACTTTTTAGTGTTCTTCACAAAACATGTACATCATAGAGAACTTATTGCATGTACAAAGTTTGTTCTCCGGCATGCAAAGTTTCCAAACTTAAAGTAAGCAATAGAGCAAAGAGACGGTGATGATTATCATTCAGGAAGAGAGGTTATCATTGATAAGTCACAATGGAATATATAGTGGGTGACATCAATAATTGTTGAAGCTGGACAAAATATAAGACAAACTTTCTTCATTTCATATAATGAATTAAATAAATCTCCACCTTCTGAAAAGCTCCCTGTATCCTATCTAGAATTGTTTGGTCAACATGATGGCACTGCAAATAAAAAGCAATAGCAAAAATCAAAAAGGCCTTTCTTTAAGTTTTTAAAATGAGTAAGGCCTTTGTAAACAAAAAAGCCTTTAAAAAACTATTAAAAGTTGAAGCATTAGGCATATTTCTTTTAATAGGAGGCAAGTTGCAAAAAACAACAAGACAAAAATATACTCACTGAGTTTATACTAAAAACATAAGCAATGAAACTAAGTATAAACCGGGACTTATTTTACTCCTTTTTCCTAACAAGAATAAACTATTCTATAAAATTCTTGGCCAGAGTGCAGAGTATGACATATTTTGACATATTTTAATAAGACCTTAGGTGCCCAAAATGGCAAAACAGAAGTCCATAAAATTTTTATTCGGAAGTGCTGTGGAGTCTGTCCAGAATAATGGAGAAATATATTAAGTGTGGCTAGTTTTTCTATAAACTACATCTTGGATGCACCATTGCCACACTCAGCAATCTGGATGCTGTAATACGTAGGAACCTGAGAGCTTAAAGATTAATTTGTAAGCCATGCTTATTTTATATATTAAATTACATACTTCAAACAATTATATAAGGTAAGTGGTTTAAAAAATATTTAACAATCACAAATTATGACTTATTCTTAATTATTGTATTTCACAATAGTTATTGGTCACAATTAACATAGAATGTAATGAATGTTCTCCAACACCAGCACAGCCAGCATAGTTCTACAACTTTATACTTTTCTGGTTTAACAAAAATATGTGATGTTAATGTTATGCTCTCATGTTACTCTCATTAAATTCGTTATTTAACACTGAAATGTTTTTAACAGGTATTTTTCAATTTTTAAAATAAGAAATCCTCGCTAGAACCACATTTTGAAATGCCCTGCATTTTATTGAGCGATATAAATGACATACACTACATTCATAATAAATTACCAAGCATACGTAGTACGTATTTCAAAACTTTCGCTTTATTTTTTGTGAAGGGAAGATCAAGATACAAGACGATGTAACAGAGTGTTGTCGAAAGTAAGATGACATGTTTGTAATATTCAAATTTGAGATCAGCAATAAAACTCGCACAGTCTTTTTAAAGACTTAGAACTCAGTTACGTTACACTGAAATTGTAAATAATAGATAATTATGGGTACCTTGGCTGTTTCTTTTATTGCAGGTATAAGTAACGCATTCAGAGCCAAGTTGGGTATGGGAACTCTTTCCTCGACTTCTGCCGCCATTTGTTACAACTTTACTGCTATTTTTAACAATATATTGAAACTTGGGATTTTAAAATGACCTGAAGAACAATACTTTTTTCAGCAATTTACGTATGTAGAAATGTTAACTAAATTTCCATATGAGTGTACACATCATTGTTCTTCACAAACCCAGGCCATTCGCGGCCGCATATATTTACTATGTACATGTAGGTAGACTATATACGTAAGGGGTTGAGGGCATACGTACTGCATATTCCCCATACTGTAGTACCGATACCAAAGTCATACCATGGAAGTGGTGGATGGAAGCTTGCTTCTAAATTTCTGCATAACAAACTTTCAATATGATTACGTATGCTAATTTTCATAGAATTAAAAAGTGTTGTTATTTATTGTGGCATAATTATCAGTAACAAAAAATTAATATTTTAAAATACATACTACTTATTTATAATAACATAACACCTGTGAAGTAGTGCTCTGATTGGTGTGACAACCATGTTTTGAATTTTAATCAAGCCATTCATTCAATTCCAAACATAGTAATTTAAACTGCTGATTTTAAAAATGAACATGTCTATTGGCATAGCAAGTCCACAAAATTGTGCATGCTAAGTAAATAATTTGTGTTCAGTCACTGTAAAAAATGGATTTTAAAGAAATGAATGGTGCTAAAGATGAAAAATTAGCATGAGCAAATTTACATGTTTGTGGATGTAGATCATCCAGGTTAACAGAGTCCTGAGAATGTAACTTAATATCTGTCACTTTCATGATCAATGTCAACATCACTATCAGGAACACTGTCAACATCACTATCAGAAACACTGTCAACATCACTGCTGTCCTCATCTATATCATCAAGAACAATTGCACCTCCATTACAAGCAACAAGAGAACCATCATCATTAATATCTTTACCATGAGCATTATCTGGTGAATACTCTCCCCAACACAATTCAAGCTTTGTTATGGCAAGTTGGTGTTGTGCTGTTACAACGCTGCCTTTCAGAAAGCTTAAGTAACCATAGTCACTCCTAGGTTTCTCCACGTGTAATGAACCACCATTGCCACCATATGGACCAAATGGAGTTCCTTTATTTGTTATAAATTTAAGACGATCAATCATCCACCCAGAATTGATTTCAGCTTTCACAATTCTCTCATCATCACTCAAATGAAACTCATATACACTAATGCCTTCATCCTCACTCATACCATAGTGACATAATTCAACCTCTGAGTTGTTGTAAAAAACCATTATTCCACCGATTACATGGCGACCATCCCAAAGACGGGTTACAATTTTCATTCCAGTAATAAACAAATTGGTAAACCCCATTTCAATTCCAAATTTTTCTTTTTCAGGGCCAACATGAGCATTACCTGCATGGATTTTATGGCATTTGAAAACTAAATGACTGTAATTTCGTTCACTTCTCCATAATGCTGGAGCATCATCATCTGCCCCTTCATTTGCTCCAGATTCTTCTGCTTGTTTAATGGCTTTCATGGTTCCATCACATTTGTTATGTGAAATAAATTGCTCAAATTTTTCTTTACATTGAGATGAAAGTGAATGGTAACACAATCCAGGCAACAATTCACTCAACATAATATCAATGTTATCACTTTTTGCATTCAAAGAAACATATTTCAGCACAACTTCAAGAATAAAATCTTCTTGCACTTCTGCTGATGGCAAGAAGTCTTTTTCAAAATCAACAACAACAGCATCGCATTGAAGTATTTGCTTCAAAAGGTTTACATCTAATTTAGAAAAAAATTCTTCTGATTGTGCTATTTTATAAAAACGTTTTGCTACTTTAGGCATCAACACATTTTCCAACAATTCAGCCATTTGATATTTTTCAGCAAAAACAAGCCACGATAGAAAGTTACTATCGTCAATAAATTCTTGAATGAAATCGTCATTGGCAATCCACTTGCGAATATCAGAGAGGTCTTGCAACTGAAAGTAATCGCTCGCTTTTAATACAGGCATAACGTTTAGCTTCGTGAACTTCATCTTGCCTGTGTAGGCATAATCAATGATGCATTCAATGGTAGATTTATTAAAGTTACTGATATCGACAACATCACGAGGTTCGTCTTCATGACCACTGGGTCGTTGTAGTTTAGTAAAGTGAAAATGATCTTCAAAATACAAACTAAAGGAGCTCAAAATCAATTTGTGCGTCTTAATCTCACCATCACTAACAATAAGAGTAATGTCACATAAATTACTTTCCTTATACGACTTGTACATTGTCTCAAGAAGATTATCACTGTGACCCACTCTATGGTAAAATATTTCATTCTAAAAGTACAAAATGAAAATGAAATATAATAAACAGCCCCAGCAAGATAAGTGAGTAGTATTATGACTTACTAATGGTTTTCGTTCCATAATTACCAATTTGTGGCTCGGCTGTGTCAGTGTACTACAACTGTTAATGACAAAATTCTTCCCTTCAATGATACAAGGGTAAAACTTTCTTATAGTCTTACCATGCCTCAAAGACAAAATTTTGATATTGGGCCAGCCAATATTTTACATTTACAACGTGTTCTGCGCATGTCGTGTTTGATGACGTTTTCAGTAGTAAAAAAACAAAAGTTCGGAGTCATCGCAATTTCTCTGTATATCCTTATGCAACAGCTAAAGACGATGGAAAAACTATATTACAACTTTTGCTTTTGAGCAATACATTCTGAAATATTCTACATTACAAGTGTTTTAAAAGTGCTGACTCAGCACTTTTGTTTAGTGTTATTGCTCTTTCTTAAATACATTGGAAAAGCGCCTAACCAAGAACAGTAATATTAAAATAATTTTAATGCCATCGTGTTATTGACAATCACCCCCACAATTACACAAACGAGAACAAACTAAGTGTGCTTTGACGCATTTATACAACGACTAGAACATGAACTTTTGCATCCTCAACGAAGCTGGGATTATGATCTATGTTGTCAACTGCTGCAGTTGTAAACAATCCTTTCCGTAACTTCAACGGACAAACAACGTCATCACTCTCGTACCTTGCTATTACTTTATTAGCAATGTCGGAAGAAACAGATAAAAGCCGATCGTACGAGATGCACAATCCTAACTTGAAAAAAGCGACGATAAGTGATTTATCTCTCTTAGTTCCATGAATTTTGAGGGACGTGTATATTGGTACCGGGCATTCTTTTTCTGTAGTGTGATGAGGTCTTGACGCTTCTCACTCGCGTGAAGTGTAATTGAAGACAATAAGTTGAAAGATGGTTAAGCAAGCTTGTTTTGGATCTCTTTCTGCCCGTTGTTTGATTACAATGGCCTCTTTAAGTATCATTAAATAACAACTTTTAATGATGCTGAAACAGAATCCTTTTGACAATCTTCGAAGAATTTTCCGTTGCATGAGTTCTTTGTTTGAAATATATCTCTTCTTATAATCATAGCCGCTCTTGCTAAATGCCATGCTTCCGAATCTTCTTTTGCCCTTTTAAGGGCGTTTCCAATTTCATGTTTCAATACAAGTATAGTGTCTCTTCCTTGACTTTGATCAGTAAGATTGGGAAAAACATTCAAGATTCTTTCCTTAAGTCTGGTAGTATTAATTGATCCACTTTCAACTCCAAATGCCTTCAACTTCATTTTAGAATATGTTGTCAGCTCCGTTATCTTAAGCAAAACTAAACAATCTGATTCTAGTCGTTTTTCAATACAAGCAATAAGTTCAGCAAACGCTAGCCCATCAAGGTTTGGTCCTGAATGTTCAGAGTTTGTTTACGTCGCAGTCCTCATTGCCCTAGCTCGATTATAGAGAGAAATAAGACATTTAGGATGATACTTTGCCTCCATTGCTACCATATCACGATTCGATACTTTTGCTATAAGTTGTCCGTCATTTAGCAAAACAGCACATTCCCTAACCTTGCCATCTATCTCAAGCGTTGAAGCTGCACGAAGGTTTGAAGAGTTGTCTGGTTTATCACAGAAAATGCACTCGTTCTTGGAAAATGCAGAGAAGCTTGCTCTTCTGGCTTTAATTGGACTTCCTTTTTCGATTTCAGATGCTTGTTCTTCGTCTGTCTTCTCCGCACTGAAGCCTCTTTTCAGGGCACGTTGCAACTTTGTATTGTTGAAAAGATCCCTGCGTGACTTATGCCATGATGCTTAGCGTTTCTTCAATTACATTACCTCCATCGAAACCCTTTATGTCTAGATTCATTGGTAAGATATCAATTTTAATAAATTCTTGCAGATATTTCAAAAATGAGAAGTACCAAACTCATGCATCCTTTCTTTTTGAGTTTGATGGACATTGTAGACGTTCTGCAGTGTCTTTTTGACAAATTATGCATAGTTTCCAGTCCATGAGTTATATAATATTCTACGAGGGAAGCAGTTATTGACACTACATGTGCATGCTTTGTTGTGTTTACATCTTGATCAAAAAAAGAATCTTCTAGATTAAATTGAACACGCAAATTATGAACGTCATTATATTACTATCTTAAAGCAAAATTTTACAGCAAGAACAAGTAAGGACATAATAATAAATTACTTTATGGGTTGGTCAGTGCGTACGATTTTTATGGACGAGTTGAGAATCAATTAGGTGATTGTTTTGAAGCGTTTCCAAACATTGAAGTGACAAAAAGTGCTAAAAACCAGAAATGTTAAAAGATAGAGTGAGTAAGTATTCTGAATGCTAACACAAGTAAGGTAATAAATCTTAAAGAAACTTAATTGAATGTTCTTTATTGTTTCAATACGATTTATCATTGCACTATGGTGAAAGCCGGGAGGGGCACATTGTTATACACTTTATATGCAAAGCTCACCTTTATAGGTTTGAGCACTGTGGTGACTCTACAATACAATCCATACAATGTGTAACCGTATGTCCTGTGTCCCAAGTGCAGGAGTCACCATTTTAATATGGTGATCGCCGGGAGGGCACATTGTATATACACTTTGTATATATATATATATAAGTTTGAAAATTTGTAATCCAGGCATTGAATACATAAAAGATAACAGTTTCTCCGGAGAATCTGTTATCTTTTATGTATTATTTGGGAAAGTATTGACCAAAAGAAAAAGTTGTAATATAGTTTTTCTATCATCTTTAGCGGTTGTTTAAGAATATACAGGGAAATTGCAGATTTCTCTGAACTTTACTTTTTTTACTACCGACGACGTCATCAAACACGACATTCCCAGAACTCGTTTTAAATGTAAAATATGGGTTGGCCCTATATCAAAATTTTGTGTTTCTAAGCATAGCAAGAATGTGAGAAAGTTTCATACTTGTATCATCAAAGTGAATGGTTAGGTGGGGTTTTTTTGTGATTAACAGCTGCACTAGTGGTGCTGTGCTTGAATTGAGTGAAATTTTAAAATAATGACTTATTAATTATATAAAATTATATGAATTTTGCAAATACCGAGGAACCGAGCCTGGTGGCCGAGCCAAGTCATGGTCAGTGGCAGCCATGTGGCAGCCTATTCAAGCAGACTCATCTGGATTGTACCATTGTACCAGTGGATTGTACGGTTTGTACCACCCACTACGGACTACATTGCATTCATTGCCGCTCCACGAAGGCACAAAATTTAACAGTTTAAATTTGAATGGTTCCCCTTTAGTTTTGCCCCTTGTACTATAATGGCATAACACCACCAGCTTTATGGAAAATATAGATTATATGCTTTTGTTGCTTCATTCAATAACACCAATATTGCTGAGACAACGAACATAACGTATTCACACATTTCATTACATGCAATAGACCTTGCAATCGTTTGGTAAAGTCTTGATGAATTCCTTTTCTAAACATGAAAACTGATTTGAGCAAAGGTCAAAGGTGGATGTATAATATTATATCAATAAAGCAGTCATTGTTGTCAAGTTAGATGATCTGTTTACATAAGCCACAGAATAAGGATTGTAATTACGTATCTATTCTGTGATATAAGCGTCAAGCAATACTGACACAACATATACGCTCACCTTGGTCATGCATCAAACGGGTTGAAAAACAAAAAATGTTAGAGAGATGCATTACTTTTGCTCGTTCATCCTACATAAGTACTTTAATTTGAATTTCCTTTCTCCTAACAACTTTCTAAGTACGTAAGACTGAAGAAGTGCATGATGTGATGTCGATATTTGTTTCAATTAAGTCAGATTCGATTTCTTTTCCAACCAGTTTCGATTGTTTTTCCTTGGTTTGCTCAACCTAACTTTTAATGAAAAATGTCAAAAGCAAACGGATCAATATGATGATGAAAAAATCTCAGTCTATCATTGAGCTAACGTTGTCCACACTTAATGGACAATATAATTTTTTCATCCGGCTCTCAGATTATTAATGGGAGAAAGTAAAGTACAAGTAAAAAGTCAGTATAGTTTTACCAAAATCACTCATGAGGCATAGAAATGTAATCTGTTCTGCAACCATGCAATCAGCCTTGCACTCTAGTATAAGCTGGGTAGTTTGCATTAGAACAGAGTTCTGTAATGTGATAACTGAATAAGTCTGAAGGATATTTATAGAAACTAGAAAATGATTCCATGAAATTTCACGTGCAAATCATGCACATCCCGGAAGCTATATATAAAGACTTATCTTTCGCACATCAGTTTCATATCAATTTTCCAATGTGTCCGCGTCAAGTCCTTCATACAACAAATATGCGCCATCTTATCAAAAATCTCATTGTTGCTTTAGTTTTTTATCAGCAATTTGTAGAAATTCAGTCTAAAACAAAATGTGTTGGAGAGTCCGGAGAATACGTTGATTGGTAAAGTAGAATTATGTCATTAGATACGTAGAGATTAAGAACATAGTACAATACTTTATATATCAGTATTTTTGGGTTATATTTACAATAAGTATTTCTTCTTGTTTACTTATCTTGCATATTACTTATCAAACTGTCGTCAATATGTTGTAATACAAAGGATGCAATGAAATAGCGTGATATATATTGCTATTAATCAGCGTCCTAGCGCATTTATTAATGTTCCGTGCATCATGCTGCATGATTCTATTCTATGATTATATATAACGAGCGAGAGGTTATATAAACGGGAAACTATCATCCTCTCAAGCCCCTAAGTTTTCGTGCAAACCGAAGATCATGAAGCAATACTTAGGCGGAAATTATAATATTATAAACAGATCATTTAGGCGGAAAAAACGTGGCAAATCTTGAAAATGGCATCTCGTTTTCGCTATTGTGGTTTTCGCTTTCTGCTTGTTAATAAAAATTTTTGCGCTTTTCTATAATTCAATCTATATCTTCGTTTCAAAACCTAAGAGTTGGATCATTAATTTCCCAAATATACGTAATCAAACTGAAATAGGATATGTTCGTCGTCACTGAGCGGCAAGCTTGGGTCTTAAATAAATTTTTTTCTAAATATCGTCAATAATTATAAAAAAATTTCACAGCCTGTTTGGTAATTTTTGGTTTGTCTTTGGAACAAAGATAAATGAAAATACTATCGACTCTGTTCCTTGTTTTTTCATCTTGATTGTCAATAAATGGAGGTGTCATTATTTGGAATTTGTTTTATTCTGTATTTTCAAAAATTTTATTTTGTGTTTTCTAAATTTGTCTGTTTGTCCTTGTTATTCATAGCTAGAACGTACAGTTCTTGCTGATGCTTACGAAATTTGGAGTTATATGACATTGACAACTAAAGTTGTACCTTTTCGTCACAATAATTAAACGCACTAAATGGAGGAATTGCTTTGGTTTTTGGTTTCTTTCGTTATCATATTAAACATCTTCATTTAATTTTCAAGATTTTGTACAGAGTAAAGTTTGGTACAAAAATGTGATTAATTTTAATGAAGAAGCTCTGAATATGAACTTTGAATGAATCCTCTCTCAGACAACTGGTTTTAACTTTTTCATTCGATTTCGCTAGGTATATTGTATACAAACTGCCAAAAATTAGAGAATCAGATTTTTACTATGTAAAAGAAGGTCTCGGTTATGCATATATGGACGAAAACAAAAGACAATTTGCAATGATTGACAAACCAATCAGCAGTGATAAGAGTGCAGTGGGACGGACATTACAGCAGATTTATCAATCTCGATATAAAGTAAATGGTTTGAGCCCGGGAAACATACAATCTCGACATGTTGGCTACGTTATGTATAATGATGCTAAACCAGAAGGTATGCACCTAACATTTTCTTTGCATCGGGTGAGGTCATAGATACTGTAGTTTAGAGTTCGATACTGACGAATAGAGTAGAATAAGAAACATAGGCTCATATATACGTTGCACAAGCAAAACTAATAGCCTGGCTTTAGTGCTTCTGGAGCAGTTGAGTATAGAATTAATATGCACGATGTACCAAAATATTGCCGTAGTGTAAACCGGTCTTGATTCTCTGCTCTTCATGAAGCGCTGTTTTGAAATAAGTTAAGTCACTTCTTGTAACTGGTGTTTATAAGTATTGTTAAGATAAGTTGTTGCATGTACCATGCAATCAAGAAACTTGGCCGGCTAAGAAAAGCCCACATTCTTTTAATAATAATAAATTAAGTTTGAAATCATGAATGCGTTTGAAATCATGACATACTCGACTAATTCTCTTCTGATAAACATGATTTATAATCCACGAGAAACATCCGAAATATATATGTTTACATGCTGTAATTACGGGATTAGAAAACAAAGTTGAGAAGTTTTCTATTTGTAATAACAATGCCGGTACGGTTGCATTAAAAAATGAAATGATTTCGAAATGTCTATAGAAGTGTGTAGAACACCAAAATATTACAGATACTTGTGTTAGTATAAGCTCTTCAACATCTGAACGAATCTAAAGAGAAGAACAAGAAGAGCGACTGGAAAAGATGTGTGCAATTTTAATTAGCGCAAAAAATTTGGTTGTTTTCGAAAAAATGAAAATATAATCAGCCGTCCAAGATCGTAAACTTCTACATTTTTCTTTCAACTTATAAACTATGCATGTTATACTAATTATAGAGCACGGATCATCTTTTTATGGTCATACCAAAGGTGATCTAGCATTCGATGGAACATCGGGATTCTGGCTGGTTCATAGTGTTCCAAAATTTCCACCTTATGCTGATGAATACTACGACTATCCTGAGTCAGGAAAACGTTATGGACAATCGTTTTTGTGTGTTTCCTTTAACTATTCTATGTTTAACGAAATTGCTCTCCAACTTCTGTACAACGGTCCTCAAAAATACGATTACTATCTACCAGATGTTATGGCAAGTGACTTGCCAAACATGAAAAAGGTTGTCGAAGGTGAGAAATTTGAACAGCACGATTATTTAGGCACGTTTATCAATCGTACATTATATAATATGTGTAGTGTTTTTTAATCAAAATTCGTTGTAGGTAAATATTGGTACGGACAACCATATGCACATGTTTCCAAACTTCATTCTATTGGTGGCATGACTTACATAAGTTTTGCCAAAAATAAAAATTTTGACAGTGATTTATACAGCAGTCTGGTTGCACCATTTTACGCTACTGATCTTTTGGCGGAGACTTGGCAAAACGGCGAGAGCAAACTGAAGTCAAATTGCAGTGAATATTCAGTAGAAAATGTTAACGAGGTGAAAGTTTGCGATAACCATTTTAAAGAAACCGATGACCATTCAAAGTGGGCAATTTCCAAATCTTTGGAGACAAATGCTGTGTGTATAGGTGACATAAACAGAATGGTATGTTTTTATGAATTCATTTCATTGCCTAATAATGAGTGTGGGCTACTTTGTTTTCCGTAGCCAGAGGGGAAAAGGAGCATTTTACCCAGGCGCCCAACCTAAAGAGGACCCGATTTAAGAAAGCACCTGAAATTAAGGCAATCTTTGTTATTTTGACTTTCAAGACATTTTGTATTATTTGTCATCACATGCAGCCGCATATGTTTGAAATCATGACGTCACGGTGCCATAAAAAAATGCATCCTCGGGCCCAGTTTTTTACGGCTTCTCTAGCCGTAGCACAATGCTATGAAGCAACTAGTTGAGTTCAGTTTCCACTATCATTTCCGTCGCAATTTGCACGTGTTTAATTCACTGAAAAAAAGGTACATGTTCTAAGGCAAATATCAATGGCAATTTTTTCATCATTAAAGATACAGATACTTTCATTCATGAATTAAGCGCGTGCCTATCATGCACGCACTCCTAGCCATTAGAAAGTTCATTTATTATAAAACGATATAAAAAAAACTTAAATCGATTTTGCACCCTACAGTAATTTATTCTTAAAAGAGTCGTTTAAATTAACTGTGTAGTTTAACAAGATTTATTGCTTTGTTGAATGGGCGAAAGTAGCCAAAGTAACTGACAAACAGCGCATGCTCAATGACATGTATATGTTTATTCAGTTAATATATTTGATAGGAAAGTCAATTCAAACGCGGTGGTGGTACATTATGTACAGAAAATATGGAAACGTGGAGAGAATTTCGTAAAAGTATATTATCCTACGAATCGTGTGATGTAAACTACGACCAGGTGATTTAAAAAACATGAAAAAATACCATATGTTCATATTCAACAAATTGTTCAGAATAATTGTAGAGTATGTGTAGCGCAATAATCAAATAATTACGTAATGTGAACTAACGAAGATTTTAAATTCAACAATACCTGCATAAATATATAATCTCTCATTTATTGTCTCAAGATTTGTGATTTTGCTTTATACTACGTCTCGGTGTATGCAGGTCAGCAGGTTTTCAATCAAAGCCGAGCGACAGTAATAAAATTTCAATATTTAAATCTACCAATTATGGGGTGGCTCACCAAATACCAAGTCTTGTTCACATGCACTTAAAAAGTTTCAAGTATGAGCCAAGAAACCAAGGTAACGGCGTTATGTCTTGTAGCTATATATAATATGCTAGGTAATAAGTTAGGTGATATGTACATAACACCATCTTCATATGAAAACGCATTTCCAATTGTGCTCAATTTTGTTCACAACAATTTTGAACACTCAACAACAGTTGGTGTTCAAGCTAACCATGTCATAATCTCAGCATGGTCACCATTAAGTACGCCCGCAAATCAGTTAGGGGTAACTGATAAAACTTGTCAATTTTTCAAAATACACAAAAAATTTTTAGCTTTAGTGATCGCTCCAATGCCATTAGCGTTTTGAAATCATGCAAAATATGTAACAAAATTATCGGCGCGCGCAAGCAATTATACCTATTAATCCTATTAATAAGAAGTCATCCTAATGATCAATGAAACTCTCGTGTTTTTTCGTCCACATTTCTTTCATAAGTTTCGCTTTCTCTGCATTTGCTTTTCTCTTTTTTTCTCTCTATAATTGGAATTTCGGTTCGTTTCGATATACACATGTAATTAATAACAATACGAACGCTATAAAAGCAAATTGAGAGTTAGATTATCAAAAAAATAGTACAGCATGCAATATCTATGGTCCTAATGTTGCGGTATGTACAAATACACAAAATTGTTAGAGCCATTATACAATGACACATGCATAACGAATGCTCTGATTGGTCAATGCCGTAAAAATAACCACTTTTTAAGAGAGAATTGTGTTATAGGGTTAAATCATAACACCTGTTGTTCAAGCTAACAAAGTAAGAAATTTGGCTAATGCGTATGGTTATTTTCTTTTGCAAGCTATTCAAAAGTGCTTCTTGTTAATCAAGGGCGTAAGAAGCACATTTAAGGTGGGTAGGGAGGGGGGGCATAAGCCTAGGGTGCATTTTCCTGGTGAAAAGGGCATTTAATGTTGCGACGTATTCTTTTTTACAGTTTAAATACGTTTCCATGCCAATGCTGGAAACCGGTATTACCGTTCCTTGTCGTTGAAAATTTGAAAAACACTTAAACTGCATTCTTTTGCAAAAAATTCTTTTGCAATTGACTGATTACAAATCGAATCTTTTATTTGTTTGTTCATATCTAATAAAAAGTTATTGTACTGCTTTTCTGCGCTGATGATTACAATAAAGGAAGGAACTACACGAAAGTCTTTCACCTCCAACAGTGAGGAAACCAAATTTCCTTGATTTTAAAGACAATGTGCCTTTACTTTGTCTAGGCATAATTTGGCAATTCTTAAACGTGTAATTTGCATCATCCAAAAATAAAGTTTTTCCTAAGGATTAATTTGAGATGCTACTCTTTTTCCCGACTACCTTTACCTCAATCATATCACCTGACTTTTCAATCTAAAGCATTACATGCAATTACAGAATCACCCCCGTTTCACAAACGCACATTTCCAAATTTAGTATCTCCTTTACTTGGCATTCTTTTCACAAAAGGCTTCCGTTTTCTCAGAACAAATGGGTTTTTCACCGAATTGTCTTATTATATATTTGATTTTTGTTTTTTGTTTTTAATAATATTACAAGTGAAGACTACTGGAAGATCATAACAAGATGGTAATGCCACATCTTACAAACTTATATTTACTTTGGTCATTCTATTGGTAATTAAACTAACAGTAGCATACTTTTTCCCACGAGTTTGCCACATTTTTTATGTTAAATTAAAGTTAAATTAAATTGCTCCGTTGGCATAGAATAATAAACTTACCGAGGGCACTACATACAGCTCAAGATACAGCTCATTAAAAAACCTTTTTACCAAAGTAAAAGAGCACATTTTGGGAGATTTTCAAAGTTGGGAGGGACTTGGCCCCACTGGACGCCCGGTTCCAATGCCCCAGTTGACAACACAATTCTCACTGTAAAAATGGTTAGTACTCGCGAAAATTTTACCATCTGATGATCTATTGAATGTCCAACCACCTACTCAACAAAAGGTTTTTGCAAGTCTTGCATGCTGATAATTTTAGAGATGTTTTCCTATTTGTTCATTTTTTTGTAGACCCAGTATTGCAAGGCAAACAACGATTTACTTATGAAAAACCCAATCAAAATATTATAAAATACCGAATTTTACCTCGTGTTTCAAGCACTTTCTCAACTGACGTTCCAACTCATTACATGCACCAAAAAACTTTCCAAATGAATGCTAAACAAAAAATAAATACAATTTTGTAACTAAGTTTGCATTTTCCAAAGTGAAACTGTGTAAGTGATAAAATGAAATGGTTTGACAAGGAACAGAGTCCGTTTGCCACTTCTCCCCAAAGAACGACTGCAAAGAATACTTTTTAGTGAGAATTATAAATATTTCATTATATTTTAACAAGGGTATTTAAAGGAGCAAGTTTTCAAAATACTATGGAAATTTATATGAGGCCTTTCTACTTACACAATAATGTTTGTACTTAAGATAAAGACAACTAACTTAATACATAATACTTTTACATCTGATGATGAACCACTTTTTGCGTAGTTTAGAAATTATACTGAAATTAGTGCAATTATACAATTCTAAATAAAGAAACATAATCTTAATGCTAGAATCGTAATTAAAAAAAATTCTTAAGAATAGGAAATACTTTGTATATTGATCTATTGACTGAACACAATGATTTTTCTTATGTGATGTGTTATCACTATTCGAAGTGTTTGTCATAGAAAAGGCACTTGCACTTGTTTTTACACAAGCAATGTTCAGACTTGATATTAGCCTAGCAACAATCAACATTATCACACAAAAATTACATTTTGATGGGGAAGAAATATAGCAAATGCTCCCTTTCATCTGTATTAAATTTATATCATTAAGCTGAACTGAACTTATAATGACTGGAATACTGTAAGACACACTATAAAAGCAATTTTGTGCAGCTCTTAAGTATTTTGTTACAAGTAAACTTTGTTTTTGTCGCATTTTATTCGACTGGTTGATGTCTATAATAATACGGTCGATAAATTTTTGAATACAAATGTTCGTCCACAGGATAGTCTGAATAGACATTCAGTCACATCATCTTGTTGTTTGTTTTAACTTTGCACTAAGTAACTTGATCAGATACCAAAAATAACTATAATATCTATCCGATTTAGAAGTAACAATTTCTGAGTTTAATATGCCTCGATCAGGCATACAAGCAACCGTTCAATCGTTCATGTGGTCCATAATTTCAACTATTCTATTCACTCAGTTGACACACATACCTGTTCATGGCAAGTTTTCAACATGTTAATGGCATCCAGACACTCCTCATGAAGATGTGGAGCTAAGCTAGAATGCATTGTTTGTTTTTACACGCTTCTAGCCAAAAGAGCCAAAACTCTCCTACAAATTGTCAATTGTCAACGAATATTACAAACAACTTACGCAACCATGTCGGTTTTGTCACTAGCCTGCATGCAGGTGTCAGATGAGCAAAAAATTTCGCGCGAGCTATACTTGTCAGTGGAACAAGCAGTTGAGAGCTAGACTGTGAACTGGACAATGCCAACGAGGAAAGACCAGTTTTGGTAACGTGATGGTATGACAACAAAAGTTTAGGTAGAGTCTGTTAGATCCACTTAGGCCGGTGTAGTACTTGCAAAAACTAAAGAGATTATTCGTGAAAATATTCTTGCAAACGGTTAGCATTTTTTGAGTGATTCTTAATGTTTTGCATTTTGTGTTAGTTAACACTGTCACTGAGTGAGATCTTTTAGAAGTTTGGCGGTTCATTTGGATGTTTTTAGACCTTTGTATATTCTGCTACGTTACGGAGTTAGAGAGGAAGCAAGGATGGCACCCCTAAAGTTATTAGTGAGGGGGGGGGGACTTTAATTTGACGTTGTAGCTCCAAGAACTGGTGTAGGCTGACGTTCATCGAAATCCTTCCCCAAACTCAAATTTATGACATTCTAAATCATATTTTTTTATTTTGTTTTTTCAATCTTAAACTGACAATAAAGAACCTCGATGATTTACGTCATGTAGGACATTATTACATGTTTATAAATGTCGATCGTCCGGGTTGGTATAGTCCTGAGAAGGACTGTTTTTGTTGTTGTTGACTGACGTTTCGACAACCTTAGCGGTAGTCATCTTCAGAGTCAAATGAGGAGTAAACCTCAGGTTAGCCGTATTTGTTATCTGGTTCTTACGTCATTGTATTGTGTGTACAGGAAATGTGTATTGTCATTGTGAATTAGTGCGAAGTGAAATGTTTTTAGTTGTGAAGTGTGATTTAGGTGTGATGTTTTTAGTTGTAATGTGTGGGTGCCAATTGTGTATTGTCATTGTGAATTAGTGCGAAGTGAAATGTTTTTAGTTAATCCTTTACTTGTATTGTGAATAAGTCGTTTGTAAGGTGCCGGTAATTGCTGTGACTGTTCAAGGGGGTTTGTTCCAAGTCGGTATACCAATTTCCTAATGTAAGCCGTTGTCTATAGTCATTACTGTAAGCAATGCATTTTGCCGACTCCCAGTCATTGTTGTGCTTTGTGATTCGGTGATATTCGGCAATGTGATTAGTTTTGTCTTGTTTCTTAGTAGCTCGTTTGTGTTCAGGAAGTCTTATGTTTAAGTTCCTGACAGTTTCCCCGATATAGGAGGCGTGGCAGTCGGAGCAGTTTATTTTGTAAATTGCACCTTGTCGTTCGTTGGGTTGCCTTTATGTTCGTTAGTACTTGTCGTTCGTAGTTTTTGATTGTCATGTTTTACTTATCCTTGTCTGATATTCATTTGCAGTAGACTTCTTTAAACGTCTTAGTCATATCAACCCTGACAGTGATGATATTTGTAAAAAGACCTTTTACCTAACGGAAGATAGAAACAGCTTGGTAATTAAGTTGTACTTCCTACATCTCAATGGGAAGATTTGAATGCTTTGTTATTGAAGTCATTTCACTAATACCCAAGAATCCTTAGTTGCATATGATATATTTGCTTACTACATGAAAAAGGGCTAGAGCAGTCCAGGCTAGCTGGGGTATATAGCGGAAAAATTAAAACATGCAATCTGGAATTTTTATCATTTATACAAAAAAGTGATATTTCTAATAACCATATCGTAACACGAAATATCAAGTTCGTTGTTGATCAAAACAAACTCCTTAAACCCATCTATTTGACATCTAAATGATCTCATGAATTATGTTGGCTTTCAACAAACTTGCCGTAAGCAATTATAAATTACGTACAGCCTGTCCGTTATTTTATCGTAAGTGTAGAAAAAAGCTCAGTATTTGGACTTGATCATTTTGCTAAGTGACCCTTTGAAGCACAACTTGAAAATGTTATAGATGCAAAAAACATCAAAGCACATGCTGACATGAAGGCTTTCTGCCCTCAAGTTATTCCGACACTAAACTAGTATAATGACTATACATTGTTCAATTTTGCTTGTCGCATTAATCTTCCTTTCATTTGACAATTGTCGCCGGTTTTCATTGAATAATTGACAAGTTTCAAAAATTATTCTAGCGTAGCTAACGATGATTTGAAATGTCAAGTAGCTATAAAAGTTTAAAGCAAGTTTTATTTTATATGATATCATACAGTTAATATCCTAAGTATTGACCAACATAATGCTCCTCCTTCATCTTGAAGATGCAGTTTGTTTGAACCATTGGGACATATTGGTTTTTGTTTGCATAAATAGTAAAAAACACTCAAATATTTCAATAATGACTATAAAACACACTTCAGTATAATTCAATAATTACTTTGAAACAAAGTCGAAATCATTGCTATAAATCTTGTCTCTAGCTGTTAGCCTGTATCTCGAATCCTGAGTTTGTAAGATAAGTTTTTTGAAGTGTGTTTTATCATTTATTTTTTGATAATGTCTGCTGGAAAAGGTCGGATTTTGTTCGCATGCAATCAAAATAGCTTTTGTTTGTGCTTGTTGGATTAAATATACTGATTTTTTGAACATATCTAAACTAAATTAACTATCATTCTGATTTTGCTCTTTTCGACTTTTGTCATTTTATATCAAGAGCACGTGTGAGCCATTAAATTATCTGTAAATATAACAACAATTTTTTGATAATGGGTGAGCCATTGAATCACAGATACTCTACAACATTAACATAGTTACCCATATAAAGAATTCTATGACCACACTAATATTATAAGCAACATCATTAAGCCTGAAATGTGTCAATCACTTGAAGAAATTTCTGTGTTTGGGTGGCCCTGATCCAGACTCGGGTTTCGTCATGTCACTGATCAGAGCACTTGTTATATAATATATTTTGACGACATGATGGTGTGGGTTAGCCTTTATACAACATGGCTAAGGCTGACTAAAAGTCATGTAAACGTTATCAGTGCGCTGGTTCGAGAGGGGGAAATAGAAGGGAATATTTTTCACGGCATGGTTTTTATTCAAACAACATAAAAATATTAGTTAAACATATTTTCAATATGAACATAAGAGCCCAACATAAGACTTTTAAAAAAGCCATCACAATAATAAAATAGAGAAGGATTTATTAATAACGTTTCGTCTTTAACTTAAGACATCTTCAGATTATTTAAGTTAATTTATATACACGAGGTTTTAAATAAAAGCATATATTACAGGGTGATAAATTACATGTGAGGGAAGTAGGAAGTTTAGATGACGGAATTAAGTGAGAATGGCGGTATATTAAAGAAGGTATAAAGTATATTACATTCTTTAATATACCGCCTTTCTCACTTAATTCCGTCATTTAAACTTCCTACTCCCCTCACATGTAATTTAACACCCCGTAATATATGCTTGTATTTAAAACCTCGTGTATATAAATTAATTCAAATAATCTGAAGATGTCTTAAAGACGAAACTAAATCCTTCTCTATTTTATTATTGTGATGGCTTTTTTAAAAGTCTTATGTTGGGCTATTATGTTCATATTGAAAATTCGCTTTTCGCCTGGCAAATCTCTGGCCACGAAGTTAAACATATATAGCTTATATAGGTTATATTTTGGGATCCATCCTTGCTAATGCCACGAAAATGAAACAAAAAGTTAGTTCTAAACACAACGCTATCATACCATCTAAACGAGCCATCAACCCACCTTTTAAAAATAAACTGTGGAGAGTTTTCCACCTATAGAATAGTTAAATCACAACTGCCACACAATTAGAATTTAGAAATTAGTGGTGAAATAATTTTAAATCCAACTAATATAATTTTGGGGTTGCAGAAAATACCTTCAACAGTATGCTTGACCTCGCACATCTGACAAAAATTCATTGTTAAATATTCACTTAACCTATTTATGTTATGATTTTTTTTGTTCTTTTGATCTAAATCAACACAGACACAGTCATTAGACGTCATCACTTGTCTAACAGCCTCAAGCAAAACCCTAAAAATGTGGCACCCTTACAATCTACGAGTCCCCATGCCGAATAACATAAAGTTCAACTTTAATTGAAACTTTAAAGAAGCAATTCTCACTTTTGTGGGATTTATTGCAGTTGTCAGCTCTCAGCCGTTTAAGCTGTATCCGTCAGTTGCACGCGCGAAGAACATTTTTACCTTGTGTTACTATTTTCGTCATATATTTCAATGGATTTCCCGACGCTCAACAGGACGCGCCAGTGACCATGAAAATTGCTATTCAAGATGATAAAACATCCAAACAGTTCTAATCACTAAATAAATACTAAAGCCCGTAATCTGAAACTTGCATCGAGTATCTTTATTTATGATAGTTTAAACGTAAATTACTGTCATTTAGCTACTTATGTTATTTTTCGTATGGATCTACATTGATAACATAGTATATTTGCTGCGTATTGGCAATATAAGTTCACTTAAATATATATTGGTCGTTATATTTGGAATAAATGCTTAGTTAAACACTAATTCGAACGCAATTACTCATAGTAGCGCTAAAAGCAATCACCATGAATCTGAATGACAAATGAGGAAATTAAAAGACATTGGATAGTTTTCTTACGTGCGATGCGATTGGACAGTGTTGCCTCAAAGATCACTAAAGGATCGAGTAATTCAGATTTAAGCCAATCATAATGTCTGCTTTGGTAAAGAGCTAAAATCACCCTACCATTGGATAAGAGGATGCCTTTACTCTATAGTACAGATACTTTAATACAGTTAACCTTATCGTTTACACGTGCAAAAATCTTCCAAGAATACAATTGTTGCAAAACAGGATCATTAATTTTTATATTAAAAAGCAATTTGGCACGTGTTGGATCTACATTATCTTTATGTAGGCGCTTTTGAAGGCAGAACCTTCAAAGTGTAAGGTCCAATTTCGCGCAGCGTTTATAGGCCCGTCGCATGGAACATGAAAATGTTTTGAGTGAGAAGCAGCCACAGTATATGATATCACAGCTATATACTTGCAATGGGAGATACCGAACAGGATGATATTCATGACGATTTTAAGTGTGAAATTAAAAGACTAAGCCCAACCAACACTCCAAAGGACACTGTAGTTGAATACAAGACGTCAAATCGACGGACAGCATTAAAAATTGGACTATCTGTGTCCATTGGATTTAATATATTATTTGTCGTTTTGTTCGTCGTAGTATTTATTATGTTAAACAACATAAATGCGAAATTGTCTCGACTTGATCAACATATAACTAAAGGCAATCTCACAATATTGAATTCAATGGGAACGAAGGATGCTATAAGGGATCGAAAGGTCTCTACGTCTAAAGATTTTACGGGACCAACTTCACCACAGAAGCCATCGGTAATATTTGGAATATATGTTTTCGATCAAAGTTAATATCGCAAGTATACACGTCAATATGGCTTAGTAACAGTGTCTTGAATATCCAGTTTTTATAAGACTATTGTTGTTTAGAAGATATTTAGTTGCGTTTCGTGAATGGTGTTGCGTATTAGAGTTGACCCTTTTCTTTACGCTAAATTTATATCTTTTAGAGCAAGACGCCTACTTATACTCATACTCCAAGCAAATATTCTACCACCGTACCAACTATTGTAGATGTGAATACTTGCAAATGTCAGGGCCCGCAAGGTATGTATTATAGTTTGAATGTATTTGTTATTATTTATTGAACTGCACATTTGCCTATCTTCGTATCCAAGTCATAAATTGTTTATTCTTTGGGATGAGTAACCACATTTGAGGTTAGAAAGATTAACGATTTTGATACATTGGCATGTATGCATAAATTAGTCGATAAGGTCTAATGTGCTTGGTCAATATAGGAAGTTTTCAATTAAATACTTGTCTATAGATACCACTGTTCAACTAGCATATTGTATTTTCCTTTGCGCACACGGTGCAAGCAATTTTTACGTATACAAGCTGAGGCGATATTTCCTGCGTCGCTGGATTATTGATCGGCATGATATCAGTAATTGATATTTGGATGAAGCAACAGTTTAAGTCGCTCACTCGATCGGAACGAGATCGACACGTTTGCATTGTATTCGCAAAACTTTACGACATCGATTAAAATGTTGTGCCAGCACTACTTATTTCGAAGGAATGTGCCTAGAAAATGAAAAAAAATTGTTCGGCTTACTCTGTAAGCAAACAACAAGCGTACCGAAGCATATCGTGTTGGAATCCCAAACATCGATTTTACATGTAAACAATAGTGTGAACGAAGTAAAATCAGATAACAGTGTAGACACGAGCTAGTAGGTGGCAGCATGCACCTCCCTCAATCATATTGAAATCTTTTCAAAAATACTGTCGGTCTTTATAAGTTCGAGAAGGAAAATCATTACTAGTAGCGGCAAACCTGTTTCTTATTACGATTTCAAAACCATTGAGTCTGCTTGTAGAGCTTTCTGTTCGGCAATTAGTTGAAATATTGATCACTCCAATGTATTTTAAGAAAACAACTCGTAATTTTGAAATATTATCAGGGTTATCTCACCTAGAATAAGAAAAATTAACTTGGTTCTTATAATTTTCCATCATATTAGTCAAATTCAAAAACGTACCATTTTTTGATATGTTTGTTGAGAGCTGACACAAGAGTTATATCCTGAAAGTAACAATAAATTAACACTACAGCCACGATAGATCGCAGTGCGCCTATCACCACTGTCTTAAAACTATAGCGTATCTTAACTGCCCATATTTAAATTGTGGTACACTTTTTCATGACTTAAATCAAAGTTTGCTTATGAAGAAATTGCAACGTACAACAACACGTGCGCATAACATTATTTCTGATTGTATTTATTTAACCACAAGGGTATTGCTCTATAATAACAATTGTCAAATATTGTCGAACTTGCTATAAGAGTTTGACCAGATATTGACATCATTTGACTTAATGCATAGTTTTTAATTTTGACGATTCGCGCGGAATTCTTGTTCATGTGAACATACATGCTTATTTGGTATATGTGTTGTGTCGAGATTATTCTGCAATTATTTTTTTTGCACGATATTGTAATAACTCACGAGAATATTGCCGTAACGTAATATTTACTATTCTCTTTACTTTAGCTTTTATTATTACTCGATTTTGGATAATTTCGAACAAAGTTCCACTGTAGCATTTAAGCGTCCGCTTCTTAAACTTTGTTTGTATTGTGCATACATAAGATTGATGAAGTGTTTAATTAATGAGAAATATTTTGTAGTTAACGGTCACTCGGAGTTTCCTTATTTAAAAAAAAATTACTTTTACTTTTAAATTTACTTTTTACTAAATAAAATTTACTTTTTTACTGTTTAAAATAAAAGATATCATTTTATTTTTGTAACGTCAACATTTAGCTACTCGGAGTGTGAGAGTTTCGTTTCGTTTCAGTTCATGATTTATGACAGTTTTGACACTTTACTAGAAACGGGCATTCTCTTCATTGGAATCTATATTTATACTCCCAACGTAAATTGTGTTAAACGACTCGAACAATTTGAAATATATAAATATATTTTTGCACTGGTAACAATTTGATAAAGTTGGAAATGGTTGTCAATTGAACATTCAGTGGAGTTAATTAATGCTGTTAATGTAAGCTAATGGAATTCATTGATCGAATATTTGTTTGGCGTATTTAAACCGTAAATTTGTAATAACTGTGATTAAATGAGATAAGTACTATCGTGTGATACGATCAACAAGAAGACATGCAAAATGAAATATAGCAAACTTATAAATAGCATTAAAATTTGATAATGATCGCCGCGTAAATGTTCGAGTACCATACTCTTGCAATCTTTGGAAGCAAGCTAAAATCGAATGTGAAAGTTATGGAAATTATCAAACTTGATCAATACTCAAAGTGAACATACCTCTAAGTAGCTAGCGGATTTCATGTGTTCAATTTGTTGATTGACTGATTATAATAAGAATTGTTATCAAGTATCAACTAGGACGTGCTCTAGTGCCTGTCTCCTTATACACTTTCACCAAGCTTCAAAATATTGAAGGTTTATAGACAAATTATTATATTAATTGCAAAGCATTCGCGAGTTTCAAATTTATAAAGAATGTTAGCCAATATAAGACAATTAAAAAATCATTACTCCAGAATAAAATCAATATATGTGCATAATTTTAGAATACAAATCGGGTGGCTGATTTTGTTGTTGTGTAGTTGTGATTCAAAAAGAGTGGCTCATATTGTAGAATTCTTTGCCCTTTAAGCTGTCAAATTATTTACTTATGTACTTCATAATTTCTGTTAACTATGTGTCAATCTGTCTGTTAATTGTGGCACATAAAGATGCAATAATATCTAGTTGCTCATCATACATTAGCTATGTTGGTAAAATAATGTTATGAATTAAGAAGTTAAATATAATTTTCACGAGGAAAAACATTATGACGTCATTCAAGCCACGACGTTTAAAAATTTGGAGAGTTTATTGCCTCTATTGTCGAAACGCCTTTTTTTCTTCGAGATAAGCTATTTTTTGTTTCTTTTTAGGTGAAAAAGGTGAAAAGGGTCACAGGGGAGCCAGAGGTAAGCATAGCATGGAATGGATTACCTTTCCTTTTCTAGGACATCTTTCATTAGCTAATATATTAGAACTTTATCAGGGGCAGATTTAGCTGTTGGCAAAAAAAGCTATGTATTGATGAGATTTTTATTTTTTGAAATTAGTCACCATTGGTATAAGTATTGTGTGTAGGTGTTTAATGTTTCCTAACCGCTACTGGTCGTTATGAACTCTTCGTACAACTGGGGGCAACCTTCGCATTTGTTTTAAAGACTGTAGAAAAGTAATAATAATCAGTTTGATTTTCCTTTAATGTACGAATATTCGTTTTTATAAACGTTTGATTTTGATTCATTAGCAAATTAACAAGTTTCTCAGATTACTGCAAGTAAATGTCAATGATATATCAAATGAACTTTGTTTGGTTCAAAAACATTCATTTGGGAAATTTTTGTTTCTAGTTTTGGTTTTCTTTGATAAGTTTTGTCCGATATTACAATTAATTTGTCTTTTTGTCTCTACTAATTTCGTCATTGTCAATTACCACAGAAACTGCCATCATGCCAATATCGATGATTACAAGGCATGTGTTTGTGATATTTGTGTGATGTTTTAAGATAAGACGAATAAATTATAGCGGTAAATGACTTGATTTCAACGATATTTTTTGATTTTACAAGTTTAGGAATCAAGTGTTCTGCTACTTTGTGCTCAACATTTGATTATTGGCACAGTAAAAAGTTTAGTGTATACTATCGTAAGAAATGTGATTCATAAGTCTAAAATTTATATAATCCTATCTGACGCGATTTACCTTTATAGTTGAACCAGTATTTATTATTTTCGACGTTATGATTTCATTACCAAGTATACTCTCTTTGAAATGTTTTGTATTTTGTTTTTTTAACCAATTATTTTATTTTGCCTAATTCTAATTTACACTTCAATAGCAATGTCGCATTTAATTTGCTAAAAACTTTTGTATCGGCGTCGGTATGTTCTGTTACACTTTAGCTGCCACGTGGCAGTTCATATGTACAACATGCAAATAAGTCATTAATGTTTTGCATATTTCCCATTATTAGGAAAGAAGGGACCAAAAGGTATGTTAAATTTTTTTTACAGACATTCTAACTTCAGCAAAAGACGAATTATAAAATCTTTGTAAAGAACATAAGATTACAATATCACAAGCTCTTCAAATCAGCGAGGCATACCTTCTCAATCATGATATTCTAGTATATTGGATTATAATACACGTCTCTCATGGAGACAATTTTAAATTGAATGTGTGAAGTGCATACGTTCGAGCGAGCGAAATTTGATAAACATCGGCTTATGCAAAATGCTTTATTAAAACCCTGCATGAATTACATGTCTATTGTGCTAGATAATTGGCATTGTCTAATTTTACCCTTCAGCTGTTGAAACATATTTTTTATTGCGGCATTTCTTTTGTCTTCCACTGAAAATTGTCTACGTATCAGACATTGTTGTTTATTATCTTATTGAAATTATTATTTTGTTATACAGCAGTAAATATTCTTCTTTATTACTATTCTTGAAATTATCGTAAACGTTACTTGCAATATAACTGACAATTTTTGGTCGGAGTTACGGTTGCTAGCATTTCATCAAGGTTAAAATGATGTTAAAATGCGCATCTGGTAAAATTTCTAGATTAAATTGGTGTGATACTAATATAAATTCGAATAGTTGCTGTCACCCATTTATGACACATATAGAGAAAATGTTACTTACAAAGAATCGTTTCTTTCTATCGAGCCTGTAGAGGTTACGTTTGAGTGATGTAAAACACTAAAATCATAGATTTTTTGTTATCGTTTTAGGTTGGGCACTTTACGAATTCTTTCATTAATTAATGATTATATTTACTGATACGTTTTAATCTTGTTCTTTGAATTTCAGTCAACATTCATCTTTGCGAGGTTCAATTGTTTCAAATTGATTGAAAACATAAGCCTGTGGATATAGTCTCTGCAATCAGCAGGGTCAATTCGAACACCAACGTAGAATCCAAAAAACTTAGGAAAAATTCTGACCTCTTTTGTCAAATGTTATTTTATTGTTGTAGGATCCGTCGGCCGAATTGGACCAGTTGGTGCGAAAGGTAATAGTCTATTTTAATGAAAAATGAACATATATACATAATTTTAAAGGTATAGCCAGAGAAGCATATTTATTATTTAATAATAGTAATGTTATCCATCATTTAACTTACGTATATACCAGTTTTGGAATGGTGAAAATTGAACATCCATGCAAGAGCGTATACGTCATCTATATTTTTAAAATCTTATTATGGTCTTATTTATTGATGTTAAACGTTCAACGAAATTAACGTTGAAGTGAGACTTGCGTCATTTTATTTTTTGTAGGTGACGCTGGTGAAAAAGGAGAGAAAGGTTTGTTTTTCTTCATGTTTCATGATATTCAACGTACAAATTTAAGTAGAACTGGTAAATAATTTTAATGTAGAGAAAAGGGGATTCCGTCAAAGCTATAATACTATTATTATAATATGATTATTTTTTGAACCGACGATGGATGTTAGTAATGTCTTATACAATGAATATTATCGCATCAATATTTATGTCAGTTTATTTAGTCTTATGTCGGTTTTATTAGGATTATGCAGAAACTAGTTTCATTTTTACTGCAAAGAGTAAACAAATAACTGTTTGAGTGACTACTCTTACGTAACTACTAGTTGCATAATTTGTATTCGCATATTTTATATATTTTAGTTGTTCGATGTACTGTTTGAACATTAATTTATAAAGATACTTGCATCCAAAAACAAAAGGCTGATTGAAAATGTCAAGAATGTTCCTAATAACATTATTTGCTGTATCACATTACTCAATTGAGTTTCTCTTAGAAGGCCTGATTGACTGCTGATAAAGCGTATTACGTAATCATAATGATTATTCATTCAAGGTGCTCATGGAAAACCGGGACCTATTGGCCCGCGTGGTTTAAATGGCTTTCCTGGTCCATCAGGCTCAAATGGATCGCGAGGTATGAAAGGTGAACCAGGAGTATGTGACGCCTGTAATATATCGTTAACGGTAAGAACATAATTTAATTTGATTTAAAAGTTGTGCAACTACCATATTTCATTTGAAGATTTAGATTAATGAACACTTTCCCATATTTATGACTGATGAACACCCGGTCAACATCTTTAATTTCACACTGTAAACTTTAGTTCATAGTTTAATCAAGAACTTGGCATCATACCCGTATTCAATAACTCTACGTATTTGACAATCCTATTTTGTTTTTCAAGGCGAAAAAGGAACGACCAATTGCACATTTGATTGGTATCTTCGATCAAAAAGGAATGCCAACATATGGTAAGAGAAATACTTAATGCTAGTTCTATCCATGTTTCTTTCATCTAAAAGTCTCACTGAGATTCGTTTCACGTCTTTATGCGTTAGCGAATGGCTGCGCTATGCAATGCTTATTGTACCTCCCTGTGCTTTATTCTACTGGCGTAGGTAACGAGAGCAATTAGTACTAGCATTGTTCACTAATCAAGGAAGATCGTACTTTCTTAACGTACACAACAAAATATTCCCTATACAAGGGCGAAGAACCATATGAACAAGGGGAAAAGCATTTCGGTAGTTACCTTACTGCACTGTGCTGGCTTTAAAATACACAAAAAATGTCGCTGAAAGTTGTCACATTACTGGACTGACTGATTTTTGCAATATAGAAATAAGTTCAATTCGTAATCAGTAAGCTATAAAAATAATCACTCACATTGTCCTATTGTTTTAGTATCAATATATAAATATATTGATTTTTGTTTAAAGAAAAGCTTGACGTTTGGACAATAGGAAAATATGGTCAAGCCAGTGCTGGTATGGTGAACTTTTTTACTGAACCCGGTAAAATCAATATCACGGAAAGCGGGAACTACTTCATTTACAGCCAAGTATATTTTCAAATGCCTTTCGGGGATCCAAAGACGGACGCAAAACTTTCTGCAGATGAGCAAAGTTACATGTCACATTTTGTACTGCGAGAATCTAAAGGAGAGATAGCAGTTCTCTTAAAGGGCGTTCAAACAAATGCATATCAGGGAAAGAAGGCAGGTTTTTTTACGTCGTTTGTCAGTGGTGTATTCCGTTGTAAAGTGGGCGATTCACTTTTTGTGGGAGTCGATAAAAAGTTAAGTGCGGTTGTAAATACGAACATGGATTCGACGTTTTTTGGTGCATTTAAGCTATGATTCGTCGATTTTTTTCGACGTGGAAGCGCGAGATTCCTTCATCTTTGATCACCATCCTTCTATATGACCAGGTAACCGGGTGTAATCAAGTTGAAATAACCTGTTTATGTTCCCTGCGAAGCAGGTTCATGGACCTAACATGTTGTAGGACGTGTAATAGTACACCGTTTGTGAACTTCATACAAACTGCTTGTTCATTATTTTTATTACTTCGTGCACATATGAAATGAGTCAAAATTTGACAGTACTTTCAACTTCGTTAATGCAAGCTAACATTTACTAACACAGTAAAAAAAATAACATTCTTCTGAGAGCATATTACAAACATTTTCATTGTTAACAAAACCTCAAAACGCATACAACATATGTCAGTGCTTTTGATAAGTATAGACGAACATAGGTAATGACCATATCAATCCTTCCTATTTGTTATAAATAAAATCAACCATCTTGGAAACTTTTACCCTCTATGCAGTCAATCATAAACTTTGTTGACGTCTAATTTTATCATTAAAAAGCACTTGATTAGAACAGAGTATGTAGAAAATATATTTTATGGTACATATGTATATATATATATTTTCAAACTTATATATATATGTATATACAGCTACAATATGTAGATCACGTGTGGTATGACAAAATGTGCAATGCATAAAGTGGATTACAAGCAAACTTGATAATGCAAAATGTGTTAAGTAGTTTTATCACATTAAGATGGATAATAGGTTGCTAGCGCTAGATTATTTGCTTAATAATATATAATTACATTGTTTACTTATTGACTGACAGACATAATTTTACGATGCGCTTCTACATTAATGATTTTGGTGAATATAACGTCTTACAGCATGAAGCCTTATGCAATGTATACTTGAGAAATACCACATCGTTTAGTCGCTAATGTAATCAGTAAGTTCGCTTTTTTGAGAACAAACTGGCGAAAATTTTGTTCCAGTTAATCTCATTCGTGAGGAATGTTGTTCATTTGTTAGACTTTATAAGAGTACAAGCATGAGTTAAGTTGCCAATTAACAAATTTAGCTTAATGCTATATAGTAACCAAGAATATTTCATGAAGATGCATTGAAAAGAACGACACTAGTTTATATCATGTGAAGATATGTGCCAATAAACACAACTATATTTTTAATTCTTTTTTATAAATATTAAAATTTCGATTTCAAAATTTTAAAAATATCTTATTCCCAAATTACACCTTACCCACGATTTCTTTTGATTGAGAACAATATACATAATTGATTCCATGCGAGAATTCTTGGTTACTAAAGAGAGCATAAAAAGGCTTTGCAAGTTATGTTATTTATTTGTGTTTACAGACAAAGGATATAACAAATTAACATTGTTGTACAATGTTTTTTTAGTAGAAAACACGGTCAAAAGCAATGAAAATATGCGTAAGGATTAGCAAAGTAAATATTTCCTAAATATTTCAAGGTTACTGTGTGAGGCATTTATCCGATTAGAAGATTTGGGGAATGTGTCTTTCGTTTAAATCGAGGCAGTTAAGTTGAAAAATTCCCCACATCATGGGTAAACATCAGCTCGCTCCAAAAACCGATCGAATTTTATGTAAGACAGATCACAACAGCTACTGCACTTATAGTTTATATCTTTTATTTACTTCATTCTTTGACCTTGTTGACTACAACTGAAAAATCCGTTTATATGAAATATACGATAGGTATAGGAAGAAATCCTTAGGTTAATGTATAGTAAACACCTCTATGTTAGATAATATTAATAGCAGAACCTTTATGGGTTTACACTGAATTAGACAGATATAGTCTAATGAAACGCGACCGTTGTAAATAGTAATTCCTAGTTATTATTAGATTGAGGTTTGAGTATGTATTTCAACTGTTAAGCCTGTTGCAGATGAGCAAATATATGACTGTAAGTCCTGTCATCCAAGAAGTATTTAGAAGTTTCTTGTTTGGTTAATCGTGTTAGTTTAAGCATAGTGGGTTTGTTATTCGTTTTAAATTTGCTCTTTTGTACCTGACTTAATGACATTTCTCAAAACCCTACCTTGTATCAAGGCAAATAGTGCACTCTAGACTGTAAATAAAGTGAAATATTAAAAAAACCGTGGTTATTTTCACCTTCACACAATTTTCTTTCTCGTCTCGCATGGTTCATAAAAGGGGCCTTTTTAATACGAGTGATGTGATGGAGTACCATTTAACAGTAATAACACGGATGAGGCAATGGTCTAAATATGTCACACTATGAGGCGAAGGTATAAGCATCTTATGAAACGAAATCCTATTATTACTATTATATTAGGTGTCACTAATATCAAGTTTCATTGCTATTGCAAAAAACATTCCAAATAGTTGCGGTACAACATGAGTGTGGAAGTTGAAACTGTGGTTAAACAATGATAAAATGTATGCTTCATTTAACATTGGCGAAACTGTGTATTCTATGTATTGCTAATTTATGTTCTAATAGTTCTAATGTTGATTCATAGAAACGCAGGTCATTAACATACAATGGGTGTAGAAAAACTGACCATGTCATCAATAACATTTATCCAATATGTCCGTACATGAAATAACTTTTCAATGCAATAGATGTAATGAATTAATTTACGATGCCTGCTTGAAGAAGGTATAAAGTCGGAGAAGAAAAATTATAAATAAGGACAATTTTTCAAACTATACGTCTATAGAAAAATTTTAAAGGTAACCAATTTATGTATGTTGGTTAAATTATATTTTCTTTAATAATGCGCCAAGCGCGATGAAAGAATGAGCTAACATAAGGAAGGATGAGTAACAATGTAATATAATTATACACATCAATGTATTTAAAAGCTGGTGCTAGCTTTATAGACACATATACATATTCATATAAATTTAGCAACTTTGTTATAACAAGGCAAGCTAACAAAACTTCGTAAAGGTTTTTAAGCTACAGATATCACATCATTTACTTTTGATTTCAGTATACTAATACATCAACAAACTCTGAAATTTTGCCTTTCTTAAGAAATCCCTAGGATTTAGGCAATAAAACTCTATAAAGCCCAATTAAACAACTTAAAAACCACGTTACGATTTGTAGTTCACAATTATAACAGCAAATCGACGGAAACGTTAAAGTTTACCGATCTACTTCACCGAAAACGACATCCATTGTACCTAAAAAACATTTCCCAAAAATTGTTCAAAAGAGATCGATCCAATAAAAATTTTAAATACAGGCGATTTCTACCATTATGTATCTTATATACCTAAGTGTTGTATATGAATTAAACAAAATATTTCTGAGAAAGATACTGTAAAATACTTTGCCGGAACTGACACTTGCTAATTTGCTAACACGAACTTGGCTATTATAGTCTGGTAAAACCATTCTATTTTCAATATTGTTCTAAATTTAAGACTTTAAAAAAAGAAATCAATCCGCAGACATCATTGTGCAATTTGTTATGAACAGTTGATTGACATTTCCATCGAGCAGTAGGTTCTTTAGCTGTACACAGTATGTGAGAAGGAGAAATCAGTTGACAAGCGCAGAAACATGTTGTACATGTTTGATGTAGAAACAACAAACACCAAGATAAAAATGAATTCATTAATTACCTATGATTGCAACAACATCAGCAAGCATATGACCCTTGCTCATATGATGTAACCCAGCCTACAGGTGAAAGAAAACAAAAAAAAAACTTAAAAAAGAAAACTACGATTTTAAAATACTTCAGACATATTTCTCAAGCAAGACCAGACTAAAAAAAAATCAATAATCAACGGAGTATGTGGGTGTCCTATTGAATAATTATTTACTCAGCAGGAATAGCCAATGAAGTAATTGAAGAAGACAACGTCAAGTGTTAGTTTGACAGTACTTATCAGTGATGCTAATCAGATCAACGATCACAAACAGATTTGGCTGAGTTTATATTTAAAACAATGGTTAAATTATCGTTTATTGCCACCACTTACAACTTGGTATTGATGCAGTGGTTGATTTCAATTAGCTAAATCAGCCTGTGATAGATAGTCCATTTTGGATGGATGGAAAGATTGAGCACATCAACATACAAGGGCGAAAACTGAGAGTGGCACAAAATCATGCATTTTTCAAAAAGCAAAACTTTTTAACTCGTAACCAACTTATTAAAAGAGGAATCATCGTTTAAAAGTACAGACGTAAGATTAAAATAGAAGACATTTTTGGAGCCTTCACATGTACATATATTAAGTATATTTAAATAAAATGTAATTACCCCATAAAAATACTAGTAAATAAAAATAATGATGGCGATGAAAAAACTTGATTAAATTCAAAAAATGAAAGAACAATTCTTTAAATCATTTATCATTTATTTCTTTTGTTAACGAATTAAATTCGAAAGAATAGAAGTACGTACCAAATGGGAAAATCCTGGTGCTTTAATCTTGCAACGGTATGGTCTACTTGAACCATCAGAAACGAGATAAACACCAAATTCACCCTGAAATTTGTTAAAATTCAATATACAGATTGTTGTACCTATGTAATAACATGTTAAAAGATACAGTTTGTTGTACATAAATATCTAATGTCTTGGTAAATGATAATTATTAAAAGAAAAAAATTAGAATAAGAAAGACACTCATTTCAACATACTTTAGGTGCCTCTATTGCTGTGTATGTAGCCCCTGGGGCACCTGATATCCTTCCGTATAAAGTTTAAAATGATGAATTAAAGCTTCCATGGATTCCTGCAAACATCAGATAACAACAAGTTTTATCTGCATTGCAGACATGTTTGAAATCAATACTGACGTAGACAGATCATAAAATAGCTAAGTACTATCGTGCGAAGATAAGTTAAATATATGAAAACAGAGACTTTGTCGTTATGAAAAATTCAAAAGTTGTCTTAAAAAGAGCAAATACCATGGTGAATGGTCAAATACTAACGAAATAGTTCTTAAAAGAACTGTTTAAGCCAAAACACCAAACCAACAATTCTAAAATAACTTTTTTAAAGGTAAATTCGGCCATTTCGGCAGACTGCTCATCAGGTGTCAACTTTTGCTAAACGAGAGCTTCAGAATCATGCGATATTTATAATACTACCAAAAGTCAACGTCATCTCTAAATTGAGAGATGGCGCTTAAAACGCTCTTTTTAAGTCAATTTTGAAAATATATGAAATCTCCATCATTCATAAAGGTAATTTTCCAGGGGGGTGCTAACCTTCATTTCAGATCTCTTAGGAGGTGATATTTTGGCATCATCAATCTTCACTTCACCTTCAGGCATGCGATTCAAACACTGTGTAATAAACAATATAATTATACACAGGGTTATTACTCAAATTTTACGGCAAAGTTAGTCATTTGATGATTTTCATCATCACTGCATCATCATCAACTGGAACAATTTAATGTTTTACCCAATATAATTATACACAGAGTTATTACTCAAATTTTCCAGCAAAGTTTGTGATTTGATGATTTTCAGCATCACTGCATCATCATCAACTGGAACAATTTAATGTTTTACCTGTATGATAATGTCACAACTTTGCCGCACCTCCTCGACGCGACACAAATATCTGTAATGCGTCATGATGTAAACGATGAATAGATAAAAACATATAAGTAATATGATTTACGACAAACTATGTAGCTACTCATTGGTCTGCATTCGTCGCAGAAGTTTGCACGACCACAGAGGTCATCCAAAATTAAAAATGCGAAATCTGAGGATGTCTTTTTGTGAATCATTTCTTGTGTTCCAGGTTTTCAGATCAAAATTTCCCAACTCGACTTCATGTCAAATGCTCTACACTTACATAAATCTATTTATGCATAGTAAGAGCCCAAGAAAAACGCAGAAATCGAAAAAAGGTTATAGCAACGTCATTTTATACTTATGTTACTTCTGGCGCTTTTCAATTATTACGTCGAGACAAGCGTTTTGTTTCTTTTGCGCATCCTGCAAACTCCATATTACCTGTCATAGCAATCACCGTTGACTCCAATCGGAACATCAAAATCCACCTTATCGTAAACATCGTAAGGTTGTGACTTGCGTAAGTCCCATTTAATACCAGAACCACGTACCATAACGCCGCTGTGAAATAATTCGTGCTTTAAACATTAGAATTAAAAACGAAAATTTGCAATTACGTGACATACGGAAAAATCATACCTGAAGCCAAGATTTAATGCATCTTCTGCAGTCACGATACCAATATCCACAGTTCTTTGTTTCCAAATACGATTGTTCGTTAACATCTGTGAAGTATCTTGCTTTTCGTTAACTTCATCATAAAATATTCAAATAACGTAAACAGTTGATCATGTACCTCTTCAAGTTCATCCATTCTTTGGGGAACTTTTCTTATTACTTCATACATATCATCCATTAATCCCAGTGGAAGATCCTGTTTGATTACAAGGATAGATTTTAATTAAAGATATGGTTTTGTAGCAAGTAGGCTAAAACAAAAATATATAGCGGATAACAAGTTCAAACGCAAATGTACATCAAATTATAGAACACAAGTCATAAAAATATGTATAATTTCATGCTGTGTCTAACTTCAGTCTTTAGCACATATTGACTATGATATTGGCTGCAATGTGGAATGTGTATGGACAGGTGTACATTTGCTTGAATACAACACAGTGGTTTTCATGAAAACAGGCTACTTACAAAAATTGATTATTTCAACATGAAAAAAGTTAACACCTGTGCTACACCTCCTGGACGTACATATGCTGCATGCATTCTTGCTCCGGATACGCGCTCATACAGTTCCATCATCTACAAATTAAAGAAAGATGTAGTTGATGATAGCAAAATTTTGTAAAATGAGGGATCTTCTTAAAATATGTTTACATTCACAATCAAAAGTATCTGTGTTGTGTGTATTGCAGCATGCAGCAAGTATATTATATTTATATGGTCAGACTGTCAGTACAAAAAAGGATGGAATCCCATTTTGCTAAAACGGATGATGATGAAAATATAGGCAATGGAACCCAGGTCTATAACATAAATCAACATGGCAATGTAGTGTAGACAACATTATACTTTGACAACTATTATTAAACACAATATTGTACAATGAAACAAAACACTGAAGAAGGAATATGGCATTGAATAAATTGTAATTCACACAGATCCCATTAATGTATCGAAGACAAACAACTAATTATTTACTTTTTCTCTCTCTTCAAAAAACCAAAATACTGGGGTCATTGCTCCAACATCAAGGGCATGAGTGCCAACAGCCATCATATGATTTAATATACGAGTTAGCTCGGCATACAAAACTAAAGTTGTTCAATATAAAAATAACAAAGTAAGAATATAAAACATTCATAAACAAACACTTGTGGCAATTTCAGACAAGTCACAGGAAACATATGTATGCATATTTTACAGAAAGATGTGCCAAACCTACAAAAGATATGTAGATAATGTAGTTACCTCTAATCCACTTTGCTCTCTCTGGCACCTCAATATTAAGAAGATTTTCAACAGCAAGAGAAAAACATTGTTCATTAGCCATCATAGAAACATAATCAAGTCGGTCAAAATAAGGTAATGCCTGCAGGATAAATATTTTCATTATGTACATGTCAATAAGCATATATATGTCAGAGAGCAAAATTGTTAATCTACTTCAATGACAAAAACCTGAAGATATGTTTTATATTCAATTAGTTTTTCTGTTCCTCGGTGCAACAATCCAATGTGTGGATCTGCTCTTTCAACATTCTAAATTGCAAAATCAAAGTGAGTGCAAATAAGTCAAACTCCCTCTCTCTCTCAAGCAAAACACTATTGGTTTGATAATAAAAATTGAAATGCTTTTCTATCAATACAATCAAAGGTTGTGTTTAGTTCATAGTCTCTAAAAGGTAATAATATAAAATTATCAAGATAAAGCAAGATGAATATCATAAATACCTCTCCATCAAGCTCAAGGACTAAACGTAATACACCATGCGCGGCAGGATGCTGTGGTCCAAAATTTACAGTAAGATTAGTAACTGCAGCTTCTTCAACAGGTTCTAAATGACATAAACATTAACTTGTAGGGGCCTAAAAGTGGAAACATACTTATTCTATATAATTAGGTATTTTTGTTTTAGTAAATAATATCATTTGTGATTACATTATTAAAGTGTTAATTTCTCATTATTGTCCAATAAACACTGTCATAGAGCATGAGTTCATGAAAAAAAAACACACACAAGGGAAATGACAGATTAAATTGCTTTCGCACATGATTTGAACCATGAAGCAATAATGAAATACATCATGGCTTCAGTACGTGTGCAGTGTACCCAAGTCTGAACTGATCTTTTGAGGTATAAAAATTATAAAAAGAGATAGTCTTTACAAACTATTATTCACCATTGATATCCCATTTTCTCGACTCTTCGTCAGGATATAGAACATTTCCAGTCCAATCATTCAGTTGGCCAGGTAATTTATACTGAGGTCGAAGTTCCTCTTCAGCTTCTTCACTGACCACACGTTTTAACGTCCTGCAATAATTGTGCACGTTAAGAGCACGTTTTTGCTGTCAATAAATGCTTTCACTATCTTGCCTCAATGGGATTAATGAAGGAGTTCGCTTTAGAGATCTTACGGTGCTTGCCAATCCGCCCAATCGACCAAATACATGAGAAAATTGAGAAAGAATCGGCGCCATCTTGAATAATATGACATTGCAATGATTGCATCATCAGAAATCCTACGATGTACCTAAGTATACATGAAAAAACTACGACTGCCAAAGATAAATGTTTACTTTATTCGGAGTGTCATTTGTTATGTGTTTTACTGAAAATATTTCAGTTATTTAATCGACTTTATAAATATGTAACATCGCCAGTTCAATAGACCACAATCAAAAAAAGAAAAACCAACGACAAATACACCCAAAATATTTTCTTCTCTTATGTAAGAATTTTTATGCTCATTCTATGGAAATGTAAAAAAATTAATTTTTTGAAAAAATGAACTATAATTATGCTGAAAAATTTGCATAGCAGATGTAAAAGTTTTGGCTTAAAATTTGGTGATTCCAAGCAAAGTTTTGGTATGAAAAAATGTTGGTAAATCTAAATAAATTTAAATCAGTGAGTATGATATTGAAACAAGCTATAGTAACATTAACCAAATTAGCAACATTCATAGGCGTAGGAGCAAGGAGAGTGCTAGGAAGGTATAAGCCCCCCTGAAAATATAGAGTAACAATGCCAAAATCTAAATCATCCTTCTTGTACTTAATCTCTGTAACTTTTCCCTGATATATGCGATTTACCATCGCACAGATTGCAGGAACTCCAAGAACAAAGAAAAATATGACTTAAATTGACAAAAGGATAACTGTCAATGTTTTAAAATTTAGTGAAGACCGTTAAAAAGCACAAGTTATGCTAAAATGAAATCCTAATCGTGGATATAATTTGAATCAGCACGATTTGCGACATCATAAAGACGTTAATCTTTGTCAATGTTTAGTAAAGCTCATAAACGTCTTTACGCCCATTCAAGAGTGCTTCTGATATAGTTCCATTCTTAACTTTTCAGAGAGTAAAAACGTTACATTCGTGTTTCTGTGGAGCAAAAGCGTCCTCACCGTCTAGTCATAATACATTCTAAACTCAGTCGGTACCTATGATGCAGATCTACAATGGCTTACGCCGTTTATTTGTGGAATCCTAACAACTTATTTTTCTTCACCGATTTTCTTACAGCAAACTTTATCTTCAGTAGAGTTTAGTATTTTTACAATGCAGACATCTTCATAATGATAGGGATAGGCTTTGTTGTGCATTAATTTGCACAATAAAATATCGATACTTGTAATCTTAGTATACTTTGCAAAATGCAATTATAAGCACGTGTGAAAGTACACGTTAGGTAAAATGTTGCATCATGATGAAATCATCGAGCACTACGATACTAACAATCAAATGTGTTCAATTAATTGTAAAAGTTTGTACACAAATTAAGGCTGAAATGTAAAAAATTGTTACATGCTGATTGCTATCGTCACGTTTCATAAAACATATGTACGTCTAGCTGTGTTCTTGGTTATAAACAGTGGGGATAATTTTTAGCGAATAAATCACAAGACATTTCACACATGATGTCAGCAAATATTTCTGTTATTTGTGGTAATCAAATTCTTGTGTGGTAACACTAGTTGACATGTGACTTCAGTCATGTTCCTCAAAACGTGTTCCAATTTACTTTTTTCACAAAATAAAACGGCGGATTTATAAAATTTCACTACCGTGTTAGTTTTGATGCGGGCCTTGGGACTTGAATCTCGGCCAATCAGAAAACTGCATTTTACTTAAGTTTATATGCAGCTTAAGTACGAAAAAAATTTCTTATAACAATGAGCAACTTCTCAGATATTAATATCAGCAACCAAACGTTCGATGGAGAAAATTAAATCATTGTTTTTATGGGAGTACTGGTAGGTGGAGTTGGGTGGACACATGGTGGTCTTATCGTTGAAAGATAATATTTTAACAGTTTGTCATTAATTATTTTCCCGCAGTTAATTTAATTGAAACTATGCCAAATATTTAGCTCATCAGCCAAGGCAAATCACATGTATGAAAAGAGGAGTGGCCGGAGTCAAGTAAGATTGACTGACTGCGAATGAGTGAAAACAATAGCGGACCTGTTCATTTTCCTCGAAATCGGCCAAAATTCGAAGATTTCACGTGCAAGTTTTCCAAAATGTGCAATCCTATGAACGATAGGAATAACCAAACAAAGCGCACCAAGAAAGTCGTACAATTTCATGTTCTCATTACAAACCGCATTTTAACTTTAGCCTAGAGTAAAGCGACGTCTCAAAGGTGAAGATTTAACAGTGGTTTATGTTTTGCACTGGACTTTGAAAAATACATTTGGCCTTGTGTTTCAGTAAAGCAGTGTAGTGTTTAAAACAACAGAACAGGAAGACTGACAAATGACAATGAAGGAAAAGACAACCGGTCAATCTTCAGTGCATCATGTAACAGGTCGCAAATTTCTTCTAGAACATACATAATTAGTAACTTGTAATAAAATTACTTTTCTAGAATATATTTATGAGATTTAATCCCAAAGATGTGATTAGTAAATTGAATGATATAGAATTATTTCACCAATAACCTGAACAATTCGAGAAACCTTTTTCCATTGTTGCCAAGTTCATTTAAAAGTGTTGTCATGTTTTCTACAAAGTTCTTATACTCTCAAGTCAAAGCTGATTAAGATTGAATAATATATGAACTTCAAAACAAACATGTAATATTTTGAACGACCTTGGTAGCCAATAGTGGAAAAGCAATACAAAATAAACTGTAAACATCCATCACCTTTTATTTGTTTGCAAAATGTACATTAAATACAATAAGTTTCATACATGATTGAGATCAAAAGCTTTCAACCCTAGCAAGTATTTTCAAATGACATGGGTAACTGCAAATATTACATGATAAAGCAGCACTCTTCGTAAAATGAGTATTAAATAAAATAAGATATTTGGAAAGCTAAGTATTTTCAATAACGTCAATCGAAAACTTGTGAAAATAAGACCTTCTTGGTGATTAACAACAATTTTAAAATATCCTATCGTTCTTTATAATTGTGTATAAATATAATAAAAGATAAAATAGTAATGAAGAATTCTAACGTTGTTTGGAGCTGATGTACTCACTATAATGAACAGAAACCTTCTCACTACGATACCTAACTAGCTTGGTAGCATTACGAACTTGTGGCGTTATTGTACCTCTGAAGCCTCCTTTTCGCAAGAGCGAGTCAATTGCTTCAACTTTGGTCCAACCTTGAAAGAATATGCATGCTGAAGAATACTCATCAACGCTTAAGCTTTGGTATACAGCTACCCAAAAAGAAATGCACTCAAGCTTTGAATAGTAATTATAGATAGCGATGAACATCATCCACGTCAAAGATTAACTTAATAGAGAACATGACAAACATATGCAAAGCTTTAACTAAAGCAAGGAAAGGATCCACCAGCTATCAAATATACTACAATTTCTTGTCGTGTAGCTTATATCGAATGTTTTGGAACTTTCTCCCAATTTTACCCAATTAAACAATTTTTTGCTGGTGAGCAGGTTTTTTTTGACAGCAGGTAATATTATGGCAAGCCATATTATTATAATATCAGTTGTCACTAAATGTATTTCGTGTGTGGAAGGTGAGGTGACGACGGGGTGGGTGGGTGGCGGCTTTTTTGTATTTGACCAACTTGGAGTCCAGGTTCGCAAGTGATCCCAATCATTGAGAGCCTGACCCCCGACTACACCTTATCACACCGAATAAATTTCGGTGGAAAGGAAAATGACAAAAAAATTTGTTCTGTATATCAACGCAACGTGTCGATAATGATGACCTAATGCAATGCCCGTGAATATATCATGCGATATGCGATACTCGTTTCCAGTCTGCGCGCGCCGTTCACACGATATTAACCTTGGTTACTGCATAACCTCATTAAACACATCTGAGGACATGCAAGTCAAGTTACAAAGGTCAAAATATTTGTGAATTTGTTAGAAAACACATTAGTTTTTCGCAAAAACAAATTTTCATACCAAAATAATACGATGTAATTTAAAGAAAGTAAATTACTTTTCTGGCACACATCACAGTTATACTGCACCTTGTTCTTTAGCCACCTCCGGTAGATATGTTGCTGTCTTTTTGTGTCCTTTTTCATTATAAAATTCTATCCTTATACCATGAACACCAATCTAGTAAAGTGCAGATGAAAAAACTAAAAAACACATGGTAAATGAACATCAAACAGAGAAAATCTTTTAAAGAACAACCCATAAAAATCTTCGCTGAAACTGAAAGGAACGGTTTTATTGGATTTATGTATAATGTTAGCGATGTTGTATGGAAGTGAGAAGTTGCGTACGAGGGAAAATGAAATGGTAATTCTGAAAAGAAAAAACAATGACGAGAGCATTGTGTGGTGTGTAATTGATGGAGAAAAATAAGACTGACATTTTGGTAAAGAAGTTGAAACCAAAAAACATTGATTCAGATGGCAAAGGCAAACTACGTGAGATGGTACGGGAATGTATTTAGGAGAGACATTGGTATGCTCTATGAAAAGTATTGAAGTTTGAGGTGAAGGGCTAAACGTGGAACAATCCTTTGATAAAAGTGAGATTGTGAGATTAAAAGTTTGAGTAAAAGAGATTATCAATGTAGCGAGGTGAACTTGGCAATCTGTGTATGAGGATAAACCAAAATCAAAATCTAAAATTAATTGATTGATTAGACATAACTATTCGGAAACTGTACCTCCCAATCAAAACAGTTATCTCCATCTTCAAAATTTGTTAACAATGACACCGAGCACGACAATCTACACAACTCATCAAGTGTTACAGGAGAAAATCGATTATCTCTCAAGGCACTGAAAAGAGAACACTAAAATAAATGTATATTTTAAAAACAATCTTTCATTGAGCTCGGGTGTGGTTGCGTACATCAATAGTTACAAAGGAATAAAATTTCATTGAATTTTATGTAGATGATCTGAAAGGTGCATGTTGTGGTAAGATAACTATTAGTCTACCAAGTGGAAACAAAAATTAAACTTTTAAGCGATAAATCTAAGCTTTTCTCAACTTGTAATCAAGTGCTTCACAATGTGTGTAACACAAAATATTTCAATAAAGTGGTTCACTTTTTCTTCTTTTCTTCCTTAGGGAATAGTCAAATATACACTTCTACCTAAAAGACGTCAATGTGACGTCACTTACAAACTCCAATACCACTCAGCCAAAAACGTCAAGTTCCAATAGCAGATAATTTGTACGTATATATTCCATGAATATTTTCATTCTTGTATGACATGAAATTTTTCTTCAATAAACACAACCCTTTGGTCTTATATGACTTGTCTTTGCTGTCATGATGACTGTCGACCTTAATGACACTCTGTGCTTTCGAACTGTGTACTTTGTGGGAAAAAAGACATCATGCCTGCAAACTCCCTTTCCCTCCACCCCCCACCCACTGACCCCAGATGTCACATTGACGTCTTTTTGGCTGAAATGATATTTGACTCTTTCATTATATGTACTATGATTTGTATATAAAATATCCTCCATAAAAATCTATAAAAAACCAGTGAAACATAAATTCTAGTGAGAATGTGGGCTGAAATTTATTTAAAACAATGACATATGCTTTAGAAATCTTCACCGACAACAAGATAGTTGACATCAATGACGGCAAGTTTTAAATGTCTGTAGTACCTGGATAATGTATAGTCTTTTAAACCAACATGTAAATTAATTGCAGTAAATGTTCCAATACAACCACGTAGCTTTTTTTCAGAGCCATTGCTTATTTTCCACGTGACAAACAAAGGACTGGAATTCAAAACAAGTAATAAAAGTTATGGGGCTGGATTGTTTGAGTTTCACTTGGTTAATCCAGTAGTGTAGCCAGCCCGTAGATTTTTTCACACAATGTAGATTTTTTCAAGCAATGTAAATTTTTCATCATAACCATTATTGATTCATTTATTGTTTTTACAGTGAGTGAACACAAAACAATTTACATGGCATGAATAAACTTGCAGACTGGGTACATCACTAGTTCTTGAACGGCAATAACATTTTTGTTGGCAAGAACAATTTAAATCATCGCAAAGACAAAAATATTATCAAGATATTTATGAATTTATGATAAAGATATTTACAAATAAGAATTCTACAATTACAAAATGGTTAAATAAAAATGAACAGCACGCCATTTCATTAGTATGTTTGTTACAGCCATTAGTGTTGTTTTGAAAGTTTTTGGCAATTAAAATTAGTGTGCAATAATTTATTTCAATAAATCTTGATTCGCCTCTTGATTTTTTAGAGTCTATTATTATTATTACCATATATTTCAGTAGGAAGCTACATACACAACACAGTTAGTAACATTTGGAAGTGCACAGTCTTGCTTACTTTTAACTTTTAGTTGTTGAAAAAAGGCTTGAACAGAACTATCATATAATTGTTTGTAGTGGGTGCAAATTTGATTCAAATAAATTTTATAATGTGAAAATTTGCAACTTCAGTGAAGTACACAATTCAAGAACTATGATGACATTCATGCCTAAAATGTGAACAAAATAATCAACTTGGGAAAGTCATCAATCAACTACTGTATATTTTTCCTTAGTTCTTACACAATTTTGTATTTTTTCAATAGCATTAAAGCCAAATATTGAATAATACAAAAATATTTATAATTTAATAAATTTATATAGATCTTTTAACTAGGAAAATGCCATCGACATGATAAATTTAAAGAAAAATGCTATCACAACACAGATCGAACGTAGTTTAAAATGATCTCAACAATAAAAATATTTTAATTACTTACAAAGCTGAGTTAGTGAATTTTGGTGGTTGCGGTGATCCTAAACGCTTTAAATGTGCTTGCAATACATCAAAACAAAAGAAAGCCATTTCTTTATTAACTATTTGATCTGTTTGTTGGCTAAAAGAAGCATTTCGTCCTTGCCAACAACTCATTATAAAATAAACTCGCTTCTGATTAAATATTCCCTATTAAAGTCACTACTGCTCGCTGGTGTTATTCTACCGGAAGTAAAATTTTTCACTCAAAACAACGGAAGCGGTTATCGTTGCTGCAGACTGCAGGTGCAGGCCACTATAGCAGGCGTACATTTCGTACATCGCACTGACATAGCACCACGGGCACCACTCAGTGGCACCACCGTGGGTACCACTGCATGCATGGCACTGACCATGGCAATGACCCAGGGGTGGGCCAGCGCTATGTTTTTTGGGCAAAATTTAGCCGAGTAGCGACGTAGATTTGTCGACTAAATTGCTTAATGCAATGGGACTAAGTAGCTAATGATACTTCTAAGCAAACTGTGAAAAAAGTAAAAATAAGCATGAAACACTGTATGATATAAAAATTCTTTGTGCAAGCAAGCAATGTTGCCCATCAAGCCCGGTTTCCACATAATCGTCAAATCGTCAGTCGTCGAAGAAACACCTGATATTGGCTCAGCGATTAAATGGAAACATAGTTGATGGTCAGGAATACGGATCGTCAAGACGATCGATCGTCGATATAGAATACATCGAAGGCGCTAAAGCATAGCAAAAATATAAAAAGCTTATGACATTATTTAACCTTGATTGTGCTGCATTTTTCAAAACGGCTCAAGCTTTCGTAAGATTTAAAGGGGGTTCTCGACATAATCTTTGTTTGAACAAATCTTCATTTGAAGAATGCCAATAAAATAGACCAGTTTCATCAGGCACATATAAGTCACTATGTCAGATTTATTTTGCAATAGATCTGTCTAAAATTTAATATCGTTCAATCGTTCATAAAACTGCGTGTTGGATGCTCATAGCCTGGACACCAAAAATAAATTTGGACTAGCACAAAACAAGTGATGCGGTGACAACACAAAATACAGTTACAAATATAAAATGATGACATGGCAAAGATTCTCACTAAAAAAACACCTTAATCACAAGTGTATAGTTTAACCGCCATGAGAAAAAAACCCTTAAATGTATATATGTTGTAGTTTTTAAGTTTTTTTTAATAGAAAGGAAAAGAGAAAGGTGGAAAATTTATCAAATTTATATAATTTAATAAATGCTATTTACAAAAATCTACAAAGTAAACTGATATACATTGATATATGATAAATTGATATGAATACGAGAAACGCTGCTTATTCATTTAACTGGCACAGTAAAGCAGCACCTCGAACAATCCAGTGATCTTGAGATTTATTGGTGGGCAAATGAATGGTAAAAACATAATTTGTAGAGTGACCAGTTGTTGAAAAAGTCCCATGTCGAGCACTAGTCTTGTAAACTTAAAAACAACAAATCTTATCTTCGAATACCAATGATAACATTATAGCTCTTACATATTGGTCAGGAGAGCTCCCCTCCCATCAAGTAAGTTTTGCTCAACAGCACTGTTTGTGCATCAGCTCTCTTGAAAAACTGTGCTCAAGAAGAATCAAGTTAGATTGCATTTATAGGCTATCACATTTTATAGAAAATTCAAATAGATATACCTGGGCAGTCATAATAACCAGCTACGGATTTGCCATGCGATTTTATTCTAGGCATGATGCATATCTTTGTTCTTTATTAAGATCAATAATGACAAAAACATTATGATTTATGTCAAAGTAAAATTTAAATATTTGCGCACAGTTATAGTATTTCCAGACATTATAAAAAGGATACAATAGGAAAGGGATCGTAAAGTTGTTTGAGCAATGATTCGCCAATCATCTTAAAAATGAGAAAACCTTTAAATTACGGTATAATTATGCACAACCTAAAATTTATCCATTCGATAAGACAGTTTCATACATGAAATTGGCTACTCCCTGATTCTCTATTTATAGCACATCCCGTACTATGACCCTATCTTTAATGAAGATTGTGTGCACAAGCTTATACGCTTAGTGCTTACCATTTTACTTCGATCCCATCTTGCTCCTTCCATGAATAAACCGTTAATGTAAACGTCATTTTCCTACGAAAGAAACAAAACCCAATTTTGAAACATCTACAAACCCATGCACCAACACCGCATCATTTGGTGTATGGAGTCAAACAGTAATATAGGTATTGAATAAAATTTATTCAAAATTCTATTTGTCTTCAAAAAATAATAGTTTCCACTTTCCAGCTTATTTGCATGGAACCTTTCGTTGGTTACATTTGAACTACAAAAATTTACAAGTGATTTTATTTTGCCAGAAGTAAGTACCCTTGAATAAATGAATAAATGAGGGTTACATTTCAAAAGGTTACACAAGACAGCTTGAATTGTTTATCTTAAACACGAGGAAAAACTTTAATGGTTCTAGAACGTACGTACATGTTTTGTAAACACTTGAAAATCATCTGGTTGCACTTCAAAAACAAAATCCAAGTGGTCAATGGATATCTTCTCTTTGCGTGCATAATTCTGGGAGACACCTTGAAAAAATTTTTCCTACAATTTCATGTTCACATAAACGCACCATAATAACTGGATTGCGACAAACGTAAATATTAAGTTCAACATGAAGCAAATATTTTTCATTTTCTCTTACCAGTTAAGAAAGATTGTGTGAAATAAAACCCAGAGAGCCAAAACACTTTAGGTGGACCATAATTTGACCATTTCTAAAAAAAATAACAATTATAGTCGAAGATGTAAAATGAACACAAAAAAACAACAGTGGTTACATATAGGAAAGTAGAAACATGGGATATGTTTACAAAATATAGAAAGAAATTAAAAATACCATATACCAGTAAAAACTACTAATGAAAAGGAAATAATTCATGATAAAAATATTGTGTTTCTTCTAAAATCATCATTATCACTGACATACCCGAAAAAAATCAATTCTTTGAATAAGATCGCTGATGTAACCCCCAAGAGGTTTCAGTGACGGATACGACTTTACCGCCCATGTATCTGGAATCTTGTGAAAACAATTCAACTCTCAACAAAAAACTTCACTATAGCAAACTTTACTATAGCAGCTTCCACTTTTAATGCACAATATTTAAAATTGACTCTTACCTTCCCCACCAACATGCAGCTTGAAACATTTTCCAATTCCGATGACATTATGACGAAACCCTTAATTGTAAACATGTGTGTTATATTGTTATTTACAGGAGAAATGTTTCTGTTACGTATCTTACTTCTTGATTTTTTATAAGTATAAAGAAAACTTGAACAAACAATAAAATACAAAAATCTTTTTCTTTCTACTTGCGGCATTTCATTTTCTACCGGAGGTAGACAAAACAAAAATATAGCCTCCAACAAGCAATAAAAGGTTGGATAAATATATCATTACATTACTTGATATTATATTACGTGAAGAAACTGTTTTGTTTGGGGTTTGAAAGCTTATATACATTATAAATTTGTTCGGTTTGTCCAACAAGACAATGACTCCCAAAACACAAGAGAAGTTGTTTCAGAACATCTCACAAATTAAAGGTAGACGTGATGCAACAGGAAAACAATTTACCAGAGTTCAACCTAATGGAAAAGGTTTTTTTCTTACATTTCTTCAAGTTTGACGAGCAATACACTTATTAACGTTATTTTTATGGGGGACCTTTTTTACCACCTCCTGTACTTTACTAATTTTCCAGAAACTTGAGCTTGAACAGTATACATGGTAATAGAATTTCAACTAGTTTGGAAACGCACGACAGAAGAAGTGAACAGTACAATGTGGCTTGTTCCAATACTTTTCATCGAAGTCAGATCAGGTGGTTCAGTTATGATTATTTTAGTATAATAAAGTAGTTACATTACAGAATGTCAATGTTTGGTAACAGCTTCCCAGTATCCTTTGCAACTAACATAGTTACATACACGGCTTAAAATAAATGGAAGGAAAATAATAAGAAGGAGCTACCTTGATAGCCTTCAGCAATTCCCTACAGCTTGACCGTATGACTTGCATGAGTTTGTTAAACCTGCAATAAATTCAAGCAAACATGCATAACGCAACACATAATATAGGCAGAAATTTTAGTTTTACCTCAATAATTCTTGATGAAGAACTGTGTTCATAGACTCCTCGTAATTCAGGGAATTTTTCCTGCATATGTTAAACAATCATATAAAGAAGGACGTCAATTTCGATCATGCAAATGAACCATACAATGTTTCAATGAACAGTAGCCCAAAATATTCCTTCTAAAGTACCTTGATCACTTCAATATCAAAGTCTGACGGAAACTTCGACAAAATGTCTACAATAAGTTCTTGCACTGTAGATTGAGATGATACACCACCAATCGATAACTGATGATGTAAAAACATTTTATGACTATCAGAGTTACTATATTTACTACAAATGTAAAACAAAGATGATTTCTCAATTCATACACAGATACCTGACGTGGCAAAGTTAAGAGAATTGTCTCAAACATTTCATTAGTTTCCTTTTGTTTTTTGGTGATATCTGCGTTTTCATGAAGACCAAACACCTGCAAAAATGTGAAATATCGAGATGCTTATTGATTATTTATTTATAAAAAGCAATGTTTGAATAGAATTTAGTTATTTTTCTGTCAGCAGATTTAAAAATAAGTAATTACCTCAGGATTTTCCATCAAAGGCAGTTGTTTGATGAAATCAATGTAACTCTCATAGGAGCCCTTAAGATTGTATGTTAGTGTCTGTTAAATTATATCACGTGTATCCTAAAGTATTTTATGACATGTGAATGACAATGTTACTTCACCTCATCAGGTGGAAAGTAGCACCCACTTTCAGAATATTTGTAGTTCGCATTTGTGATCGCTTTTTCACAGTAAAAAATGGACAACACGCTCAAAATAAGACGCCTTGAGTAAAAACAAATAATAAATAAAAAAATTGCAAAGTAAAAATTGCAAATTTATTGAACGCACGAGGATGTTTCAAAACAAAAATCAACCAGTAATACTGAACATTGTGAAAAAAAACAACAACTAGAGATTCAAGGTCAATTCAAACTTTCAAAAACACTGCCAATTGACTAGTAATTTAATCAACCATAAAATGTTTCATACATTTATTTCATTTCTGTTTTAACTCCCGTTAAATTTTGATTCATGTACCATGATGCAAACATCCATTGCATGAATTCATGGTAAATAATAACCACTTGTTGTCCACGGTTTCAGTAAGAAATTTTCTATTTGTTCAACGGGGTAATGTACAATACTTTATATTATGCATGGTTGGGCACGGCAAACCGATAACGGTCATTGAGGAAACGATTTTGAAATTGCATTTGTTGAAGCAACCTGAAAGGACAACACGCGAAAAGTATACGACTGAAAACGACGTCCTATCGACCAACTAGTGAGTTCATAACAGTAATTAATTCTGGATCTTCGTTTACTGATTTCGGACTAACTAGCTCACTAAATCTTAAATTATTAGGAAATCATCTGTGCATGCGCAGTTGACTCGACCAATTGTCTGAGTTCATGTTCATGGCAACAATCAATAGGATCAACTAACACCAATTTTGAGTAAATAGCTCCCTTTTTTAATGTAGTAGAGAAATTATGTACGCATATGTGCAGTTTGCATACAAGCATGCGCAGTCCACTTGAGCAATTTTTCGAATTCACAGTCATGACAAAGTTGTTAAAACAAAATATTCTACCTGTCCCATATATCCGTAACCCTACCACCATAGTTACATTCACCAATAAGGTACGTTAACGCTTCCAATGGAATGTCCTTGTAGTTATTAAGAAACATCTATGAGACAAGAAACATTAAAACAAACATGAGGAATAAAAATCATTAAAACTGTACCGAAGTGTAAAGTACAATTGTTTTCATGCAGCAAGGTATTTTTCTGGAATCACAAAAGATAAACGTGCCTTGGACAAAATTTTGAGAAGACACAAGATCACTGCGAAAAAGTACCTATAATAATATATTTGATAGAAAAAATTTTGATTGTTAGCTGTTCACACCTGTTGCTGTCGGACACTAATTCTGAGATCAGATTCATTAAATTCATAAGGAATGTTCCAACCCAAAGAACCAAAATGTCTTCGTTCTTGTACAAGTGCATGAAAAAAACACAAACCAAAGAGCAGTTTCTTCCAAACCTAAATGTTAATAAATGAGCGTTAAGTTGACAGCAATCTGGAAAAAGCACTGTACTCGCAAAACACAGAACACAAAACATGTAGAGTTTATACCACGGGTTTTTTGCAACCGTTAAAGAAGGTTGTATCAGATAAAGGAAAATTAAGATAACTTCTCAGAAGATTGGCACGAAGACCTTTGGGTGGTTCATTCGTCATCTTGATAGCTGATAACATTAATAAAATAAATGTAAATGTCACAGATGACACACAAATATAATAAAAAACTCCGTTGGGATTATACCATTTTGAAGAATTGTTACAGGAAAATCTTTCGTCGGATAACTTGTTAACCACAATCGAAAATTTGGATGAACGGCTGCCTCTGATGCGAGTGACTGCGATGGACAATATAAAATAGATCAAATAAAAACTGTTTTGTTTTAATATTTTGAAGCTAGGTTTCTATCATTAGCACAAAGAGAGGATGATTTTGGCGCCATGTGAATATTGCCTACGGAGTATAGACAGACACGTAAATTTACTGCATTATTTTAAAATAGTAATTATTTTAAAATTGTTGCTTACTTCTACATAAATCTTTTCCAAAGTTGGTAACCACGAAACAGCTAAATGACAGTTTTGTAAAACTACCCATTTCCCGTTCATTTTAGCCTTCAATATAGATAAATGTCACTCATTAATCACTTACTTACAAAAAGCTTATTTGAAAAAATCGTTAAAAAATTTTACTTCGGCAATAACTTTTTCTGCTACTGGACCTTGACCTTGTCCCAGCGATACAACTTCAAATGTCGAATCTTTGGCAGTTAAAAAATAATCATGGGGAAGTAATACCTTCAAGCTATATGTCATCTGATAGAATAAATTAGCTTAGGGACGTGCTGACCATGGGAGAGGCAACGAGAATTGATTGTGGGCCGCTGGACTAATGGGCCTCTTACAGATCATAAAAATTATAAAAGTTAAAAAATTATGAAAGCAACTTCTGTCCAAAAGATTTATACTAGTTATATCGAGTTTCTATTCGTTTTAATAGTGCAATCGGGCCCCTAAATGCCGTCCATTTGTTGTTCTTTTGAGGTTCTAACCTCCCTGAATTAGCTTGAATTAAACAAAGCACATAACTATCGCTTAACACTACCATATAAACCTACCATTATCATCAGCAAACTTCAATAAAATAGCCATAGGGTCAGTACCAGGAGAAAGTATAAATATCAAAGGTATACGACATGTTGAATCTTTAAAGCACTCATTCAAATCAAATGTTGGTGACTCAACGTAAAGGATGCTCAGATTGTTCACAATGAAATCTTGGATTGCAGTTATCATCTTCATGAAATCAAAATTTGAAAATCACCATGAAATTTCCAGTGACATAATTACAATAATAAATTTTACCTTTTCAGGTCGCAGACATCGTAGAATCAACAACTTTTGAAAATTATCCAAGTCCTCATCCCAATGATCGGGCAAGACTTCTTTATGAGGCTCATACGAGTCATAAATTTTTTTCCACAACTCAATCTTACAGAGATAGAAAACAAAATATAATGGCTTTTATAGATTAAATTCCACATGTTGACCTTGCCATTTGATGAATACTTTATGCAAATGTTTGAACTTTTTATCTTATTTCAAAACATACTTTCTTTTCAAAGTGCTGACGAAGACCTTTAAACGAAGGTATATCGGAGCATCGGACAATTTCAGCCCAAGATCTATCCGCCAGCCATGTTGATGCGGGATTACGGTGTTTGTTATCCAAAGCTACACCACCGGTCAACAAAAACTGCCATTCTTTATCGTCTAGTTTTCCACTGGTTAATATATAAAGTGTCAGATGATTTTTTGCAACTATGATTGTAGACTATTATTATACACATGAAAGCTGCAATATAGATTAATAGAATGGCATAATATAAATCATCTGCATTTCAGAATCGCAGAATGATATACCACATGTCATCTGCATTACAGAATTAAAATGCAAAACATACCTTCCTTTTAATATTTCTATACAAAGAAGGAACGAAAATACCAATTTGTCTTTTTCAAATAATGATCGATTCACATTAACGTATACGCTAAAATCAAAAACAATGAATTTCACACCAAAACTTGAATATATTCATGAAATAACGACAAGAACAATTGGAGGAAATTGACGATTACTTTTACCTATACGTGAAATGATCATTTAGATTATAGATTCGTGTTGCTATGTCGTTTGATTTCTCACTTTGGACAATAGACTATATACAATAAGAAAAAGATCTTCCTTTAAAGAGCAAGTTGACAAAATCTTGTGCTAAAATGTAAAAATGAACATTAACCTATGTCATGTAAGAAACATGATTATTGAACTAAATACGAACTTTCATGAAATATTTACTTCTTGCCCTAATATACTTAGTAAAATATTAAATTGTGTAAAGAATACCTGCAAAAATAATTTGACAAATCCAGTCAATGAATACTGATACATTGACTCAATATTTGCCAGAGATGAAATGGTGAAAAACAGAATAGAAGCATGCTTTGCAACCTACAAAAATTATTTTTAATCGTTTAATTATTGAATATTTCAAAAATTTATGGCATCGCTATTAATAATTCTATAGAAATGAAGTCTTCAAATATTATACATTGAACAATTCAAAGAATGATTAGAAATTTGAGAATATTTTATCTTCAACGTACAGGTTTGTAACCGTTTCTTGTTTGATCAATTTCTTTTTCAGTTCTCGTAGCAACGTCTTGCTTATGAATGATTTCCTTTGCCAATAACTTACTCGAAGACAGAACCTAGAAAGTTATTTTCTTCAAAAATAACCTTCTTTGAAACTTTGATACACGAGAAAAGAGTATTTTTCAATTTTATCACTACCTCAATTGCTGTCTCGTCATCCAAAATATTTCCTTTTGTCATTGAAAGAACTTCAAGAATTTTGTCTTCGATTTCCTTCAACTAAATTTCATTAATACAACGGTAATGTTGGGAATGTTTTGTTCCTAAATCAATCTGATCGCATGTTTTAAAAACCTGTTTCTTATTGTTAGCAGCCTCTAAAATCAATGTATTTTTCATTTCTTCAAGTTCTAGCTTTTCATTGGCAACAACAATTCCCAGTAACTGATCTTCCAAACCAAGTGGAGTGATCATAAAGTTCAAAAGCGTAACCTGGTTTGTCAAACTTTCGTTAGTTTTAAGACGATCTTATTTATGCTGTGATATATAAAAATTGTCATTAACAAAGTCATTAGTCTAAATGATATTTCATATTTCGCCTATTTCAACTCCTTACCAAGAACAGTTTTATCACAAACACGATTTCATTCATAATCTTAAATACAGATTATCAGATTTCAACTTCTCCTGTTCTAAATTTACATACCTTAACTGAAATTTCTGGCAGATAATGTGGATTTCGAAGTCTGCTTGTCATGTAGAATCGAAAATCCTAAAAAAGGATACGTTAAACTATTTGTCATTTTTTCGCAGATATTTAATAAAGAATAGGTCTTTATTATACCTTACTGAATTCAATTATATTTTCGCCCATCTTAATGTATTCCGCTCCAGCCTTTATAAATATTTGATGTAACATGTAATTACTACACTTTATCAATTAAATGCATACAAGTGAATAACTTACTTGCTTAAACGTTTGCCTGTGAAGTAAAGGATCCAGTAGAGGATCTAATTCTTCACCAACATTTTCCAAAAGAACAGGAGTTCCAAACTAGATAAAGAGTTCAAAAACTATTTAAGTGGTATTAAGCATGTTGTTTCAAGAAAGCTAGCCGCATTTTGTTTAAGTTCTTTCTCGCGTTAAAAACTTAGATAAGCTTGCGAATCTGATAAAAATAACCGGACCAGTTGTCATGGCAACGGACGAAATGGAAAAATATTGAACCGAAAAAGAACAAATCAGAAGGCACAAACTATGATACAGAGTTGTAAACATCATTTTTTGGACAACGCAAACAAGTCCAAATTATACGGCGACAGACAAATATAACAATGCAGATTCTTTGTAACTGATGCAATCAAAAACTTTTTCACAGCACAAATTAGTTTTTCTAAGCATTTTCACGATTCATGAGTATAGCATTTACCTGAATACAATTTTCTAAGCTTCTCGCGTAGTTTGAATCCGTCAACTTGATAATCTGTAACATTGATAATCCAATGAAAAATTGTTATTGAAGCTTTATTTTTGCCTGCATTTCCTATGACGTACAGGAAACAGTCTCTAAAGAAGAAAGTCGCCTCAGGCAGACATTTATCTAAGGTTATAAACGTCTCAAAGATGGACACTTCTTAAAAGGTTGCCGTGTCATACAATATTTTTAAGGAAATATACTTCTCTGTAGTTGACGCCTGCTTAAATTGGCCCTATTCTAAATACCTGAGAGACTACACTCACCTGAAGTTTATTTGCTTTTTCCATATTTTTTATCCAGTTATTTGCCTGTCCTTGTGGATCGATCATTAAAGGCCATCTTTTTGAATTAGTTACTATTATGGCATTGTCAACAGAAAAACTATAGAAAAAGGTTTCATGAATATACATATTTGTAAACGCTTGTCTTTGCTCGGATACATGCAATGGGAGTATAAATTTGAAATAATTGCATGGACAAGAATGATTTAAAATGAACGTCGGGATTATGACAATAGTTAACCTGTCAACAGGAAGGCCAGCCAATTGCCAAACTCTAATCTTTAATGGGTCACCGAGAGTTTTACACAAGGAAAAGTTGTCGGAAACAGGAATTCCTTTTTCCTCGCACAAAGCCCACCATTTCAAAAGACATTCCTAAAGGCAACGTTGTACATTCTTCATTATTCTCAAAAGTATTACAATTATGTGATAAAAATTAAAAGAGTCATCTACATTACGTAAAAAGTGCATTAAAGATCATTCAGCATTATATAGAACATGTTTGTTTGTGACCTGTCGAAATTCTGTGGTAAAGGGTCCAAGATACGCAACGATTGCTGATGATAATAACACATCACCGACAATATTGTTATATGTTTCTTCAAGGTCTTGGGAACACTAAATAAACAAAAATTAGAATATATATCACGTGACATCGATCACGTGTTTAGATTTAAGAAAATAATTGCTTGATAAAGTATGCACACAAAATATTTAACACAAAATTACCTTAGTCCATCTAGTTTTTTCCCCACCGAGTTCTCTCAGAAGTTTTTCAGCTCTATTCAGTTTCACAGAACATAATTTGATGTTCCTTTGTAAATCCTACAACAATTTTCGACAAAAAGGAGTAACATTGTTTATTTCTGTACACAACTATCGTTCTGACTTTTTGTGGTTGAGGTACAAACCTTTTTTTTGGTACTTTTCAATTCCAAATCGTCGTTCAAAGCTTTCAGTATTCCTTCTACTTTAGCAAGAACGGTTCTTTTCTCTTTCAAGTGACTCATTTGAAGTTCTAAATCTTCTTCGGCTTCCTTTAACTTTTTCCTTTTGGGAGCAACCAACTGTAAAGTTAATATAAAGCATGCTTGCATGGGTACAAGAGTGGTTTTAGTTCAAGAAGAGAAAAATATGAGGAACATTCTAAATAGTAAATAGTTATAGAACACTCAAACGACATGTGAAAATACATCTCTGTCATACAATAATAATTTTCGAACGATATTTCTCATATATATATTTGTGCGATCAATTAAGTTACCTTTGCAATCCTGTCATAAACTTCAATAGCTCTCACCCATCTACATAACCCTTCACAGGCAGAAGATACGTTCTTGATCAAGGCTGGATCAAATGTTGGGTTACACACGTAACTTTCACGAATATTCTTTATTGCTGAACTAGATATGTTATCTTTGTCAAAATCTTTAAGACTCTCAAGAAACTTTAGATCACCTAATAACTGAAGAAATAACAGATTACTTTGTGGAACAGAAAGTTTAATGATGCAAACAACTTTGTACACTGTGTAAGAGCCTATATGTCAGAATGCATCACATAAACCTACCTTTTTAGATGAAGTCCAGTAGTCGTCAACTAACTTTCCATTGCTATCAATTTTTCTTTCAGGTTTTACTCCCTGGTAATAAAGAAAACAAGCTTAAGAAACAATAAATTTGACATGATGAGAGAAGACAGAGACAGACACATTAATCAGCTTAAAAATAAATGATCAAAATCCAACAATGATTTCATTGTTTTTTGTAAACTATGAACAGATAACATGTGAAAAAGCAGGATAAAAAAGGTAGCACCTTTAATATACATATTGCCTCCATGACCATTTTAACTCCAGCAGGGGGATTTGTCATAGATTTTACCATTGATATATCTGATTGTTTTAATGTATTGAGTGCAGCTATTGCCGAGTGAAGAGCAGGTATGGCCACTGACAGTTGCTCCGCACATTCATCCTTGAAAATTGAGCATCGTGATTTAATTTAGTTTGGCTCTAACACAATATTCAAGTATCTTCATTATAAAAATTTTTCCAATAGTTGAAAATGTTGGTTTAAACATGGAATGAAAAAGTGATTGCTTGATGACTTTCCACTTTAGATCATCGCACAAAAATTAAATTTTATACTAGTACGGAATCTGTTAAGAATTATTGTGGAAATACTAAATTTACCTTCAATGCTTTGGCCTTGCATGTAGCTTTATTCGCTGTCTCTTCATCGGACTGCACAATCTGTAAGAAAAATGTCGATCATGCCAAAATATATAAAATATGTGTAACATAAATTGGACTAAAGTTGACCATTTTCTTTGCAGCCACTTCTGATGTCTCTTCTTCTATCTTCCGTATAAGAATTTCTGTTTCACTACTTGTGTGAATAAGCTCGGGATGTAGTTCAGTTAATTCTTGCTGCATAACAACGACCTGCTCAGAAGCATACTCTAATTTTTCCACACCAAGCAAATAACGATTTCTCAATGTTAGTAGCTCGAGCCTTTTATCATCGAGTAATGTCTTGAATGTTTTGATCAGTTCAAGGTATGAACTTGGACTTATGTAGCAACGTCTTCGCATAACTGAGAAATATCTAAAAAGAAGTTTTATCGCAGAACAGAACATTATCAAAGTAGGCTAAAAAAAGGATAACGTATACCAAGAAACAAACTAACCGTTCTGATAAACTTCGTACACTTTCATGAAAATATTGACACATGTTTACAACCTCTCTTCGTATTTCAAATGGCATTTCAATGTCGTCCAAGGACTTATGAGCTACTTTTTCCAAAGCATCTTCTGGCCAAGCCTTAAATACAGATGAATGACACAGAAATTGAAACTTAAATAATCAATTTCAAATACATTTGCACACTTCAATTGCATATAATCATTTAGCTATATTTTGTAGTTGGTTTTTAATAATTTTATTGTTTTTGCTTTTCCTTGTAGATCAACATCATCTAATTGTCAAAGCATACATTAGAATCAACGATTTATGTATTTCAACGTGTAAATACCACAACGCATAAATACAATACCGTACAAGCGTGGATTGAAAATATTAAATAAATCAAAGAGGTCGAACTATGTTACATATCAAGACGTTCAAAGATAAATTATCTTTAGTAGGATAAATTGAGCTACGAATCAACCACTTCATGATTACAATGAAACCTTGTTCAGTTGGGTCCGTGTGGCAAATAATGTATTACTAATACACGTTTGGAGTCTATGCAAATAATCCACGTGTCTTATTTGGTAGTTACAAGTAAAATAGTCGACAAGTTGTTACTCTACATCCCTGCACATTTACTAAGTTTCACATAACTTGAGATCGGTGAAAATCTAATGCGAGCATGCTTGCACTATTACTTATGTAAGATTCGACAAACACCGAGAAAGGTTTATCGCTTGCTTCAAGTTAACTCAAATGCTCCTCAGTTTATTTGAGCTTTGTTTTCAGTTTCTTTCATCTTTGTACGAGAATGAGTAAAACAAAAATCGAATGTCGCTAAAAGATGATTAATTTTTGGGGTTATGATCTTGAGCAATACAAAAATAAACACGAAACTTACATGAAACCAATCAATTGTACAACAACTTAGTAAAGAAGGAAACTTTCGTAGTCGGTTTCGAAATGCATCCCCAATGGAACTCATTGTCAAAACAAGATGAAGATTTTGACGTATTCGCTTAACAAAGTTGTTGTACATTGTGGATGGACTCAAATCACAACTAAGCTTGTCCTTTTCCTCCATGCCTGCATCTATAAAGAAAAAATACTTAATAAGGTAGTGAAAAGTTTTGTGTAGTGCAACAAAACTTGAAACATTAATGAATAAATGTTTAAATAGCGTCAAATTTTTTTTTCCAATTCTTCAAAACAGTATAAATCCCCGTTCCAGAAAAACATCGCGTTTACTGACTGAGCATATGCGCGTTTAAATTCAAATGCTCGATTCACTTAATATTTTCTGTAGAGTAAATAGTATTTCGAGTTTCACCAGAATGCTGGAATAACTCAATTAAACATTTGTTCGAAACTCATTAGATGGAATTAACGGATAGCTTTAAATTAAACTTGTGACAGTAACAACAAAAAAATACATTTTACAAACTATAAAATCTAACTTTCGATCTATTGGACGACGAAAGAAATTCAGCAACCAGCTAGACGAGATGCATAAATATCATGTGAAATAGTCAATCCTGTTCATTAGAAACATTTATGGATTTATGGGAATGTAAACAAAAATCGTGACCTTTTCAATTATTTCCATTCGTTCGTCATTTTCAAATATATTTGGTACATCTCCTTTGTTTAAAATCATATTAATATCTTCCAAAAATTGCTCATCCTGAAAAATAATGAGTTATTGCAATTTTTCGGATAAATGTATACAAGATAGTTTTCAGTAAAATATATTTCTTCCTATGCGCAGTGCGTTCGTTTTTAAAGACAATAATTTCACCTTAATTTGATAATCACCAAAGAGAAAAACTGTTGGAATTCCATCACACCCAGTTTTAACAAGTAGCTTCTTTATATCTGATATCCACTCCGTTAAACCATAGTGTTTGTTGATCTCAATTTGAAATAAATCGTAGTCTGAAATAAATGCCGCAAGGCGTGTGAGACTAGATCTACCTGATCCACCAATACCTGGAAATGAAACAATATTCTTTAATATTTCTAAGGCAGAAAACATTTTGTTGATTCAAAGGAGAAATTTTCATCAATAACTTTTGTTGTAAATTGAGAAGCATTAAATACAACAACAAACCAATAAGCAGAACGTTGCCATTTGGTTGACGTAAAACTCGACAAATTCTTGATACGTGTTCGACGGCAAACCGAAACAATACCAGCTCCATTGGTGCTTTACTTGAAGTATTATAATCGATAAGAAGTGTTCCATTGTCTGAATTGCATATAAATAATTGCTTTAATGTGTAAAAATATTTTCTATCAATACAGAGACAAAAAAGCGAAAAATACCCTTCTCATGGGCTACAAGCAAACGATTTGACGGCAATCAAAAGTTATGGCTGCGTTGCAATCAAGTAAAAGGCCTCCATGCACAGAATATTGTTCATCAGCATGCACAGAATATTGTTTATTGTTTAACAACGCTTCTTCACAGATTGAGTTGAAGCAGATCATTTTGCCACCAACTGATTTCATTAGAATCCATCCTCCCCCCTCACGTCACCCATGCTACACCTCTGTGACTCTGTCTCAGTAACTTATAAAGTAACATATCAAACAAACATTATTATAGCATTGTTTCATAAACTAAGTCGCAATGAAAACCTTGTATAATGCACTGAGATCCTGAAATTCGTCATACACTTTCTCCGATCCTTTCTTGCGACAATAATCTCCAAAATACAAGCTATTATGAAAAACAAGACATTAGTTTTAACAGCAGTTCGATGATCAGCAAAACAAAAAACGAGAAAAGCAATTGTCAGTTAAGATTGCAAAATCAATGAGATGCATAATAATTTATCAAAAAAATAAACATAACTATAATCAAAATAACTCTGTTATTATTACCTTCGCAAATCATCAACAGTAACATGAATTCCGGTGGTTATTAAATGACCACAAACATTGTTTATCTTTTCTTTGAACTCTGATCCCAGAGCGCCCTGCATGTTAAAAGATTTTAGTTTAGTCTTCACATGTAAGACATCATACAACATCTATTATAAAAAAATCGTCCAAATCATTAGAAAGAAAACTTCACATGCATTAAGCAAGTAGAAATTTCACTATACCTGCAAAATACATTTCAGTGGAGTTTACAAAAATCTAGGCGTTGAAGTCTTATTTTAAATGGGTCCTTATATGGACTAACTATGCTGTATTATATAATGGTACTTTAATGTATCAAAATAAAATAATTTGTGTCAAAGCAAAATGGTTTTATTCATTATTCATTATGTTATCCAATTGTGATAAATTAGTTATGATAAATATTTCATTCTGGTAAATGTCAAATAAAGAAACTTAACGAGCCTTGACAATTTCAAAAAACTTGTTTTGATCTTCTTCATCAACCAAGCGATCATTGAAAACTCGATAGACCTCGTGTAACCAAAGTCTTGGAATTTTATGTTTTTCCGTGGCACAACTTGCAGGAAAGAGTAAAATTCCCTTAAAAAATTTCATAACAAGATTGTAGTGACACATTCTCCAGGTCAAGATATGTCTCATATTATAAAACATCGTCAATAATCTAGCAAAAAAATCTTAGCTTTCATGGGATGATTCATAACTGATATCATAAGCTGTCTTACCTGTAAAACTCTGAAGAAATCTCGAACATTAAAAACATAATGTGATTTAGCAGGAGTTGGAAGGAAAGTTGTTATTGCTTGAGTATATACCAATAAAGTTGCATGGATAATTATCTAAACAAGAAAAACTTTAATTTTACATACTGTCTGTAGAAATAAGGCCTGCTAAAATTCATTGAGGAGCTATATCGAGGGAACAAATAGCATGTGCCCACTTAAAATTGAAACTATATTCAACGCAATAGTTGTAATTTTTAGTGAAAATATTTTTAAAACCTTGAAGTGAATCTCCTAGGGAAAAATAAAGTGAACATTGAAAAATGTACGTAAGCACGTGAACTTATACGTAGAATAAATTACAACAGCTTTTCTTTTAAATTTTTACAAATTAATGTACCTTAAAGGAAATGCCAGTGATGATTTTTTTTTTTTGGAAATTCATAACCAATAGTTGTGATAATACTTTAAAGTCAATTTTGATTCAGAGTTTCTATAATTTATTTTAATTAAAGTTGGATCTACCATTTTATGAATTTTTCATTTTGCCAGCCAAACTCATTAAACACCTCACTAATCCCGGTGATACTTTAACGAAGCGAAACATCGTGCAGAGAAAACTTTATGGCTGTTTTTTCAACTTACATACTTACTCTGGAGAATTTTTTAAGCCGAGCTTCGAAACCTTTACTAAAATGCCAGTCCATGATAACAGAAAAAATGGCGCGCAATGTATCATCCGTAAATGTTTCGATGGCAATTATATTGAAATGACGGAGTAGTCTTGAAGGTACTTCGATACGGCCTCCTCCGAGAGGACCCGCAGCTGACACCAGTAGAAAATCAACAACATTTATGACTGACAAATCTTTACTGAAAACAGAAACAAATACTGTAACTTTATACGTACACTCAATGCACTTTTTCTTGCATGAAAAAAAATATTTACCAATCAAAAAGAAACTTATGATCAACCAGTTGTCTCAAAACCTCAAGAGGTGGTTGAGCACCAAATTTCTCTTTGCAGGTAAATTCAAATCATCAATAAAAATGAAAGCTTTCTGTCCAAGACCTGGACCATAGACACCTTTTTTCGCCTAAAAAGACAACATATATTAAAGGAAAAGTTTTCTGGACAAACATTTTCATGCCAGTTAATGTTTGGCAACAATCATAAATACATAGACACTATGTAAACAACTATACATATGTACATTGCAGGGTACATATGTACATACATATGTACATAGAAGGGTACAGACCACTGCTGGTAATTCTACTTCACCTTTCCAGTTTGGCGAGGATTGAATCTTGCGTATGTTTTGCAGATGTTCGCCCTGAGAAATTTAAACAGTTTGCACTGTACCTTAAAAAAGAGCATATTTAATATTCAGAACAAAAGATGAAGTGATATGACGCGTTTCGTGTAGAAAATGTAACCGTTTTGGTGAAATAGTACGCAATGGTATCATAAAAAGTTGATGTACAGTATAGTGTGATCACGCTAGATTATACATAATGACTTAGGAAATTTTAGGCCGAAATAAAGCTTTGGTATTAAACACATCTTTAGATATATTTCATACTGTGTTCATATTTTAGTGAACACGAATATCTGAATTACTTATTCTGGTCCATGCGAAGAATGTAGTCCAAAATAACACTTGTTTTTCCAGTTCCGGTGGGACCAACAAAAAACAGATGGTTCTGATGAGTCAAGAACAAATCCAGGAAAAATTTTTGTCGTACAGTGTCAACTGTCGGAACGATCAATTCGTTAGCCTATCCATATGAAACAAGCAAGAAATTATTTAATGAATATTTAAAAGAGAAATGAGAAAAAAGTAAAAAGTTCACCTTCGCATCAGGAGGAATTTCCAGTTCAGGAATGTTTTTATTCCAACTGTGCCACGTTCCAAAATTATTCTTATCAAAATAAAAATCATAGATGCTGCCACTGACAGGAAATGTATTATTGCGTGGAAGCTTTAGCTCTCTTGGACTAAATTCAAAAATGAAAAAAATAGAATATTTTTATTACCATACAATATCATATTAATTACATGCCAACATGAATTACATTGGATGCGCCTTATTTTTTCCTGCTAAAAGATTCTTAACAAATTCACTAAATTTATTCCTTGATGTAGAATCAATATGTCCACCAGTTGACCAACATAGTGAAAAGAGAAATAACGATTGTAACCACTGAATTATATCATTTTCAGAACGAAGAGGGCGTTCATCACCAAATTCATCACTTTCCCTAAACAAAGAAAGTCTCAATATTTTCCAAAGAATACAACATTTTCCCACATAAAATAAAAACCATAAAAGACGTGCACTGATTGGTCAAATAAAAGACGTGCACTGATTGGTCAACAATTGAGTTTGCATCAGCCTGTGCAAACTGCATGTTTTCATTTATCTGTTTGGCATTATTGTTATTTTATAAAAGGAAAAAAAATCTTTTTGTGTGCTTATGCAAACCTCGGAGACGTCTCGGTCTCGGCCTTGCCTGATCTGCTCTCGAGATCTCCGAAACGCTTCGTTGGTTTGCATAAGCCTGTGCAAACACAATAAACATCTTTTACTACTTAATGCAATATAGCCACCATTTTCATAAAATTGTTTTTTCAAAAACAGCAAATATAGGATGTCACTTTTATTCATAATAAAAACAAAAGAAAATGCACACAAACCTTAATTCGTCTAACAAAGCGTTATACATGACTAACATTTGTTGTACTAAATGCATCGACGATAAAAAAACAAAATGTACACAGCATTGTTGCACAAAATCTAAAACAGGGGGGAGTAACCACAGAAACATGTCCTAAATAAAAAGAAATTTTCTAAATTACAATCTGAGTAGCAGTAGTATAACTAACGCACGTATGAACGTATATGTTTACTGACATTAGCATTCGCTGAGTGGGACTTTAAAATCACCTCATCATTATACGAAGAAAATATTATTTTCACTCCACTGAATGTTTGATTTGAAATATCTTAGCATGCCATTGATTAAAAAAGATCACAATTTTTATTTGGCACCCAGGGAGTGCAGTTGTTAGTGAAAAACAAATTTAGAAGCACTACCTGAATTATTCTCTTCATATAAACAGGTAAATTTGAAGGAAAGGAAAATGTTAACCATGACTCAACCAGTGCTTTCCAACCAAGTTCAACAGCTTCCATGTATATCATTCCACATCTTAAAGTAGTTAATTAAGTTTATAATTAATACACATGACAATTCTTAAGCTCTCATTGGTTAGGTCTAATTTCCACTGAATTATACATGTTTACTTTATTAAATATGACACACAAAACATTTTAGTCTTTCTTATACCTGCTCACTGTCGCAGGCGATGCTTGCTCTAGATCTTTCGTTTCAAAAATCATGTTTTGCTTTCTGTTCATTTGAATTATTTCCCCACTCATCAGACATAACTGCAACATAAATTATCATTAATGTAAACAAAAAGAAATTCGACAATCCAATCACCTAAAATACAATTAAAGCAAACTTGTTGACTATGATGGCAAATACTCACAAGATTGAACTTTGAATTGTCGTCAAGAAAATACTACACAATATACCAACCTTTTTGTTGTCATCTAAAACTGTGTTCATATTTTCAATCCAAAAGCATCAACTGGCCCATCAAACACAATCCATTTGCGTTCAGATGTTGTTGAAGATGAATGTTCTCGAAATATATTGGCAAGAATACCTATGCATATCCAAGTAATATTTTATGTAAAAATAGAAAAGAGAATCAAATCAATGCAGAGGACAATTGTAGAGTATTTAATGTAAAATGAAACTGACTTTGATTTTCATTTTTCAAAATCTCACCAAATAATCACGATGCAATGACATAATCGTTTGCATAATGTTTATCATAGTAAAGCAAATAGCCGTGTGTCTACAAACACTTGCTTGGATGTGTAAACAATCTAGTTTATAATTTTTCCATCCTCCCCTCTCTCCATTGATATTTATTAAAGAAAAAATCTTAAATAAAAATTTTGTTATTTCCTCTTCGTGCTTGATTGCAGTCTTTTTTACGCAGAAATAATTCTTTTGGGCAATGAACATACCATCATTCCAGTCATGTGATATAGGATCAAAGTGACCATACAATTGTGCAACAGTAACAGCTTTAGGATAAATAAGGCTATAAGTAATCTTAAAAACAAAAAAAAACATCGCTGTTATGTACTTGTACAAATGCAGTATAGTTACTCTCATTTTAAAATGTTAAGTTGTACTGTATTTGCAACAAACAAACAAAACAAATATTGTAATTTTGACTGTTTTTTAGTAAAACATGAAATTGTAGTAGATATTAGTAATTGAAAGTATTTTACAAACCGAATCTTGGCTAGAAATATCAGATAACGAGGCAGATAAAACTTTATATGCTGACGTTTTACCACAAAGAGCATCTCCAACAATCATAAAACCATGACGAACTAACATCATCTCATAAATCTACAATGAAAACGTTTTATTGCAATTTCTGACGTTTGCTAAAATAACAAAAATACTCAATTCCCGTAACCTGAACTACTTTTTTAATGAACCATTTGACAGGTTGTAGTTGCATCTTCAAGATGTTTTCTTTGATGGCATTTTCCAAAATACCATGAACGGACTCAGTAAAAGTTAAAATAGGAAATAAATCTGAGACGATTCCTTCGAACAATTGCAGATCTTGTGAAATAAACTAGAGAAAAATAAAAAAAAATGAAAGAAATTTTAAATCCTTTATAAGTTGGTTTCTTTAGATCCGAGTACGACTCACTATAAACGTGAAATTTTTCCATAAATTATACTTCAAACGTAAAATGGTGAAGAATTTTTGATACCTTTGGCAAATTTACTTCATTGATTGAACGCAAGACAAGTAAATCTTCGTCACTTTGAGGATATTTTAGTTTGAGATTCCCAGCAGCTGTAAGTACTGACTTTACTGCCCGCATACCGTAGTCATAATGAGGTTGTATTGATAACTAAAACAAAAACCATAGTAAAATAATTGTTAGTCAATACATATATAGAACGTAATACCCCTCGTTATAAGCACACATAACGTCTTGGAAGATAAAATGAGCACCTGTTCGGAGCAAAGACGATACACAGCAACAATTTTCGCAGCTAAAGCACGAGCCTTGACGAATCCCGTGGAATAAAGACTAATTTCACTTATAAGAGCATAATCTGGCACCATCATCGCTACAGGACGAAACAGCACCTAAAATATTTTACAGAAATCAATACCATTCGTGGTGGTAAATCTGTATAATATATCACAGATACAGATACAAATAGTATGTAAGTACTCTATGGGAAATTGTAACCTTTAAATTGTCAGGTAGTTCTGCTCTTCCAGCATAACCAGGGTTCATTGTAATAAATATTGTACACGTGCGATCAATAGAAATTTCAGTGGTTTCAAAAATAAAAGATTCTGCTCCATTCATCACGGCTGTTTGAATAGTTTTAATTTGTTGAGCTACAACTGACAACACCTAAAATACACCACATGAATTTGAAATGAAAATTGCTGGGCCACATTGGTAAAATTCGACAATAGTAGTCTTTGACTTTACAAAGAAGAGCACAAAAATGCATACGAAAAAAATCATTTACCTCAAGTTCAATGCGATTGAACTCATCGAAACAAGCCCAAGCACCTGACTGAGCCAAACCTTTGAAAAACTTCCCCATTGCTTTATAATCTAAACCATCTGAGCAATTGAACACAACACACTAAAAGAAAGCGGTAGGCAAATGTAAAGATTGTTTTTAAATGTTCTTTAAAAAATGATTGCATATCATTATCGTTGATTTGAACTTTAGAGAGCGAAAACATTTGAATGATTGGATTTCAGATTTAGTCCAACGAAAACATTTTTCTATCTCGATAGTAAACTAACCTGTTTTGCAACTGCTTTTGCGAGATCTTTACACGTTTCCGTTTTCCCTGTGCCAGCAGGACCTTCAGGAGCTCCACCGAGGTGAAGATGATACGCCCCCATCAAAGTCCTACAATATAAAATGATGCTTTAAAACTGATAACTGTAAGATAATATTCTATTTTATGTTTATTCATGATACAATATTGCACTTGAATAAAAACCTGTAGCATCTGTCAGTAAGTGGCGTTATCACAAGTCGGCTAGAGTTACCAAGATATTCATATGCATAATTGACCACAGTTGATATCATCTTCACATATACATCTCCATTTTCCCAATAATATCTCAACTGTCGAATCCATTTAAAGTCATCACTGTTCATTGATTCATGATGAGCTAATTCTTCCACGACATCACGACCTGTTAACAATGTTTACCATAGATAAGAGTGAGTTTTAGGAATGTAGCACACTTTTTGACAATAATTTGAGTGTGGCAGGCTTGATGGATTAGGTCACCAGAAACCACAAATTTTCTAATAAAACTCGTTTTATAAAATTAGCCAATTTTTAGAAAACAACACCGACATCATGTAGGCACAAGGCAAACACCACAATATAAATTTTGCGATAAAAGATAAGTTTTGGCAGGCACGCCAATGTTTGGGAAAGTCGAAAGCCAGTGGAGCTCGCCAGACATCGGCTGACAAAAAGAATCAAGAAATTTAAACTCATCAAATTTAAGAAAGGAGCGGTATATGAAGGGAAGTGTGGCGAATTTCCATGCAGCTACGCACATTGGACAGACTGACTGGAATTTCACAACACAAAAAACACAAAATTTGCAAATGACACACCAACACAAAGGATACCAACAATACAGTAGACGGGATAATGCTAAGTCTTTGGGTTTTTGATGTAAACTACATTAGTGAAATATGAAACATCAACTATAAGTCACAAATTTGTTCGGGGAGATCACAACATATATATTGAAAGTGCTACTTTTCGTTAAAGAAAAAGACACATTAAATACTATAACAAAGAATAAAATTTCACCAACCATGGACATCAAGAACAATCAAAGCTCCAAGAGTTATTCTTTCCATCTTTGATAACTTTCCCCTAACAAGTTTGACAATATCATCAATCTGATTAGAGCACATTTTATGATACTCTTTCAGTCCACAGTTCTTTGACATTGCCTAGATGTAAGACCAAGTTTTATGTATAGTCAAATGAACTGTTTCACTTGTTCAATATAATTTTTTACCTCAGCAACTTGTATTGTCCAATAAATCAAGTTAACTGTCAAGACAACTTGACCAGGCCAATCAAGAACCCAATCAACGCGTGACGTTTTTGAATAACTAGCCATCCCATCAGTCATGATTTTCTTTAAACTTTCTTTCATTGTAACTTCAATCTGATAAAAACAATGATTGAATTGGATTTAGCTCGCTCAAAAATCAACAATGTACGCTAATTTCTCTAGCAATATACCTGAGCTAGCCACTTTTCAACCAGACCGTTCGCTTCCGCTGGAATTATTTTTTTGGAAAACTGAACTCGTTCATTCTCTGCTGAAAACATTGCTGATATTGCTTTTGCCGGTGTGAAATCTAATTTCATAATTCCTTCAAAACATTTCTTCAGATGAGGTTGCACACGAAAGGGGTCTTTTGTTTCCGAAAGAATTTCAAGAAGTTCATCGTTTGATAAAAAGAAAAACCTGTTGGATTTAAAAAAAGATGAGATTGATAAGAAGAAATCCCTAATGACTGGTATAAATATACAAAAGATGAGGTTGACAGGAAAACATAGGTATTAAAATGGTAAATTTTGGATGTAATGAGTTGATTTCCTGTGTGCTATTCACAAACCTTGGAAAAAATAATCTTTTCTTTTCTAAATATTCATTTAGACCTTTTTGAATTCCCTCCAACATGCACTATAATCGAGAAAAAACAAATTAATTCAGTTATCTCGAATAAGACTTCCCTCAATCAAAAAAATATGGCGAAATAAATGAAAAGAAAACCTTTGTTGATTGAGAACTAAACTAAAATGTTGAAAAGTACCTCTGATTCTCTTAAACGTTGAAGTATTTGATCTTGTGACGTCACAGAGAAAACTTTTGAGTCTTTCGTCAACGATAACATAATCGCTCTCCTGCAGTACACAGAAAAAAAATCATCTTTAATTGGTTTGTTTAGAAATATTTATTACTAGAATTTTAAATTTCCAGGTACGTACATGATATGTACCATCTCATCTCATATATACTCACAATACTTCATTTAACTTTAAACAAAAGATTCGCAATCGTAATTGAAAATGATTACAAACTAACCAGTAGTTATCAACTATTCTAAACTTTCGTCCTTCTTCAGGCATTTGAGCCTGAATATCTTCTGAAGAGAAAATAGGTTCGAGGTAAAGCCATCCAGCTTGTACCTATGTATTGAACAAGCCATTATTATCAACTACGTACAATAACAAAATTTGCAGTATTAGATCGAGAGACCTTTGTAACCAAATAAATTTGTTGTTGACATTATTATGTTCATACCTTCAAGCATGAATCCAAAACGTGTTGAATATTTATCTTTAAATGAAAACAATGATTAGTTTAATAAACCCTTAGTTATCACAATAGTATAATTGCACGTGTGTATTGTGTATAGTTATTGATTGCTGACCAAATGGCTTTCCCATTGATTGATTTCCATCTCGTAAACGCTGACAAAGGGTGACGCTTTTATGGTTTGAGTTTTTACAATTTGGTCTTCCAGCAAAATCTGGCAAAAGTATGAAACCATCAAAAATAAATACGACCTGGCATAGACTCTTTTTACATGTGCTTTTATTATATATGTACGTTGTTCTGTTCAGAACCTGAATATCGTCAACAGAAGATAAAATGTTGATGCCAGTTTCTTTATAATTCACAAAACTGAAATGAACATTCTCCCACTCATCTTTTATTTTCGCTAATGCCTGAAATAGATATCAACAATATAAGATTATCGTAAGATAATTAGTCGACTTCATAACTTACTTTACAACAACATAACAAAACCATTTTGTTGGAAAAGTATAAATATAATTAAGGGAAACAATTTGTTCAATCAATCCAAATTGAAATTTCACAATGAACCTTTTCCAATGAAAATTCTTTTCCAGCTTTGGATGCAATTCCTTGCATGTCTTCGAGGTGTCTATCCAGATTATAAGAAAGCATTTCATGAAGTTTTGTCTCGGGTAATGGAGCAATATTGAACCCCACCTAAAACAATGATAACAGTACAAAAAACATAAAGCGATCTGTAAAGCACTGTATACGTGTATAAGTACCATATTTCTGTCAAAAAGGAATTTGCGACATTTTACTAGGGAAACATTTTTTCCACAAGCTAATTTGTCATCTTCATATTTTCCTTACTTCTACAAAAATTAGTGTCACAATTATTTCTTCATTGTTTTACTCACCTTTTTACTCATCATATCCCAGTGACGATCTTTCATACCAGCGGTACACAATACATTAATCAGTGGCAGCTGGACTTTGAATTTCTCAACCTTTGCTTTCAATGAGGTCGCGACACGAAAGGGACCCATTTGATCTTGTTGACCAAAAAAGGATTTTGTAAGCTTGTAACTTAACTTCCAAATGTCAGATATCTAAAATAAAAGGGTTTACAAAATATCACATGCAGAGCAGCAATGTAGTCTACTCCAGTAAATCTGACGTTTATGGATGTGTTCAAGGCCGTCGGAAGATGACTATTGGTTGGTGGGTGGCGGAGGGAGGGGAAGGGGAAGGGTGGTGGTTCACATTCATGTATCGCGCATGTCAGCGATTATTTACCTCTTCCTCTATGTCCTCAGCATCAAGTGTAATCAAGCTTGCGTTCAGCCATTTTTCCTGTTTCTCGTTAAATCGTACGACAGACCTCCACAGTTTGTCATAAGGTTCCTTCACATCCATTATCTCTTGGATGAGAGGGAATGAACTCTGTTTCTCCACACCTAATATCTTTTCTTCTAAGTTTATTTTTTGTTTCTGATAAAAATGCAATAATTGCAAAGCTGATATGAAAAGACATGTTGAATATTTGATGTCTATAAAAGTAAATCGCCTGCGATACTTAGCTGCACTTTGAACAGTTACAATATTTTGGGCGCATGAAAGTTGTTAGTGTTAGTACCTCAGCTATTAGGTTTTCAACATCTGCTTTTAAGTGATCTAGTTTTTCAACGTGACTGCTCGCTTCCAATATTCTTTCTTTGGAGTGAAGTTCCTTTGCTTCTTGTAAAACTTCTTCAACTTTGGTTTCAAACTTCTTCAGCCAACTTTTTAGTTTATTGACAGCAGAATGATGTTGGCGATTGACACGAAGGTCGCTTGAAAAACATTTTTTAGCTTGTTTCAGTAGTGTACAAAGCTTCAGTTTTGCATTGTGCTAATGATCATAAATAAAATCTTCGCAATTATCGAAATATCCGTGATGTTCCCTTTCAAATTATTAGTCCATCATAATTAACACGTCATGCACTCGCTCCTATTATGATAAAGTCTTACCTGCTTCGAATTAAAGGAGTAATTTTTTCAGGCCATAAAAAAGTTGTGTCATTAAGATTGATATGCCAATTTGTAATGAATGCATAATCCAGAATAAACAATAGCAGCTCTGCAGCTTCTTCTAACTGATTCTAAATTTAAAAAAACGCGGAGCCTGTGGTATCTGTTGGCACCATACTTGAATAAAAACTCAAAATGCTGGAATGAAAACATATGTGTATGGAAAAATGATGTTGAACATTCTCCTAACTTTTTTGCCGAAAGAAAAATACAACAAAAAATCAACACGTTGCATACAAACTTGTAAAGAGGGTAAAGGACCAAACGGAAGGTTTTCGATGTATTCCATTTGTTTAACCAAACTGCTGGTGTCATTGAAAGTTTTGGTTATTTGATCAACAATCTCATCGTACTGCAGACAAATAGTTTTGTTTACTTTGATACTTTGTTCAAGTAATTGTTGCGTTAGAAGATCGTAAAAATATTGTCCCTTCACTTTGAGATCCTATAAAAATAAGAAAAAATAATTAATCATAGCCAAAACTTACAGCAAATAAATCGAAAACAACTTGGCTTTTATAAATTAATGGCACAATTTATCAAAAATAGAAAACAATTTTTCTTAAAGTGCAATCAGATTCATGTGCTCATATTTCGACGAAGATCATTGATTTATAATATGAAAAAAAAGTAAAAGAAAACCTGACTGCATCAACGATTAAATCCTTATCTTCATATAGGTAGGCTAAGTTGATTGTTTGAAATCAAATTGATTTTACGCTTACGGTATGCGCTTCCTTCATTGTATTAAATTTCATCAAAAGACGTAGACCATGCAAACAAGTAGCAACATCTTTCTAAAAAAAACTTTATTTACCTGGTTGACGAGAGTACAGTCGAGACAAAACAGTTGCATTGGAATATGTACATCCAAACTTTTCACCAATGAATTTAAATGCTTAATTTCGTCCAGTTTAAGTTTATATTCTGCAAGCGTTTTATCTTCAACAAGGAAATTCTTCAAACGCTCAACAGATGACGATGAAAGTAAATATTCAAATTGCGAGTACAGAGAAAGAAAACTAAAAATTGAAAATCTGTTATTTTTACAAATGTTATTATAAGTCAGCTTTTGCCAAAATCAACTTTACTTGTCACAAAAATCAATAAACATGTGCACTAAGGTGTTAAAAACATGTCTGTAATGTGTCCTATAATGAAACCTTTTCCTTTATTTTGATTTCCAAACGTGCATGTCAATAAAATCAGTGAAAACCTACCCATGAGGTCCGTCTGTGTTGACATCAATAATGCTTGAAACTTTTTCCTTTACCATCAGGACAAACTGGTCTGATAAATCAGTAGAGGGAATAGTTTTTGTAGGGTTATTGTCAGCTTGATAAAAAAGCAAAGACTCGACCCTGGTAAGGTTATTAACACTGAGAACAATCGCATTTATGATTTCATTCATCGATATTTCTATGTCAAAAAAAGATGGACTGAAGCTGATTGTTTCTTCCTCATAGTCTGGGACAACGTTAACGATGATCATCTGTTGTATAATAGGAAGACATCTTTTGAACACTCCTTCAAATCCGTTTCCATCTTTGTACATTTCAAAAAAAGAAACCAAATCTTCCAAGGAACGATTCAATAAACTTCTTAAGTTATTTGACATCAGTATTGCTACACAATTAAAGAAGCTGTCCATTTTTCGAATTCTTTCATCCTATATACATAGACATCACAAAAAGGCCTTCAGTTAACGAAGATTTTCGGAGATGAATTTTAAAGTTCTCGTGTAGCAAACAGAGATGTATACATATATAGACAGAGATGCATAATAAATGAAGTTCGCTTTAAAGAAGACAAAGTATTGCAAATATAAACTGTCCTCTAGCACACAATTTAAATTCAAACATTTCTAAACTACGTCATTTATTTAGTGGGGCCAGAAGCTTGTAACCGTATCAGAAGCTATTCAAAGAGAAAAATAGAGAAGGCAGTTACTTTACGACAACAAACCTCGTTGTATGGCATCCATTCTTCGACATCCTCTCTTTTTTCGCTGATCAACGCAGCGCATTTGGGGATCCAAACTTCTCTTAAATGCTGAACAGTTTCTTTACAATTCTTCAGAACCAATCTTGAGAAGTGAGGCATGGTCAAAGGCATGTGCATAACTACTTCTTTCACATCAATTAACCTCAGGTGAGCAAATCTTGATAGAAAAAGAATGAAGATGAGTTCCAAAGAAAGAATTTGGACTTTAAAGACCAAAAACGCTAATTCAAGCATGAGTTTAGATTTTACGGTCTTTAAAACGATGATCATGAGCAAAAACAAAAAAAAAGACATATAAAAGTAACATTATACTAACTCAGTTTCCCATAGACATAGTAACACACGCATAACTATATGAGTTATATGAAGATTATTCTCCATAGAAGCTCTTGCCGTTGCCATTGATTCGTGCCATACAAAAGATTCTCTGCCAGCCGTTTCTGTAATCTAAAGTTAATGAAAATACTGCCATAAAATACTGAATTTTTTGTTCCATATGTCTATAACGCCTATTCTACTGCAAAAGTCCTTTTATTAATCATTCCAACCATGTTTATTGACCACAAAAATAATTTTTATGTTAAGGAAATGCTTAAGTTATTAGAAAAATTCTTTTGTGCTACACACATACTCTAAAAAACAATATAATTACGTTATAAAAACCTTTTTCGCCATCGTCAAACCAAGTCTTCCTTGTTCGCTTTTATCCATTAAAACATAGTCAAGGATAGATTTTCTAATGCTTAAGGTATAGTCATCCTCCATTTCCTGAATACGTATATTCATACACTTATTACTTTGTTAAAAACAGGTGCACACATGATTCATTTTTTCACGACACTCACACACCCACCACAGGATTGGAAATGAAGTTCAGACAAAACTTACCTTTGTACATTCCATTAAAATGTTTAAAAACCTATGTCGTAGAACTTCAGGAACAAAAGAATAAGCATTTTCTATCCATACAGAGGATAGGGGTGTGACAGCACTTGCATCAAATGCATTATGTATTAATGACCAATATCTTACTCTACTATCGATATTCTCAGGAGAGGAAGCGCGTTCCAGTCCAAACGTACTTCCTGATGTGGCAAAAAATTTTGTTTTAAGAACATTTGAACTTTCAAAGTCATGTTCTGTTCTTCTTTTAAGGTCAGTGACTTTATTATCAACGCCAGGATGACTTGAATTGTACAAGACATCGTCAAAAACATTTTCTGATGATATTTCAACGCACTCTTCCCTGACAACTTCCTTCAATGCGCTTTCTGCATATTGATTGACTCCAAAAGCTGGCAACGGTCGTTTTTCCCCGTGTCTGTGTAATAATCCTGATTTTGGCCGCATTTGAAAATAATCTTTCGACCTGTCTTCTCTTTGGATTTTGGAGGATGAAGATTGACGACCTTTTTCATGTACGTACAAACTTCTATTTCGCGGAATTGCTTTACTGTTCGTAGATTTTGTCGTCAAAGTACCAACTTTTCAATGAAAAATTGCAAAAGTAATGGAGTTGATATAAACTAAAATATCACGTGTGTCAATAACAGAGCTTGTTTCAAATTTGCCTGTTTTGCATTATTTTTATTTCATGAAAAAAATGAAACATGATTTTGGTGTTTGCGAACGGCAAACATCTTTTATTTCTTAACTAATAATATAAATAAATGCAATTATAAAAACAGGACTCTGTGCTTCTTTGACCAAACTTATTATAGCTATAGTATATTCTTTTGTAAATTCTTCTATACAGACGAACAATAATCACACTAACCGTTGCTACGTGTTGATCGTCTTGCCTCAAAAATAGTAAAAGCACTCAAATCTGAAGCGGACGGTGTGTAATTATTGGCAATGGAGTCACTATAGAGAAAATGAGGCATTCACAATTATTGGAGAATACAACTTCATTAATACTGTACATCAATATCCCAAGCAAGGATCATATGTAATTCCCCATGTTTGGCTTTACTTTATAGATAATGAAATTTACTGAAGCGTAGCTATGTATAATTCGACGTTGGCGAAGTCCTATATTTTAGCTTACGGACGTAATGACGTTTCGTTTAGTTAAACTTTGAAGGATTGGAACAAGAAGCATTGCTGGTTTCAGATTTTGGAAGAGAAGCCTTCTAGTTATATAATGTCCATTTTAAGTTTATTGTTGTATTGTAAGAGATTGAACAGAGTACATGCAAATGTTTCGCGTGGCTTTGACACATGAAACATTATAATAAATACTTCCATACCTAACACGGCGATGAAATTTCTTCTCCTTAGTTGGAGAAGCTTTTGTAAAGGCACCAGCCTCGATAATTCGAGGTCTTTCACTGAACATGCGCTGAAAAGAACATTAAGTAAAAAGTTTTCACAAAAGTTTCAGCGCTTAGTACAATTTTTGTACACGAAAGTTTTTCACAAAGAGGCAAAAGATTTTGTTTTATCTGAATAAGAATAACATTTGAGTAAGGGATATATTAAAGCCGGATGTCTCCTTGAGTATATCTTTCTTGCATTGATTCTAGTAAAATTTAATTCAATTGACTGCACACGTTGAGCACATTTAATAGAAAATTAGATTTTCAAGAATGTCTTAGCCATGCAGTGGAAATTCATCCTTAAAAAGCCAAAAAAACATAGCTGCGTACCTGCTCATGACTCAGTGGGGGCAGGTGTTCAAAATTCTTCGGACGATCTTGAATATCAAACACTTTAACGTTGCTATTCTTAACAATAATGTACAAAAATAAATATTATCACATCATAGCTACTGATGACTGTCCTCCAAAAGATGAAAACGAAATGAAATAAATTTAAACAATAAAGATCCTTTTTTATACTTCTAAATGCTAACGTCTATCACATTTAATTATAATGTGTTTATTGATCTACTTTGTAACGATGTGACCACGAAGCTAAACAAATAAACGCGTAGCGCACCTATTCTTTAAATAAGTGTAATAAAAGAGTGTATGATTTGTGGTGTGGTCGTCGTTTCCAACCGTCATGTTTAGCATTCAAATCCATCTGTCACGTTAAACATGAAAACTAAATGCGAATACGACTAAACACAACTAAATTGCATTACTCCACAACACACCTTCAAACTGCTATCGAAAAGCACCTTCCTACATAGATTTATGGATTTATAAACCTACTAAAACATTTTTACTTTATTTTTTTGAAATAACACATTCTGAAATTAATAAATTGAACTGAAAAACCATTTGAGCCAGACGTATAACAAAGTTACATTTTCAACTTTTCTATAATTATCACGAAAGAAGCCCTCTTTGCTATTTTACTACGAGCTATTTACGCATTTAGTGAAATTCGCTAAATTATGGGAGAAAATCTGCGATTAATAATCCTAAAAGCGCATTGCAAACAAAATTCGTTTTCGTCTTATTCGTGGTGAGCTTAAGCTAGCTAATACAAATAAACGTTACCTCTGCATTCATGAAATTTTCCATTTCATAACTAATTTAAAGAGAAGAATGGTTCACATGGTTTACAATATTTTCTTCAGAATAAATACCAATGTTACTTCGAACGACTTGTAAACAATGTATAATTAAAAGCTTTATAGCTTCCCTGTCGTCTGGCCAACAAAGCATAAATTATAAATTAATTGGGTCAAAACATTTACTAAATAACACTGCGGGCCTCTGGTCCATTCATCATCTGTCGTCACACCATTCAGGTTATTCAACCACCACTATTTTACAAATTTAACTTCCAAAGGATTGAAGCTGAAGCATTCCACCATTCCAGCATTCAAATCGAGACAAAATGTGCATGTATACACTGTAGAGCAGCAGCCGTTATGCAACTTCATCTCAAAATCACTTGTAACAACTTCCATAATATGCACATTGATTGACATAAATACTAACCAACAATAAAAAATATAAAATTAAAAAACATAAAATTGTTTGGAAATGTCGTGGAAAATGTAGTTTCTTGTTTACTTATATGAGTCATTTCATTTAAATAACACGAAGTAGCCTTAAAGTTAACTTTAATTTGTTAAGTACATTTCGATCACCTAGAGTCCGAAGAGATTTCGTGATTTTTGTCAAATTCGGATTAATTAACCTCAATAAACTGTTTAAACCGGGTTTAGAGGAACAATTAATTTATGAACTATGGGTGTAAATGGCCTTTGGAAATTATTGGAGCCAGTTGGCCGGTCAATCAATATGGAATCTCTTGAAAATAAAACACTTGCTGTTGGTATCTTTTAAATTACGTATTATGTAAAGTTAAATAGTTTACCGTCAGTTCGGCCAGTTGTAGCTTGTATATTATAAATCAAGCTTTATTGATTTATTAGTATTGAGTGAGAAGTTTATGATAATTGATATAATGTTAATGTTATTCATCAGTTTTATTAGCTAGTTAGTAAGATTTGGTTTTAGTTTGGTGACAACTGACAAACAGCATCACAGGTTTATAAGTTTTCTTCTGTCCAAAGGTTGTCTGCATATGTGTACTTTTATGTTTAGTTTTTGTACATTTTGCTACTGCCCAGTCTTGACTGGCTTGTGGTTAATTGTGGCAGAAATCACGGAAAAACCATAATTGGGGGCTATTATTGATGTATGCATGGTACTTTGAAGTCTGTTGTTTTCAACAAATTATAACATGCATAAATGAATATTAACCCCCCCCCCCAATTATTGATCTTCCACAGTCCCTGCATTGAAAATAAATCATGGATTGTTCTTCATTAAGTGGTGTGAATTTTCAATCATTGATTCTTCTAAAGATGCAGTACATGTTTTTTACTACTTCCTTGACAGATATTACATTTAGATGTCAGTTTATGGCTTAACCAGGCTCTTTATGGGATGAAAAATCAGCATGGAAGTTCCATCCCAAATGCTCATCTTGTACTTCTTTTTCAAAGAATTTGCAAGCTACTCTATTATAGAATAAAACCAATTTTTGTTTTTGATGGTGGTGTTCCAGAACTTAAGAAAAAGACATTGGTGGGTTATGTTTAGTGATTATCACTATACCCTTGTTCATCTTGATAGAACCAATCTACTTTCCATTCAGAACTCCAAGCATTGTTAAAGTATCTTAAACATTGTTTACAATGGGACCTTAGCCAGAACTTTACTAGGGGAGAAGAGTCATGCTTGCCAGTAAAATTATGGCCCAGAAATTCAGTCAATTTTCACTCTTTGCTTTAAACAAGCTTTTGTTGAAAAACTTTGAATTTTCAGACTTAAAGAGAAAAATATTTAATTTTGATGCAATTCTTTTTTATGTTGTGTATTACTATTTACCATTTACAAGTATAATAACTAGCAAGTTGCTAATCAAACCTTAAAAATGCTGCACAGATTACAAGGATAGGTCTTGATTGTGGCATCTTTGAAATACTGTTTGAGTGCCTTTTCCTTTTTCTAATTTGTATTTTTTAACAATATGAAAATGAAAAGAACATGCAAATTGCTGTTTATTTTTGCCAGTCTACTTTCAAAAATCCCCGTTCAAAAAGACCATTGGACGGGTCTCTGGCTAAACCCTTGGTTTACAATGCTGGCATTTGGCCATGATTGATTTCGCATGTGTTTTGTTGTTAACATAGATCAATAGCTTTTGGTTTATATCCTGGTAGGCTGTACGTAGAACAATGCGATTGACTGCACAGACCAAAGCTCAAAAATTATCAGAAAAAGTTTTGAAAAAATACCTGAAATCTCGTGCAATTGGAAGTGTAACTGGACGTAAAAGGTTAAATATAGTTTGCACGAATGCTTGTGATGCATGTTACAGTAGAGCTGAAAGAGGTCAAAAGTGCTTTTCCCGTTTAATTTGTATCAATATTGAATCTGCCCATACATATATGTAATAATTGTCATTTATTTTTACTTTTGATACCTAGCCAACGATCATCAATAAACGCCTTAGATGAAAATGTATCAGAAAAAGATTTATTTGAATTACCGCCATTACCAGATGAGATTCAAACCACCAGGTATAGAAGTGATGGAAGTAACGTATCTATCTCGACTTTAACTCCCGTTATGCAAATATTTTTGTGTTCATTGACCACGAGAGCTATAGACTTCTAAAGAAACGAATAATGGTAATCTTTCAGCGGGAGTAATTCTGCTACCTGGCTGCACTATTGAGAGATGGTCCGATTCCTTGAGAACATACATTTCTTAATTTCTCCACGTGATATCATCATATTTTCTTCCGCCATATCCCAGCTTTATTGAACAGTTCATTGGGTGTTAATTTAAACATGACATACAGCTACACGAATGTTTGAGTTGCAATTGAAATAATTTTTTCTCGATATGTTTCTTCAAACACCTTACTTGCTTGTGTGATTGAGTTACACTTATAAAAGTAATAGATAATTGTAAAAAAATGGTTACACACGAAACGATATTTTTGTGAAAATAAATGAAATTACCAACCAAAATTCATTGTGAACTCTTCTATTTTCTCAAACCAATAAACCTTAGCGTAGAGAACAGTGTCGGCTTAAAAACATTCCAGACCCATTTTGTAGAATCTATTAAGCAATTGTAATAAATTAATCTGACTTTTTTTTGTATTTTTAGCGCAGTTCAAGATGAATCTTTCCTCGGTTCGCATCATATACAGGTGTGCGTTTTGATAGACTTTGTTAAATCATCAACTATACGGTCAAATTATTCCCTGCTTTAGGATACCACTGATGTTAATATAGACTCTGAAGAATTTCGAAGTCTACCTTACGAAATTCAACACGAAATGATCGTTGAAATGCACGAGAAAAGCAAACGACATTCACGTTATGAAGAGATTGATATGCCTGAGGTAAACACGTATATTGAATCCATCATTGAAATATCTCAAAAAGATTGTTTTGTAGTTATTTTCTGGTTGTGCGATGGTACGCATTGTGTATGGATTGTTGCTTTTTTATACAGGAATCAGATGATTTTTCCAATTTTCAACTCAACCATCTTTTGAAACGTGGAAAGTTGACTCAGAGATTAGGAACACTGCGAAAAGTAATGAACGATAAACGAGCTGGAGAACTTGTCTACGACGTTGTTGATGGCGATGTGAACTCAAAATATGTTGTTGAGTCACAGAAAATAATGTCTGAAGATACAGCTCAATACATCTTAATCAAGCGAAACGAGGCACATCAGACTAAAAGTACATTGTTCATCTCTGATTTTTGAGCGCTTGCTCTTATAGCCAAGTGTTTCCAATCTTTTTGAACCATTTAAATGCAACTCTCTACTGTATTTATTTCTTGACAGTTTCCTATTTTGTTTTAGTAGTAAATAATGAAGAGACGCAAATGGCGGGAGGTTTCTTTCCTGAAGATTATGTGAATAGCAACATGGATGTTCAACCATTTGTTTTGAAAGACTTACCTAAAGTTTCTTGTGCATTGATGCGGTAACTGTGGATTCTACTGCAGATGAAGAAGCAAGTGATGAGGTGCAAGGTGTTCCCATTAATGCAAATCTAACTGAAGCGCCGAAGCATTCAGAAACAACATTTGAACGTGAAATTCCACAAGAATTCGCTTTGAATCCTTTACGTGAAGCCTGTAATTCTTCCTATTCTGAAACACAAAGTTCATATGACATTACTGGAAGACTAAAGGACGTGACTAGAAAAGATAGAAATTCGGAATCAGCTGTGTGGAAGAATGAGGCATTAATTTGTTCAAACGATAAGCTTAATTCGAAATGCGCTGATGAAAAAACTGATGATACTATGAATGTGTGTATTGCTGAAGAAACGGAACTAAAAAATATCAAAAATTCGTCAGCAGTTAGTCCGACTTTCGTCAGCAATGAAAGTTCAATCAACACATCAGTTGAAAATAAAGCAATTCGGCCTGCAATTGCTTCTACTGAACAAAACCAGACATTAATTGAAGAACAAGTTTCATCCCAATGTGAGAGATCGTTTGAGGCTGAGCTTGATGATTTAGAGGAAGAGATAAACGAAAAAAAGAGATTAATCGAGAAGTTACTCTCCGGTAGAAACGTTTCCCATATCATGCATTCATCAGAATTAAAAAATGATATTATAATTTCCAAAGGTGCGCTTACTTGTGAAAGTGGGTCTATCCAGTCTACATCATCCGTTGCTGATGTTTTTATTAATGCTGAGAACCTGGATGAATCTCCGTCTGTTGAAGGTGAAGATCCTGGCACAGTAAATGAGTTTGAAGGAAAAACATATGTAAGAAACGTGAAGATATGTCTGTCATAGACAAAATGCACGTTTTACTTTATAATGAAAATTATCATTTCTCGGTTTCGTTTTTTGCGATAAAACGATTTTTTCCTGGACAGGAGGAACTTGATGAAATTCAGATGAGATTAGATGATGATCTTGAGAATTTGAAGGAAGAAAGAACACGTCAGAGTCGTCTTGCTGCCACGGTCACGGACGAAATGTATAAAGACAGCCAAGTGAGTCAGATGGACTAGAAAGCTTTTTTATTTTAGTCAACTGCAATCTATGTTTAGTTTTATTTAATATCTTTTGTTACCATACTTATCACATGAATAGTTAGGTGCAAGCATTAGCAACCTGGCACATATTTTGGGTTGATTGGAGTCCTTTACTAAGCCACAGTATAGAGAACATACAGTAAAGCAACTCCATTGAATTTTTGTGCCACGCATATCTCATTGCGCATGTGATAACCATAATGGCAACCAGTCAATTGGAATTTCTGATCAATAAGAATGATGAAATGGCTTACGGTAGCCAGTAATCTTATTAAATATAAAGCAGCCATTTGCACAGCGAAGTGGCCCTACTGTATATTCCCTATACTGTGGCTAAGCTATTATCAAACATCATCATCGACAGAAATATTTTGGCCGTGAGTGTTGGAGGGTTAGCAGATTCCTCCCGGTCGCAGGTTTAGTGGAAGCCTTGAAGTTGTAGCGAGCCTTACATAAAACCATTCATTGTAACAAGACATATTTGGACGTTGCGAACATAAAAACTGCAACTACGCTCTGAATGGTTTAGAAATTGTACTTTGCATTTTTGCTAATCGATCCGTCGCACATGGCACGTGAGCACTACAGAAAAAAATCTTCACATGACGCATCTGTTAATAATCTAAGGTCTGGATGGGGAGCCATCTTACGAACTTCTCTAACCAACTTAAACTCTTTGTAACCAGGGTTGAAGCTTCAAGCCTGGAGTCGCTTCAACTCCCCAAACTTAGCTAGTACCGAGAAGCGTCAAACAGGCCGTCGACCGACACATCTGTCAATTGCTTTCAACCTCAACCAATGAAATTACTCTGACAAACTTTAAAAAACGCTTTGTATGAATGCAATTCAAACGGTAAAATGAAGCCAACATAATTACCCTTCCAGATCATACATAGAAAGTAGCTGTTTGATGGATGTGTGGACAAAGCAATGGACGCTTTTGATATCCACTTATATCCCTCAGTGAACCTGGCCTGTTTTAATGATCAGGGGAAGTAGCATCTAAGATGCATTTTCTCTTTGTTAATACCGTCATTATCGCTTTGGTCTCTTGTGAATTCTCTGCTGTAGTGATAGCTGAGGGATTATGATTTCCTGATTGCTCGGTAGATAGAACCTGAGCATGCGTACTTCTTCGTACTGCCATTGCCGAAGAAACTGCTTCATCCACTGCAGATTGTAGGCCAGCACAAAACTCGTCCGCTCGACAAATGACCCTTGCGATGATTCCCTTAAAGAAGCTTCTTCATAAAAAAATTTTGACGCTCTGCTTGCGTATGCACCAGCTGTCCAGCTTCCTCAAACTTAGTCACTTTCTTCCTTAATCGGTCCCAGGCTGCAACTGTTTCCTTTCACAATAACTTTGGTTACTGTGTAACATCATTAAAACATAATGAAATAGTTGTTGATGATTCAGCTTTTTGATCTTTCAGAGTATTATCATATTTTACTACCATTACTTTATTATAAATTTGTAGGAGTTACTACAGTTATTTGGAATCCCGTATGTTGTTAGTCCAATGGAAGCTGAGGCTCAATGTGCCACCCTGAATAAAAATGATTTATGTGATGGGTCTATTACTGAAGATAGCGACATTATTTTATTTGGAGCAAGAAAAGTTTATCGAAACATTTTCAATCAAAAGCGTGACGCAGAGTTGTATGAGGAAGATGATGTCAAGTGTATGTTGGGTAAGTCTATATGTAATATTACATGAAGCATTCACTTCATTTCATTTCATTTCAATTGTTTTCTCAAATTTTCCATGTGAACGGAAGAAATTCAAAGGTGATTTTTAAAATTTGTTTTACACCCATATTTTCTGACAATTAAAACCGATTCAAAAGCTCAAATAGGTAGAATAACTCACAATAAGTAGCTTAGTGTTAGAATATGTTAGAATAACTAACTTAGAATAATTAAATTGGACTTACTAAATTAAAATAACTAACTTAGTGCGTGAATGAATATATAGAGGTGATAGCGAGGGAGTCCACACCTCTTAGTCTTAGCTAGATGGGTGAAAGAGAGGTGCCAATTTTCTTACAAAATACTAGTATGCGAAACCATTAAGCTTGGAATAATTATCTTATAATAACTTTAAACGACCAACTTGCATGCAAATACCTAAATTTTCATACCTCAACTTTGAATAATTCATTGCGTAGATGATGATTTATGATAAGCATTTTTGCCCCTAGTGGTATTTTTCTTGTCCTAAAGTCGTTGCGCTTTGTCATGATTTTTATTGCTAATGTTTTTAGTTTTTTGTTTACTTAAGGACTGGATCGTTTGAATTTAATTCTAATTGCAATGCTTGCTGGAAGTGACTACACTGAAGGTGTTCAAGGTTTGTTATTTTCGTTATCATTAAGATTCCTGTATTGATGATAAAAGCTGTTGTGGCTATCTACATACATGTACAACATGTCATCTGTTTACCAACAAAATTCTTTTGTGGCAATTCCTGAATTTGCGTCAGGAATAGGGATTGTTTCTGCTATGGAAGTGATTAATGAATTTTCTGGAGAAGGAATTGTGAAATTACAAAATCTGAAGTAAGTCAATCATCGCGCTTGTGGCAAACACTTGACGAACTATGAGGATTTGGGGAGGGGTTACAATACTTCAATACCCACCCCTCGGACCTCTTGAACCCCCATATCGTTGTGTTTCCTCTTGTCGAAAACTTAATCTGTTTTTCAAGTTATTGCAGTTCATACGTCTGTTTGCATAACAGGAATTGGTTTTATGAAAAATCCTCTCGTTCTTTTCAAGAAAGTAAAGTAAAAAAGAAACTGGTTAGTTTTTGTCGATAACTGCTTGTTGGCCTACTTAATATGTCTTTCTACGCAACATCAACAGTCACTAACTTTTTCACGAGGGAAATTTTCACAACTTGTTCATTTTTATTAAGATTTTTTTCGTTCTTTAAAGTTTAACTATATGTTTTTAATTCAGAGAAATGCTAAACTTCCTCTTGGTTTCCCTTCTGAACAAGTTTTTGAAGCTTATCTCAATCCACGTGTTGATGATTCTAAAGAGGCATTTTCATGGGCAAATCCGGACCTTCATGGCCTAAGATTATATCCTTTTGTTCAAAAGAAAATGAAACATCGAAATATGTTTCGTATATAAAAAATATATGATTGCCATATCGTTTTCTTATTTTGCAATCATTCTTGTGTCGTATTTTTCTTTAACTATCTTTACGTATGCTTCAGAAAAGCTTGGTTGGTCCAAAGTAAAGACAGATGAAATTTTATTGCCGGTTTTAAAACGTCTTAACAGCAAAGAGGTAAAAAACGAAGAAGTTATTATCCTAAAAATTTTTTACAACCTCATTGAAGTTAGTGTTTCTATAAAAGACACACATGACGTGGGTTCTTGCTTTGCTCATGTTGAGACAAATGACGTGGGTTCTGCTTTGCTCATGTTGAGAATTGACGCGTGGATAAAGTGTTTTTGCGTCAATGGCAACTCCCACAAAAAAATTACGTGGATTCAACGACGAAGAAACACTGTTGAAGTTAAAAGTTTCTTCGAGCGATATGTCCATACATTTTGATTTTGTAGTTGACTAACTGGTTTAGTAGTTTTGATTCTTTACCGTTCTCATCATCATTTCACTCTCCAGCGTAGCTACATTTTCTCACGTATTAAATTGTAATATGTCTTATTCTTCATTGGCAACAATTTTCGCTATTGCAATCCAATGCATTGGACCTGTTTTCCAACAATTTATAATCCTTATTACAATCAAGCGATACATAATATAGAGTATCTTGGTCTTTCATGCTATGTACGCTCTTTATCTCCATTCATTTTTTAAGGTGAATTTGAAAATTGATGCTTTTTTCCCCGTTCAATACAAAGGCGCTAAAAAAATAAAAAGTAAACGTGTGAAGCGAGTTGTTAACCGCCTAATTAACAAAGAAAGTGAAGACGATGAACATAACACTGTAAAAAAACGTAAAATGGTGAAACAATCCACTAAAATCAAAACGACACAAAAACAAAGATTGGATAATACTAGCAATGTCAATGAACTTACTTTTGATGAACGATCAAGTGCCATGATCAATGTTCAAAAGTCATGCCGAAAGAATGCTTCATCTGACTCAACGTCGGACACCAGCGATGAAGATCATAATTACATTCCTTTCAACGAGAAGCGTGGCGGAGTTTCGTCACGGAGTAGAGGCGCACGCGGAGTGAGAAAGACAGGAAACAGGCAAAATGCAAAAAAACGTTTTCAACATGATTCGTAATGCAATGTATTAGTGCTTGCCAGCTATAATCCAAATCAAGAATATTGAAAGTGAGAAAAAATATTTTTAAAATTACCAAATTGCCAGACTTGTAACGGTTTGGTGTCCTTGGTGAAGTACTCCATTACTCCTTGCACAAGATGACATAAAATATTGCGAAGTTTCGGAAAATTTTTAGACTTGGAATGGCACGGTATCGTTGGTGTACAATTTAGTTATGTGATCTAATGTCAAGTTGTTCGATGTTGGCAATTTTATGAAGAATCGCGGGGAACAGAAAGTTTTGAATTCAATGTTTTGCGTTCATTGTATTTCCTTCTGCCACCCTTTTATCATGTTCTGGTATTTCCTTGCCAGCCATTTGGTCGTCATCCTTTGAATGCGGGATGTTTTGTTACTTCTTGCGATTCCGGTGATGAGGATAATCTACTTTATAGTTTACATAGGTCAAGTACACTCTCGGCTGGTTATCTCGCAGTAAAAGTCGGCCTAAATTTAGTGGTAGCAAGAGGTGTTAATCAAATAAAGATTGTTACCCTAAAATCTTTAGTAAGTGATCTACTTAAACGCAACCAGGGAATAACACCGACGCTGAAAAAAATTACTTTTATATGCTATACACGAGTGCAGTACCAAGTTTGTGTCGATGGCGACTAAGTCAAACGGTGATGTGCCATTTGTGGAAAACTTAAAAGTGGTACATTGTTTAAAAAAATGGATTTTGCAGAGATATATGCTCGTAGGATGGGCCACCGTTAATGCAAGTACTATCTTATTTTAACCTTTTAGCGGCAGACTACAAAAACTACCCGACCAAGAACGCGTCATTTTTCAATAAATACGTGTGTAGGTGTTGTGTTTAATTAATCCAATCCTTCTATAAACGCTTCTAATGTGAACCGATACTTTTGTTTCCACCTTACAAAATCGTGGTGTCATTTACCGTGAGCTGTCAACGACCGAACAAACTGGTTTAACTCAAAGTTCGGCCTGGCTGTATGTACGAAAAGTAAGTCATGCCTCGGACGCTTGGAAAGAAAAGCACGTTTGCTTCATCTTGCTCTGTTTATCCAAATTATTTTCAGGTCAATTTTTACGACAAGGAAAGTTCAAGTAGACAAATGGAAGAAACAGAGAAACCTGCAAAAAGAAAACGATACAGACCAAACGCTGCGTTAAAAGAGCGTGAACGTCAACGAGTATTTCGCGCAGCATTTGCCACGTTAAGAGAACATCTGCCTTTAGATTCATCGAAAAAAATTCCAAAGAGAGACATCTTACGACTTGCTGCTCAGTACATCAAGTATTTAACTTCTCTTCTCGATCAACCTGATATACGTTATCTCATAGACGGTAACATGTGAATAAACAGCTTTTTGATCATTTGCGCCTGGGTCACTGTATATAAGAACATTTTCAAAATGGAAGAAATCAACATGGCACATATCTTCAGGAAGTGAATAATTTTACATATGACAGATGTTCTCGACTGTATAACCAACCATGATTGATGCAAGTTGCAGCTTATAGTCAATTGTACTATCTCAGAGTCGAAAGTAAAAAATAGTAAAACTTTAGTAATTGATTCCAACTGTAGCTGCTTATTATATCATCTATATAGCTGTTTGACGTAGTCGATGTTGATTGATATGTTTTAGAATAGCTTTGCACTAGAATTGTTCGAAGTTTTGTAGTTAGTCATAATTTTAAATATGATTGAATAATTGTGTCATAAACTTCAATGCATCACTATATGCATGTGTATTTATTTCATTTAGTTTGTGTGAAGATTCGAATTTCGAAATACTTATTGACTGTTTATTTCTTTCTTTATTTGTTTGTTTATTTTGTTTTGCTTAGAACGCCCAAAACTTAGGCAAAAGAATATGAAACACATGTTTGCAATATGGGTTGCAAGTACCAAACATGGCCGCTATAATGACAAATACGACATACTGACAACTACGCTTGATAGTTTTATTTGACAGCTCTAAAATCAATTTGTCGTTGTATTTATTCCGAATGTTTGATCAGTGCTAAAGAGTAGTTTTAGATTTTTGTTGTTTGTCCGCCACTGTAGCTATATTTCGACGTTTAACCATTCACAAGTGAATTCGTATTTGTAGTTAGTTTTAATGTCTGTACTTTAACATTATTTTTTACCAGCTAAACTCCATTCTTGAGATTGTACTGTTTTTGTATTTCTTTCGAAACTTTTTGCGCCAGCAGATTTTGTAATAGGTTTTTCAATAGGAAATTCCTGTGAATGTTTTTGCGAGCGGAACGAAGAATTAGTGTCAATTTCCTTTAAATTTCCGCAAAAATTTGTTTGACAGTTCCAGTGATTGTCTTCTCCTCAGTCCATTATATATAGAGAGAGAACAGAAATGACTGAAATAAAGTACGCACGCTCATGGTCTGTGGTCTGAAGTCATCTTGCTCTACGTAGAAGTAAATCATGCCGCTAAAAGAATATTCCCCGAGCTCGAAACAATTGAACCAAAATGCTATGTTTTATGTCAAAGATGTTACGATGAACAAAACAAAAAGCAAAATTGCCAAGAGAATTTGAAGTTAAAAATTTTCTTAAAAATGACAAGCATATTAAGTTCTTTAATTGATCATTATCAACTTTCATTTTTTGGTCAGGTTATTATTACTGTAAACCTTCCGTACGGTCTAAACACAAGCACTCAGTTAACATAAATCAACATGTTGATTGTTATTGCCCAAAACTAGAAATCTTTACTCTTTTATTGAAAGGTGCCGATCAAACATCTAAAATCTACTTTCTATAGATTCCCATTAACTAGCGTAATGCTAATTGTTATGTTATGTATGGTGGTTTAGACTACCGCACATTTGCAGCACTAAAATGTTAGATACGTTCACGAGATTTCAAACTGTTTTCAATCATTGTATAGAAGTAGTTACATCTACTTTGCCCGATACGAAGACATCATCAGAAACTCTTCTCGAAACCAACGCAGTTGATGGTAAAATCTCAAGCTTGTAAAAGATCTTTCTTCCTTCACTAAACGAGTGATTGAAGCAATCAAAATGCAACGTTGGCTGCTGTTGCTTGTCAGTTTTTGCTTTTTCTGGTGAAGAATTACCCATCCTTTGAACATCGAGTTTCTCAATTTCTGTGTTTGGTGTTGATGATTTATTGGTGTTCCAAAAGTTATTGACATTATTTTCTGTGAAAGTTTTTCCAACCCTCTGTTCGTTGCGATTTTTCTGTTTTCGTATAAATTGACGTAAATGATTTTGCGTTCCAGAAGGAAGAAAAACAAAAAATAAAAACACAAAGAATCCTTGCAGAGTATTAAATATGGCAAAGAGATATTGAAACACACGCTTTGCATCATCTATTGCAAGAATTCCAAAAATCCATGTGAGACCAAGAAGTACCATGATAGCGATACCTTGACGAGCTTGTGTAAAACCAGAGATCTTTTGATTAGAGGTCACCTTATTACCAGAATTATATAAAGATCTGATGATGCATAAGAATGCGACAAGATTAACAAAGATGATGATAACGGTTGGAGTGAAAAAAACAATGATGAATGGAACACCTTTCAGTCGACAACTATTTGTAAAAAAAATGAAGAAATGATTTGCCAAATATGTCAGATGATAACCAACAGACTTTCCTACATTTTAAAATGAACTCTTTTTGAGTTGAGAAAGAGCCTTTTTGTGTTGAGTAGGCACAGAGGGAGTAGGACACATGTTGTACAATGTTGTCATTAGTGTTATGTTGTAGAGTAATGTCATAAGTTTATTTTATATGGTATTAGTGCTGTGTTTTATATTGTTGTCAATAGTAATGTTTTATGTGGCGTTGTCAACAATAAATTATGAAGAATAGTGTTTGGTTATTTCATACATAATTCAAATGAAACAGAACAAACGTGGGAAAGCTTTTTCAAAGCACTGTTTTCTTTGCAAACTCTCAAGAATGCAATTCATTTCTTTACCAGGTGTACAATTTCTCTTTTGAACTTGTTTGCCATAATTGCACGTTTTACTGCTAGGCATCGCATCCAGTAAACCCACTTTCATTGACTATTTCATGCATAATTTCGACATACGCCATTACAATCAATAATTATAATATAACTACATATCAAAATTTAATAATTGCAATAAGACAAATCTTCAGGTTTGCACAAGTTTTTTCTTTGTATCAGATATTACCAGAGCACATATGCCATGTCTACATGTTTTTACAGCCATATAAAGATTCATTACATCGTCTAGTATGATGTATTATCAATCTAATAAAGTTATGTTTGGCCAATGCCTATACAGGAACGCTCACCTCCCAAATCGCAGTATATTAGGGTTGTTTCATTTTTAAATTTCATATTAAAATGCCAATTAAGCATTCGTTTAACTCCTCGCATGCTCAAATATTTGTTTCACTTGCAATTTAGTAATGCGCAAATAACTTTTGCTAGCATCATTTAATGTTGTTATTTCAACTTTTAAGATATCGTAGCCTTGTTTGTATTACAATTACGGAAGATGAACACACATTGAAATGATAGATGAATCATTTTAATCCCTATATATGTGTTACAATTGTTTATAGTATGGATTATTTTTTGTTACAATTCATTTCAAAAGTGCTTGTTGGAAAGACGATTCTGATATCAAAGTCATTATTACTTGCAACTACTCATTTTTGAATTGCATAAAATTTTAATAATTGGCTCAGTATGAGAGGCGGCCGACGCAAATTGCTCTTGGGCGGCACAAGTGGAAAAGTCCATCGAGCAGAGCATCGTAATTGACCCAACAACAACTATTTTATTAGGACACCACCGTGTGCTGTTTGAGCACAAATTGAAAATTTTGAAGAAAAGTATGGTAAAACGAAAAACAAGGAAAGGCTTTTGTTTCATATAATCGTTCTTCATGATAGAACAGTAATAAGTAATTAAAAAAGACACAAAAAACTATAAGCTGATATAAAACTTATAAGCATAAGATGCCCGAGAAAGCAGTGAGAAATGCGATCCAGTGTCCACCAAAGATGCGGCTGGAAACGAGTACAATTTCATATACATAATGTGAACGAAATTTGATCAAAAATGAAAAACTTTTCAATATTCACTGAATATGCCACTGTCACTACGCTCTAAAACTTCAATTTTTCGAATTCTTTGGGTAAGTTTGCCGTAAAACTTTCCCGTACAAATCTTGCACTCGGTTAAAAATTCGTAAAATTATAAGATAAGATATCGTTATCATCGTTATTTTTATTCCCGACTTTGCAGTTTTAGTTTCTATGGAAACGCGTGGCAAACAAAGCAATATGGCGACAGCATAAATATCTTATAAATAAAACAGAAAGCATCCAAAACAAAAATATCCTTTAAAATGTCCAAAGAGGTCGAAAATACCTATAAAATTCGTCCAAATTTCAAAGATAAGTAAGTACTGCAATTCCTCTAATCAAGTAATCTTTACTGAACTAAAAGGTTTAGTTCTGACTATATCAACCATAAAACTTTCACCAAATTTGATGAAGATTTAGATTAGCTTAAGGTAAAATGTGTGATATTTAGACGTTTGAAGCATTAAGACAAGTTCTTACTTCATAGGAAAGGATAGTTTAGTTGAAATGAACTTTTACAAAGTACCAAGTTAAGATTGGCATTTGTGCAGTTATACTGTTCTGTTGTTAAACATAATCTTTATTTTTGTAATTTAAAATAATGTGAAACAGTATCATTTACTTCCCTTTGAAACAAAAATCAAATTGAAATATGTTTGTACCTGAGTACATTTCATTTGTTCTTCCACATGTGACAGATTTCGTCCAGCTACCGTAAAATCTCTAATTCATAATGTTTTGCACGAGGAACTGGCTGGAAAACAATACAATAGCGATGAATGTACCTTATGGTCAAAAAAATTATCCGAAATGATAAAAGGAAAAATAAAAGGTTGGTATCTTAGATAATATATGTGATTGCTATCAGTTTTTTAGCTGGCCCACTAGTTTAAGTCCTTCGCAAAGAATATGTCATTTTATAAATCTATTGCTTTTTAAAGAGAGTGAGCACAAAACATTTGCATGATAAGCTTTGTATAATAAGCGCAAAGAAACAAGTCCACATAGTATGGAATGCATGTTTTGTGTTTTTGAAATATGTCAATACTCTATCACAACAATGTTTAAAAGATGAATTTCAGTTTGTGTTGTGTCATTCTTTGCTTTTAAAATAGTTTGCACTGATTTTGGCATGAATGAAACAAGACACTAAAGTGTAAATTGTTCAATATTGTTGTAACATATAGAAATTCATGCAATAGTTTTTTCTTACTTGTTACTTCATGTTTTATTTTTTTTCCTGTTATTATTCATTCCACCACTCTTCAATTGCCAGTAAATTAACTTTTCAGGTGGAAGTTCCATAAGCTTCAATCCACCATGATTTTCTTTTTCTTTAAGTTTTGCATGAGTTGCTGAGTTTAGGATTTTTAAGTTACAGGTAAGAAAGTAAATTTTCCTCTCACATAATCTTTGCTTAATGATAAAGCATATCTTTGGAGAATAATATGGTTATTTTTTTAAGATTTACTTTCATCGTTTGCAAAACCTTGACGTCGTTTTAACTTAAGTTTAAAACATGAAAAACCAATGGGAAACCCCCCCCGGCTATTCTGTCTCTGAACTTCGATGTTTCCACCACCATGCTTCAAACTTCTAACTTCAATTTGTAGGTAAAAGGTGAAAACTATTTTCCAATTTTCCATGCTGTAATTTTGAAATTTTTGCACTTAAAAATTTAGTCCCCTTTCTTGTTGGACAAAACTATGGTTTAGAAGCTGCGCTCTTTCTTTTTGGCCACTTGTAGTCGTTTTCTTATTGTTTTGCTGATTGCTTTCTGTCGTGGTTGACGTTAAGGATAGTGTGGAAAGTTTGATTTGCAGCACAGCTCCTGTTAGAACTCACAGGCATTTATGAGTGAGAGAAACTAAAACTTTGATCTGACGATTCATTTCAATCTTGAGCCGTTTGAATAATAGACGTAGAGAATTTTGAATATTTGCTGGCATTTGTTTATTGTAAGTCATTATCCTTGTGGGAAGCACTACAATTGTCACCAGCGATAAGAAGAAACTGTAACTGTATGTTTTGAAAGACACATTTTCCTTCAGAATTTTGTCGAAATTGTGACTGTATTCTATTTAGCTTATAGTGTATGTGTGGGCTGGTTGTCTATACTACTGATTGGTAGAGTGGTTGCTTTATCTGATGAACTTTATCTTATTATCTGATTCACAATCAACTCAAGTATTGTGTATAAAAACTTTTCAAGATCTCAAGCTTGACAGATACAAGATATTAGTTCAAGTTGTAATTGGTGAACAGAAAGGAGAAGGAGTTAAGTGAGTTGAAAACTGTTACATTGAGTGAGTGAGTTACATTGAATATGATTTGATTTGTTCAACATTGACTAAACCGTTTTGCAGTTTTAACGTTTAAAAAATTCAAGTTTTAAATAGCTTAAAAAATTATTTTGTTGTCTTGTTCCAGCCAGTACATTCAAGTTTGATTTTAATTCATTACTGTCAATGTTTTTTTAAAGAGTTGCATGTCGATGTCTTTGGGACTCTGACACTGACAATTACGCACAAGATATATTCATGACGGTGAGATTTGTTCAGGGACGCCGGAACGGCAAAAGGGCAGGAGGGGCAAGCCTTTGTGGAAGGGCACATTAGTGAAATATACTAAAAATAATCTTATATTGATAAACAGCAAAGAGATGTGCTACATGCAATACACTGTACTGAAGCACATGTCTGCAGTGTTGGTCGATAAATATTAACGATAATATAACTATCAAACGATGTAACGTCACTAAATCACAATTTGTCATGTATTGTATTTTCCAAAATATTTAATTCTTCTTTCATTTCTCTGTGAAAACTCTTTGGCAATTACGTCTATTTCCACCATATCCATGTGTTGCTTCTGAATGTTGGAGAACATAATATCATTTAGATGATTTCCTTCAGTGTTTGACCGCAGCCATGTTTTGAGACGACGCATTACGCTGAATGTGCGTTCGCACGAGGCAGATGAGAGTGGCACTATGTAGTATAGTATAATTAGTTTGTGGATCTCTGAGCACCTTTTCTTTGCTGACGGCATGGCATTCAGTATCTCTGCTATTGTTGAAATACGCGTGACTTCTGTTATTTTTTTCTTCTGATCCGCGTTGTAAAGCCCAAGAATGATGGGAAGATCATCAAGCTGCTTTCTTAGAGCATCTTTATCAATCAAAGAATTGCTTAATCCATCTAAAGATACTCCTCTTTTTTTCAAAGAGTTAAGTAACAGTTTCTCGATATATTTGATCTGGAAAAGATCGTCTTCTTCAAATCGCGATCCTAGACCTGAGATGATTGCATCAATGGCTTGGTAGTACGAGCTTCGCATTGGTGTTATATTCACACTGTTGTAAACTGAGGCATCTGTGACGTGAAGGCTTTCTGTTATTAACACTTCTTCATTATTCATCCATCTTGGAACTTTTCTTAGTCTAGTGCCAGTGCCAAAATTTTCACTAAATTCCAGTGGAAACGACATCATAACACGAAAAACTTTCTTAGCGTCATCAAGTGTACGCTCAAACTCTTCTTCGCTTCTCATCTCATGAAGACGTTGCAGGACATGTCTTATTGAAAATAGAGCGTACTCAGCTGAAATATCAACCGCTTGGAGCTCTTTAGAAAGCTTCTCGAGTAAAGCCAATAGCTTTCTTGTCGCGTTTAAATTAAAGATGACGATTAAGGAAGACAGTTGTCGCCTTAATATTCCTCTAATCTTTGCTTTTGTGTCTGCCGAAATGCTAGGATCTTCCTGCAATTTTTCAAGGGTTGCATGTAGTTCAGCCGATTTCTCGAAGATGACGTCAGCAGCCTTTACTCTTGTTGTCCATCTCGTTGTAGAAAGACTTTGGAGTCGTAGAACTTTGTAATCGTTTGTTCCTGTTTCGTTTCTAAAATCTGCCTGTATTTCTTCGAAAAATAAAATACGTTTTGGATGGGCACCTACGATTGCATACAGGGATTGGCATAAATCCAGTGATGTAGACAATAAATTAGATTGCTTAGCTGCATCCTGTATAATAAGTTCATTGCAGTGACTGAAACAATGAACATAAATTGCGTTTGGTGCAATATCTTCCTTGAGCTTTCTTGCGAGGGATTTCATTGCTGAAGCCCCATCAAAGCCCATAGCTTCCAAAGCCAAATATTAAAGGAAAACTAATATAGTTACGACAATTTTATTGCTAAGCTAAAAAGAATGCAATATACCACAACGGTTAAGTAGTCTTTATCTTGGATTAAAAACAATAAACTTTCAACCTGTAGGGCACTTTTGCCCCCCCTGCCCACCTCCAGAAAAGGCAAGGGGGGCCGTTGCCCCCCTTGCCCCCCCCCAGTTCCGGCGTCCCTGGATTTGTTTAGTGCGTGTGGTATATTAATTTGTTATCAGTATGACTTTCGAAATTGAATCTTTACTACCATTATTTTTGTATTAATTTTGTTGAAATAATTAATGGCATGAAGGGTTAACGATCTTGGTTTTTAAAATAACCTTTCTTTCGTGATATACACTACATTACATACAGTTGAAAATGTAATCCAACAATCCAGTGTTCCCTTGTGGCGTTATTATGTACATTGACATATTTTATTATGTTTTTGTTTAGGATACTTTTTTTTGTGTTGCGTCAGTTTATGGTGTTTATCATTATTAACAGAGATATTCATTCATCACAAATTGAAAACGCTGTTCCATTTCAAGACATTTTTGCGCGAATTTCAATCATCAACTGAACAATTATTTTACCGACACTGCAAATCCTGATAAATTTGCAGATTCAATTAGTTTTCAGTTTTTGTGTTTGAAACATAGAACTCATCAGAAGTAAAGTTTTTAAATATCATAATCAACAACAACCTACTAAAAGCTTGTTATAAATTACTTTAAAAACATGCCATGGCGCTCTATGGACAATTTAAACATCTAAAATCTAATTTCTAATTCTATAAATCTCACTTATCCTGACTTTTATTGTAATGTCAGAATGTTCATAGTGATTTACACTACAATGCAGTACTGAAATATTACATGTATGTACGTTCACGAGAAATTATTTTTCAATCGTTGTACGGTAGTAGTTGCATCCGCTGTGCTTGACACTGTGACGTGTTACATTGAAGACGTCATTGGTTGCTCTTCTTGATTCTCTATGTTATTGAAATTATTTCCTGTGTTCGTCGCTTCAACCCTGTGTTCTTTACGATTTGCCTTTTCCTTTGTATGTTTTTGTGTAGATTGATTTCGCGTTTTAGAATCAAGAATAAAAAATAAAAACCCAAAGAATGCTTGCAGGGTATTAAATATGGCAAAGAGATATTGAAACACACGCTTTGCATCACCTGTAGCAAGAATTCCAAAAATCCATGTGAGAACAAAAAGTACCATGTTAGCGATAGCTTGAAGAGCGGAGGTTTTTTTATCGGAGGTTTTTTGATCGGAGGTTTTTTTATCGGAGGTTTTTTGATCGGAGGTTTTGATCGGAGGTTTTTATCGGAGGTTTTTTGATCGGAGGTTTTTTGATCGGAGGTTTTTTGATCGGAGGTCACGTCACTACCATTACATAAAGATCTGATGATGCATAAGAATGCGACAAGATGAAAAAAGATGATGATAACGGTTAGAGTGAAAAAGCCAATGATGAATGGAACACCTTTCAGTCGACAACTATTTGTAAAAAAATGAAGAAATGATTTGACAGATATATCAGATGAGAACATACAGACCTTCCTAATTTTTAAATTGAACTTTGTTTTGAGTAATGAAGACTGAAAGAGCCTTTTGTGTAGAGTAGGCGCAGAGGGAGTGGAGTTCATTGGGAATATATATCATGCTTTTATTCCTTCAAAACTGGAATAATTGAAAACAACACATACCGTTTACGCATTTCTATCAAAAATAAAACTTAGTCTTATCACCAAAACTTATTTTAGGTACTTTTTCAGTGGATTTATATAGACTGAGCTATTCTCCCAAAAGTTTTATCTCATTTTATTCATTTATTAATGACCCGTTAAACGAATGACTTCCAAATGAACACTTACAATGTGTTGTCGCCATATTGATCCAATGAAGTTGCGACGGTTATTATGACAATCGCTAAAGGACAACCTAAACATTTCATAAAATATGAAAGAAAATTAAGAAAATAGCTACGGAGATAGAGATGCAACTATTTCGTATCACTGCATTTTTAATTGACATCTATATCTCCTAGTCCTAGCTTCTGTTTTATTTATATGATCACTTAATACTGCAAACTTATTAGAAATATCTTGAAAGGATAGAACGTACTAAATGCATATAGAAGCACTCAGTCATATGGCGTACTCAATATCTCACCCCAAGCAAAAATGAAACACCTCTTTATGAAGCAGGAGGGGAGGTCAGAAATACGAAATAGTTTAACGAGTGCCAAATACATAATATATGCTTCAACGGTCATCCAAAATAATGCTGCCAACAGAAAGTAGTGAAGTGCTATTGCAGCCACTCTACAAGCAACAAATGAAAAATTTTATTGTTTAACGAAGTAGAAATTTTTCAACTTAGTGTATTTAGTCAAGTGAAGCATTTGTAACCTGGAAAATTATATGTTCCATTGAAAATTTTTAGAAGTGCAAACGGACCTTAATATGAGAGTAAATTTTTTTTTAAGAACGACGGTTCTGTTAGGACTACAACTGTTAAGAACTCAATGAATTGTTTATTGAAATCAATATTTCTTCAACTATATTTAATTTTAGATTATTATCATTTAATAATGTCGTTATGTTAGAAATACGTTAAATGTACTAGCGTACGAAATACATGTAAGAAACACTCGGTAATATTGATGTATTCTCACCCCAAGCAAAAATGTAACATCCCTTCATAAAGCTGGAAGGGTTGGAAATAGGAAATACTTTAACGAATGCATCAACGGCCATCCAAAATAATGCTGCCAACAGAAAGTAGTGAAGTGCTATTGCAGCCACTCTACAAGCAACAAATGATGCTGTCTTTGATCTCTCTACTGCAGCCAAAAACACAATTAACGTTAACGTTAAGGCGATGCAGAAATTTACCACGATATGGTTGCGTTCACGATTAGGCAGTTTTCTAAAAAGAGAATATTAAAAAGATTAATATAAAATATGAAAAAGCTGTGGCTTTAACTGATAGAAGGTGAAAACACACTTTTGTGTCAATTAAAATTACCTGAACATGAGAACCAATATTATTGTAAGAATCGATCTTATCAACGAAAGTGCGCATCCAATGTAACTTACGATGGAAAGAGCCAGGTCATGTGTCTTCTCAGGGTAAATATGCTTTTTAATGAAAGATTCACAGAAATTACAAAACACCATTTCTTCTGCATGGAGCGTCTGGTTATCAATAAAGCTTGTTGCAGTTATTGTGATTTATATTGTTATTGTTATTTGTTATTGTCATTGTTATTGTTATGGTTATTGTCATTGTTATTGTCATTGTTATTGTCATTGTTATTGTTATTGTTATATTTATGCAACGTAGCTACTGCGTTTAGTTTGTCTGCAATATTTTGTGTAGTTGCTCTTCCTTTGTTTTAATATGAATTATTTGTGTTTATATATAATAAATTTCCTTAAGCTGGAACGTTTCACAAATTTTTGTCGTTATAATTTTTGTTATATTTATCAATGATTATTGTTGAGATTAAAAAGATAATTCTATTAAAACTTATAACTTATACACATACAAAGAACAATGAACAATAGATTCATAATATGAATGGTCTTGAATTCAATAATGATGAACATATATCTTACCATTAACATTGCGAAACTTGTAAGATGATCACAACTGCAAAGTATTCTACCATCTTCTAGAGTTCTTATAAAACTGCAACCTTCTTGAGACCAATTGCTCAGTTTAAAATCCCAAAATGAGCATTTGGCACTGGTCGTGTTTCCAGGTTCAATTTCTTTCAAGGCAATTTCTACTGGTGTCTCTAAATTTCTGATAGTCAAACCTTTAATACTTCCTGCTATTACCAAACTATTTAAACGCCCAAATAGACTTCTTTCTTGAAATATTGAGGTCGTAAAAAACTTTGTTTCTTTGTAAAATGCAAAAATGGCTGTCCGATTATTCATATTATTATTACTGATTGTGGATTCCTCAAATAAACTTTTTGGTATGCTCAACGAGGCTGTTGTATCTGGTGGAATTCTCACACTAAGATTAAGTGCGATGTTATTTCGCATTAACGGTAAGCTTTTGAGATTGTTTTACTGTACCAGAGAATGACAATCCATTAAAATTTTGTGGATGTACAATCTGTAGATCAATCGCGTAGTTTTTTCACTCTTGTTAAATTGTTTCTTCGAATTGTATGCTTTCAGCTAAATTGTTCAAAACATCAAGTATTCTGCAAAAATCATAAAGTATAAAGTTTTTCACTGAATAAAATTTGTTAAATGGCTGAAACCAAAAAAAGTAATATAGCTTAGCTGTAATGTTATAAAACAAGTACCTTGACGACGAGTTGGTTTTTTGTTGACTTTCAAAAATGTTTTCTGAGCTTGCATCAAGGATGTTATCAATTGTCGTAAAAATATCTTCGAAAATCTATAAAAAACAACGTATTTAATATTTATATCTCATCTTTATGATTCATTATTCAATGACTACGCAAACCTCATTAAATTTCTTCCTGACCACAACAATTTTTTCCAAAACAGTTGCTATCAAACCAATGTCACCTGCTGTCAATGTTCGTCCTTGTTTCACCAGTTTTGATAATTTTCGACTTACCTCCACAATATTACTTGAATTCACATCAGTCTATATTCCGAACACGCAATAGTTTATGAGAAAAACATTCTATAAAAGTCACTTAATCATCGCTGTACTTCAAGTATGTATTATTTTAATGAATATTTGAGGAGACAGCCTTGGGGAATTTTTATTTTATGTTGACTGAAATTTTAGGCGTGGCGTACTTTACTGTCGTATAAATTTAGAAAATATAAATTACGGGTTCTTAAAAATTTTCTCTTACTAATGTTTCTGTCATTAGTTTTACTGCATTATGTACATACCTGTGTTAAAATAAATAAATTTTTACTTCTGCGACTCTTGAATTCACATCTTCCAACGTCAATAGGACCCCAAGCACCTCCTGTTCTGGTTTCATTAGTCTGCCGACATTTACGGGTTGCGTATGATTTGGAATTATAAGGACAAGAAATCTTATAACTCGTGTTTCTAACAAGACCGTTTGGCCATCTAAATATTCCGTATGCTTCCTCTGTACCGATAGTCTCGTTCAAACAGGAACCTGAGGTAACTTAACTCATGTTATTATGTGATGAAGAAATCAACTGTAAGACATTTTCACAATAGTTAGTACATAAGGAAACGTTGGTGGGTATATTTAAGGTTTGTATTCAAACCTGTTGAATTGTATTCATAAGGCATGGTTTGTGTAGTTGTTGTTTTAGTTGTGTTGATTTTCAGTGAAAAAAAACAGTAGATGCTAAAAAAGTTTGAAAAAATTACGTCGCTAACATATTGACTGTTTGGTAAAATTCAACTTTTTCGCAAGACCTGCACGTTGCAATAAATCAGGTTTGCAGAAATTCTTTTTCGATGATCATTACGCAAAAGTGATGCTTTTAGTTTAGTTTTGCAACTTGCTCTTAGAAAACTGATAATGTGCAAAATTAAAGAAAATTGAAAAAATAAGAGTACAAAAAATGCTATCATCCCTGACCATCTTCCAATTGAAAAGACAATAAAGCAATCTTCAATCTAAGACCGATTCCATGCATTGTTCAACATCTTTAATTGTTAGAGTGAGTACACGAAAAAAATTTGATGAAGATATTGGTCATTCATATACCTGTTGAATTATGTCTATATTGTGTGGTCTGAATAGTTCTTGTTGTTCTTGTGCTTTTGGTTGACATTGGTGAAGTAAATGTTACAAAAATTTTAAGAAAATATAAGGAAGAGCTTCGATTTCGATACATTCTAGCTGAGGACGATTGAGGTTTTTGTGGTAAAACTTGTCGAACATGATTTAAAATGCATACTTATTCATTAGAACCTTTATATAAATACTATAGTTAAATCCAGTAATACAGACTTGTAGACTTTAACCCAACGTCCAATCCATCAACACCCTCTAACCACCCCTAGTTTCAAAATGAAATTTTGATGGTCATTTAGCAAATGATTCTTTTCGAATTTGGTTGTGCAAAAATATAGTGCAAAAATCAGTTAAGCAAAAGGGCAAAACGAAAAGAAAACACGAAAAAGCTGGTCTGACATTGTTCGCATATAATGATAAGGATAATAGAATAGTCCATGCATACCTGTTGAAATAAAAGTTTGGTAAGAGCTCGAAATCGCTTGGAAACATTCGCACTTCGTGCTCGTGCTTGAAAGCAGATTCTCGTTTCTCAAAAACCGTCTCGCGTGTGTCTTAGATGTTACTAATAATATACTTGCAATAAATATAATAGTAATTGAAAAGTGAACTTATACGATACACGTACCTTCATTTCTTGAGTAGAGAATAGATCTTTTGTTTCCTTAACATAAATAATCATTTAATAAAAGACACATTCCATATTTTAAAGTCTTGAAAAACTGTTCAAACCTTGGACGCCACCATAACATTTCTCAGAATTTGTGCAATATGGAGTTTTCAAAGATGTCGACGTTTCGTTGTTATAAACACACCAAGTACATGATCTTAAGCCATAACAGGATTCCTCAGCAGTCCTTCGCACACAACTTTCATTATAACAGTTATGCAAATCTTTAGGAGGATCGAGAGAATTCCCAAGATTGGAAAGTAAGGGAGGAGAAACCGGACACAAAGGATCTCTATGATATAAATTAACGAACGTTAATAGTTGCCTTAACGCTGAATCCGTTACTTTTGTTAAGCGCCACAAGTTATTCCTGTTGTAATTCTCAAACTAGGCAATATTGGTTGTTGTAATTTTAAATGTTTTGCGTAGTAATTAAATCAGAGTATTTTGAAATTGCTTAAGAAAATTTATCTGATGATGAGTATTAAATTTTAAAAATCATTCAACGTTTTGCTGGGCTTATGTAATCAGCCCCTAAATACATTCAAAAATAGTTATGAGAGCAGTCCAGTGTTGCCAGATCGTGAACAAAGTTCACAGATTTATGAACTTTTTCCTCTCTTCATAAACATTTCATGAACATTAAAAGTTTGTGAACTTTTTGTGAACTTTTCTAAATATTATGCATTTTTGTATTATCATCATTTTCATAAAGAACGTATAGATAAATCATAGTTCAATGAAAAGAAAATCTTCAGGAGGTTGAGAAAATTTCCGAGGTTCTCCGAAAATTCCCGAGTTAATCCGTTAACTTCCGATTTTAAAAATTAGATGTAATATGAACTTTTTGCCACTTTTGTGAACTTTTGACGCAAGCGAGCATGAATATTATAAATTTTCATCAGGCAACACTGGAGCAGTCCTGCTATCATTCAAGTATTGTTTTTATTGCTGTGTAAGCCTGGACAGATTTTCTATCTTGTGCTAGTGCATGGCATCAAATAAAGGTAGTGTGCAACTATTCCCTTGGGAGTGAGAGAAGAATGGAGCTTTTGTCATGTTGGATGACACTTGGATTGCAAACTAATGCTTTGTTAAAATCGTCTGACATGGCAGTCATGACGTATTTTGCACATCAAAAATATTGAAATTATGAGTTCGCTTTATTCACGGTATTCACATGGCGGTATTCACATGAACGTGGTTATACCAGGGCTTTAAAGCCTTGTGGGATCTCCAGTGCAGCACTACGTCAACATTCGGTTCTTTTATCAATAAAACAGTAATTTGCTCTTTTCATACCTGCTTTTTGGAAAATAGTTTTCGCAATAATTGTAACGTAGGGATGATTTGAATGGACATAAACATTTTTCATTCACTTTTCTGTTGTAGATACCATCTGGACAATAACACGCACCACTGGTTTGACGACAAGTATAGATGATGCCTAGGGAAAATTTAATGGACTAGATTTCAGACATTGCTTCAGTAAGGATAAGTCATTCTTACATCGTTTCATAATTTTCATTCAGGATAAGTCGTTCATATACATGACTTCCCTCGGGATAAGTACACTTGTATACATCAGTAGGACGCAGGTGTATGATTATTCATATCTTACCGAGATAAACTGCTGTACCATTCACCCGACCAATTTGATATTTTGGACATTGTTCTGTATCAACATAAGCATCAGTGGTTATGTTTACTACATAGAAATTTTTATTGGTTATGTCTTTGAAGTTTTTACATTTCTTTCGATACATAAGTTTTCTCTTAATCATATCTGCAGCAACTGATTGCTCTGCCTGTGTGATATGAGTACTGCCAACGTTTTGCGCCAATTTTTTCAAATCCAACACTGACTCCAATTTGATAAAGTCATTGTGGATTAATAAAAACCCGCTTTCATCCATCAGGAAGCATCTGTATCTTTTCTCGCATTCAGGATATGTTTCTACAAGAAGTCTAAATGCCAGGAAGAGCAAAAATGTTAGGATAGTTGACATTCTGATTATTGTAAAATCATTACATGTATTCCAACCTGTAAAATTTAAACATATCAAAACTGGCGTCTAACACAGCGATTACGTTATCACTGACGTCATGTTGTTGGTTAGACTTCCCTTCATAAAGAGTATGAGAAACACCCACAATAAGACCAGCACCGAAAGAGTCAAGATACGGAGTGGTTATTGTCAGCTTTCCTTTGCTATTTAGAGCATTTTGAAACCTGAAAATTTAAATTTTAGAAAATGATTAACTTCAACTTTTTTCAAGTTTGCCGGCACGTCGGCGATGAAATTTTTGTGAATTTGTTTTTCCCATTTAATGCTCTATATTTGCTGGCTTTTGAACAGAAATGTCGGACGCTTGGCAATTTTACTTCGGTGTCTCAACTTTTTCCTATGTAGGCTATCATCACATGCAGCTGACGAATTTGTAATATTTTAGCATTTGATCTATATATATTTTATGTGTAATCAATTCATGTAAAACTCAGTCAATAAACACGAATGTTAAAGCCTTCAAACATGTAATAAAAGTAAAATTAACTTCTACGGGAAATAGCTGCAAAATAATTATCTTTGGGTCGGAAAATTTTTAGGGTCTAGAAAATTTTTAGGAGCCTGGTAACCAGCACGTCACTGCCATGAAATCAGAAAGCTTAAGGAGAAAGTATCTTTTGCCTCCCCATAAAATCGCATTAATGCCACTACTTTCACTACAAAAAAAATTTGTTGATTATAACATATACATACCACGAAAGTGTTGTAGGATTATAGCGCTTATTAATAGCAACACCTGGTTTAGTATATATCACCCCATTGGTTGAAGCAAACGTTAGAAACGATGTGTAACGTTTGAATCTTGATTTATTCCTGTCCCAAATGCTCTCAGTTTCTAATGCAGCAAGAGCCATTCTTCGAACTCCATTCACAAATTTTGGTTCAATATTAGGTCGACCATTTATAATGTAATTCTTAAATCCTTTAATTGTTTTATCTGTTTCTTTAAGAGATATATAATCATGGGGCCTAGCAAAGCATTTTGGAGAAAACTTCATAGTTCCTCTTTCTAAAATGTGAAGAAATAATATGTAATCACCAAATTTGTTTCCATAAATGAGAAAGTAAGATATGAAGAGTTTTTTGTTTGTATAAAATCACCTGTTGTGCCTTTAATACCATATAGAGAACATATTTTAAAGTCATTGTTTCCTTTGGGTGAGTTGACTTCAAGATGATAGACAAACGAATTTTTTTTGGAAACTAAAATCAAATTGTGAATGTCATGTGATTCGCACGTTATACAAGTGAACCATTGTAGAAAACATGTGATTTGCACGTTAACACAAGTGAACCAGTGTAGAAAACATGTGTTTTGCACGTTACACAAGTAATCCAGTGTAGAAAACATGTTATTTGCACGTTATACAAGTAAACCAGTGTAGAAAACATGTGATTTCGTTACACGTGAACATGTAGAAAACATGTTATTTGCACGTTATACAAGTAAACCAGTGTAGAAAACATGTGATTTGCACGTTACACAAGTGAACCAGAGTAGAAAACATGTGATTTGCACGTTATACAAGTGAACCAGTGTAGAAAACATGTGATTTGCACGTTATACAAGTGAACCAGTGTAGAAAACATGTAATTTGCACGTTATACAAGTGAACGCCATGTGGCACGAATATCCACATGTAAAACACATGTAATCACACATAAACCATCACTAGATATGATCATATGAATTAACCCTGTGAGACACATGTGATTTCTATATATTTTTCCTCAAAGGCCTCAATTAAGCTGTAAATTTCATAAACTTAATGAAGCCAGTTTTTCAAATGGCTTAAAAAAACATTCAAAGTACGTATGTACATTATTATGTATCAATTGTAAAATTTTTCTCCTGCTGTTTCATTGGTTAAAAGTGTATTATGTGATTGTAAAAATAAGCTGTTTCTTCACGTTGCTTGAGATAGTACGTTGTTTACAATAATAAAAAATCACGTTGGTCATCACGTAAAAGTACGACCTTTGATTTTGACCAACTGAGTTCGACCAGAAATGGGCGAAAGGGTGGAAATAGTGAAATCTAATCGAGAAAAAAGTGCTTCAATGTATCATTGAAAACAATTAACAACTTATCTCTTTCATTTGGTAAATGCCAGATATTTTGACGACATCAGTCAAAGCATGTACATACTCAAGTTGGTTAAAAGTAATCATTAAAACTTATTTAAATCTTACCAGTTGAAAGAGCGTCTAGCCTACTCTGTATTTCATTGTTGGCAAGAACTACACAGAAGCTCAAAGACGTTCCTTGAATTGCCTGCCAATGATATGTTGAATTTATCAAAAGCTCTTTACACCTCCACTACCAATCTTTGAATATCTTCTACTGATAAAGTTTCTACTTCCTTCTTTCTCCTGAGCAAAGCAAACGAAACATTAAGGTCTAAAAGCAAGTCTAAAATTTTAAGAAATAACCTGGTCTTACGGTGATCCAACAATGGAGAGAGATGAGTAGCCTCAAAACGTTTGTATTGTTTTTAGTTCTTTCTAAACTTAGACCATGCATAGTCCCGAATTAAGTTATAATTGCTAAATACTATTGTGGCAAAACTCTTGAAAATTTTTCATTATTGTCCACTATTATATGAAGAATTTTTCTTCAAAACATATTAATATATGGGCACAGACCTCAGAAAAATTTTGCATGCTTCAGTTTTTCGAGATTGACCATTTCATTTTTACAATTTGCCTTTCTTTCTTCTTTCCGAAGAAAACTAGGAAAACTTACAACTCTGTCTCGCATGCATTTGTAGTTTATGCTTGCGAGAACTGCATGTGATATATTTATTTTATTGCTAGTGGAGGAAAACAATCTAATCATGAATAAGATCACTGGTCAATGCTCAATGCTTTTTAATAAAAACCCTGTCAAAACAAGCTCGCCATCTTTGAAAAAAATTGTGTTAAAACTATTGTTTCAAGCCCAGCCTATCGCAATTATATATTATAAAACTTGATACCTCATCATTGACGGCAAGACAAAATCGTTAAACTCATCTTCCTGCTCTAAAGCTGTAATATGAAGCAGAACTATATCGTCATTGACAGCAGTAGTTCTGGGCATATTTGGATGGTAGAGTGTTTCCAGTGCTGCTCTCAATCAAAACGCATAAGAATACTGTCCGATATAAAATAACTGTACGTCAGAAATTAAATCTTCAAACACGACATCTGTGCCCACAACTCCAATTACTTTCTTTGTAAAACATGGGGCGAGTATGGTCACCATCTCACCTAGAGAAGATGAAAGACAGTTCATTGGCAATCTAAAATATTATATGAATGCTTTAATACAGAAAGTAAATTGTATATTTCATTTTGTCATTGATATCACAGCAAAAATCCTTCGCATATTTTAGCTATTAAAGCCTGATAACCATCAAGCTGTTTAAAAAACTGAAAATTAGCTTCCTTATTTGAACAACAAGAAACTACAAAAAAGGAGAACAGAATGTATTACCTAAACCTGAAGCATCAAAGTGAGGGCTTGTTATGTAATAAGAAGCGTATTTTGTCGTTCTTGCAAAGAAATTGTAAAAAGATGCAAAGACCAATCGTAACTCATCTAAATTTTCTTGAGTTATTTCTGTAAATCTTCCCTAAAAACAACAAATATTTTATTAAGACTTTAGAAGTTGTCTAATTAATACTACCAATTCTAATTAATACGACTTTCTGTAACTAGATTTGTAGTTGTTAAGAAATAATCAACCTTTGTTCCTTCAGCTTCTGTGCCTTCGGCAATTTTCTTCAAAAGACTAAAATTTCCTGATCCTATTCCATAAGCAAAGATGACAACATCCTTTGAGGTTACATTCTTAAGATATTTTTCTCTTCCGTGAGTAAGGCCGTAAATTTTCATTAATATCCGTTGGTTGTCCGTCGGTGAAAATAAAATCACTTTCTTTCTTGCGTTCTCGTTTCCACTTCCAGTGGAATTTGTTTTCAATAAAGAAAACGCTTTACGAATAGCATTTCCATAAACGCTGGGACCTTAAAAGCATTTAAGCACAGTCAATTCAGTCAAGATACCTTTAAATTATGGCTAACGATAAAAATTTAATATACATAAATAATTATTTACCTTCTGTTTTTATATTTCTCATATACTTTTTCAGGTATTTCAAATTAACTCCAACAGCAGTTGCAAGCTCGTTTTTATAACATGTACTAGAGCTTTTTTCGCCCGGTGGAGTTTCTACTTTACTATTGAATGTTACTAAACCAACCTGCAACAAAAAAACGTTGAAGAATAGGATTAAGAAAATTATTTATTTAGCAAGCATTTCTTTCTCACTCGATCTTGAGGATTTAATGCATCTAGTACAGTATCCACAGCAGACTGAGCAATACTTATCAATGTTTTTCCTCCGCTGACCATTGCCATGGATTCACTTTTATCCACAACAATAACGATATCTTTTGCTTTGGGAGCAATACCTTTAATGTACCAAGGACGAAGACGGTTGTCGTAGCTATCACAAGATGAAAAGTTACTTGAAGGATAAATCGATAAAATTCCTTCTTGTGATCCAAAATATTGCCATCGTAAGTCAGGATTATTTTCCAAATTATTTTTCATGGTTCTTTCCAAGCTTTTTGAAAAATGTTTTGCACCTTTATAAGTATATTTTGCACGGATTTCGCAAACTGACCATTAATTATCTTTGTCTTGAACCTGTGGTCAGTTGTAGTTCCCTCAACTGTACAACACTGTGGGTGATGATGTGACATTGTTGTATTCGTAGGATTTTTCAACAGTTTCTTTAATCTTTTGAACGGCTTGAATGTTTCCCTGAAATCTTTGCCTCAAAATGTTTGCCAGTCTATTCGCGTAGTATTTCCCATTCACATTAGGCTCGTCAACACGAACAAAAGTTGATTTATCAAAGAAACTCTACGAAAATGTAAAAAAAGAAGCGTCATTTGTTTAAAGAAATAAGATTGCATGAATGGTGCCATAAACATAAGCAAACCAAAGTGACTAAATTATCATTAAAAAATTAATAAAAATCTTTTCAGCCTCAATGAAAGTGAAAAAATTACCAACGAGCTAATTATAACTTATTCAACTAAAGTTTCGGAATCTGATATTCTGAATTTTGTACTCGCAAGAGTCTGAACTATTTCACCACTCTGTCTTCTAAAATACTTGAGAACTCGAACGAGTTTAAAACAGTTATAGTGGCCAGTATTTTCCCCATGCGAAAAAAATGATCAAGGGTTGCAACTATTTGGAATCTGTATGATCAGCGTCAAGAAATCTGTAAAAACTATTTAAAACTAAAAATCTGTAAAGACTGTGATTGGTTGATTGTACTGTAAAGCAAAAAAGTGCAATTGCAGTGAATTGTACGTTACTTTGTATAAAGCAGTGAGAGCCAAACAATGAGTCAAATAAAATTCCTTTTAAATAAAGAAGAAACATGGCGACCACAAGACTTCCACGATTGCACTGTGTGAAATTCAAGAATTACTGAGCAATTCAAAGAATACACAACAGCAAGTACGGTATTTTTTGGTGTATTACAAAAGTTGTGCCCTGCAACAAGGCTTTCCCGAAGCTATAGAAGAGAGTTTTAGAAGAGAGAGAAGTAAGCGGCATTTTGCGAAATATTTCAACTTCGAAGTATCTTATTAGAAAATAATGGTATAGCTTCTCGTACAATTCCAGATAAACATGAATTAGTGAGTTTTTTAATAAATTCCCCTTAGTTTGCAGAATATTAACACTAATATCCTTGAAAGCATGTGTTTACTTATAAAAAATTTGTTTATTAGCTATCTGTATGCATATTCTTTTATTTGGTCATTGCTATGCCAAGTAATGACAGTTAATATGCTAATTGCAGCTCTTCAGTGTTTAAAATTGTTATTTATCAATCCATCTTGTACATGTTCCCATGTACCTCAGTTCTACTTAAAGGTCTAAATATTCTTTTGCCTGTCTGAGGATGACTGAGGCTGACATGTGCTTCAATCTTTAATAAGCATGCCCTCTAACTATCAATATCAATATTTTGACAAGTACTGTGTCATCAAAGAAGAAAATGTTTAGAATAAATGTTTGCTTCGCGCGGGTGTCAATCGTTTTCCGTTTTACTATAATTGAACGGACATATTGCACAAGTTATATGAAAAAACAAAACACGGAGTAAGGAAGCTAAATTTGCGCATTTTGTTTATTTGGCTGATTTGACAAAATACAGTTAAAGCTATCATTTACTTATCTCGCAACTTCTTTCACGGAATAAATTTCATTCATACGAATGTTTTCACCTAGCCAAATTTGCTTTGGGCTTTACTTGTGTCCAGTGGCGTAGCTATGGTTGGCTGGTCGGTCCAGCCCGACCAAATATTTTCTCAAAATGAAAAATTTGTTTTATTTAAAATTGGATTTGCGAAAATTTTATATTCCGCGACTCTTTGGAATAATCCACAGTCTATTAGTGTAATATTTGTCAAATTGCGTCGTTTTTTGCAAAATTATCATATTTTTAAACGTTACTTAGCAACAATGACAAGTGCATTTCTAGTGCCAGGCATTACACAAAAATCTATAGTGGGATTATCTGCAATCTGATTGGTTGACAGCAACCGAGCAAACTCAAAAGCGCTTTTTAACAATAACTAGTCGGGCTCATTTTCAAAAGCGTGACTTGAATTTTGAGCTTCGAAATATACGTTCGGAAATCGTGATAATTTACATTACAATGGCTTCGGCTAATGAAATCGATATAATAAGTCAACTACAAAAGAAACCATTTTATTTTTCGACAATCAAGCGAGCAAAATATACTCGTAAAGCAGCGGCCAATTCCAAATTTACAAGCGACTACAGGCAATAGAAGCTTTCAGGAAAGTTGGTACTGAAGAAAGATTGGCTTTGTGGTAGCTCAAAAAATGCATTGTTCTGTTGGCCTTGTCTTTGTTTTGCCCTGGATCGTCATCTTCATGGACGCAGACGGGATTCAAAACATGAAGAATTTCCTATCCGATTGTAAGAAGCATGAGAAGGCAAAATCGCACATGGGTGCTTACAAGACCTGGAAGACCTACGGTTTTCAGCCTCGTGTCGACTGTCTCATGTCACAAGCTAGACGTGAGGAGATTCAGCGTCATAACGAGAAGGTAAGGCAAAATAGGGAAATGTTGAAACCATAACAGAAGCTGTTTTATACTTGTCTAGGCAAGAGCTTGCATTTAGGGGCATGATGAATCTAGTGGCAGCATGAATAGAGGAAATTATAGAGCTACTTGAAAGTTTTGCCAAGATGGATTCTGTTTTGAAAGCGATTACATGGCAGGCTTGCTGAAACCCACCTTGCTGGGGGAGTGCAGTTTACTGGAGTCTCTCCTGATATTCAGAATTTGATTGATTGTCTTGATAAGATAATAGAGGGTGAGATTTTAAAGGAAATAGATTGCTGCACTTTCTTGAGTATACAGGTTGATGAGGCAACTGATGTTTCTACCAAAGAAAATTGAGTGTAATTGTTCGAATGGACAAAGGAGAAAGTGTCATTGAAAGATAGCTTGGGTTTGTTGATGTTAGTTGTGATAGGACTGCAACTGCTATATCATCAGTGGTTAAGGGTAAGTTAAGTAATAAATAATAAAGAGAAATTTATTGGACAGACTTATGATGGTGCATCTGTTATGTCTTGTCATCTCAATGGTGTTCAAGCTCAAATTCAGCAGGATTATCCTTATGCTCAATTTGTTCACTGTGCTGCCCATAGACTAAATCTAGTATCATGTCGAGCTGCATCCTCCATTTCACCTGTTAAGATTTTCTTTGTTAATATTAGTGCTTTCTGCACCTTTACTAGCAATTCCCCCAAAAGAAAAGCTTTACTATCATCCCATAGGCTTGAGTTTCCTAGTCCTGGTGACACAAGATGGTATTATAGGGCTCATGTCATCAATGTCTTGCATTCTAACTATGAGAAACTGATAGACATATTTGAAAATCTTACTGATAATCCAATAGGTTGGGATGATGAAACATTAAGTAAGGTTACTGGTTTACTTGGCTACCTTAATGGCTTCTGGTTTTGTTTCTTGGTATTTGTTTTCCAGAGAATTCTTGAGCAGTCATCCATACTTTATTCTATCTTGCAAGACAAGGACACTGACTTTCATTATGGAGTGAGTAGGGTTGAGAGATTCAAGGCCTTTGTTGCTTCTCTGAGAAATGATACAGAATATTGTCAGTGTGACCTGGCTGTTGAGAAAGTGGGACCACCAGTAACCAGGTATGACCAACGGCATAATTACAAACAAATGTATTTTGAAATTCTTGACACAACTGTGACTATGCTGACTGAGCGATTTCAGGATATGGAGCGTTTTAGATTTTTTTTAACCCTAGGGTGTTTAAAATGTGGAAAGGTGAAGTGCCTTTAGAAAAGATAAATCTTCTAAAGGAGGTTTATGGTGATATGTTTGACATACCAATGCTAATTAGCCAACTTTGTTTTATTTACAGAGATAAAGACTTTCACCGTGATTCATGCGATGAACTATTGAAATATATTTTTCAGTTCCATCTTCAATCTAGTATTCCAGAAGTTGTAAAACTGTTTAAGATAAATGGGGTTTTGTCAATTAGAAGTGCTTCAGTTGAGAGGTCATTTTCTTGTTTGAAGAGGGTAAAAAATTATCATAGAAATACTATGAGCCAAGGACGTTTTAGTTCTCTTTGCAGGATTTTCATTCACAAAGACATACTGTCAGAGAAAGAAGACGCCAACACATTGCATGATGAGGTAGCAAAGAAGTTCATTGAAAAACCACGAAGACTGTCTTTCTTATACAAATAGGTATTCATATATGGCTGATAGCAAGCTGATGATGTCTTACGTCCATGCCATGTGAGAATTTTTCCAGGAACTTTTTAATGCAGCCAATGATGATTGTCATTTCAGCAAGACAATGAACGGCATCACAACTTTTAATAGTTGTTGATGACAAATCTGAGCCTTTTCGGTTCTTTGTCAAAGTTTCTTTACAAGATGCACATATTCTATTTATTGATAAGAAGAAGAAAATACATTCATCTCGATAATTTACAGGATTTTTCAGGGATTTAATGAATCATTAAATCCCCTGAAGAGTGAGCAATCACGAAACAGGCTTGTCGGGATGAAATTGTAGTTTTTGTGTATTTTCTTCTTCTTATCAATATTTACGCTCTGCTCTCGGGCATCGAGCACTGTTTTATACGGAAAATCATAAATTATAAACTTCCTAGGTATCTATTTATGTATGTGGTGTTGAGAAAATAAATCACATATCTGCAACTATTTTTGAACTGTTTCTCTGCTTTACTATAAGATCCTTCGGCAATTTAAATTAACCAAAATGGTTCTATTTCATGCATAAATATCACGCATTTGCTTTCTAAGATAGCCGTTTCCGACGTTCTAGGGAGTCTAAATTCGGAAAATTTTCTCGCTCAGCGCCAACCATGGTGGCGCCTCGTTAGCCCGACCAAATGTATTTCGCTAGCTACGCCACTGCTTGTGTCATAAAATATCCTTTATTTCGCTCTCTTATAATGTTTTGACATCTACCGGAACGGTTCAACCTACCTAAATAATTTGATCATTCGGTATGTACAACATAAAGTTAAACAATTTGATGACCTAGATACCCGACCTCGACGTAGTTTACGCATTCCTGTGGTAAGCTGAAGTTGTGTTTGGTAAAACGTATTTTACGCGGTGGATGTTCTCGAATCATCAATCTAAACACCCACGTCTTTATTGTATTGAGAAACTCTGGTGATCTACTTGCGTACTTATTCAGAAACTCAGTGATCCATGTTTATTATACACCCATAAACACTGATGATTAAAGTGCTTTCAAAAATTAAAGTAAAAAAAAACAACTTTGCACTTTCACAATCTTGTTTGTATATGTAAATGTTGTTTTCATTTTGAGGTGGAAACCTATCTTATATAGCACAAATTAGTTAATTAATTAGGGAGAACTGCATTGATAGCATAATATAGTTAATTATTATTCAAGTTGACGTGTTCTAATTCGTGGAATGTTACTATGCTGTACGAAGAATTGTTGGGCGTAAACCGAACGGTTGGTTATTATTGCCTTCACTTAATTTTAACACAAACAACATCATATTGAAGAGCATATTCACATGGGATCAATTTTTTAATATTGCAGAAAGTTGTCTTTGATCTTCAATTAAATTGGTTTTAGAAAAAAGCTAAGATATTTCAAAGTTGAGAATGAAAGTATTTTAAGCATATAACACTACGTATATACTTGAATCGAAAAATATCTCGTGCAAAATCTTTAAAATGATTTATGTACGATCTAGTATTGCAATTTACATATAAAATTTGGTGAACTAGTAATTTTTTCTCTATTATTGACCGAAAATGATAAAATGTCGAGTTATTTCCATTAAATTATTACTTAAATGATTGAATCAACATCCGTTTGTATGCAAAGCCAAATTTTTGGTAATTTTCAACTTTGCCAACTCTCCTAATCAAAAAATAAAAAAGTATTTATTCTTTTTGGAAAAATGCTTTAAATTTACCTGCATTTCCCAATACGTCATTTTTACTTTTAGAACATTTGATAATGTTGCGGTTTTCAGTCTGTTTGCATCAATACACTTTAACATCATTACAAAGTACCACAATATCCCCAAGTACATCCACATATTCATTCTTCAATACAAATAAGAAAGTTTACTTCAAATGATCACGTCTCTGAGTACTCTGAAGGTTGAATGTACTTTAACGGAAAGCTATTTTGACTTTGCATTAATAACGGTAGCACTGGCATGTGTATTGTTGTTTAAACAAATTTTATCATTTATTTACATGATTACGTCAGTACAACACCCATAAATCTTTGGTTATTGTATTCTTAGCATCTCGTCATCCACTTTCATATACCCATTCAAAAACTTTTTTGATCATTTCTACATGCACATTTCATGGCTATAAGCTTAACTTCAAAAAACAAGTAAATTAAAAAACTGTGCTTTTCCCCGTCATTGCTTTATTTGACTTCTGCATAGTAAATGATGATGGCATGCATTGTGTATTGTTATTGAAACAAATTTACATGAAAACATAGCTATGACAACACAGTATGCACACTTTATAGACAGGTGTGTTCCATTGAATCGTTATGCGTTGATATCTATTTTGGAAAAGGCAAACCAGGAACAGGTTACTAAAACTGCTTTTGCTGATGTCACTGTGTTACAGTTTGAGTGTATAATGCACTGATTCATTTTGAAATATGCTCTGTGGCTGCTGGATGTATTTTTAATAAAGAAAGAATGAATCCACGCTGTTTTGTTGAAGAATTCATCAAGAAAGTTGATAGGATTCCCCGTCATTGCTTTATTTGACTTCTGCATAATAACTGATGATGGCATGCATTGTGTATTGTTATTGAAACAAATTTACATGAGAACATAGCTATGAAAACACAGTATGCACACTTTATAGACAGGTGTGTTCCATTGAATCGTTATGCGTTGATATCTATTTTTGGAAAACTAGGCAAACCAGGAACAGGTTACTAAAAACTGCTTTTGCTGATGTCACTGTGTTACAGTTTGGAGTGTATAATGCACTGATTCATTTTGAAATATGTTCTGTGGCTACTGGATGTATTTTTAATAAAGAAAGAATGAATCCACGCTGTTTTGTTGAAGAATTCATCAAGAAAGTTGATAGGATTCCCCGTCATTGCTTTATTTGACTTCTGCATAGTAACTGATGATGGCATGCATTGTATATTTTTATTGAAACAAATTTACATGAGAACATAGCTATGAAAACACAGTATGCACACTTTATAGACAGGTGTGTTCCATCGAATCGATATCCGTTATCTCTATTTTGGAAAATTAGGCAAACAAGGAACAGGTTACTAAAAACTGCTTTTGCTGATGTCACTGTGTTACAGTTTGGAGTGTATAATGCACTGATTCATTTTGAAATATGTTCTGTGGCTGCTGGATGTATTTTTAATAAAGAAAGAATGAATCCACGCTGTTTTGTTGAAGAATTCATCAAGAAAGTTGATAGGATTCCCCGTCATTGCTTTATTTGACTTCTGCATAGTAACTGATGATGGCATGCATTGTGTATTTTTATTGAAACAAATTTACATGAGAACATAGCTATGACAACACAGTATGCACACTTTATAGACAGGTGTGTTCCATCGAATCGATATCCGTTGATATCTATTTTTGGAAAATTAGGCAAAAGGAACAGGTTACTAAAAACTGCTTTTGCTGATGTCACTGTGTACAGTTTGGAGTGTATAATGCACTGATTCCTTTGAAATATGTTCTGTGGCTGCTGGATGTATTTAATAAAGAAAGAATGAATCCACGCTGTTTTGTTGAAGAATTCATCAAGAAAGTTGATAGGATTCCCCGTCATTGCTTTATTTGACTTCTGCATAGTAACTGATGATGGCATGCATTGTATATTTTTATTGAAACAAATTTACATGAGAACATAGCTATGAAAACACAGTATGCACACTTTATAGACAGGTGTGTTCCATCGAATCGATATCCGTTGATATCTATTTTTGGAAAATTAGGCAAACAAGGAACAGGTTACTAAAAACTGCTTTTGCTGATGTCACTGTGTTACAGTTTGGAGTGTATAATGCACTGATTCATTTTGAAATATGTTCTGTGGCTGCTGGATGTATTTTTAATAAAGAAAGAATGAATCCACGCTGTTTTGTTGAAGAATTCATCAAGAAAGTTGATAGGATTCCCCGTCATTGCTTTATTTGACTTCTGCATAGTAACTGATGATGGCATGCATTGTGTATTTTATTGAAACAAATTTACATGAGAACATAGCTATGACAACACAGTATGCACTTTATAGACAGGTGTGTTCCATCGAATCGATATCCGTTGATATCTATTTTGGCAAACAGGCAAACAAAAACAGGTTTTGCTGATGTGATGTCACTGTACAGTTTGGAGTGTATAATGCACTGATTCCTTTTGAAATATGTTCTGTGGCTGCTGGATGTATTTTAATAAAGAAAGAATGAATCCACGCTGTTTTGTTGAAGAATTCATCAAGAAAGTTGATAGGATTCCCCGTCATTGCTTTATTTGACTTCTGCATAGTAACTGATGATGGCATGCATTGTGTATTTTTATTGAAACAAATTTACATGAGAACATAGCTATGACAACACAGTATGCACACTTTATAGACAGGTGTGTTCCATCGAATCGATATCCGTTGATATCTATTTTTGGAAAATTAGGCAAACAAGGAACAGGTTACTAAAAACTGCTTTTGCTGATGTCACTGTGTTACAGTTTGGAGGTATAATGCACTGATTCATTTTGAAATATGTTCTGTGGCTGCTGGATGTATTTTTAATAAAGAAAGAATGAATTCACGCTGTTTTGTTGAAGAATTCATCAAGAAAGTTGATAGGATGCACATCACGAACGCATGCATATCATCGAGCGATGCTTGAAGTGAAAAAGAGAACAAAGGTCTTTTGAGGAAAATAACTTTGAGAAAAAGCCTTTTAAAGTATATCTGGTTTTTTAACACCAAAATCATTACGAAATGAAAAACTCTAATTTCACAACGATGGTGCGTAAAGCTGATTTAATAATTCTCATTTCCAGACCATCTCCTGTTGATGCTTTTTTTAACGACGATTTCTCAATTTTAGCATTGACGAAGAACGCACTATCGATCACGCAATTTTATCTAGTGTAATACCATTACAAATACCGTAAAAAGCTAAATTAGATCAGAATTCAAACTATTCATCTGCCTTGATCTTTCTGTTTAATAATTCCTGTAACTGTTTGTTTATAAGCTGAAACATGACCATTTTCATAGTTATTGAACATGAAAATGACAGCCAGTTTTTGAACATAGCGAACATATATCGCCCGTTTGATATAGACATTACTCTTCTTCAGTTCTTGATTGGTGGTGGCTCATGATAATCACGTTACTTCGATCTTGCGTACTCCTAATCCACCATGATAAGTTTTCGAAAAGTCTGCACTCACCCTCCGGGGCCATATGAATAAATTTAATAAATTCATTTCTCTAGCTAGATAAAAGTAATAGGATGTTGTCATCAATCACAATGTTGGTAGAAAATCCCATAAAGTGAAAAGAATTTAAGTTGATTTAATGCTCTGTTGAGCACAATTTGATTTAATCTACAACATGGCCGCTTGACGTCACATATGGAAATACTTCATTAGAGTTTTGTATGTCATTCTTTTTATTATCAGGAACACTTATTTTACTTTGGTGTTTTGTTCAACTCAGGTTTCATTGACATTTATGCAACTCGTGAGACATTTGAAGATTAATCCTCAGAAAGAAAACGTGTCATTTGATAGCTACTTAAAGAAAGAATTACTGTAAAACGGGTCGACTTGGTTGAGGAAATTTGTGCTTCTTACATCAATATACATGCATGAAGAATGGTCAGCAAAAGTAATAACCATTTGTTTGTGTAATATCTCGTCGAGTTATTTGAACTAAGTTCAGGTAATTGTGCTATTTGATGTAAAATTGAAACGACAATATATGACACTTGAATATTCTTTTTTTCTCAAAATTTTTGATTTGGGAATGTTTCTTTTATTCTTGATTATAGAGTTTAAAATAATCATCAAATAAGATTGCGAAACAACAAACAAATATTGGTTGTTTTTATTCACCATAACTATAGAAAGAAAATTATTATTGTCGACAGTGAATATGCATTGATGTGGCTTTTGTTAACCACTCCCTTGAGGCTGAGCTAAACACAAAAACAAGCAATTTGTGTTTTTGCATTTTGATTTTTGAACTTGGAAATAAGTCAGAGTAAAATATTTAATTTAGGTATTTTTTTTACTGAACTATGACAAGAATGGACAAATACTTTTTAACGAAGTTGAAAACACGTGATTTTTTTTGTCCACTAACCGTTTACGTATGACAAAATATAAAATATTGACATCAGTTCATCACAGTGTACTATCCACAAATAACTGTCACTGTTTAACTGGGGCCGGTTGCACGAACCCTGGATAACGTTATTTAGCATTTTTTACAATTTTGAAAATTTTTGCTATCCAATGGATAACGCTATCCAGGCTTCATGCAACCGGCCCCTGGATTGTGGCTGTTCTAAAACATTTTTCTGGACATTTTGCTGCTAAGATTACGAGTTCTGCTTTGCCAAACATAGGGAAAGACAAATCAATTATAAACGACAATTTGCCATGGAAAGGCTGACAATGAGGATGTTCGTAAGGTAGCCAAAAAATTGGGTATGATGGATGAACCATCGACTTTCTAGAGTTTTCAAAAAATTATTCTTGGGTTCCTAAATGGTTTCAATGCGAATATTTCCAAGCAATTTGGAGTCTGTCCCAAACTTCCACTATTGTTTTTATTGAATGTTCAAAAATTTTCGTAGCCTTAAAGTATTAAAATAATATTGCTTCTAAGATTACAAAATTTCTTTGTCGTAACGAAAATGTAAACACCTTTTTTAACATGTTCGAAAATTTTGCCATCCAATGGATAACGCTATCCAACCTTAGCGTAACCCGATGAAACTTGTCATTTGTCAAACTCAAATTCAGCAGAATTCGGCCTGTGACAAGCTGGTGCCCACATCTGTTAACAAAAACTAATTTTATCATGTCACCGTTTTGTAAAGGGAGAATAGTGTACTACAAACTAAAAAGTTATTTCAAAAACACAATTATTGCCCATTTGAGTGAGCTACAAAAGAGAATAATAATGTGGAGAGTTTGCATGAGACGTCAAGCGGCCATGTAGAATTGTTGGGGGAGTACATAAAAGTGCCTTGTAGGATTGCTAAAGCTATCCCTTCTAAAAATATATTATTTTTGTCGTGGTGGCAAATGTAAAAATTGTCTTGAAAATAGCAATTGCAATCGTGAATGGCCAAAATAACCCAAATAAAAAGAACTTCCGACGTCTTCCTTCAAAGTGAGTCCGGGGTTGCTCTAGGTCAAGTCGGAAAAGGTATAAAATTCTGCTCTCCGAAATAGCATTTCCATTCATTCTGAGAAAACTTAAAATTGATTTATGGAAATTTTTTGAGAAAGGATTACGATATTTGCTACAACCTCAAACAACTTAACAGTCTTATCGAATAACAACTCTCATGATAACTCTGACAAATTTTTACCTCTATTTGGCCTATAATGGATGATTGAGAAACAACAAACAAATATTGGTGGTTTCTATTCGCCATAACTAGAAAGAAAATTATTACTGTCGACGGTTGATATGCATTGATGTGGCTTTTCTTAACCACTCCCTTGAGGCTGAGCTAAATACAAAAACAAACAATTTGTGTTTACTGTTTTGTGCTTTGATTTTTGAGCTGGGCAATAAGTCAGAGTAAAATATTCAAAGTAGGTATTTTTTGCATTCATTATTTTGACGAATTACATTTTGAACTGATATTGACTTTGATCTTCCCGTTTAGAAACCCTCTCAACAATGATCAAGAATGAACAAAATACTTTAACGAAGTTGAAAACAGTGAATTTTATGTCCACTATAACCTTTTACGTATGACAACCTATTGACATCAGCCTACAACAGTGTATTATCCATAAACAAGTTACTGTTTAGCTGTACTGTGGCTGTTCTAAAACCTTTTTTCTGGCCATTTTGCAGCTAAGAATACGATTCTTGTTTGGTAAATCACAAGAAAAGACAAGTCAATTGTAAATGACAATTTGGCATGGAAAGGTTGACACTCAGGATGTTGGTCAGCTAGCCTGAAAATTGGGCACCATGGATGAACCATCAACTTTCTAAAGTTCTCCAAAAATTATTCCTGGGCTCCTAAATTTTTTCATGAGCTCAGCATCCGATCACTTCATCCTTACAACGGAAAGAAATTTTGACGTTCATGGCGTGAATTCGTCAATTCGTCGTGAAACTTGTTACTTGTTACTTGTTGAAAACCGTAAGTTTATATTTTAAAATGCAAGCCTTTATGTAGTTTAGTTTTCTAATAGAGCACATACCCAGACCCTGGTGCGCAGTATATTCCACTGAAATTCTCTAAAGCTATTTTAAGGCAGAGATTCGAATAAAACAATTTTCTAATAAATTCTCAAAAGTTCTCTCTGCATTTTTAAAAATTGTATGAGGTGATAAAAGTAACTTTTTTTCACTCAAACAGTCTCTTGGTGACTTGGTGTTTCTTTATTGATTCAAATGTTGTTATTAAAAATGTCTTGTTAGCCCCAAATGCTTGCTCAAAAAGTACATCTCTCATGGCATTAGACATGATTTCCCCTTACTTACTTAGTATCGCTCTCTTATTGGTTGTACTAGCAAAATTTTTTAGGGAGGATTGAAGGGAGCATTTCTCAATGTTTGAAAGCATTTGGAAAAACTGCATAAGTTTTTCCCATTTCTCTTGCAGCTCGCCGAGTACCGTCATTCCTTTAATAAGAATCTGTCGAATTGTTTCAAATGTCAATCTTTCTCAGATCTTGTTTAGCCATCTTTGCTAATACATTACCATATTCCTTCATCTGCTGAGCAAGTATTTCACCAGACCTATCGTATCTATCTCGAGAATCCTGCAACATTACCTTTGCTGTTTCTGTTTTGAATCTTGCCACTTCTATAGCTGACTTAACCAAGCCGCCGCCGTCACCACTTGTTCGTTGTTTAGCTAATTTTTCCAAGTATGGTGGGTTATTGACTATTGGACTAGCTCCTTGAGCAACGTCAAAAGCCACTTTCTAACTTTCGTACTCGAAGGACAACTTCTCTCCTCTTTTGGTCAAATCTTTCACTTTCTCCTTGTTAATATTCATCATACTAGCAAGCTCGTTTAGCTCTCTGCAGATTTGAACACTTTTGGTCAAGATGGCTTCTACTTTAGCTTGTAGATCCTTATCGTTACTTTCCGGGAGGTTTGTCTTTCGTATGATAAGATTTTGTTTAATTTTTTTCAAGCTTTTTTTAATGTTATCAACATCTAAATTCTGGTTGCCATCTTCATGTTCTTTCAAGACAAGCAACTCGTTGATGGTTTGAATTTGACAATTGATATCCGGCATGAGTTTCAAAATATCCATTTTGCTCGACTCCTTCACAAAACTTCTTACAGCTTTATTTTCAACTGTACTGCTTTCCTTCGGTGGTATTTTTTTAGGTGAAGAAATACTAATGCCACCAGGCCCGAAAGACACCGATATGCGCGACAAATTTCTGGCAAAGTTTGTTATCATGCCAGCAAAAGCCAATCCTACGGTTTTACCTAGTTTGAAAGGAAGAATGTTCCACTATAATATCTGGTCTGTGTCATTGTAGGTATTATCGAAGTTGTAATTTGAATGGATGATACTAAGATCTTGAAGTCATAACTTGTAATATTTGTCGACGTATGAGTCGTTTTTCCAACATCAGTTGTGTTAATGTTTGACAATGGAGAAGTAATTGCTAAAAATTATAAAAAAATAGATAAAATGGTATATCGTACAATTCATCTCTACTGTAAGAGCAGCTAAAACAATCCTGCTTTGCCTTTCAGTTCCCACCATTACCTCTCAATTATAATTCTCGATGTATTTATACTTTTACAGTTTGTGCTTTGCATGCACTATTGATCTAGATATAAATGACCCAATCCACTTATTAAAAGAATTATGATGCTTGTATTTAAAAAAAGCTGGCAATCCACTGAACAGCATGAATAGAAATGATCGTCGAAAACCGCTTTTTTTTTCAACTGACACTTGGAGTGATGATGTTTGGCTTCAATTTAACGGAGTTCAATGTTTCGTATCCGACCTTAATTTTCAAAAGTGATTTGCAGCTTCTACGAGAAATATTTACATATTTCTCCGCTATTGTCAGATAACCGCAAGCTTTTAATGGAAAAATGCATGTTTTATTTATTTAATGTGAATTACCATTACCTCTCAATTATAATTCTCGATGTATTTATACTTTTACAATTTGTGCTTTGCATGCACTATTGATCTAGATATAAATGACACAATCCACTTATTAAAAGAACTATGATGCTTGTATTTAAAAAAGGCTGGCAATCCACTGAACAGCATGAATAGAAATGATCGTCGAAAACCGCTTCTTTTTTCAACTGACACTTGGAGTGATGATGTTTGTTTCAATTTAACGGAGTTCAGTGTTTTGACTACGACCTTAATTTTCAAAAATGATTAAAGCTACTACGAGAAATATTTACATATTTCTCCGCTATTTTAGTTTGTTCTCTACATGAAAGTGCCCATGACGCATGATTTATTTGTCTTGAATGAAAGATCTTTTAAAACTGTAATGACTGACTTTCTTTTCAACAATTACGGTTTGCATTCGTGCTCACTTCTTGAGCTATTCAAGCTTTTGTGACACGTAAAGTTTGTCGTTTTCTAATTAATAAATCCCTTTTTCAGTTATTTAATCGTCAACATCAAGCATTGATTAACTTCAAATTTTAATCAAGACTTTTAGACAAAACAAAAGCAGGGTTATACACTAAATAAAACATGATTATACCGTACGTAAATTAGGAAATCCTCAACCATATATGCATATGATATTAGTATTTTGAAAGTGCGTGGTAGAAATTAAGTCCTATAATTAAAATTACTTGAGCATGCATGTGGAACTAATTTTCTCGGTGTCAAAGAGGGATGCAGAACGTTTGCATTCTATATATTTTTTATTTTAATTCGATAAATGTCAACAATAGTGTCAGAGAACCGCAAGCTTTTCATGGAAAAATGTATGATGTTTTATTTATTTAATTTGAATTAAATGCAGACATTAGTGAGACTTAGCAAACACGACGTATCCTCAAAGACGTCGTAAAAATGGCGTAAAAATGACGTATTATTCCTATAACATTAACTGAATTATGTTCCCATGATCGTTTTGCAAAAGTGATTCTCTTAATTTAGTTGTACTACTTGTTTTTGGAATATTGGCAATGCGCAACATCGAAGAAAATGGAGCAGAAAAATTCGAACAGAAAATAATTTGCCATCATCCATATCGGCTACTAATGAATATGATAATAATGTAATTTATACCTGACTGTGTCGTTGTTGGTCCAATCACTGGGTGTAAAAACATGAAAAAGAAAACACAAAAGGAAATGTTTAGTTTCATTATTGTTCTGTTTAAACCTCCTATTTAAGCAACGCGATCGAAGAGTTGAACCATCTGCAAGCATTTTTAGCTAAGAGTTTGGTGACTACTATTTTATCTCAAGCATACTTCTTTTACGTAGATAACACTCATAACAAACATTGATACGCCAACTTAAACATCAACACAGAAGAAGAAAGATGACTTTGTTTTCTGTTACAAATGATGAACTTTAAAATCCTGTTTGTGACGGCGCCACAAAACAATTTTGTTTATCGTTACATAACAGTCAACGACTGTTTCTGTAGGTAACGTTTAATCAAAATGCCAAAACTGTAAACTTCTGTGACATTTTGCACGCATAATTTGCTATATTTGTCTTTATCATTTCTACAATATTAAATATTAATAAGTAATAGTATGAAATCATTATATATTGCTCTCAGTTTTTTGTCTACAACTTAAAAAAAATAGTAGTCAGTTGTATGAAAGTTTTGGTAGCAATTGGTGGTGCTATTAGCTGTCCTGTTCTTTCTGCCCAGAAAGATTAAAAAATACCCAATAACAAATATGAGTGGCCTAACTTAAAATTTCCATCGAGAGTTGTATCTTCTTAGGTGAACAATATGAAAGCAAAACCTTATTCCTATATTTATATTTCTTTTGCAAGACATATAGTTTTAAAAATTTCCTCAACTTATCTTTAAGAGCAATCGAATAACATGCATGCATGAAACTTTCAATCTTAGACCGTAATCAAAAAGTTGGAATGGGAGGTGTGCACATTTGACAAAAGAAAGTGATTGAGCTGAATAACATGGGGTTCGTTTTTGTTCTTTTAGTTTTAAATTTTTAAAAAACGACTTTTGGATTTAAATGATTATGAATGTCGCACAAATTTACAGTAAGCCCTGTGTTTTGCAAACAGACCACCTGCCATTTTCATTTTCCGTTCGCTTTTGACACAGGCACTTGTTATACAAATTTGTAATCAACCTGTCTGACGATGACCAACGAACGCTTTTTCATTGACAAAGTTAATAACAAACTTGCTAAGTAAAAAATTCGACAAATTAATTCACAATTTACCTCCTATAAGTCCTGTTTATCACATTTACAATACATTGGTTTTTAGAAATTTGAGACTCGTCACACCTGTAAACTTCAAGAGCAGCTCCAAACATAGCTAGGCTAGGTCATCAAAGAAGCGTATGTTCTAAGTTATAACTTCTTGCATGATGAGTGCATTCGTTAGATTAAACTTATGAATAATGTAGAGTGTCAAAAATGGGAGTGTGTTTAAGTTTTGAAGCGTTGCTGCGTCGAATGCGTTCAACTGAACTGAACTGCATGAAACACTTCTGGCAATAGAATTAATCCAATCGGAAGCCAAATCTTACACCCAGACATACCTGTTACTCTTTCGCGACTATCATTGCGGGGTAAAAATTGATTAAACTACAGGCTACTAAAATGTTTGTGCTTATTCGGCTGTTTGTGTACAAAACATAAAAATATAACAACATTCCAATAGCTTGTTGGCAAAATGGTGGAATGAACTTGAACACAATGCTATTCCTTTGTCATGAAAAAAATACTCTTTAAATTTCACGATAAGCCACTTTAAGTAAATTTAAAAAACAAAAGAATAAGTTCAGTAGAAGAAATTTTTTTTAAAATCCCGGGAAATGTACGGTGCAGATACCTGTTAAGGTAAGTTTTAACATATTTCAGCAGTGCTCAATAGATAATAGAAAAAAAATGCTTACAGTTATGCTTACAGTTATGTTATATACAGCTTATATTTTTTTAGGAAAATATACAATACCATGTTCATAAGGTTTCAAATCAAGTTCAATAGTAGTACGGTAGTTGGGTCCATTCTGCCTGACACTGTAGCGTGTTACATTTGGATTTATGAAGACAGCATCAGGAAATCTAGTTACATCTGAAGTTTTTCCATGTAACTTGGAGGAATCAATAACTAATGGAGTTTGCTGCTGTTGTTTGTCAACTGTTGGTGAAGAAATAACTGTGCTGTCTAAATTTTCAAACGATTCTTTGTCACCGTTCATGAAATTGGCGTCATCCTTTTGATTTTCTGGAGAAGCATTTTTAATCACCATGTTTATTTGAACGGGATCACCTAGTGATATACTTAGAGGCGGTACTTGTTGGACAAAACTATGGTTTAGAAGCTGCGCTCTTTCTTTTTGGCCACTTATAGTCGTTTTCTTATTGTTTTGCTGATTGCTTTCTCTCGTGGTTGACGTTAAGGATAGAGTGGAAAGTTTGATTTGCAGCACAGCTCCTTTTAGAACTCACAGCCATTTGTGAGTGAGAGAAACTAAAACTTTGATCTGACGATTCATTTCAATCTTGAGCCGTTTGTATAATAGACGTAGAGAATTTTGAATATTTGCTGCCATTTGTTTATTGTAAGTCATTATCATTGTGGGAAGCACTAGAATTGTCACCAGCGATGAGTAAAAACTGTAACTGTATGTTTTGAAAGACACATTTTCCTTCAGAATTTTGTCGAAATTGCGACTGTATTTTATTTGGCTTATAGTGTATGTGTGGGCTGTCTGTCTATACCACTGATTGGTAGAGTGATTGCTTTATCTGATGAACTTTATCTTATTATCTGATTCACAACCAACTCATGTATTGTGTATAAAAACTTTTCAAGATCTCAAGCTTGACAGATACAAGATATTAGTTCAAGTTGTAATTGGTGAACAGAAAGGAGAAGGAGTTAAGTGAGTTGAAAACTGTTACATTGAGTGAGTGAGTTACATTGAATATGATTTAATTTGTTCAACATTGACTAAACCGTTTTGCAGTTTCAAGTTTTAAATAGCAAAATTATTTTGTTGTCTTGTTCCAGCCAGTACATTCAAGTTTGATTTTAATTCATTGCTGTCAATGTTTTTTTGAAGAGTTGCATGTCGATGTCTTTGGGACTCTGACACTGACAATTACGCACAAGATATATTCATGACGGTGAGATTTATTTAGTGTGTGTGGTATATTAATTTGTTATCAGTATGACTTTTGAAATTGAATCTTTACTACCATTATTTTTGTGTTAATTTAGTTGAAATAATTAATGGCATGAAGGGTTAACAATCTTGGTCTTTAAAATAACCTTTCTTTCGTGATATACACTCATTACATACAGTTGAAAATGTAATCCGGCAATCCAGTGATCCCTTGTGGCGTTATTATGTGCATTGAGATATTTTATTATGTTTTTGTTTAGGATACTTTTTTTGTGTTGCGTCAGTTTATGGTGTTTATCATTATTAACAGAGATATTCATTCATCACAAATTAAAAACGCTGTTCCATTTCAAGACATTTTTGCGCAAATTTCAATCATCAACTGAACAATTATTTTACCGACACTGCAAATCCTGATAAATTTGCAGATTCAATTAGTTTTCAGTTTTTGTGTTTGAAACATAGAACTCATCAGAAGTAAAGTTGTTAAATACCATTATCATCAACAACCTACTAAAAGCTTGTTATAAATTACTTTAAAAACATGTCATGGCGCTCTATGGACAATTTAAACATCTAAAATCTTATTTCTAATTCTATAAATCTCACTTATCCTGACTTTTATTGTAATGTCAGAATGTTCATAGTGATTTACACTACAATGCAGTACTGAAATATTACATGTATGTACGTTCACGAGAAATTATTTTTCAATCGTTGTACGGTAGTAGTTGCATCCGCTGTGCTTGACACTGTGACGTGTTGAAGAAGACATCATTAGGAGCTCTTCCTGGATTCAACGCTGTTTTGGTAAAATTTCACGCTTGTCAAGAAACTTGCTGCCTGGACTAACCGAATCCTGCTTGAGCTACCAATAGCCAATGTAACTTGCACTTGTTGGTCAGTTTTCGCTTTTGCTGGTGAAGAATTATCCTCACTGTTAAGATTGTGTTTCCCAACTTTCGTGTTTGGTGTTGAAGAATTAATCGTGTTCTCTAAGTTATTGACATTATTTCCTGTGTTCGTCGCTTCAACCCTGTGTTCTTTACGACTTGCCTTTTCCTTTGTCTTTTTTCGTATAAATTGACGTAAATGATTTCGCGTTCCAGAAGGAAAAATAACAAAAATAAAAAGACAAAGAATCCTTGCAGGGTATTAAATATGGCAAAGAGATATTGAAACACTCGCTTTGCATCATCTATAGCAAGAATTCCAAAAATCCATGTGAGACCAAGAAGTACCATGATAGCAATACCTTGACGAGCTCGTGTAAAACCAGAGATTTTTTGATTAGAGGTCACGTTATTACCAGAATTATATAACGATCTGATGATGCATAAGAATGCGACAAGATTAAAAAAGATTATGATAACGGTTGGAGTGAAAAAGCCAATGATGAATGGAACACCTTTCAGTCGACAACTATTTGTAAAAAAAATGAAGAAATGATTTGGCAGATATATCAGATGAGAACATACGGACCTTCCTAATTTTTAAATTGAACTTTGTTTTGAGTGATGAAGACTGAAAGAGCCTTTTGTGTAGAGTAGGCGCAGAGGGAGTGGATTTCATTGGGAATATATATCATGCTTTTTTTCCTTCCAAACTAAAATAATTGAAAACAACACATACCGTTTACGCATTTCTATCAAAAATAAAACTTAGTCTTATCACCAAAACTTATTTTAGGTACTTTTTCAGTGGATTTATATAGACTGAGCTATTCTCCCAAAAGTTTTATCTCGTTTTATTCATTTATTAATGACCCGTTAAACGAATGACTTCCAAATGAACACTTACAATGTGTTGTCGCCATATTGATCCAATGAAGTTGCCACGGTTATTATGACAATCGCTAAAGGACAACCTAAACATTTCATAAAATATGAAAGAAAATTAAGAAAATAGCTACGGAGATAGAGATGCAACTATTTAGTATCACTGCATTTTTAATTGACATCTGTATCTCCTAGTCCTAGCTTCTGTTTTATTTATATGATCACTTAATACTGCAAACTTATTAGAAATATCTTGAAAGGATAGAACGTACTAAATGCATATAGAAGCACTCAGTCATATGGCGTACTCAATATCTCACCCCAAGCAAAAATGAAACACCTCTTTATGAAGCAGGAGGGGTTAGAAATAGAAAAAACTTTAACGAATGCCAAATACATATTAAATGCTTCAACGGTCATCCAAAATAATGCTGCCAACAGAAAGTAGTGAAGTGCTATTGCAGCCACTCTACAAGCAACAAATGATGCTGTTCGTGATCTCTCTCCTGCAGCCAAGAACACAATTAACGTTAACGATAAGGCGATGCAGAAATTTACCAAGATTTGGTTGGGTACAAGATTACGCAGTTCTCTAAAAAAAGAATATTAAAAAGATTAATATAAAATGAGAAAAAGCTATGGCTTTAACTGATAGAAGGTGAAAACATACTTTTGTGTCAATTAAAATTACCTCAACATGAGAACCACAATTATTGTAAGAATTAATCCAATCAACGAAAGTGCGCATCCAATGTAACTTACGATGGAAAGAGCCAGATCATGTGTCTTCTCAGGATAAATATCCTTTTGAATGAAAGATTCACAGAAATTACAAAACACCATTTTTTCTGCATGGAGCGTCTGGTTATCAATAAAGCTTGCTGTACTTATTGTGATTTATATTGTTATTGTTATTTGTTATTGTTATTGTTATGATTATTGTCATTGTTATTGTTATTGTTATATTTATGCAACGTAGCTACTGCGTTTAGTTTGTCTGCAATATTTTGTGTAGTTGCTCTTCCTTTGTTTTAATATGAATTGTTTGTGATTATATATAATAAGTTTCCCTAAGCTGGAACGTTTCACAAATTTTTGTCGTTATAATTTTTGTTATTTTTATCAATGATTACTGTTGAGATTAAAAAGATAATTCTATTAAACCATTCCAACTTATAACTTATACACATACAAAGAACAATAGATTTATAATATCAATGGTCTTGAATTCAATAATGATGAACATATATCTTACCATTAGCATTGCGAAATTTGTAAGATGATCACAACTGCAAAGTATTCTACCATCTTCTAGAGTTCTTATAAAACTGCAACCTTCTTGAGACCAATTGCTCAGTTTAAAATCCCAAAATGAGCATTTGGCACTGGTCGTGTTTCCAGGTTCAATTTCTTTCAAGGCAATTTCTACTGGTGTCTCTAAATTTCTGATAGTCAAACCTTTAATACTTCCTGCTATTACCAAACTATTTAAACGCCCAAATAGACTTCTTTCTTGAAATATTGAGGTCGTAAAAAACTTTGTTTCTTTGTAAAATGCAAAAATGGCTTTCCGATTTTTCATATTATTATTATTGATTGTGGATTCCTCAAATAAACTTTTTGGTATGCTCAACGAGGCTGTTGTATCTGGTGGAATTCTTGCACTAAGATTAAGTGCGATGCTAATTCGCATTAACGGTAAGCTTTCTTGAGATTGTTTTACTGTACCAGAGAATGACAGTCCATTAAAATTTTGTGGATGTACAATCTGTAGATTAATCGCGTAGTTTTTTTTCACTCTTGTTAAATTGTTTCCTTCGAATTGTATGTTTTCAGCTAAATTGTTCAAAACATCAAGTATTCTGCAAAAATCATAAAGTATAAAGTTTTTCACGGAATCAAATTTGCTAAATGGCTGAAACCAAAAAAGTAATATAGCTTTGCTGTAATGTTACAAAACAAGTACCTTGACGACGAGTTGGTTTTTTGTTGACTTTGAAAAATGTTTTCTGAGCTTGCATCAAGGATGTTATCAACTGTCGTAAAAATATCTTCGGAAATCTATAAAAAATCACGTATTTAATATTTATATCTCATCTTTATGATTCATTATTCAATGACTACGCAAACCTCATTAAATTTCTTCCTGACCACAACAATTTTTTCCAAAACAGTTGCTGTCGAACCAATGTCACCTGCTGTCAATGTTCGTCCTTGTTTCACCTGTTTTGATAATTTTCGACTTACCTCCACAATATTACTTGAATTCACATCAGTCTATATTCAGAACACGCAATAGTTTATGAGAAAAACATTCTATAAAAGTCACTTAATCATCGCTGTACTTCAAGTATGTATTATTTTAATGAATATTCGAGGAGACAGCCCTGAGGATTTTTTATATTAACGTTGACTGAAATTTTAGGGGTGGCGTACTTTACTGTCGTATAAATTTAGAAAATATAAATTACGGGTTTTTAAAAATTTTCTCTTACTAATATCGCTGTCATTAGTTTTACAGCATTATGTACATACCTGTGTTAAAATAAATAAATTTTTACTTCTGCGACTCTTGAATTCACATCTTCCAACGTCAATAGGACCCCAAGCACCTCCTGTTCTAGTTTCATTAGTCTGCCGACATTTACGGGTCGCGTATGATTTGGAATTATAAGGACAAGAAATCTTATAGCTCGTGTTTCTAACAAGACTGTTTGGCCATCTAAATATTCCGTATGCTTCCTCTGTACCGATAGTCTCGTTCAAACAGAAACCTGAGGTAATTTAACTCATGTTATTATGTGATGAAGAAATCAACTGTAAGACATTTTCACAATAGTGAGTACATAAAAACACGTTGGTGGGTATATTTAAGGTTTGTATTCATACCTGTTAAATTATATCCATAAGGCATGGTTTGTATGGTTGTTGTTTTAGTTGTGTTGATTTTCAGTGAAAAAAAAACAGTAGGTGCTAAAAAAGTTAAAAAAATATGTTGCTAACATATTGTCTGTATGGTAAAATTCAACTTTTTCGCAAGAACTGCACGTTGCAATAATTCATGTTTGCAGAAGTTCTTTTCCGATGATTCTTATACAAAAATGATGCTTTTAATTTAGTTTTCCAAATTGTTCTTAGAAAACTGATAATGCGCATAATTAAAGAAAATTGAAGAAATACGAGAACAAAAAATGATATCATCCCTGACAATCTTCCAATTGAAGAGATAATAAAATAATCTTCAATCTAAGACCGATCCCATGCATTGTTAAAATCTTTAATTGTTAGAGTGAGTATATGAAAAAAATTTGGTGAAGATATTGGTCATTCATATACCTGTTGAATTAAGTCTATATTGTGTGGTCTGAATAGTTCTTGTTGTTGTTGTGCTTTTGGTTGACATTGGTGAAGTAAATGCTACAAAAATTGTAAGAAAATATAAGGAAGAGCTTCGATTGCGATACATTCTAGCTAAGGAAGATTGAGGTTTTTCTGCTAAAACCTGTCGAACATGATTTAAAATGCATACTTTTCATTAGAACCTTCATATAAATAGTATAGTTAAATCCTGTAATACTAACTTTAACCCACCGTCCAACCCATCAACAACCTCTAACCACCCCTAGTTGCAGAATGAAACTTTAATGGTCATTTAGCAAATGATTCTCTTTGAATTTGGTTGCGCAAAAATATAGTGCAAAAATAAGTTAAGCAAAAGGGCAAAACAGAAAGAAAACACGAAAGAATTGGTCTTACGTCGTTGGCATACAATGATTAGGATAATAGAATAGTCCATGCATACCTGTCGAATTATATCCATAATATCTGGTCTGTGTCATTGTAGGTAGTACAGAAGGTGTAATTTGAATGGATGATGTTAAGATCTTTAAGTCATGACTTGTAATATTTGTCGACATATGACTCGTTTTTCCAACATCACTTGTGTTAATGTTTGACAATGGAGAAGTAATTGCTAAAATTTTTTAAAAAATAGATAAAATGGTATATCGTACAATTCATCTCTACTGTAAGAGCAGCTAAAACAATCCTGCTTTGCCTTTCAGTTCCCACCATTACCTCTCAATTATAATTCTCGATGTATTTATACTTTTACAATTTGTGCTTTGCATGCACTATTGATCTAGATATAAATGACCCAATCTACTTATTAAAAGAATTATGATGCTTGTATTTAAAAAATCTGGCAATCCACTGAACAGCATGAATAGAAATGATCGTCGAAAACCGCTTCTTTTTCAACTGACACTTGAGTGATGATGTTTAGCTTCAATTTAACGGAGTTCAGTGTTTTGACTACGACCTTAATTTTCAAAATGATTTATAGCTACCACGAAAATATTTACATATTTCTGCGCTAGTTTAGTTTGTTCTCTACATGAGAGTGCCCATGACGCATGATTTTTTGTCTTGAATGAAAGATCTTTTAAAACTGTAACGACTGACTTTCTTTTCAACAATTACGGTTTGCATTCGTGCTCACTTCTTGAGCTATTCAAGTTTTGTGACACGTAAAGTTTGCCGTTTTCTAATTAATAAATCCCTTTTTCAGTTATTTAATCGTCAACATCAAGCATTGATTAACTTCAAATTTTAATCAAAACTTTTAGACAAAACAAAGGCAGGGGCTTACACTAAATAAAACATGATTATACCGTACGTAAATTAGGAAATCCTCAACCATATATGCATATGATATTAGTATTTTGAAAGTGCGTGGTAGAAATTAAGTCCTATAATTAAAATTACTTGAGCATGCATGTGGAACTAATTTTCTCGATGTCAAAGAGGGATGCAAAACATTTGCATTCTATATATTTTTTTATTTTTTTATTTTAATTCGGTAAATGTAAACAATAGTGTCAGAGAACCGCAAGCTTTTAATGGAAAAACGCATGTTTTATTTATTTAATGTGAATTAAATGCAGACATTAGTGAGATTTAGCAAACACGACGTATCGTCAAAGATATCGTGAAAATGGCGTAAAAATGGCGTATTATTCCTATATATGGTTGGGTCCACGCCATAGATATAGTAGGACTAGATTGCTAACGAGTGTGACGTAATATAAGACTTATTAAGACGGCAGAGTGACATTCATGATAAATCCAAGATGGCGCGGGAACCGGGCAAAAAACTTGGGGCTACTATTAGGCAATTTTAAAACACTTGAGAAAAACGACGATTTTTTTGAAAGCAAACATGTTTCGACATTATCAAAATGCCATCTTGAGTGCAGAATGGTTAGTGTTAAGTAATATGATACGTAATATGATATGAATAAATTAATTACAATGAATAGGATTATGATTTAGTTACAAAATTATAAAATATTTAAAATATTTACAAAAAAAGGAAAAGAAAAATAAGTATTAAGAACTTATAACGTAAATATAGTGTTGTAGTGGTGAACTTGGATATTTAAATCGGGATTAGTTTTATTAATGTGTAGAGCTTCCTTGATTTTGAGTGAGAAAGTGGATTGATCAGTGTCGATGATTTTAAAACAGGAAGGTGAGAATTTGTTTTTTACATGAAGGAGAGGCTTGAAGATGTTTGTAGATAGTGGAGTTTTTGTCTGTGTGAGTATGTTCCTTTATCCTGGTAGATAATTGGCGAGAAGTTTCACCAATATAGCGGGAATTACATCCCGCACATGAAAATTGATAAACTACCATAGATTTGGAAAGTTCGGGAAGTGGGTCTTTAAACGAAAATAAAGATTTTATTTTAAAAGGTGTGAAAATAAGTTTAACGTCAATGTCAGTGCAGTAGCGTTTAATGATTTGTGTGAGTTTGCGTTGTGTGTGTCGTGAGTAATCACCTATGTAAGGTAGTTTGAAATAACGTTTATTGTCAGGTTGTTGTATATCGTTAGTGTTAGTTGTGGAGTTAGATGAGTCAGTGCTTTTCTTGTTGTCCAAATAGTGTTGTATAGTGTTGTTGATGAAATGAAAAGGAAAAGAATTACGTTGGAGAGTGAATATTAGTTTCTTTAAATCACGTTGAAAGCCGATGTCTGTGTTGTTAAGTTTCCGTGCTCTGTCGGTCAGTGTTCGTATCAGTCCAATTTTGTAATTTAATGGTGTGAAACTAAAAGTTAGTCAGTAGTCCTGTATATGTTGGTTTGTGGTACGTAGAGGTCATACAGTTTTCATGTGATTTAGTTAGTAAGATGTCAAGAAAGGGTAACTGATTGTCTTGTTCGGTTTCGTATGTAAAGTTTATGCTTTGATGTTGTTTGTTGATGTATTCGTAAAGAGTAATGCTTCGTCTTTGTTATGAAAAATACAAAAATGTCGTCAACGTATCTGCGGTAAAATAAAGGTTTGTTGTTGCTGTAGTTATTTAACCAGTTTCGTTCGTGAAAACCCATGAAAATGTTGGCTAGAATGGGTGCCAAGGGTGAGCCCATACTTACCCCGTCAATTTGGTCGTAGTATTTACCGTTAAATAAAAAATGAGTCTCGGCCGTAGTGATGTTAAACAATAGTTTTAGTTCTGTTCTGTTCATTTTGAATGTAGGGTTGTTGGTAAAAATTAAATCAATAGCAATGTCTATGGTTTCGGTCAGTGGTATGTTGGTAAAAAGGCTTTCAACGTCAAAAGAAATAAAAAATTTGTCATGTGGAGCGTTAGTGTTAAAAGATAAAAAATCATCGACAAAACTAAAAGAATCTTTAGCAGAATGGTCATTGGGTATTAGGGTTGGAGTAAAGAGCTGAGGTATTTGGCTAATTTGTAGTTATACGAATTGATTGAAGAATTTATAGGTCTGATAGGAGGTATGTCATTGATATTGTTTAATTTATGAAGTTTAGGTAAACCATATAATCGAGCTGGTTGTGAACCTCTAGGGTACATTTCTTGAAATGATTTTTCGTTAATAGAGTTCTTTTTCTTTAAGTTACGTAGCAGTCGTTGTAACTTTGCTTCACGGGAAATTGTAGGATCATGATCGAGTGGTTTGAACTTAGATAAATTGTTAATCATAGTGAGGCAAGAGTTAATGTATACCTGACGATCCATAATGACTACACCATTGCCTTTGTCAGGTTTAAGAACAATGATTTTGTCATTATTACGAATGTTCCTTAGAATTTTATGTTTCTTCAGGTCTTTAGGAGTTGGATGGTAGGATGTTACGTACGTGTGTGCCAAGTGACCAAGTTCCGTTTTTAGTATTGAATAGTCCTCTTTTTGATAAGTTTATTTCTTAATGAATAGTGGATTCGTTCGAATGTTGCCAGAATGTCGGAGGAGTGGATTTTTGGAGGTTTGATGCTGAAGTTGAGACCGTTTTTTAGAGCGTTAAGTTCATCTTCACTTAGCTTAACAGATGATAGGTTGGTGACAGTGTCTTTATGAGTGAATGGTATAGCCTTGTTTTTGGTCAAATTATTTAGTTTCTTACGGTGTGTCGAAAATATTTTGTTTAGTTGTTTGTCGACATTCTTTTTGAGGGCTTTATTCAAGATATGCCAGTCAATTGGGTTAAGAAAGCTTTTGATTTCTTCTGTTTTGTTCGTCAGGTCCCTACCACGTGTCCGTAGTTCTTTAGATCTCTTCGTTATCGTAGTTCGTAGTAAACGCTTTCGAATGTGGTATGTATCTCGATTGTCAACATTGGGCAGTGGAAAACACAGGAACTTTGGAAAAACTCCAAGTGAATTGCAATCTTTAAGGAAGGCAACATCAAGTTCAGCCTTGCGTTTCTTAGTTGTAAGCTTTTCATAATTTCGAAAATCCGACAGGGAAACCTTTCGAGCTCAAACCTTTATGGGCCCACCCTTGGCACCCATTCTAGCCAACATTTTCATGGGTTTTCACGAACGAAACTGGTTAAATAACTACAGCAACAACAAACCTTTATTTTACCGCAGATACGTTGACGACATTTTTTGTATTTTTCATAACAAAGACGAAGCATTACTCTTTTACGAATACATCAACAAACAACATCAAAGCATAAACTTTACATACGAAACTGAACAAGACAATCAGTTACCCTTTCTTGACATCTTACTAACTAAATCACATGAAAACTGTATGACCTCTACCACAAACCAACATATACAGGACTACTGACTAACTTTTTTAGTTTCACACCATTAAATTACAAAATTGGACTGATACGAACACTGACCGACAGAGCACGGAAACTTAACAACACAGACATCGGCTTTCAACGTGATTTAAAGAAACTAATATTCACTCTCCAACGTAATTCTTTTCCTTTTCATTTCATCAACAACACTATACAACACTATTTGGACAACAAGAAAAGCACTGACTCATCTAACTCCACAACTAACACTAACGATATACAACAACCTGACAATAAACGTTATTTCAAACTACCTTACATAGGTGATTACTCACGACACACACAGCGCAAACTCACACAAATCATTAAACGCTACTGCACTGACATTGACGTTAGACTTATTTTCACACCTTTTAAAATAAAATCTTTATTTTCGTTTAAAGACCCACTTCCCGAACTTTCCAAATCTATGGTAGTTTATCAATTTTCATGTGCGGGATGTAATTCCCGTTATATTGGTGAAACTTCTCGCCAATTATCTACCAGGATAAAGGAACATACTCACACAGACAAAAACTCCACTATCTACAAACATCTTCAAGCCTCCTTCATGTAAAACAAATTCTCACCTTCCTGTTTTAAAATCATCGACACTGATCAATCCACTTTCTCACTCAAAATCAAGGAAGCTCTACACATTAATAAAACTAATCCCGATTTAAATATCCAAGTTCACCACTACAACACTATTTTTACTTTATAATAACATTTTTGTTATAAATTCTTAATACTTATTTTTAGAACTTATGTTATAGTTCTTAATACTTATTTTTAGAACTTATGTTATAGTTCTTAATACTTAATACTCATTGTAATTAATTTATTCATACCATATTATGTATCATATTACTTAACACTAATCATTCTGCACTGAAGATGGCATTCTGATAATGTCGAAACATGTTTGCTCTCAAAAAAATCGTCGTTTTTCTCAAGTGTTTTTTAAAATTGCTGCTAATTAGAAATTATAGTTTCAGTAATGGTTGGTCGTCTAGTAGCTGCATGACATGAGGCAATTGGCAAACATACCTAAAACATGAAGATTTAGAAAGATTAGGTAAGAGTCTCATGTGATAAAGGTACATAGTAAGGCCAAGATAAATATTCCCAAAATATACTTAAAAATCGGCAAACTCTCTTTTCCCGCGAAGATCCCAAAGATTTCTTCCAGCCCTGCTGATTTTGATCCGCCCCTTCGAGTGAGAAAAATAACAAAGAAGCTTTGTTAGTCCCTCAATGTCAAACACAGCTTCTAACTTAGTGATGTTGTCGATCTTAATGTTTTTGTAGAGAGATGCCAGACACATTGGATTATCTTCTATGAGTTGATAAAGACCATCTAGGCAATCATTTGGTGATCGTGCCTCCCAAGTAATAGTCTTTCTCTTATGTTGTTTCCCAGTCTTGTCTGTAGACGGTCCTTCGACGAGTTGCTCACTGTCATTGACTACGAGCCATCCTTCGTAGACTTGTATTCCTTGAAACGAACATTCTTCAACTTCTTCTTTTGTTAATTCTTGCCAATATTTTGCAATTCTTGGCAACAACTTTTCAGCTGGTTTTACAACATCTCCGTCCTTAAGTCGCTTTAATTCTGTCCTGATATCCTCCAAGATATCAATGACTATCGGAAACCAAGCAACAACTTTCCAGGGAGGCACGCTTAAAGTGCTTATCTCACAATTTTTTTTTTCGAATTTTCGTATTGCTTCTTCAAAAGTAATCTAAAACTTATATTACAATTTTTTCATGCGCTGCATTGTTTTCGAATTATTATTGATCAAATATGAAATTTGACAGTAAAAGTTGATAATTGGCATAGGGCCTGGATCAAGTCTCTGTGACGTAACTTAAGGAACAAGTCAAGCGCTTGTTATCAACGATTAGATGGCGGAGTTGAATTCTGATTCGGAGTATGATTATATTCCCGGTTATGTCATCGAAGATTAAACAAGGAACATTAATGACCAGGAATATAATATAATAGATGAAAATCACGGCGAGTCCGAGTCCTATCTATACGCTGATGAACCAATGGCCGAACAAGCATGGTATGAAGACTACGTGGAAAAGTCAAATGAACATAAAAAGCAATTTGAAATGCTACAAAAAAGACTTGATCACACAGTTGAGTTGAGTTCTTGGTGAGTAATAAAATTTCTAATTTCAATTCAACTTATGGAATGTATTTCAATTCAGGTTTCAAGTTATGAAATATAGACATAAACGTGCAATTTTCTATTCAAGATTACCATCGCTTTTTTTATTTACTTTTGATTAAAAAATTGTTAAAAGATGCTCGATTACAATTTTTTAATGTGATTTTCTTTATTGATCAGGTGCAAGTGTGGTTTTTGTCAAGTTACACTTCTTCAGAATCCTCTAGAGGCCTGGTGCTGCCAAGAACTTAAGTCTGTAGCTGAAAGCTTAACACACCAGTCGGTTCTGGCAGATCTGTCAACTATTCCATGTTGTGTCACTCTACACCCAGGTTTCAGACCAGTTTGTTTGGAAAAGTGGTCGCTAAAAATGGCTGCTAGGAAATACAAAACCAGAGAACAAAGACGATACAGAGAAACAGGATCTGAAAACATGTATGATAGCATATTATGTTATTTCCCAGTATTTAAGTATATTTTAGTGTTATGACACATTAGTAATGATTTGGCTTTATATTCAGGTTTTACGATGTTGCATACAGAGAATTCACATCTATGATTTATGGATGCTTAGGAGAAGAAAGAAGACCATTACCAGCATGTGCATACCATGCAATAAGATCAAAATTTAATGATAAAAAGTTGGAATTTAGAGGGTACGAAGAAAATGAAATAAATGAGTGATGTGAAAATTAAGTTTTCCTATTTTTTGGGCACTCTGCCACATGTTTGTGACCTTTCATTGGCTTCTTGCATGTCAAACATTTTGGCTGACTTTTTCTTTTGAAACTGCCACTTTGACTGACAGCTGAATGGCACACTGGTAGCTGCAGGCATGAAACAAAAACATTTTCATTATTTAAAATGATTTTCAAACCATGTTTAGCTACCACATCTTATATAATCATTATTAATTACCTGGAATTGAGGGAGGGACATCATTGACCACAATGCATTTTCAACGGACCTGTTTTAGTAACACCTCAGCTCTGGGTTGCTTTTGCAGCATGACATTCATTGATGGTGGGGACATTTCTTTCAAAAGATTTTGTGAATTTGATAATGCATCTTTGTCTTTTGTTAACAGCATCACACTCTCAAATAATTCATCCACATACTCTAAAAAGAAATTATTGTCGTATTCAATACTATGAAATGATGCAAAGCAACACATTTAGCAGCAACTTACCAAATTTGGGCTTAACTCTGACATCCCTCACAGTTCCTTCACCATTTTTAAACTTTGGATACACTACATTTATTTGGAAAGTGCCATCATTCTTCATCTTTACATCACGCCTTAAGTTGTTGTTGAAGTGGATGGATGCCAAAATGTGTCTTAAACAATAAAGACTTGATGAAGTTGCAAAACAACTAACATTGCCATATTGGAAATTTTGAGATGAGCAGTTTTCGGCTGTTCAAACCGAGCAAATTCTCCTCGGTTTGAACAGCCGAAAACTGCACATCTATCAGGCATTTTGATGCAGAGCCGTAGTAAATAAAGTAGAAATTATAGCAAAAGTCACACTTCAGAAAAACTTCCTGTCCTTATGTTACGTCACATACTTCTCGATTCAGGCTCTCATGAAGCAAATTGAACGCGCAGCAATTTTCTCCATTATTGCCGATTTTGAGAAAAGAAACGCATTTATCTCATAAACGAAGCCATCAATCAGAAAATTGCAAAGTAACTTTTACAATGATTTTTTTACCTCAATCAGAAAATTCGAAAAAAAAAATTGTGAGATAAGCACTTGAAGCTCTGACATTTGATCATTAACGAAACAACTGGCTGAAACACATCAATCATTCAACATAGATCTATGGCAAAATCTTGACCTCTGAGTTGGTATTTTGTCTCCTCACAATCATCCTTTTTATCTTCTCGATTTGCACTGTATGCCGTAATCAAAGCGGGATAACTATTGTGAATTTTCTTCCATTGATCGAAAGCAGAACTGGAAAATCGCGTGGTTGCATATGTCACAGTTTCGAGCGCTTTTAATCCTTGACTTTTGGAATACGTCTTGTACTCAGCATGTCCTCGGCCACTTCCAAATATTATGTGCAAGCGATTAGAGCGTTTGATGATAAGCTTGATAAAATTGGAATACAAGGAGTTTTCACGTAGCTCAACGATCACTAGGTCTAGCCAGTGGAATGCATCCCAAGGAAGAAGAAAGTATGGATCTGGTTTTGGATGCATCCCAAAAGCTCGTATAGTTTCGTTTGAAATGTACTCGCTTGGTACTGTCCATCAGCATGAACACCTAGAAGCAATTAGAAAATGAAAGTAAGCAAATGGAGAACGTGTTTAGCAAATTACTCACACATCGACTCAATCAGCTCTCATAATAACATCCTACCTCGCAACAACCTTAAATCCGAGCTAGTTTGCTGCAATGATCGTTTCAAAATTTCAATTACTTGTACGGCAAGATCTTCTCCATAGCCTCCTCTAATAGTGTCTTCGTCATCGGAATCTGCATCTCTGTACTCGTACACTAGTGGAGCATCAATTGGTATCGCAGTGCGTTTACCATTCACCGGTAAAAAAATCATTATGACCTGAATCGTGTCTCTGTGAGGAGTAGATTTGTCTATTGCAACTGAAAAGTGGGGAGGGGGGGGGGGGCAAGTCAGTATTTACCAAAGGTTTTTGTAGATACGATGCCGTTTGCTTAATGACGTGGATATATGCAGCCTTTATTATATGTGGAAACTGCTTTCTATAATGTTGGAAGATAGACAGCTAAGATTAATGAAAAAACACCTGCGATACAAAAAACCCCTTAAAATCAAACCTTCCATGTCCGATAGTCCCAACGTCTACTCCAATAAAGGAAAGGAATGCTACCAATGACTCGTACGATAAAGCCGCAGTCTTGATCTTACATATTTCTATTCCTGTAGACACCAGCTTAACATTAGTGTCAATGTTTCTTTCCTTTCGTTGTTTCTGACTCAAATGATACTGTAAGGCCTTCATATGGAATTGACCAGCATTTCGCGTTGAACTACAGTTGGCATGTTCGAGGATTCTGTTCTGACTGTATTAACAGTCTCTTCATTTGCAATCTGCTCTTCCCTTTGTTGAATCTTTTTTTGTTTTAACCATGCTTGAGCCTTCATATGATTTATTGGTACAATGACTGACATATAATTTCCTTTCTCTCCACTATGTTTTCTTGCCCAATGCCTTTGTTTGTACGACTTGGATCCTCTTGTCAACTCTTGTGAACAAAGCAAACATATGTATTGATCACATTGATCCTTTTTCACCTTCTTCTCCGGTGGGGCGATGGCACTCAGAGATGGTGATGGTCGTTTTCGTCTAAGTATGGCACTCCATTTTTCCTAAATGAAGATATTTAGTGTTTCTTTAGAATGGTCTTAGAATTCATTCAGAGCAATTTGAAAAATGATGAAAGGACAATGCTCACCTCAGCTGATTGTTGCGATTTTACATTGACAAGTTCGTTTGTCTCATCTTCCTCAATTTCAGAAGTCATTTTCAGAGCACGTTAAAAAGCAGAAGAGGACAGAAATGTGGTTTTAAAAAGCGTGAATGTCTCTTGCTTTTTATTTAGTTATTTATTGATAACGTGATTACAAGTTGTCCGTTAGACAACCTAATCCCAAGTCCAAATTTGCTAAGTGCCAACCATGTGCTTATCATATCAAAATAAACCCACCAATAAAATAAGTCTAACAATAACTTAATACTACTTTCTACAGTGGTGACACCAACTTTATGAAATTATAGCCAGTGGTGACGCCAAAGGTCATGCAGGTCATGCAACAATGCATGTCTAAAAGTTTTCCCAAAAATGTTTAAAATTGAACGTAAAATTGTTTGAAAAATAATTTCACATTAAGTTTTAAACATCTATACGCATATACTTTTTATTTTTTAGGCGAAATAATCCTAATCTAAGGCTTGTTTCAAAACGTCGAAATTTACATGCGCCGAACGCATTTCAGGCAAAGAAAAATGAGACAAATTCCTCATTATCTTTTGTTTTTAATGCATTTGGCACTTGTAAAGTTTGTCGTTTGAAACGGGCCTAACACCACATTCTAACAACGCATTCATATTTCATATCGCGTGGATCTTGTAATGAATACTAATAAATACTGCTCTGTAAAATAATAAAATCACTTAAATCAGTTCGTTCATTTAAGTTCATTCATGTTATTCATGACAAATAACACGAACTCAACATGGTGACGCATGCTGACGCCTGATGCATTTGCTTTGCTATATTTTGAGGAAAAAAGAGGATTTTTCAAAGTATGCGCCAACCACGGTCCGCGAACGATAATTTAATTGACAGTTCTGTGCAGCCGTGGGCGAAATTTGAGATATTCACATCCAATTCAAACGGAAGTTATGCGTTGAGAAATGACATTTTTATAAACAGTAACTTCCGATATTTTAATAGCAACAAAGGCTTACAAAGCAAGATTTAGTCTCTTGCAATATCACACACTTTATCATCAAAATTCCTTAAATTACTATTTTTCTTTTCAATAATTTTGCGACGTATAACATGTTTGACACAACAAAACACTGAAAACAGCCTGTGTACACCGAGATTAGCGATACTTCGAATATTAATTTAATATTATTATGCCTTGATCGTCATATGCGCACCAGTGCACCATAAAATTTATTTTACACACCAGCACACCAGTAATTTCATAGTGCGCACCGGAGATCTCGTCAAAAAACGACATACTTTCCAGTCTGGCTCCTGGATACAAGTACTTGAGATGAAGCAAGTTTCCTCCAGTTAAGTTTACTAACTTTAATAGCTTCACTAAGATCTTGTCAGTAGATAATAGTGCTGCAGTGTTATGTATCTCCTTGCTCCTCTTTTCATTCATTCAAAGTCGGATGGCCTTTCTAAACCGTGTTTGAATCTCACATATCTCACATATCAGTACGAGTACAGTGGGAGTGCTTTCTCGAATAAGTCGCTTTTTTGTCAGAAATATTCAGATTGATTCCCCAATCTTTCTATAAATTGTCAATATGACATATTCCGATGCGCAACAAATCAGTATAGTAGTTAAAGCTGAAAAAATCTGTTTCTCTTAGTGGACAAACGACTTGAGACAACCAAACGACCAATTTACACAATATTTCGAAAGTGATATTTTCACCCGTATTTCAATTATAATTGTCCAATATGGTTTCAAAACACTTGAAATAAAGATTTGTTTCCAATAAAACTTCATCGGATGAGTTTGAAAACAATGAGAAGAAATAAATTGCGAAAAACATCAATTGCCCTGTAGTGACTCCATGTTTTTTGCCCGGTTCCCACCAGAGCCCTCTATAGTATAAGAGTTGGGACAAACGGTCTGGGGCGAGAGCGGAGCCGCCATTTTGGTTCCTACTTGCAAAGTGAAACTATAATAATACTATTGGAAATTGGGTTTATATGCAAAAGAAGAAAGCAATTTAAGCTTATTCCATGGTAGTATCAAATATATTAGGAATAATAGCAAGCTCTTTGCGTTTTTTTAACGATTTGCGGCAGACCTGATTTAATTTCATTGGTTTGAGCTTCGTTTGCGGTTTACTAGTTCGTGCTTCAAATTGATCGTGACCCATTGTAAGAAGTATTTTTCGTACGTGAACGTGTTTTCTCGGCTTATGTTCCGACTCTGTAACAAGTTTTCAAGATCTTTAAGCTTGGTGGCAAGCGGCAATGTTATCCTGGCATCAGTGTTATCAAATACTTGGACAAGACTTTGTTCGAAACTTCGAATCATAGTAATCATGCAGATTTGGTCCGGAGAGATTTGTGTTCAAGATTTGTAACAATTTAATGGTAGTGAGTGATTTATGCCCCCCCCCAATTTAATCCAAGCATGATATTTTTTATTCTGAAAGATCACAAAATTTTCTTGCTCAGCAGAAAATGACAGACTTTTTTACTTTTTAGTTATTGAAATATGCAATGATTTGACCAAGATGCATTTGACCTTAAACGTTTTATTCCTTTATATGAAGTTATTTCGCCTTTATCACTTTATAAAGTATTAAAGTTTATTTCTAATAAAGTTTGTTAGGGATTCTGCTGAAAATTTTGGTGAAGCATTTCTTTAAAATGAATATATTATTTCTATAATATGAAACATTTCTGTTGTTGAAGAACAGTCTGTTTGCTATAAATGCTACTGTTTGTAGTCTTTTATACAGCATATGAGTCTGATCCAATCTTTAATTTAGCAAAGAGTTAAATTTATTGGTTGAGGAATGACAAAACTTCTATATGTGTTTAATGATCAAACAGGGGTGTGTTGGAGGGAGCTCAGCCCCGTTTGTTCAAATTCTATGCCTTGTATTGCCAGTGAAATATATATATCAAAAAGCTAGCAGCACCTAAATATATATCAGAAAGCCAGCAATATTTTAATATATATGAGAAAGGCAGCAACAGTTGTAATATACATTAAAAAGCCCAAATAGCTGAAATTATGGAGATATGCCTCTGATCTTATAAACCAAAGCCTACAATTAAAATATCATCGACAAGTCTAGAAGAGAAGTAATGTTCTACTTTGAGCTACAGAAGTAGGGTACATTTGTACAATTCATTACCAAAAATATATTGTACTCAGCTGTTTCAGTGAATATCCTAATTATAATTACTTCATTTTTAAATGATGAACTAAAAATAATAAATACAACATGGAAAATCATAAGAGTTTCTGTGATTTGGTGTAGTTGTTTTAGTGTGGAAGTGGCTGAGAATTGAGAGGTTTGTAGATTGACCAATTTCAGAACATAATGAGAAATCATCTTCGATTAAAAAACAAGCTTTGGAGTAAGAAAACTATTGAAACTGCATCAGCACGAACTTTGCAATGTTATTTGGCCCAAAAATGTTTCTCTACTTGAGTCAGTTAATTGAACCTTATATCAAAAGCAGTTCAGCACAACAATCACCATACGCAATCAAATTTCGTAAGTTCGACGTAAAGGCATTTCTTTCATTTTTTTCGTAATCCTCGATTCTTGCGATATGTAATGACATTTAGTAGCCTTCAACAATCAGTTATTACACACTTATCCAAAAAAAATCGCAATATTATCTCAAAATACTGTTTACTAGCAGCAATTGCTATATAAACACTAGCTGAAATTTCAAAACTAGGAACCAAAATGGCGGAAATTGATGTATTACAACCATGTATTACTTTACCAAAAAACCCAAGATGAAAAAATTACGGACACATGTGACGAAGTAATAACTCTCAGGTATTTTCAAAATAGGGAGTACATAAAAAAATGATTTGTATAGTTGTTGTATTGGTTGTGTTGATTACAGTGACAAAAAAAACAGTTCCGAAAGAAGTTTGAAAAATTATGTAACATTAACTGAATTATGTTCCCATCAGTGGCGTGCGGTGACCGAATTTAATAGGCAAGCGCTGGGGGTGAGGTTCGCGGTTTGCCGGCAGTCAAAACAACAATACAATATACTTTGTGATTGACTGCGTTACAACACATTTAAAGCGTATTTTACGGGTTTTTTTGCTGTAATGGATGATATACACGAAAATCAACCGGGTGAGGTTCTGCCCTATCAATATGAACCTGAAGTGAAGGCCGAAACTAGTGAAGAAAGCGGTTCCGAACAGGAGAGTGAGCAGAGCGACTTGTCCTCGTCGGAGGATGAAATACATGCTGAATTTGAGAAAGCAAATGCTTAGCGCCTTCAAACTGGTTTAAGTGTGGACATTGTACTTTGTCAAAAAAGGCAATCGAGTGTTTTTGTTGCCACGAAAAAGCGCTTGAATACGATGAGTATGAGGCTTTGCTAGGCCAAACAGAAACTCAAGGAGTAAATTGCTTGACAACACACCAAGAATTTAGGGACAATATGCTCTCAGAAAGTGTGTTAAAGATAGACGTGTGTCGGTATTTGTACATTGTGCACGCAAACACGCACGTAAAACATTACGGATAAACGAAACTCTACAGTCAAGAACAAAACATAGCGGCTTAGAGCTTATCACCTATATAAAACTACATAATCTTTCAAAGACTCTTATGTATACAAATAGTAAATTAAACGTATAACTCATTTGTTGGTCACAGGTTTGTAATATGGGAAAATGAAATATTTCTATTGCACGAAATGTTCAGTGTATAAAACGCGCTTGTTGTTGTCTGGGCTTACACTTGGTATGTCGGCAAAACCTAGTTGTAAGATCTGCTAAAATAAACGTTTCTACGTCTTATAACGACTAAATATTGGAAAAGTATATAAGCGTGATAAACTACACAACTTTCGTTAATCTTAACAACCGCCGACTGTTGTTTTTGTTTTAAATTCCAGTGAACAAATGTGCTATATATAATTATAATACTATTATTTTATATTGTGTCATTCAGTTGATACCAGCCAATGACGTCAGTAATGTATTCCGGCATAATTTAGCATAAGGCTTTTTTTTCAAAATGGCGGATAAGGATTCAACTTTATGTCAAATTTTCTCAACAGTAAAATTCAAAAGAGACACGAAAACATGAAATTAAGTATTCCATAGCTATCTATGATAAACGTATGCAAAAAAAATTTTCGTTGCCAATGTCCTTTAAACTTACGCAAAACTTTATAATTACGTAAAACTACTCAAATTTCAAGTACATTATCCGCTGTGTAATAACTGCACCTTCTTTAACCAAATATATAAAAGGCCTGTAAATAAATTCTAACACATAGAACACTCACGACTGTTGTAAATAACTTCTTCGCTAGTGAATAAAATAATCACAAAATTTAATAGCGTTCTAGTACATTGAACTCACGTTCGGAGCTCATACGAAAGACTTATATATAACGCTAAAATCTACCGGACACAAATATCAAAACTACTACGCAAAAGGAAGCTCTTGTCAATATCATAATCTTGTATTGCATGCTACAGATAATATCTTCTACATACATAAATTGCAAGACAATAGGCGCGAAATGTATTGTAGCAGTCGTGATTATAACAATTAAGAACAGCCAGTTTCGCGCACAAAATTGGCACGGTGTGTTACAAACTGAGGCCATGGCGTTGTTTAATGTTTATATTTTGGTATAATGACATCATGGCAACGTGTTCTCCCGTTCTTCACAATGTGTCTGGCACTGAACTCGTACGTTTCAGAATATCGGCCCCTGCTTGTTTACGCACATTGTGCGCAGAAAATAATAAAATAACCAGTAAAGCACCTACTACTTTGAATTAGAAATCAGAACATTACCTTTCGCTCTCAGTCATCTTTTAATAAACGATAACATTAACGGCGTGAATAATTCGGATGTCCAATGTGTTGAATATACGAATATTATTCGCGCGCTGATATGTGTTTAAAATTGCGAGCGTACAAGACTGTTGACCAATCGCTATCAAGCGGCGCCCTTAGAAGCGCCGCTTGCCTTTTCTCGATATTACTCGAATAAGAAGCCTCCAAATCTAGATTAACGCGTGCGCAAATGCTCAAATTGAGCTCCGAAGGCAAGCGCGCTTGCCTTGGTTAATAAATAAAAAATTTTTAAGGTGTATTTAATCCACTTGACTCATCTTACAAGTGTAGCAAAGTGAAACCGAAAACCACGACAGTAAATCGCGTATAAATAGCAAGCATTTCAACTGTAAAGACAATTTAGACAAAAGATTACATTGACATTGTTTAGAACAGAAAAATTTAAACTGATTTTGCTCAGAGATTGATCCAAAAAATTTTTGTTCGGTAAAATGCTTAGGCAAGCGGCGCTTGCCTACGCTACATGAGCGCACGCCACTGGTTCCCATGATGGTTTTGCAAAAGTGATTCTCTTAATTTAGTTGTACTACTTGTTTTGGAATATTGGCAATGCGCAAAATCGAAGAAAATGGAGCAGAAAAATTCGAACAGAAAATAATTTGCCATCATCCATATCGGCTACTATTGAAAATGATAATAATGTAATTCATACCTGACTGTGTCATTGTTGGTCCAATTACTGGGTGTAAAAACATGGAAAAGAAAACGCAAAAGGAAATGTTTAGTTTCATTATTGTTCTGTTTAAACCTCCTGTTTAAGCGACGCGATCTAAGAGTTGAACCATCTTAGCACTCATAACAAATATTGATACGCCACTTAAATATCAACACAGAAGAAGAAAGATGACTTTGTTTTTCTGTTACAAATGATGAACTTTAAAATCCTGCTTGTGACGGCGCCACAAAACAATTTTGTTTATCGTTACATAACAGTCAACGACTGTTTCTGTAGGTAACGTTTAATCAAAATGCCAAAACTGTAAATTTCTGTGACATTTTGCACGCATAATTGGCCATATTTGTCTTTATCATTTCTACAATATTAAATATTAATAAGTAATAGTATGAAATTCATTATATGTTGCTCTCAGTTTTTTGTCTACCGCTTGAAAAAAAAATAGTAGTCAGTTGCATGAAAATTTTGGTAGCAATTGGTGGTGCTATTAGCTGTCCTGTTCTTTCTGCCCAGAAAGATTAAAAAATACCCAATAACAAATATGAGTGGCCTAACTTAAAATTTCCATCGAGAGTTGTATCTTCTTAGGTGAACAATATGAAAGCAAAACCTTATTCCTATATTTATATTTCTTTTGCAAGACATATAGTTTTAAAAATTTCTTCAACTTATCTTTAAGAGCAATCGAATAACATGCATGCATGAAACTTTCAATCTAAGACCGTAATCAAAAAGTTTGAATGGGAGGTGTGCACATTTGACAAAAAAAAGTGATTGAGCCGAATAACATGGGGTTCGTTTTGTTCTTTTATTTTAAATTTTAAAAACGACTTTGGATTTAAATGATTATGAATGTCGCAAAAATTTACAGTAAGCCCTGTGTTTTGCAAACAGACCACCTGCCATTTTCATTTTCCGTTCGCTTTTTGACACAGACACCTGTTATACAAATGCTTCTCCAGAAAATAAAAAGGATGACGCCAATTTCATGAACGGTGGCAAAGAATCGTTTGAAAATTTACACAGCACAGTTATTTAAATGATTATGAATGTCGCAAAAATTTACAGTAAGCCCTGTGTTTTGCAAACAGACCACCTGCCATTTTCATTTTCCGTTTGAAAATTTAGACAGCACAGTTATTTAAATGATTATGAATGTCGCAAAAATTTACAGTAAGCCCTGTGTTTTGCAAACAGACCACCTGCCATTTTCATTTTCCGTTCGCTTTTTGACACAGTTATAACTTCTTGCATGATGAGTGCATTCGTTAGATTAAACTTATAAATAATGTAGAGTGTCAAAAATGTGAGTGTGTTTAAGTTTTGAAGCGTTGCTGCGTCGAATGCGTTCAACTGAACTGAACTACATGAAACACTTCTGGCAATAGAATTAATCCAATCGGAAGCCAAATCTTACACCCAGACATACCTGTTACTCTTTTGTGATTATCATTGCGGGGTAAAAATTGATTAAACTACAGGATACTAAAATGTTTGTGCTTATTCGGCTGTTTGTGTACAAAACATAAAAATATAACTACATTCCAATAGTTTGTTGGCAAAATCGTGGAATGAACTTGAACACAATGCTACTCCTTTGTCATGAAAAAAATACTCTTTAAATTTCACGATAAGCCACTTTAAGTAAATTTAAAAAACAAAAGAATAAGTTCAGTAGAAGAAATTTATTTTTAAAAACCCGGGAAATGTACGGTGCAGATACCTGTTAAGGTAAGTTTTAACATATTTCAGCAGTGCTCAATAGATAATAGAAAAAAAATGCTTACAGTTATGCTTACAGTTATGTTATATACAACTTATATTTTTTTAGGAAAATATACAGTACCATGTTCATAAGGTTTCAAATCAAGTTCAATAGTAGTACGGTAGTTGGGTCCATTCTGCCTGACACTGTAGCGTGTTACATTTGGATTTATGAAGACAGCATCAGGAAATCTAGTTACATCTGAAGTTTTTCCATGTAACTTGGAGGAATCAATAACTAATGGAGTTTGCTGCTGTTGTTTGTCAACTGTTGGTGAAGAAATAACTGTGCTGTCTAAATTTTCAAACGATTCTTTGTCACCGTTCATGAAATTGGCGTCATCCTTTTGATTTTCTGGAGAAGCATTTTTAATCACAATGTTTATTTGAACGGGATCACCTAGTGATATACTTTGAGGCGGTAGTTTTTCAATTTCCAAAGCAGTTGCTGGTAAAATTTCACGCTGTTCAGGGGACTTGCTTTCTTGGTTAAATGAATCCTGATTCGACGTATCGATAGCTAATGTAACATGTTGCTGTTGTCTCTCAGACTTCACCTTCGTTGGTGAAGAATCACTCATACTGTAAAGATTAACTTTCTCAGTTTCCGCATTTGGAGTTGATGAACTGTTGGTGTTCCAAACGTTATTGACATTATTTTGTTTTGCAGTTTTTCCAGCTCTCTTTTCGTTGCTTTTTGTGTATCTCTTTGTCTTTTTTCGCATAAATTGACGTAAATGATTTCGCGTTCCAGAAGGAAGAATTATAAAAAATAAAAACACAAAGAATCCTTGCAGGGTATTAAATATGGCAAAGAGATATTGAAACACACGCTTTGCATCATCTATTGCAAGAATTCCAAAAATCCATGTGAGACCAAGAAGTACCATGATAGCGATACCTTGACGAGCTTGGGTAAAACCAGAGATTTTTTGATTAGAGGTCACGTTATTACCAGAATTATATAAAGATCTGATGATGCATAAGAATGCGACAAGATTAAAAAAGATTATGATAACGGTTGGAGTGAAAAAGCCAATGATGAATGGAACACCTTTCAGTTGACAACTATTTGTAAAAAAATGAAGAAATGATTTGTCAAATATATCAGATGAGATGGAATAGAGCTTCGATCGTCGTACATTTTAAATTAAGCTTAGTTCTTTGAAAATGAAAACTGCAAAAAGACTTTTAGCTGATAACGGGTAGGGCGGATGAACTGCATATTGTTCATTGAGAATTGTAAATTTTATTTGTCTTCCAGACTGGAATAACTGTAAACAAAATAGTATTTATGCATTTCCATTGAAATAAAAAATTTAGCATTTTTATTATAAATTTTTACGATAAAATTTAATCACACCAAACAAATTTAAGCTCATTTTGGGCACTTGCACCATCATAGTTTTTACCAACAAAACTATTCTTGCACACATTAATAAAATATAACGAAGTCCTATCTCATTTTATTCTTACAGAAATGACTCCCTAAAAAGATCACTCCCAAATGTGCACTTACTATGTGTTGTCGCCATATTTATCCAATGAAGTTGCCATGGTGATTGACACAATAATTAAAGGACAACCTAAACATTTCATAAAATAATAAAGAGCTTTGCCATGGAGAATGCATAAAGTAAATATTTTACTGTCTCTATTAAGGTCCAATTCCACTTAAAGAACTTTTCCACGGAATATACAATTCTCCAGGTTTCGCATGCACTAATTAAGACGAGAGATGCGACCAAACTTTCCAGAGGAAAAAATTGATTGTTTAACGAAGTAGAAATTTTTCAACTTAGTGTATTTAGTCAAGTGAAGCATGTGCAACCTGGAAAATTATATGTTCCATGGAAAATTTTTACAAGTGCAAACGGATCTTAATATGAGAGTAAATTTTTTCTTCTAAGAACGACGGTTCTGTTAGGACTACAACTGTTAAGAACTCAATGAAATGCTTATTGAAATCAATATTTCTTCCACTATATTTCATTTTAGATTATTATCATTTAATAATGTCGTTTTGTTCATACGTTAAATATGCTAGCGTACGAAATACATGTAAGAAACACTCGGTAATATTAATGTATTCTCACCCCAAGCAAAAATGAAACATCTCTTCATGAAGCTGGAAGGGTTGGAAATAGGAAATACGTTAACGAATGCCAAATACATATTAAATGCTTCAACGGTCATCCAAAATAATGCTGCCAACAGAAAGTAGTGAAGTGCTATTGCAGCCACTCTACAAGCAACAAATGATGCTGTTCGTGATCTCTCTCCTGCAGCCAAGAACACAATTAACGTTAACGATAAGGCGATGCAGAAATTTACCAAGATTTGGTTGGGTACAAGATTACGCAGTTCTCTAAAAAGAGAATATTAAAAAGATTAATATAAAATATGAAAAAGCTGTGGCTTTAACTGATAGAAGGTGAAAACACACTTTTGTGTCAATTAAAATTACCTCAACATGAGAACCACAATTATTGTAAGAATTAATCCAATCAACGAAAGTGCGCATCCAATGTAACTTATAATGGAAAGAGCCAGATCATGTGTCTTCTCAGGGTAAATATCCTTTTGAATGAATGTATTAAAAAATTATTGCATTAATTAGTTATTTCGCATGGAACTTATTGTTATTCGATAAATATTGCTTTTGTTATTGTTAATTATATTGTAATTGTCATTGTCATTATAACAGTATGATATGGATTGTATTTTAGGTTTGGTCACCAGCTATTTGAAGAATTGTTTTTTTGTAATTAACTGTTTTCTGTAATTCAAGTGGCCACAATTTCAAGTCAAGGTTGCGTTTCTGCAATATTTGGTGTTGTTGATCTTATCCTGTTTTTAATATGGCTTATTTGTGTTTTGAGAGTCACATCTGTTGATTTTTTTTAGACAGGACCGTTTCGCAAATTCACGTCGTTATAATTTTGTTATTTTTATCAATGATTATTGTTGACACTAAAAAGGTAATTCTATGAAACCTTTCCTACTTATAACTTATACACATACAAAGAACAATAAACAACAGATTTATAATATCAATGGTCTTGAATTCAATAATGATGAACATATATCTTACCATTAACATTGCGAAATTTGTAAGATGATCACAACTGCAAAGTATTCTACCATCTTCTAGAGTTCTTATAAAACTGCAACCTTCTTGAGACCATTTGCTCAGTTTAAAATCCCAAAATGAGCATTTGGCACTGGTCGTGTTTCCAGGTTCAATTTCTTTCAAGGCAATTTCTACTGGTGTCTCTAAATTTCTGATAGTCAAACCTTTAATACTTCCTGCTATTACCAAACTATTTAAACGCCCAAATAGACTTCTTTCTTGAAATATTGAGGTCGTAAAAAACTTTGTTTCTTTGTAAAATGCAAAAATGGCTCTCCGATTATTCATATTATTATTATTGATTGTTGATTCGTCAAATAAACTTTTTGGTATGCTCAACGAAGCTGTTGTATCTGGTGGAATTCTCACATTAAGATTAAGTGCGATGCTATTTCGCATTAACGGTAAGCTTTCTTGAGATTGTTTTACTGTACCAGAGAATGACAATCCATTAAAATTTTGTGGATGTACAATCTGTAGATTAATCGCGTAGTTTTTTTTCACTCTTGTTAAATTGTTACCTTCGAATTGTATGTTTTCAGCTAAATTATTTGAAACGTCAAGTATTCTGCAAAAATCATAAAGTATAAAGTTTTTCACGGAATAAAATATAAAGTTTTTCACGGAATAACATTTGTTAAATGGCTGAAACCAAAAAAAGTAATATAGCTTTGCTGTAATGTTATAAAACAAGTACCTTGACGATGAGTTGGTTTTTTGTTGACTTTCAAAGATGTTTTCTGAGCTTGCATCAAGGATGTTATCAATTGTCGTAAAAATATCTTCGAAAATCTATAAAAAATCACGTATTTAATATTTATATCTCATCTTTATGATTCATCATTCAATGACTACGCAAACCTCATTAAATTTCTTCCTGACCGCAACAATTTTTTCTAAAACAATTGCTGTCGAACCAATGTCACCTGCTGTCAATGTTCGTCCTTGTTTCACCAGTTTTGATAATTTTCGACTTACCTCCACAATATTACTTGAATTCACATCATTCTATATTCAGAACACGCAATATTTTTATGAGAAAAACATTCTATAAAAGTCACTTAATCATCGCTGTACTTCAAGTATGTATTATTTTAATGAATATTCGAGGAGACAGCCCTGAGGATTTTTTATTTTAACGTTGACTGAAATTTTAGGCGTGGCGTACTTTACTGTTGTATAAATTTAGAAAATAAAAATTACGGATTTTTAAAAATTTTCTCTTACTAATATCGCTGTCATTAGTTTTACAGCATTATGTACATACCTGTGTTAAAATAAATAAATTTTTACTTCTGTGATTCTTGAATTCACATCTTCCAGCGTCAATAGGATCCCAAGCACCTCCTGTTCTAGTTTCATTAGTCTGCCGACATTTACGGGTTGCGTATGATTTGGAATTATAAGGACAAGAAATCTTATAGCTCGTGTTTCTAACAAGACTGTTTGGCCATCTAAATATTCCGTATGCTTTCTCTGTACCGATAGTCTCGTTCAAACAGAAACCTGAGGTAATTTAACTCATGTTATTATGTGATGAAGAAATCAACTGTAAGACATTTTCACAATAGTGAGTACATAAAAACACGTTGGTGGGTATATTTAAGGTTTGTTTTCAAACCTGTTGAATTGTATTCATAAGGCATGGTTTGTGTAGTTGTTGTTTTAGTTGTGTTGATTTTCAGTGAAAAAAAACAGTAGATGCTAAAAAAGTTTGAAAAAATTATGTCGCTAACATATTGACTGTTTGGTAAAATTCAACTTTTTCGCAAGACCTGCTTGTTGCAATAATTCAGGTTTGCACAAATTCCTTTCCGATGATCATTACGCAAAAGTGATGCTTTTAGTTTAGTTTCGCAACTTGTTCTTAGAAAACTGATAAAGTGCAAAATTAAAGAAAATTGAAAAAATACGAGCACAAAAAATGCTATCATCCCTGACCATCTTCCAATTGAAGAGATAATAAAATAATCTTCAATCTAAGACCGATTCCATGCATTGTTGAACATCTTTAATTGTTAGAGTGAGTACATGAAAAAAATTGGTGAAGATATTGGTCATTCATATACCTGTTGAATTAAGTCTATATTGTGTGGTCTGAATAGTTCTTGTTGTTGTTGTGCTTTTGGTTGACATTGGTGAAGTAAATACTACAAAAATTTTAAGAAAATATAAGGAAGAGCTTCGATTGCGATACATTCTAGCTGAGGACGATTGAGGTTTTTCTGGTAAAACCTGTCGAACATGATTTAAAATGCATACTTTTCATTAGAACCTTTATATAAATAGTATAGTTAAATCCTGTAATACTAACTTTAACCCACCGTCCAACCCATCAACACCCTCTAACCACCCCTAGTTGCAGAATGAAAGTTTAATAGTCATTTAGCAAATGATTCTCTTTGAATTTGGTTGTGCAAAAATATAGTGCAAAAATAAGTTAAGCAAAAGGGCAAAACGGAAAGAAAACACGAAAGAATTGGTCTTACATCGTTGGCATACAATGATTAGGATAATAGAATAGTCCATGCATACCTGTCGAATTATATCCATAATATCTGGTCTGTGTCATTGTAGGTATTACAGAAGGTGTAATTTGAATGGATGATGTTAAGATCTTTAAGTCATAACTTGTAATATTTGTCGACATATGAGTCGTTTTTCAACATCAGTTGTGTTAATGTTTGACAATGGAGAAGTAATTGCTAAAATTTTTTAAAAAATAGATAAAAAGGTATATCGTACAATTCATCTCTACTGTAAGAGCAGCTAAAACAATCCTGCTTTGCCTTTCAGTTCCCACCATTACCTCTCAATTATAATTCTCGATGTATTTATACTTTTATTCAGACCTGTGAAAACACTATTGATCTAGATATAAATGATCCAATCCATTTATTAAAAGAATTATGATGCTTGTATTTAAAAAAAGCTGGCAATCCACTGAACAGCATGAATAGAAATGATCGTCGAAAACCGCTTCTTTTTTCAACTGACACTTGGAGTGATGATGTTTGGCTTCAATTTAACGGAGTTCAGTGTTTTGACTACGACCTTAATTTTCAAAAATGATTAAAGCTACTACGAGAAATATTTACATATTTCTCCGCTATTTTAGTTTGTTCTCTACTTGAAAGTGCCCATGATTTATTTGTCTTGAATGAAAGATCTTTTAAAACTGAAGTGTTTTGACTACGACCTTAATTTTCAAAAATGATTTACAGCTATTACGAGAAATATTTACATATTTCTCCGCTATTTTAGTTTGTTCTCTTTATGAAAGTGCCCATGATTTATTTGTCTTGAATGAAAGATCTTTTAAAACTGTAATGACTGACTTTCTTTTCAACAATTACGGTTTGCATTCGTGCTCTCTTCTTGAGCTATTCAAGCTTTTGCGACACGTAAAGTTTGTCGTTTTCTAATTAATGAAACCCTTTTTCAGTTATTTAATCGTCAACATCAAGCATTGATTAACTTGGACAAAAAAAGACAGGGTTATACACAAAATAAAACATGATTTTACCGTACGTAAATTAGGAAATCCCCAACCACAAATTATCTAATATTATCCATATGATATTAGTATTTTGAAAGTGCGTGGTAGAAAAGAAGTCCTATAATTAAAATTACTTAAGCATGCATGTAAAACTAATTTGCTCGATGTCAAAGAGGGATGCAGAACGTTTGCATTTTATATATTTTTTCTGTGAAATCGGTGTAGGCATTGTTATGTTTTAAAAGAATACAGAAATGCCAGAGCAAAGAATTTATACAATGTTAGTAAATGGTATTGATTTTGAAAGGAATTTAAATATCTAGCGTCTTTTGAATTGTTTTATAAAGACTGCTCCCAAGATTTTAGATCTGTTGATGATGTAACAGGAAAATTAAATTTGCATATTGATTTTAAATATGTAAGATTTTCACAAAGAAATCACAAAGAAATCGCCAACGCCAGTGCAACTGTCCTGCCAGTTGCAGAGTACTTAGTTCCGTGCTATCATTAGGACTTGTCTTACACCCTCCCACACAACCATATATTGCTTTACTAAAAAACCCAAGATGAAAAAAATATGACACGATATAATCCATACCTGAGGAATTAAATCCATAATGTATTGCCTGTGTCGTTGTTATTACGGTAGGTATGATTTGAACGGACGAACCCGCGTTAGTTACGTTGATGAATTGTGACGTATGTTGACTCGTGATGAAAGTTGGTGAAATAGATTGCTGTTGTAAACTTGAATGATTTCTATCAATCACTAGAAGTAAAAATTAGAAAGGATAACTCAAAATGAATATTCATATGTTCAGCTCAGCAGAGTTATTCAAAGCGTTTTGCATTGGCGTTTTGTATAGTATATGGTAGATTTTGCTATAGGTTGATCTAAATATAATTCACTTTTCCGTTGTGAACGCCTACGGAGCACAACAAGGATGTTGTTTTGACGCTATTTCCCGTCATTACACCTTGCAATTGAAAAAATATTTGCTTTTATTATACCTATAGCCCTACATAATAAGTTTAAAACAGTTTTGCCAATTTTATAATCATGAAAATTGCAGGTTTATGGATAAATTATATCAGAAATATTCAACTATATTTTAAAATAATATTTTCAATTCGTCATCGAATTATTGTGACTGGTATGGTTGTTGTCACCAGCCTTTATGACAACGTTTCGTACGTTTGTGTCTTTGTGCGGATTTTGTGAAAATATCAGGAAATATATATTGGCATCGAGCGATCAATATTCGGAATCGGAATCGCTTCGTACCGAATACAAAAAAGAGTTGATATCGCTTATCAAAAGCGAGTAATCCATACCTGTTGAATTATTTCCATAATATCTGGTCTGTGTCGTCGGTATTACAGTTGGTGTAATTTGAATGGACGATGTTAAGGATTTTAAGTCAAAACTTGTAATATTTGTTGTATCATTCCTGTCTGTCACTTCGGTTGTGTTGATGTTTGACAACGGAGAGGTAAACGCTTAAGAGTTCGAAAAAACAGATAACATGGTATACAACATAAAGTTCAACTCTACTGTAAGAGCTGTCCAGCTTTGTCTGAAATCAGTTCTAATGGTCACTTCGCAAATCCTTCTCGTAAACTGAATTCTTTTTAGAAATATTGCAACGGAAATTGAAAAGCGCGCAAAAACGAAAAGAATAAAAACACAAGAAAGCTGACATCATCCATAAATCATCGATTTCTAATGAAAAGGATGATACAATAATCCATACCTGAGGAATTATATCCATAATATCTGGTCTGTGTCGTTGTCGGTATCACAGTTGGTGTAATTTGAACGGATGATGTTAAGTCATAACTTCTGATGCTTGCTGTTATATCACTGTGTCTCGCGTCGATTGTGTTGGTGTATTGCGACAGATATGTATATGAACTTATGGTGAAAGTCGGTGAAATAGATCTCCGTTCTGAGCTATTACTTGAAATATTTCTACCAACCACTAAGTTTAAAAACATGAAAAAGAAAATACCAAGTGAAGTGTTCTTGAGTTTCATCCTTGTTCAGTTAAAGCCTCTGATTTAGAAGAGAGTGGAACCACTGGTACTTGGATGTTAAAAGATTGTTTTATGACATGAAGCTCTCAACTTATTAAACTCAACCTTTTCTAACAATCGAAAATACTCATGCACCCACTCTATCATATATATGAGGAAGACGCTTGTCACGTCATCACGAATCGTTTACGCACTTTCATAAATCTCCCGTGGGTGTTTTTGTTAAATGCCAGCAAGTATGTAATCGAACTCCGTTGAAAACAATGAATGTGCCATGAATTATTGAAGTAGGTAACAGGTATTTGATATGATGCAGAACTTAGGAAGTCGACCTTGTTTGACGATGAAGAAATTGAGCTAACAGAAAGTAAATGATTATGTTGAATAATGTAACTTTACACTTATATATTTATTCTTTTCAACATAATGTATCAAACAATTATATGTAATTCGGTTTTAAATAATTTTGGCGTCGCTACAATTTGATCAAATTCAACAATTAACATTTATAAGATAACATGATACCTGTGTTTGCATGGATTTGGCAATCCAAACCTAACAAGGAAATCGATGGATTTGGCAATCCAAACCTAACAAGGAAATCGAAATTGCTATCGTCAGTATGCTATCGTCAGTATGACGTGGAGTGTATTTCTGGCCTAGTAAACTCGTACTTAACTCAAGATTAGTTATTTTCCAAATTTTTAAAGTCCTCGCTGAAATTCTACGTTTGTGTGGTTCTGACTTCGTTGTTTACTTAATTTTACAGCTTCAAAGCCTACAAGATACAACACTACCCTCTTGTTGTTATTTTATAAGACATTAACAAAACAGTTTCAAGTGTTTGGATGGCCAGATCCAAACACTTGGGAATGTTGCTCGAGTTCACCCGTTACGTTTAAAACAGGATTAAGCTAAGTTCTGACATTAAACCCGCTTGAGAGTGATGCCATTCTTGTCTTCATTATAAACAGAAGCAAATTACATAACTAATTGCACCATCCAATGACGTTAACATATCATATGTTATATACGTTATGTGTTGAGAGGTTTCATTGTATTTTTGGTTGATGTATGAAATGAAACACATCGATTTCCGAAAAACGACATCTTGAAAACTAAAATTTAAGTTGCGCATTTAATAAAAACGACAAATTTTTTTAAAATAGACCTGAATGCCATCTTCAGTATGACATCACGAGATGTCGAAACATGTCCATTTTAAAAAAATTTGTCCTTTTTATTAAATGCGCAATATCAATAGTGCTTTTACGCAGTTACGGTAAAATATAAGTTATAGCAAAAGACTTTAAGTTATAGCAAAAGACTTTTTAAAACGTAATATTTCGGTTTTATTTCAAAAGAATCATCAGACAGAATGACGTATTAACCAGCCGGCACTTAGTTATGGACGACTTGCCTTGTTTATGGTTTCCTGGCGGGCAGATTAATCCCAAGAGAGGTTAACTATTGTTTTGCTAGTGTTGTCCGAATGTACTTGACCAAATCTGCCTGCTTGCGTAAACAAAGCACATCATCTACATCACATATATTGACTTGAGTAAGTAATCGTTATCTATGCAGAGTAGATAATCACTATTTACATTTGGTAATTACCGGATAATAACTGTTCTAATTGTAGCAATGAGTATGAGATTGAGACTGAAAAGAGTGAGAGATACTTGGCAGCTCTGACTCTGAGCCTCTCTTTTTACGTAACTGCCAGTGCCAGTTTGTAAGAACATCATCGTGTATCAGTACGATGGTTTCGAAATTAAGCCGTTACATGGCAGTTTAAAATTAAAAAGTGTTGTTTAAATTTTAAATTTGAATTGACAAGATGTCTTTTTTGGGGGATTGGGTTTTGTTTTATTTTTTATAAAATTGTCGTCTGTTCAAGGATTATGGTTATTGTTTATTGAGTTAGAGTGGCATTTTGGGTTTATAAGTTCTTATGTAGACTTGTTGTTGGAAGTTAGTTCAAGCTTTAGAGCTGTTTCTATTAAAATTCACATTTAACCATTTCATGTTTTTCAAACCGTAATATTCAATTGCAATGTTAACAAACTATTTTATAAGGACCCAAAAAACTGCCGGCGCATGTGAACATTGTGACTGCGGCCATTTTTAATTTTTTACTTTACCTATGCTTTACCTGTTTGATTTATGGTTCAATTTCTCGTAGAGCATATTTCAACCAGTGATTTCAACTGAAGGCAATCTTTAGCAAAACGTTATGAGTTGAGTTGATAAAATTGGGTAGAAATAATTACAATTATGCGATCCTGTATCATACTACTCTTGTATTGGTTAAATATTGACTTATTTATGTTTAAGTCTGTATTTTGTACTTTGTTGTACGAAGATACGAAGAAATGGGGTGAAATATGGACATCCTGTGATGGAGAGCACCAGAGTCCAATTGATATAATTGACATAAAAGCAGTCACTCTTACTACGCCATTGCAACTTAATTTTAGCAAAGAATTTTCGTCATTATATGAGGTAACCCTTTTAAATGATGGGAAAGTGTTAAAACTTAAGCCTCCAGTAGACATTAATATATCTGTGTCAGGTGATATCATTTATGTTAGTGGAAATTTCAAATTGGTTGAAATAAATTTTCATTGGGGCATAAGAGGTAAAGGCTCAGAGCACAAAGTTAATGGTGAAAGTGCATCATTGGAGATTCAACTTGTATTTTACAACTTCAAATATCAAAGTATAAAGACTGCTAGCCTAAAGAATGATGGATTATTTATAATTTCAACACTGGTCGATCTTTCAACAAGTGTTTCACGAAACACATTTTGGAGAAATGTCACCAATCAGTCTTCTCTTGTGAGGAAACCTGGTCAAAAGACAATGATGCATCTAGAATTTGGAAATTTCTTGCCTAAGAACAAAAAAGATTTCTATCTTTACAGGGGTTCATTGACCACACCACCTTGTTTAAAAACTGTCACTTGGCTTGTTTTCAAAGAAAGACTCTTTATATCTGAGGAATACCTAAACAGATTTAAAGCATTAGAAACTCAAAATAGGAAAGGGAATTTAACTCACTTATCATCTAATATAAGACCAGTACAACCCCTAGGATCAAGGACAGTTCTGAAAACATTTAAATGTAAGTACATGCTGGCCTATAGCACATAACTTAGGTCATATTTGATAATTTTTGTTTGCAACTTTATTTGTTTGAGTTTATCGTAACCACTTTTGCATTTTAATGATATTTTTAAGTCTGTTGAAGAAATTCATTGCAGATTATAAAATTATTTATAAGCAGAGTATTATTAATGGCAATTTTTAGTTAATTGTGAATCATCATATGCATGCCTACATTATTAATATTGAGTTCATTTTACAGATTATAAGATTTAAGCTGTTATTGTCTTTTTTCTAGCTACGTCATTGAAAGATTTTCAAAACTTTGTTCAAGAGGTTGACCTTCATGGAAGGAAAACGATTACGATGTTTCAATTCTATCCATGCAATATCCCCTTGTCTCTTTCCTTGGCTGTTGTAATACCAACTTTGGATTTGTCATGGAAGAGTAAAAATTTGACATCAGACGTTATGGTGTCACTTGGTAGGAGACATATACTGAATTATATTTTTTTGTTATTTTGTAAAGTTACCATTAACTACAAAGTATGTTTATGTGTTGCACTTCTATATATGTAGATGAGAGCAGAAAATATAATTTGTCAATTGAAATGCATGACCATCCAGAAGGATTCTATAAAGATAACGTGCATGTCATTGTAAGTACATTATGTATTTTTGCTTGTAATTAACATTTTATATTTTTATATCAGCACTGTATATATACATACTGTTATATTTAGATAAAACTGAATGCCTACAGGTTTGAAAACTTTTATCATGTAAATGAAGATTGTTTGAAAGGTATGTGGTGATATTATGATTAAATTGTACTTCTGTTTCTTTGAACTAACTCATGCATCTTTGATTTTCCAGCGAATAACGGTTGCATTACATTAAATACTCTTGACCACTAACATACGCTTCAGGTTACTTGAAATAGCCTTTTGTTTCTTGTTGATTTGTCTTACCAACGTTATTGTAGATTTTTGCTCTTGGAAAAGTGATGGAAAGAGCAAAACATGCATTCGAAAAATGATCAACACAGACGAAAAGTTCATTTTCACGATACATCAATCCTGTGATGGCATGTATGATATCATTTTAAAGTCTGGCAACCATACACTCATTTTTCAAAAGATAATGTCGCGTAATATGCGAGTTAAGGTCGAACCTATCTCAAGCTTTGGTAACCATGAGATAAAGAATGTTATCCGTGACTGGTACTTACGCCTTAATGCAAAAAAGACTAACAATTACACAAGAGTTGAGGTATTGTATATGTGTCACGTAAAACAAACAACATAGCCACATTTTCCATTTATCGCTTTTTCCAAAAATTTTCCAGCTTTTCCTTGATTACATTTCCCATACATCTCTTCGTAATAAAATCATGGATGCTGTATTTGATGAAGAAGTGAAATGCAAATCTTCAAATGGTAAGCTTATAAAAAACATTTATTTTTTCGTGCACTGTGCTCATGAGAGGTGTTTTCATTTATTTTTATAAAAGGGTTATTTTCGTTTATCAAAATTTTTCATACGTAAATATTTCTTTCTCTACTTTTTCAGGTGCTCCAAACCATTATAAATTGATAATTGGTGTCTTTGCTGGATTGTTTGTCATCTTTGCAATCATTTTAACAGTTTATTTAGTGCGTAGGAACGCAAAGAATAGGGTGGGAAAACAAAATGCTTTAATACAAGATGATGAACTAGACACTGCTGTTTAGCAAAACAACTTTTTTTACCAGTGTAATCATCGTTTTTACGTTATTTACTTATACGTATTTATATTTATATTATTCAATTCACACCTCACATATCATGACATGTTTTAAATGTTTCGAAATGAACATATAGCACTGGTCATGTCTCCAAGTTCAACTTCCTTTAAGACAATTCCTACTGGATAGATTTAGTAAGTTTCTGACGGGCAAACCTTTATTACACTTACTATTTTAAACTGCTCAAACGAACAAATTTTTTTCTTGAAACGTCGACGTCAGATGAGCCTTTTGAAGCCTTACACAAAAAAATTGAACAAATTTGATCACGACAGATAGTAACGGCAGAGCGTGTTCAATAGTGGGCCGGGGGGAGGGCACAATAGCATAAGGACATACTCTGTCTGCGTGAAATGCTGAATTTTGTCCAATAAATTGCTTGTCCATAGAAAAAAAGGACTAGCTCGCCCACTAAAAATTTAGATCTGAAAATTTGAACAATTTAATTTAATTGTAAGTATTTTTCAAACCTCGAGATCAAATATCCACTATCCGAGCTAGCCAATCTAGGTTTTCTCAGAATTGTAGAATTTACTGGAAAACTTTCATTGGGTTTAAAACCCCAACTACAAAATATTTAATCGCATCAAACAAAATTTAGGCATTACAGTGATTTTTTTCTAGATGTGTGTTTTTGGAATTTGGGGCTAGTATTTTCCAGAATTGTGAAGATCTCTGTCCCTAAGGCTGCGAAGCTCTGCATCGCAGAACAATTACCCGCGCCGTTATCGTGTAACTCAAACCTTAGATTTAGTTACAGTTTTGAAACAATACCAATGATTCTGTATTCCTTCTTTGTTTTTGGATACTTTTGTGTTGTGAGCTCACTATTATTTACAATTACAAATAATCTATCCTTTTATTACAAAGCGATACTTTTCAATTCCGCAATATGTTATTTTAAATCTAAGATTAACCATCGTTAGTTTACGATTAAATTCATGGCAAATTTCGACTAATTTTGTAACAATTATTAAAGGACAACCTAAACATTTTATAAAATAGTAATGAACTTAGCCATGGAGAATGCATAAAGTAAAAGCTTTTCTTTTGTATTTGCTACTGTTTCTATTAAATGATAATTAATTTTCTCGTCTGAAGACAACAGTTATGTTAGGGCTACAACTGTTAGAAACTCGATGAAAAGTTAAGTTAATGAATGCAATGACCTTTCCCCAAAAAATTATCTTGTAGAAACGGAAGCACCAATTCCTGTCAAGTTAGTCACGCACTTCACGTGCAATTATCAGTCAAATTGTGACCATATTGTTCACAGTTTGTTTACACGTTGCCTATGAATAAATCTTTTATCAATGGTCGTGTAGTTGTCGCCCATCGAAATGGCTTTTACATTTGATGATTTTATGAAATAGTTAGGTATGAAACTAATTTCTTCTTTGGTTGATAATAATGTTGTCGGCTTGTCGCTATAATTTTGTGTCAAATCTTTTAATGTCGAACGGCGAACTTTATGTAATCAAATTATATAATATGATTGACGATAGAATCGAGAGATTGTACCTTACAATCAATGGAATAAATTTCCTGTGAAACTTCCATAAATACCTTTTTATCAAAGTAAAATACTGCATTACGCATGTTGTTGATATTTATTAAAGTATTAAATGTATAAATGTCACAAACCGTTGACAGTTGACACACGTATAAGATGAACATTGAACTTTTACTAAGGTTGTTATGGTTGTGTGTTGTTGTTTTTTACTTCAGTTTACAAACAGTAAAATTAATGATCAAATGTACTATACATAACATTTGTGGCCAAAATTTATTTTTATGTGACTATCAATTCTGATTTACTTTACATGGTTTAACTTTACATGTTTGTAAATGTAGATCGTCCAAGTTGGTATAGTCCTGAGAAGGACTGTTTTTGTTGTTGTTGACTGACATCTCGACAAAAACAGTCCTTCTCAGGACTATACCAACCTGGACGATCTACATTTACAAACATGTAACGATACTCACGGGTTCAAACCATTTACTTTATGGTTTAACTTTGTTAAAGTGGGCATCATTGCATGCATGCTTGGATGTATGAACTATTTTCCAAAGAGTAGTACTACCTATGGCTGGTTTTTATTTCCACCCAAGTATCAAACATTTTTGAGCTTTTGAATAGTTTGTTATTGTGATCACTTTCACTACAAGGAGGGCAGTTACTTTCAGGGGGGGTGACTTACAGGGGAGTCTGCTTTCACGACTTGATGGTATATCCTTATACTATTATGTAGCAAAGAAGATTTATTTTTAGCATTGTTAAAACTCTGTACGACAGTAGTAATTCTTAAGCATTTGGTTTATTTTCTATAGTTATCTTCTATTTTCTATTCTCACTTGTATTACATAATGTGTTGGTTTAATACATTTCATAGTGTTATTGACAAATCATGGCAAACGGGGCTTTAAGGTCTATTGCTATTTATCTTCTGCGAAATGATCTACGTGTCCATGATAACGAATGCCTTCATTGGTGTCAATCAAATGCAAACATTGTGATTCCGCTATTCTGTTTTGACTCTTTAATATATGGCCCTAAAGCACAAACATGGACTTACAAATTTCCAAGAACGGCAGCTTATCGCGCACGCTTTATGATAGAAAGTGTGAATAATTTAAGGGAGACACTTAAGAATCTGGGAAGTGATCTAGTTGTGCGAAATGGTGCCATCAAGGATGCTGTACTTGAAATAATACAATTGTGTAAGAAAAATTGCAAAGGTATTTAAGTATATGAAATTATTTGTTTTCTATTCTTATCAAATGTCCATTTCTCTGCAAACTGTTTAACTAAAATAACGTATTATAATGATCTTAATTTTCGATACATTGATTGTTTAGATCCAGTTACGTTAGTTTATCAGAAGGAAATTACGAAGGAAGAAGTGCAGATTGAAGATGACCTGGACATTATTTGCAATGATGAGCAGATAAAGGTTCAAAAGTTTTGGGGTCTCACTCTTTTGCACATCGATGATCTGCCTTATAGCTCTATTGGAGGGTTTCCTGATTTTTACACTGCGTTTCGCAAAAAGATCGAGAGTACAAATCGTTCACACTGTCGTTCATTGTTGTCAACACCGAGCAGTTTGCCAACATTACCGGATTTTATAAGAAACGATACCGGTTCGATTCCCGAGTTGAGAGAATTGATTGGTGATGATAAAGTCCTATGCGTGGACAAGCGGACCGCTTTTCCTTTTAATGGAGGGGAGTCGAGTGGCTTAAGTCGTATTGAGAAATATTTTTTCGAAAGCAATAATGTCTCAAGGTATAAAGAAACCAGAAATGGCTTGATTGGCACAGAATACTCGACAAAGTTTAGTACGTGGCTTGCGAATGGAACAATTTCCCCTCGTAAAATTTATCTTGAAATCAAGAAATACGAGAAAATACAAATGGCTAACCAGTCCACATATTGGGTGGTGTTCGAGCTTTTATGGAGAGATTTTTTCAAGTTCATCAGTCTCAAACATGGTGATCGTATATTTTACTTGTCAGGCATAAAGCGTCGAAAGATCCCTTGGAAGTTGGATTGGGAAATGTTTGATAAATGGCGTTACGGTAAAACAGGAATACCCTTCGTGGATGCAAATATGAGAGAGTTGTTGTTCTCTGGATGGATGTCGAATAGAGGGAGGCAAAATGTTGCCAGTTTTTTAGTGAGTCAAATGATTCATGATAAAATATTATTTTCTCCCCACATTTATTCCTTAAAAATTTAAAATGTTCTGTGGTTTAAAAACTTTGCTTTAAGTCTTTGCGTTTCATTTCAGGTAAACGATCTTGGTCTTGATTGGAGACTTGGAGCCGAGTGGTTTGAATCCTTACTTTTAGATCACGACGTCACTAGCAACTATGGGAACTGGAATTATATTGCAGGGATTGGTACCGACCAACGTGAGATACGTAAGTTTAACATGATCAAACAAGCTCGAGATTATGATCCGAACGGCGAGTATGTGCGAATTTGGGTTCCTGAACTGGAAGGTCTAAAGGACGGTGGGGTTCATGTACCCTGGACACTTTCTCAGCGAGCTTTGAAAACTGCTGGCGTTGTTCTTGGATCTACATATCCTAAACCAATGCTTGTTCAGAAAGAGTGGACGCGATATGTTTCTGAATCAAAAACCCCGCATAAAAGAAAGCACCAGACCACTTTGAAATTTTGAATTTACCTTGTTGAAAGCACGAATGATAGTGAAATGGGATTCACATTGTGGTATTACAGTGCCCCGTCTAAATTTTTATGTTGAGTTTTTATGTTTTATTTTGTTGTACAAACTTGCGTTACAACGACAAGGATTATGAAAGTATGATATTTAAAGTTTTTGTTCAACAATTTTTGTTAAAAAATAAGCCATTAGCATGTAATTAACCATATATATACGTATGTAGCCATCATACGAGGTAACGTAACTAACCAAAAACACGATTTCAGATTGAATTACTGTTATTAAATGAAGTATAATGTTGATACATCGTTTTTTGTTCGACCATAGGAACTAACGGAGAACGTAAATAAACTTTAAATACATGTATTACATCCATAAATCCACATGGACACATGATAGAAGTGATACAGGCATACGTACCTTTAATGGTATCATGTCGTGTACAAAATTACAAATTAAACAAATTGCTTTCACATTTATATGTCAATAAGCATAACTAATATGCGTATAGCTATGACCTATTAATTCACAAATCGCAACAACATCTTTTGTTTTGCTCTGGACACCAGTCTTTGAACAGGTTGGAGTTATCTTGTAGCGCCTAATAATTTTTGTTTAAAAACTAGGATACAACAAAAGATAATTATGTTTTGATTTGTAAGTAACAGAATTTTTAAGATTGTTACGAATGAATTTACGAAAAATCTATAATGATCATCGAAGGTAAATTTTACTAAAGTTGCTTTTGTTAAGTCGTGTATTGCAATTACTGTGAAAATACTTTAAGTTACTTTGAAGGGTAAATGTATATTTCATATACAAAAATAAACGGATTGCGTAAAGCGGTATCCATTATATTGTGACAGTTGACTTAGTTCAAGGCAAATTGGTTCAAGGCTTATATTGACAGGAGCGCTTTAAACAACTGTCAATCTTGGTGGCTGAAAGTTTGAGAGAAAAGTATGTTTGATCTTTTTAGTTATAGAAGTGAAATACATGCAATCGATGATTGGTCTGCAAGCGTTCATTTGTTGCTCAGCGTTGAGTGTCACTAGTATTCGTTTTCCTTTGAAGATCATGAATAGTATTGAAGTCGCGAACATTCCAAATGATTGAAACGTGATAATTTGAGTAAAGTAAACGTTTTTACTTCAAATGAATCCATTCCGTGTGAATTTATTTTAAAAAACTATGTAGAATATCTCAGAATTAAGTTTAACAATCTTTTACAACAGATAAAGAGAACATCACACAGGCATTGGGCTGTGCATATCTTCAATCCATCGTCAGTGTGGAGACGGAAGTGAAATCTCGTTACTTTGCAATTGGAGTGTAATTTTTCTATATTCCAGGGTTCAGTAAGTTTATCGTGAACACTTCCTTCTCCCAGAACTTCATAAAACTGATAAATGTTTAATTGCGGTGCCAGCACAATGTACTTGGGTTGCAAAATCTTTTTTGGTCATGTATCCAAAACTCTTCAATCTATCAACAAACTGAAACCTGTTGGAAATATTTAACGTGAAGATCAAAGCTTATAAGAACAGATGCATATAACAAAACACAGTTTACACTCTCAAGAAAAACACTTTGATTGATATTATGGCTATAACAGAATCGTCAAGGTTTTTAAAAGGATGACAGTTCATTTGAATTGAATGATAAGAACATGACTGAATTTTGGTCTTACTTGTCCATTGCGCAATTCCTATTTTGTTTGGCCACTTTCTTCATAGAAGTAACGAACATGAATTTCTGCTATTTTACTCCAAATCAATTTTATCGTTTACGTCCAAAATTTTTCAAGTATCTTTATAATTGGAGGCATAAGGGAGAATGTGCAGCTACCTGTTTTTTGACATCTCCACAATTGTGTGCGCACGCATTAAGCTGTGTCAGCCCTCGAAGCGTGATGATCAGAAGTTGAGGTCAGTATCCGATCACCGTAATCGTTCCATCACGTCATGTACTAACTACGGACATGGCAATGAAAGTTTTCTTTCGTTGTCGTAGCCTGTTTTTCAATCATTTTAAATCGTTGATTCGAAGAAAAGGAAAGAACTGTACCTTATTATCGTGAGATGCCTCGATCATTTCTTGTGAAAAATCACAGATCGAAGAAACGAGCGCATGATAGCAGTCCTGACGAAGAAGGTCAGTGAGTTTTCAATAAAATAAATTTATACTAAGAAAAATAATCGTACCAGGGTTGTAACCAAAGAAGAAAAACTGTTCATTTCTATTTTCAAATTAAAATCGTTTGATTTTTTATGCATTGTTAATTATTTGTTTCTGTATACAAGCATGTTTATGTTTACATAGTTATTTATCAGATTTATAAAACTTCTCAATATTTTATTCTTGATAACGACTAATTTTCCCATTAGGTCAATCTTATTCGAAATAAAATCATCACTATCTTTCTAACAATTATCAAATGTAACAGTTTTTATTACATATGTGGGTTGAACATTATGCATGAGTTCAACAAGACTTTGCTTTATTTTCCATAATCAGCAGCAGTTTACATGCTAAAGCCATCATTCCTCGTTTGATATTGTTTTTCGTAAATTCCAATGGTTATAGAATGTATCGGAATGATTTGATTCAATCAAATTAGTGCATTAATGTCATACTACGGTTTGCGTGTCTATTCAGTGAATAATTCAGGCGCGACGTTAAAACCACTATCAGCCAATTTTGCAGGTAAATTGAAAACCATACTTGGCACCTGCCAAAGTTTAGCAACACATAAATAACTCTTTCATATGAACTTTTTCTGCTTTTTTTGTTTATCGAACTTTCAAGCACCTTTTCAATAAACGTTGTACGATAGAAAATGTAGGAAAGCGAGTCGACATTGTGTGATTCTATGAAATTGCCAGAAATATTTTCTTTCTGAAATTGATGAAGGGTTTATTATTTGTATTGGGTATTTCCATTAGCTATTTTGTTAGTTTTGATTTTTTTTCTGCAATATATTTATTAATATATTCCGAAACAGTAAGTCACTAGATCTACTGTCCCAAATTTGATATTTTACATGACGTAATCGAATGACTTTATAAAGCCGGTTTGATCAATGAGTTTGATAAGCTGACCAGAAAAAGAAATTCATCAGTCGCATGGGAAATAACTCGACATTTCTAGACGAACTGACTTAAATCACTGAGCACCAAACCGTCTTGCAAAGTCCACCTGATGGGCAATTTTTATTTTATTCCTTACAGACTCAAATGATGTAAAAGCTAGTCTAGGAAAAGATGACTTCGTTGTTGGAACGAAAATCAAACATCAGTTTGCGCCAGCAGCGCATAGTCTTCGCGCTTTGGCAGATGTATGTGCTTTGAAACAACTTGAAGAAAGCAGTCGGAAAGTACAATCACAAGAGCACAATCAAAAAAAAAGCTTTCTTTCAAGGCACGAAGAAACAGAACCATTTCCAGATGAAGTTCTGGAAACACTTTGTCTAATTCGCAACTCTAGCTTAGATTTAAAAAGATTACTGTCTCCTCCCCAGAACAACGATATTAAAACAAATGACAAACCATTTGAAACACGTAAACACGAAAAAAAGTTTCTGCAATCTTCAAAGGAAAGAAACCATACACCTGAATCAAAGAGACTGGATCGAGAGCTTGAGAAAATGTTGAAGTAATTGTTTTTTTTTGACAAATATATTTTCCCCATAATTTTCAATAGTTCAACGAAAGTGGCGGATCTAACTTGGGCAAATTGTGGCTTTTATAGATCAATTTTATATAGACTTCTTTCCCATCACAATGAATTTTGAAAGAGTATGGATACTAGTTTGCCAGTTGAACTGCATGCTATTAATTTTCAAATACAAATATACCTAAGATTGAGCTGTTATGATTTATTTTGACTCTGCCACTCCTATAGATAACTGTATGAAATCATGCAGTTATCTTTCTGTATTTTATGGCTATATTACATGGTACTTTTTTTGAGCTTTTCATTGCATGCTGCAATTCTGAATGCTGATAGGTTATTGTACAAACGAAGGTAATCATATAATTAAATAAATGAAAACATGACTTTCCTGGCGGAGGTAATATGCTAAAATACGTCACAGCTGAATGTAGCTATAGAATCAAGTGTTTGAAATGGCAATAAGGTTTCCAGAATTATAGCATTGATAGCCTAGAAAAGTAAAAAGCACTGAAATATTTGCCATTTCTTTTTCACTTTTCTTTTCCTAGGGAAACCAGGAGGTAATTCAACGTGAAATAAAAGATTTTTTTGACAATAATCGCTTCACCGAGAAAGAAATTGTGAAAGAAACAGAATTGACGATCGTTGACGCATCACGATTTTTTTCTGATTTTTGGCATACTAAAGAAGAAAAAAGAGAAATTTTCTTCAGATGGTATTTACAGAAGAAGTCATGTGGTAAAGGTATTAAAGATTTCTGTGTGATAGTTGACGAGCAGGATTTTACTTGGCTGATGGTTTGATTTTGTTTCCAATCTTAAAAGATGACAGCAATTTTTCAATACTTTCTTATCAATTTGCTTTGTTTTCTACGTATTATAGACAGTCAAAGTTTCACTTGCTATAAATGTGGGAAAATTTTCGCTTACGAGAGCTATCTTGAGAGACATGTCAAGTACGTTTGTCCTGACAAAACTGGTCGTACATGGAAATGCACATACTGTGTAAAGGCATTTCAATATCCATGTTATTTAAGGAGGCATATGCGATCGCACACAGGTATGTTGTAGCTACATTGTCCTGTAATTAGGAAAAAAGTAGCCTCTGATTACAGTATGGTAACACAATTTCATACAATTCTTGACCTTGTCAAGTTTATTGCTCAATTGTCTTCATTAATACCAATATTACGTAGGTACTTTTGTTGCCAATTATTTGTTTATGCGTTTGTAGGAGAGAGTCCATACAAATGTACACAATGCTCACGGGCGTTCGTTCGCTCTACCGATTTACAGCGTCACCTTCGTAACCATACTGGTGAAAAGCCATATAAATGTGCCGAATGCATGAGAGCGTTTGCTCGCTCAACAGATCTCAAGCGACATTTTCGAACGCACACGGGTGAAAAACCTTACAAATGCTGGCATTGTTCAAAAGCGTTCTCACAATCCGGCTCCTTGCAAACTCATCTGCACACACATTACAAGGAAGCAATACAAAAGAAAGATATGGCAACTGCAGAGCGACTCAAAAATAGCATCAGAAAAAAACTTATAAACAAGGTTGTGACTAGTAAGGCATTATAAATTTCCAAAATGGTTCTTTCTTTCCAGCAGTCTGCAATTTAACAGTAAAATATGTATGTAATGTTTATTGTCTGTTTATGAAAGATTTATGGGGGCCAAACTAGCTTGTTTAAAAGATGGTAGTCATGATTTCTCAAAAAAATTTAAATACTTTTTGTACTTACTGAAAAATAGAATTGTGAGTCGTATATTTATAACTCCTGCAAAATGAAACATTCGTGATGAAACGTTAATTTTTTGAGCGCATGTATTTAAATAATTAGTAGATATATGAAGCTATTATAGACAGTAAACCTCGGAATGTTTACTGTCTATAATAGCTACATATATTTACTAGTTCGAGTAGTTTCGATTATATATTTTTTATGATTATTTTGTTTGCTGAAACAAAAAGTTGATTTCATGTAAATATGGTATTTTGGCAATGTATATATTGTATATAAATGTTCTTAATTGGATCAATAATAAGGCTTTAATTATATGATAAACGTAAATTTTTGGTGAAATGAATGCGCTTTGATTGGCACACTAAATTTTTTGACGGTTTCGTGGTCCATTAAACGTATTTTAAAGAAAATAAAAGAAAACAAATTTCATAAAGCGAGCAGGAAAGATGTGAAATACTAAAATAGACAAATTACGTAACAATTTAACTTCGTTTTATGTCCTGCATAATTCTGATATTTTCTTTCATATCGTTATAATTATCAGACAAAACTTATGGTATTTACAGATAATAGTAAAAATATCTTCTTGCTTTTTAAATCGTGGAATACATTCGAACAAACATTGCGTCTTGCGTACCTGGGGTTTTTTTCACGATAAAGCCGTTGATTCATAGCCGATGTGTACAAACAAATTTCTGAAATACGTTGTATCCATCAAATTATGTCCCAAAATCTTTCGGTATGTATTCATTAAGAGGTCCACAGGCATTTCAGAATAAAACAGTTGGATGAATCTTGCTTGATTTTCTAACGTTTCAGATCTGTATAACTTCCCAATGAATCCAAGGTTACTAAAATCAAGATTAAACCAAAATTTTCCTTCTTTTTCTTTAACATATTTTGTCATGTATACGTCGTAGTCTTTAGTAGCAATCACGTCATCTTCCAAATGAAGATAAAATGGTGAGAAATGTTTGCAATAATGCATCAAGAAAGCAAAATCTATGGCTTGCTTTGAACGCCAGTACATCCTATTGTCCGTGTCGTTAAGTGTATTCAATAAGCCACGCAAAGGTGGGTAGAAATTTTTTGGCACTTTGATGACGTGGATATCACCATTAGCAACGTACTTTGAATATCTTGACAATAACTGATGAAAACGTTGCTTTCGAACACTGCTCTGCATATCAGCAAGAAGAATGACGATTTTTGTTTTAAAATCTTCAGCTGCGCTAACATTATAGAGCAAAGAATCCAAAGTTCTTGTGAGGTAGTTCTGACTTTTCCTCTCTGAACTAGGCAGTCCGATAGTAAGAAACACTGAAAAAAAATAATTAAGCCTCTAACCAATGACAAAATAATCTACTGGTACGGCATTAATCATTTTTGTAGCTACCTTTTTTGTCAAAGTTGTTCGCTGTTAGCACAGCATTTTCTGCAGTCACTGTTATCCCATTTTCTGAGTAAATTATTTTGTTTTGCAATTCCTTTCTACTTTCATCAGACAAACTTACTTCAGCGCAATCACTATTTGTTTGCATTCCAGTAATATCTAATAATACATAAGTGAATGAATTTTAATTTGAGAGACTCACTGAACATGAAAAATCTTGCAATAACTTCACAAATAATTTCGCAGACTTACTTTGTGACAGAAAGAGAAAAGTATTTAATCCAAATACAACCAGCAACACTTTCCATCCAAGGAAAGTATTTTTTTTTCTTACAAAAAGTGAAAATCTTGACAAAAATCGAATCAATTGTTGTGGATTTACGAATTTCATCTTCAGAGACACGTCGTGTACGTCAATAAACAAAAACACTCACAGATAGGACTTTTTTAAAAAAATTAAGCAAATAGTGCGGACTCTTAGCAACGTACTCTAGTTGACCACGGAATGGCGTTTTTGACAATAGCCGGTGCCATGACAAGACGACTTTGTTCAAAAATATTTATGCATGAACAAGAAGTACCCGTTGAGCATGACGTTGTATCCCTGTGTTGTACACAGCAAACTTGTTCCCAGTCTCCGAGATACTTTTTACGTGGTTATATGATTAATTGCATCCCATACGGATTTAAAATAGGAAAAATTGAACATGTCATCGACCATGAAGAGAGTAATACTGGTGATATTTTGTCAATCTAACCCTTCTTCGTCACTTATCTAAAACTATTTACGAATTATCTCTAACATTTTCAAATGCACAGCGTCATGATATTATTTTATATTTACAGTTAATATTTTTATCGGCTTATCAGATGCATCTGGATTGAGACGGCGTTCTTCAGATGATGGCATTGACGACCAATCAAAATATTTATACTGCATAGTCGATCGTTGCAATGCATTCTTTGCCTTTGATTCTGAATCACATATTCTCTTATCTTTAGAACAGAGCGTTCTTCTACATGAACTAAAGAAAAAGCACGCTATTAAAAAGTATACTTTCTAAAATTGCTTCTACGCTTTATATTTTTGTGCTTTTTCCCGTGATAGTACTTATTTAGCTCATCTAAGCAATGCGACGTGAATAAAACCATGGCCAAGAACATCTTGATAACCTGTAAAGACATTTTACCTGTCCACTTGAGATAATTGTGTGCGAGTTTTCTCCATACAATGTGCTGAAATAGTTAAGTTTAAAAAATTAACCATATGCTGTATTTCTTAAGTATTTTACACATTGTATTTCCCCTATTATAAGCCTGAGACGTTTATTAACATAAAAAAGAAATTTGGCGCCGCTTGTATTGAAGAAAGGCGTGTAAACGAGGGAGGCGTCTATTTGGAATACTTCAAATAGAAAGCATGAAGTAATAAACAAATAAGTAAATACCAAATAAGTAAAAAAAATCGACCTCGACTTATACACCGAATCATGAAATTCAACTTCGTATTCATCGCTTCAAACGTGATGGTAATTACTTTAACTTTCAATATTGTGTCGGAAATCAGTCTGTAAATGCCCTGGTATGGTTTGATATGCCTACATCGAAAACTGTATCTGCCAAAGGTGAAAAAACTGTTCTCGTGAGAACAACAGGCCATGAAAAGCCTAGATTCACCGTTGTACTTTCCTGCTTAACTAATGGTACAAAGCTGAAGCGTTGGTCGTTTTTAAGAGAAAATCTCTACCGAAAGGACAGTTCCCTTCTGGCGTAGTATTTACACATCTTATTATTAAGTATTACGTGTAATAAGTTTAAGATAATGAAACAATTGAGCTCGACTTATACAAAGGATATATCATAAAATCGTAAATTTTCGTCGAATTTTAGGGGGTCGACTTATACAACGAGTCGACTTATACACCGGCAAATACGGTAGCAATAATTCTGCATAAAGAGTTAAAAGTTAAAAAAAAAACATTTACACTCCAGCGGCCGGTTGTATGAAGCATGGATAGTGTTATCCATTTGATGGTAATTTTTTGAAACTTGTGAAATAAGTGTTTAGGTTTTCTTTGCGGCGATGAAATTTTGTAATCGCTGAACCAATATTGTCTTTCAATGATTGCACAGTTAAAATCGTAGATTTTGCCTTTTTAAGAGATTTTTGAACCTTTCAAAAATTTTGCTATCGAGTGGATAGTGCTATTCGGCCATATTGCAACCTGCCCGCAGGCGTTTTTTGTTCTTTCTATAAAAATTTATGCGACGAATATTGAAGTGCGGCGTGTGATTGAGGCTAGGCGTATATTAGAGGAAATACAGAAATGATCTTATAAAACACGCAACAAAATATGTGTGATTCATTGGTGAATAGCTACGAGTCAATTACTCAGGAACAGGGAATGTTCATCTTAAGATATTTTGTTTTTACCAATCCGACTTCCAAAAGCGATGGATTCATCACGATTGTAATAATCTTCTCCATAATGTCTTCGAGCTTCATCACGCTCTTTCTTCAAGATTTCTAAACAAAGTAGATTACTACTAAGATGTCATTTACCGTTTATATTTTGGAAAAACCGAATCGACTTTTGATATTTTCTATCTTACCTCGGCGATCAAGGCAATGAAGGGATCTAATGCCGTTAATTACGTAATTTCGATAGCAATAATCTTGTGCCAACGGGTTACCGAAAAGATCTAAAAGTTAAACAAAATCTTTCAACAGAGAATTTTGCTGAAATCCTATTCCAATTAACTTTTTGAGCATCAATCCGTGAAAAAAAACACTTTGAGATACGTTGATTTTACACAAATAGTTTAAAACATGTTGTTTTTCTTACTTAACACTCGTAATCTGTGCATTCGCACAAACTCCTGAATTACTTCTGTCAAATATTTTAATTGGTTTCCTTGCAGCATTAAAACTTGCAGTTCAGTAAGATGACGAAGGCAACCAGTAATGCTCACAAGTAAATTGTGTTGAAGGTAGAGCTCAGTCAAACGGAAGTTATCATGTAGACAGTCAACCTTTCTCAACTATAGAGAAAAAACAAGTTTCACTTGAGAAATAAAAGATGTTTATTGTGTTTGAACAGGCTTATGTAAACCGAGGAGATCATTTGCCAAAACTTGAGATCCGAAATGAAAAGTTGAAGGTCTCCATCTGCTCTAGAGTTCTAACAAATGTCTCAAAGGTTTGCTTAAGCCAGTGCAAACACAAAAAAATCTTTTATTTCTTTTAAGAAAAAAACAATGTCAATGATTCTACTCTTGAACAATTTCATTACCTTATTTTGGTTGAGCCATAGTCTTTGTAAATTTTTAAATTTCCCCAAACTGTCAATTTGCTGCAAACCTCTAAAAAAAAATACCATGAAAGTCTAGTCTCACAAAGAGGAAAAGTATAATTTACTACATTCAAAAAGAAAATTGACAAATATTATTCAAACATAACTTAGGAATCATTACCAAGAATATAAAATTTTATTAAGTCAAACAACCTGTCGTTACCATGACGAGCAAAACTTGGTAACACTCCCATACGAACCAGTAAACTATTATCAGACAGGCATCTAATGTAGGAGTACCTAAATTTGCTAGATTGAAAGGACGCCTGCAGAATAGATAGCGTAATTTATTTCTTCCACCTTTCCTGAAATGATCATTCCGCTCACGTTTTCATGAATGAGAATCTGGTATGTATTTACCTTAATCCAAAATATAACTCGACGACAACATTTTGATTTTGACGAATAGTTTTAGAATTTTGACGTTGTTCCCCATCAACCTGGTAAAATTATAGTGAAAATTTTCACCTAAATTATAAAAGCGCGATTTTTAGTTAGAACAAACCTTTTCCGACATTCTTGGAAGTTGGAAGAAATTATTTTGAGCTAGAATTGTATAAGTGTAGCTGATCCGAATCCGATAGAATTTAGATAGAATGCTACTTATCACTATGGCTACCACTTATGGCGACTGTGGTGTGTATCCACTTTTCAATTTTAGAGCTTCACAAATAATTACTAATAACAATGACCACCATTGAAATATGATGAATGATATTTTTGTTGACTAAATACCGCAATAATGCAAGTTCTGCCGCATCCTGTAGGAAAAATTTTAGTCAATTATTATCCTTTTATGTATAAATATACAATCATTCTGACAATCTATTAAATCTAGCCATGGAATTTAAAGAAATATTGTTCCACGATCAGAAAGGTGACAGTTTGAAGGGACCTGCAGCAAATGCAAGCCTTTACTCGTCATATGTTTCACAAAGGTAAATCATCTCTGCAATGCTTAGAGGCAGAAGAAGTTTACTATTCATGATGGAACTTTGAACAGATTTTTTTACTCTGTTAGCGGTTGAATTTATTCAAATGAATGTTTGAAGTTTTTTTAAAGTATGATGAGTTACTAGTACATAATTATGTGTATTGTAATTTATTCTGATATTTTGGTACAATGCAACTGCCTTTGACTTATTTTAACTCTCTATAACGTACTTATTTATATTGAAGCAAAACTTGTTCCTTAATTCCAGCTGGATGAATGATATTTTTAAGAAAGGATATAAAGAGCCTCTTGAAGAATCTGATATTCATGAAGTTTTGGAAAGAGACTCATCTTATCACTTGCAAAACAGATTGAAAAGGTATGATTGTGGTATCATTGCTTTTAAAAATGGTGAATGAAGAAATTATTGATAATTTTTGTGGAAATTTTATGTAGCTAAAACAAGAAAGATGTTTGTTGTCACTTTAATTGCGAATTTATGATTGTATCGTTGATGAGAAATACTTAAATTAACATAGTTTTTGTTCACAGACTCTGGGAACAAGAAGTCCATACATCTCATAATCCTCGTCTATTATGGCCAGTAATGTCGCTTGTTGGAATTAGATATTTTTCATGTATTATTTTAATGATAATAGAGGTGAGTATTATATTTTATAAGTTGCAACTGTAAAAAAGATGGATTTACATTGAATTAGTATTGTTAGGTTGATTACCTTCTTTCAGCTAGAAATTGCATTACTTCTTGCTAACTATAGGTCTTTCTCTGGTACATACGTAGGCATTTTGATAGGTTATTTGCATTATATAGCATTCATAGGTTGCAAATTTTGAAAAACAAATTTGATTTAATTTGCAGGTGGGAACACGCTTGATGCAGTCTATTTACATAGGAAAAATTGTAGCACATTGTCAAGCAATTGAAAAAGAAAAATCAAGTGGCTATCTCTCTGCTTGTATTCTAGTGTTTTTTGCATTTATTGAATGCATTAGTCGTCATGCTATCTATGCTGAATTATTCAGGAGTGGTATGGACACAAGGGTTGCATTAACTGGTCTCATTTACAGGAAGGTATATAATGCACAGAAGAAAACAAAAAATCAGAGCCATAATTCTGACATAAAATGATACAAGCATGACAATATTTGAACTTGTACACTTTGGGTTTTAGTCTGCAGCTCTATCCAACTAATCTTCTCCTCTATTTGTATATGTTTTGACTTGTTGCTAAATCTTGTTGCCATGGTAGTTGAAAATGAGCACCATCCTGGAGGTGCAAGTTCAAACCTTGTTTATGTCAAATGTATTAATGTGGGCATCATTTTTTCAAAATTATTGCTCTTAGAGAGGTGTTTACTAGCATATTCGTTATCTAATGTGTTGTTGTTTATAATCTAATTTTTAAATTTTGATTTCGTTCAATATGTTTGAATATATGAAACAATGTTGAACAGATTTGTGATGATTACATGGAATCATCAAATGAGAAACATCAAATATATTCCATTTCAAAATATCCTATTATTGAAATTATTTGTTTATTTATCATTCATTAAGCAAATTTTTTTCTTAAAAGATGTTGTGCTTGAGCCAAGCGTCCTTAGGCTTCACTAGTACTGGTCAAATTGTGAACGTTATAACCAATGATGTCAACAAAACTGAAGAGGTATTTCAATCAAATATAATAGATTTCACTTGACAACTTTCAGTTATACAGGAAATTGAACTTTCATGTTACTATTCAATATAGGCTGTAAAATTCAGCTTGTATCTCATTCCTACACCATTTATATTGATTGTGGCTAGCTATCTTTGTTGGAGAGAAATTGGTTTTTTTTTTACCTGGTATGCTCCTGTTGTTAATTTTGCCAATTTTTCAATCGTGGTATGGTCGTTTCTTTGCAATTTTAAGGTATGTATGTTATATTATAAACATACTTCCAGGGATTTGATGAGGCTGAAGCTGAAAGTTTGTGTCTTCAGGTTGTTGTTCATCCTATTTTTAGTGTAAATTTTGTATACATTTCAAATGTACATCGTTACCTCAAAGACTGTTATCTGTTTGCCATGCCCCCACGATACGTAAATGCAAAGTGCTCAACACACAACCGTAGACGTTACACTGTTGACAAAAGGAAAATTGCTTACCAAAACCGTAAATAACAAGACAACAAATAATTACGTAGCTTGTGATTTTACTTTCATGTGGTTTTATTATTATCATTTATTTTATTTTCATGAAGCCAATAGATGTTTGCCTCATGACACACGAATCAAAATTAAATAGGAGTTAATGGAGAAATGAAATAAATGTATGATACTTTATGTTTCATTCAAATTACGAGCCAAAAAGCAGTGTGTTTTTTTTGAAACTTTACACTAACAATTTACTTATAACACTTCAGCTCTCTATTTTTGTGCTTAGAGAGATAAAAAATTACAGACGTATGGGATAAGATTATATATGGTCTCTCTTGTATGTTAGGTACAATTTTTTTATTTCACGTTCAGAGCAAAGACTGCAACTCTTCGTGATAAAAGGATAAAATTGATGAATGAAGTAATATGTGGAATGCGAGCCATAAAAATGTATGCTTGGGAGCACCGATTTGCCGAACGTATTCATCAGCTTCGAAGGTATTGTACATTTTAAATGATCAAACTAAATCATACTGCCACCCTGATTTGTGCCACCATCGTTATAAATGGAAAACTCTCGTTACGTTTAAGATTTTATGCACGCATATGGTATTGACCACGGAATTATCTTCTTTTTTGTTTTCTCCAGACTGGAATGTAAGAAACTTCTAAGTACTACCAGATTGAACGCTTTAAATGCTTCGTTTTATATGACCACGATACCATTAGTTTCCTTGGCAATGTTTGTATCTTATGCTCTCTCTGGGAATACACTTACAACAGAAAAAGTTTTTACTGTCGTTGCTTTCGTTTCATCTGTGAGCACAATCTTCTCTAAAATTGTACCAAGAGGTATTACCTTACTTAAAGAAAGTGGCGTCTCGTTAAAAAGAATCAAGGTAGAAAATATTTAAAACATTTTTTATCAAAATTATTTATATTTAACAAAAATATCACATTTTCCATTCATTTGCTGATCAGTTGTACATGATTTCGGGCAATTTGCTGATCACTGTTTGATCTTAGCACATTTGATGTCTTTTATGTGTTACTGAACCAATGTAATCTATTTATTTTATGTAATCAGGAAAGAAAAGCAAAAAGAAATTTTTGTAAGAAACAGAACAATAAAGATCATGAATTTCAACGTTTTTGCTTTTCTTTTTTGATTTACTTTTTGTTTTTCAAGCTCGTCTGCTGTTTGAGCTGAATATTTTTGATTGTTTTCATTTCTGATCGCTCAGGACATTGCAGTCAAATCTTAACAACATTAGCGAACAACACACGATATATTTATTTGTTTTTGCTTGAAATTCATACACAAAGCACATAGCTACTTCGTGTGTTGTTATTTCAATCACTTGTTCTATTGAATACACTTTTTTGTGATTTTTGTGTCATTTGTGATTATTTTGTGATAGAATTATATATGATTGCTCCATGTCATTGTATAATTCATTTATAACTTCAACTTAGCCAATTTTAAAAAATAGTTTCACAGTGGAATTTTTTTTGTCTTAGGATTTTTTGTTGCTTGATGAAGAATCGTCGCTTTCTTCTGAGCCATGTGATGATGTTAATGCTTACGTTGTTGTCGATCATTTGCATGCTTCTTGGAAAAAGGTGCATAATGTAGAGTACTATAGAATTCTCCGAAATATCTAATATATGTGTTTTCTTTTGGGAAGGAGTCCACAGAGGAGGTGTGCTCAAACATAACTTTTACTACAACTGTCGTAAGTGAAGCTGTTGTTTTTTTATATAGTGCATATTGACTGTCCATTGCAAAGTATGAACGCATCATGAATGAATTGTAGATAGCATCAGTACTTGGCATTTTTATAGGGGGAGTTGTTGATGATAATTGGACCCGTTGGTTGTGGCAAGGTAAACCAATGTACATACATGTACTTATATCAACACATACATTCAATTCAAACTTTTTTCCAGTCATCATTATTGTTGGCAATGCTTCGAGAAATTCCTCTGGTCAATGGTGATGTGCAAATGGCTGGTCGTGTAGCCTATGTTTCTCAGCAACCTTGGGTATTTTCTGGTTCTATCAAAGAAAATATTACATTTGGAAAAGACTTCGATCAGGAGAAGTACGATGAAGTTGTAAAAGTATGTGCTCTCAAGAAGGTAATGCGCGTGCGCACATTATAATAATTATCATTTATGTCAAAGCATGACTTGTTTGTAACACTTTGCAAATATCTTGATGGTGGAGAGTTAATTGGGCGAATCAAATCAAGTGATTTCTGTTCAATGTATGAAATTATAATGTCCTGGTGCTTTTATTTGTTTTTAGTAAAATTTTTGAAGAAGCATCTTTTTTAAATGTTGTTAGAAGAGGGGGTACGTTTCACCGCACGAATGTATTTATATTCTTTACAAATATTTTTCTCCAGTTGAATTAACATTTTATTCTACCGGTTTTTCAGTTTATAAAATAGCTTTTTTCCTCTTTTAAGTAAAAATTACTCTCCACTTTTATCAAGATATCTATTCACTACATTTTACAGTTTTCTTGACGTGGAATTCAATCCATTCAGTTTTACGTTCATGTATGTAGGATATAGACTCGTTTGTGAAAGGTGATGAAACTTTGGTGGGTGATCGTGGTATTAATCTTAGTGGTGGACAAAAATCAAGAATCAATCTTGCACGGTATTCTTCACATCTCACAAAATAATGTTCATGTAACTTTAGACTTTCTCCAAACTCTGTATGATTCTTTACTATTTTAACATTTACGTACTGCATTTCCTTGAATATGTCTCCATTTTTAAAGGGCCGTCTACCTTGATGCTGACATTTACCTTATCGATGATCCTCTTAGTGCGGTAGATCCTCATGTTGCAAGGCATATTTTTGATGAGTAAGTTATCCATATATAGTCTTACCTTTCATTACTTTCCTTTGAGATTGTGTATTCTTCATTTCTGTGTAGGTGTATCCGTGGAACCTTGAGACCAAAAGTCTGCGTTCTAGTTTCACATCAATTGCAATTTTTGGAAGCTGCAGATCGCATATTATGCATGGAAAAAGTTAGTTTAATTGGATTAAGTTGTAGCATGCTTCATACCACATCACAATTAAAAGAGTGTCTTTTTGACTTGGTTTTGTTTTACTCTAATTAACAAAGAGGGCGAAGTTCGTTTAAGTTTACGTTTTGTCTCTGCAATTTTTATAAAAAGAGGAAAACGCGACAATATGCAAAGCGTAAAGTTGCTTGTTTATGACTGAATACAATTTTTCAACAAGGACTTAAGGTGTGCATGAGATTTTTCCTGCTTATATACGTAAGTAATGATTGCTTTTGTCTGTCTTGTTTCATATTTATGAAGTTGCGAGAAAAAACTACAGCCGCCCTGCATCATGTTTTTCACTTAAAATGTTGTTTCATTTGGCAAAGTTTTCGTGCGAAAAAAAGGAATGTTTGATGCCAGATTTTGTTGATTAATTTTGTTGATTTTGCCTTTGTCCTCTTGGTGGTACTTCAGATCTTCATCAAATTTGAATAGGTGTCTGCCATCAAAAAATTAATTGATGTTGTTTACAAGTTTCTTTTCATTTTTGTTATATTTATATTATAGGGACAAGCGGTTGGCTATGACAGTTTTCAAAATCTAAATAAAGCTGGAATTGACTTCGCATCTTCATTGACGGAAGTGGAAAAAAGCATACAAGTTAACGGCAGTAGCATGAATGATAAATCATCCGAAAAATTACAACTTTCTACAATTTCAAATGCAGATAAGAAGACAAGAAAGGTAATGAATACACTCTCTTGCAACGATATTTCAGAATCATTGTTGCCTGCCGAATGTGCCAAAGATCAAGTTAAATCTACTCCAGATTTAAGGCATGAAGTAACTTGTGCTCCTACCCACACTGTGCAATTTGACTCCACCAACGATCAATCAGATGAAGAGGAAGAGAAATATTTACCTTCTTCCGTAAGTAGCTTATACGACTTAAGTGTCAATATTAATTCATTTGCTAGAATTTCTGTTCTGTAAACATACTATACTTATTTGTATAGGCTGCCATATATTTCCATGTAATTTAATTATCATTTTCATTTTTAACTTTTTCTGCATTAGCACGACAACATTCATGTGGAGAGACGGATTACAGGACGTGTAGCATCTAAATCCTACAAAGATTACTTCAGTGCTGGTGCCCAGCCTGCTATTCTTGTGTTATGTTTAATACTCTTTTTGATTGGACAGGTGTGTTTTGTTGAAGTTTTTGTTTTGTCTTATCTATATAATTTTTTCGATAATTTCTCTTCAGGGAAAGATTTCAAACTCCATATTAAATTTATAGGCTTCGTCTATAATATCGGATTGGTGGCTGGCAAAGTGGTGTGTGTGTAATAAACCTATTTAATAAATAAACATACAACAAATGATCATGTAACAAATGAACATGTAACAAATAAGGATGTCACTAATGATCATTTAACAAATGAACATGTAACAAATAAGAATGTTACTAATGATCATGTAACAAATGAACATGTAACAAATAACAATGTTACTAATGATCATGTAACAAATGAACATGTAACAAATAAGGATGTCACTAATGATCATTTAACAAATCAACATGTAACAAATGAACATGTAACAAATAAGAATGTTACTAATGATCATGTAACAAATGACAATGTAACAAATTATCATATAACAAATAAGAATGTTACTAATGATCATGTAACAAATGACAATGTATCAAATTATCATGTAACCAATAAGAATGATCATGTAACAAATGAACACGTAATCAATCATGTAACAATAGCGATCTTGTAACAAATGAACATGTAACAAATAATCATCTAACAATAGCGATCCTGTAACAAATGAACATGTAACAAATAATCATGCAACTGTGTTAGGTGTAATCAGCTTAAATGTTAAACGTCTTTCTATTCATTGATAACAGCAAAAAGTTGACGTCTTTCTTTTTTTATTTTCAGGTCAAATTGGGAAGAAACTGTTTCACGAAGAAATAACTCTCTTAGTATTATTGATGACAGCCGAACAGAGAACATTCTGATTTACTCTGCTACAGTGCTCATATGTTTTGTTTTTTCATTCCTCAGAGCAGTTGTTTGGTTTCAAATTCTTATCAATGCGTCGCAACATTTGCACGACAGAATGTTTCGTGGAGTCATAAGGGCTCCCATTTATTTTTATGACACTAATCCTGTTGGTAAGACATGTTTTTTCAATTCGAGTTTTTATGCATGCGTGCATATTAATGCGAGAGCGAGTATCCGTCGGTTCAATGAATCTGAATTTTTAAATTTCATTGTGTTGTAACAAACATTTATAACAAAGATTATATACAAATACATGTACATATATTGCATGTAAAAGGTTTTTAATTTACAGGCCGTGTGCTAAACAGATTCTCAAAAGACATTGGTGTAATAGATGATACTCTTCCTATGGTATTTTTTGATGCATTTCAGGTATGCAAATGTGATCGCCTGTTCCTGGATATTTATTTGTATGTTGTCTCTTTTGTATGTGCTTCTGATTTAAGGTTTTTCCCGACTTTTTAGCTTGGAGTCCTGGGTATTTCTATTCTTTTGATTAGTGTGGTCTCTCAGCCTTATGTAATCGTTGCCGTTGCGCCTGTCATCGGTGCGTTCATTTGGTTGAGGCAATATTTTGTAAAATCGTCCAGAGAAATAAAAAGATTGGAAGCTATAAGTACGTATGCGTTGAAATTAAACCTAAATTTCTGGCCATCGTCTATTTAGAATGATATTAAAGTATTTGATTTCACAATTTGTGTATGTTAGATAGAAATCATTGCGGTGAACAAGAATGTTTAATGCTATAAAATACAGAAAAAACAATATGACTGCTTTGTGAGAATTTCTAATTTGATCTTTTGAAAGGAGATCTTCAGTCCATAAACTTACGTCTACTAAATAGATAGGAAACAATTTCTCGCTTATATTTATGTAGGTCGTAGTCCTTTTTATTCTCACTTTACCGCAAGTCTCCAAGGATTGCCTATAATTCGTGCCTCCTGTGAACAAAATCAATATATTGAGCTGTTTGATTCTTATCAAGACCGTAATACCGCAGCTAATTACTACTATTTGTCTGCCATTCGATGGTTAGGCTATAGACTTGATATTTTATGCTCATCTTTAATCGCTGTCGTCGCGTTTGCACCATTTATTGCCTACGAAGCAGGAATTGGTAAGTTTGAAACAGTGATGTTACTAGTTTGTTGTAGTTAAGTTTGGTTGTAACTCGCGCCATTTAAATTTCATGTTAAATTATTTATGTGTCTTTAGTAAGTATACACACACACACACACAACCTTTTACAAGACTATCCCCATTTGCATGTTTACAGACAATTTTACAACAGTATGTATTGTTTAACAAATAGATAACATTTAATCGTTGTCATCAGTCATTTACAAATCCTTTTGTTTGTTTGTGAAGTGCTAAACTTGCAATGGCTCAAATACATTGTATTCAGTTTGAGAAAACGAAATCATTGAAAATCATTGAATGTTATCTTTGTTAATCAATCATCTTGCGTTGTTCAATACATATATTTGATAACAACTCTTTAGTTCATTACATCTCCCTATATGACATCAGGTTATCTGCATGTGATTTGTATGATGTGAGCAGTTGAAGTTGGTGGAGTTTCCTGTCAAACTTTAATTTTTAAGTTTGTTTCAAGTGCTCCTGAAATTTGACTGTTATCTAAAACGTTTTAAAACATCTCGACCTCGCGTTGTATTAGTTCTTTATCAAAATGTATACAGCTACAAAGTATATTTGGCATTCTCTGCCTCATATCATTACTATTCATAACACTTTCACAATATTTTTCTTCCATTCGTTCTTTCGATTGGGTTCATGTTTTTTGTTCATCCATTTAAGTTCTTGCATGGAATTTAGAAGTTTGTGGAAAGTTATTGAAGAAAGCACTTCACATGGAACATCGACCCTAAAGATGACTGCATCCATCACCTTTTTATTTGTTAGGAATTGATCCTGTTCTAGTTGGTTTATCATTGTTGTATACAAAACGACTGATTGGCATGTTTCAGTTTTGTGTAAGGCAAACAGCTGAAGTTGAAAGTCAGGTGTGGCAGCAATATAGATATACTCAGCATGTGGTGAACAAAATATTTGTTTATAGTAGTTTTGAGCTTCCACTGTTACAAATGTACGAATTCCTATATGATATTATATATTCAATATAATATATATATATATATATAATATAATATATAATGTATATTCAATAAAATATATATATGTTCAATATACAACCATACGTCCTGTGTTCCAAGTGCAGGAGTCATCATTTTAATATGGTGATAGCCGGGAGGGCACATTGTATATACACTTTGTATATTCAATATATATCTATTTTATATGTAGTTTATTTTTTAATGTTTAATCTATTTTGCAATATCTATGACTGATTGTTTTGTATAATCTATAATATATTGTTTATTTCATGCAGATGGTATCAGTAGAGCGAGCGCTGGAGTATACTCAGATAACGCCAGAAGCACGACTATCTGTAATGAAAGAAAAATCATCCACCACATGGCCTCCTTTTGGTGAAATTATTGGAGAAAATGTATTTTTTCGTTACCATGAATCTTTTTCGCCGGTCATAAAAAACCTCACGTTTCGCATTAAGGCGAAGGAAAAGGTTGACTTGTGTTATATATAAACATACTTTTTTAATTAGAACACTGATAAATAACCAAACGATGTTGTTGGTCATGTTATTTCTGTTATATTGCTGAGATTTACGTTTTACATTTGCTGCTTTTGAACACGAAAACTGTACGTCTTTTTAACTGTTATTTTAGATTGGAATTGTTGGGCGCACGGGAGCGGGTAAATCCTCTTTAATATCAGCTCTTTTTCGTCTTGCTGAACCCGATGGAGTGCTTATGATTGATGGTGTTACCATTACTGATATTGGTCTGCATGATCTGAGAGAAAAAATTTCAGTTATACCACAGGTTAGCCTTTGTTTTATAGATTATACTAGCACTAAATTTGTGTACTATCTTATCCCAAAATATACGTACTTTTCTTAATTCAATGAAAACTACGTAAGTTGAAACATAACACACAACATGTGAGCATGCAAGAGTAGTTGATACTGTGGAACAATATTGGGTACTTGTGAGCATGCAAGTGTAGTTGATACTGTGGAACAATGTTGGGTACTTGTGAGTATTCACGTGTAGTTGATACTGCGGAACAATGTTGGGTACTTGTGAGTATTCACGTGTAGTTGATACTGTGGAACAATATCAAGTGCATGTAAGCATTGAAATTTCGTTAATACTGTGGAGTAGTATTGAATAAATGTGAACAAACACAGTGACAGTATTGAGTATGCTTGATCAGTACATTTTTTGTCACCAGGACCCCGTGTTATTTTCTGGCTCCATTCGTAATAATTTGGACCCATTCAACAAGAATGAAGACGTTAAAATCTGGGATGCTTTGGAACAGGTGACCCAAAGTGCTATTACTATTGGTTCCAGGCATTTTTTGATCTACTTTAAAAGATTGGAATTTTAAATGGCGTCTTTGGTCGTTTTAGGTTCAGCTGAAACATGTTGTTGACAATTTTCCAGAAAAAATCCATTATGATTTATCGGAATGTGGAAATAATTTAAGTGTTGGTCAGCGTCAACTTTTGTGTTTGGCTCGGGCGATATTGAAAAAGAATAAAATTCTTGTGGTTGACGAAGCTACAGCTAATGTTGATGAGAAGTAACTTAGCAGAATTTTTTTATATTGTACAATTACAAATTTCATGAACAGAATGTTTTTTCAAACACAAATCTATATCACCATATTGATTTCATTCAAGTTTCTTCATGTGTGCTATCAATACGAGAGGGCTAAATGTTGTTTTGACGAAATGTAAACTTCGTAGACTGCTTTTATCATATATCTATAAATTAAAAGGATGTTTAACTTAAACAACCAGTTTGTCACATTAATTTTTCCCTTTGTATTTAGAACAGATACTTTGATCCAGAAAACAATTCGTGTAAGATTCAAGGACTGTACAGTACTTACAGTTGCACATCGACTCAACACTATTATGGATGCTGACAAGGTTATGGTATGTTTCAATTCTGCGTATACACACTATTCTACTGTAAAATAGACATGAAGTCTTTCAATGCGGCAATTGAATTATAGTAGAAGCTAGAAGTAGCCAAATCAATTCTCCACTGCCTGTGCTATTTATGCGCGATCGACGTTGCCAAAATCATTTAAATTCACCTGCTCTGCATGTCAATTAAATTCATTCTAACAAGGTACTGGAATCTGGAAGAATGGTGGAGTATGGTGAGCCCCATGCACTTCTCCAACAAGAGAATTCAAAATTTAGTCTAATGGTTGCTCAGACAGGGATTACTACATCTCAAACTTTAAAAGAAATTGCACGAACTGCCCATAAAAAGCGATCAGGTAAAATGTCTGCACCTGACTGTAGACATTTATGTTTGCATTTCTCTTAAATCAATGTGAGAAAAACGATTCAAGGTAAATGCAAATATTAGTTGTATGATTTTAATAAATAGAAAACATTTAGTTCTAGCAAGTACAAATGTTGTCATTTCAATAGCGTTTTCTTTACTCTAGGTTATGTTAGCGAATGCGATTAACTAACTGAAAGCTGCTAAATACGGCTCGACCGTGGAGCTTTTGAACTGGACGAAAATTGTTGGACATATCTTTTCCTTTGTCGTCTTTTAGTGAGCGAAATCTGTAAAGCTAAAAAATCAAAAGATATTACATGAAGTGTTTAGGTTCCAATAATTGTATAGCTCAATAATGATTTCATTGAAACATAGACGTGACAATTTCTGCATTCATAATTTAAACACATGCATATATAATCTAAACATATTATGAAAGTGGGTGTATGGGTTGGCTAAAGTTGAACAAATAAATGGCATCATATACGTATCTGGTTACTGACGAGTGGAGTGTGTGCTCTTTTACCTGTTCCTTAGATATTTCCACTGGGTCATAGAATACAGTCCATGTGACAGTGTCAAAACACGGTGGGGTTGTTAATGATCCAGCGTAACGATAGAACTTCATCGTGTCTCTGGGCAGCAGCGATCGTACATCAAATGCTGGAATTTTACGACTTTCACCTTCAAATAAAATTGATTGAAAAATTCATTTACATAAGTAAAGAACACAGAGGGCGAAAATGATTTGTATTTAATGTCGACTCTTACCGAAGCTCTTCACTCTGTGAATGTACTTTAGAAATTTGTTAAATGCTGCATTTGACTTGCCAATCTTATAAGAAAAAACTCATATTTATATGATTATCCTGGAAATTGGCACAGTAATACCTTGTTTTAAGATTATTCAAACTATTGAAAAAGAAGACGCTCGTATAAAGATATATCCTCAAAATAACTTACCTTAATAATTACTCCTAAAACAGCAAGACCATTTGGTTTGTCCATGGCTACAGAGACATCTTCAAAGTTTAAGTTGTAATGTACAAAATGCAGCTTAAAAAAAAAAATGAATAAATGGGAATATGAAGATTTTTTAGTAAGCAAGCTCTTATTTTGCCTTTTTGTACCCCTATAGTTCCATTCTTGTTTATTTAATTATAATTTGTGTACCTCAATGTATATATGTTGACGTAAATATCATGAGTATGTTATCGTTCATTCTATCTTTTTTGTACCCCTACATTTCCAGATTTGTTTATTTGTTTATAATTTGCATACCTCTGCTGGAAAACTTCGTCCATCGAATTGATGCTCAGATCCGTATTCATCGCTGCTTCCCCAATGAAAGTGAAGGTGATCAAGCTTGAAGTGGTGTTCATCTTCAAAACTAAGGATGCATTGGCTGTCTTCACGTCTATCATTAACACCTTACCATTGTTTTTCAACAAAAAGTCTCCTTGACACGGACAGCTGTATTGAATTAACTTTGTTGAGCTTCTAAGGGATGGATGAAAATCTTTCTTGAAAAGTGGAAGGTTGATTGGCGATTGGCGTCGGTTACTACATCGTGGATACAGCTTTGACCAAAACATGGGGCCTCAAATACAAACAAACAACATGCTAACGATTTTATAGTTTGTCCTATGTGCATGATTTTTAACTATTAACGAGCACATTTCAGCATGAGTCGGTTCATCTCGTTTAAAAAAACTGTTCACACTAAAACGATGTATGTGAGAAAAGTTTACTGATGTGAGAACAAATGATCTTCATTTACATGACACCATTATGGTGTTCTAAGGTCAGTCTATCATCCCTTGAACAGATTTTTTACCATTTTCTCCTTGAAATGACCATCCCACGTACGAGCTGTCTAAAAAGAATATGACGACCTGAATATCAACAAATAACAGCAACAAATCGGTAACTTCTTTAGAAGGGGGGGGGTGTATGTACAGTTATAAATGGTGTTAACTGAATATTTGATCCACCGGGCGGAACTCTTTGAATGATTTATGTGTATATGGGAGTAATTGTGACGCGTCGAACTTCGAAGTAATTATATACAAGAAATATTTTTGTATTTTTGTTTGAGGAGAGAAATTTGATTCATACAACGTTTTAGCTATGATTTTAAAATATTTCCGTAATTATAATCAATCGGTTAATATATATTTATATAAATCTTACCAGACCAAGATACAAAAACTGCAACAAGGAAAGCCAAAATTGAAAAAACCATTCTGACAACTATAACTTTAATAAAGAAAACATTAAATTAATTATATACTTAATAACATTGAAATGGTTTGATTTGTCGCTAATTATCAAATAAAGTTATCTGGAGGACGAGGAGGGGTATCTGAGAGCTTTTCCCATTGATTATACTCACATGATTTCTAAATTCGCCAATTCTGATACACTCTAGTTAAAATTTGACCTATTTTCCCTGAAAATGAAAGAATGGCGCACCTCAAAGTTCTTTCTCCCAGCAGCCAACTTTATACAGTCTTGCACAATACAACTATATAGACACAACAACTACATCCACTACTATATAGTACACGTTGTCATGTAAACATATATTACGAGTAATACAACTATATTGCCATGATTTCTAGCTTTAATTGAAATGTTGTCATGTTGTATGTTTTGACTACACTATATTGCGTCTGTTCTACTGTTAGTATAAGTACGTACGATCAAGGTAAAATGGAAAAAAATATTTTTTATTGAGCTATGTGTTGTGAAAGATCTAGTCTAAGTAGTTTAATGTTGTCCAGTTTCTTTTGACGTCCTTGTAAGGTTGTACTGATAATATTTAGCTAATACTAGCACAATACTAAAATTTTTTATCTTCAAACAAGCTTCATTGGCCCAATATTTCAGGCTTGGTTACGTTGTATATATTTCTAATGGCATTCCCATCATTCCCGTGAAAGGTATGTTACGTTATGTATGATTTGATCATCAGTGCGTTGCACATTTCATATTAGGAAAATTACCCACGAATTATTTCAAAAACTTCATAAAAATAGGTTATACCATTGCCGTAGCCAGTCTGCAAGTTTTAGTCTTGCTATGTAAATTTCAGAACTACGATTTAAGTGAGCACAGAGAAATTAAAAAAGCAGAACTAAATGGGCGGGATGGTCAAACGCTACGAAGTCGATTAATGACAAGAAATATCATCCAATCGAAATCAATTTTGATCTTTGCAGACTTGCATGTGTCTTGAGATAGGTCACAAGATGCTCACGTGAACATGAATGTTGCACATGTAATTTTAATAACTTTTGATATTTTGCAATTTTCAGCCTTTTTGAGTAGGTAATGAACAAATATTGGAAAATTATCAACAGTAATAACTTCTTCTAAGTTATTCAGCTGAGTCCGATCTGAAGCCAGTCAATTTTTTCTTTCTATATTTTGCAAATATTGCTATTTTGCAATTTTGCAAATATTTGTGTGTTAATTTGTGGAAATACGTAAAATAAACAATATTTCTTTTGGACATATCTTCAGTAGACTCGGTGTTATTAATGGATTGTTTTTGTATTGGAACCTCGTCCTGGCTGGAGCTTTTACTATCGTAAACATGCTTGGAATCATTCGTGTTTTTATTGGTCAACGAGTCCTCATTCAAAATTCTCTAGCATACGCTAGGTGCTTCAACTACGTTGAATTTCATCAAGCTATCTTTTATCTGGCGTCGTTGTTTCTCCTCTATCATGCTTGATTTTGTTTCACTGTTGGAAGTTTCATTTTCAAGTATTTCTTCTACCTCAATCCACGAATTATAATATCTGTCATAAATATTAGAGCATTGTTTATGCACAAAACATGCGGATACAAAGTTATAGAGAAAAATAATAACATCTCTAACATTAATATTGATATTACGAGGCCTGACAAAGTGTTGATGAGTTTGATGTGCATCATGTAAAAACAAGCTTAAAAAGACAAAGAGCATGCCATAAATATATGATTAAAATTTTGCTAAGGGCATGTACAAGCACCAATTTCAGAGCTCGCTCCGTCAAAAATTAATTGAGAATTAATATGAGCATGCATAGTCAACTCCAACAACTCTTCAAGCTCATGGTCATGGCAACGACCAACTGTGTGTACCAGTACCGATTATAGAGTAATTAGCTCGCTCAGTCACAAATTTTCAAATAAATCATATGCGCATGCGCAGTCAGCTCGAGCATGCGCACTCGAATTGAGCAGCAGCTCAAATGCATGGTCATGGCAACGACCAACTGCATCTACTAGCACCGATTTTAAAGTTAATAGCATGCTTAGTAATAATTTAAGAGAGAAATCATCTGCGCATGCGCTTGAGCATGCGCAGTCCACTCGACTAATTTTTCATAGTCATGGCAACGACTAACTATATGTACTTGCACTACATTTGTGGCAATTAGCTCACTTAGTCGCAAATTATCAAAGAAATCATCTGCACATGCGCAATAGTGACTTTAATAATACCACAACTTTCTTAATCCATTGAATTTATGTATATATATAAATCTAAAACTTCATATAGTAGATGTCAACTAGCAGTGGAAGCTGGGTGCGATGTAGTATGCAGTGGCTTAGGGGCCCACACTTCGGTGGCGACCGCACTCTCCCTGAGTACCCCGAGCAAAGCCTATCGCAGGTAATCTCGGGGTCTGATGGGCGGAAGCTTGCTATTGCATCTCCCAAGTAGGATAGCGTGGAGGGGCCGAAATCTCCTGCCGAAACGTTAACATGCGGCGTTCTAGTGCCTGACGCTTAAGAAGGTATCGGGAAGCATGGACTGAAAACGGGTTTTTTGCTTTTCAATTTTATCTTTTTCTTTATCTCATAAAAGAAACTAGAACATCCAAGGATACTGCAAAGGTAAAAAATACTTCTGCCTCTTTGACTTATAATTTAAAGCAACTCTTAACATGTTTATATGTTTTTTACATGTTACCTTTTACAATGTAACTTTCTCAAAACTCTCTCCTGACGAACAAGAGCCTCCTTATACAACATAACTCTCTCATCATGAGCAAAAGCATCTATGGGCTTCATGAAATTAAGAAATACGTATTCCCAGAAGAATAACTCTCTTTATGACACTGCGATTCAATAAAAAGAAACTTAGAAGCCCAAAATGTGCTTTTCAATTCATTCAAAGACCAAACTTATTTTCCTTGACAATAGTTCACTTTTTAAAGAAAACACCTAAAAAATGTAACAAAAGAAAACCAAAAATGTCGAAATGCGTTTACTCGAATCATAATTTATTGGCAAAAATTAGAGAAAAATAGCAAATAATAAGTGTTTATATACTTTTATTGAGCTAAACGAAAATGTTTAGTTCACGAATATATACAGTTGGCAAATACAACAATCGAAAGTTTTTACATGTAAATGAACGGGACTAACCCTTCTACAATCTCACGGAGAAGTCGCCACATTCTCTGCTGGTCCTTGTACTATCCCTTCGTTGATAACATTCCTTAGAGTACTCTTCTCACAATACTCCATCTGTATAATCATATTGGAGACTTGGAGATGAGGTCTAAGCAACTTTTGATGAGAGTATTTATGTTTGACAGTAACTAGATAAGCGTAGAAAAAACAGTGACTCTGTTATATAAAACATACCTAATGCTTTATGTTCACATAGTGCATTAGGATGAGGACGTCAATATGTCATTAAAAACCTCGATGTCGTGAGAATGAAAAGAGATTTACACAGCTTCCATGCTTAAGAGAGTCACGTTCAGTTCAAAATTAAGGTTAAAAAAAATAATTTAAACATAAAAATGTTCGTTTCTTTTGGAATTTATCATTTTTGAACGCAAGACTAACTCCCCCACATATAATATTGAATAAATAATGGTGTAGATTTTTATGGATGAATGATTTGAGAGAGAGAGAGTTCGGCTGGCGATGTGTTCGTTTGTGACGTTGTGTCTAGTGACATGGATAGTCGAGCTAACAAAAAATTATTGGCTCAGTGAGAAAGTTGGCAAGACGATAAAACCGTGAAAAGAAATAAAATCTGTTTTGGCTGTACTTGTTAGCGTTTGCATTCTTTTTCTACCATCAAAGGTAACACGATTTAAATTATGTATAATGCTGTTAATAGGAAAATTACTGAGCGAGAAACTACACCATTTATTACTAAAATCGATTTGAGATTGCTCAATGATGTACCTCAAACTTAGAGAAGGTATTAAACTTTATCAGTCAAAGGTATACTTTCGCATATTTGACAGATTCAAATGATCATTGAACAACCTGTCGGAAATACTAAATATTTGTTTGGTTTAACTGTTTGAATATTATAAATGTTACTGATATTTCAAATTTTGAATATTAACTGGCAATGAATAGTCGCGTAGATTGTGGCTAGCTTGTGCTTTATAACGAAGGAATTTGTTAATTTCAATAGGATTACAAAGTTTTCGATAATATAATCTTAATTGAACGATAACCGGAGTATACATACGTATACATATGTTAATTTAAGAATTCTACGACACTGCAATGAGCTTACAACCGGGGGGGGTCAAGTACACTCTCTCACTCTTCGTGTATGTTATCATTCTTTTACTTCTTCCAATTCTCAAGTAATATTCTTTCTCTTATCAAAATCAGTATCACTAAATGGTAGCAACAGAACCACGAATTGTTTACAAACCTAAACTGTAACATTTTTTCGTTCCAATAAAAATAGACCAATTTGAACCGCTTTATAACTAACATATTATAAATTCAAACAAAATTAGTAATTCGACAAAATAAGTTTATCAGATAGAAATTTTTTACTAAATTTTACGTTGTACAGCGCGTACAACTCACATAATATATTATAGCTCATGGATTATTACTTAAGCTAATAAAGCTTGTTGTTGCAAGTTAAAGTCTTCTAAATTTGCTGAAAGAGAATCTGCTTGTAAAATGCCATACAAATTGTGCGAGCAAGAGAATCATGATTGGACCTAACTATAGAGACTTAAAAAGTTTGACACTTTTCTTCAAAGTTGGGATAGATGGCGAACTGATTCACTGGCTCCAATCGATGAAAGAAAGAGAAAAATTGTTGATAACCCATATGATCAAAAGAAATTGGACATAAATGATTTCATACTTTGCAATCATTATAATTGACATTACCATGACTCTTATCTGTTCGGAAGCACAAAAATTGGGGTTTTGTGATTGGAAACTAGTCACCTATTGAGCTATCTTACGAAAACCTTTGCAGCAATGAAGAAACAGAAAATTTCTAAGTTTGCAAATTTTAAATTTTAAAATGTCAAAAAGGAATGTACCTTCGATCGACGAATATTGCAAGTTGACATATAAGTTGTCTTTAATGTACACAAATTAAAGTATCTGATTTTATTTCATAAGAATATTTTTATGAAAACAGCAAATCCAAACAAGCTCAAACACTTTAAAAAAATTATTTAATGCGAAAACAAAATCTTAAAAGGGGATGGCCGGTGCGATATCTAATCTAAACTAGAGCACACCCTAACAGAACCAACACGCATCCATCCCTGTGTTATACTAGCTACGTAATTTTTATATAGTGAAATTTTGTTCAAAGTTGCAAAAGAAGAAAGAATTTGAGCATGGCAGGAAATCAAGTTACTCATTTTCTTGTTGTTGCAACACTGACTTTGGGTTTCATTGTGTACTTTTTTCTACGAGGTAAAATTCATTAATATCATTTTATTTCTGGTGACTTGATACATATTCATTTATCTTTATAGTTCTTATAATTTTCTATTTACTTTCTGATATTGATGAATTGTTCAATACATGAGAATAAAATAATTCTTTATTCTATTGTAGGCCGTTATTACTTCAATATTAAATTCAAGCAACCGGACTTTGTACCCTATTTACCCATGGATTTAATACCATCTGATAAAAGACCAGTTCCTGCTGTAGATTATAAAAAACGTCATGAAAAACTTTGCCAAAATTCTTGGGAAAAAGAATATACTAAACTTCATCATGAAATTATAGAAAAGCAGCAAAACAAATTTCTCATCTATACTTGCACTAAAGCAGGCTGGGGAAACCGTATACGTCGTATACTACCTATGTTTTATCTTGCTGTAATAACAAAACGAGCTTTTATTATTGAGTGTGACAAACCAATTTCACTGGACAGGTATATACCCCCTGCACATGCTCAATGGAACTACAAGGTAAACAAGACAGGTTTATCAGTTAGACACAGCTATTCAGCATTTAGCAACGTCAAAAACCAAACAGATCCAAAAGAATATGAAAACGATTTGACCTACAATGTTGAATACAATGCACACGTACAAGGTCCACTTACTCATCGTATGGCGTCTCTTCTTAAATTTAATTTGCCAAATGTTCCATTTTATGGATGTGCCTTTTATTATTTATTCAGAAAATCACATGATCTGGAAAGTCGTTTTTCATCATATAAAGCAAAGCTGGGTTTTAACGATAACTTTGTGATTGGAATACATATACGGGAAGGTGATAGACGCGAAAGATACAAACCAGGTGATATTGACAAGACTTGCAAATGCGCTGAAGATGTTGAAAAAATATTTTCAAAAAAATATAATACTACAAAAATAATTTGGTTCCTTGCTACTGATTTCAATGATACAAAAACAAGCATTATAGAAAAATATGGGAAAAAAGTGAAGTATATTGAGGGTCCTATTGAACATGTAGGACATCCAAGACGTGGAAATGCAGATATTGGACAGCTTAACATGTTTCTTGATTTATTTCTTCTCCAAGAAACCGATTTCAACATTTATGGTCACACATCGACTTTTGATCATGCTGTGGAACTCATATCTCCTGGAAAACAAAATTTATTGTTAGCAAAAAGAGGAATGGCCTATGCTTGTAGAATACCAAATTTCCTAAATGCTCCTTGATTCGTAAGCTATAAAAGCAATTTGTTTTGTCCACTAGTTGAGAGTGATCAAAAACAGAAAACCTTGGTTAATGTCAAAGTGAACTCATTTTAATTCACTCCTTTTTATAATAAAAAATTTAACCATAAATTAAACAGAAATGAAATTTGATTAATGAAATCACTGATTTTTTACGACAAACAAAGAAATCGTTGGCCATGCAGCCCTGGATTTGTCGAAAATTTGCTTAAAAAATTTAAAAACAGTTGAATAGTTTTGTATTGTTTAATTTTTCAAACGTATATACCATTTGGTCTACTTGGTTCTAGACATATTATAATCTCGTCATAACGACTTCTCGGACAGGTCACACTTGTACTCTACTGATCTACTTATGTTTCTGGATATATTACTATCCTGTTTTTAATTTTATTTGTTTTTCGTAAATCCACATGGTTTTTTGGTAAGTTTGAAATTTTGAATAAGAGATTGTAGATTAATTAAGTTTCCCTTTAGTTCTGTAGCCAAGATTCTGTTTGTTTATGTTTCTTTCGTAATCTTGACATGAGATGCTTTTCTATTCTGTGTGACTCTTGTCTGTGGTTCACTTTCTGTTCCTTAAATCTCTTAGTTAACGAGTGTATTGCTTTGGCATCTTGAGAGAATGGTTAGATAGGATGAATTAGTAAAACTGAATCATAACTGCACTTGTTTATGCACTATGACCAACTTGCAGTTAACTTCGTGCCGTTAAGTGCTCTGGCTTCTTATTTTTTCAATGCCTAGCAGCCTTCACTATAACGCAACGTTATGTAACGTGCAACATATACACATAAATTGTTGGAGTGTTTTTAAAACTATTAAAACACATTATGCAATTTATAAAGTGTGAATCGACATGTGTGATAAGAAAGCCACTTGACTCATCAACCAATTAGATTAGCTACATAGGTACAATTAAAAAGGCAGAAACCGAAATTGGAGCAATCAAGCAGCATGGCAATTAGCAAAGCAGCATAATGATACAAATCTATCTTGTAAAAACGTTAAGAATCATGGCACAAAGAGGATCAAAGTATTCATTAGAAAAATATTTTTACCACAAACTGCACAATTATGCAGATCAGCTAATAGGATGCTTGCAAGGTGAAAATCATAACAACCTTGCAAACTCTGCAAAACATTGTACGGAAACGACAGAAAATACATTCAAAGAGCGCTATCGTTTCTGCATTTACTCATTGATCAAAATGCTGGAAATATTTTTACATACTGGTCAAGTTGAAGTGACAAGCTTAAATTGCTTTACCTTAATGAAATAACTAATAATTATAATCAGAAAAATACATAAAGAAAATATGATAAAAAAACAGAAGAAAATTAAAAAGGAGAATCATTTTTTATTTGATTGTAAACCACTGGAGAAAATAAAAAAGTCTCGTCGGTAAAAGTCATGACTTTACTACACATGTGAACATAAGGAAAGCCGAATATTCAAATTCACTCTCATTCGGTTCAATGTACATAACGATTTATGAAAAAACATTTCAAAGTCTGGCTGTCTGATAATTTCTATATATTAAACAACTATAACTTTTTCCATATTAATCTCTATTGATCAAATTCATCAATCTTTTATCATAAAAGACAGAATCCGTGTCTTGCAATGGTTGTTCAGCATTGAACTTTTTGCTTTAAATATAACAACACAGCTTTTTATTGCTAGTTTTTATTACAGACTTTACATTTTGTTTTGAATCTGTTTACATAATTAAAAAGACTGTTTTTTTTTTCACAAAATATGCGAAAGATTAGATATAATACTTTATGTTGCATTTAATGTGATGATATTATAGAACCTTTTTTTCTAATTAAGCATTATTTTACTTGTTTTCAAGATTTGTAGAAGAAAAACTTTGAATGATGTCTTCAAATTGGCCAATAATTTTTACGGTGTTGATAGTGTTTGCAGTTGTCTTCTTTTCCTGGCTGAGTTATAACTTTGACATGAATGGAGGTAAGAACACACAAAAAAAGTTCACGAGATCCGACTCGTTTGATCCCATTGTTTTGGTTATGACTTTAGCTGCTTACTTGCTTTGATTTATGCTTTGAAATACAAATTAATAGACACTGCATGATCGTGATAATGCTCTGTTAGTCAGTTTGCAAATTTCAAAAATACTGAGATGATGTAATGTTTTACATAAATTTTCAAGCTCTATACAAATCATTTAATAAAAATCTATATGAATTGAAATTTCTGTTTTTGTTTCTTTTTAGATTTTCATATTCCATACCTTATGAACTGCAAAAATGTCACTAGAGCTTTATTCAAATTCAAGCAACCGGACTTTGTACCCATCTTACCAATGGATTTAATACCATCGGATAAAAGACCAGTTCCTGCTGTAGACTATAAAAAACGTCATGAAAAACTTTGCCAAAATTCTTGGGAAAAAGAATATACTAAACTTCATGATGAAATTATAGAAAAGCAGCAAAACAAATTTCTCATCTATACTTGCTCTAGAGCAGGCTGGGGCAACCGTATACGTCGTATACTACCTATGTTTTATCTTGCTGTAATAACAAAACGAGCTTTTATTATTGAGTGTGACAAACCAATTTCACTGGACAGGTATATACCCCCTGCACATGTTCAATGGAACTACAAGGTAAACAAGACAGGTTTATCAGTTAGACACAGCTATTCAGCATTTAGCAACGTCAAAAACCAAACAGATCCAAAAGAATATGAAAATGATTTGACCTACAATGTTGAATACAATGCACACGTACAAGGTCCACTTACTCATCGTATGGCGTCTCTTCTTAAATTTAATTTGCCAAATGTTCCATTGGATGGATGTGCCTTTTACTATTTATTCAGAAAATCACATGATCTGGAAAATAATTTTTTATCATATAAAGCAAAGCTGGGTTTTAACGATAACTTTGTGATTGGAATACATATACGGGAAGGTGATAGACGCGAAAGATACAAACCAGGTGATATTGACAAGACTTGCAAATGCGCTGAAGATGTTGAAAAAATATTTTCAAAAAAATATAATACTACAAAAATAATTTGGTTCCTTGCTGCAGATTTCAATGATACAAAAACAAGCATTATAGAAAAATATGGGGAAAAAGTGAAGTCCATTGAGGGTCCTATTGAACATGTAGGACATCCAAGACATGGAAATGCAGATATTGGACAGCTTAACATGTTTCTTGATATATTTCTTCTTCAAGAAACCGATTTCAACATTTATGGTCACACATCGACTTTTGATCATGCTGTAGAATCCATATCTCCTGGAAAAAAAGTTTATCGTTAGCAAAAAGAGGAATGGCCTATGCTTGTAGAATACCAAATTTCCTAAATGCTCCTTGATTCGTAGGCCATAAATGCAATTTGTTTTGTCCACTAGTTGAGTGTGATCAAAAAACAGCAAAACCTTGGTTAATGTCAAAGTGAACTCATTTCAATTCACTCCTTTTTATAATAAAAATTTAACCATAAATTAAACAGAAATGAAATTTGATTAATGAAATCACTGATTTTTACGACGAACAAATAATAATTAAATTATATTAGCTAAAACCAAAAAAAAGACTTTTTTTATTGTAGATTAAGATACTCTTAGAAATACAGGCAGAAACAGAAATAGGAGCCTCTGGAAAACTGCAACACAATGATTCAGTCAACTTCACAGTAAGAACGTTAATGTTGGCATAAATTGCACATGCAAGAATAGATAGTAAACATTGCTAAACGGACAATTTCTTAAGAGCACAACAAAACAACGATCCAGAAACGAATTTCTGTTTTTGTTTCATTTTAGAGTTTTCATATTCCATGAACTGCACAATTGTAACCATACATCTTCTAGCAACATACCTGTTTTACTCGACTCTGATTATAATTTCGTAGATAGATGATCCACTAAGCATAATTTTCAGTTTATTATTAAGATGACAATCCAAGTTTTTCTTAAAAGTAGAGTTTTATTTGACAGCGTGATCGTTCCATATGTAACCTGGAGGGGTTTGTATTAATTACTGTCAATCCTAGAAGATAACAGGTCAGTCGCAGTGCAAGCACGTACGTTAACTGAAGGACGGCACTCATATAGATATATCCAAGTTATAATCTCTATACTACTTGTTATAAAAACCAATTGATTTCAAAAGAATTTAATGCGCAGAACAATGGTCTCATTAATGATCGGTCTGCTACCCTGATGCAGGCACAAAGTCTCTTCGTAACTACGGTAGTATTTATTCAACTGAAAAGTATTTACTCTCAGAGCAGAAAGTGTTGTTGAACTGAAAGTACGAAGTGTTAAAAATTTTAGATGGTGTAGGATAGACTTTAATCCACTTGTACATTAGTATAGAACGATTTTAAGTTTATTCCATTCACATAACTCGATGATGATTCGATCTTAACGACATAATACCGCATTATTGTCATAATTAATATATTTGTGACAATCGAGGATAAAAAAAATTTACATAACATTTTAAATGCATAAAATTGTTTTCATGCAGCGGTAACGAGGACAACGATATCATTGTTAGGAAAAATAAAGCAATTCATGTGGAAAATAGTTATTAAAGGCGAAAATCATAAAATTTGCCTATTGGCAGTTGTTAAATACATCTAGAATGTTTGTATTACAGTAAGTGTGATGTTTATATATATATTAGTACAAAATTCGATAGAGTTTAGTCTATATATACGTCTTTACACAATGTTTTTGTCATGTAATATTATAATTCTTACACCTGGTATTCTTTGCCGTATTATTGCTATGAGAAAAGACTTGTTCTAAAAATCTGAATAAAATAAACATATGTTAAATGAAGATTGTTATGATGAAAGTTAAGATAGCAAAGATACATCAACCTCTATTCACATTAAAATGTTCTGCATTTAGATCTTAATTCTATATATATTCTGTTGTGTAAACATGAAAATAATCTTTTGTTAGTAAAAGATGATCTATATCCACAGGAGTCGCTACATAAGTTCGGGTTCAAACCATAACTTCATACTCTTTAAAGTGAATGCTTTAAACCCAGGAGTAACGTTAACTGTTTGTAGATGTAGATCGTCCAGGTTAGTAAAGTCCCGAGAAGGACTGTTGATGTTGTTGGTGAGTGACTTTTCGACAACCTTAATGATGGTCATCTTCACTTGGCTCTGATGGCTACCGGTAACTCGGGACTCTACCAACCTGGACAATCTACATCTACAAACATGTGTTCATACTCTGTATTTTATTTATTGAATTAATGTCCAGTTCAAGCACATATAGAAAAGAAGGAGAAAGACTTTACCATAATAACTTTTATGAGTTACATCATTCAATAGGCTTATGTTTGTCGTAAAAATTTATACAACTCATTACTTTCTGTTTGACTCTCAGTCAAACTCATTTATCATTTGAAAGACGAACAACAACATTCAGAGCATTTTATTTGCATGTTCCACAGAAATGACACATTTTAAGTCAAACAAGATTGATTCGGTCTCGCCGTTGGGAAATGGTTTTACTCTATCACCAAGAAAAAAACACTGTCGTTCGAAATCTACTGGATCTTTGGGCTCACATGCGAGCACTTGGAATGAGGTTAGAACTTTGAACACATTTCTATAAATTTTGCGTGTTAAATTGACTTTATATAAAGAGATCATCAAAGTGATCACAGTTTCTTTAATGCTATTTATGGAATAGGCAATAAAGAAATATTTGTGTTGGATTTAACATCAAATATATTAATATATACGATTTTTAAACAAATGATGGAGTTTAACAATCAGATCGTCTCGGACCTATTTTTTGTGTTTTTAAAGTCTTGCTTTTACTTGCTAATTCAAGCACATAAGTAAAAAATCAAAGAAATGTAGCAGATCATGTAACGAAAGCATCGATAAACACCACGCTTATAGACAAAAGCTTTTTTGGAAAAGGAAAAAGAACAAAAGATCCCTTTTTAGAATTTTGTTGTATTCAGTGTATTCATAGTCATTTGTAATTAAAGGTAAGCCATTGAAATGCTTCGAAGTGTATTGGTAAATTGGAGAAAAAGCATGAATTGTTTTGCACTTAAAACGACCTGCAATCAGCAATGTGCAACACAAACAACACATATTAAATTTAAAGAATTTCAATGCGTGGTTCATACTAATGACATAACGACATAACGACAGTAACATACCGCTTGTGTTATGTTTGTAGTGTGAACTAAACTTTTTATCGACATAACTGCATCACAATGACGATATGAACAACACGACATGAGGAAATAATCCGGGTTTTGCAATTTTCATACCAAATGTAAAAAACTCTTTGAAAAATTAATTTGATAGCACCTCTTATATTTCCATCCATATCATGACATTCATTGAGTATTTGAGTAAAACAATGACTACACGTTCCTTTTGTTTTTCTGTACTGAGCAAGTTATGGTATTTATTAGCGTACGTACACTTGCAATTAGTTTTACCTGTTCTTTTATACCATAATTTTGGTTGTGCTTTCACCAAATACGATACCATAATATATGTATATAGTACTATTGTCTTGTCTTACCAAAGTGCGTACTTTTATGATGCTCCCCAAACAACATGACCAGTCACAGTCAGTTATTGATAATGACAAAGACATTGTGTGGAAACACTTTGGTTGAAAGTGATTGGAAATGCCTTATTTTTAAGTCTGTCTTTAATATTCGAAACGACTCTGTTCGAATAAGACGAGTATAATCAAGTTTTGTGTTCTGACTTTTTAGTAAATTGGCAACCACGCCTTTTTTATATAATAATTCAGTCAAGTAAAATGAATTTTATACATGCACCAGTGCATCGATCAATCGATAAAATAAATGATATCAATATACTTTTACCATTTTACTCTAAACTAAATATTTGTTGATTTCAAAATTTAATTGGTTAATTTCACATCGATATCATTCTCAATCATTTTGTTATGTCTAGGTTAGGTCTTAACAAATTTTAGCAATATTTTACTGATGTTGTACATATGATGACTCATACGCACAACAAGATTAATGTAAAGTTGTCCGTATTAAGTGATTTTATTTTGAACAAACAAAACATTCTTTATTGTATGCACGATTGCATATCCTTGCGATATTTTAGTACACCATTGGGGTTCTCGTTTCAAATTTTCATACTTCCATTACTCTCGATTAATCAAATGACACATAATCAAACAGAACACATTCATTTATTGTTGGTTTTATGAACCCAACCTACTGGAAGTCAATCAAGTCTATACATCCGCTTTTTGTGATCTAAAGATCCATACATTTGACAAAAATTATGCGGTCAACATAAAGCGTGAGGTATGTTATGATCACAATGAATAAACCACCGTTGCTCCATCGACAAACGTCAACAAAATCCAGAAAGGTATCTTCGATTTCGAGCTGCAGTCAAGACAGTAAGACTAGTTTTGTTTCATCACATAACTCTATTGGTGGCTTTATTGGCGACATTTCTTCGGAAGTATGAAATTCCTTCCTTATACTATATATGTGCATATACTGACTTTGAGTCTTGTACTGGTCAAATTTATTGTTGGCTTAATATAATGTTGACTTTTTCTTGAAAGAAGTTTTTATAATAATGATTGTAAATTGGAATCGCATCGACATTGTCCGACACTGCTTTGAATTGTGTAGCTATGAAATTGTAATATTTGTTGTAACTCAACATTTGCTAAGATCGACCAGTGTAAATGTAAACAATGTAGTTACATGTTGTTATAAGTATGCATACAATTTCTCAAAATCTTTCTGATATGTTTATACGCTCTAAAAGTTTTGTTTACTTTGTTGTTTAGAATGTTAATAGGTAGTCGGTATTTCGATTTGTTTACTAAGTAAGAACAAGCTATTTGATATCCCACTGATTAAAACACTGATGGAATTTTTTAAATTCCCATTCTCTTTATTGTAGGCATTAGTTGAATCATTACACAAAATTTACAATTTCACTCCGTTAAATTTCTAGGCTAGATCACGTGATCGCAGAATGATTTGCTTTTTGTAGAAATCGAAACAGTCGTGGATACGTGATAACTTCTTCTACAGAGATTGCTTTAAGTTTGTTGCTAATCCTAAAAAGACATCAGGCAATGTTTGTTGTTGTGGGAGATTTCTATCACACCATAAAGTTACTGATCACAACACTCTCACGTGGACACCAGCAACATGTACAAAGAAAATGCCTACGAACGCATTTGGAGAAATACAATTCGTTGGTTCAGCGAACCAATCTGCTAGAGCTCCAGTGAGTATTGATTAATGCAATTTTTAAGAGAAATCGTCTCGTACAGGGCAAGATCCTGGTTGCTTCATTCACGGAAACCAGAATTCCACCAACTTATATAATCGACAAAGTTATGTTAAGTTTTCATAATAATTTAAATCATCTTCTAATTAAACGAAAGTCGTGAGTAACAGTTTCATAGTCACACTAAAAAGCGTTTGAAGAAATGAAAACACTCATTGCTTTTCTACATTCTACATAGTATGTTCGTTTGGCTGAAGATACGAATGTGAACTTGGTAATGAAGCTGATCTTAAAGATTTGGAAGCTGGAAGTTCCAAACCTTGTCATTTCCGTAACAGGTGGAGCGAAATCTTTTCATTTGAAGCCACGTTTAAAGGAAGTATTTCAACGCGGTTTAATTAAAGCAGCAAAGTCTACTGGAGCATGGATTATTACAGGTGATTGCTGAGATCATTTAGAGGGTATGAGTTATTGCAGGGGATTACTGGGATCTTTTAATGATTGAGCTTAAATTGGACTAACGCTTAGGTGGCTATTTATCCGAGAGGCATATGATTTCATAGATTTGCAGACCTTGGGGCTCGTGTGGGCCCCATCAACTCAATAGACGTTTCGTGGTGTATGGATAGGTCAAGGAGGTTTTGTCCATGTCTGTGTGTTGTCTCGTTCAACTAAAATCTAATATAAGAAATATTTGTTAAGGTGGTACAAACACAGGAGTTATGAAACATGTCGGTGAAGCTGTGCGTCAGATGAAGATTGGTGGTGGTTCATCCCGTGATATCAATGTTATTGGTATTGCAACATGGGGAATTGTAGATAGAGCAGCTGACATCACATCTGAGGTACATTATACATTGTACATACAGTCTTGTAGATTTATTTAATTTTCTTTCAAAGCTAAAAATTAAATCATGCACACACAACTGACTAATTGTACGACAAATATTTTGTATATTTAAAATTGTGTAGAGTGGTCTTGGTCAACATCCTGCCAGGTATCGTAAAACTCCTGAGGAAACAACCAAAGCACCTTTAGATAGCTCTCATACACATTTCCTTCTTGTTGATAATGGCACTGTTGGGCAATACGGTGTCGAGATTGATCTTAGGTCAAAAGTTGAGGAGGCAATATCTAAACTTCATACTGAATCAAGATCTACTACAGGTTCGTCTCTCTGACTGAGCGTGAAATTTTTGATGTATAGACATCGCATGCTTGCCTGATACATTCTTTCATTAAGTGTAATGACAATGAGTATGTTTTACCCTGAGCGTCATAACTGTCAATGACTTCTTAATCTTAGGTTCCATTGAGGTTCCTGTTGTGATGTTAGTTCTTGAAGGTGGACCAGGGACATTAAAAACGATGACTGAAGCGATAAAGAAAAAAATTCCAGCTGTAGTTATTGATGGAAGTGGTCGTGCCGCTGATGTTGTTTCCTTTGCTTACAAACACACCATCTCTAGCACGTAAGTAGATATATATTATGAGAAACTACTAAAAACGGTTTATGTTTCATTATACGTCTTAAAATTAATTTATTTCATTAGTATAAGGGAGAGCTAGAAGCTTTGAGAATGCCGAATCGGATAATGTTGAAAAAACATAAAGACGTGAAAGATTTTTTTAGGAAAAATGGCAAGAACATTAATGTGATTGATCAAACATATAAAGAATTAGTCGAAGAGAAAATTGTCGATGTTTTTGGAAAGGAAAATCTGCTTAATGTTTACAAGATGATTGAGGATGTTGTTGAGGATGAAAAAATGGTTTGTTTTCTTTCAAATGAATGATGTTTAAAAAGAGCAAAAAATTAAATATATCTTATAAGTAGATATGGAAGTAGACTTTTAATTGCCATCTCAATTTCTCTTAAAAACTTCTAAATTTTTGCAGGTTACTATTTATCGTTTGGATGAAGGAGGAAATATGTCCCGTGATATTGATTTAGCAATTCTAACGTCTTTGTTGAAAGGTATTGTGAGAAGATTCTTAATCTATATTAAAGTAGTGATTGCTGAACGCTAAGTAAAGAAATGTGATTGCAAGAGCTTGATACCTTTACAGCGAGTCGTTCTAGCCCTTTAACGCAGCTAAATCTTGCTTTGGCGTGGAATCGTGTGGATGTTGCTGAAAGTGACATCTTTACAGAGGATTACAGATTTCATGTGAGCTAATAAACTGTATTTACAGCTAATGTTGTTCCTTGCATCCTTCATCTTTGAATAATGTCAATAATTGAAATCTATTATTATCTTTTTATTTGTTTTTTATTTTATATAGTCTGAAGATCTTTACAATCCTATGCTGACTGCCCTACTGGACGATAAGGCTGATTTTGTTAGACTATTTTTGGAGAATGGTTTGAGTATGACTGAATTTTTAAACGTCGAGCGTCTTACTATGCTCTACAAATCAGTAAGTCAAAGTCAAACATTATTTCGATTGAGTGAAATGTGAAGAAAAAACCTTTCCTTTTCATTGAATTGTGTAGGTTTCCAATAACGGTGTGTTAGGTTCTCTTGTCCGTCGTGAAATGGTATGAAAAAATTGATGCACTTGTGTCTCATTTGACATTGGTATTTTCTTTCAATTTTCTATAATTTGTTCATTAAAAACTACAGAAAAGACGCAATACAAAATATGTGACACCTCAGTTGATTGGATACGCTATAGAGGAACTTGTGGGTGACAGTTATCACAGTTATTATCTCAGATATCCTCGGTATTTCTGTGAGCCAAATTGCAATTCTTCACAGCTACTCCGACTGCGACCTTCTACTCCAGTAGCAGTTGTTGGTAAATAGAACAATTCATTTACTTTAGAACCATTCACATTAGAATCATTAAAACTATTTGTATTTTGACCATCAACACCGGAACTATTTACATTAGAACCATTTACATTAGAACCATTTACATTAGAACCATTTACATTGGAGCCATTTACAATGGAACCATTTACATTGGAACCATTTACATTGGAACCATTTACATTGGGGCTTTGATTTACTTCTTGTGTTGTTTCAGATGTCAATAACAAAGAAAATCCATTACCATTTCCGTTTCTTGATGTCTTCACATGGGCCGTGTTATCTGGTAAAAAAGATCTTGCGAAACTTCTTTGGGAGAAAGGAGTTCATCCTATTGCTGCAGCTCTTTTTGCATCCAAACTTCTGAAAGAAATGGTAAAATACTCACGAAATGATCATCAAATTATTGATTCTCTGGACGGGTTACTTAAACTGGCTGAGTAAGTAATGAGTAATGATCATATGAACTATACGTCTTAGCAGACATAAGGACGACATTCTAGAACATATTTTGAAAATAATTCTCCATTATATACAACAAAGAAACACAGACCTATCCTTTTGGTCTTTAAGTAAATTCTTCTCCCTGATTATATATGTATTTATAGCAATTATAGGGAGGTTTATATTGAAGCTATATAATATATAAATCGTGTATTTCTTACTAGGGAATTTGAAGGTTTCGCTGTTTCCATACTAGACACATGTTACACAGAAGATCAAGATCTTGCTCAGTCACTGATAGTGCGAGCGTTGAAACCATTTGGATCTCTTACCTGTTTGGACATTGCTCAACTGGCACAGGATCAAGATTTCATAGCTCACTCCAGTTGCCAAGTTTTATTTAACAGATTATGGATGGGAGGAATTATGTTAGATACACCTTGGTGGAAGGTTAGGAATTCGAATAAAGAAAGTCTCTGATGCATTAGTATGTATTTATGAATTCATGGACCGCTTAGTAAAGCAGCATTTGCATGATAAATGTACAGAAAATGATGAAACATTCAGCAACGTCACGGTGCTATGTTTTGATATATCCTACTATTTAAGAACTTGGTTGATAATTTTTGTGTCATGACACAATTTGAAATCTGAAGAATTTCTTAACCTGATATTAAATTTTTTCTTCGTTTCTAAATTTTAATGTTGTATTTCAGGTTCTTCCCTGCGCTTTTTTTCCTTTCTTGATATATCCATTAATTTTCTTTGGCGTGGACGAGTATGAGGGTGCAGAAGAAAAATTTTATAGCCAGGATGATTTGAACAGAAATACAATAATAAAAAAAGATAAAGAAGAAGACGACATTCAGAGAAATAGAAGTTATGACGACAATATAGAAATGGACGACATGCACAAAGTAAAAGCAAAAGTAAAAGAAGTTAGATCAACTCGACAGTCGAACTTTAACATTCTTTCAGAAGGTAAAAGTATTCGTTTCTAGCAAACTGTACGTAGCTAAATATGATTAACGTGGATCTTTCCGCCTGCAATATGTATACCTTAGAAAAAGTTTGTATGCAGGTTTATCAAAAAATAAGAATTTTTTTGAATAAAGCGGGAATTTCTACAGATAAAATCATAATTTTACTATCTGTTTAGAAACAAAATGCATCGTTAACAAAAAGTCTTAATTTTAATACAGAGCTTTTAGGTGAAGACGACGTCATGGACAATATTCTTCGTGTAACTAAAGTTAATTACATTCAACGAGTTTTGCGGTTTTATGATGCTCCGTTCACTAAATTTGTGACGAACATAGTAAGTCAACTGTCATTGCTCTTTTATATCAATTCAACTTATTGTTTCAATGATGTTTTCCATTCTTGGTGATGTTTTGTTGCGCTATGTTACTAGTGCTCCTACATAACATTCTTGGTGATGTTTTGTTGCGTTATGTTACTAGTGCTCCTACATAACTTTCTTGGTGATGTTTTGTTACGTTATGTTACTAGTGCTCCTACATAACATTCTTGGTGATGTTTTTTACGTTATGTTACTAGTGCTTCTACATAACATTCTTGGTGATGTTTTGTTACGTTATGTTACTAGTACTTCTATATAACATTCTTGGTGATGTTTTGTTACGTTATGTTACTAGTGCTCCTACATAGCATTCTTGGTGATGTTTTGTTACGTTATGTTACTAGTACTTCTACATAACATTCTTGCTGATGTTTTGTTACGTTATGTTACTAGTGCTCCTACATAACTTTCTTGGTGATGTTTTGTTACGTTATGTTACTAGTGCTCCTACATAACTTTCTTGGTGATGTTTTGTTACGTTATGTTACTAGTGCTCCTACATAACTTTCTTGGTGATGTTTTGTTACGTTATGTTACGAGTGCTTCTACATAACGTTCTTGATGATGTTTTGTTACGTTATGTTACTAGTGCTCCTACATAGCATTCTTGGTGATGTTTTGTTACGTTATGTTAATGGACTTCAAGAAACACAATGTTTCATCAATAGAATATCTTCTTATGACTTGGGTTGCTGTGTTAATAGTTGAAGAAATAAGACAGGTAATTTAAGTTGCCATCTCTTTTGCCATCTTCTTTATTTTATCTCAATGTCAACACTAATATCCATTATCCTTACTTGAGCAGATAAAAACATCTAGGGGTTGCGTGGCTTTTAATTATTTTATGCAAAATCAAAGAGCAACAGTGCATTAGTATAATTTGAACTTTTTAGTGAATCAGCTTAATGGCGATCTTCTTTTTAGATGCTGTCTCAACATCCTAAGAATATTTATGAAAAGATCAATCTTTATTTGGCAGATGCTTGGAATTTTATTGATATTTTATCATTGCTGGCCTTTGCAGTTGCATCCATTCTTCGATTTTTCCCCGACAATTTTGATGGTGATTTATTTGAAGCTGCTAGAATTATTTATATTCTCGATATAATATTGTTTATCGTCCGCTCTTTTCAAATGTTTTCTGTGAGCAGACAGTTGGGACCAAAGCTAGTCATGATAAAAACTATGGTAAATCTTCTTTCACAATCCACAATCTACAATGATTCATTGTTTCATACATGCAAAATTTAAATTAATAATCGTTTTAACTGTTTGTGGTGCTTGCCCTTATTTTAGATAGAGGACCTGGTGCAGTTTATCATAATCTTGGCTGTGTTTATACTCAGCTATGGTATTGCGCTTCAGGCTGCGTTGTATCCAAATTCAGTGAATCTATGGAATGTTCTTAAAGGCATCATTGAGAAACCTTACTTTCAAATGTATGGAGAGCTTTTCTATGAAGATTTTACTGGTAAGATTGAATAAATTTAGATTTAATTCAATTATGCATGATACATGATGCATTATTTTTCATGTCATTTCTGAATGTCGGAGGAGACCAAAGTGCTTGTGACTTCTGAGTTTACAATTACATAGGGAATTTCACTAGCTTCAAATCAGGTTGATCGATTTAAAATACCGTTTTGTTACTAAAGTGCAGCAAAGTGAGCTTATAATTCAGGCATGTTATTAACTTAATAGTAATTGTTTAGGTGACGGTTTTCGATGTTTTTTCTTTTCTCAACGAGAAAACATTTTGGTTTTTACAGATAAAAGTTTGAATATTCATGCTGATGTAAGATGGCTCGGTCCAGCTTTACTCGGAGTTTATATGTTGTTGACCAATGTTCTTCTTTTGAATCTTTTAATCGCCATTTTCAAGTATGTAGAGAGCCTATAGCTCTAGCACTTCACTAAAATTATTAAACATGTCAATTTTTTGATAAACGTTGTAAAGCATTAACAAAGGTTTTTTTATGCTGTTTTTATAACTCGTAACAAAATTGTTTTAAATATTTTGTCCCAAAACATGTACAGTCCCAATATTTTAATTGTACTGTTTAGTGATTTAGATTTCTAAAACATCAAAAGGTACCGTGGAAGTTTTTTTATATTTATTCATTTCCAGTTACACATTTGAAAAAATCCAAGAAAGCTCAGACAAAGTGTGGAAGTTTCAGCGTTATAATTTGATTCGTGAATATCTCGCCAGACCAACCTTAGTTCCTCCATTCATGATTTTATCGCATATTTTCATATTCATTAAATGGATCGTACAAATGTGTGGTTGTGGACCCAAGCCAGTTGTCGGAAGTGCTCTAAGTGAGTTAAAGACATTAATTAATGAGACTTGAGGTTTTTTCCTTCTTTTTAAGCGAATCCAGTCACCATGCAAGTAATATTTATTAACTATAATATCGTTAAACTTGTGCATGTGTAAATTTTTTGGTATTTTTACCACAAATTTCATGTCGATTTAAAGTTATACAACTGCAAAAAACGGTTAAGATCACATAACAGTACAATTAATTTCTTTGAGCAATTATTTAATAACTCGCTCCTTAAATTAGCAACAACTTCTTAATATTTTTAAAAATTTACGTTTCTGGTAAATTTTCGTACATTTTCACTTTTGAACATTTTTGTTGTATTGCATGGCTTTTTATGAGATGTATATCCTGCTCAGCCTGCTCATTTTTGTATTTCTTAGAACTGAATTTAAACAAACATGAAAACGACCAGTTATCCATTTTGGAAAATCATAGTAGAGATCTTGGATTGTTGAGAAAGAATGCAGAAAAAGACGAGAAAGTTGAGCAGAGAGTCAGGAATATTAACACGAAGTTAGTAGCTATACTTAAAAATAGAAAGAGAAGGGAATATTTAAGTAAATTTTCCTTCAAAATTACGACATTCTGATAACTTGTTAAAGAAGTACGATGGCCAGTTTTAAACAATATTTGTCATTTTCCAGAATCGATGAGCTAAGCAATCAACTAGAAAGAATGATGGAGGCATCATTTGAGCCCGGCTGTAAAGGTGATGATGGAAACAAAAGTAACAAAAATCGTAATTTAAGATCAGCTCATCATTCCAGAAACTTTGAATCAACGATTATGGCGAGAATAAATAACGTAGAAGAACGCTTGCTTCAAACATCAAATACACTGGAAAAGATTTTAGAAATTGTTTCATTGACTTCTCACGTAAGAATCTTTTCTCAGAATTTATATCTTGCTTCTGTAATTATTCATGATATGAATCGATGTACAGTAATGATGACTACAAATGTTGTAATATTGCACACTTTTGCAGTTGTAGCTATACATGTTATTTACTATACTTACTAATTGGAAGATGTGTTTTAAAAAATATTTGACAATGCTATAGATGTGTACCGAGGCTGAAGGCCGAAGGCTGAGATAAGATCTGAGACATAATGAAAATTTATTTTGGTATTTTTATACTAAAAAAATTTTTTGACGCGTTTTGAAACTTGTCAGATTTCGATGTTACAAAAATTAATGTCATATTTTTCTTTGATTTAGCTCAGAGGAAGTTCTTTCTTTACTGCTGGTCAGTCAACGATACAATGTGGAGAGTTCTTTAAGCTGTTTTGATGTTTGTTAAATCGTTCAAGTATTGTCTCTATCTCTAGGTCGTAAGTCTATTCATATAAAATCGAGAAAATCTCCATATCCTATGAGCATGGTTGGGAGAATTTCGTTACCTGATGAGTTAGTTCCTTGGGAGGTTTGTATTATTTTCCTAACGTAATCAAGCTATATCTATGCTATCCAAACTATACATAGCTACAATATATTACTAGGCGTCATACCCCGACTATAATCCTCCTACATACACATCAGATTCAGTAAAAAGAAAGCCACCTTGGGCTGACGTTGATATCATGTCGAGGTAATTAATTTACTATTTTTCATGTATAGTATAATGTATGTAACAAATCTGAGTTACATGTTGGTTGGAAAAATCAAATGAACATCATTGTTAGGAGTGAGAGAAGAAGATGGTGGACTCGTCGTTGAATCACAGAGTTATGAGTTTTTCATTTTAGGCATCCTCGTCCCGTTTTGAAATTTAATAATTTTGATGACGAATGTAACGTGGACCGACGTAGCTACACTGGATCATATAAAGTAGTAGATGGGCTTCCTTTGTAAGTACATTTTTATTAAATATATTATTAGTAGCTGGCGCACTCTGCTAAGAGTTAATGGTATGTGGAAACTTGATCGAATCTCTGCCATTACATAGATACGTACTTGACGCTTTTAACAAGCGTGTCGCGCAAAGTTTTAAATTTCTATGAAATTCTTTCAGTAACCCAATGGGTCGAACAGGACTTACTGGTCGTGGCTTACTGGGACGATATGGTCCAAATCATGCTGCAGATCCGATTGTTACCAGGTGTAATGTCTAAATAGAATATATGAACTTTGAGAGAAGTGCATTAGTTTACGGAGTAAGAAATTCAAGATAATGTTCATCATTCAGTTGTAATTTTATTACAGATGGAAAATGACAAGCTCTGGTGCGCTGATGGAAAACGGAAAGAAAGTGCTCGAGTTTGTAGCTATACAGCGAAGGGATAATCAAGAATGGGCCATTCCTGGAGTAAGATAGTTAAAAAAATAATTGTTTTCTTGACGTTGTTTGTATACTTGGCTGTTGCAATTAGAGTTGGAACATGTTTTGTAGGGAATGGTGGAACCAGGTGAACAGATATCGTCGACATTAAAAAAAGAGTTTATGGAAGAAGCTTTGGCAGGCTTAGACATGGACGAGACAGAACGAGAAGAATTAAAACGGCAAGTTGATGCTTTGTTTCAACTAGGAATTGAGGTAAACAGATCGATTGTGAATTAAAATTTTTATAGAAGTCAATTAGCTAATATTCAGAAAAATTGCCAGAAAAATATGTAGTTACTGATTTCGTCCACAACTTACCGTATTCTACCTTTAAAGTGTAATAACTGTGCAATCTAAAGCTTGGGAGACTGTAAGACCTAAAGCTGGACTTTTAAAATTTACAAACCACGCTGAACTTGCTTATATTTTTCATCGCATAGTTCAAATTTGGCTTTTACTTTGACTTTTAATGAACTCTCATTACAGCAAAAAATTATTTCATTCTTATATTAAGGTGTTCAAAGGTTATGTTGATGATCCAAGAAATACTGATGTTGCCTGGATTGAGACCATTGCAATGAACTATCATGATGATAGTGGAGAAATATTTAATAAAATCAAACTACAGGTAAATGGTCGTCAATCTGCAACATGATATGTGGTTATATATATGCTTCTTTTTTCTTTGATTTCTGGAGATTTTCTTATCGTTTGAGTACAACAGCATGCGATATCCTTAGCTTTTCCACTTATTTAATTTAACCAGGCTGGCGATGATGCAACTGCTGTGCGATGGCAAAGAGTCAGCGGTAATATTCCACTATATGCCAATCACGTTGCTATATTAGAGAATGTTGCAAATCGTCACAATGCAAACTTTTGAACATCTCAAAGCAGTTTCTAAGGCTAAAAACCTTTTAAAAGTTCAATAAATAGTTTTAGCACTGTCCGTTTGCTTTAGAGAAAAATTTTAGTGTTATTTATTTATTATGTAATATTTTACGTAATGTTTAAGGTGTTTTAAGAAGTGACGTGCTCATGTCTAAAGTTTTTGTCCTGCTATGTAAATTTCAGAGCATTTGAGAGAGATATTGTTTTTGCAGTTTGTAAACAAAGGAAAATTTGCTCAGCAGGAATGAATTTTCTGATTGGCTACGCCACTGGCCTTTGTTGTCTTGTTCACAATAGCTACGTTTTGAAATAAATAATGTAAAAAATAATCGAAACTAATTTACTGTCAAAAATATTCCATAGTATATTTGATCTTAATTTGGAACAATCATATTGGCTAATGCAGGAAAAATTTGTTCCTATAAAAATGTAGAGCACATTGTGCATTGCTAAGAGCTTAAAAAGAGTAACTTTGATCGGCTGTCGCTAAAATTTGCTTGTAAAATGATTTTACACATCATTCCAAAAAACCTACCAAAAATAAAACTGGAAGTGACTTTTCTTAAATTTATATGTTCTTGAATTCGAACTTAATAAGTAACTTAAAAACGAAAGTGAAAGTTTATGATCTTAAAATGAAACGGTATCGTGATTGGAGGAAGGTCGTTTCCGGCAAGGCTATATAAAACCTTGTACACATATTCAATTTACTATTAGAAATCAACCAACAGTCAGTCAAAGACTTAACAGTCTAAAATATACTCTCGTTAATAAGACTTCACTACGTATCAATTTCTTCACTGATTGTTAATCAAAAATTTCAATCAAAAACTTATCCCCATATTCTATATGCTCACTCACACTCAGTGGAGTGAAAATTCCGTTTTTAAATATTTATGAGAGTGGGAGAGCGAGAGCGTTGGCGTGTCTAGCTATCCTAAAATATAAATAAAGTATATTATTGATTGCATTACCATAATTAACTTCCGTTCACCATCGGTGGTGTGATATAGTGCAGTCATCATTTCTCGCTACAAGTACCAAGGAAGATTTTCAGTCATACGACGCTGAACAAAGTTATGTCCGATTGGAAAGATATTCTACGTGATAGATTAAGTCTCACTTTGCCTGAGCCAGTTAAATTACTTTTTGATATAGCATATTCGTACGGCGCAATATGGGCAATATTTATTGCAGTAATTATGGCCATCATTTTCCATGTTTGTGATTACAACTTTATTGCCATCTATGCTGGTCGTCGAATAGCAATAGACATGTCAAGAACACCTCCAAACCACTACGTATACAAGAGAACAATTGACGTAACCGATATCATTAATGGCTTAAATCAATTGACACGAAGTAACCCAGAGCGAGAGGTTCACGCTATAATTAGTGGTGGACCTGGAGCCGGAAAGTCAGAACTTGCAAGACAAGTTGGAGAAAAAATTTACCATTCAGAAAATAAACCTATCATGAATTTTGACTTGTCATTCATTTTACCCCCAACAGACGTCATCACATTAAATGCAGATAACTTTGAACTACTTCATCGTTCTCTCGAGGAAGCCATTGATACAATACAAGGAAAGGAATCTAAATCTATGGGTTATGATAGACCTGGGGATGAAGAAATGATCTTTTCAAAATTTCATCAACTTCGAGTTGCTTTAAAAACCGTTCAAGCCTTTTGACGAACCCAATAATCATATTTGATAACGTAAAGGGGGCCATGTTTACATTCTTGTACAAAAAACGACAAAATGGAAAAGGCTTTTTGAATGCTGGAAGTAAGGAGTATGGTAAAATACGAATTATTGTCGCCACACAACGTCGACCAACGGCGATATTGCCTTCTTTTATATGTTACAAAGATTTGGCTGATCCAATACCAACTGATGAAGCGGTAAAATTGTTGAATACAATTACAAATATTCAGAACGATGATCAAAATGCCGCTTACTTAGCAAAGGCACTCAGCGGGTTTCCTAAATCTCTTGTAGATGCTGCTTTTCATATTCAAATAGGAAGACGCCGAAATGTTTCATACCGACTTTATTTGGAAGAATTAGAATTGAGTAGAAAGCGTTACTTAAAAAAAGTCAACTTTTCTTGGGCTGAAGTCACGGATCAAGGTGTATCGTATAACTTCACGGCATATACTGCATCACTAATGCTAGTTGAGCAATATTTCCTTGATCCAGATCATGGGCGTTTATACAAGACTTTGGCCTTTTTTATTGGTTATTGTGGCTCTCCAGCAATCTCATTGACACTTTTTGAAAAGTATGTTAGTCTTGATAGCGATTTAAAAGACTACGTGGAACTTGAAGCCGTCGGTATTTTAGTCGGAAAGACTTCGTTGTATGACGTGAAAGACAGAAATCGTGAACATTATCTCATACTGACCCATCAAATTACAAGATTTGCGTCGTTTGATGCGTGGAATAAAAAAGTAGAGACCGAAAACGACCCAATACATGTTTTTCAAACTTCAATTGCGCGTATTTTTGAGGCCTTAAAATCAGAGTTCAACAATACGCGTGATCAGGAGGTTGAATATACAAGTTCTAGTTTCAAAGTCATTGATGTGGTTATGTCTTTGGTGACAAAGATCCACGAGAAAAAGTTAAACATCTATAATATTATCAGCAAGGAATTTTGTTGGTTATTTCTTTATTCGATTGGGCCAAACAGTCACAAATCTGCTATAATAATGCCTAAAGTAGATTTTCTTGTAGATATGGTTGACGACAGCTATCAAAAAAACAACATAGAAATATCTTTTCTTTTGTCCGTTCTCTTTTTTCATAGCACAGGAAATCAAGAGCCTGGAAACGTAAAAAAGGTCGTTAAAGCGATAGAAGAATTGGTCTTAAACTCCTTATCAAAGCCAGATAATATTTCCATTGAGAAAAAAGTATTGTTGATCAATATGATTGGAACTGTATATCGTGGGCTAGCTCAGGATTGGCTGAAAGCGCAAGAATTGCATCAACTTGCATTGAATCTTTCAGAAAAGAATAGTTTAAAGAATGAAGAGGCAATATCACTGCACTTGCTTGGAATTATTCATCGATATCAAAGAAATCTTGATAAGGCTTTAACGTATCATGAAAAAGCAGTAGAACTTGCCAGACGGATTTTCTCTACAAAAGAAAAAGGTCGACTTGCTGAATTCTTACTAAATTTGGCCGTAGTTTACAATCGTGTGAAAGAGTTCGACAAAGCTCGTCAAATGTACGAAGAAACCTTGGAACTGGTTAAAAAAGCATATGGTCCACGACATCAACGAGTTGCAAAAGTTTTAAATACTTTATCGACCAGTTATTACGCTTTAGGAAAATATCCGGAAAGTATAAATGTTTTATTGGAAGCTCTTAGCATTCACGAGGAAATTCATGGTGACTACCATCCTCACGTAGCGGAAACATTGTATTTTCTTGGATTCACATATCGTTCCAATGGTGATCTCTCAGAATCTCTTCAAGTGTTGAAGAGATCTTTGAAAATAACACAACAATATTATGGAAATAGACATTTTAAAGTCGCTGAAATTTTACATGATCTTTCTAATACGCAAAGAGAACTGGGTATGCTTAATGATGCCCTAGAAAATGCTAATACATGCGTTCATATTTTTCGAAAAACATTAGGTGAAAATGATTCAGCTGTTGCAACATCTTTGAATGGTGTAGGACTTATTTATTTAGAGCTTGGTGATTCAGTTACAGCTCAAAGAAAATTTGAAGAAGCTCTTAAAGTTTTGAGAAACTTCAGGAGCATGGTTTTCAAGGACTGAGTATTAGCGAGACACTTGGAAATATAGCTTTGGCGTTGAAACACCGTAAAGAAACCGAGAAAGCAAAAGAGTATGTTTCAAATGCTTTGAACATAATTTTAAAAGTGCACCCTGAAAGTCATCCACGGGTTAAAAAACTACGTGAGTTGGAAAAAAATCTTGAAAATATCAATGAAAATGAGGAAAAATATGTTGATGCACCTTAGATAAAATGTGTTAGAATGTACATTTACCCATGTACAATCAAGTGAGCTCAAATTTGCACATTTAGTGAACAACTTATGTAATAATGCGTTCGCCCTTTTTAACTGAAATTTTAAGCGATATAAATATGCAATAAGTTTTACTTAACAAAAAAAAACAAAGACACAATTACTGTAAAACAAAATTTAGATATTGCACTATGAGTGACGGAGTATTGTCATTTTACTTTATAATTGGATGTCATTAGCAATTAAACGAGCTGCTTTCCACTGAATCACGATTTGTTGATGTCAAAAGTAAAGGTTTGGGATTCAGCCTACCTTATACTCGTAAATTTTTCCTACATCAATCATTTTTTTAAAATCTAATGCTTATACTCAGTGGCGTAACTAAATGGGGGGGGGTGCAGTGGTCCCCACCAAACGCTTGAATATGTGTCTGTCGGAAAATTTTAGATGGTTGTCGGAAATTTAATTTCATTAATTGCACCTAGTAGTGTAAATAGAACAGCACTCGCAAATGGTGTTCAGTAATAAATAAATTTACGGATATAAGAAATTCAAAATACTAAATACTTGCAGTAAAATACTTTAACTTTTAAAGCCAGAACCGAACCCTAACACTACCCCTAACCCTAACTATAGATTGTTTTTCTATTACTTTTGTTATAAAGCACAAAAGATTAAAGGGAGATTGATGAGCATGAGGCAGTTCCAAGTGATGTAGGAGATCTTTTGTCTTTTTTGATGCAGGAGAAATTGCCAGCTCAATTTGAGAAAATCACAACGTTGCTAAGACTTATTCTAACATTGCCTGTTTCTTCCGCACACGATGAAAGGTCATTTAGTTGTTTAAAACGTGTCAAAACCTTTTGTGTGTAGCACAATGAGGGAATAACGATTGTCCAACCTTGCATGTATTTCCATCAATCGGGAATATGTTTCGTCTGTTGCACTGAAGGAACTACAAAAACTATTTTTAAATGCAAAGACCAGGAGAAAACGTTTTAACCCAATTGTATTAAACAAAGTTTTTACTGAGAGTTTTTAGTTACAACTGCCTCTGCTTTTTTTTAATTCTTCCCAAATTTCCGACTCTTTGGTTTAAATGAGATGTTTAAAAACGAAGAACAAATGAAAAACGTAATTTCGGAGTTATAGCTAGTTACGAAATTTCCATGACTTTGATAATAATTTGTAAGTAATCGATTAAAATACATACGCTATAAATAAAAAATATAAGATAATCATCACTTTTGTTTGCAAAATGAATTGTGGCCACGCTCGTTGGCTATAGTGCACCCGCTTTTTGTCGGAAAATTTTAGACTTTGCATCCCCACTAGAAAAGTCCAGTTACGCCACTGTTTATACTGCAAGTGAACATATATGATTTATATGTGCATGTATGCCTATAATCATTGATACTTTCAAGCTATTTCTCAGGGACACATAACTGGAGGTCTTACCTTGGAGGGTGAATGTTTATAAATTCTGCGCTGCTCGACTGATTTCTTTTGAAAACAGATGTACTTATCATTTATCAAATCAACGAACCAGAAGACTGAAGAGTACTAAAATACGTGTTAGTGACGTTTCTTTATGCTTTCGACAAAATTAAGACTGGTTTTGACACTTTTTCACTACACTACCTGTGTTTTTACTTAACCTGCAGTCGTAAATCAAAGACAAGAATGAATACTTTCCACAATTACGGCGAATAATCAAATGAACATGATACTTCCGTTGAAATATAATACTCCCAATGAAAGAACCATGTTCAACAATATTTGAGAAACAAACAAAACAGTTTTTCTTTCAGCAATATGTGGAATTTCAATATTGTGTTGAACTTGGACCTTTTGTTCGGAGTATGTTTCTTATTATACTTCCCTTGAAATAAATACATTCAAGCTTGACTGGACATGCGAGCCATCGATTTATGATTTCACAAAAATCATTTGTCAAAGTACAACACATTTTTAATTCTAAAAATGATTCGTTATTCGTTAAATCTAATGGAGATAAAAAGTTAGGCATGCTGACTGAAAAACGGTTTTCTCAATGGGTTAGATAACCAATGATTATGAGCTGTAGGGTTGGAATTGGCTCCTTTGAATAATGACAATTATAAATTTAACAGCTGAAAACTGTTTAGATGCGTATGCATGATTAATACTTTGGGCTTAAATAGTAGCGACAAAATGAATAAATGATATCTCAAGCCTGTTACAGAAACTCGTTTATGTCGTCATGGTAGGTATTATGCACGATAAAAATTAATATTTGCTGTCGTTGAAATATCATATCTTAGCGTCCTGCGTTGACCAGCTGACGGATGTAATTCAGCGAGAGTCACAAACGTGCAGTCGCTATTCACGCATTCACGTTGAGTTGCATTTTCATTGTTGTTTATTGGATCAGATATTTCATCGACTGGCAGGTGTTCTTTGGTCAGAATAAAATATTACTTGGCTATGTTAAAAATCGAACGACACTACAGTCTCTTTCAAGTGACGTGAAGCGACTCAAAGAGCCGACTCTCTGCATTAAACGTTTTACTTGATTTGGATAAAGGTAAAGGCTAAATCCTTAAAATATATTTGTGTGCTGATTGACAACAAGTCGACATTTAGCTTGCGTTGTTGTATCTGGGAGATATTTTGTCGCTGATCACTATTTAAACGACGGGCAAAGCGTTTTGTGCAATTTCATGTATGTATTTGTTGTTTTCTTATTCGTACTTAGGCAGAATTTTACAAGGGATTCTGCAGTTGATTCAACATGAATGAAAATGGCGAAGCTGAAAGTCGATCGAGAACACCTTCTCCTTTGTCGAGATCAAGCTCTAGAAGTTCAATAGGTCAGTCTCCAGCGCGCACATCGCTTCTGAAAAGAAACCAAAGTTTGAGTGCTAAACAAATACGTTTTTATCGAAATGGGGACAAATATTTCGTCGGATTGAAACTTGCTGTGTCCAGTGAACGCTACAAAGAATTCTTCGCCCTACTTGTCGAGCTTTCGAACAAGCTAGAACTCAAGACCGGAGCGGTTCGTTTTGTGTTTGATGCAGACACTGGTCGACTAATAACTGATGTTGGCCAGTTGAATCCGAATTCGTCGTACGTCTGCTCATCATCAAACAATTTTAAAGAAATCGAAGGAGGCTATGGTCAGTCTCAATCAAAAAATTGGAGCACTGGGAGCTCAAGAGATCGCCATGAGCTGACAAACTGGCCAAAATCAAATCTTCCTCGGATGGACAACAAACGGGATTTTATAAAGCCAAAACTTGTGACTGTGGTCAAGAATGGAAAACCGCCACAAAAGAAAGTCACAATGCTTTTGAATAAGAAGACAGCTCTTGATTTGAATCAAGTTCTGGACCATTTGTCTTCAAAAGGAACCCTTGGTAAAGTGGATCGGTTGTGTTCTTTGAGCGGGCGTGAGGTAAAGAATATTTTTATTCATATATACGTATCTTAGACCTGTGCTAAAGGATTTTCGTGTCTTTTTAGCTTCACGTTGCACCTAGTAAATTATTAATGATTGTTGTGTGTCATATTGTATTGTCAACGCTAAGTTCAATACATGTGTCTGCTCTTGATGTCTAGCTTTAAGTTTCTTGACATAAAGTTTCTTTTAAACGTTAATTATTGCTTGTTAAAACTTCGAGTGAAAATATATTAAAATATATCAATAAAATAATATAGATTTCTTGAAAAAGTCCTATATTTCGGTATTTTCGAACAATTTACGCAAGCCGTAAGCCTGTAATATTGATATAAGCTGTTTGCAGGACGATTGTTATTTCAATATTGTACTGTTAAAAGTAAGCCTTGCCGCTTTACGATAAAGATGTCATTTCCGTTGTCTCTTTGATTTGGTTATCGTTTTCCTTTTTACACAAAGATCTCAACAATTTTATTTGCACAAAGTTTGCCTTGTACGTGCTTAGTGGTGTCGTCCTTGATTAAAAATAGCTTTCTAAACAAGGTTTATTTGCTATCCTTTTTGACTAAAAATTAGTAAGTATGAGTAAATATTCGGTGTAGACTATAGATGCACTCTGAGTTAGACATGTGTCAATTGATATTTGTCTATAGTCTCAAATTCCTATTAATCGAGGAAACTGTATTAAAATGTTCGGTACATAGAAAGTATTATTTCACACTTGGATAAACAGTGGAATGATTGGACAGATTATTAAGTAAATAGAAAAGCATTCTGAAACTATGAAAGAAAAGCTGGCTTAGCAGCTGCGTAAATGATATGAACTAATGATCTTTTCAATGGCGTTCTTCTGCCAAAACCATATGAATAGTGTGTTATTATAAACTTAAATTCGCGAAATATTTTAATAAAACAATATAAAAGAAGAATAGGCAAGCTCAAAACTTTACGTAATCAAGACTATCGAAGTTTTGAGAATGAAATGTACCTCGCCTCGTATTCAATAAAATATTTCGACAGTTTAGCTACCGAAAGAATCTTTTCCCGAATGAATCTTTTAGCGAACACTCGAATGAGCATATTTAAAAAATTTGTCATTTTTGCTGTTGATGTTTGTGATTATCATGGTTATTTCGTATTATCCCAGACAACAATACAACACGGCCTTACATCTGTTCCTCGTTTCTTGAAATAATGGTATTTGGCATTAACGATGTTTTTCCTCTGTCTTGAGAGGAAATAGATTCATAGTGTTTATAATTTGACAAAGTTCAAAGAAAAATTATACATTTTATTTTAACTTATTTTATGAAAGTTACATCAGATACAATAGTTACAATAATACACAATATGGCTACAACATGTACTGACAGAACTTATACATATATAAGCAAAAATAACTTAATGAATCTCTATAAAGCTCCCTCTCAAGTCAAGAAGAATTAAAAACGTCGAACCACGATTAATAGCTCATAATCATTGAGTTAGAAGTTGTGATGAGTCAAAAAGGTGCCACAGATAGCGTTATTAACAGGTGTTAGTTGATAGGTAGTGCAATATGTACAAGTTGTGTTACATTTCACACATACAGACTTGAAAATTCTTGGGTCAGCTGGATTAAAATGTTGTCTGTGAAGTCTTCATAACACTGAAATGTGTTTTGAATAACGCAATGGATTAAAAAATATTGCAAAGAACATGGAAGGGTGTTTCAAACGTTTGTGCAGCTCTGAAATAGAAACTATAATGGTTCTACTTTCAGGCATTATGAACAAAAATGCCATTAGTCATGTTTGAGCATCTAGTTCTTTCAAAGAGGATTTCATGCAAATGCGAGTTATTTATTATGTTTGTGACGACATAGGCCATGTCTAAATATTTTTGCCTGTGGCATTATGGGATTGATTGTCATGGTTTTCATTTCTTATTGTAAAAAATGTTGTTTTGAGCATGACATTCTATTGAAAATCAAAATTTTACGAAAGCAATTGCGTTCGAATGAAAGTATTGAAAAACTCGGAAGTAAAGCGGAACTTTTACATATACAGAACTATGTAAAATAGTTATTTGAATTATTTTTTTCCTTGAAAGTTGCCCGCAATTTTAAAAGGCATTTGCATGCATGCTGTAATGGCTAGATGATAAATACATTGTTGCAGTTGCCAGTAATTGCCCGAGACCTGTTTTAACAAATGTGATAAATTTAGAAATCGAATACATTTATGTATTACTTAAGTTTCTATAAATTACACGAAACATAAAATCTTTTATAAATATATATTTGTTTCCTTCAAATTAACACATGACTCTCTAGGATAACACGTGGTTACCCATTGCGTTAATCAGTGACCGCAGAACCTGTTCAAAAGTGGAGGGGTGACAGAATAGTGCGAGAACATACTTCATATGTGGGACGATGAATTTTACCCAATAACTTTCTTGCTCTTAGGAAGGGGTGTCCTGGTAATGTATATTTGTACTGGTTTTTACACCAAAAAATAAGATTATTGTTTGCAAAAGCCACGAAACAAATTGAACAATTTGTCACAAAAGCTAATTTGAAAGAATTTTAGTTGGACTTGAATATTGTATGACTTAATTTACGTATCATTGTGGCTGAGTCATAAATTTTTATCGGTGAGCTTAAAAAAAATGGGATAGCTGAGCTCGTGAAGCGGTCCTTGTTTTATGAACTGTAATCAACTCCATTGTACTAAATGTTGAATGAATTGTCTCTTGGATTCAGTTTCATGTTTGTTTCTATTAACTGATATTTAATTACGCCCGTACCTTTTCAGATCAAAGAATTGCGCGATCTGTTCGAAGAAGATATGATTTTTATTGCATTTTCATCAAATGAAAGATTTCCTGAAGAAGGATTTGACGTGGACGTACAAAGTGAGTTTGTATAATTTTATAAAGTATTTATTTCAAATAATCCCAAAATGTTTTACGATATTTCTTCTCATACACGTCTTCCAAGTTTTTAAGAACTAAGTACCTTCTGGAAAGTGTTACTCACTAAAGATTTATGAAAGAAAATTTAATTTCGCTTTTGTCGTGTGTAAAATTTCGTTTTTCGTTAAACAATGAAAATCAAGCGTATTAATTAATGTATGTTGATGTTTCTACGAAATTTATTTCAATTATTTAGCTTCACATTTATTGGTATCAGTTTCTTTATAAACTAGTGTATCTTTCTGTTCTGTAATTCCTAGTTAATTGTCGAATGATTTTTAATATTTTTCAAGTGAGGTTTGCAAATGACCAAATCCTTTTTTGGATTTCCAATCACCCAAAATATTAAAAAAGTTGATAAAATGATTTTATATGAAATATAATTGTTTGTAACTAAACAGTAATAATGAATTAATGAATTAATAACAATAAATGAATCTGAAATTGACAAAATCATTTAGGTGAAGACAAAATAATTATCATAATCACCATTGATGTAAAATATGTAAAAAAGAAAAAAATCATGTGCTCTTAATTAAACAACTAACCAAATTTGTTTCTATGTTTTGTGTGCCGAGTTTTCACGTCGGTGGCAATTAACTGTGGCGGTGGAGGTAGATGAGGGCATAATTTGAACAGCAAGCAATTCTAACCTTTAAACCAACAAAACTTCATAAAAACATGACTTTTTTCAAACCATGAAGATCTTATGTTTTAGAGAATACATATAGAAAGAGATCATTCGAGTTTAATGGCTATGAACATTCCCAATTGAAATATCTTTTCCTATTGCACACATAGGTCCCAAACAGTCTTGGAACAACTCAATAAGACCTTCCCGCCCTGCCTACATACCATCGTTAGAAAGTTATATGGGTTATTCCTGGAAGGATCTTCCAAGGGCAAGATGTTTAGCATGTGCACTTAAAGCTCTAAACGCCTCAAACACTCCACCGCCACATGTACACCAGAGACGTCGCCCCAAGTCCGCTCCACCTAAACTATCGTATCCAGCAGCAAGATCCAGTAGAAGGTCTGACTCTAGACCAAGTACAGCTTCATCATTACGTTCTAGTTTGCCCCTAAAAACGCCAAAATCTCCTAAAATTAGTCCGACCAGCGTCACAGATGGTTCAAAATCAACCGTTAAGTCAAGCACGAAGAAGACACCACGCTTCCGATCTTCATATCCAAAATCATCCAGTCCAAAGTCAGCTGCTTCTGTAAAGAAATCTTTGTCATTTTCTCCTGATACTAAAGATGAAGAGGTGGATTATACACCTAAACCAAAAGGAATTCGAGGTGGTGGTCGTAGAAGAAAGGCACAACTGGCGTTGTTAAATGAAGAGGAAGGCATAAGCACAAATGATCCACGACATGCTTACTATGTATTGATACACGATGAATTGAAATCAAATAATAAACCTACAGCCTCTGTTAAACCTATCATGTTCTCTGAAAATGACAGTGAAACTGGAAAAAGTAATACTGCTGAACCAAGTCACGATAATATCTCTACAAATAATAGTTTAGTTATTCACAAGGAGGAAGTTCACACTTCTAAATCATCGCAGCTGGTGGAAGATGATGAAAAACTTAGTTGTTCCATCAATGACACTGACCAGTCTGATCTTATTGTTGAGGTAAATGGTGAGCACCACAATCTCCAAGGGACAATTGACAAAAGCACTGAACTTGTGGAGGGTAATATATCTCGTGATAATGCCCCAGTTTCTAGCCAAATACCTGATGAAAAACCTGCGAATAACAATCCTAGCGCAGCTTTAAATGATGAAAAACCCTCGGAGCGTGATTGGTCAAAACCTAAACCTATTCGTGGACGACGAAAAAAACCGAAGCCTGACATGAATGGAAATGAAGCAAGGAAGGAAGAAGAGAAAGTAGTATGTTCCCTTGAACAAAATGTTCCAAATAAAGAACAAGTGCTTCCACAACAGTCAGTTTTATTAACTAATAGTAATGAATAGTGATAAATAGATGATATAGCTATATACATAATGAAAATTAGTTTATATTTGTTTGCGACATAGATCTCATCATCTAGGTGGGAGAATTTCTAAATAATCTATATAATATATAGTATATATATTTGGTTTTGACAAATGCCCGTTGAACTATCTGCAAAAACTTATTGTCTTTTGTCCAAAAGGATATTTTGTTTCTTTACTATCGTAAGATGTACGTTTTGTATTTCCGTTTGATAAGTTGTTTGATAACAGAGGACTACTATACTAGCCAAAGCAGACACGAGTTTTTATATGCTTAAAGAATAATTTTTTGAAGAAAGTTTAAATAAATTAAATCATTGACTTGCGCATCCAGCTTACATGTGAAATTAATATATAAAAGAAGAGAGATAATTGTATTTTAAATAAATGTTTTATTCAGAATTTGTTCGTTCTGGTTGCTTTATAATTCATAATATTCACATGAACTTAACGACAATGTTGTGTAGAGCTTAATATGCTACACATCCCAATTTTATTCTTAAAGTTTCTTTTTTTTTAATTCACTTTAATTCACATTGCTAGACATGTTTCATGGCATTATCTAGGTTACAAGATAACTCCTTATCGTGATCTAAAAAGATTTTCTGCTGGCGTCAAACGGACATCCTCCCTTCGTACACCAAGAACAAGAAGAAATACGCATGAGTCAAACAGTAAGTAGAAATTTATAAAGTTATTTTCTTATACAGTCATCAATACTCCATTTAGTGGAAAGAAAATCGGTTGAATACCAAATACAAACATATTTTATGTTTTCTCCGGTCGCCTTGCTAGGCTTACTGGTGAAAACCATGTTGTTGTGAAGTAATGATTTCTTTCTCTGATGAGGATCGGTCCTTTGAACTAACTTACCAACATGACTGCTTGACTTCACTTTAAAAGACACGATGTCTTGTGTCGGCTAATTTTATTGTGGCGTTTTTCGTGGGGGATGATGATAAAAGCCCACTTTGTTAAAACGAAGAACTTTGCATTTGGTTTTTATGTTGCTGTATTTCAGCGGTGACGAAACATCGTAATCGTGTATTTCCCGCCAATACTGTTGTGGATATTGTTTTTATGTTGTTATACATAAAATATTGGTTTTGTAAATTGGTCTGTATAGTGATTTAATTAACGCATTACTTTTCATTTGATTTCAAGACAGCAGTGGTGGTACTCGTGGACGCAGTGTTAGTCCATCATCGAGGGTATGTACAAAAATGCCACCTTGTTTACTGTTGCTTTTTAAAGAAACAAATTTTCGTATATTTTATAACTTTTTCTAGACTAATGGACAAGTGAACAGCAGTAAGTCATATTGTTGAAATGTTTTGTGTCATATTTCATAATTTTAATATTAAATGCCGTGCTGTAATGTGACAATGTGACCATGTTTCATTTTGTGCTTTCTTTGTACAGCTCCAAGATCAAAGTTAAATGTATCTAAAAGGGTACGATCATTTTTATAGTATTATTCAATCTAGTTTACAAAAACAGCAGCACGTAACTGACTTCGAATGGCCATTTGTATAAAAATGAATCTAAGATCAAAACTATTTGCACTCATTTAATTTATTAGTATGAAAACAATTTTATAGTAAAAATTATGTTTTGAACAATTGGAAAATAACAGTTGTACAGCTAAATGCTCGGAGCATTATGGTTACCCAAAGAATTTTAAATTGTGCATGTGTTAAATCATGTTGTTGTTAAGCCATGATCTTAACTGTGGATCAACAACAATCGGACACAAATAATGCTCACAAAATTTCATGTTTTATAATGTATTTTAGTGTTTTCAAATAACTATTTACCGCTTTCAAGTTTGTTATTTAGATTTTTATATGCAGGGCTTTCCTCATTTTTTGATTTTAATTGTTAATAGGCTGTTAATGGAGGACATCATGGTAGTGGAGAGAGTTGTAAGTGTATTTTATGACTTAGATCTTAGATCTTCTTTTCAAAAAATTGTCGTCATCACGTTTTATCAAAATGTAATTTGATCTGAATACTTTTCTTTTCCCCACTTGTTTTTAAAATATAGAGTTGTCTTAATGTAGTTTTTAATTATTCATAATTTTATGATCGTGCATTCCCAAAATGTAAATTTCACTTCAATACTTTTATTATTAAAGAATCATGTATAATATTAATGTTTGATATTATTTATCATACATTACAGATATCCTGCTGCCGTGTTCCAGCGCGAGAATTCTGATTCTGGTGAGAACAATAATGTATTTATTTAGTAGGTACAATTAATTTATTTTTTTCACATTTGAATGCAACAGTTGAGTTAACTCTAGTTTACAAGTTTCATCACGTCTGCAGTTGAGGGGAGGTTAGTTTATTTTCAGCCATATGTATGAATTTATCTTCGTATTGCTATTCTAGATGGACCATAAAAAATTTTTGATATATTTTGGCCCTTTGTAAGACTCCTAAACTGACTAAAACATCAGTAATCATATTTGTTGGTCATGTTTAATTCTTGTCGAGTACGTAGTTGACAAGCTCAAAAGTTAGCAAAACTCTATTTTTTGTGTCAGTTTTATAACTCGAACTCCCTGATATTGTACCAAATCGTCTAGTGTTTCATTTCATTTTGTATTTTCATATCAATATGTAAAAAATAAGTTAAATTGCTATCAAATGGTTTAGAGTGACGAATATTCAGTTAAAATGCTTTAAGTCTTCCTACAATTTTTCCAATTGAGTTGTGGAAAAGATAACATAAATTTGGAGTTCAAAGAAGGATCGCTTCAAGTATTTTACCCGCAATGAAAATTTTTGGTGAATTGTTTAATATCCCGAATCTGTCACACACACGCACCCATACTTGCGACTTTATCGCAATCTAAAATCTCATTCAACGTTTATAATAATCTTTAAATCAAAAAATATCAAAATTAAACTTTAAAATGCAGTAATTATTTAAAAAATGAACGTATAAAGCTAAACAAATTTTATGTAACCAAAAAGTAATTACAATTATCGGCAAAACCTTTCTTCCAGCGAAAAAAAGAAAGACTTTGAAAAATCGTAAGGCCACTGCCAAACGAAACCTGGCAAAAACCACTAGGAAGGTCGATAGTGATAAATTTTACTCCACCGTTTGGTTGAGTGACTATGAATCTTGGGATATGAAATCAGAAACGGGAGAGCCTAGCACAGGTGTGAGTAGTCATGCTACAACCCCTTATAGTAGTCGACCCACTACGCCTATAGAAAGCAAGGGAAGTTCCCCTTTAAGTAGTCCACCGCCATCTCCGTTTGTTCCACGAGAAACATTTAATGTCGATGAAGTGTTTTCATCGGTTGAAATCAGCAAAGCTCACGACCTTACGACAAAACCAACTGCTGTGAAATTGAAACGGACACTTAGCTTACCAGAATCAGAGTTGAGTCAAATCGAAGCCAACGACCTACAACAAAGATTTACGACATTACAGTTAGAGCAAGAAAATCGTGAACTCAAACAAATCACTGATGATCTTCAAGATGCCTTGGAAAACTTAGAAAAACGAGTTCATTGTGTAGCCGAACAACACGACGAGGGTGAAATATATAATGACAGATCATCACTTCATTCAAACGACGATATTTATACCAATGACCAAGTGTTACCACGACATGCAGGCTCAGAACCGAGCACTCCCAGTAGCCTTTCTTCTAACGACACTTTTCTACATAGTCCGAAACTTTCCAAACCAAGCACTCTTAATTTAAGAGGAAACAATACCCGTAAACGAAAGCACAATGGTAAACGAAATACTTTGAATGGAAAAACTGAAAAAACAAAACAAAAAGATGATAGTTTGTGCTGCATTACTAGTTGAACGAAATGCCTACTTTTCCTCTGCTGCTTTGTTGCCGTACTAATGAATTAACCTCAAATTAAAATATAAAAGTAATCGTAACAATAATCACTTAAATTTTTAAAAATTGTAAAGAATTAAAACCATATTGTTAAAGGCAAAATTTCAAAATGGTTACGTATATTTCAGTTACAGCTCAGCTGTATTTGATTGTAAATTTCTCTACAGCAATATTGTGTGTGACAGTTAAAGGATTTAAACACCAATTCGCCTAGACAACAATAATTACATTTATTTTAGACTTGAGTATTATACGTATATCTTTAAATGCTGCACACAATAATACTGTAGCTGAATTATTATGGCAAAGTAAGCCTGTGTGGTATTGAAAAATATCCATCTTGGGTTAAGTTGTCTAAAAGCTCGCCTATATATTTCTGTTTTGAATGCCATTTTTCTACAGTTAATATCTCAGTTTGGTTCTCACTTACATTAGACTTTGGAGTCATAATATTTCGAGTAGTGTTTCGAAGATGGACTTCGTGCAAATCAATAATTTTGGCAAATATAAACATTGATCTCCATATGTCTATTTTTAATGAAACTCGCATGTTACACACTTTTCACAACCATGTTCACTGCAATACTTATATATGTGATGATTTCAGTAAAAATGTAGTTTTCTTTCGTTCAATGACACGAGTGTGCTATTCATTTTTAACGAGAGGATTTTATAAGACAGCCATCAGTGGCAAAAATTCCTATATGTTTAAAATAAATCATGTTGACTAAATCACTTGACCAAAATTTTTTCGTCATGTTCTTATCATTGTTGTCTTAATATTCGCCTCTTGATATATCAATATATGTATAGCAAGGAACACCCGTACGAAGTAAAAAATAATTTTTTTATATATATTATCTGTAAACTGTGGCCTCTACTTGTTAACTCTATTGTGTTGATAGTGTGGTAAGTATCTTGACCACAGTATGTTGTTCTAACCATGGTCGTTTGGAGTAAAAAAGTTTTTAATGTTTATGTATGATAAGAATTCAATGCTTTTTATTTCATTATTCCACATAATTACAGTAGCATCGCCTGCACTCAGATAGATAAGTATATTGTGCTGCTTCACTAAGCTATGCTCATACATTAGACGCTTATCCTAAAGTTAATGGTATGGGCATCATTTTTGACATTGAAAGTAATCAGTACAGTAATGAATATTGCATTAAATAGAGCGCTTGGCAACTTTAAAAAGAAGTACATTTTCAATATACTTTAAAAAGAATGTATACTTTAAAAAGACGCATACTTCACCATTGAGAAAAATTATTGTTTATGATCTTAGTAGAAAATTACTTAACTGTGAAGTCGTAAAATGTTTTGATTATTACAAATAATAAATTAAATATAAAGTTAAAACTGTTATGAATGTTATGATTTTGAATGATCGTTTTTTAACCATAATGTCATCATCTTACAGACCAAATCTCTGCTTTTACTGATGGATTGGAAGATTGCTATTGAATACATGCAGACCAGAAAGCAAATCTCCGCAACATTCCTTGCTATATATATGTATTCTAATTAACATCGTATTTAAACATTATTTATTGAACTCAAAATTTCAACTATTTCATAGTTTAAGTAAAGTAAAAATGCCACCTGGTGGAAAAACAGGTTGCTATTGTGAAATTAAAAAAAGTAGTATTTTGAAGTTTAATTCTTAAAAAAAATGAAAAGTAGATTAAATGTTTTGAATTTAAATATCAAAAAATATCGCTTGTTATTTAAACATTGTGTATTGTTGTTACACGTCTATGGTAGTTATTACTGGGTGAATTTTTTCAAATTTTTGAAAATTGATCAAATTCATTTACTTGTCGTTCAATTTACTTCACTTTACTAAAGCCGTTCATAACAAATCATTCTTCTACTATCACAATCACGTTCGACCAGCTTTTTATAATTAACTTGGATATGTGTAAGGCAACTCCAATTAAGCCATGTACACAGATGTTTATTTAATGATAAAATTTAAACATTATCTCACTGTTATAAACTTTTAAATGGGGCATACATGACATGGATATGATATGATAAATTTATTTCAACTGCAATGGTTTCGAATTTAGTTGTTTTTTTTCTCTTGTTCTTCGTTCATTTGGACCATTATATTGTTAAATACCAGACTCTCTCACACTTATTTGAGTACACGTCAAGTGAAAGTTGCAGATGTTAATTTATGATGGTATATTCATTGGTGGAACGTGTTCACGTGATAAATACGTGTAAATATTTTGACGTAAAGAGGCTGATGGATGACGTAAATATATAGATAAAATTGCGCAAAGATGAACTTGAGGTGATTTTATTAGATGAAATAAAATAAAACTGAAAATAAAATTAAAAGATAAAACAAAATAAAACCGAAAATGAAATTTTCAGATAAAATGAAATAAAACTAAAAATACTATTTTTAGATAAATAAAAAAACTGAAAATAAAATCGGCTAGTGCATACTAACAACTGTTTCAAACATGAACATGATTGCTTATCTTTATGCACAGTACGATTCAGCGATTTGATCGAACAATTACCAAACAGCAAATTTAAAATTCATTTATTATTAATGTCATGTTTTATGAATAGGATTTTGCTGATATAAATTAGAATACGAACCTTTCGTTTTGAAGTTAGCTGACATTATAGCATTTCTATATTTCCTTTACAGATAGAAACATTCAAAACAGTAGAAAAGATCGCTTATCAATTCATGGTTTCTACAAGATTGGTAAAATAATTGGTGATGGCAATTTCTCAGTAGTTCGAGAGTGTAGAAATAGGTATGAAAACAACATATTTTTTACATGAACTTGTTTGATGAATCGTTGTATTTACGCTGGATAAAAGTTTTGTGTGCAAAATTTACTAGACAATATCGACATCGGAACCGTATATGGGGTAGATGTTCGTTCTAATACATGCAAATAAATGCAATATTGAAGCCATTGTCAATCACACCGATAATTAACAGATCCTGTTTTTTTGCATTAGTTATTCCTCTTGTTTTGTTTGTACTTGTGCTTATGCAGCTTGTGTTAATGTATTTTTAAAACATGAAGTTGTTGTTGTTAACCTTTTGTGTAAGTTTATTCTTTGTAAAAAACGTTCTACAGCGATAACTATCTTGTCTTGTATAAAACTATCCAACTCATGCGAGGTTCAACTTTATTAAAATACAACACGTGCAAAGAATGCTCACTATTAAAGAAACAACTTTTAAATAATTTATTTGCAAAAACAGAGTTTCATGCCTTCTTCGCAGCAAGGCCCTGGACACAAATTATTATGGAAAGGAGGGAGGTTTTAAAAATCCAAATATATTCATTGGGGAGATAGTGGAGCATGGGGGGGGCGGTACAGCTTACCCCGTCTCTGGAAAGCAAATTCTGCAAACGTTGAAGCCAACATAGCTTGTTCATTCTTGAATTATTATTTCATTTGACACCATTTACACCATTTTAAGTACACACAAAGGCCATCTTACTGAAAGACTCGCATAATCTAGTTTCTTACTTACCTCACTTTCTTGGCCCATTATGACATTTGTATTTGCCAAGCAGCTTATTGATTGAAATAAACGTTATGTTACCGAAAGGAGAAATTCAAAATCTCTTTTGTTTGTCTACTTTGTCATCTTAACGACTCAGATAATCATATTAGTAAACTAACATAATGTTAAACTAAGACTGTTAGTGCATTTTCATAATTTGAAATTTCTATCCCAGACAATAAGTTTATTCGAAAGACAATGTTTTATCACTTAGAAAAACATATGCTCACCTTTCAATACATACATATTGTGCTTTAGACGAAGTGGGCAAAAATACGCTCTAAAGATTGTCAACAAAGCAAGAGTTAAAGGAAAGGTATTCAATTTCTCTTGTCTAAATGTCATTCATATATCATGATCATATGTCAGACTCCAAACTGCTCTAACACAATTGTGCAATAATACCAGTCTAGTAATTAATCCTTTATGGTAGTAAATTAATCAGGCTTTGTTGCAGGAGTACTTTGTCGAAAAAGAATCCGCAATTCTTCGTCAAATTTCCCACCCAAATATTGTGCAATTAATCGAGGAGTACGAATCATCAAAAGAAATTTTTCTTGTTCTCGAATTAGTCCAGGTAATTGTGGAAACTCGTATATATGATTTTTTATAGCCGAATGGAGCTGCAATTATACATTTACAAATAACACAACATTACAAATTTTCATGAAAAAAGAGGATCATACATCAATGTAGACTGTAGAGGACGAGGGTACAAATGCAAATTTTAGCTACTTAATCATTTGTGAAACATGAGTTGATAACTTATTGTGAAACTTTGGTTTATGTTCCTATTTTATGTTACTTCGAACGTTACTTTTTCATTGACAGGGTGGTGATCTATTTGATGCAATAGTTCAAGCCAAAAAATACACAGAACGTGATGCTAGTCACATGATTGGAGATCTCACATCTGCCTTAAGTTACTTACACGATCTATGTATAATTCATCGAGATATTAAACCTGAAAATTTATTGGTAATCCTCCCTTCGTTTGTTTTGTATGCATTCTATTTTAGCAATATATTGACGTATTTCGTGTAAAGGCTTATGTTTGAATTGTTTATTGAAAACGGCGTGTTTTCTGTTTAAGTATTAACTCCTCCATTATATTCAAGGTGGTGAATACTGCCTGTGGCCTGTTGTCCCTCAAGTTAGCTGATTTTGGCTTAGCAACTGAAGTTCACGAGCCGCAATTTCTTGTATGCGGAACGCCCACTTACGTTGCTCCGGAGATACTTGATGAATCTGGGTAAGTAATCAATCCAATTTCATGACCTCGCAAATCTCCCCTCCAATTTTTTGCCTCGGAAAATGATTGAACTGTTTCTATGATTTGAAGCATGTAACATGTTTTGCTTCTCCAGAGGCGGACATGCAGAGGTCTGTTATTCTAATCTGGGGTGTATTTTTTCAATTACATATTACCGAGGAAGTTAATGATTTCAAAAAGTACCGACCGTTTTTAGTTTCCAATATTGTTGTATGTTTTGTTCGGCTTGTTTCAAAAAATGCACTTTCAAGCTCGGACCTCAATGATCGCTATAGACTAGCTTGATGTGCCCCCCACAATGTGTAGGCGATACACAATAATAGACATTACACCTTGCACGAAAAATCGCTTACATGTAAATCGTGGACAACAAGACAACAACTGATCATTTAGACTATAGCTTGTGATAGGTTTTATTAAAAATGTTTTTACTCGCCATGAAGTCAATGGATGTTTACCTCGTGATACAGGAATCAAAATTAAATGAGAGTTAATGAAGAAATGAAATAAATGTATAAAACATTTTGTGGCTGGATCAAATTACAAGTCAATTGGCAGTGTTTTTTTTTAACTTTGCACTATTCTTGGATCTCTTATTAAAAAAGTGGAAGGTACTGTCCAAATCTCCACATCTCCCCGCTCTGTGCACCTGCACTTTTTTTCTTCAAATTTGAAATCATTTAAATTTTTGCGAATCGCTTATTTTATTTGATTGATTTTTACATAAAATAGAAGCCATGCTCCTCATTTTTGCAATTATTCCCAGCTTCTCTAACTGATGCTTTTTTTATGTGACTTACAATGAAACGAAGTAACTTTGTGTAGTTATGAGTTCAAGGCAGATGTATGGGCAGCTGGAGTGATCACTTACATATTACTATGTGGATTTCCACCCTTTAGGAGGTACCTACATTTAATTTTTTCATTGATTCTTCAACTATAGTGATTTAATAGTTGTTATCACTTTAGCAACGATCAAGAAGAACTCTTTGATATGATTTTGAGTGGAGATTATGAATTTCTTTCCCCATTTTGGGATGAAATTTCACTATCAGCCAAGGTTTGAATACATAAAAACTCCCTTTTTTTGGAAAGTCATAGTTTCGCGTCAGATTTGCCCCAGTAGCTTGTGAATTCAAACTTTTATTTGCGAATCCTCTTGCATATAATTACTCATTTTAGGATCTAATACGTCGAATGTTGCTTGTGAATCCAAACGAAAGGTATTCTGCCAGTGAATCATCTCAGCATCCTTGGATTCAGGTAAGTCCTTCATTTCATTTTTTTTTCATTATTTGCATTTGTTATACTTGATACATCTCACTTGATGTAGGGTAATACAGCAAAAGACACAAATTTAAAAAGCAAACTTTCATGTGAAATTAACAAGAATTTCCAATCAAAAAAGAAGTCTCAAACAGTAAGCATTAGACAGTTATCTAAAGTAAACTTATGTAACCTGCACTTAGTCCTGGGTACCTTGGGAAAATGTCATTATATGATACCTGAATTTATAAGTTGGAAGTATCATCATTAAAACTCATGCACATTTTTGTGAATTCATCAAGTGTTCTGAGAGTGCAGAAGAGAGCTTTTTCGAGGACGATGAAAATAACAATGGCAGTTGTAAGATGCCAATCATTGATGAATACAGTGAACTTCATAATGAACAATGTCAATACAGACAATCTCTTTCTTCCTGTGTAAAAAAAAAGCCTAGACCTAAAAGCCTTGACTTCCACATGATGGGTAGAAGAAATGAAGATTATAGTCAGCCAGATTACGAACTTACTCAGAGGAATTTATTGCAGGAATTTCATGATGAAGATGAATACTATTAAGATTAATATATATTTAAAAATAATATATTTGATAAAAAATAGCACTGGGTACTTAAAATGTTAAAAACATGTAATCATAGCATGATGAGACAAATGTCCGGCTCTAACTTGCTTCAAATGCCATAGTGTGCCATGGGCATTTTTGTTAAATGGACCGTGAGGCCATGTGAACTTTGATCAAAGTATTCTCAATAACTGTACAAGTTGTAATATATTAACAAATACATTGTGAATTAAACATTAGTGATTAGTGATTGCATTGTTTTCACCAAGTAAGCTTTAAAGAGAAGTTCATTTATGAAAATCTCTACATTGCTATATGCTTGCAAGGTAGCACCTTATCCATACTTACTCCATATATTTATAATATATACTGAACTTAAATATTCCTTAGTTATGCTGATTCTCTTATTGACAATTAAAGGTGCGGAAAATACCATTTCATATGCAAAAATCCAAGAATGCCAATGCCATCTCTACAACAGTCAACAGTTCCCATATAAATGAATTAATACAACTTTAACAACCTCCACCTGATGCAGCATTTAGACGTCTTTGCATATTTGAAATCTGTTCTTTCAATCTTTTGTTCTCTTCTTCAAGAAATGTCCACCGTTTGACAACAGTTGTTTCTTTCAGTCTTTTAGCATCCCGTGAACGCTTTGCAGCAATGTTATTTTTTAACCTCCGATCCCAATATCTCTGATCTCTCACCATATTACCAGTAGACATATTTCCATCAGGGATGCAACCATACCTTGGTTATCATCAGTTCCATTCTCAGTTGTGGAGCCATTTTCTTTCAAATTTAAACTTTCACTTTGTTCTGCTTTTGTATCACTTTTATTTAAAGTTTCCACACCAGATGAACCCTCAGGGGAGCAGTATGAATCAAAAGAAGATTGTGAAAAGTTTGGAGATGCAACATCTGTCGTCGACGCATCAATAAATTCTTCCAAATCCATAAACTCGTTAAAAAGATCGTTTTCTTCGGACTTGACATCGCAATGATTCATCCTAAAATTATCAAACGAATTCATTCATAAATATTCAAAACATAATAATGTAGCAAGAGTTGTTTCTACTATATAGTCGACTGCCTGAAATATACATTTTACAACACAGATTAATACAAAAGATTCTAGACAGAGTCTTTAGTATAACCAAATATTTATAATTATAGAAACATCAACTAAAAATGGCCTACTTTAACTGCCAATTTAAAGATATCAAACAATACAAAAAGAAAGTGTCCAGCGTCTGGAAAACAATAAAGAAATGCAATAAACTAAAAATTTTCGCTCTGGATTAACGTGCAAAATTACGTGCAGTTTTGCTTTCGAGATTTGACAGTTTGCAAAGCAAGGCAGAATTTAAAAGGGTTAAGGATTTACGTGCTTCATTTGTACAAGAAGTTCAAATATAGAAAGGTATTTAAACATAATTAAACAACAGCGATTCTAAGAACAAATGAAATTGTAAAATCACTCCCGTTTCATTACACTCAAGGAATGCCATCAAGCTTTCAATTAAAACAAAATTACATCAAATTTACCTTAAATAATATTTTCTTCGGTTCTGGCTGAGTCAAAAGCTGAAATAGGTAAAAGCCAAACTTCTCTTATCATTAAATACCTTCTTTCCTCCAATTTTTTAAATTCTTCATTTGGATAAAACGCCGTTAAAGAATAAAATATCGCATGTCACTCTCCTGTAAAAACAAGATGGCCAATCGTATACATATACAACAAGTCACGCATAATAAGTACTACACGTGACTTTTCACGTGCCATGCTGGTTTATGATAAAATGCGGATCAGAAATTCATGGGATTGCGGAAATAGGAAATTAACTTGCGGAAGAATGAATGAGATGAGAAATAGGAAAGAAATAGAATGGCCTTGAAGTTACCTAAAATATGAAAAATGTGATACATTGAAAAAATGAGCAGAAAAACACAAAACACGATAAAGGATTGTATTTATTTATAATTTTGTGATGTACTACAGCTATATCCAAATTCCAGATTATTATTGGAATTATTATTGGAAATATTATTGGTTAGGGTTTAATTTTCTGTTAATAAGGAAGTTACTTTAATTTATGTGGAGGCAGCATAGTAATATGATGAAAATTTGAAAATTATAAAGGGAATGTAAAAACAACAGAAGTTTTGTGAAATACATCACCACGGTGTGGCAGCTTGTTGGTAATTGCTGGAATAATGTTTCCGCTGTTCCGTAACTCCACCAATTGCAGATCCACTTTTTATATCTGAGTGAATGATGCAACGACCGTATTAAAATAACCTTATCGCAAAATAATTGAAAAAAATAAAGAAAATTTATTGCTCCTCTAGTAGTGAAATACTTCGCGAGCATTCACGATGTACTTGCGAAAATGTAGAATTTTGTGTTTATCTTTCCAAGAAAGCAATATTTCCGGAAACTTACTCTTGCGCAGTCCAGTCACCTGCTTTAACGTCGTTATTTTTTATTCTACATATATAAAGCTAATATTGTATTTCTTATACTGCTACTTAGCCTAATAAACGATGTTTATCTTTCAATTAAAATCAATCCATGTTGATCTCGATCGATAACTCGTTTAGTTAGCACGAGATTGTGAAAGTTCCGATCACAGGTATTGATAAGTATTAGTCTGTTATGATCTAAATGTACAAAACACTACATCTGACTAAAATATGAATGCTGACACCCAACCATGGCGTATATGCCACTTATATTATGTACTCACACCATTACAATGACTACGTGTATCATCTCAGTTAAATATATTTGAAATCAGTATTTGCCGTTGTCTGTTCGTATCAAGATACGTCGCCACAATATTAGCTAAGTGAACTTTTTAGGATAAATTTAGATTCTTTCTCGAAGTTTTTGTCCTGTTAGAATAATCTATCTACGTTATAAATTTAACATTACATGCGATTCACCCTTCTCTATAGCGATCGAATGAAGTTATTAAACAGAAAACCGTGAAATATATCGAAGATAAGTGATATGTGATTGTAAGTCATGCTCGTATTTTATTTTATGAACACAGTTGTTGTCTCAAAGAAGAATAACTGAAGATTGAACAATTAAATCAATTTCTAATTTCAAATGCAGAGTAAAGAATTTGAAAGGTTTATTTGGTAAACCTGAAAATATTAAAAAAATTAAATTTTTCTGAAATTATTTCATTTAATCTTATCATTGCACATTTACACTTTCATTCATTACAAAAGCTGAAACCTTTCGCAATGTCGAATGAAAGAGGAAACGGAGTTTGTCCGTTCGATAAAATTTTAAAAGTGAGTTTGAAAACTTGAGGAGCGTTGTCGGCGAAAATAAAGCACATAAAATGCATAAAAAAGTCATAGACACATTCATTGAAAATTCGAAAATTTTTATAATTGAAGTAATTATTATGGACTATTGTTATGGACCTGGGGGCCAATCGATCGAGAGTGCCTGTTCGTAGGTTTATATTGATGCAATAATTGCAAAATTGGGAATTCCTGCACGTGGAACTGTAACTATGGACCAAGGTAAGAAAAATCTATAAGTCTGAAAGATTTTAGTAATAAATCATGCCGCATTTCAAAAAAATACGCTTGTGTATTTATGTTTTCGGTATTTTTAAGATTCAAATTGAGATTTTTGCAAGTGTAAACTATCATCTTTCTTCGGTTCTTGCCTTGTTATTGTTATCAAAGACATTACTGATTTGATTATAGCTTTGGGGAGAGTGCTTTGTGATTTATAAATGTATTGTGTGATGTATAGTCATGCTCTTATTTTATGTTATGAAGACGCAGTTGTTGTGTCAAAGAAGGAGAAGAAAAGTCAGTTGATGTTGGAGTAAGTGTTTGCTGGACATTGAACAATTAAAAATATCATCATTTAATCTAACATTGCTAAAAAAATTTGCTCCCATATGAGACATCTTTGCTCTTCAATACAAGCTGAAAACCTTTGCAACGTCAGAACAAGGAGGAAAGCTTTTTGGTTGGATAAAAGTTTTAAATTCTATTTGACAACTTGTCAGCAAAAATGCTGCATATAAAAATGCATAAACAAAAAAAATATTTATATATATGTATAAATACTAAATTTATATATACTGAATGTATAATAATATTATACATTCAGCCATATATTCCATTCTGAATAAATTTAATATGAATAAAACAAAGAGTAGTTGAATAACTATTTGGCCTATTCTTTCAGGACCTAATGTTTTTACACATAAATGAATATTTTATACTTAAAAATATTATGTTATGAAAAATGTCTTGCGCATACCAAAGATTATTTGACCTTACACTTGTTACATTTCTGTAGTATTTTTATTGTGAAAATAGATACTTTATAGGTGCAACATTTTTACTTTATTAGGCAGCCCAACATGACACTGACTTCACAATTTTACCCAGCAAAGCTTCAGAAACATTGCATACATCTCAATGGCCTTTACTCCTAAAGGTAATTTTTTTATTGTACTAATACTCAGTCTATTCTTGTGAATCTTGACAAAAATATTCACAGAATAAGGAAGGGCATGAACACAATACTGCTACATAATTACTTTTTAATGCAATATTATAAGAAAAGTGAAAAAATTACCCTTGAATTGTGTTGGTCTGATGATGTGTTTGTCATAAAGACGAAATATTACCAACTTTGTGTTTATACTCATGCTTTATTTTGAATATCAGGAAAACAGAATGTCATTAGATATTCATTTTCTTGGTCAAATACATTTTCGACTCTCTTTAGAATCACAATATTCAATGTAATTATTTGGCAAAAAGAGAGTTTCTGTAATTTTGGTGATACAAGAGTTTAATTTCTTTATAGAATTTTGATAAATTAAACTGTCGCACTGGTCATTTTACTCCTTTGACATCTGGTTGCTCACCTTTGAAAAGAGAATTAAAAGATTATATCTCGTAAGTTTTAATCTTTACTGACTGAGAATATAGGTTGAGGTTTGTACCAAAAGACTGAGGTCCTATATGTCTCAGCAAGGTTGATAACTAAAAAGCTTATTATATGAATGGCATAAGACAAGTTTTTCTTTGAAAAAAAAACAAAACTTGCTTTTTATTGTTTTTTGAAATACTTACGTATTAGAACTGTGTTATTCAGAATAAAACTTACTTTATGATTTCTCTTTCACAGACTCACATTTGTAAATGTTTTTTTATATTTTTTGCATTTTACAAAACTTTTACTGTTTGCTTTAGGAAATTTGTGTACTTTTCTGGTAAAATTTTATTTAATGTACTACCTGCTCAATTTTGAGAAAATAATGAGCTGTCATTATTGTTTCTCAGCAAATCACAGCATGTTATTTCATTGGAAGTGATGTTTGCCATGTAATAAAAGTTATTATCTTTTTAACTTTATCATTTTGTTGACTGTCCGGACTGAAGAGTTTGTTTGGTGCACTGCGATGCCTGATGTGCAGTTTACAAACTTTCCAGTCTGGTAAACTAGTGCTTCTAATGTATTTATTGTTCACACTATTACTTACTTTATAATTGAAGGAGTGGGTTTATAAATCTTGACAAACCAGCTAATCCATCATCACATGAGGTACACTTTTTTAGTAATTAGTTTTGATCTACCCTGTGGTCAAAGTCATTGCTTGTAGTGACTGCCTGCATGGAAAGTTTGATAATGACTTGGTCTGCATGAGAGTCTGATAATGTCTTAGGGAAACAGTCAGGTGTCATGAAGGAGGTGTAATAAATACTTGCTAACACATTTAAGGTTGTCGCTTGGATTAAAAAATTTTACGAGTTGAAAAGACTGGTCATAGTGGAACTTTGGATCCAAAAGTAACAGGATGTTTGATTGTTTGTATTGATCGTGCTACACGTCTTGTGAAATCTCAACAAGGGGCAGGTAATAATTATTCACAAGAAGTGAAAGCAATTTATGTTTATTGTTTTCAAAAACTGTAATTGTGATTCTCCATGCTTTATTACTGGGCAGGAAATAACTACTTGTCAACAGGCAACGTCAGTCCCAAGACGAGACGTTGCGCCGATCAAAAATTTACATTACTGTATGGTCATTTTGACTAACTGTAAAAATCATAAATGCTGGTCTGGCCTATCATTTGACCAGTGACTCTCTTGTCTTTATTATCCTGTATTACCGCTATTATTTATAATTTAAAAAATTGATATTTTAATGTATTAACAGGAAAAGAATATGTCTGTGTTGCACGTCTTCACGATGCTCTTGAAGATGAGAAAAAACTAACACAGGTTTTAGCAGTTTATATTTCTTGTTTGAGAGAAATTTGTAGCATTAGAAAAAATGTTATTGCCGTGAAGGTTTACAAACATTGACTGTACAATTAACCATGAAAAACGTCTTCGTAAATTAAGTTTATTGTTTTCAGTCTTTCTTTCGTAACTTTTTTACCATATTTGGTAGTAAGATGTTTTATCATTCACCGAGATGTTGGAAATAATATTTTGTATTGTTATCACTTTGATCACACTCTGCCGTGTTTTTGCTAGGTTATTGAACAATTAACAGGCTCGTTGTTTCAACGTCCACCCCTAGTAGCAGCTGTAAAAAGACAACTGAGAGCGGACGATATACGAAAGCAAGCTGTTTGAATATGATAAAGAACGACATTTAGGTACGGCTTGATTCACTGAAATAGTCTGTCAATTACATGTCTGTTATTAGCATGACTTTTGTTTTTTTATTTGCAGCTGTCTTCTGGGTAAAGTGTGAAGCAGGCACTTATATCAGAACATTATGTGTCCATCTTGGTTTTCTTCTTGGTGTTGGAGCCCACATGCAAGAGTTAAGACGTGTGAGGTCTGGTATACAGTCTGAACAGGTGCACATTCATACAAATTACAGTGTAATAAACTTTGTGTATTACGTCATATATATAAACAAAACCATTGCTTTTAATAGCATTATTGATGAAATTTGGCCATACCTGTACTGGCTTTGCATTTTATTTTAGGAAGGAATGGTAACCATGCATGATTTACTTGATGCTCAATGGGTTTATGATAACTATAAAGATGGTAAGTGTTTATTTGTCTCCTAGAATCCCTTTTGTCTTGTTGTTAAATGATATTTTTGAGTTGAACCTCTACATAATACATTAATACTCCATCCAAAAGTAGTCCACCAACAATCTGAAAACAATAGTTTTAATACTTGTCAATCAAATATTTAATCCACCTTTCCAACGGTAGACGCACGTGTCAAAAAACGAGATCAAATTACAAAATTTAGGCAATCAAATGGTCGGACATTGTATTGTTTATGTAGAATAGGGGCAATAAAATGGTTAGGAGATGCTTTTGAGTTTTGGGGCATTTGTGAATATATGATTCTAGTTATTCAGAAAGATTATTCATAATTGCAGAAGGCATAACAGATAAGATTAACAGTTTTGGGTTAGAAAAAAGCATAACGATCGAAGGAAAGCTTGAATACTGGCATGTTGTCGCACTAATTACTTCTTTATAAGAATTGTTACGGGCCTTTACGGCGTATTCAAAGGCATTCATGAATCTCATCTGGGATCTCATGATACATCGAATCATAAAAATAACAGTTAAAAAAATTCTATGACTTGCAATTTTCTTCGCTCGATGCAGCTGTCGTCATCTTCACAGTCATGTGTTGGTCGACTCACGACAACCTTATAGCGGTCGTCATCTTCACAGTCATGTGTTGGTCGACTCACGACAACCATATAGCTGTCGTCATCTTCACAGTCATGTGTTGGTCGACTCACGACAACCTTATAGCGGTCGTCATCTTCACAGTCATGTGTTGGTCGACTCACGACAACCTTATAGCGGTCGTCGTCTTCACAGACATTTGTTGGTCGACTCACGACAACCTTATAGCGGTCGTCATCTTCACAGACATGTGTTGGTCGACTCACGACAACCTTACAGCGGTAGTCATCTTCACAGTCATGTGTTGGTCGACTCACGACAACCTTACAGCGGTCGTCATCTTCACAGACATGTGTTGGTCGACTCACGACAACCTTATAGCGGTCGTCATCTTCACAGTCATGTGTTGGTCGACTCACGACAACCTTATAGCGGTCGTCATCTTCACAGACATGTGTTGGTCGACTCACGACAACCTTATAGCGGTCGTCATCTTCACAGACATGTGTTGGTCGACTCACGACAACCTTACAGCGGTCGTCATCTTCACAGACATGTGTTGGTCGACTCACGACAACCTTACAGCGGTCGTCATCTTCACAGACATGTGTTGGTCGACTCACGACAACCTTATAGCGGTCGTCATCTTCACAGTCGTGTTGGTCGACTCACGACAACCTTATAGCGGTCGTCATCTTCACAGACATGTGTTGGTCGACTCACGACAACCTCACAGCGGTCGTCATCTTCACAGACATGTGTTGGTCGACTCACGACAACCTTACAGCGGTCGTCATCTTCACAGACATGTGTTGGTCGACTCACGACAACCTTACAGCGGTCGTCATCTTCACAGACATGTGTTGTTCGACTCACGACAACCTTACAGCGGTCGTCATCTTCACAGACATGTGTTGGTCGACTCACGACAACCTTATAGCGGTCGTCATCTTCACAGTCATGTGTTGGTCGACTCACGACAACCTTATAGCGGTCGTCATCTTCACAGACATGTGTTGGTCGACTCACGACAACCTTATAGCGGTCGTCATCTTCACAGACATGTGTTGGTCGACTCACGACAACCTTACAGCGGTCGTCATCTTCACAGACATGTGTTGGTCGACTCACGACAACCTCACAGCGGTCGTCATCTTCACAGACATGTGTTGGTCGACTCACGACAACCTTACAGCGGTCGTCATCTTCACAGACATGTGTTGGTCGACTCACGACAACCTTATAGCGGTCGTCATCTTCACAGACATGTGTTGTTCGACTCACGACAACCTTACAGCGGTCGTCATCTTCACAGACATGTGTTGGTCGACTCACGACAACCTTACAGCTGTAGTCATCTTCACAGACATGTGTTGGTCGACTCACGACAACCTTACAGCGGTCGTCATCTTCACAGACATGTGTTGGTCGACTCACGACAACCTTATAGCGGTCGTCATCTTCACAGACATGTGTTGGTCGACTCACGACAACCTTATAGCGGTCGTCATCTTCACAGTCATGTGTTGGTTGACTCACGACAACCTTATAGCGGTCGTCGTCTTCACAGACATTTGTTGGTCGACTCAGCTAAGGTTATCGAAACGTCAGTCAACACTAACAATTCTTCTCAAGAAGCTATTAACCTGAACAATTTACATTCAAAAACTTGCAACGATACTCCCGGGTCTAAACCATTCGTTAGTAATAAGAAGTATTGGTTAAGATTTACGATGCCAGAGCTCTGATTAGATTTAAATGATAATGTGTTCTATAAATAGTATATTTTTCTCAACAGAAACCTATTTGCGTCGGGTGATCAAACCCTTGGAAGCATTGCTGACCTCTCATAAACGTTTGGTTATCAAAGATAGCGCTGTAAGTGAATCTTATGTTGAATGACTAAAATTTTACAAAAACCTTTTTTTATGTGTGACACTGACTATTTCTTGTAAAAGGTGAATGCAATATGCTACGGAGCTAAGCTTATGGTTCCTGGCCTGCTACGTTTTGAAACTGGCATTGAACTGAATCAAGAAGTTGTTATGATCACGACTAAAGGCGAAGCAATAGCTTTAGGTAAACTTCATATTTATAACATGTCCACTCTCATATTGACAGAAATACCGTATTTGAAATAACGTTAAATCCTATTTTCTAGGAATTGCTTTAATGACAACTGCAACCATGGCAATATGTGATCATGGTGTTGTCGCTAAGATCAAACGAGTGATAATGGCGAGAGATTGCTACCCACGAAAATGGGGACTGGGAGAAAAGGTAAAAATTATTTCATTCAAATATTATTTTATGTCTAGTTTAACGTACATTTTCAATTTGTGTATGGAGACATCGTTCAAAAAGTCCGCTTCGCTTAGTAAGAAGCGTACCATCTCGTTTTTCAATAATCTTTGTTTTTCTTCAGTCCATAAGTTGCAGTATTTTCCACCAGATTTAATTTTGGTCGTGATGAAATTGACCAATACATTTTATAATTGCAAACAATTGCTGTTTTTTTCGTTTAAGCTCCTAATATATTTTGAAAGTTCAGTATTTGTCTTTTGTCTAATGTCGTTGAATGGTTTCACATGATTTCTGTATTGTTCTTTGAATGTGGTAGCCGTATATGTATATGATATATCCTGTGTTCCACTCTGGTGAAAGCCGGGAGGCCACATTGTTATACACTTTGTATTTATAATATACATATAGGAAGTTTTGTTTTTTGATTTGATTTTCCGTCTCTACAATCGAAAATAAAGAAATTTTTTCTCAATAATACGTACAGATGTACAGTTGCATACATATATATATATTTGTACTGCATTTATTTATTACCAACGCTAGGCTTTGGAAAAGAAGAAGTTAATTGCGCAGGGAAAGCTTGGCAAATATGGAAAACCTAATGAAAATACACCACAGAAATGGTTACAGGACCATCCTCATATTACGTAAGATGTCAAGTTGAACATTTTAGTATATGAATAGTTTTCTATCCTTATTGTCTTTGTTGTTTTTTAACTGTAATAATAATTCTAAGTTTTGAGAATTTTCATTTATCATACTTTACTCTAGGGTGCTTGTTTCTTTAATAGGGATAAACCTGATGAACTACCTGTAATAAGGACGGAGTCTGTTAAAGGCGTTTCATCTTGTGATAAAGTAAGTTTACTCAAACTGTTTGAAAGGAGGGGTGGGGGGGAGCTTGCATGTAAGATATTTTGTTTATTACTTGAGGCTTTTCCTTTTGTGGGTAAAGCCTGTTTTCCACTAGCCACGTATCGTAACGTATCGTAGCAAAACGTAACATGGCGCATGCGTGATTGCGCCAATTGACCATCAAATTCATAAGCACGCATGCGCCATGTTACGTTTTGCTACGATACGTTACGATACGTGGCTAGTGGAAAACATGCTTAAGAAGATGTATGTTTGCTTAAAATGATTAAAAATAATACGGCTGTTGTAGAATTTTGAAAATGATGATATCTGTAATTCTTTTCAACGATCTCGTTAATCTAAATGAATATGTCAGAGAAAAAATATGAAACATTGCTTATGTGGGGCAAAACCCACAGCCAGAAAACTACACAGACTCACAGTTAATGATATTGATGGAGAATCCAGTAACATTTTAGAAATTTGAAAAAATACTTGTCAATTTATTATTGTTGTGTATTCGGAAATGTTGGAAAAATTGAATCAAATGATTGGGAATAATTTATATGGAGATAAATCTCGTTTTCTCGTGACTGCCAGAACAATACGAAAGTCGAAAAGTGTTAAAACTGGGATGAAACTTGCAAGTACTTGTCTTGACTTGAATATTTATACCGAGATGGAAGAAATAATAGTATTACAAGCAATAATATATTAATTTTCAAAAGTGCGTTTGGCTTTCATTGCTGTACGTACCTTGCTTGTTGTTAAGGCCATTATCAGGAAAGTTCATCAATGTCGATAACAATTATCATATCTAAATAATTCGATGATATCATTAGCGTAAACGTGAGAGTGGTGAGGATTCTGATGCGAGTGGAGAATTATCAAAGAAAGAACTCAAGAAGAAATTAAAGAAAGAAAAGAAAAAGAAGAAAAAAGCGAAATTGGATGCCAGTGCTGAAGAAGAACAGGAGGTAAAGTTTTTCCCAGAGTCATCTCGTTGTCTTTCAATAAGCTTCATTTATTTGGGTATTAATTCTTGTTCTTAGTCAGTTAAGATTTGCTTACAAATCTGACAGAATTTCCACTGTTCAGCTTTTATTTTCTGCGTAATTTAGTCGACGAGCAGTAAAAAGAAAAAGAAAAAGGAGAAGAAACATGTAAGAACAGAAGAATCCGACTGAAACATCAAAGTTGCTCAGACTTATCTAGATTAAAACCGAGTGAGGTGATCACACGATACAACATGTCAACGTTATTGCATAGAAATATTTCTATGCTCTGTACATTAATAGCTCTAAGCATCATCTGAAAATGGAAGTAACGAGATGTTGCAATTATCTGCAATTGTATAAATTGAAGCCGTTATTTGTATAGAGGATTTTAGTTGCAAATGAACACGAAGTAGTATACATTCGTTGAGTTTTGTTTTATGATGCGTGCAGCGTGTTTTCTTTTACCGAGAAATTTTATGACTTTGATGCACTAATGCAAGTTAACCAACGATGCCAACTCTAAGGAAGAGCGGCTTTTTTGTCAAAAATAACGTCGACCTTGCTTGAAAAGTGTAGATGTGAAATTTGCTTTGGGCAAGTTATTGCCATCTTTTTGTGAAAATACATATATTTCTTTATCAAACATGTACTTTTGACTTGCTTGGATTTTCAGTTTCTTCTACATGGTTGCCACAAAGTTTTACCCTAGGAAAATGGATAATTGATTGGAGTTAAGTGTGTGGTGTGGGGAAGTTTTGTAGGTATTATGGACTGAAGTGCGCAGTAAGATGAGCTAAAGATCATCGCCTTACGTCCAATACTTTAGGAGATAAGATCTGCGCATGCGCGAGTCGTACTGTGAGTCGTTTGTGTTTGTGTCCAAAGACAAAACATACATTCCATGTGTCTAGTGTTTCTATACTGCATCGACTCTATACCCTCAAAATGAAACAGCTGGAGTGCAATGAAAGATTTATCATTACAGTTGCATTATCGAGGATATTTTTCTGATCAAACTTTACTTTTTGTAGTAATTCGGCTGTAAAACATGGCTGCCGATGATGCGATTTTGTACGTTAAAAACGTCTTTAATGGTTTATGCGACTCTGTACTTGGAATCATAAACTTCTTTCGACCTGTTTATAAGAGGAAAAGTAGTTCCTTTGATAATGAAACTGAAGAAAGTATCTCCGACTTGAATAAGAAGTGTACGACAACGAAATTGTCAAGAAAATCGCCAAAGACACAAAGGTTTGATCGAATATAGATAGAGTAAGAAAGGTTATGAAGTGTATTACCACTGAGAGTGAAATACGTCTTGTTGACTGATTACATATTCGTCTCCGACAATGAAAGCAATATAAGCAAATGTTATGTGTTGACTGCAACTTGACAAATTCGTTTTTTTGTATTCTTCCTCGTATTTGCTTTGCCACAGGTAGGAAATTATTGTTGAAAATTTTCCAAAATTTACTATATGCCTATTGGAGTTGTTGTCAATATTTTATTTTTGATTGTTTCAACTTTCTTTTCTGCTATGAAAATTTTGTTTCATCTAGTGCAATTTCAAGTAATTGAAACATGTAGAAAATGAACAATTCCCCCTTGTTATATATTTTTTTTATTTAAGCTTGAAAATTGGTAATCCAGGCATATTTTTTATTTATATTGACAGGCAAGTTTATTCCATGATGATGCAATGCTGTATTTTAAATGGAGGGATATTTTGGGTGTGTATATCAACCATGAATCAATTGTATATCAAATCATCGAGTTCATGTGAATCAAATGAGCTTGACATATTCTACATTCACAATTATTTATTTATTTTGAAAAACATGAATTTTTTATGCCCAGTGGTGAAGGTAGACCAATTTGTATTTATGATATTTCTATTTTTTTTGCTTGCTTAATGAAGAAAAATGTGATTACACTTCAGGATTTGAACCATTGTGGAAGAAAGTTGGGCGAACTTCATCACTGTGCAGAGCATAAGATATTTGTAGAGTTTACAATTTTTCATTGCATTTCTTTTAACCTCCATTACTCACTATTCTGATACTAAGTTTTAAAAAATTGATGAAACACCTAGCAATTATTTTAAAATGTAAAAATGAACTCAGGATAAAAGAAATTTAATTTTAGAAGTGTAAGCAGAAGAAACTTCTCCTTTAAATATGTTACATAAAATGTTTTTTTCCCTGATTTTTTTCATTGAAAAATGTTTGTTCATGATCAACCTTCTACACTATTTACAAATTTCTGTTACTGAGAATACTGATCAAACATTATTTTGAATTACTATGTAAGTGGGTTATTCTGCTAAATTGCTTTAGCAATGAGAGTGTCTAAATAAGCCTAGACATCTGGTGCTTAAGTAAAACCTATATAAAGGAATTAACATTAAAGTTGAAAAAAATTAATTTTTTAGATGAGTATCCTCATTTTTGAAAATTATCTAATACCTGTGTTGCAACGGTGTACTGGTCTTGTTTTTAGTAAGTGTTTAAATATGTATCTAGAGGAAGTCTTAGCTATTCAAATTCCCCCTAAAGTAAATGAACCTCATTCTCATGAGCACCATGTTGAAAAATGATGTCATGAATAGTTGACCTTCACTAATCAAGACAGAATTTGTCCTTACTTTCCTGCTTATTTTATTTTATTTTATATTTTCCTCATTGTGGTAATTATAGTTCTTGTGGTACTAATAAATAGACTTATATATAGACTTAAAAATGGTTTGCCAAGTTTCAAAATGATCTATAGATTTCTTTTTTACAGTTATTTTTCATGTTTAGAAACCCTAACTGCTTCAAATACAACACAACATTTATTGTGGACTTGGATGATACCGGCGTTGTTCTATATTTTTCGTGCATTTTGGGTTATACCACTGTTTTGGCTTACAAAACCTCTAAATAGTCTCTGGTATCAGGTGCAGATAATTTATCGAGCATTGAATGACCATCCACAGCTAGAATATGAGTCTTACCTGCACTTTCGTTTTTACCATTTCCTAAACATCCTTTCCACCAACTTCTTAGTTTTTATTTATGTGCACTTGCAGGAAATACTTACTTGCACTTTCGTTTTTACCATTTCCTAAACATCCTTTCCATCAACTTCTTAGTTTTTATTTATGTGCACTTGCAGGAAATACTTACTTGCACTTTCGTTTTTACCATTTCCTAAACATCCTTTCCACCAACTTCTTAGTTTTGATTTATGTGCAGTTGCAGGAAATACTTACTTGCACTCTCGTTTTTACCATTTCCTAAACATCCTTTCCACCAACTTATTAGTTTTGATTTATGTGCACTTGCATGAAATACTTACTTGCACTCTCGTTTTTACCATTTCCTAAACATCCTTTCCACCAACTTCTTAGTTTTGATTTATGTGCATTTGCAGGAAATACTTACCTGCACTCTCGTTTTTACCATTTCCTAAACATCCTTTCCACCAACTTCTTAGTTTTGATTTATGTGCACTTGCAGGAAATACTTGCTTGCACTCGTTTTACCATTTCCTAAACATCCTTTCCATCAACTTCTTAGTTTTGATTTATGTGCACTTGCAGGAAATACTTGCTTGCACTCGTTTTTACCATTTCCTAAACATCCTTTCCACCAACTTCTTAGTTTTGATTTATGTGCACTTGCAGGAAATACTTGCTTGCACTCTCGTTTTTACCATTTCCTAAACATCCTTTCCACCAACTTCTTAGTTTTGATTTATGTGCACTTGCAGGAAATACTTGCTTGCACTCGTTTTACCATTTCCTAAACATCCTTTCCACCAACTTCTTAGTTTTGATTTATGTGCACTTGCAGGAAATACTTGCTTGCACTCTCGTTTTTACCATTTCCTAAACATCCTTTCCATCAACTTCTTAGTTTTGTTTTATATGCACTTGCAGGAAATACTTGCACTCTCGTTTTTACCATTTCCTAAACATCCTTTCCACCAACTTCTTAGTTTTGATTTATGTGCACTTGCAGGAAATAGCCAACTTAGCGTATCGTAAGAGAAGTGGAAAACCAACTGTATTGTTATCATCCTCGGGCAGGTGAGTCATTCAATTTGTTCATTATGAATGTTGTTTTGTTTCTAAGATAGTCGAATATCACAGATAGTTGTAATGTGAAATACAAACTAAGATTATGTTTACAAATTGTGTAATTTAAAATTATTTTACCTTTTCTTCCTTTTCAACGAATATAAACTTCCGTTAACTTAATGCAGCTTCATATGGTCGCATTTGATTTCATGAAATATCTACTTTTCTAGTTTCGCTCAAAATGTTAGTTTGACTATAGCGGATATGGTCTTCAGTATATTAATTCAAGGTTTCTTCTTAGTGCAGGTACAGCATTTTTTCTATTCTATGTTCATATTCCCATCATTAACCACGTATGAATTTTCCATATACATTGTACATGTATTTATATCAGGGCTCAAAATATCAACTGGTCAATGGACAATCAGGGGTCAAAAATGCTTGTTCATCTTGAGCGGCCAACTTTTTACCTTTCCTGTCACTATGACAGGCCATATGTTAACATCTTCCCAAAAACCACTATGTTAAGAAGATGCATAGTAACATACACTGATACGCAGGTCTTGCGACGTCAAACACGAGAATCTGCAGTTTTAAGAAATACTTTCTCACTTTATGTGCTGCAAGTTTTGTTTGTTAGTGACAAGTCGACCGGTCATTTTGTAGGAACACGTTTTGGCCGTTAATTTGAACCCTGTATATAAATAAATACCATTGAGTCCTATATATACGTATATATATATATATATATATTTAATACATAAAAAGTTGAAGGCTCGAAGCAACGAGTCGAAAGCTCAATAAAATAATCTTTAAAACAATCCGGAGAAACTATATATATATTTATATAAATAAGTAGCATTGTACATTGTGATATTTAGGCTACAGCAGTTGGTATAATTCCAATCGTTGGTCCAGTACTCAGTTTTTTACACATGACTCTTCTTTATTCACTTTATTCCTTTGAATACACCTGGGTCAATAAAGGTCAGAAAGTTTACCTTGAAATTTTACCTACGTAACGAACGCAGTTGATAAACATCTTTTCATAACATTTATCGACCACTAAAACATTTGCCTGGACTTGCTTTTTTTCAGAATTTCAAAATCTTGATTCATAGGGTGGAGGGTGCATCAACGCTTGGCGTTCATCGAGTCTGATTGGCCGTATTTTATTGGCTTTGGATTGCCTTTGGCTTTGTTAACTAATATATCTTCTTCGTTTGTCGTCAGGTAAACTATCTTAATATCTTGTGCATACTGATTTATGAAATGGAGGATTGTTAAAATATGGTAAATGGAGCTTTTATAAGAAAAACGTTTTGATTTTTTAGTGGTTGTATTTTTGCCATTTTATTCCCGTTGTTTATCATCAGTGCTAATGAAATCCATACATTTGAAACTAGGTAAGTACATTATTCAATTCATATATCTATTCTACTGTGATGTGTGTTAAAAATCGCGTTAGTGGTCATTTTGCCCACCGCCCCCAACGTGCATTAGTAGTTTTTGCCTTTGCTGTTATTGTTATTCGACATATCAACCTTTTCCAAGGTGAAAATATTGTCACTTTGGGGTAAGTTGCCAAAACGTTATCAAGTTAGGATCTCTGATATAGCTATATTTCAGCAGGGAGAAAAATATAAAAGTAGAAAATAAAGACGAACTTCACCATAATGAACCGTTTTTAAACAACATTAACACCATTAACTATTCTTTGAAACACTCAGGTCTATAGAATGTCTTTAGTTTAGTCTATAAAACTTTACATAAAGATTACCTGGACAGAATTTAAATTATCCAATCTTGAAGAATTGTTACGGGGTACCGACCCTCCCCCAGTACACTTTCATACAATCATCTACAGCGGTAAAGAAACCTTTGAAACATGGCAGCAGTAATTATGAAGTATTGCAATTTTACTCTGTCTTTAATATAGAAATCCTCCAATCCGAATATTTTTAGTATCTGTTTGGTTGACCAATAAAATACTACGTAGATCTTGGTCAAAAACCAAACCAGAATAATAAAGCGACCGCGATGTGCTATAGCTGTGAACTTGTTTGATGAACTTCAAACTACTGTAGTTAGTGCTGGACGCCGTTGATACGCTATTTATAGTTATAGCAACTTATTGGAAGAAAAATTTAATGATGTTGTGACATAATTTTATCTAAAACTTTATATATATATTTCGTAAGGCTTAGATATTCGATTTCATTCAATTTTTTATTCCAACTTAACAACATCAGTGTATCATACAAACCTTTATACCTATGTATTATTATATCAAGCATTGCAAGCATCCTTGTATATGTATGGATTCATATATTCAGTCCGACTGACTTATAGTGAACGTAAATTTTTAAATTCCTTTAGTGAATTGCTTTAAAAAAAAATCAGTAGGGCACAATTCAACTGAATATGTGAATGCAACACGGCATGCGGGACAGCCCTGTGAACGAGGGCACGTTGTCAATAAGATGATGACAGTTATCTATCTAATGATTGTATTAAAAGATAGTTATTTCTAGCTGGGCCGTCGCTATGTTTTGATATGTGGTTTACCAAGCGAGGTTTACATGGTTATGTACAACATATTACATTGAAGTAAGAACTTATTGTCAATTTTTCTAGACTATCGTGTCACTTTATTTTACACATAGTGCATTTTCTTGATTTCCCAAAAAGTCTAAGTAAACAATCTTAAAAATATTATTTAAACGAAGTTCATTCTCCTACCAGACATATCTATAATTACAGAAATAAAATTCTTACGAAAAATTCGCAATCTTCAGTCATGAACATCATAATTCACATTTTCTCCAAGATAATCGTCATTTGAATTTGTTGGTTTGTTGGAAGGTTTGCCGTCTGGCTCTTCGCAATTACTTCGTTTCTTTTCATCGGGGTAATAAACTAAAATAATTAAAGTAAAGTAGCTTCTCTTAACCCATGAACAGAAAAAATCCCAGTGTAATGAATTTGCTTTTTTGAGGACAGACTTGTTGATTATTATTATGAATGAGGTTTGAATATCTATATTCAAATTAGTGACGACTATTTTGTACCTGCTTCTCTCAATCCTTTCCCAAAGTTGCGGACTACGATCCAAAGAAAGAACGATACCAAACATCGTATAACCAAGTATAATATTGCTAGATACGAGGTGAAAAAGTAATGAATGTACAATATAGTTACAAATACAAAACAATCACACTACTCATATCTCGATAGCTTGTTAAAGTACGGTACTCATTGGTCATTAGCCAGTTTTTACTTGTAATTAGCTCATTTGCGTTACTCGTTGGCTAAATGTTCCCTCAATCGTCCCAATCATCTTGTACAACTATTGGAAATCATGCATGTCGTGGCGTCAATTATGAAATGATCTAACTCAAGAATCTAACTGAACAATCAAATCAAGAGATCTAACTCATAAATCAAATCAAGAGATCTAACTCAAGAATAAAAAAGAGACATTATTAGTTGTTAATCTTTCCAGAACTTTAACCAAACTTTTTCAGGAAATGAACTACCTTGTTTTAAATTCTGTAATTTTGCTGGTATTTTGTTTATAATACGTTATACACTAGTAGAGCTTTATTCAAAAGAAGGATCGAAGCTTCAGATTCGCACTTTTTTAATTGGGTGACTGTGCATGGCGGTTTCAAGTTCTGATGTTTGAAACTAAAAATCCTCATGGCTATCATGTAGTAGGAGTAATTATAAGTTTTATCAAACTTACCACAAACCATAATGAAGATATTGATAGTTTTATCGTGCTTCTTCCAATCTATCCCAGTCTAAAAACACGAACAAACATCATAACTACATGTTTACTACCCATGTATCAAACATATAGCAGAAGTGTTCTATTCCATTTACCTTGATGATCTTATAAAATGCATAAATTGGCTGTGGAATGCTAAGAAGAAAAAATGCCAAGAGCCATGTTCTTTCCTCGTATTTGGGCTTAATTGATAAAGAATGAAAATTAGGGTTAATGCATTTTCAGTAGCAGTTTCAGTGGATGACTTTTAACAACTATCGTAATTGTATTCGTTACTACACAAGCTGAAGATAAACGTCTTAGAATCGGATTATATCACAGTAACACAAAACATGTTTTTCGAACTAGTTTCAATTCCGTCAATACGCAACATATTTACCACAAGATATCCAACAATAAGCCAAATTATTCCGACAAATATACCAACACAAAGAATAACTATTTCAGCATCATTCGCCTTTTCCACTCCAGAAGTCAAGACCAGCACAATTAAAGATATCTGAAATTTGCGTCACATAAAATATTCTCTTTCATATATTGGACTACAGTAATGGCAACTACAAAACAGTAATCAAGAAAATAAAAACCGTAGTCTATAATGTTGACTGAGTTACATACCGAAATTTCAAACTCCAATAAGAGCAGTGTATGAAAAGCAAACATGTTCATGCACATATCTAAAAATAGAAGATAAAATATAGAAAATTAAAGATCACATGTCTACAACAACTTAATATTGAAAAAGTGGATTAAAAGCTTGTATCAGATTCCCTACGTCATATAGAAAACCAAGTGCCATACAGGAAATATACTACTCACTTTGGAAAGTTATGTTTGCCGAACGAACTGTTCTGATTATGAGGTTTTTCGTTGTATAATGCTCGTATGCAATTTTAAGGCAGAGCCCTAGATCCACTGCTCCTAGTACCAGCAATATAATGAGACGAACCTATAAAAGTAACAGAAGTAACATTGTCAAGAGATGTTTTTGCAAAGCTTTTATCAAATAAGTAATTCGTCAACCACATAAGTGTTAGTCTGGGTGACTTAGGTATTTATATAACATGATAGTAGTGAAAACATCTCAATAGATGTATTGATTTCAATTGGTAAAACATACCGAAAAAATTCAGCGCGTCAAAAGCGCGAAATGGTAATAGGCCAAATACAGGACCATATAGACCAATAGACCAAATACAGGAAAAAATCACATAATTGAATGTTGTACATTAGTTGGGATCTTGTAAGTACAGTTTGAAGGAGATTTATTGGAATGAAAGCAAAATAATGAGACGAACAAATAAAGTTAAGAGATGCCTGTGTTCCAGCATTGCTTTGGTAAAACTGTGATCATACAATTAACTTTTCATGACTTGCCTTTGACAAGAGATGTGTTAGCAAACATTGCAAAATCAACGATAAATTGCAATGAATAACACGATGATGATATAAAAAAACAATTACAATCAAGAAGAAAATGAAGAATAGCAAATTTTTGCAGTCTGATCAAAAGGACGGGCAAACGAAACTTCCTCCCCAAATTACACTATACCACTTATAATGCCATTTACTTTAAAAAACATGTATAAGTTTTGAACCCATTCAATGTTCTCCGGTGCTGACTCTCCCTGTGTGATGTTATTACTGATAAAGCAATATACATGCCATATTATTACTTGCACAACTTAAAGTCAACTCTTTCAAATTTTAAAAAAATAAATTACCATCAAGACAGTTGTTCTTTTATTAACAAACTGGATAATGCAATATATAGACACCATCACTATGGCAACCATAAATGCCCCTAGCTGGAAGGGTCTCTCTCCAAACACTCCATGATATATGTATACCAGACAAAATACTAGAAACAGATCAATATTTGTAAGGCATTAGTATTATAAAGATATTATGTCAAAATTTGCATATCAGGTTGAAAGACTCCTCTCTTCCTTTGGAGTTTTTTCAGCATTGACAAAGTTACCACCCCTCTGAGGGTTAGTTTTAGTTCATGAGGAAGCTCTGAGAAACTTTCAATCTTTAGGAAGCCAAATTTGACTATATTACATGAAAATCTCACACTATTTCAAGCACATTAATGTTTTAGATGAGGTTACCTGAATTGATAATAAGCACCAATGCTAATGATGAATCTGATTCATCAATGGTGTTAGTAAGACGATAAATTGCAACTGCTATTACAACAAGAGTACTGATAGTGGCCAAAGTTAAAAAGCAATTTCAATTTTCTCCAAATCAGATGGAATTCTTAACTAAAAAAGACATCAAAAGCATGCATCAAACTGACTCTTACTAATGATGAAAAAAAACTAATTTGGTGTTGAAATAGTGATAAACAATTGGATTTATTGAATAATACTATATCACACAATTCTTGGACCCAAAACGCATGAAAAACCAAATCCACTTGAAGATATGCAGCATGTTAGAGCCAAGCTAAGTGTGATTAGCTGCAATGTTTGGTGAGGTTAAATGTTGGAACCAAAATGTTTATTCTAAATTCAAGATATGCATTATTTCTTGGTTTTTAAGGTAATATTTTTGTGGTGCACTGGACTGAAATGCTTATAATTGTTGAAGTGCATTGCACTGTAATGCTTATAAGAAATTAGGAATAACTTATTTTGAAATAAGTTTGTTTAAAAAACCATGACCAGCCCACAATTTGAAGAAGTATAATATAAAACAACTTCCGAAGAAGCAAGACATCTTGAGATAGCAAAATATGAATCAAAACAAGACGAGAAGTAAACTGTAAATTTTAGACTTTATTTCAAAGTCATCCTCAGACAGAATGATAATTAAACCATACATACACATATATATTTACAACGCATGAAATAAGTAAACGGAAATAAGCAATAGAAATTAAATAGTGTGATATTTACAAAGGAAGAGTTGGAAGAGGTGTAATATTTCAAAAGGATGAATTGAAACTGCCGACCCGACTGGTAGAATGAGTGTGTTATAAGTTAAGAAAAGAGTTGTAATTCTTTGCTAGCCTTAAGTCCCATGTTGAGAAAAGGTTTGTTATGTTTGATGAATAGTGCTTCAAGAAAAGCAAGAATGTGGCAGTTGTTAGATTTGGTTGAATGAAGTATTTTATAGTTGTTGAATACAAGGTTTTCTATAGGAGAGGGAGTTCTGGGAGGCGGAGGGAGATCATTGAGTTGTGAGAACTGGTTTTGTAGAGTCGCCAGGAATTGAGCGTTTTCGCACTCAGAGAAATGCTGGCCAACTGCACTAGAAGAGAGTCTGGTAGCATGTTCTCTGAGCCGTACAGACAGACAGGCATCTTTGTGCAATGCCGATGTAGGTTTTACAAGCTAGAGAAATGTGAGTACTGACCAGTGTGGGTGTCTTTTCGGTAAATGCCAGTTCCATCAACCGAAATTTTTATATCTAGAAAATGAATTATGCCATCGTGATATGTATCAACTGTGAATGTGAGATTGGCATCAAAACTATTAAATTTCGATAAGACAGCGGAAATATTGGAGGGTTCACTCAACCAAATCTAACAACTACCACATTCTTGCTTTTCTTGAAGCACTACTCATCAAACATGACAAACCTTTTCTCAACACGGGACTTAAGGCTAGCAAAGAATTACAAGTCTTTTCTTAACTTATAACACACTCATTCTACCAGTCGGGTCGCCAGTTTCAATTCATCCTTTTGAAATATTACACCTCTTCCAACTCTTCCTTTGTAAATATCACACTATTTAATTTCTATTGCTTATTTCCGTTTACTTATTTCATGCGTTGTAAATATATGTGTATGTATGGTTTTAAATATCATTCTGTCTGAGGATGACTTTGAAATAAAGTCTAAAATTTACAGTTTACTTCTCGTGTTTTGATTCATATTTTGCAATCTCAAGATGTCTTGCTTCTTCGGAATTGGTTTCACTTTGTTTATAATGTAAAAATCATGCACTAAAAGCATTAACTTTTAAAAATCATGCACTAAAAGATAGTGGATGAAAAAAGAGTGCTAAAATCAGTATAGCCTTCAAAATAGTTTTGAGGTTTGAAATATTGTAATATACGTATAACTATAACTATGCCCAGTGCTGTGGTGATCAGATAAATATATTGTGTATACACAATATGCATGATAATTTCTCCCTCGTAAATACAATAGGGAGCTTCAGCAAAGACTACGAGTACGACTACGAGTACGAATTACGTCATTTTGGCGCGAAAACATTGTTGCGACAACAAAAACACGTAGCCGTCATCAATCTGAGTACGCTGTTTTGTAAAAAATTCGTAGTCGCGACTACGATGTCTTTTTAAGCAAAGAAAGTAGGTATATTTCCTCATTCTGTAAGAAATTAGTTCACAGTACTATTTTCGAGCATTCAGGCTTTAATTTTGAACCTTTTTTGAGGGCAGATGTACATTAAAAAGGAAAATATGACCTGCAAAACTTTCATGTATTTCGTACGCAAAGTGAAAGGTAAACAAACAATAAAATAGTACAAATATATCGTACATAAAACTTAAAATAGTGAAGATTTTTCAGTCTAAAGAGTCCTATATTCTCGCAAAACCAGTATTATCGATTCTTTGATATCATTATTGACAACTAGAGCCGTAACTGCTTCGCAAACGTCGGTGTTTTACACAATAAAAAGGCTCGTTCTGTTGTTTACAACCAAAGCAAAATTTTGACGAAGCGACAACGACAACAACCTTCCTCGTGCCATTCCTTAACACGGTCAAATTTCGTACTCGTTCTCGTAGTCGTACTCTTGCTAAAACTCCCTATTAGGGAGCATTGTTTTCGCAACAATGTTTTCGCGCCAAAATGACGTAAATCGTACTCGTAGTCGTACTCGTAGTCTTTGCTAAAACTCCCTAATAACAGCTTTACGACAACATCTTGTTTCCAACAGCTAAACTGGCACAAGCTTAACGCAAATATAAAGTTGTTCATAAAAGTTGCTGCAAAGCATTTGAACAAAAATTGAGGAGAAAAAATGCTTCCACAAATACAACAGAAGTTGAAAACAGCTAACACATGGGTTTATGCGGTTAAAGTTACTCATTTATCTATGAAATGGCCAATATAACATACTTTTCCAAAAGGAGAATCGACCGTACGAACAGCTGAAGGCAAAACATTCAATTCACTTCGAGAGGTGGATGAGCCAGCTTCGCCTTCGTTGGATGTATCTGGATTCATTCCTTCAGCACCTTGTGATGTATTGTCGAATTTGTTATAAGCCATATGAAATGGTCAATTTAATGATTAGTCAAACAGAATTACAACGGGATGACTGTCAAAACGAAACGAGGCAATTATCGTATCCTATTCTGTATGCATTCGATTTCTGTTTCAATGTTTTCGCTTTAATAAAGTTGTTAATAATTGCTAAATGTAAAAAGTAATTTCAGTGCAAGACCTACCTTTTCAAGAAAACAAATAGGATGCGAAATATGGAGAAATAATCAGTACTTCGCAGGTTCAAAAGATTTCAACGTTTTAATGGTTTAATGTATAATATCATCTGATGCGCGATATATTTTTTGCTACTTTGGCTAGCAATATTGTGATACATCACACAACATCACACTATCACAATGACGTAATGTTTACAGTTCGCATTCGTCGATGAAAACTCTCCTCACTGACAATTTAACCCATTCCGTTTATTTTTACGTCTTTATACTCAATAATTCGAGCGAAAACAGTTTGCAAAACGCTTGCAAATATCGAGCAAGAGTCTGTCATTATACTTTTTTATTTAAAATTTTGCATTAACAATTATATAATATGTCACCTATAGCAGTGTAGCTAGGTTCTTAGCCAATTGCAATCGAGATTGCATAATATGCATAATAATAGTATTTCCCATGACTTCTGACTGGGAAAAGTCAAGAGTCATTTCTCACTGGATCACTGGAGAAAGCCGAAATCATTTCTGACTAGGAAAAGCTGAAAATATGTCGAAGCGCAGGCGTAACAATTGTCAAGCAATATTGCTAGCAATATTGTGATACATCACACAACATCACAGTATCACACTCGAATGACGTAATGTTTGCAGTTCGCATTCGTCTTTCTCCCAAAAATACTCGATGAAAACTCTCCTCACTGACAATTTAACCCATTCCGTTTATTTTTACGTCTTAATACTCTATAATTCGAGCGAAAACAGTTTGCAAAACGCTTGCAAATATCGAGCAAGAGTCTGTCATTTTACTTTTTTATTTACAATTTTGCATGAACTATTATGTAATATGTCACCTATAGCAGTGTAGCTAGGTTCTTAGCCAATTGCAATCGAGATTGCATAATATGCATAATAATAGTATTTCCCATGACTTCTCACTGGGAAAAGTCAAGAGTCATTTCTCATTGGATCACTGGAGAAAGCCGAAATCATTTCTGACTAGGAAAAGCTGAAAATATGTCGAAGCGCAGGCGTAACAATTGTCAAGCAATATTGCTAGCAATATTGCGATACATCTCACAACATCACACTATCACACTCGAATGACGTAATGTTTGCAGTTCGCATTCGTCTTTCTCCCGAAAATACTCGATGAAAACTCTCCTCACTGACAATTTAACCCATTCCGTTTATTTTTACGTCTTAATACTCTATAATTCGAGCGAAAACAGTTTGCAAAACGCTTGCAAATATCGAGCAAGAGTCTGTCATTATACTTTTTTATTTACAATTTTGCATGAACAATTATATAATATGTCACCTATAGCAGTGTAGCTAGGTTCTTAGCCAATTGCAATCGAGATTGCATAATATGCATAAAATAGTATTTCCCATGACTTCTGACAGGGAAAAGTCAAAAGTCATTTCTCACTGGATCACTGGGGAAAGCCGAAATCATTTCTGACTAGGAAAAGCTGAAAATATGTCGAAGCGCAGGCGTAACAATTGTCAATCGGTTGACGATTTGCGAAAAGATGTTGAGAACGAGGAACTACATCAAGAATATGTGGGGTCGAGGATATTAAGTGATATCCAATCTATTAATTTGAAAGTCTGCAATGATCTAAATGTTGATGTAATTCTGTTTGTTCTTGTTTTGAAATATGGGTTGTCACTTGTGTGCTCTATTGCCAATGTTGCGTCTTCTTTGCTTGTACCCTCCGTGAATGTACGTCAAGAAGCGTTGGCTTTGGTATGTCCCAAATTAGAAGAAGAAGATGGAAATGTTCTTTTACAGTCCGCTTCTAAATTAAAAGTTCCTAGTACAACCGATAGGAAGTTGCATGTATTTACACCTCCATGCTCCAAATGTATTAAGTGCAACCATGATCTTGTGAGCTACAGTAAGCCAGTAAAAGTTCAGGTACACGATCTTTCTGGAACTACCGATGGAGTGAAAGTTTCGCTTAGATGCAATCGCTATAATTTGCTTTATGGATATTCCAAGTACGGTAATGGGAAAAATGGCTGGATGTCATATCCCGAACAAAGAAAAATGGTCGAGGCTACTGATGTCTGTTTCGTTGATTCAACTTTGCTTCAGTGGCAGCTGTCACTCGCGTAAGTTACAATATAATCACTTGATTAATTAATGTTAAAATAGCCAGTAGATTTAACAAATGAAATATGTTTTCTATAGCTGTCATTCGTGAGTATCGTTTAATGGTTTTTCTGAAGCGTTTAATGAAGTATACAATGGCAGTAAGAGAACGATATGTTGTAGATCTGTATTACTGTTATCACGTTGTTACAGTTTTTGATGGTAAGCATTGTTTGCGTTTTATATAAAGATTTTGGAGAGAAACAAGTTGCTGCTTCATTTTGGGTCGGTGAGATGAAGAATGAGTTGAGGGAATTGGGGCAACTGGACTTTTTTGGTTTGCTAAAAGAAGATGGGGACTCTTCTCGGGTTCTAGAAAAAATAGACAAAATTAGGGCGAGAAGTTTGTACGAGCATACATCAGATGATTGTTCTGATACTTGCAAAGAGCGCGGTAAGTTAGATGCAATTGTATTTAAAAATTAGTTTTTAAGCTATAAATATATTCTATTGGAAAATAGCTGTGATTCTCATCAGGCTAAGATATTTTCGTAATCAAACTTATAGGATGTGGAAGGCTATGGATTTCCGATGGAATATGGAAATTAATGTTTCCTCATTGCATGATGCATAGAAAGATACTTATCTTAGTTTAATATAACATTACTCCTTTGCTTTTCGTAATATAATAATATTATATGAAATTGTTTTTAGAATTTTGTAAAAGGTATTCCATTGCTGAACTATACTAATGTATGCACTGAGTCGCCTCAGCATAGAAAGGCATTCTGTGAACAGCATGTGCAATACTTGGAAAAAAAACTTCCCTAATGTACCCACAAGTGTGCGTGGACTTTTAAGATATTGTGGTGTGAAGCCAAGTAACATAGGTATGTCCTCCAAAATTGTCATGACTATAATCATGCTTGAGAATAAAGTCCGATTTTTCATGATCAATTCGAGATATATTAACAGAGCTTTTACACTTAATCACAACTGCTCTTGCTTTGGTATATAGTGTTTTGCAGGGAAATTGGTACCCCTTTCTCTAAATTTATCTCAATGATATGTGTATTACAGAGCTGACAGAAAATTACTACAAAGAATTACTCTATTTTATAGGTGAAGAATTGATTGACGACACAGGTCTGCTTTCTAACAATGACGTGTCAAAATGGACGAAACACTGGGAAAGCTTGATAAAGATGGCGACACTTTCCCAGTAGGAAATAGTGTTATGGAGTCACAAGGTATATTTGTCTAAAATTTGTCTAAGGCCATTATAAAATGGCTGTTTCCAGACGTCTAAATGTCTAAACTTTTAAAATTATTTATAATGCTTCTACTTTCTACTTTCCTTGTCTAACCGCCATAAACCCTCTAATACTGGTAACGCATCGAAAATACAGTCCGAAAAAGTTTTTACTAGCTTTAAAGATGTTTTCTTCAGAATGAATTTTTATAGATAAAAAGTACAGATTTTAAAAAAGTATAAAAAGTTGGCCGTATAATATATGTAGAAAAACACGGCGAGTGGGCCAGTCGCAGGTCACATAAACGTTCGACACAGGTAAAGCTCTACGCATGCGCATTGTTTATTAGTTATGCATTTAACTCATATTTCAATTTCATGGACTAAACTACTAAAATGCATGTCTGAGTCTCAGTTTTCGCTTTGGACGTTTCTGTTAAATGACTTAAAGCATGTCCCAAGTCATGTACAAAATCGTCCCCGTCGTCACGTTGCAGAAACCATGATGAAGTCTGGAAAGTGGACTTCGCTCAGTTTGCTGTATTTTCGTGCCCTTCCGAGCCTCCAAGTAGTAACGGTAAGTCGGTAAGTTCTCTTCAAAATATTTATTAAACATCTCTACAGCTCTATCGAAAAACATTTCCTGGGTGTATGGTGTGTAATGTCGTATTTATGTTGGCATAATATACAATCAACTTAGAGATGCAGAGCAAAGAACAAATAAGAAAGAAAAATGATCATGAAAATGCATGGCAGTGTCCAGACATAAATTATTCTAAAATTTTTAAATTAATTACTATGCACAATTAAAAAAATACACAGTTATTCCTGACTTTATCAATTTGTAGCACTTATGAATGCAAAATGCATGTCAAATTTCAGGGATAAACATCTGTCAAATTCCAACTCACAACCAAACTAAAAGAAAAAAAGATAGCAATAATATAAGTACTTCCCAACATACATACTCTAGCGCAAAAAAAACAAACAAGAGAAACAAAAAAACTATTTGAACATTGCATTTGATAATTAATTTTAGTTTATTTTGCAGATGTCAAAAGAAATACATGAAGAAATTCTTCACAGACAAAGGGTATGTAAAATTAGGTCAACTGACAAGGTATTGAGCATAAATACCTTGATCCTTTGGTGGTGAATTCATTGGCATTTTAGTATCATCATTGCTTGCAGTCTGTATGAAATAACAAAATTTTTTATGAGTTATTCAGTGATGAACAGTAAATAACCATAATTCCATGAAAGAGTGTTGAATTAGTTGCACACCTGTTTTGGAGTTTTTGGTGCTTTTTGCCTCTTTTTTATAAAAACAATTATAACTATGACTATTATAACAACGATTATAGGAACAACAATTCCAGCAATAGCTCCACCCTCCAGACCACCACCACTAGATCTCTCTTTGTTTATTGGATTATCTGTACAAATCAAATTTAGTCTTTAGCCTAATAGCTTAGTATTTAACATTTTCCATTGAATATAACTGTAGAATTTATGAAGTTTTCATGTGAAATCTACATTCAGTGAAAAAAAATTAGCTTCCAGTGGAATCATTGTTATGTTTACAAGCCAACAAAAATAAGAAGGCAGACATCAAACTGCCCAATAAAACTTAGAATGGTGCAACTTTTGGCTTGAAGTTGCCCATATTTTAATTTGCTACACATGTTATAAACTGCTTTTATGCAAGCATTAAAAAGATTTTTCATTCTCTTTAAAATGAAATTATTTCTTACCAGTCACTGTTATTCTTATCAAATCTGAAGTAACCTTTCCTACAGAATTTTTTGCATGACTTTGGTATGAACCGGAATCCTCTTTTTCTACTTCATCTTGGTTAAAAAAATAGGGACCATTCTTTCCTAGAACTTGTATTTCATTATGATATAAGACAATGTTTGCTTTGGGTCTTCCATGAATTGAAAGATTGCAATTTTATTGTTTTACAGTCTCCAACAGAGAGAGTTCTATTGCTTACAATCAACTGAACTTTCGGTTGAACTAGGTGGAAAAAAGTGGTGTACAAATGCTGTTAATTTGCATTTTTGTGTGAAATCATTTCATATGCAATTGAAAATGAAAGCAAAAATGACAACTATGAGTCAATTTATAAGGAATTTGATATTTTGTACACAGTTGCATCACAATAAAACAAGATATTGAGTAAGACATGTATATTTGAACCTTGTCAAAATTAGACAGTGTCCAACCAAATATTGTGATTTAATGAAAATATCATGTATTACGATGAATGAAGTCCAGGCAATGTAAAATGTAACCCAACCTGATATGTATAGTTCCTCAGGTGACGATACTTCTTCAGAATTGTTTTTGTCTTGTAATGTAAGCATGACTTTTTTCTTGTGCATAAATTCTTTCACTCCAATAAAACTGAAGGCAAAATAATTGTTTGACACATTTCCTTTCCAATGCAGTTCAGTTGAATAGCTTTTCGCCAATTCTGAAAGGTCAGATGTTGCTGTGTTTAAAGCATCCAAAGCCATAATACATCAATCTGTTTGTTTCCCGGTTTTTTTCATAAAAGAAATCGATAGGGCACAATTCAACCGAATATGTGAATGCAACACGGCATGCGGGACAGCCCTGCGAACGAGGGCACGTCAATAAGATGATGACAGTTATCTATCTAATAATTGTATTAAAAGATAGTTATTTCTAGCTGGGCCGTCGCTATGTTTTGATATGTGGTTTACCCAGCGAGATTTACATGGTTATGTACAACATATTACATTGAAGTCAGAACATATTGTCAATTTTTCTAGACTATCGTGTCACTTTATTTTACACATAGTGCATTTTCTTGATTTCCCAGAAAGTCTAAGTAAACAATCTTAGAAATATTATTTAAACGAAGTTCATTCTCTTACCAGACATCTATAATTACAAAAATGAAATTCTTACTTAAATTGGGTTAGCGTGCATAAAAAACAAGAACGTTGGAGTTTTAATGAAAAATTCGCAATCTTCAGTCATGAACATCATAATTCACATTTTCTCCAAGATATTCGTCATTTGAATTTGTTGGTTTGTTGGAAGGTTTGCTGTCTGGCTCTTCGCGATTACTTTGTTTCTCTTCATCGGAGTAATAGACTAAAATAATTAAAGTAAAGTAGCTTCTCTTAACCCATGAACAGAAAAAATCCCAGTGTATTGAATTTGGTTTTTTGAGGAAAGACTTGTTGATTATTATTATGAATGAGGTTTGAATATCTATATTCAAATTAGTGACGACTATTTTGTACCTGCTTCTCTCAATCCTTTCCCAAAGTTGCGGACTACGATCCAAAGAAAGAACGATACGAAACATCGTATAACCAAATATAATATTGCTAGATACGAGGTGAAAAAGTAATGAATGTACAATATAGTTACAAATACAAAACAATCACACTACTCATATCTCGATAGCTTGTTAACGTACGGTACTCATTGGTCATTAGCCAGTTTTTACTTGTAATTAGCTCATTTGCGTTTCTCGTTGGCTAAATGTTCCCTCAATCGTCCCAATCATCTTGTACAACCATTGGAAATCATGCATGTCGTGGCGTCAGTTATGAAATGATCTAACTCAAGAATCTAACTGAACAATCAAATCAAGAGATCTAACTCATAAATCAAATCAAGAGATCTAACTCAAGAATAAAAAAAGGGACTATCAGTTGTTAATCTTTCCAGAACTTTAAACCAAACCTTTTCAGGAAATGAACTACCTTGTTTTAAATCCTGTAATTTTGCTGGTATTTTGTTTATACACTAGTAGAGCTTTATTCAAAAGAAGGATCGAAGCGTCAGATTTCGCATTTTTCTAATTGGGTGACTGTGCATGGCTGTTTCAAGTTCTTATGTTTGAAACTAAAAATCCTCATGGCTATCATGTAGTAGGAGTAATTATAAGTTTTTCAAGTCTTACCACAAACCATAATGGAGATATTGATAGTTTTATCGTGCTTCTTCCAATCTATCCCAGTCTAAAAACACGAACAAACATCATAACTACATGTTTACTACCCATGCATCAAACATATAGTAAATTAGAAAGAAGTGTTCTATTCCATTTACCTTGATGATCTTATAAAATGCATAAATTGGCTGTGGAATGCTAAG